GGTAGTCCTTCTCGTACTCGCCATGTTGCTTCGCTTGGTAAAGAAGCACTTCGAATTGTAAGCGTCTCACTGGCGAGGCGCTTGGGTATGGGTAGTGTTGGTAAAGGAAGCAAAGCTACACGGAGTACGAGGATAGTAGGAAGGTACTGGAAGTAACAAAACGAAGTGCTTGTCTCTCAGCACTTCGGGGGTTATTGCGTTGCTATTTATGTTGCCTAGTCGAGTCGCCGGCGCGGCGCAGGCGACTCGAATGTTGCCGTTCTCCCGATTACCCTCGGTTACTGGGTATGTGGTTCGGCATGTGGTTCGGCATGTGGTTGCATGTCACGTGGTCGCCGTGACACCCTTTCAATATTAATAGATATAGTTGCTCTAGATAGACTATTATTATTTAGTTTTAGTCTATTAGGAAGTCATAGTTATATTCTATCTATTTTATTAGTATTACCTTCATCAAATATTATATCCCTTAACTAAATTATCTTCCCTGTATCTAGATACTATACCTTATAGATATAATCTCTATTATATCCAACTAGTTAACTAATTTTTGCTCTAGGCAATATTTTTATACTTTTAACTCTATTCTTATATAGGATATTTATAAATACCTTGTATCCCTATACATAAATATATTATAGATTAATATCTTTAATTAAGATATTTAATCCTTTATAAAAAAGTTATATAGGTAGCTTTTCTTTATTATTATCTTTCCTGACTAACTTATTCAAAATATAGACTACTATATCCATACTATATGATTATATAATTAGTTCTATTTTTACTTATATATATATTATGTAGGTGGTTTAAATTATATAGCTACTAAACTATTTAATAGTACTATTTTCCTTAGGGGTTCATGGTAGTATTAGTTTATATATAGTACCAAAATCCTTACTCTACCTAGTATACTTATTAAATTTAGGAGCAGAGTTAAATCTAATCCTTCTAATATAGATACCAGTCATATTCAGCTAACTATTATATATTTTCTTTAATGCCTTTAAAGATTCACTTTTTACCTTTAAATATTATACAAAAAGGTATCTAGAATAATTATCTAGAATTAATAAGATATATCTAATACTATCTCTTTTAATTAGTTTGATTTCTTGGAGATCTACATATATAAATTATAATAATTTTATTATATATAGTTATGGTTTTCAGGATATCTTTTTCTTTGATTTTAATAATTAATATGCTTTATAGTATAATTTAGTATTCTAATTAATAGCAGGCAAGTTATTAGTAGCCAAGTTATTACTTTTATTATAAAGTATTACCTTATTACACTTTAATTATTTAATAGATAGATAATCTAATTATTAATATAATAAGTCTATTAGTATGGTGGGTATAATCACTACCTTATTTAGAACTAAAAATAGGATATTATTATTTAAGATAGTATATTTAATTACCTTATTTATTACTATCTTATAAATATATTAATTTTTCAAGTCAAAATAGATTCCTAATTCTACCTTTATTCTTTCTACTAGTATCAGGTTATATAGTATATTTAGATTCCAAAGATATTTTATTTAGTATAATATTAAAGTACTATTATCTAATTTAAATTAAATTATTACTTTTCTATAATCTTGAGAATATACTACCTTACTATTAGAGGTAATAAAACTATATTCTTAAAGCTATTTAAATCTTTAATTAGGTTATTAAAGAGATTATAATTATTATATACTATATAGCCTTGCTCTAGAGTCATATAGCTACCTATTCTTAAAGTAGTCAATATTAAAGCTATTAATATATTAACTCTAGATAGTATAAAATTATTAGTATCTAGAATAATATTAGCCTATATAGCTAGACTAATTTAGCTTTAGATTAAATTATTCTTATTCTTTAACTTAAGTAGCCTAAAATACTAAAGTATAGAAGTTAGCCTCTACCCTTCCTTCTACTTATTAATTACTAAATATAGGCAGTTCTTAGTATCATGTTTTTCCTCCTTATAAAATAGATATAGTATTCCTGGTTTCCTAAATTACTTTAACTAGTAGTTAATATAATTTATAATTATTATATTTTATAGTAATATATATTTTACTATTACTATTATCTTCTTTTATTATTTATTATTAGTTAAGAATTTAGTATATTTATAGCAGGTATGGTAGTATTAAATATAATATTAGATAATAGATTCTCCTGAACTTTATCTTTTACTATATTTATATAGTATAAAAATGCTTCTATATAATTATTTTAATAGGATTATTACCTAGGTTATTTAAGGTTAAATCTATAAAGCTTATATTATTCCTTTCAAGTTCCTAAAGTATTATAGTAACTATTTAATAGGATATAATAACTATTTTTAACCTATTAGAAGTATTTATTTTCTAGATAAAGTTTAATATAAACTTATTAATAATTATATAATTCTTATACTTAATCTTAATAACTTCTCTCTATATCTAGTATATATATCTTTAATTACTATTAATAACTATCCTTTATAACTTCTATATAAAATTATCTATAAAGATATATAAGATAGTATCTATTAATAATTTCTCTACTAATTTCTTACTTATTAAATATAGTATCTAACTAGCTACTATTTATAAAAGAAGTTCCCATAATTTATACTTAGGATTATCAAGTTATAGTCTAGAAATATTACTTTTAAGAAGCTTATCTATCTTATAAAGTCTTAGCTTTATTTATACAAATAAAGCCTAAATTTCAAATTTTAAATTATTTTCCAACACTATTATTAGGCTTAAGTTAAATATACCATTCTTTAGCTTTATTGCTTGATTTCAGCCATTAGTAAATAAGGTAGTAGTCGTCGAAGGTAGGTATAGTAAATTAGGGATGTCAGGATATCTACTAAGGGTAGGTTTAGTTACTATTTTAGTTAAATTATAGAAATTTTCCACACACTATTACCTAGGTGGAGTAACATAACAGCAGTACAGGTGGTGTAACACAACAGCAGTAAGTAATATTTCTACCAGGATCTCTTTCCAATCAGGGAGCAGATTACTATACAGGGGTACAGGAGTATGATAAGAGTTTTAGAGGTCTATAAAGCATAAAATAGAATCTCAAGGAGGGCTCATAACCTGATAAGAGATCATCAAACTATGACAGTAGAAAGTTGACCGAAATGGATTTAATTAGTCTAACTAGAAAATAAAGAGAAGGAGAGATGCTTGGAGGAAGCATGGAGATCTAGAAGGAAATCATAGCCTTAAATACACAGAGTAGTCACGTGTCGCTACTCACTTAATGGCAGTGCTGTTTGCATTGATTGCAGCACTCCAACATGAAATACTGCGGGGGCGCATCCGCGATCTCGAACACGAGGTCAATGCTCAGAAGCATCCAGAGCAGCTATCAACCAATCCGCCTTCTTCTCTTGTAGAAGAAACCAAAGTATTATCGATCACGGAAATGGAAATCTAGAAACAACCCATCTACCTTCCCTCCTTTTTTTTTTCAAAAAAAAAAAAAATATCATTTGCTTCGCACTTTACTAGCCACCCACCCTCTCTATTGCCACCTATTTTTGTTTATAGGTTTGGATGAAATTTTTTGGGCGTTTCTGTTGTTGGGATAAAAAACAATCCCATTTTTGTTTTCGGGAATTCTTTGCTTTCGCTGTCCCCATCACTCCCTCCTCTTCTCTTAGATTCGATGGCCAGGTCTGCTATTTTTATCGAAATACTACTGCCTTGTTCCTGTTCCATATGCTCCAAAACCCAGCGGGTATGGCCCACTGTGGCTGTGCAAGAAGCTCTTGAGGAACGTCATTCCGTCATCGTTCGACTGTGGCGGGTCCTGGCCATCTATAGATAAATACGTGGTGGGCTGCTGCTTCTTTGCTCCTATATCCTTCTTCTTCTTCTTCTTCTTCTTCCTCCTCTCCACTCAGTCCTGTCTTGACGAACTTCCTATCTTCAAACTCATTCCGTATTCTACCATCCACCATGTCGCAACATACTACCGTTCATGTCGAGGGCATCTCCCCCGCCACTACCGACAAGGAAGTTCAAGACTTCTTCAGCTTCTGGTACGTTCCTCACATCGCATTTATTATAATAACCCACACACATGTTAACCCAGGAATAGTGGAAAGATCACATCCATGTCAGTCACTCCATCCTCGGCTGAAGCAGATGCCCCCAAGTCTGCGTCTGTAACATTTGAGAAAGATGCGTAAGTCTTAATACCCCGCACTCATTCCGCCGGTCCCGCCACAATAACGCGCGCCCCTCAAAAAACATCAAACCACCTCACTCACACACATAAATTCCCAGAGCCGCTAAGACTGCCCTCCTCCTCGACCAGACCCAATTGGGCTCCGCCGTTGTGCACGTCAAGGCAGCGCAGACTCTCGATGAGATCGCCGGCTCCCACAGCGCCACCGCCGCCGAGGCCAAGGATGAGAACAACCACACCCTCGAGCAAGAGGACAAACCCCGCTCCCGCATCGTCGCAGAGTACCTCGCACACGGCTATGTAATTAGCGACAATGCCATCCAGAAAGCCATCACCCTAGACCAGAAGCACGGGTTCTCGTCGCGCTTCACGGCCGCCCTGACCAACTTCGACAAGAAGACCCACGCTTCTGATCGCGCCAGAGGACTCGACGAGAGCTATCAGATCAGCAACAAGGCCGCTAGCGGATGGCAGGGCCTGAACAATTATTTCGAGAAGGCTCTGAGCACTCCCTCGGGCCAGAAGCTGCTTGATTTCTACACCCGTACCGATAAGCAGGTCCGTGATATCCACAACGAAGCTCGCAGACTCGCCGACCTGAAGAGCGGCAAGCCCGCAGCCGAGAGCGGCCATGCTGCTCCTCCAGTGACAGAAGCTGCTGCTGCGCCATCAACCGAGAAGGCCTAAATTTTTTTTTTTTTTTTTTTTCTAAATTAATAAGTTTAAATTGCCCCGATGGAATAGTAAAAACTGTTTTAGGTTGGAACTTTGGACGGAAATTAGTTTTGCTAGCATGCATGTTATGTTAATTCTATATCATATTAAGTTCATAGTACTCCGTATTATGAACAACAACAACAACATGCTTTCATTAGCTGGTTGTCTGGAACCACGAAATACATGACATGACATGACATGACAATTTTATCTTCTTCTTCTTCTTCTTCACCCATCATATAAACCAGTATACATAAGACACACACACATATTACCTATAATATAATAAAATTTCTCCCCCCCCCTAAGAAGACTGACTTGGGCTGGCGTCAAAGAAAACCTCAATTCCCAACTCCCTTCCGGAACTTCCTCGCCTCGATCTCCTCCAATGGATGCACAGGGTTACTCTCCAACCCCGCCAGCTGCCTCTCCTGCTCCGACATCGACGCCTTGGATGCGTGTTCGCGTGGCTGCGCGGGGCCCTGGCCCCTCTTGGTATTATCGTATTCGTCCCTCAGGTGTCCTGAGCAAAAGGGTTCTTGTTCCTCGCGGGATTGGCGAGAGGGGGAGGGGGATTCGCGGCCGGGGTAGCGCGATGTCATTTTTTTTTTTTTTTGGTACTGCTACTATGTAGGTACTAGGTACTAAAGCCTGGTTAGATAGATTCGGTTATGTTTTGGTTGTATTTTACTTACAACGTAGAATAAGATAAGATCGTATAAAATATAGGTAGGTAGGTAGGTAGGTAGCCTCTCACCAAGTCAATTCAAGTAGTATTGAGAGAAACGAGAGAGGGAGCCGGCTTAAGTATTCCTAGTATACCCAGAATAAAGCTTTGGTGCATCATGATGACGTTGGAACCATATTTATTCCTCCTTCCAGATGGGTCGGGCTTGTGATTCTTATGGTTCGAGGCTAAACAATGGATCCTTTGAAGTATATGTATGGGATTACTCTCTCGATATTATTTCTGATCTAGGTAGATTTCAAGGTGTAGTCAATTATATAATCACGTCATGATATCTGACTTCAAATGTTCGCTCCTGTCAGTGTTCTTGTCCGTGCAGGTACTCTGTTCTCTTCGTCTTCGTCTTTTTTTTTTCTTCTTTTTTTTTGTTTTCTTTTTTCCCCCCCAAGGAACAAGAGACGAATGGAAAGGAATCAATTGCTCATGCCAGGATGAAGTATAAAGAAATGCCAATCAACATAAATTAACTCGGGGAATCGGGTTCGGAGCTCCGTGCAGAAATATGATCAGGGTAGGGGAAACCAGGGACGGGAAATGGGACTTTTAACAGGATTCGTAACAGATAAAAGAAAAAATATGTAAAGGGGTCGGGAGGGGAAGAGGTGGGAAATGCTCTCGGAACATTCAAACATTCTAAACGGGGAGGAGGAGAAAGAAGAAAGAAAGGGAAGCATAGGTCACGTTAGGACGTATCCAGCAGACTGCCTGACAAATGGACAAAACTGTTAACCGAAGCTCCAAACTGACATTGCATATTTTATATCATGGACTAACATATCCCGCGGCAGCCGACTGATTCATCTCGTCGGCTCTTTGAGGGAGGTTTTGTTTTTCTCGTCAACGCCATATGTATCGATCTATTGGCCCCCGTTGGCTTGGAGATTGGCGGCCTTGGCGGCCTCTTCGTTTGCCGCCGCCAAAGCTTTGGCCTCGGCTTCATGGAAAACCGCCTGGATAACCTGCTTCTCTTCCTCATTCAGAATGTTTGTCAAACTCTCATAGAGTTGTGGCTGTTCTTGTTGCATGTCTGTAATGTATATCAGCAAATGTCTCAAAACAGAAGATAGTGCGATACGTACTCAGGAAGACTTGCTTGAACAGGCCGTAGGGTTCGACCTTGTCCAGAGGCGTCTCGAGTAAGCTCTCCTCATCAAGCTCTTCATCATCGTCGTCCCCGGCGAAAGACCCGAATTTTTGTGCCTGCTCAGTTGTTAGCATAACTGAAGTAAGAAATATGAGAATTACGAAACACTCACTTCTTTATTCAAGAAGTCAAGATAAGCAGCGCTCTCATCGGGAACATCGCCCTCGGCAATAGCTTCGGCCTCATCCTGCTCGGTCCACTCGATCTCACCATCCCAGTCATTCTCCTCATCGCCTTCATCCTCATCGTCATATGTGAAATCAGACTCCTTGGTTGCATCTTCCCGGTCTATGTACAGTTAGTGTCAAAATCAATCAACTTAGTGAAAGGCGAGACATACTCTTGATGGCGGCAGGTAATGTCTGGAAGAGTCTAGTAACTCCCTGGAGCAATCTTGGCCAGCCCTGCTGCACGCTGGCGGGGACATCGCCAGCCTTCAGCGTCAACAGCGAGCTGATGGCAACAATCGAAAGTGTCTTGTCGTGGACCCGTCTAAAGTTGTCGATGTTAGAGAACCAAGCGCTGAAGAACTTGTTTGTCCATCCCTTGGCTTCCAGGACCTGGAGACTAAGAACCGGGTTGTAGTAAATAGCGTTAATCACCATCTCCATCAGGTGGATTCGGTAGGACTTGGTCCTTGCCTCGCCAGCATCAATAACACGCATCGCGAGTTCAATGAAGACAGGGATGTATTGGTCAATGTAACCGCGCAGGTTCAGCATGACGGTCTCGGCGAGCTTGCAACCGCAGATCCGGTCAACACCGCCAACCTTCTCATCGTGGAAGATGTCCTCTACCATGCCCACAACAGCTGCGAGATAAGCGGGGTTCTGGACCATCATCTGAGAGCCGTAGGCAACGTAGTTGTCGAGCGCAGGCAGCATGTCTTCCAGGTACAACTCAGCACCTGCCTTGAAGGTCTTGTGGATGAGCTCGAAGGCCTGCCACATAGTAGGGGAGATGGATTTGGAAGCAAAGGTGCAGCTGTCAATGATCTCGAAAACTTCGTTGTAGAGGTCGTAAAGCTTGTTCTCAAGCGTGATGCTGATGACAGGCATGAGGATTGTCTCGAGATGCAAGAGCACGTCGGGAGTGCTCTCAAGTGTGAGGATTAAAGTGCCGATTGTTTGCAGGACACCAAGAGCAGTGATACTCTTGTCATCCAGGAAATCGCCGTAGGCATCTTCGTCACCTTTTGCTGCATTCCTCTCCAGAAGTTCGCCTACAATACGCATATACGTGTCACGGAGTTGCTCACTCAGAGCAACTGCGAAAGGAGTAAGTTCTGCGGAGAAGACTTCAACAAAGTCTTCCATGACGTTGGCCAGAGCATCCACATCAACCTCGTTGGCAAGTTTGAGAAGTTGCTGCATAATCTGAGGAATATTCTGTTGCATGGAAGTGCGAATGACATCGTGTCGAATAAGAGGCTGGAGAGCAAGCGCAGCCTCAACACGCACAGGCAATTCCGAGTCCGTCATGGATTCCAGGATATTCCGGTAGATGATCATGAGGTTGTTGGGGTCCTTGAAGTCGAGCTGCTCGAATTTCTCCAAGGTATCACAGGCACGGGCCCTGAGGAAGCCGTGGGGGCTGCGGAACTCTGGGAAGACGTGTCGGACAAAGAAATATTCGACCTGGTCCGCAATTGGACTCTTCTTTCCAAGAATGACGGAGGCCAAAGAACCGATCATACGAAGAGCGCCTTCTTTCTCCCTTGGCAGTTTTTGATCTTCCGGAGCAGCCTCGTACTTGCTAACAATGCCGTTAACGAAAGTGAGAATGGAAAAGGTTTGCTTCTTGCGGTTCTTAGTGAGAGCAATCAAGAAGTTTGTGGCGGCAACGTCCGGTGCAGAGACCTCCTCGTAGTAGTTCAACTTTCGGTGAAGATACTCGGATGGGTCAGTCTCGAACAATTCGATATCCTCATCGGTTTGACATAAGATGGGGAAGATGAAATGAGCAACGAGGTTATCCATGTGCGGCTTGAGGTGATCCCACATCGCCTTGGGCTTAACACATTCCTCGAAGAAAATCAAGGTATAAGAAAGCGCTGGGTTGCTGAGCCATTGGCCCTTCGACACCCACTTGTCGATCTCCTGCAGGTATCCCTTGAGAATCTCCGGGGCGAAGGTGCCGATGAAAGCCTTGGCATATGGGGTATAGTCGGGGTTGCTTGACTTAGACATGGTTGTGGGGTTTCCGTATCTGCAGAGCCCGAGTCAGACCAATTCACTGCGCGGGTATAATAAAAGACTACGCACCTAATAAACAGACGGTTCAGGTTGGCGTAGGCCCATTTCTTGCACTTCCACCAATGGTTGAGCTCCCGCTCCTCCTTCGATTCCATCATAGAGTTGGCAGGAGGTACCTTGGCGATAATGCGGAGGAAGAGCGTGCACCAGTCGACTGTTGATTGGTGTGTTTGCAGATGCGGGGAAAGCTCAAACTAATGCTCTGTCAGTTTCCAACTACGCTCGATGTATCATCCATCCGTGCACTGCATCTAGGATAACCCACGTAAATAGCATGCTTGTACGATTTTACCACGATACGAAGCATTTCCGCAGCCTCCAAGCTTTCTTCATCCACAAGCTTCGATCCGATGCTGAGCAGCTGGGGGAAAGAGTGTTCGATAATCTTGTCAAACTCCTCGCGCTTGTCTCCAGCCTTGAATCGGTACACGCGGCAGATGGCTAACAGACACTGCAGGCCTGCATAAACTGAGTTGGCGTCATGTGTACCCAATAGTTGGAGGGTGATATCCAGGAACCCAGGCCACTTCTCGGGGAAGTCATGCTGGAGGATCTTCTGGAGAAGAGGGACAAGCTGAGCGCGAACATTTGGGGGTGTCGATGCCAGGGCAGGAATGAGCCTCTCCCGGAAACTTGGTTTTTCCTCCTCAGGAATCGGTGTGCGCAAAGAAGACTCTTCGACAGGAGACCATCCACGGTTGATTCGGTTTTTCAGGTAGACACCGGCTAGGAGGTGGCGGGGAGGATGTTAGAAAAAGGTACGCCCATCGAAGAGTTGGAAGGGTAATGCGCATTCAAGGGATCAAGCAGTTCTGTCATGTAGAGGGAACAAAGGGAAGGGGGGAAAAAAAAAGAAAGGTTCCAGCAGCAACCTACCCGAAAGTTGAACGGCATTATCCTGCTCCCCCTGCAAAATATCCAGCAGAGCATTTACAAAACCTGGCTGCGTCTCGGCCTATAAAATCCAAGAAGAAACGAATCCGTAAGCAACGAGCAACCCCCCCGCAAATTGACCTCAAGAGTCAGAGACATACATATTTTAGGTCCAATTCCGCCTGTCGTCGAGTATCCGAATTTGCGTCAAGTGTAGACTGGATGCGGTTCCGAAGTGCTGCAACATCCATCTCGGCACCAGCAATAACCCCCGGGTTGCAAAAATCAAACGTCAAAAAGGAATAGCCCCGTTACAGAGTGGTGAAAAAGGAGGAGTCAGGGATAGGGAGGGGGATGAACGAGACAAAGAGAGAGAGAGAGAGAGAATAAAAAGAAGGGGGATACCTATTGCCTCGATAGGAGTTGTGCAGACGAGGGCACTGGATTTGGGTTTGTTGGGTTTGGTTTTCTCTCGTGGATTTTCAGGCGGTGCTCCCCCCCCGCGTCTAGGGCAGCGAATCAGACCGCCTGCCGCCCCGCGCGGTAAGAGATTTTTTTCCTTTGATGGTTATAGAATTGATTTTTCTGACGTGATGTTGGGTAAAAATTATTGAGCAAGGTGATGTGAGTCTTGGGAATCCATATCAACTAAAATTTCATCCGTACGATACCTATGGCCGATCTAGTGTGGTGATGTTGAATTCTTGACTCTCGGGGCCTCAGGAATTCTTCTGGCAGAAAAAAAAAAAATTAAAAAAAAAAAATTCAAGACTAAAATCCTTAAAATTTAGTCCACGTGGTTCGCAATCTCCATACAATTCTTCTCTTCAAGGGCGCCCTGGGCTTACTAGTAGGCATTTGGTGGCGGTTCTATAGTACGTACTAGAAATGGTACTATTTACAGGGTAATTCTACAAACCAGGGTCCCTTTTTCTCCACAATCGTGATGGTGTTCTTAATCTAGTCTTCTTGGTCTAGTACAGTACCCTCACATATACAGGGATGCCGCAAATATCACATCCCGCTTGATCTTCTCCTGTGCCTCTTGCATCTTCGCATAGAGCGTTGGGTCCCCGACAAGCTTGGCCGCATTCTTCACTTCGCGGCATGTCTCATCTAATCGTGAAATCGTTCGCACGATCGTGCCTTCCATCACATCAGTAAGATCAGTAATCCGGTTGAACGACATCCCTTTGGCCCATTCGTAGACCACCTCTGCCAACCCGAATCGGGGTTGGCTGACGAAGTCATTGGTGTCTTCACTGGACTGAATAACCTGGTGCTGGATCTGGAAATCATTCACCTTATCGGATATCCTGACAATGGCTGCCTTACCCTTTTCCAAGCGGGGGGTCAACGTGGGGACATTCTCCGTTTTTTCTTGGAACACAAACGCAGATAAGAGCGCGACTATCTCTTCTGGTTCATATTCGGCCAAAACATTCTCAAGGATGAGTTCTGTCAAGACGAGCTCGTCGGCAGAATGAATCTAAAAAGAAAAAGGAGGGGGGAAACATTAATGATTGTCTAGGATGGCATAGCTTTGTTTTGAGATTAGGATGACACTTACTTCGCAAGCCACCTTCCCCTTAAGTTGCACACGAGACTGCTCATCCACAAACCCTAGATCCTTCAATACCTGGATGCGCTGTTCGTAGTCCGGAAGAAGCTGGAGATTCTGGTCTGACATGAGCTGCTTCAGCTGGGAAATGTTCTCTTTAATCTGCCATTCGTCATGTTGCATCTCGAACTATATATACCTGTAAGCAGAGGAACCGAAATTTAGTAAAAGAATGACACGCACGTGTTTCAAAAAGTTGGGGCATTGCAAACTCTGGCAAGATTGGGCAATCGTCGCCTGTGCTTGCCGTTTGTCCAGGATGTCTCGAACTTGAAGCTCTTTAATTCGAGCCCAGTCCATTTCATCCCAGGTTGATGTTGTCCATGAGCTGCACAACCCGGACAGTTCCTTGTCCGCAAACTTGATCGCCTCTGTATACGACGTTAGTTTTGCTTATTTCCTACAAATATTGATCAATTCACCTTTCTTGATGCTGAGATACCATGGCGGTCCACTCAACTTCACCATAGTATTGGTAACGCATTCAATATCCACGATCGGGACCTTAAACACTTTGAGCGTCATATCTGCAGAACGGCCTGGTAGGGACTGGAAAAACTGCCGGAAAGCAGGCAGGAAAGGAAGAATGTCGCTGGGATGGCGTTTGCTGCCCAGTTTGCCGACCTCGAGGATTTGTATGACCGGATTAGGACCACCTCCAACTTCTCGAATTATGACCCCTGCTGTTCGAAATCCATCCTATACGGTGATTAGGCCATTTCAAACAAATAAAACAGAAACACGGGCAAAATACCTTGCGATATACAACCAACCGCTTGGGCATAAAGAGACGCTTTCCAATAGGAGAAGAGAGTAACCCGACGTGCAGCTCACTTGTCAATTTCTCATACTCGATCGCGGCATCATGACAAGCCGCTAGATCAATGTCACAAATTTCGCAGGGCTCTCGCCTAATCTTTTCCAAGCTAGCTTCCGAAAGCTGCACCTGTTTTTCATGCTCTGGAAGCAAAGCTTGTGTAGCATTCTCACTAAAACTCCTCTTAATCATCTCTTCGATTTTCAAGGCTTCCACCCGCAGCAAATTCAGAATCATGTTGTAAGTGAGCCTAAACTGGGACCGGAGTTTTGTCGGGTCACCAAGAATCATCTTCCTCAGTCCACCGGCAGGAGGTGCCTCATCCTTGCCAGTGCTGACAATTATCACATATCCAACAGTATCCAGACCTCTTCGTCCCGCGCGACCCGCCATTTGGGTATATTCGCCTGGCAGAAGATCTCTGAAATTTTTTCCGTCATGTTTGCGGAACCCTGAGAAAACCACTGTACGAGTAGGCAAGTTCAGACCCATGGCGAAAGTTTCTGTGGCAAAAAGAACCTTGACCAACGTTTTCGCGAACAAAATCTCGACAATCTCCTTCATGATAGGTAGCAAACCACCGTGATGGACCGCAATACCCCGGCCCAACAGCTCGCGTAGTCGTAAAATTTGCGGCAATGCCCTATCTTCTGGCTTAAGTCGAGTAAGAGACTTTTCAATGGTCATGTGAATAAGACTCTTCTCTGAAGCATTGCAAAAGTCCTGGTTTGACAGAGAATCGGCATTCTGTTCACATCTCTTTTTAGAGAAAACGAATATACAGGCAGGCAGTAGATTCTCCTTGCGAAGATGTTGGACCACTTGTACCCAAACAGTCTTGTCTTGTTGTGCACTTGTTCTTCCTCCGCCTCTTCCAGTTCGAGCAATGTTTCCTGTGCCTCTATTCGATGGCTGCCCTCTTCCTCCTCGTTGCGCTCCACCTCGTTGGGCATTTCCTCGAGCCCCACCTCTTGCAGGAGTTTGTCCACGTCCTCGGCCCTGGGGGCCGCCTCTACTGGCCTGGGACTGAGCCTGGGCTTCGGCTGCCTTTTGAGCTTTAATCTTATCCTTGCCAGAAATAATATCATCGGCCTCTTTCCAGCCTTGCTCGATGAATCGTTTGTTCGAGTCGACAATCTTGTATTTCCCTTTCCCGGCCCAGAGATAGTGCTCAAGAGGAACAGGTCTTTTAGCTGTTGAGATAACGTAAATATCTTTCTTCTTTGTACGGCCAACCCAAGAGGCGAATTCGTAAGTGTTAGGAACGGTAGCAGATAGGAGGATCAAAGTGACATGCTCAGGAAGCATAATGATAACCTCTTCCCACACAACACCTCTCTCAAGATCATTCACATAGTGCACTTCATCAAAAATGACGAACTCCACATCTCTAATCAAGTCTGCACCTCGATACAGCATACTCCGTAGAATTTCGGTGGTCATGATCAAACAGCTGGCTTCGGGGTTGATCTGGACATCACCGGTCAAAATGCCAACATCGTCGAAAGTATTCTTGAAATCCCGGAATTTCTGGTTGCTCAGAGCTTTAATTGGAGACGTGTAAATCGCCTTTGTCATATGCTTAGCAGCCAATGCAATAGCATATTCTGCGACGACTGTTTTTCCCGCTGATGTATGTGCCGCCACGAACACCGAGTCGCCATTCTCGAGATGATAGACGGCCTCCTTCTGGAAAGTGTCGAGTTCAAAAGGCCACTCACGAGCCATATCCGGGACAAGGTCATGGAAATTCTGGATTTCCTTATTGACATCCACAACGTGAGCCCATTCCCTCCCGCCTTTCCTTTGCACGCTAGAAAAGAGAGGGGCACGTGGTTCCAGAGAAGGAAACTCAAGCGGCAATAGAGAATCGATATCCTCCTCTCCTTCTTCCTCGCTGCTGGATTCACCTTCATCCCCTATTTTAACACCCCCTTCCACATCAGACGCGCCCTCATCCTGCTCCGTCTCGATATTGCTTTCCTCCTGCTGGAGGGTATTTTCGACCTCTTCGTCGTCTTCTGCATCTTCCTTGGATTTCGCTTCTTCGAATTTAAGTCCACGAGAAAACCCAGGAGCAATCTCTAACAGGCCACCCTCAGCTCCGAAGTTAATAATCCGGTCTAAACCAGCCTGCTTGCCAGTAGCCCGGGTAGCCTCTGCCGTCTGCACCCCTGACTCCATTTCCGCAATTGCTTCGACGCCCTCCAAGCCCCCTGGAGCAAAGGGGAAAAATCCAGCAGCGCCTCTTACGAAATCAGCACGACCAGCGGGTCGGCGGAGCAGAGACGATGAATTCTTAGCATTCGCGCTATTCGCAGGGACAGTTACTTCATGGTACCCTGTGACGCGTCCTTCAAGACCTTCACGATCAAAACGAACGATCGTTCGTGTTTGAGTTCCTGCAACCTCGAACAGGTCAGAGTAATCCGTTGATACATCCCATCTCCTATGTCCAGTTAGCCACATCAGTACATAGACCCAACACACAGAGCTCTAACAAAGAGGGGGGGAATTGCCGGCACAAAATCCCAAGAAAACAAAAAAGTAATTGTCAAACCTACTTCTGCAACCGATTCAACCACTCTGGACTAAACCGAGGTGAGGGCGTCAAGAATTCACTCTCCAGCTCCTCTTTCAGCTCTGCTGCATTTTGGTGGGTTTTCCGTCTAGATTCACAACGCCTATATGTGCTGTTTTCCTCCTCAACCAGACGTGCATCAAAGGCCTTCCCGCTAACACCCTGCGAGTTCAAGTTGAGCTCGGCCAGCGTAGACGTGAGACTCTCCATCACAACGTACAAAAACACAAATCGCTGGTGCTGGTGCTGGTGCTGGTGCTGGTGCTGGTGCTGGTTCTTTTCTTTTGTAGTTTCTCTCTCCTCTCTTTATATATCTGGTTCCAAGTCTTTGTGGCACTAGCCTCCAGGGCCGTCGAAATCAAACGAGTCAAGTTGGTGGGCTCTCTTACAAAAAAACGCACAGCCAAATGTAGCGATCTTAGTCAGTAACAGTAAGTCGGTGACTGTATCCAAATTATAAACAGAGAAGCATTCATTCAGAGGGGTTTTAATAAGAGTGAATGCTGCCCCATGATCTGTTCAATGGAGCGTCGACGTTTAGCGGGGGAGAGAGCACACACAGGACTTTCCGCCGACGTCGAGCTGGTGCTGGTGCTGCTGGTGTGGGGACAAAATCCATTCATCTCAATTGTCCGCTCCGACGGAAGGACCAAACTACCGGAGTAGCTGCGTACCTAGGACTCTCTCCACTTTTTCCATATGAAAACTTAAGATGTCTTTAATTGTCAAGAATTTTTCGCATCTTAAGCTCAAACATGATTGCTTGATAACGTGGAAAAGGTTACTCCAGAGCCGATTTATCTCTACTGGGGAAAGTCCCGCGCCAGCAGACACGCTGTTAAGCACTTTTATTTCACGAACGACAAGGCACATAGAAATCGATAGTCCTGCCAGTGCTCAAGGAAGGAGGAAGAAAATTGCCAGAACGCCAGAGATGAATGCAACGGGACAAATGAAGCCTATGTACAGCAATCTTTGCAAGAGAAATCCACAATGCACCATCAAATGAGCGGGTGAGACAAGAAGGCGAAGGGAAAGCCAGACAGGACGCCGCATCAAAAGAAAAAAAAAATAAATATAAACATGAGAAATAATGAATATAAGTCCTCTTGCATGTCCAATATTCATCCCAGGCTACCAACAGATAACCCTCGTTTCCGTAGCTTCGAGGATATCACGCGCTCCAATCGAGCCCCGAAAAAAGATATTAAGGCAAACTATAGTCATAAATGTTTCAATACGTTCGAGATGCACGACCTGGTAGATCGAAGATCAACTTGGAATGTGTTGTAGTTAATTAGGATTTATCGATAATTGACCCCCGGAAATGTCTTTCGGTCTCGAATGTCAAGTTGATATTCAAAGATACCATCCACGGTTGCAACGTATCTGCAACCATAATTGTCAGCTTATTCCACGCCAGTCCAAAGTAAGATACTTACAATGTCCTCCCATCCGCACCCCAGCCAAGTCCAGCTGTGCTACTTGGGTCTTGGTCCCGATGTCCGACTCCAAAGCTGCGGTCCGGTAACTCATTAAGCGCAGTTCGGATCCATCGAGGGGAGCGTGTATGATCAAAGCCCAGTGATTGCTGGCGATATCGTTGTTCCCGCTGGTTATTTCGGTTGTGTGCATCATTTATGATCTGTCGTTGTCGCCGCAGGCGTTCGACAGCCAAGATATTAGCTCTCAGCTCTGAATTCAAACGAGGCTGATCATGAGACGTATCTAAGCCACCATCTTGCCTCTCAGTTCGTCTATGAGAAGAACGGGATCGCTGGTGATTTCTTGGTCGTGGTAGCAAATCCGAAGCGGCGTTCGAATAATAGAAACTTGCCGAAGGACGTGACACAGTCCCACGAGGTCGACTTGTGGTGCCACTTTCGTTACTAGAACTACTTTGGTCACTTGAACTTGAGTCTGCGGCGTGAGAAGGATTATCTAAGGTGGCGGATTGCAACTCCGCCGGCGAAGTGGTCCAACTAAGTGTAATACTGGGTTGCGGATCAGGAGTCGAATTGCCGGCATCTGGAGTTCGATTTCTCGCCTCATGATTGCTCTGCGACAGTATGACAGGTGGTGGTGACGTAGGACGAGAAGCTCGATTAGATCCGTCTGTGGAACCCTGAAGTCTTGGGCGAGGAATGGGGTGTGAACGTGAATTAACATTAGTTCTGTTGCGTCGGTCTGTCAAACCGTCTTCTAGTCTCGACGTCCACCGAGCTGTGTTCAAAAACTCCACTATTAACCTCTCCCTTTCCGTCAGATCCTGTATTAAACTCTCACGTAATGGGGAGGTTTCAGATCCTTCTCCAGTCCGGTCACCTGAAGAACCCTCGACAGAGTCAAGAATAGTCCGTGCATCCAGGTCATGCCGCAATTCAGATGAGATTTGGCCATCGAGGTCGAATCCTAAGACAGTAGACTCATCGATCAATGCTTCTGTAGCAACTTCTTCCATTCCAGATTCGGTCATGTCCAATTGAAGAATTTGCCTGCGAACGAAGGCCCGACGGACATCGGCAACACCAGCTCGTCCTTTGTCCTCAAGCCATACAAGGAGGTCCCAAGGCTCGGGTGCAAAAGCCATGCAGCGCACAGCACCACCATTGCAACAAGACCGAGAGGAATTGAAATAGCAGATTATCGAAGCCTTTCCGTGTGGCTCTCGAACGAGATCCCGGATTGTTCTGACATCGAATACTGTGATGACCCCTGATTGCGATCCAACAGCGCATAAACGACTGAATTGCGAGAATGCGATGGTGAAGCAACATTTGTCATCGACCCTTGAACCGATATCCATTTCAATACTGCGCAGAAGGTCCCATTTCCACTCGCAGAGCTTCTCACCAGTTTCGGTCAGGACAACAGAATTGGGGTTGCGGGTAACGTCATAAAAATAGGCGTGGGTTTCATCACCAACAGCAGCGAGTATGCTTGAGTCCGGTGAGATGATCGCAAAGTTCATACATGCCGAGTGGTGAAGAACTTTCAATGTTTTCGACTGTGTGAGCGAGTAGATGGTCACGGATTTATCATTGTTGCTGTATCAATGATTAGCATACTAAAAAGGAAAGCTAGGAGAAATTCCGAAATACCTAAGAATTGCGACAATTTCATCCGCCAGCACCTTGTCATCGCCAGGTAAACGGTGAATTGTCACTGAATTAACAATGCTACCCCCAAACTTATGTAGCTGTACCTCTGGCAGTTGATTTCTACCAGAACCCAAAGTTGTGTCCCCCGTCTCGACCGATGCCTGAGATAAAGACCTCGTCGAGGTCTCTAGATCAATTGGCAAAGCGCTGTCCACGTCCGCTCCCTGCGCATCCGAGCTACTGCCCGAGGTCCGCACGCCGCTACGGTCGGGGAGCCTCACAAAGGCGCACTCACCATTGTCGGACCCCCCGATCCCAATCCAGCCATACCCGGCCGCCAAACACTTCGGTTCAAATGTGATATGAGCAACCGTTTCTCTCTTTTGCGACGAGATATGGATTGAATACACGACTCGATCGACGACGACGTAAATTCTATCGGGATCGGCGGTACTAATATAATGGCGAAGTTGTTGGTGGCTCCAAAGCCGTTAGCTTGAGTGTCAATCTAACAAGGAATCAGACGTTTCGAGGATAATAGTACGAACAAGTTTGGTATTTTAAGGGGGAAGAATCGGCGCTTTGTGGGGAGAATGAGTGACTCCGTGGGGTGATACCTTGGGTGGGCAAAGCATCGTTAGCACAGAGGGAACAACGCGCCATCAGCGAAACTATAGGCAGAACAAACTCACGATAGCGCAGAATCCGTAGTCATGATGATGAAGACTTCAAGACCACGGTGACATTGTTTGATATGCAGCTGGAAACAGGCGCTGCTGGTGTGGGAAGGATGAACAGCAAAGCAGAAGCAAAGAGTCGATAACGATGACGGCAAGACCCAGAAAGGCTAAGGCTGGCGATAGCCTAGTACTTCTGGTACACTACCAGGCTACCTAGTACCTACTGTACTTAGTTCGCGTGGTGCGTCTCTAAAGGACGGAGCTTTGATTGCTTTGGGTTATTACCCAGCTAGACCTTTCGACAACTATTCTTGAGTTAGTCCATCCACTTGGAGTTGAGATTCCCAGCCGTTGCTTGGTTTTTAGCTTTTGACAGTAAATGAAGAAAAACGGAAGAACAAAAAAAGAGCAAAAGAAAAGGAAGAGTACAGCCCATATCGAATGTTACAAGTCGGAGGTCGAACGGATGACGTAAGACATGCTGTTCGATCCGGGGAACTCCAGCGGCGAATGCGGTCAAGTGGCTGTTCGAGTCCAGCCCAAAATAAACATCATCGATGCATCCAGTCGTCTTTTGTCGGCTCACTGAGCAACTGGTGTTCGCTTTGGGGTTTTCTGCTCGCGGTACTTCATTGCTCCCACTCTACGACCGCATGGATGGGCCTGAGCCGGAATTTGCCCTTTTGCATTATCTCCTGAGGGTGGTCAAGTTTGTAACCCTGTGGACATAATTGCTTTTTATCCTTGCCAGTTGCTCACTCAGGGAGCTAATAGTTGGCATGAATAGTTAGATATTTAGAGCATGGAATCCACCACTGAGGAGTTCCTTAGTACAACTACTTCAATTCCTCCCTAGGCGCGGAGTATTTATCTAGATATCTTTGCGATCAAATTCGAAACGGAAACCTCTCCAATCCGCGAGAAATCAATCCGGCGTGCTTGCGTCCACCAGGCTGCCCTTACGGCTTAAATGCAAGGCACTTCAAAGAGTGCTGTACAGGTATATCCAGGGCCAAATGACGGTTCATCAACCCAGGTTGCATATAAAATATTTGGTTCGCTGAATATGGCAGCATCTCCAGAACCTAGTTTGGCGTCTTGTGTATCGGCTAGGGTGGCTACAGGACATATATATACATATGTATGTACTACGATCACCTATGTATCTATATATCAACCTTTCTATTACCAAAGGGTTCTTAGGAATAGTTCGAGGTCCGAACACGAGTCACGTGTACCTGTCTTGGTCGCAACTCGTAACTGAAAGGAGCTGCAAATAAATTGAGAGCACTCCAATGGGTCCAAAAATTCTATTGAAAGAGAACCGACTTGATTCTTAGTGTAGTGCCGTGGTGTCTAATGAACTCGACACTGTAAACCTCCTTCCTTGTTCTGAGGACTATAGACTCAATATATATCGTGACCTAGAGGAGGAAGAATACTCAACTAGTAGCGGTATTAGGAGGCAGAACAGTACAAGAAATATACAGTCAATTAAAAGCTACGAGCTTCCTGAAATACAAAACAATAATTTCCTTTCCTGAAAAGCCCAATATCGTATCTACTTAGTCTATAGGTACATCTCGCGGGAAAGCCTTGGTCGGTGTAGACAAAGAGACATAGTTTAGTCATCCAATGACTTTGAAGGTCACGAGACTAAAGATGTGGCGGTATCGGCGACAGCTCGGCAAAAAGACAATACAATACGTAGGTACTGTAAGTAGGAGGTATCTATCTTTTCTTTCTGAAAAAGACATTAAAAAGAAACCCAGAACTCGAGAAGAATGAAGATAACTACGCTTTAGAAATAAAGAAAAAGGGTAGACGCGCCTTCTCGGCTACATCTAGCGGTCAAAAGGCAGCTCTCCCCGGAATGGACAAGGAAACCCAGCGGTGATTCTACCAACTTCGATGACGGGCCGAAGCTCTCCGCGTTAATTTCCACTAGTCCTCTTTACGACGACTTTTCCGTCTCCCTTCCTTAAGTTTCTTCCTTCGCAGAAAAGAGTTAAAAAATTTCTTGCTTCCTCAACTCTTCTTGACCATTTCATCTCTCTCTCTCTCTCTCTCTCTCTCTCCCTCCATCCTATACCCTCCTTCATCTCCATCCCCCTCTCCCTTCGATTGAATCGACTGGAGTCTGTTCTATAATTTTTTAATTCCTGTATTATTTTATTCCTCTTTTTTCTTTAATCCCATCACAATGTTGTCATCCCGTCTCTCCCGCGCGGTAGGTCCTATCTCCCCTTGTCTACAGCTTCTGTCTCCCGAATCCGATCGCTGACTTGCTTTCTTTGCAATAACAGCTCCCGCGCGCTGCTCCTCTCGCTCGTGCTCCCGCTTTCAGAGTCCCTGGCGCTGCTTTCCGGAGATGGAACTCGACCGAGGGTGAGGAGAAGGTGAAGGGCCAGGTCATTGGTATTGATCTGGGTAAGTAATTTGCAACAAAAATTCAATCATAATTCATATTCTAACCGGTAATTCCAGGTACTACCAACTCCGCTGTTGCCGTCATGGAGGGCAAGACCCCTAAGATCATTGAGAACGCCGAAGGTCAGTATCCAATAAAAGAAAAAAAAACTTTTCCATTAGCTTTCAGGAGACCTTGGCTTTGTGTAAAGCTACTGAAATCCATGAGAAAGCGTCCAATTCCCGAGCTCTTTAACTGACTTGGTTTAATAAAAGGTGCCCGCACAACACCCTCTGTGGTCGCTTTTGCTCAGGATGGCGAGCGCCTGGTCGGTATCGCTGCCAAGCGTCAGGCCGTTGTCAACCCCGAGAACACTCTCTTCGCTACCAAGCGTCTCATTGGTCGCAAGTTCACCGACGCCGAGGTTCAGCGTGATATCAAGGAGGTCCCTTACAAGATCGTCCAGCACTCCAACGGCGACGCCTGGGTTGAGGCTCGCGATCAGAAGTACTCTCCTTCTCAGATCGGTGGTTTCGTTCTCAACAAGATGAAGGAGACTGCCGAGAACTACCTTGGCAAGCCCGTGAAGAACGCTGTTGTTACCGTCCCCGCCTACTTCAACGACTCCCAGCGTCAGGCCACTAAGGATGCTGGTCAGATCGCTGGTCTTAACGTTCTCCGTGTGGTTAACGAGCCCACTGCTGCCGCTCTTGCCTACGGTTTGGAGAAGGAGGCTGATCGTGTTGTCGCTGTTTACGATCTTGGTGGTGGTACCTTCGATATCTCCGTCCTCGAGATCCAGAAGGGTGTCTTCGAGGTCAAGTCTACCAACGGTGACACCCACCTTGGTGGTGAGGACTTTGATATTAGCATTGTTCGTCACATTGTCCAGCAGTTCAAGACTGAGTCTGGTCTTGACCTCTCCAACGACCGCATGGCTATCCAGCGTATTCGTGAAGCTGCTGAGAAGGCAAAGATTGAGCTTTCCTCCTCTCTGCAGACCGAGATCAACCTTCCCTTCATCACTGCTGATGCCAGTGGTGCTAAGCACATCAACCTCAAGATGACTCGTTCCAACCTCGAGTCTCTCGTGGATCCTCTCATTAAGCGTACCATTGAGCCCGTCCGCAAGGCCCTCAAGGATGCCAACCTTCAGTCCAGCGAGATCCAGGACATCATCCTTGTTGGTGGTATGACCCGTATGCCCAAGGTCACTGAGTCTGTCAAGTCCATGTTTGGCCGTGAGCCCGCCAAGTCCGTTAACCCTGATGAGGCTGTTGCCATCGGTGCAGCTATCCAGGGTGCTGTCCTTGCTGGTGAGGTTACTGACGTTCTCCTCCTTGACGTTACCCCTCTGTCCCTCGGTATCGAGACCCTTGGCGGTGTCTTCACCCGTTTGATCAACCGCAACACCACCATCCCTACCAAGAAGTCCCAGACCTTCTCCACCGCCGCTGATTTCCAGACTGCCGTCGAGATCAAGGTCTTCCAGGGCGAGCGTGAGCTCGTCAAGGACAACAAGCTGCTTGGAAACTTCCAGCTTGTTGGCATTCCTCCTGCCCACCGTGGTGTTCCTCAGGTTGAGGTCACCTTTGACATTGATGCTGACTCCATCGTCCACGTCCATGCCAAGGACAAGTCCACCAACAAGGACCAGTCCATCACCATTGCCTCTGGCTCCGGTCTCTCCGATTCCGAGATCCAGTCCATGGTTGAGGATGCTGAGAAGTACGGTGCTCAGGATAAGGAGCGTAAGGCTTCTATTGAGGCTGCCAACCGTGCCGACAGTGTCCTGAACGATACTGAGAAGGCCCTCAAGGAGTTCGAGGACCGCCTTGACAAGGCTGAGGCTGAGCAGATTCGTGAGAAGATTGCTAGCCTCCGTGAGGTTGTTGTCAAGAACCAGTCTGGTGAGGTCACCTCATCCGCCGAGGAGCTTAAGCAGAAGACCGATGAGCTCCAGACCGCTAGCTTGACCCTCTTTGACAAGATGCACAAGGCTCAGTCTGAGCAGCCCCAGCAGCCCCAGGGCGAGAACAAGGCTTAAGTGTACCACCATTGAAAGTTCATTATAATAGTGGACGATCACCTGTATTTTTTCTACCATCCCCCCCCTTTCTTCTTAGAGATGTTTCCCCTTTCACCTCTACTGTTTTAACATGCATTCCGTGTATACATACTGATAGCTTTGTTTGAGATGCCCTTGTCTTTGGTGTATGGGTGTTTTTTTTTTTCATGTTGTGCGTCCTTGATATTTTTTTCTTTTCTTTTTTCCTCAAATCCCCGGTTAGCTGCTTCATACCCATTTGATCGGGCAAGCATACTTGAAATTCTTGGAAGGGTTTGTGGGGTTGCCTACAATTTGTAACTTAATGACATTTACGGCTTTGGGACCACAAAAACAAAAAGGATGTGGTGGGCTTGGAGCATGTGTGATATAGAATAGGAAAATTCTCCTCTCGATTCAACAAACTTTCCATATAGTGGTGTTTTACTTTGAAACTGGTGGACGTGTAATGAAGCATCCCAAATGCAAGTAGGGAGCAATGAGTGGGTCAGGGGCCACAAACTCGATTACAACGATCCCATTTTCTGTTCAATTCTCTTGTTTGATCCTCCTGGCTAATTATGGAGAAGTGACTCGTTGATGGATTTTTCGCGAGGCAAAAGTACTGAGAAAGAGAGACAGACAGAGACAAGAAAGAGAATGACAACCTTCCCTTCACCCCGGTGCCTCCAAAAAGTCCAAAACAAACCCTCGCGCTCTTCTTCTTCTTTTATTGCTAAACACTGCCCCCGCAGTACATGTACATGCAAGATGGACTTTGACCATCTCGCAAAAGAGCTGTCAGATCGAATTTTTCAGGTGTGGATACACAATCTCCCCAGAAATTCACTAGAGGATTTGGCAGGCAAGCTTGCTTCCTGCCATTATCCTGGTACGCCTGTAACAGCCTCGCGGCTTTTTCAATGGTGCTTTTAATATTTGCTGTTGAGTTACTTACGAAAATGGTCATCATGTCCTGGTTCACTTTACAGCTCTGAGTCGGGTTGTTGCTCGCTATGAAAAGGTTGAGGACGAGGTCGCAATAATGAGCTATGTTGCTCAGCGCACAACGATGCAATTTCAAACGAAGCCGACTGTCGGAAGAAATACATTGCGCGAGATACCAAGAGAACAATTGCAGTGGGCCTTTCCGGCTGTATTGCGATGACCTTCACCCTGACAAATGTCCTCATTGATGCATCAACGCTTGTTGTCACTGGGGTGGTTGATTAGGAGTTTACTTACGCCGCTCCTGTTGAATTTACACATGCTGCTTGGTGGCTCTTACTGGAGCGTCCCGAGGACTGGGAGCCCGATCTCGATCAATTTTAGTTCGTTTCATGCGGAGGTTTCGCACTTTTCTTGAAGCACTTCAAGATTGTGAGGTAAAAAAGTCAAAGATGGATCCTTGCCACAATCCCAGCGTCTATCAATTGCTATGGAGAACTCAATAGAGACTGGACTATTTTGGATTTGCCTTACTTCAAGACACAGCGCTCTGTTTGATGAGATCTACTGGAGCTTCATTGATCCAAAGTTTTTTTCGGTCATTTACAACGATTGAGGACCAACTATGTCTGCTAAGCGCAGAACAGCACCTGAACATCGAAACCTCTATTGAGAAGAAAATGCACCAGGCAAGTAAGGGCAATTCGGTTTCTCATTACAGCATGATGTCTTGACCTGGTCACGTGTTGCCTGTGCCAATTCATGATCCCTATCGCTCTCGCAACGCTACGGCCACTACCTATTCTCCCTTCACAACACCTGCATCATCATCATCATCATCACTCGATTTGCGCAGCAGAGCAGCATCCGATTTGATGTCCGTGATCGAGTGCCACCTGTTTTCGGATGGTAGGTAGTCATGATCAAAGACAGTTCATGAAATATGTACTGATCCCAATCCACGCGTCTTTGGTGCTACATTCACAGTATAAAACCAAGCCCGAAACAACACCGCCGCTCAACCTCTAAAGCCCCAAAGTTATCATACGACCACTGCCCCACGGGTATGGACTTGGGTTCTTATCAGACCGGTAAGCACGCCAATTTGAGCACTATCTAGCATATCGCTCATCCGTATCAGATTAGAATTCTAAGGATGAATTCTTCAAATTCACGCGCGGCCGCTTTGTTGTAGATGAGGTAGAGAATCTTCGAAAGCGAGAGATCAGATTCGACTTGAATACTCGGTCGGAGCCGCTCGATGCATCGCTATCAAGAAGTATCCTGACGGCATGTTCAACAAAGCGTTCCTCATGTCTATGGATGATGGCTGAGAAGTTATAGCGATGGTGCCGTGGCAGGAACCGAGGGTGTGCGCACTGAAGACAATCTTTAATACGGTTAGCCTTTCATCGAAATAAATGGCTTTGTGATCTGAGCCAGTCAGCACTGAAATAGCACTGAAATAGCGTATTTAGAGTTGTGTTGGATTGAAAGTAAAAAGAAAATTATGATCTGGATTTCTCAATATAGTGATAGATTCCTTGCATACGCTATTATTGATGGAAAGAAAAGTGATTGATCAGTCTTGCAATGGAATGTATGGAGTAGAGAGAGACGCGATATGCACAAGGGTTCTAAAAATAAGAGAATCCTCTACCAAATAATTGAGTTGAGAGTGTTTGTCACTAGTGCGACAGTAGTGGATTTTTCTAGTTAGGGGGTCCAACATCCCAACTTCATCCGACGAATATTCCTGAATCCTGCATCTATCTATGGCTGTCTGACTAGCTTGACTAGCTCGTTGTTTTAATGGGGTTTCTCTCTCTTTTGTGATCTTTTCAATCCATGAAATCCCTGGCTTAGCCATTCTCTCTTGCTTCGTCTCCTCTTAGTCTCCTGCGCCAATGTTTCCTCGTTGATATTCTATTGGATTCTTCTGATTGTGATTATTATTATTTTGCAAAAAACGGGCAAGGTGCAGCGCGCTAGTAGTGTGGTTTTTTTTTTTTTTTATTTTTTTTTATTTTTTTTTCTTTACTGCATTGACATCCCAGTGTACTTTTTTCTTCTGCAGTTTCTCTCCAGGTAATAGGTATGTACAATCCATCGCCCTCCTCTTCTCTTCACCTCTCTCGCTTGCTCTCTCTCTCTCTCTCTCTCTCTCTCTCTCGCTCTCTCTCTCTCTCTCTCTCTCTCTCTCTCGCTCTCTCGCTCTCTCCCCCCCCTCTCCCTCTTGACAGATATCACCCCTGCTTCGGGGACTAGCGCTGCATTTCTCTTCTTATCGCACTTTCGTTGCTCTACATCTGATTTGCTCTTCACCCTCTTCTTTCTGCTCGAACGCTCCCTTCGCTCTCCTTCTCCTCTCCCTCGATTTCCTCGTGACCTTTTCATACATATATATCCATCCCTTGGGCTCCTCAAACCTTATCTGTCACTTTCGATTTACCCCGGATTGATCAGCACGACGTGCGATACATGTGCAGGTCCACAACAGAGGCAGAGCCAAAACCAACACCGCTAACTCTCTTCTAGCATCTATCTAGTGCTCCTTCAATATGACAGTTGCTGCACCGCCAGTGCCACCTGTGCACGAAAATGGTCTGAATGGCAGTGTTCCGGGCCACCATGTCAACATGAGCCTACCGCGTTTTCACCCAATCGCCATGAATCCCAACCAACCTGTACCTCCCGAGTCCATGATGCACGGCCATCATCACTTTCGTCCGTTCCCACCACCTCCTCCAATGCAGGAAACGGGCCCGCCAGGTCCCCCCAATGCGCATCCTCCTAGTATAGACCATATTGAGTCTCGTCTGAGACAATTGGAACATGAAGAAGCTGCCCGTATGGCGGCTCGTAGCCATCTGCTTGCGATCCGCAAGCGAGAGGACGAGGAATTTCGTAGGATGACGGAGAATGCCGAGGCGGAAGAAGAGGTATGCTCTAATTCGGGTGAACCCAACCTTCACACGATCGATCTTGTCCCTCTGACTAGTTTGTCCCCATCAGGAATTGCGTAGGCAACGAAAACGACTGAAGCGGGAGTCGATGGGTCTGGGGTTCAACGCGAACCTGGACTCTCCGCCTCTTCGTCCCACGCCCCCTCGTCGTCTGTCGGAAACCAATGCAGCGACTACACTTGCTTTCTTCAAGCAACAAAGCCCCCCCGAACCACCTCGCACCATCCCTCCTCCACAAGCTCCCGTGCCGCAACCCCATCCGCCCCCCCAACACATTCACCACGACCCCACGGGGGCGACTTCGATTCGGCGCAAGCAGAAGTATACCATCAAAAACGTGGAAGCCTGGGGCGAACGACATGGACGACCAGCCGCACACGATCCTTCCGGCCGAGCTCTGTGGAAGCGTCCATCGGACGGTAGTTTGGTTTATCTCACATGTCCAGTCTCCGGCTGTGGTAAAGCGGATTTTGTGACCCTTCACGGCTTCATGTGCCATCTAACAAAGAAGCACAAAGACCGCAGCTTGGGTAGCCAGTCGCGGGCCCTGGAAGTTTGTGGAGTGGTTTACGATCCGAATGCGCCTCTTCCTCCGGTACCAAATGTACACCGTGCTTCAACCGAGGAGAGTCGTTTGGAGTCCGCACCCACAGACCCTGACGGGTACCCACAGGATATGGAATATTCTTCGGGATCCGACGAAGACAGCGGCGACAATTCAGTCCCCGTAAAGAGCGAGTCCACCGACAGGACGTTAATTCCTCCCGCGTCGCTGCCGCCCTTAGAAGGACCGCCACCCGCACATCAAATAAACGGCTCTACGAAACAGTCCATTTCGTCCATTATCGACCGTGAGCCTGCAGATGAACCAAGAGAGCCTGCACGTTCCCTTCCTCCTCACGCAGCTGAGCCGGTCTCGAAGGCTTCCCCGGAGGAAAACGCCGTAACCCGGGATGTCGCCGAGATTCCGAGACCTCAAGGGCCCGAGAAGGCGGCGAGTGAACCGCAGGAACCTCCCGAGATGAAGTAAAACGAGTGACTATATTTGGAGAAACGTGTAGGTCATTGCATTGTCTTTGTTCTGCAGAACTTGCATAGTCTGAGCATGCTTGAGCTTTGCCTTTATTACCGCGAGGTTCTGTGTCCATCCCTCAATACCCTTTTGTTTATTCCAGGGTGGTCATCTGTACGTTCCTATCTATAATATATAATAATGTTTTGACACTACGGCCCGTTGCATATCATATCATATCATATCTTTTTTTTTTTTTTTGTGGCAATACCTCTGTGACTTATGAAGTGCTAGTACATAAATTGTCAATAATGCATCATCATCATCTGCACCTAAACCCCTATCCAGGACATTGTAATCATTGCTTCTGTTAAGAACGGATAAGAAAACAACTTACTTTAACTCAAGCCTCCACACACACACACACACACAAACAAAACTCCAGGTAGCCGTATAACTTAACAGCGCCTAGGCCAGAAATAGCATATACATAAATCAAAATCACGCTCCAACATCGCATCTCAAAAGCAAAACATGCACCAAATACCCCGTCCCCAACTTCAACTTCTCTCCCGCCACCTCATCCCTCACCCTCCACACCCGAAAATACCTCAGCGTCTCCTGCAGCCACGCCTCAAACACATCCGGAGACCGCTGCTGCTGCGCAATAACGCACACCGTTGGCGGGCGCCCGTCCGCCGCCGTCCCGGGGCGAGCATACCCCGGTCTCAGCCGGGAGATTTCCGCGCAGGTGCGGACAAAGGGAGCCACGAGGGCTTCGTTGTAGATACAGTCGCATGAGACGAGGAGGTCGAAGCCTGGGTCTTTTGCGTTGCCGTCTGCGGCGGCGGGAGTGGATTCAGCGCCGGCCACGCTGATGCTATCCTTGAGTGTTTCCGGGTGATCGAGTTCCCAATCCAACGATGTAAATGTGATGTTGTGGTGGTGGTGGTGGTGGTGGTGAAGGTGCGCGGGTGGCGCCCGTTGCTTCTTTGCTCGGGTGGATCTGGAAGACGAAGGCAGGGACTGGGATTGCGCTCGCGGGGGGTTGTTCTCGAGGTTCTCGCGGAATAGCCGGTGGACGTATTCTTGGTCTGTGGCTATGTAGTGCTGGATTTGCGGGGCGAGCGTGAGCGAGACGAGGCCTGAGATTCCGCAGCCGAGCTCGACGGCTGTGGATGATGCGGACAGAAGGGAATGGGTCCAGAGGGGGTTGGATTTGCGGGATGAGATCCATTCTGCGAAGAGGGGGGTGATTTTCCAGAGTACTGTGTGCTTGTGTGTTAGTTGGGGTTTCTTTTTTTTTTTTTTTTTTTTTTGAATTGTTTGGGGGGTTGTTTGGGGTTGTTGTCGGGTACAGAGAGGCTGCTGTACCTGCTCCGGTTGTTCCTCCTGCTCGTGACGATGAGAGAAGCGTAGGGGATTGGTGAATGGTATAGTCGTGGTCGTGGATGGTGAGGTCGACGGATGTGGCCTTGGAGTCGACGAAGCCTAGATTCGACGAGGGGATATCTTGAGAGAAGAGAAGGAAGGATTCTGGAGGTTGTTATGGTCATTCTCCATTAGGTACTTCAGTCAATCCTCGTATACTAGGTCTAGTATCTGCAAGTGTAGACATACCCTCTTCGGCGTCGTCCACCTCGTCACCAATGGATTTTAGGAACTCTGTGACGAGTTCCATTGCGTGGATTCTCCTGTAACACGTACCACTAACTGAGCTGGGAATCCTCAGTGTACTCGTAGGTAGGTAGGTACCTGGGAAGCTTCAAGTTGAGTCCATAACTGAGATTTCTGATTGGCTTCATTTCTGGGGAAGCTTAGTCATTGTCTACCTGGAGCTGCCTCGAGATGTTTAGGTGTTTAGGGAGTGATCTCTCGACAGTAGGTGCAGTAAATTGCTTGAATAGTCTTCTGTTGCCTCATTCTCTTTGCTGACTATGTTGCAAGCAATGAGCACCCCCTCCCAGATACGAGATCTAACTCTACTCCGTACTCTTAAGTGGTGACTGTGATCTCGAACAAACCTAGGCCTACCAGAGCCCAGTCTCTGCTAACTGCCTCTGTCTTAGTGCCCACTGTTTAAGACGATGGGGTTAAAATCCCAACAAAAGTGGACAGGAGCTTTCCTGGTGTTTTCGAGGCTTTGCTGCTACTTGAGATCGGCCTCGTCCTATCGGCGCTATACTAGGCAGTCAGTTTGGAGAATCAGATGTTCCTGGGTTGAACCGCGGCAACTGGGGATTCTAGGTAGACTCTAGAGTAATCATTAATAGACAAATTTCTATATTATATGATAATATATATATATATTAGAAAAAAAGAGTGAATTCTTACTACATATTCATACCTAGCTTCTGAACCGACCTCTTAAAGCCCAGACCGCTGGCCAATCCGGCCCATCCACGGTGACTTCATTCCGCTTCAAATGACCCATTCCTGATTTATTCTTCAGCACATCTTTCTCTCTCCCCAGACCTGTCAGACAGCTTCCTTCTAGCTCTTGGATCCTTTGGCTTACTATTTCCCCTCTTTCTCCTCCACCCCTTTTTAAGGAGCTGCCGGGTCTCCACTCCCCGCATTTTCCGCCTTGATCCTTTCAATCCCTTGTGCCTTTTTCTTCCTTCTTTCAACCTCTTGTCGGGTTTGTCCACTCTAGAGACTTGGGAGTGGCATTGCTTTGGACTGATCTCTGTACGTTGTCTCTATTGTCTCTCTCGCCAGCTTACTACCCTATATTCCTCGGGTCGGGTTTCCTCCCCGCTGCTGAATTTTCCACTCCATAAGCTAGCTCCTCGACTGACAGTGCCCCCCCCGTTAAGCTAGTTTCCACTTTCAGCTGTCTTCTCACTGCGTGTGTAACCGAACGACCCGGTGAACGCTATTTCAACATGTCATCGAAGAAAGAAGTCAATCTCCAACCGCGCATGTCCAAGAGGCCTCCATTCTCCGTGGAGGTGCCTGGCTGCGAACCGGTCGCCGGAGAGACCATCCCTCGTCGTTTGCCTCTCGCGAAGGACGGCCTCATTCTTCGACCCGCGGAAGATGTCACCACCATTTACGATGTGTTCCGCCGATCCGCTCGAGTCTTTGGCAACTCCAAGGCTGTCGGAAGCCGTCATTTGATCAAGACCCATGTCGAGACCAAGAAGGTCAAGAAGGTCATTGATGGTGTCGAAAAGGAGGTTGATAAGGAGTGGTCCTACTTTGAGAAGAGCCCTTATTCCTACAAAACATTTGTTGAGTATGAGAAGCTGGCCCTCGATCTGGGTAGTGGTTTGCGGAAGATCGGATTGAGCAAGGGAGACAAGATTCACCTTTACGGTGCTACCAGGTGCGTGTGTGGCTGTGTTTGGAATGAATTGGGTCTTCATACTCGAAGAAAACGCTGACAAATAGCTGGTTTGTAGTGAGCCATGGCTGGCATTGTCACACGGTGCGTGCAATAAACATATTCTGCTCTGCCTTCTTTCCCCCCTCCAGATGGAGCGCATTATTAACTCAATTGTTTTATCTGAATAGGAGCTTCATCCCAGTCCCTCCCGATGGTCACCGCATATGATACTCTAGGAGAAGAGGGTTTGGCGCATTCCCTGTCTCAGACCGAGAGTGTTGCCATCTTCTGCGACCCCGTCCTCCTCCGTTCCGTCGGCAATGTCCTGGACAGGGCAAAGTCGATCAAACATGTTATTTACAACTCAGATGAAGAGCCTAAACCACAGGATCTCGACCGCCTGAAGACTGAATTCGGTTATCTCAACATCCTGACATTTGACGAACTCCAGAAGCTAGGTCAAGAAAACTCGGTCGACCCCGTTCCCCCAGCCCCGGAAGATTTGTTCTGTATCATGTATACCTCCGGATCGACCGGCCCACCGAAGGGTGTTCCTCTTACCCATGGAAATGTTGTCGCTGCAAGTATGTCATCAAAACTCTGAACTGTTCCTCTGCGCTAAGGTGCTAGGCAACTAATTTACGTAAATAGTGGCTGGAATTCACGCAATCGTCGGCCCCTATATCGGACCGTCCGACGCTTTGCTCACCTACCTTCCCCAAGCACATATCCTTGAGTTTATGTTTGAGAACCTGTGTCTCTTCTGGGGCGGCACTATGGGTTATGGAAACCCTCGCACTCTTTCCGATGCTTCCATGCGCAACTGCAAGGGTGACATTCGCGAGTTCCAGCCCACCATTCTCGTTGGTGTTCCCGCAGTGTGGGAATCCGTCAAGAAGGGTGTCCTCAACAACCTGAACAAGAACAGTGCCCTCGTGAAGACCCTCTTCTGGGGCGCCATGTCCGCAAAGTCATTCCTGATGGCAACGGGTTTCCCAGGCGCTGGTCTTGGTGCTTGGGTTCTCGACAATGTTATCTTCCGCAAGCTCAAGGATGCCACTGGTGGCCGCATGCGTATTATGATGAACGGTGGTGGTCCAGTCTCGAAGGAGACCCAGAAATTCTTGTCCATGGCCATCGCTCCTATGATCAGCGGCTATGGATTGACTGAGACATCTGCAATGGGTGCTCTCAACGACCCCATGGCGTGGAACCCCAATTCCCTGGGCGAGATCCCCGGCTGTATCGAAGTGAAGCTTGTTGATTTCGCCGAAGCTGGATATTTCACCAAGAATAACCCTCCTCAGGGAGAGATCTGGATTCGCGGAGGAAGTGTTGCCGCCGGCTATTTCAAGAACGACGAGGAGACCAAGAACGCATATGCTAAAGACGGATGGTTCATGACGGGTGATATTGGCGAGTTCGACAAGTACGGTCACCTCCGAATCATCGATCGTAAGAAGAATCTCATCAAGACGCTCAACGGCGAATACATTGCGCTCGAGAAGCTCGAGTCCGTCTACCGCTCTTGCCCCGTTGTCGGCAACATTTGCGTCTATGGCGCGGAAGACCAGGATAGGCCCGTTGCTATCATTGTCCCCGTCGAAGCCACCCTGAAGAAGATCGCGCAAGAAAACAAAATCGAGGGCGATTCGGTTGAGACCCTGGTGTACAACAGGCAACTGAACAGTATTGTCCTCAAGCAACTCCAGACAGCTGGTCGCGCAAGTGGTCTTAAGGGCATCGAAATCATCGCTGGTGTTGTGCTTTCCGATGAGGAGTGGACCCCTCAAAACGTACGTAACTCCATTTCTTCCCCCCAACCCTATTTTTTTTTTCCCTCTTACTCAAATGACAACAGGGCTATACAACCGCTGCCCAGAAACTCCAACGCAAGAAGATCATCGACCATTTCAAGAAAGACATTGATCGCGCCTACGGCAAGAACTAAGCCGGCCAACGCAAGCTCCCGCCCTTTTTTTTTCTCTTCTAGGAGGTTCAGAGTCCTTATGAGTTATACCCTTTGGATCCCTTACTCGCCTTCATCTTCTGCTATTCGCCCAATACTAAATAGCAAACAAAGTTCCATCGTAAACCGCATACATACCGGCATGATGATTTAACTATTGAAACCCTCCCTCTGTCTTCCTCTCGCCGTCATATATACCTTTTGAAGAGTCCTTTGCCAACTGTATGAATCCTTTTTCTATTTCTTCTTTCCTGTGGCTTTCTGTCTACCTGGGTCCCATGTCGGTTGAAGATGTCACCTGCGCAGTACGTGATAAACTCTGTCGCAACTGTCCTGTTTATTTATATAAAATCGTATCCTATTATGTGATATTTTCGGTGACTCTAGCCAATTATTTCAATAAATGGAAAAATATGGATAAGCTTGTCTTTTCGTGTCTTAATAGTTCGTTTATAGGCGCTACCTGTGGTGGTAAGTCACCAAGGCGGAATAATACGGCAGTAAGTACATAAGCCCAAAGCTTCTTTACTCTGTAGATTCTAGAATCGGTCCCAGTCCAGATCTCCGTTATGGTTTGATAGTCGGCCATCCTGAACGATCAATTTGTCGTGGGAGACCAGCAGAGACGAATCGATTTCTCATTGATCTCTTTCGAGAGAATATCAGATTACACCACCTGCCTAGGTCACAACCATGTCTCTCTGGAGGTAAGTTTTCTTTTCTTTCTTTCTTCCTTCCTCCGTTCCATTCCGCCGCAAAATCATTTCGTACCATAGTTATCATATGTATACCTCTTGGAAAGAAAACCAAACCAACAACTCCTAACCTCACCATAGTTCCTACCGCGCTCTTTCCCCCAAAACGAGAGCCCTGTTCGGAGTCGGTGTCATGGCCTGGGCATCTATCGGTCTTTGGACGTCACCGCAAGTCGAACAGGCCATGGGGATGGTTCCTACCACGGAGGAACAGGCAGAACTTGATCGCAAGTTGTCGATTCGGGTTTCCAGGGTGGACAAGGATGGGAACTAAGGATGAGGATAAATACATACAATACAATCAGGCATTCAGATATCAATTGTGTGAAGTATGTATGTATGTATGTATGTATGTCTTGCTTTGGAATATGGGAGCCCCAGACAAAAACAAGACAGACTTGCACTTGGACTTGGACTTCCCCCCTGCCTCTCCGAACCCTTGTTATGTTATTTTCTTCAAGCGGGGTGGTTGGTTACTTCGCCCACTGGTTATGGGTTGGATCATTGCATTGGCTCGCTTTTTGGACCTGCTTTCGGCCCATGATTCTCTTCAGTTGGAATGGAGGATGGATGGATTCTAACGTTTCTATGGAGAGATTTTGAGACATGGGATAAAAAGGTCGAAGCTCCATACATACAGACAGTCTGAGACACCGTGAAGGGGTGTCTAGAAAGGCCAGGATTACTAAGGGCATGCTAACGCGCAGGTTATCATCTATCTATCTATCTATCTATCTATCATCGCGTTTTTTTGCCCCAAGTCTTCCTTTCCCGCCGGGCTGTACCTGGCTTGTCGGAGGTTTGTCAGCGCAACACAACGTCCGAGAATACCAGTAACCGTTTGTGATACGCAAAACCGACGCACGAATTTCGGGATCCCAAAGGATATCCCAAAGACTTTCTTTTGTCAGATGAAATTGGAGCAGACAAGTGCAAGTGTAGGCGCAAAGCAAGGCCCTTGACCAACCAACCGGCCAAGGCTGCGACACATAATTGTCCCCTTACTGGCTGGCAATACACCCAGCCAGCTATGATAGAGCGCATCCACATAAATAGAAGCCTTGCCGGGCGAGGGACTGATGCATAGGTAGCCCATTAGGCTCCCCAGGAAAGGGATTCGATGTGTCTGAATGCCGGGATCGACAGTTTGCCGTACAAGAAGGATACGAAATAGCTTTCGGTTCTGGTTTTCCCTTTCCCTTGTGCATATGCTGGGAGAAAAAAAAAGAACAAAAAGAACAAAAACAAAAAAAAAAAAAAAAGAAACCAGAGGGCGGAGTAGGTATCGTGACTGACTCCAATCCTACCAGAGGCTAGCGGGACCGTTGGGATCTATGAAGAAGAGAGAGGCGCTGTCAGAGAAGTCATAGTGACCTGGACCTGGGCCGTTGAGGTATCCCAAGCTCAAGGCATTTTTGTTTCATTTCATTTCGTTTCGCTCTTGACGTGACAATTCTAACGGGTTCTGGTGTGTTACCAGCCGGAGCAAAAGATTTGGATGCGATGGGTTGCACAGCAGAACAGATCATTTCCGGGGTTGTCCTGTCTGCACATTGGGCTTTCGTTCTGACAGTCGGTGGTGCGCAAAGGCTCACTCGCCCACTTCAGGGGGGGGAGGGTCCTTGACAACCCCTTGTACGACGTGCATAGCGAGCCATTCATTTTAGGGAAGCATGGTTGTTGCCTCACGGGGGGGGGGGGGTTGCATACGCCCGAACACCCATTAACCGCCGAATAGCAAGTATCTTGGGCTGGGTTAGGACGCATGAAGCATGTCGGACTGGTGGTGGTAGATCGAGCCAAGTCGGGCACGGCTCAGAGCCAGCACAGCACATAATGTGAATTTCAAATACTTTATAGGTTTTTTTTTTTTTTTTTTTTTTTTCTTCTAGTGTATGAGAACCCATCCCGAAACCGGGTAGTAGAGGAAACTGAAAGGAAGCATACAATCGCCCATCTGTCGAGTCCCTAACTCCTCTCTATACTACAGAGTATATATAGGTGGAGGCTGAACGGAACACCCCAAAGAAAGAACATGACAGCAACATAGAAACCCTAATTCATTAACTAGTTAACTACATAACTACATAACTAACTAGTTATGTATGTATGTACAACAACACCCAGCCAGCCCAGCCGTAGAAAAGTGAGAATAAACAAGCAGACTAATGTATGCCCGGTCGATCCTCTAGCGAAACATTCACTAACTAACTAGTTAGTTTTAGTTAACTAGTTAGTTATTGGCCTGACAAAAGCAAGCCCCCGACAACTGGACGGATTTAAACAGAGACAACGCGACGCGAAGAAAAAAAAAAAAAAAAAAAAAAAGGGAAGAGGGGTAAGAAGAATTAGGAGAGTGAAAAAGCAAGGAAGGTAGGAATGACTACCTAACCGGCCGGGTATGTAGACTAGGCTAGGTAACTAGTAGTAGTAAAAGAGCGAGGAGGGAACGACGGCAGAGGGAAAAGCATGAAACAAAGGAAATAGCAAAAGGAGGTGAGCAGCGAGCGCGTGCGATTAATTCTGGGCCTGAGGTAGGTACATCGGGGGAAGCAGATGATGTTGAAGATGTGCTACTAGTTAGTATACGTACTTCCTTCGTCTGGTTAGGTACCACTGCTGCTCTGGTGGGAAAATAATCCGGTCTCGTGTGAGAGTCGCAGAGGTCTCTGGAATAGTGGTATATCTAGATCCACCGAGTGACATGGGTTATTTCTCCTCGCATGATTTGAGAGCAGACTTGACGACTAAAGATGCACATGGGTTCGAAGAGCCTTTCATTAATATTTTCATTTCTGTATAAAAAGACACCATCCAGGAGTCCAACAAGACGGTTGGAGACCTTCGAGGTCTCTCTCTCTCATTAGCTAACCAGACCATCATCGCCCGTTTCTGAAATTGTCTACATGTAATTTTGGTTTGTTGTAAAAGAACGCCAAAAAATACCTTTCCCTTCCTGGGGAGTCAGGATCATTATGTGAAAATAGATAGAAAAGGGAATAAGAAAAGAAGTGACTGAGCCTTGCAGTTTTCAATCTGGGTAAAAGCACACAGTATGGTAATTGGAGTAGCTTGGCCTGTGGGTCTATTTGGGGGAAATAAAAATAAAAATCAAGGACGAGGGGAAAACAGCAAGAAAGAAAAAAAGGGAATGAAAGGTCTAGAAAGAATATGGTTATCATTCTCAATGTTTCTTGGTATTTGTTCGTTCACAACCAGCAGCCACAGAAACATTTCCTTACGGAAATGTAAGGGGATGCTGTCACACATAAGAAAATGAGGTTGTCGAGGGGAGAAAAGTAAGGGCGATAGAGTAAATCTGCTACGCACAGAGACCCTGAGAATTTGGAATTCGATAATATGAACTACTGGCACTCCTCGAGCTGGTGGAGTAAATCGAATCGTAGCCGCCGGGACCGGGATGATATCCTTGCGATGCCATTCGTGTAGGTTGTTTTAGAAAATGCGAAGACTCCCCGTGTTCGTGCGGGAGCATAGACACCATGGAATTGTATGCCCCCGGAAAACTCGTTCCGGAATCCTCGCTATCCTTAGAGATCGGGTCGTATTCGAAGGGTGGTAGATGGTGCTGGTAGGGGCCTTCTTTCTTGCTGTCAACAAGGCCAAAACTTGGATCCTGGTAGGAATCCATGCTGGAGGTGTTTTTCAGAGAGTCGATTGGGTTCATGGAGTCATTCAGAATGCCGATATCAAAGTTGGACGATGCCGACGACGATATATGCGGACTCTCACTCAGAGGCGAATGATCTGCGGCTCCCATATGATGGTAGTCGTTTCTGCCGTAGCTAGGGCCCCCGCGCTGCGATGAGTCGTACGGCATCAAGCCAAGGTGAGACCGTGTCGTTTGCCCGAGGCCAGGAGGTAAGACAGCCCCTCCACTGCCATCCCCAGAGCCTCCATTTCCCCCGTCTGGGCCCATGCTGGTCGAGCTATCCCGTCGACCATCTTTGTAATGGCCTGGAGAGCGTCCTCGCACAACCATTGGATGCGAGAGCCTTCGGGCGATTTTAATCCACTGACTTTCACTACTTCCAACTGGGCTGATCTCCGCAAAGAGCTCAACAACCAGATTGTAGTACTGTTGCTGAGCCCGCCGTTTCCCATTATTTGCCGTTGCTTTTTGGAACTGAATGCGCTCGAATGTATGTTGACTCGGAGGCAGCGATGACTGTGGCGCACCGTTGTATGAGGAATTATAGTCGACCGGCATTCCACCGGACTGAGACATTAATGAAAATCCGGGCTGGCCGCTGTTGGTAGCTGACCCGTGGCTCAGAATTACCGCCGATGGCTGACAGGGCTGCATTATGATTTTCCCGGGTTTTCTTTCTGATTGCTTATCCCGCTTTGGTGTGTGTTGGACCAATTCTCGGACTTCCCCATACTGCGCGTTCACAATTGCCGATATTGACATAGCGAACTGCCGAACTTGTTCACTCGCTTGCTCTGAATATTTGAGGTAGAAAGGACCACAAGACCAAGGATGAAAAGAAAATGAACAAGATACAGCGAAATAATTTCGTCTATAACAGGTCCACTTTTCGTCAACTTGGAAAAATCCTTTGTGCATTTTGGCTTGGATTTCAGGCTTAATCATCTGGTTCCCGGAAATAATGTGATGGAGGATATTCGTATCATGAAAGGGAGGTGCATCGGATATCGGCTGGGGCAGGCGTTGTCCAGGGTCCATAAACATACTCCCAGATGGGCTGAACATTACATTTTGGGAACGATCAATCGTACAATCGAGGCCTCGAGGGGTGCTTGTATATGGCGATACTCGGGAGAGATCACTCAAACTGGACAGGGATGGAAATGCACTTCTGTGAATGGCGTATGCCCCCGGATAGTTGTCATTTCTCCCTAGTAGAGACGTATTCCCATGTGATTGCCCTGTAGGCGAGACCCCCGTCGGTGGTTGCCTAAATGAGAAGTTGAGACTGGTTACCAATTGATGATACAAAAGATCGCGAGAAGCCAAGTTTAGCTTACAGAGGAGGCACCCGATGCGACCTGAAATCCGACATTCTATCGTAAGGTAAACCCGGAGAGTGTGAATAGAGGGATCCGGATGCAGGGGAGAAGGTTTCTGTGAAGACAAGCCCAATTGGATGTGGATCCCACGTTAGCGATGGTCCCGACTTTTTGGATCTATTGTTGAAGTGACGAACCAGAGCATGAATCAGAAGGACTCATGAGAATGGGAGATGTTGCGTAACTAAAAAGCAGCTCTGGGTCAGTAAATGATTTCCGTGCAAGCTCTCAAGGATAAAGACCAAGAAAACACATGACAGCAGCCCCCCCAAAAAAGAAGAAAAGCTGAACGAAAGGAATTTCATGGTCCCGACTCATCATGAACATGCGGCATGGGTCAAACAGAACATGACTGTGGGTCGTCAAGTCGAAGGACATGTTGAAAACTCAAACAGTACTAATATGGAGTAAAAGCAGCCAAATGCATGCAATTATTGGTATACGCAGTCAGACGTAGCAGGCAACTGCCACAGAAACAAAACCAAAGAAAGAAAGCCATAGAACGAGAGAAGAGGTGTAGCTGAGTAGCTTTATCGGCCATTCAGAGAAGAAGTAACATCATGCGACTAGTGACTGCAAGCAGGCCAGGTGGAGTACAAGTGTAGTCCAGATTGAAAGACAACTTACGGTACATCCTGCATGGCAGACTGTTGTGTGTTGTATCTTAGGCCATTGGTGGCCGGTATCGAGACAGGTTGGGCTAAATGATTGCCAATCGCACCACTTCGTCGATTACTGTCTTCGTCGTCCATAGAAAAGACTGTCGATCCAGAGAAATGACGCTGGGCTCCAGGAAAATCACTGTCGGTATTGATAGGACCGTCCAGCTGGAATGAACTCTGCAGGAGCGTTGCTGGTGAAAGAAAGTATGATTAGAACGCTAAGTCGGAGGAAAAATAACGTCAAAGTATTAAAGAAAACAGAGGGAAAAAAAACAAAAAAAAAAAAAAAAAAAAAGTGAGCAATAGTATTACAGGAAAAATGAAAACCCAAAAATCCATAATAGAACAGAGAAAAAAAAAAAAAGGCACAAGGCTATCGGTCTTTGCCAATCGAACAGAAATAGACCCCATCCTTGTTGATAAGGATACAGAGTTGTATACAGGCTTTCCTTGGTGCCATGTAAAGATAATAAGATGAATAATTTTAAGAAAACAACCAAAAGCAAAATTGTGTAACCAAAGAGCAAGCTTCAGATACCAAAGGGTTGGGAGAAAAAACACCACCCCGGATGTAGATCGCGTGTCATCAGCATTACTCTTTGGCCGTGGGGCTGATTGGCGTCGAAAAGCGGGTTGTGAATTGAAAGTGAATGACAGCAGGGTAACTAAATGAAAAATTTAAATGATAGACGTACAGTGATTCATTTGTGGCCACAGTGCAAGAGGTGAACCAATATGCTTCGTCAAAACCCGGTTCGGGGACCGATTCAAGGCTAGGATCGTGAGAGGAAACCTAGAACCTAGGCTAAGGGAAAGCTACCTGAAAAGACACCTAGTAGCGCTAGGTTTCTGACAATGTCGAATAATAGGGGTATCAGAGAGAAAGGCTGTGAAATATGCTAGAAAAGATTGCTCATTGGCTCTGAAAATCTGCGACCTGACTCGAGGACAAGGCTCGTATTGGAGTGTCTCTTCCAGACTCTCTAGGCGAAGAAATACAGTTGAAAGGGTGGTCAGAGACTCGGATAGGTGGCAGGCGCAAGACGATCAGGGACCAGAAACTTTCTTAGGGTCTCAGAAGGACAAGGGCGATTAAAGCGCACTATAAAAACAGAAATGCCTTGGGGTCGCAGACTCTTCGGATATCAGAAAATGGGGTTAGTAGCGAAGAAGAATAGGAATTATCGAAAGATAATAAGCAGGAATGGTGGGGTGTAGGAGGCTAGTTAAGAGAGAGGCCAAACAGAAGAGGAAATGTGAAAGAAAAAGAAAACATGGCACGTTCCACCAGTAAATTCGCTGTTCTCGGAGTTACTGCATTTTTTTTGGATTGATCCAGATTGACAAGATTGCTTGTAAGTAGGAGTAATGATGGATAGACGTGGGAGAGAGTTTTTGCAAAGCTCTCCTAGCATTTATCTGCAGCCGTGCAGACAAGGACGTGGCTTCGAAGCAATGAAGAGAGCGATCTTAGTAGCAGGGGTTCGGTGGATCAAGAACTCCGGAGAATTGCGTGGATATTTGGGACGGGGGGGAATGAAAGGAACAGGATCAAAAAGGTTGAAGAGGCGAAGAATTGGGAAGGAAAACGGAAACAAAGCGCGGTAGGATGGGCTATGTGATGGAAAAAAAAAAGAATCATGTAGAAACATACCTACTTGGTATCGAGTGGAAGCAGAGGATCAGGATGACTGGATTTTAGTGAGCAGTATCTTGCATCTATCGCTGCAGAAATCTGATTTGAAGCTGCAAGTATTCGATGTATATCGGGAAATCCAAGGCTCGACTAGTCCACGTCAAGGAGAAGATCGTGGACCTCAAGTCGCCCGACGGCCACTTTCTTTTGCGGGTTAAGAGAAGGGAGCAAGAGATCGACGGGGAGGTAGATGGTGAGTCTAGATTAGACCTTGTTGGGCCTGCTGGTTGGTCGACAGTGGTCAGTCAATATCGTCAAGGAACAGGATGGATGAATGGAGAGACGACGGTGGGAAATCGTATGGATTCAAAGATTGAGGGATCTGTCCGGTTGATATTTGTTTCCCAGATACTTGATGGAAGCGTTTTGTGGACGTCGTCATGTTATTATTCCTCCTACCTAAGGAACATCATATCATGTCCACTCCTCCGTTTCCCAGGCTGGCGCCGTAGTGCCGCCCAATGAACAACCCTGACTGATGAGCATGCGGCGGAAAATGCTGGCTCTGCAGAACATGGGAGCTTCAATTTACCAAATTAAGCTTGAGGGTGAATACGACTCTTGCCACGAGTTTGCTGTTGAGTTCGGACCATGTCAGGGCCGTTGAAATTTGCTGTTTCGGGAGAGAAATTTTGGTCAAATCTGTTCCCTCGTCCTTTTTCTTTGTGAAAAAAAAAGCCCTTCAAGGGTTCAACATCTCCATACTACAAGGGTTACCGTAAGGTAAAGGTCCAATTGTTAACGACTCTTTCTCCTTCCGCTTTTCTTATTATGCTCCTGATCAAAGCCACTCTAGGCTTGAATAATCTTGTCTGTTTCTCCGTTTTGAGAGAAATTAGGACAAGGAGAATATTGTTGCATCATCTCAAAGAGTGCCTGGGATCTTGGACCCTGTCAGAAATGTTGGCGAGACACAGCATTGGCCAGAACCCATGTTACATCCTATAATCCATTGAGTGGTCTGTAATAGAACGAAACTTAATGTTGTCATAATCAACCAGGTGCCAAGCTAGGCTAATGGCCCTGGATAGAGCATCACCGGCCAAGTCAGCTGTCCTAGCGTGAACACCCGGCAAACGGGAGAATGCAGGAAAACTAATTAAGATGGTGCTATAAATGATTAGTGGCGGCGATCATGGCCCCAGTAATCCCGTGCAGACCCCAGTCGCATGACAGAGGCCGTGGGCGCTACTGAGCTTGGGCAATCGTAGAGAGCCAATAGCTGGAGAGACCATGGGGAACGGCCACCGTACATAGTAAAATACTAGACAGGGGTTGTGGACCCATAAAAGAGAGGTCCATCGTTCTCACGGTACGGAGTAGGCATAAATGTAAAGCCCCTTTAGGGATCTCCCTCTAAAGAAGTTTTTTTTTTTTTTTTTTTTTTTTCTTTCGGGTGTTCGAGGCACGAGTGGTAGCCGTTCTTGCATGAATAAGAGATCAGGCGATCGACGACTTTGATCCAACGACTCGTCTTTGAGGTGGTGGTTATTTGCTCACCGACACGGAGAGAAGGCATTAACTCAGTGATGCTGCAGCCTGTGCAAAAGGACAGCCAGGTTGCTATTTTCGGGAGAAGGATGGTGGCCTTGGGATTTGCCTGACCAAAATATGGCCCAAAAACAATGGTCTTTTTTCGAACAGTCACACTCTCCGGGAAGGGTAACGGGTGTAGAAGATACCTGATCTGATCCAGTCTTCCGCGACAGGGTGCAGGATACGAAATAAAGTACGGTACTCCATACACGACATGGCTTCCAGAATAATTAGTTCCTGCGGGACACCAATTTGGTAAGACAGCACAAGGAAAGTCCGCTGGTTCTGGGCGATTGGGCCCATTCTAGACAGGCGCTGCTGAGATTTTCTCACCTCTTTTGCGTGGAGCCTGATACCGATCTGATTCCCCTCCCCCCTAATTATTATTTATTTGTCTTTTTTTTTTTGGTTGGAGAGTATCGAGTGGCTGAATGATCATCCAAGCTTGCAGGAAGCTAGTTGATCAGAATGTGATATGCACCCTTCTGAGATAAAAGGAAGCCCAGTCCAATGATTGGGAGATGAATCAGCATCAAGACTAACTAAGTGAGAAATCTGTTTCTGGGAACCTGGACAGGAAAATGAAATCTCGAGCGGAGGATGATGTCGTGCAGGATGTTTCCGCGGGATGCGGCACCAATCGATAGTAACCTTGTACGGGGAGGGGGAAAGGTTGCATTTTAGGATGAGAGTGGGCCATTATATTATCCAGGATATCATCATGGTTATTTGTTCTTAATTTGGTGTCAAAGTTTAGAAATGAGAGGAGCTAAGAAAAAGAAATGAGAGAGAGTGAGGCCCAACCAGAGGAATGAGAAAGAGAAGATCTCGGTGAGGCTTGAACCCCCCCCTTTACACAACAACAAAGACGGGCAGACGCTAAACCACATTCGGGAGGACTGGAGGCTGCATGGCACGTGCAGTCACAACACCACAATTTCCCTTTTTTGACAGGATTTAGGGCTATTTGCTTGGGACTCTGGAGTTATCAGCTATATCTAGGCAATGCACTCCGTGGTATGGTTTGGTCTCTTTTACTCTAAAAATAGTGCAATGAGCTGAGTCTAAGCGGAATTTCAGCCGGTGCTCCCTTCCTGTATACTCCGTACTGACTTGTTTTTAGAGAGTCTAATCCTGACCCTCGACAAATCATGCATCTGATTTGGATTGTTGTTAGGCGTGGATGGCAGACCGGGCGTTGGTTCCATTTTTTTTTGCCATTCATCTTTCCCCTGATTGACTAGATTGATTTTAACTTTGTGATGTTTCAGTTTACTTCGTTTCCTCCTTTCTGTCCGGAGAGCGTTACCAGTCGGAAGGCTTTGGGCCTGCCTTTCCGGCGCCGGTTTTCACGGATATCTTTTGGATACGCTCCGTCTGTCTCGATCGTTCCTTACAATTGGATTGACTAAGAGTCAACCTTCAACCCCAATGGCTAGTCGTTGGCGGTTTTGCCCCACAGATGTAGACACCCCTGGTGACTCTTGACTCTGGCCTGCACAGAATATACTGGGAACCATGGTTATAACCTAGCGCAATAAAGCTAAAACAGCTATAGCATACCTAAATTCGCGCTGCAGCTCGCCGTTAGAACGGGCTTTGCTGTCGAAGAGAATCCCGCGTACGCGTTGGGTCGCCCGTTGATGAACCAATGTTGATTAAATACTTGGACCTTATTTGGAGTCCAGAACATTCGGCCGTTCCTTCCAGGATCTCTTTGGAGGTTCCATCCATGCTTCGTTGGAATTCTGGACGCTCTTTGATTCCAGAATTCGGCATGCCTTGCGAATTGCGATCATCATGAGAGCCAGTATCTTGCCGCTAAGACTGATAGCTACGGCGCATTACCTGTCACAGAAGTGGTGTGTTCAGATCTATCATGAAATTTGCTGCTTCCTGGTATGTAGTAGTGTTTTCTTAGGCTTATACAGTATGATGCATTGAATGTGCCAGGTACAGGAAATTCGTCGTAGCGCATTGTGGGAATATTGTTTGTTTCACTAACCTTAGACTCTGGTAGAACAATTACATAGCTAACGCTTTGGATAGTTAATCAATACCTCTGTGCTTCGATTGAAATGACCAGCTGGAGGTAAGTCTAGTCCTCCCCGAAGCGACTACTTATGGTTCAGTTGGGTCCATCTCTAAGCCCTTGCTGCTATGTTTCGCTATAATGTGTGAAAAGAACTATATCCACTAATAGTACAGTACTGTGCAAGTAAGTCTTTGATTACAATTTGGTTCACATCCTGCTATTTTTCATATTCAACTCACCATCGCTTCCTCGCATGGGTCTACAATCGGCCGATGTGTGCAGCTATGATTAGCCTAGGCTCATGTACCCCTCGTGGCCATGTCTGGCGTTAACTGGTATACTCTCCTTATTGGGAGTAGCTGTGCGACCCTAAAAAATTCAGGTACCTTTTGACAACTCTGATTAACTCGTCCTTATATTGCTCACATGGATGGGCACAACCAACCTCACCAGGCTCGCCGTAAGAGATGAAGAAAGGCCTGACGTGTAGGATTTGGCCCAGCAATTGGCCTTGTATAGTTAAGTTCGAGAAGGTGAGCCTTTTTGTTGGTTTCTACGACCTTGACTTGCAATCTGACTTGGATAGTTCAGATTCAAACCCAAGATCAACGCCCCGTTGTTAAGAGTGTTTGCAGCAGGAGCGTAATGACAGCCTGCCAGCAACGCAATGACATAACGCCAACAAGCTGGACAAGGGGCCTTACCAAGGACAGACCAGTCCCGCAGGTTTTGAATGATCGATGGTCTAACTCATGAGATGGCGGAGTCGGACATTTCCCGGATGGTGATTATCGTGGCCTGGGCAACCACCACCAATAGCGACGGTATACATCATCCAGTTGACCAAGACTGCATAGCCGTCCACTCCACTCCACAGAGCCGGCTGGCATGCTGATGTTTCGGGCGAATTCAAACCTAGTTTTTGCTTCAACGGAACCAGAATCTGCCAGTCTGGGAAGCGCATCAAGTGACACAAATGCTAGAAACAGGAACAAGTTGATGACATGGAAAGCTGGCGCCACATACTATCCATTTTCCGTTTCCGTATACCATACTGCCTCGCAGCCTCATGATTTTTTTTTCTCGGGTCCGAAGAAAGAAACAGCTATCGTATCCTATGTTATCCACCATGAAATGAATGACATAGCTGTGCTCCTGGGCATTTCGTCGCCGTGGAGCTATGAAGAGAAAAATAGACCTCACCCACCCACAGACATCTAAACCTGGTAAATACGGGTTTCATGCAATGTAACCGGAGCTTATAGTTGCCGAAAGGTGGTCCCGGGGGGCTCTCCAACTCTTTCCTCTCATCGTCATGACCGATTTCCCTTTTCATCAGTGATTGTCATGATCTCGGAGAAGGATCAGGCTAGGGAGGAAAAGAGAGGGAGAGAGAGCATGTGTGTATGTGTGTGAAAGAGACCAAGCTGATCTAGTGGCCCATTATCCATTCAAGGCAAAACTGCCCGGATTTTGTGTTACCTTTTAATGAAACTGCGATGCTACATCAGACCAAGGTTGGTCTCTCAGTGGATAAAGGCTTGTTATTTGGATGGGGCTAGGTGAGACTGAAAAAAATTTACATATCACCTGGAACACGGGGCGATATTCACTACCATTCACTACTTTGGTGGTTTTCAGGAAAGGGGCATGGAGGAGGAGAAAGAGCAACAGCCACAACAAGGAGAAGGAAGAGGTATGAGGCCAACAACCTACCCTCCTTATTCTCGTAGACACTGACTGGGCAGACCGGGGAGAACCAGCTGGACAACCCGGAAAATAAACCTCCTTCCACGCTTAGACACATACCTACTAGATGCCTGAGGGCATTCGCAGAGTCCCGTCAACTCGAAAGCAAAGGGAAAAATGCACATGCAGCCACGGCTGTAGAGTACGGTAGTTTGACGGGAAGTCACTTTCCATCTAGGGATACGACCGACGCTCATGACCATCTAGATACTCATACTCTTGATGTCTGTCACCCTGCTCAGAAACTCAGTTATGAAGTAGCTTACTCTGGATATTTCTATCTATCTCTTTCTATATCTTTACATCCATCTACAATTGGTTTTGTAAAGGACTGACCCAGTCCTGATCCAACCACGTAAAAAGACGCAAATACCGCATGAATATATATACATATATACATACAGATATACAGATATAGATAGATAGATATCAATAGCTACCTTGCATCTCCTGTATCCATTTTTTTTCTCTTCCTTTCTTAGGTTTCTTTGCTCATCTGGTCCTAACCAAACCAATGATATCTATCTGGTGCATCCTAATCCATGCCTAACTAACTATGACAACAATCTAGGAATACGTGTTTGGCAGAGGAATTTCCCACTACCTGTTCCTTCTAGAGGCAGGGAGGCAGGGAGCATACCTACCTAACCTACCTACCTACCTATCTACCTGTCTTATGCCTAGGCGAGCAGCAAGGGGAGAGTATACGTTAGGTAGTTCCCAAGGTTGAGCTGAACTGAACCCATTAATACCTTAGTAGTAGGGGGTAGAGTAGTAGTACTTATACTTACTTATACTTATGTGATTTGGAATAAGGAATGTGTGTATGGATGGATGTAGTACGTTTATATGTACATATAGGTCTCTTCTTACCATCGAACATACCGAGTACAATGTGACCTACATACGTATTGACTGAACTCCTGAGGGAAGGAAAGGAAAGGAAAGGAAAGAAAAGAAAAGAAAAAAAAGGAAAGCGAGGCATACTTAGCTGGCTGTCACTGGCGGTTAAAAAAAGTAAGATAAAATAAAATAAAAATAGAATGGAAAAGAAAGAGCGAGGGACGTAAAACCTCTCAGTAGCTGCTTTTATTTTGTTTTTTATTCTCTCTTACTCTCGCTCTCGCATGCACCATTGACTTGTCGCTCCATGCATCGACAAGACAAAACCCAAAATGACCAACAGACTGACACATGGATGCCCTTTTCAGAACTCATCATTATCGGAAACGGATCATACAATATTTTGATAAAGAGAATAGAATATCTTCAGCTGCGAAGCAAGCGAAGCGAAAACCCGCCTGACGAAGAAAAGAAGAGACCCCAAACGTGTCGTAAACCCGAAGCAAAATAACACAAGGATATTGAAAAGAAATCTACGTAGTCCTCTTGGCGAATTCGACGCGCAGAATAAGGTGGCGGTAACCGACTGTATTTAGCTGTTAGGCATGTTGTTTTTCCCGGGAAGGGGTGGCAAAAAGAGAGCAGATAAATGAAGGGGAACATACATCCGTCCATTTTGTCGCAGGCACGGGAAGCATCGCTGCGGTCTGCGAAGCTGATGAAAGCAAAGCCCTTGGCTCTCTGGGTTTCTCTGTCTCTGGCCAGGAAAACTCTGGTGACGCGGCCGAAACGCTCGAACAGATCTCGGAGTTCTTGTTCCTCTGCTAGCTCGCTGACCTGTTTTTTTTTTTTTTGAGTTAGCACACCACGCCATCCATATTTTAAGCATCAGAAGAAAAAGAAGAGAGCAAGTCTCACATTTGTAACTCTCAGAGTCGCCAGGTCGTCCTTCTCGTACTTGCCAGCCATGCGCTCGCCGCCGGCAGCAGCACCCTTTCGTAAATGAGGAGGCACGTAGCTCGCAGTACCGGCACCAAGGCCACCAGCCGGGGAATCCTCTCCACCATCCTCTGCAGAGCCACCGGTGGGCTCGTCGACAGGCGTCATAGTATCCTTGAAAGGACAGCGGGCAGTAAAGTGCTCCCCACTGCAAATACGACACTTGACCTTCTTATCCTTAAGCTGGTCCTTCATGCTGCCCTTCTCGCCGCCATTCTTCTCCACCTCCGCAGCCTGAGCCTTCCAGTTCACACTAGGCCGGAATACAATATTCTCGCCAACAGAGGTGGTATCAAAGGAAGGACCGACCGGGTTGCCCTTTTCAAGGCCAAACTTGGCCCAGGTCTTCCGCTCCGCGACTTGTGGGTTGACGTGCTCGCGCACAACGGTGGTTTTGATCCGTCGGGTGACCTTCACTTTCTTTCCGTCGTCATTGAAGCGGTATGAGATAACTGTCTTCGTGCCATCTTTGTTTGTGATGACTTGTTGTGCGGGGAGCGCGGAGGGGTCGTCGAACTCTTCGTCGTCCGCCCAGTCGGCGCGGCTATATTGGTCGAAAAAAAAAATTATTTCATTAGTCATTTGGGCTTGAGAAAAATTCCCTAGGGGGTATGCTCTGGAGGCTACTCACTTTCCTAGTCGAGACATGGTGCTAGATGTGCTGATCTGACTATCGTGATGAAGTTTCTGGATTTCAGCGAAAGATGAATCCGTTGTGGATTTGTTCGGCGGAACCCGATTGTGGCGCTGTGGCTGGTGACGAACCTGGCACGTGATCGCATTGCTTCCGTCGACCTCTTTATAAAGTCGAGTGTATTTTTTTTCTCGTATAGAAATAATAAAAATGAGCTCCTACCCCGGGGAAAAAAAAAAAAACTAATCTCGTTTCACTAAAGCTTACTTATACTCGTCTCTATGGCGGTGTTTGTGGAACAGGTAAGAACTGAGCTTACCGAGCCCTGCAGAATTTGTCTAGTGCCTAGCAAATCGATGGTTATATGTAAAAGATGGAACAAAAATTAATGATAGCACAGAACAGGCCATGAATTGATATTAAGATTATATATGTACAGATATCATTTGACACATCTTGCTATCTTGTGACTAATGTTCGTTTGATAGACAACATCATAATTTCGAAGAGATAAAAAAAAGAATCATAGATAAAACCCAGAAAATCCTGAACCTGACCAGCAGTTGGATTTAACGACCGAATATCCTCAATTCGATCGGCCTAAGAGCGGTATAAGATACTGCCGAGAAAAGGAAACCCAATTCGAAGCCAACGTCACCATCACTTGCATGGCGTGCGATGGGCCCAATCCACCAGGTCTGACTCATTCCGGTGACCATGCCAGCCACACCAAAGGCAAATGCGATAGAGGCGGCGATGCCAAGAGGGAGCTTGTGGGGATTGTCATAGTTTTCTGGGCAATAGCTGGAGAACCCGCGCTTGAAGATGCAATGGTCTGCAAGGGAGATTCCGGAGTAAATGGCAAGCCAGTAGGCAATGAAGTTCATAAAGTTTTCCAAGATAGTCTCGAAATGGCTGTATCCGGGGATGGCAATCGCAACAGAAACGCAGGAGCCCAGGAATACCCAGATAAAACGGGGAACGCGCTGGGCGTAGCGGCTCAAGACCTGGGCCGTTAGAGCGACAGAGTAAATGTTGGGGCAGTTGTTGGCCACGATGGAAAGGGCGAGAATGACAAGACAGAACTTTCCGAATCCTCCCAGAGGCTCGAGAACCGCAGCGATCAGGCCCCCATTGCCCGACGCGTCGTAGCCGACCTGGTACTTGTTGTTGCCGCCATCAATGGAAGTAGCGGTCATGAGAGCCACACCCAGCATCTCAACGAACAGGAGGGGGATAATGAGGCCAAGCCAAGTGGAGAAGAAGATCTTCCGGCGGCTTTGAGTGGCGGGTTGGTATACGGTGTAATCAGCGGCATAACTGGTCCAACCCGTGGCGAAGCCATAAATGGCTGCACCAAACGACAGAACACTGCCCATTTCAGCTCTTCCCACGCCCATGTCTATGTTCCGGAAGTCCCCCGAGTGTGCGAACATGCCCAGTACGATCATGAAGACGATGAATGTCGGAATCCAACTCCAGAATTCATAAAGATGGACAACCTTGTATCCAGAAAATGTAATCAAGAGAGTGCAAACGGCGATAATCAGGATAGCTGCAAATCCGGGCACATTTCCGTTGACAGCATTGATCATCTGGCCGCCTACGATCAGATTGGCAGCGGACCAACCCATACAGGCAAGGATATTGAGGCAAGCGACTACACGAGCATGAGATGAGCTTCGGCCAACAACCTAGATGAACATCGTATGGGGAACTCACTGAATTTGGTAAACCACCAACCAAACCAAAGCCTAGAGAATACCATCTGGCGCAGACCGAATGGACCAAAGCAGGAGAAGAAACACACAGTCAGGACACCGAGGAGATTGAAGAAAATCACGACGAGAATGGCGTCGACGAAACCGAGGCCGAATACAGGGTAGCCAAGAGCACCCAGGGCGAACGAACTGACAACCATGTTGGCTGCCAGCCACATACTGCCAATGTTAAGATACGAGGTATCCGTCTGCTCTGACGGCGGGACGCGTTCGATACCACGCTGCTCAACATTGAGCTTGCCAGCTAATCGCTGGAGTTTTGCATATAGAGAGTTGCCATACGTGAAGCTCTCTCCTGGAACAGCAGCACCACCACTGCTGCTATCCAGAATTGTTTGACTCACGGGAGGATTTTTCTCCAGATCAAGCTCGGCTGGTGCAACCATTGTGACTGATTGTAGAAGTACAGATGAGGGATTCAGTCAAGGCAGGAAGCCTGAAAAAAGAGGGGGTATTTAGAGAATGAGAAAAACTCAGTGCAAGGGAGGCAAAAAACAGTTGAAACCCCATTTTGAATTTTTCTCCCTTTTTTTTTTTCTTATATGCGACAAACACGCGACAGGGGAGGCGTAGAAATATGTCAGTGGATCAGAAGATGAAATCTTCACGGAAGGGGATCCAATCAGTTTGAGGATATGGCAGAATCTCCACATGGGCAACAGTGGATGAGCGATGAAATATGGTAATACTTTCGGAAAACCGCCAACAATATGTGCTGGATATGGATGCAAGAGTTCGAGCTTGTTTCGCACATTCCCGCCAATAATTGGTTGTAGAAAAGTGGATAATCCGCGGACTTCTTGATAAGACTTTGGTTGGTGATAGCACAATTGTCACTTCATTTGATAATGCTTGATAAGTAGCTAGCGAGGTACCTGGTATTCTACAGGTACAGAGTAATCGCCATAGATACATACTTATCTCTCAAAACTGATTTAACCGACTATATTAACTCCTCGGAGTACCCTATCTAGGTACGCTCGCTATCCCCGACGGAAACCGTTCTCAAGCTGCATCCCCCCACTCTTAGCTTCTATTTCAACTCCACACTAATATCTGGCTTGTTGGTTTCTCGTAGGGGTCCTGGATTGATACTTCCATGCCCATTCATTCCTTCATCATGAGTTCCTGTGACTTCGGACCTTGAAATAACGTGAAATCAAGATAGCTCGCTGACAACCTCCCCATGATCCGTCAGCATTCAAAGCACGATTCTCAGGGTTGGAAATATAATGGATGCCTTGGTGAGCAAATTGCTTGGAGAAGGACTGTTGCAGCAATGCCAGTTTTCATTCACATGATATGATGGTCATTCTGCATTGTTTGTGCTGTTTAGCATCAACACCCTGCCATGTCTTCTTCGCTTCTACCTCACCCCCACCTCTACCACCACCTTGACTCTAAATCCACATCCCTTGCCCAGCTAAACTGTTGGTCAAGACGTTCACTTTGAAGAATCATTAGCCAAAACAACTTCACGTGCGGAAATCACAAAATGTCCGACATCGAAATCATCAAGATTGAGAAACACTCCCTTGAAGTGCAGCACGACGGAGCCACTTCCTCTATGGACCTCTTACAATTCTGCCGCAACGCCGAGACCTGCCCTGCAGTATTGTTCAAGCAACTGTGCAATCAACAAAGGCTATTTAGAACCCGAATCTCGGAGTTGGAGAACATTTTGGCTGCGAAAGATGATGTGAAGAATGAGAGCGACTCCACAATGAACGAAGCTTCTGAAGAAGAGAATCTTTCTACAGCTCTACAAATAGAAAATATTACCCCTATTCAGTCGGCCGAGACCCCCGACCCTCCAATATTAACAGGCCATATGGCCCTGACTTTCGCCAATTGGAAATTTCTTATGGAGAAGAAGCTTGCTGCAGATGCGGGCCATTTCGATACCCCCGGGTCGATCTCGTATCTTATTAGTCGCACGTCCGGTGAGGCTCAGGAACAGTTGCTTACTCGCCTTCGAAGCAAGTCTCTCCCTCCAATCACTAACGTTAAAGATGCGCTTCGATATCTTACCATGCTTTACGATGATCCGAGACCGAAAGTCGATCACCCTGTAGAGTTCCACTCTCTCCGTGGAGAAAAAAGCCAATTTTGGAATACCTTTCGAGAGTTTATCTGGAACGTAGTCAAGGAGGAGATTCCAGAGGCAAACTGGGGAAAGAAACTCTTTGACTACCTTGAATGGACGTATGACTACGAAGACAAGAGTCTTGATTTCACTTGTGATCTTCAGGGGGACCCCAAGAAGATCGCTGAGCAATTTTATTGGTATACAGTCAGAGAACGAAGGGAAGGTGAAGATTTTGATCCGGTTTGAAACATATCTTCTGATTTCTCTTGGGTGGATGACACTTCCGGGGGATATGTATGACAGGGACAAACCTGAAAAGATAATGGTAATAAGGAGTGTAATAATGTTTGATCAGAACAAAAACAATTTACAATGCGGATTAAATGGTGAGCAATTGGGAATCAGGTTCACAACATCAGGCTTCATTCATGTACCTACACTTAGTGCCTTGCCGTACTAAAAATGAAAGTACCTGACTACTGAAATAATAACTACTTTATGTACCATTACAGAGTACAACTATCCACACTAAGCTCCCAATAATCACATAGCACTACTTCAACAATCACTAAGATGTCTTGGGTACTCTACCGCTTCCACGTCCACTATTGCCGCGATCTCGGCCTGAGTAACACTGTACTGTGCCATGAGCTTGTGGGCCACGACAAGGGTAGCCTCGGCTTCTGCCTCAAGATGGGCTTTTTATGGGTGGCCCGGTTGAGACATTTCCGCATTCTGTCAAGAATCTCTTTGTTGATAGTTTCAACGACGGTTATTCTGAGCCAGTTTGATTACCGTACACTGCCATTTTTGAGGCCCATGGCTTGTTTGTAGAATACATGGCAGCCCAGCAGGTAGCCGACTTCAACGCTGACTTTTCAGGGGACTTGTTGACTTGTCGTTATCAGACTTCTCCAGGGTCAATGTACACCCACTTGAGCACAGGTCTCCTCAGCCTTTAACAGGCAGCTGCGAGACTGGTTGCTTGGGAGGAATATGTCCAAGATATAGCAATTGGACAGAATACCCAAGCCAGTTCTATTCTCCATGCTCGCCAAATATTTTGAGGCTTTCGCATCATTGAGCTACAGATGAAGACGGGTTGGAAGAGACTTGATTGATGTACAGTATATTTGTTAACGCAGCCTTCTTTTCCAAGATTGAGAGAAGTAAAAAGAAAAGAATACAAAAATAGCATTCGCTCGATTAACCAATTACTCGGTATAACTCCGTTTCAATCTTAGCCCACAACTGGAGAACCTGAGCATCCCCAAATGGTAGTATCTGAGTACATACCATACCTGCAATTCCCTTTTCACGGTCACACCACCACCATAAATTTGCCAATCCTGCCCAATGCCCTGTTCCCGCTGAACGGCCGGTTGCTCCACCATTCGCAAGCTGGAATGAGAGACCCCAACCCTGGGGAGGGTTACCGGGAACCGGATACAGCTCTGAAATGGCGTTTGTTAAATCGGCCTTGGATGCCTGCAGTCCTTGCCGTCCGTGATCGGGAAATTGTGGAATCTGGTTGCGAAACATTTCGTGTACGGTTTCCGGCTGTAAAAGCTGCGCTCCTGTGCGTGGGCACTTGCCATTGTTAAGTAGCACGGCCAATATCTCTATTACTTCATTAGCATAGCGTCCTCGAGTCGGCATTCGACAGAGATCTTCTTCTTTCCTACTTACGGCAATATTCTTGCGGCTTCGCGAACATTCCAGCTCCGCCGCTATTGAAGATCTTTTCCACCTCACTCTCGTTACCCAGGTCGACAACCAGCGGTGCTCGAAGAAGATGATCTCGTGGCCTCAATGTACCGTTCTCGGCCCTGGAGTGCATATGCGCCAGCTTTCGGCGCATCTCGGCGTTCGGAATCATAGACATGTTTTGAATGCCCAGGGGTTGAAAAACGGTGAGTTTTAAGTATTCATTAAGCGACAGTCCCGTCACCCGCTCCACGAGGAGCCCGGCCCAATCGATGCCAACCTTGGAAACTATTTAGCAACACAAAGTATGGGATAGCTTCCCTCGATTTCCAGAGACGATAATCAAGTTGGCTAACTTACCCCATATTCCCATCCTTCACCGGGCTGAAACAGAAGCGGCATCTTCATATCGTCAAAGCGTCCTGAGAATTCGTCGATACCTGCCGGAAACGACCAATCTCTCAGGCGGTCATTGAAAAAGGTGTAGCCAAACCCAGCCGTGTGGCTCAGGAGCATTCTCAACGTGATCGCCACCTTTTTGTCTTCGAAGCTGCCGTCCTGCCGTAAGACGTTCAGACGTTTCAGTTCGGGACAAATACTTTCGACCTGCTGTCCATTATCCAGCTCCAAACGGCCTTGCTCAACAAGCTGCATACATGCCACTGCAGTGAGCAACTTGGTGCAGGACGCAATCCAAAATATAGTGTCCAGTGTCATGGGCTCTGAGGAGGTCAGTCCCCGTTTGCCAGCCGAGTGGGCAAATAAGTCTTTGCCATCTTTTCCAACGACTACGACGGTCGCGCCGGGAATCCCCGCTGCTTGGTCTTCGCAAGCTGCGTTTACAATGTTCTCGAGGGTGGTCAATGTCTTTGCGTCGAGCGGCATTCTGGCGTGACTTGACGCGGGATGATGATGATTCCCTCTGTTTTTTTTTGTGGTAGATTTTGATAATACTGTATGGTTCAATGTCCGACCAATTCAATTCTAATAGAAGGATTCTGTCCATGCGAATGCTTAAATACTATATCTTTGAGCTACTTAGGTAGTCGTAGTAGGGCAAACAGATCACCGGCGTCGATTATCCGAGCGCCCCCTCGCGTCCTTTGCGGGTCCACAATTCAATAGTTAGTGAGTGCGTCCCCGCAAAGTTGATCCCTGTTACCCCGCAAAATAAAAGGTTGGGGGAAAAGTCGGTGACAAACAGGACGCCGTAGAGAAAACAACAAGGCAAGGAGTCTGATTACAATCTCACACATCTATGCTATGTATTTACCGCCCAAAGCCAACTCGGACTGGTCCAGCGACGATTTCCCATGACTCGACGCAACCCCCCAAATTGCGGAGCAAATTGCGGAGAGACAGAGGGGAAAACATTTGCCCACCGTGGGTACCTTATCCCTGCTGTGGAGACGACGTGTTACTGGGTGAGGGGGGTTTGGAATCAGGTGGTCTGGACGAAAGGTCGGGTGAGAGGAGAGACATGGAACTCCCTGGGAGGTTTAAACGATTATTCCTGACATTCTGAACTTAGCCAACTGTGCTATCCACTCACCGGCCTCTTCAGAAGTAGTAAGTATTATGGGTGCGATAGAGCGGTCCATAGAAGACTGTTGCTTAGGAAGTATGCTTGTAATATATTTGACCTAATTGGCTTCTCTGGTTACACATGTTTAAATGCTCCAGAACGGTTGCTACTCCAGTACGGTTATTCAACGCAAACAATATAGATTCTGACCGGACAAAAGGAATATTGCGTAGGGCCTCCACTGAATAACTATACAGGATTGGATAAATAAACCGGTTTGGACAGGCTGTACGCGAACCTAATTGGCCATCTCCGAGAATTTTTAAGCGAATTGTCTAGACGGAAAATGTCTCACTCAAAGCGGCCCATCACAATGCAATCAACGAGCGATCCGTCCCCGGATTTTTGAACAATACCTACTACTACCCCTCAGGACAGGATATGCCCTACTAAGGACACAGCCGTCCTCGCCGATTTAGTCTTATTTATTATGATGAATCTGCATAAAGTAAAGCTCACTAACTATAGAGACAACATGATCATCTAACGCAATCCGTCTGCTTTTCAGATTCAAAACGCTTGCCCAACCTATGTCATTACATCCATGATGTCCTAAAGGCCTTCTTCCCCAAGTGGAAGATCGGTTCATCGTAACCACCAAGTTTAACCGGTTCCGCATGACACCAGCGATCTGGTACAAATCTTAGTTGGACCCTGGATTTGGTTACAGTGGGCAGACTACCTGAATCGTCACTTATTATAGTAACAATTCCATGAGTGACCCGTGGAATAGCCTTTTATATTCTCGTGTTCTCAAAAATAGCAATGGTTCCAATTCACGTAATGGTCAGTGGCTGTTTTTTCCGGATTCGGGGGACGGGTCTATACATACTCGTAGGATTCGATTCGAAAGATTCTTGCCATTGTTCGTCCCGACAATTATGGAAATAGGTCATACCACCCCGGTGCTAGATAATTTGGGAGGATAAATTGCAACATGACATGGTATGGTAAAATCAACCTTATCCCATTGGCGATGCCTTCACAGCCTCTGTAGTCTCGTATTTCGCTATCGACGGACAGCAACCCGCTGGTAAATTCAAGCTCTAAATCCGATCTGCGATATATTTAGTAACTTGGGTGGTTTCGTTCGTCGTCAAGGTTAGGGATACCAATGGGAGCAATCTCGACTAAGGGTTATTGAGCAAATGGTAGTTGCACCCAAAGAACTGGTCTCCTTTGCTCCAATTTTTGCTACCTAGGTAGACTTGAGACACTGCCAGAAAAAAATCAACAGGAATAACCTGAAGACGACGTCACGATTTAGTAGATAGTTAGCTAGAAGAGTCCAACTGGGAGAGAGGGGACGTTGGCACAAAGGAAATATAAATACTGGCTTGACTTCTTCTGTCTCGGTTCCTACGATGCTCTATCTATTTCCTCACGAGCTTATTCTTCTCATTGAGATCCCATTCGGTACACTTAAGTCTCTATTGAAAAACAACCTTGGACAGTAACCCGCTGGACAAAATGAAGACAACTTCTGTGTCAGCTGCTTTGATCCTAGGCCTCAGCGCTGTTCAGGCGCAGAACCTAGCCCATATTACCTTCATCGGGGCAGGTGATGCTCAATTCACTCAAGACTTCCCTACTGATGGATCATTTATCCATATCAGTTCGTGCCCTGTCGATAGTAGCCCTGCAGTAGTTATGGTTTCTAATGAATCACAGGCAACCCTCTGAGTATCTCGCACATATCGTCCAGTACGCAAGGCATTGCCTGCGCCTTCCACGGCATCGATCACAGTCTCACCACAGTCGTCGGTGTAGCAGAGGTGGATGTCGGCCCTCCTCAGACGCAAGTTGAAGGTTCCTGCACTACGGAGTCAACTCCTCCTAGCCCACCAACCCAGGCTCGACCACCAGGAGGTCAAGTTCTCATTACCTTCCTTGGAGCCGCAAATGCCCAGTTCAGCCAGGTCTTCCCTATCAATGGTCACCTTACTCAAATCAGTATGCCACACCTAGACGGATGCCCGCAATTACGTGCAAGCTAATGTGTATGGTAGCCAATCCTCTTAGCATCTCACATATCAGGTCGGATACTAGTGGAGTTACGTGCTCCTTCAATGGTATCGACAGCAGCGTTACTTCGGTTAATGGTGCCCAGACTGTTGATGTTGGACCTCCCCAGACGCAGGTCTCTGGTGCATGCCGCGCTGCTTAAGGCAACATTGTTACCCTCCTGGAGATAATATATACATATATATATGTGTATACTCCGAGGCCGGTTCTGAAGGTATACATATTTGATTCGCCTCGGGTATTGGTCGAGTCTCAGACTTTTCCTACTTGGAAAAGGTGCTTGGGGAGTTTTATAATAGCCAGTATATAATAGTAATATCGATGAAGAAACTCGGTTTGTACTGCAGAGTGTTTGTTACTTGATTAGTCTACTTGAATTCTATTTGTTTATGCCAAACCACCTACATCTTTGATATATACTTCCTTGTGATCCCTTTTGGATAGCAAAGATCAAACTACAGTAGTAAGTAGTTAAAATATGGGCCAAGTTATTTTCAGGTTTGGGTTTAATACCTGAATCCACGCATTTACTTTACTTACACCGATCATACTTTTCGAATACTCTCGATAATGTGGTAATCTGATTATACAACAGTCCTACCTGGGTACCTTTTCACATTTCCTTCCCGCTCTGTTTTGCTTTGACCAGAACACCTCGGATATGAGGGAGCTGACTGAATTGGCCTTGATTCACACCCGGCCGGAGCTCAACAGATTCCCATTTCCCAGTAGTGCGAAGCAAATGCTCTGTATCACGAGTGATCGTGCACCCGTCCAGGAAAACCGGCCACACACGATCAACAATCACTATCAAGGGTATTAATAAAGAGCCAGACAAGGCGGCAGTGGAATCCGAGACTCACTCTGAAAAGCCCGCGGAAGGAACTTTCCGCCGTCGATTTTGACATGCTCATACACCACCCAGTCACCTCCCGGCTTCAGACACTCGTACAGCTTGGTGATGAGGACCTCCGGTGCAGACACACTGCACAAAACATGCACCGTGGAAATCGTATCGATCGTCCCCGGCTCAATGCCCAACCGCTGCAAATCCTCCACCCCGCCATCGAGAACCTCACACCTGTCTTTCAGGCCCAGTTGCTCCGCGCGCGTCCGCAGCGTCTCGTGGAATTCCCGGTTCGGTTCCAGCAGCAACAACTTCGTGACGTTACGGTTTCTCTCCGGCGCGAAGAGGTACATCCAGTCGCCGGAGCCCGACCCGACTTCCAGAACCACCCCGTGTGCCTGGGGCAGGAGCGCTTCAATATCAGGCGCAAACAGGAACTTGAACTTTTCGCCGAAGAAGTGCCAGAAGCGAGCAAACCAGAATTTCTGGAACGATTCCCATGATCTTAGAGGGTTGAAGTTGAGATCTTTTAGCATGATCAGGAGCGCGATGGGGAGGTAGAGGATCGACAGGAGAATTACGAGGATGGGGACTAAGAGGTCAAGGATGTATAGATTAAGCATATTGGGTCTTGTTTTTTGGTTTTTGTGGATTTTCTTGGGAAGAAGAATATTTGACGTTTCGGAAGCATACTAGATTGTTTCTTGAGGTAGGTCATCGAGCTCGCGTTAACTATATAAGAAGTGCATCGTAGGTTTCTAGACTGCAGAGTAAGTTCAGTCAGCGTCTGATGCATAGACGGTAAGTTTCTCTGCCCTCCAATAGCCGATCAGAAAACCAATTAACTGTATACTATAGGTAGTTGGCATTTTTTTTTCCCCGACGCATTCATAGGGAGGCCTCAAATTTAATGGTCGGTTGAAAAGGCTGGACTTTCTTATGGCGATTGGGAACCACGGGTCAACTGGGGTTATAATCACAAGGCCAAAGTAAAGTGACGTTACCATTGTTCGCCCTCATGCCACAAGGTCTAGATGAATGATGTAAAATGGTTTACCTGCATAGAGATCTTCTGGTTGGCTGGCCTCAAGAAATATCATCAGCAACCTGATCGAGAAGTGGAATATCTTAAGAGGTTTTTGGGAATCTCCCGATTTTCCCACTCTAATCCGAATATGCTCCGTAAAGATCGTACGGTTGAATGGTTATACAATGAAGGAGTCGATAATGGCAAGAGCTATATGAATATAATAAACAACCTTCGCTGTGATGTAGAAAAAGTATGTAATATTGATTAAAAGAAAGAATGGATAGTCATAAAAAGAGGTATGCAGTTACGCATATTTATAGTCATCAATTAACACCAATTGTTACATGCATGATTGATTGCCTTCGTTCACCGTACCCAGATGTATATATGATTCAGAAATGGAAATTTTTACAGCTTAGCAAGCATCTTGTTGCCGTTGGCCAGGAGTTCAGCGGCGTCGTCGACAAGCTCATCAACAATAGCCTTGGCAGACTTCTTCTCGTTGACGACGGCGGCGACCTTGCCCATGAGGAAAGGACGAGCATTGTCGAGGTACTCGTCGTCAACGTCATCGGGCAGGTTCTCGAAGTCGTGCTCAACGGGAATGATACCCTTAGAGGTAAGCTCCTTGATCTCATCCCGGCGGTTCTCCTCCCAGTTGAGAATGTAGGCGTTCTTGCGGACACGAAGAGGACGACCCTACGTACATGTTAGTGATACTCCAGCAAATCTATCCCGGGGGAAACTTGCAGTGAAGATAATTGTGCGAATGTTATCCTCGAAGCCAGCAGTGCGGACAGCCTCTTGGTGAGCGACAGGGGCACCGGCTTCATCGGACAGGATGAAGCGAGTACCAACCCAGACGCCAGAAGCGCCAAGCATAAGAGCAGCAGCAAGAGAGTTGCCGTTGAAGAGACCACCAGCAGCAACAACCTGCACGGGCTTACCAGTCAGGGGGCTGAGCTTACCCTGGCAGAGCTTGGCAACAGTAGGGATGAGAACAGTGGTGGGAACATCACCAGTATGACCACCACCCTCACCACCCTGAGCGCAGATAATGTCGGCACCAATATCAATAGCCTTCTGGACGTGCTTGGGGTGACCGATCATGTTCATGTAGAGGATACCATGCTGGTGGAGCTTGTCGACAGCCGCCTTGGGGGGGACACCCACAGCGGAGACGAAAAGCTTCGCACCGCTCTCAATAATGATGTCGATAAGCTCGTTGAGCTTGCCCTTGGTGTAATCGTAGCTGAAAACAATCTTTCGTCAGTACTAGGAACACCCGCGGCGCCGATCTCCGAATCCTCACTTAGTCTTGCGTGCGCTTCCACCAACCTGAGGAAGCAGGAGGTCGACACCAAAAGGAGCGTTCTTGTCCTTCAGGTAGCTCTTGAGCTCAGCAACCTGTTCGCGGAGCATTTCAGGGGTATAGCCAACACCACCAATAACACCGAGACCACCGGCGTTAGTGACAGCTGCGGCCAGCTTGGGCCCAGCAGCCACGTTCATACCTGCCAGCAGGATGGGGTGGTTGATCCCGAGCAGATCAGTAATAGTAGTACGGATTTTCTCTAGGAGCGTGACGTGTCAGTAAAGAGCTTCTGGATAGATTTGGTTGCCACATCGGCCATCACATGCGACAGGGATAGACAGCGGGAGCTTACGAGGAGAGGCCATGGTTGTAGAGAGATGTCAAAACAAACAAATCTGGGGTATGGAGAAGAGAATGGAGAAATAGTAGAAACAGGAAGTGAGATCCTAATAAACGGGGGTTTAAAAAGAGGAATGGGGAGAAGAGTGCGTTGGTATGAGCGAGCACGCTCTCGGGGGAACCGAGGAGTACAAAGAGCTAAAGGGAAAAAAAGCCTCGGCTGAACGTGTTGACCTCAGGCTGCTCTTTTCCCCAGAATTTCGGGGGCGCCAAATCGGCTGACTAATCCAAGCGGGGTTGGCCGCGGGGCCTAAGTGGCCAGGTGTCTATATGCCTCAGGCAACAATTATTCCCCATCAGCTGACTCCGCGTCACGTTTCGTTCCCTTACTGCATGACGTATTGGTCGCTTCTTATCATTTTCTAGACCTTCGCTTCTGCAGGATACACCTCTGCAAACCCACAGGAAGGATGAGATCTGGGTCCATGAGGGGCTGGCATCGCTGTGCTGCACGCTGGAATTCAGCCATCAGTGGCTCTCGCTCCCGCCCCGCCTCCGGTTACTTTTTCAAGCTCTCCGAGAGAAGATTCTGCGGGACCTGGATACTGAGGTAGCTTCGCCTGATGTGCCATTGCGCCTTGATTGATATTCTAATGCAGACAGTGGTCGTCCTATTTCCGGTAATGACATGGCTCTTTCACCCTATGCAATTGCAAGAACCCTTGCTCCAGGCATTTTCTAAGCAATTACTTTGAATCCTCTACATCACAACTCAAGCCCTGCACTGGCTGGACTAACTATGCCATTCAGAGCTCCCACAGAGTCGCACCTTCGATAGGCGAACGGTTCCGAAAGCAAACACTTCTAATCACCGCCATGAGCCGCTAAGACCGTCTGCCCCAATTCGAACATTTTCCAGCACTCAAACAGTGCCATTCAAGTCCATCATGAACCCCATCAATGCTTCTTCCCATACAGCATTCATTGCTCTAGGAAGTAATGTCGGAGAGCGTGTTGAGATGATCGAACAAGCCTGTTTGGAGATGGAGAGGGCAAACATCAGGGTTCGACGCACTAGCTCTCTGTTCGAGACAGCTCCTATGTATTATCTTGACCAGAATCCCTTCATGAACGGGGTGTGCGAAGTATATCTTCCATTTTCGCCAAACATTGTATGTCCAATTGCTGAATAACTTGTCAGGTGGAAACCAGCCTGGAGCCTCTAGAGCTACTAGACACTCTGCAGTCTATCGAAATCGATCTAGGTAGAAAGAAGTTGATTGATAAAGGCCCACGGTCCATTGATCTGGACATTCTTCTCTACGACCGCCAAATCTTCTCCCATGATCGCCTCAATATTCCCCATAAGCTGATGTTAGAACGAGACTTCGTCCTCCGACCTCTATGCCAGTGCGTTACCAACCACATTTGTAGATTGAAACAAGGACTGATAAATGCCAGGCTTATTCCTCATGAGATTGCCCCCTTCCCTGGACACAGCACAACCTATCTGTCCCACCTCAAAGCCCTTCCTCCGCCAGAGCCTATCCCTGTAGCAACGACACACATATCAAAGAATTTCCCACCTCTCTGCTCTACAGACCCCAAGCGTCCCACTCACATAATGGCCATCCTCAACCTTACTCCCGACTCATTCTCTGACGGCGGTGAACACTTGACCAATGACCTCTCCGTTCTGACAGACACCGTCCGCGACTTTATCAAGGCCGGCGCAACGATTATTGACATTGGCGGCGAAAGCACCCGTCCAGGCTCCGTACCTGTCGGCGAAGACGAGGAATTGGCCCGTGTCATCCCAGCCATCAAACACATCCGTGCCTCCATCCCTGAAGCCGCCAAAATCGCCATCAGCATCGACACCTACCGCGCCCGCGTAGCCGAAGAGGCCTGCGCCGCTGGTGCAGACATCATCAACGATGTCTCTGCAGGCCTGCTCGACCCAGAAATGCTCCCGACGATGGCTCGCACTGGCAAATCCGTCATCCTAATGCACATGCGCGGCTCTCCCTCGACCATGACCAAACTAACAGAGTACCCTAATGGCGTCATCCAAGACGTAAGCAAAGAACTCCTGGACCGTCTCGCTGCCGCCGAAGCAGCCGGTATCCGTCGCTGGCGAATCATCCTCGACCCAGGTCTCGGGTTCGCAAAAAACATGCCCGAAGATCTGACTATCCTTCGGGACTTGGAGAAATTCCGCACAGACATTGAGGGACTAGAATACTTTCCATGGCTGATGGGGCCCTCCCGGAAGCGGTTTATCGGGCACCTAACAGGTGTCCAGAAGGCCAGTGAGCGTACCTGGGGCACTGCAGCTACTGTAACGGCCAGTATTGCAGGGGGAGCGGATATCATTCGTGTCCACGATGTCAAGGAAATGTGGCAAGTTGCCAGGGTCGCAGATGCTATATATAGGGGGGGTTCGTGACGATAAAAGATTTATTTACATATATGGTTAAATAAATATATATATATATATATTATATATCTATGGATTTTAGGGAGTAGGCTTATTCCAAGCTAAAATACCATCTCACTCCAACATAAGTGAATTCCCATGTGAGTTCCTGTCGGAAGGGGTAGAATATTTTGCTTCAAGATTGCCTGGCCCCGCCCCGTACGATGCGGGAAGTTGACACCAAAGACAATTGGGAATACCTCTGTGGTTTTATTTCTTCCTTCTCTTCTCTCTCTCTCTCTATATCTGGAGGGACTGAGGATGTAATAGTGTTTACCCCCTCTTAAAGCGGCAACATCCGAATCAAGTAGCAACACTAGAGACGCTACTAATAATAACAATAGGCGTAGAGAAGTACGGAGTACTCGATGACAAGAATTATACAATACCTATCTATACATGGCTCGTAAGAGGTCCACCAAAAAAAAAAAAAAAAAAAAAAAGATGCAGATACAGAAAGACAGCATTAAGATATGATTGTCCTATTTTCGATCGACAAAACTCCTAAGGAATGAAGTCAATCTACTTATTTGAAACAAATGTACAGGAACTGTATAAGGGGATAAACTAGCCAAACAAGTAGGATAGGGGTCATGGATGTAAATCAAGATTTGAGGATTTTTCAACTACTCAAGGAGGGATTAACAGAACAAGAAAGTAATATAAAAATAAACACAAACGAGCCGACCCGTGACCAGCAGAGAAAAAGAAAAAGAGGAACCAAGCCCGAATAGAAGCCCTCACCAGGATGGTTTAAAGAGATCAATTCGATCAGTTTCAGTTAATATAGAAATCGAAAGCGACGCGCCGAGGTCTACGACGCGGGATTTAAGACGAAGATGAAAATGAATAGGGGGAATAGTAAGAATGGGGCTTGGTAAGAGAATATGATAAGAACGAACGCCATTATGACGGAAGAAAAACTGAGGCTAACTCGCAGTATGGTTGGTCATGCTGTGGATATCATCGTAATCTGAGTTGCACATATCTAGTTGTTAAGGTAGCTGCGGATAGCGCCTAGATTGCCATGTAAGTAGGGGAAATTAGAGAAGTTGATGCAAAGACTCACCTTGAAGCTTGACGGCGCCTTCTCCCACAATGTGGGTCAGGTTCTCGAGATCATCACCGGCGGTGATACCGAATCGGCGCACAAAGTCCTTGGCGGCGGACTCGAGATCGCCGTAGGTGTCATCAACAGCGGGATAATCATCCTCGGGTCGACCGAAGTAAGAGTTGCTGGAAATAGCGGTGGCACCATCAAATTGACTAAGGCGTTCCTTAGCTTCAGCCTGTGCGGTGGGGTCGAATCGATCGCGTCCGAAGAACTCATCGGACGAGATACCCTTCTGAGCGCCGAATCTGGACTTTGCTTGGCGAAGTTCCTCCTCTGAAAGAGAATCGATCGTTAGCTTTGTCCAACATAACGAACATTGGGAGATAAATAAATCAACTGACCATCTTCTGCAGATTTGGGAGAGCCCACAGATCCGAATCCCAGCTTCTTGGGAGCAGGAGCAGCCGCGGGTTTTGAGCTAAAGGTCTGGCCAAATCCGAGTCTTCCCATGCCCATTCCAAGGCGCTCGACATCGCTAGAGTTCCTCTCCTGCGAGGTTCTCGTGGCGCCAAAGCTTCCCCCGCTGGGATTAATAGGAGTAGGTGAGGCAATGGCAGCGGCACTGGCGCTAGGGGTCTTGGCTTTAGCTTCTGCCTCCTCAGCTTCAGGATCATAGCCCAGTTTCTCTTTGCGTTCAGCTTCCTCCTTAGCCTTCCTCTCAGCCTCTTCGAAATCAATCACCTCGCCGCCCCCGATCTTCTTTGCGCCAAGCTTAGGCGCCTTCTTCGCACCGAGAACACTGCCCTTCTTTCCAGCCGCTGTCGCGGGAGTTTTCCGAACGGTGGCGGTGGCCCGAATAGCAGCCGGCGCAGGTGACGCAGATTCCTTATCAGAAGCTGAAAGTGGAGATTTCGAACGAGAGCCGTTGGCGCCTGCATTCAGGAAGGGAGAGGCAGTGCGGCTGACAACTGGTGGGGTACCGGTACGAGAAGGAGGGTTGCTAGGGCGCTTGATAGCTGGTTTATCCCAGGAGGAGAAGAAATCATCGTCACCATCACCAGCAGGTGTGCTAGAACCGTTCGAGCCGGTTTCAGCGGGGACATCTGTAATCACAACCTCATCGGGGTACCTAAATCATAACATACCGGTTAGCCTCTAAAGGGGGGGCGGGAGGGGGGAAGGCGGAGCAATATTCATGGGGGCACGAACTGCTGTGCATCGACAGCGGCGCGTCTCTTCAACTCTTCCTTGTACTTAACGGCAGCATTGCAGGTGTACTTGACTTTGGGGTCTTTGCTAGCCAGAGCGGCGGATCCTCCGTTCGATTGGAAGTATTTCGTAGCAGACTCGTTTCCACCGACTTTCATAACCCGGAGTTGCTCCCATTGCCATTCTATCCCAAAAAATGTTAGTGCTGTGTACAAGGATGGTTTTCGAGATGATGTAGAGGAGGCGTACGGTCGAGGTTTGTGGAACGAACAAAGGAGATATGGACGCCCAGGTTACGGTGATGCGCAGAGCAATCCAGACACAGGTATATTCCGAATGGGACGGACGACCAAGTAGGATTTTTAGAGCCGCAATCGAAGCATATCTATCGTCAAGCGAAAAGAAGAAGAAGAAAAAGAGAGAGAGAGAGCAAGGTCAGATGGGAAGATTGCTCGTTGTGCCGGTTGGGAGTGAGGAGGGGTCTCTGCACACCTTATTTGCAGTTTTTAGCTTAAGTTTCTCAAAAATCTTCTGAGACTGCGCCTTTGTGGCACTCATGATGACGAAGGAACGATGATCAGGGGGTTTTGTGGCAAGATGTTCAGGAAGGAGAAAAAGTGAGAGAGAGAGAGAGAGAGCTGGAAGTGAGGAAGAAAGTACGAGATCCCCAAACGCAGCCAAGTCGAACGTGGTCGGAATGGGACAATTGCAACCTAAGGCATCGAGTACGGGTTCTTTTCGCCTTCCGTAATTTTCACTCTACACTAGTTTCACTTGGGCCCGATTTCGGCCTATGAATGTCTTTGAATTTGACAAGAACTTGCAGATAGGCAGTTGGTATCAATCAACTACTTTGGTCAGCTAACCCGTGATAATTTTTCCAGACAAGATCCAAGTCCCTGAACGCGAGAGCATAACTTCCAACATGCATCCCCCGTATTGCAAATACTGGAAAGACGGGTCCGGGACCCACGTGACCCCTCTCTCGATCCCCACATGAAGAAGTCGAGGCACCAAAAGGGTGGAAATTATCGCCAGGCACGAGAGCAAACCGGAGATGAGACAAATCCCAATAATCATCTGAGTTTCGGTGTTTCATTCCTCGTATTTGTTGTGCGACTAGGCCCGACTTTCCAATGAGCACTGGACTGGGTTGATCGAAACCTAGGGACTTCATATCTCAGAATCAGAATGAGCCTCATACAACGATCGAATCTCCCCTTCCGAAGGGCCCTGATACACTACCATCCCCTCCTCCCCCGCATCTCACATAACTCCTACGCCACACAAAGCGATCTTGGACGAGACTCTGGAGCCGCCCCGCGACGAAGAAACGTGACCGTTTTATCCGATGATGGACGATATACTTGGGGAGAGCTGAGTGGGAGGGAGAAAGTGGCGAGAGCAACGCAGCAGTCGTTCAACTTTGTGGTTATCCTGGCTGGCGTTGTATTGACAGTGAGTTTTCTTTTTTCTTTTTTCTTTTTTTCAGCCCATTCGATTCTGCCCAAAGATCTGGGCGCAGTGCTGATCGTTAATGTTCGGATAGGGTGGAGTCTTCACATTACTGTACCAAGAGGTGTTTTCGCCAAATAGTAAGACGTGGCAGTTTGAGAAGGCTGTCGAGCGCATTAAAGACGATGCCCGGTGTACGGATATCCTAGGTGATAAGAGGGAGATTGTGTTCTACGGGGAGAATACTTCGAGTCGGTGGGCGAGGAACAGGCCTATTGCGTATGTATTTCTTTATCCCTATATGGGTGAGTGTGCTGTGCTAATGATCATTTCAGGACGACGATTGAGAAGGACCGATTGGGCCGCGAGCATCTGCGCATGAATTTCCATGTATGTCACCTTGGTGACTTGGCGGTTTTGCAAATCAATAGAGCTAACTGGCACAGGTTGAGGGTCCACGGAACTCCGGTATTGTCTTCGTCCATATGATGAAGCCCTTGGATAAGAGCGAGTGGGAGTATCAACTTCTTGCCTTGGATGTAAAGGGTTAGTTCTCTTCTCTGGGTTCGGGTTATCTATCGTATTAATCTTGTTACAGGTCATTCCCGTGTTATCCTCGAACAGGCTCATGAGAAACCCGGGGTGGGCCAGGCGCTGAAGATTTTCGGTATCCAGTGGCGATGAAAAAAAAAAAAAAAGGAATGTTCGACTGCATTCACCAATAATGACTTATTGTATTATATCAAGGCACCCAGCCTTGAAAGGTTCATGAGATACCTAGTGTACACCTACAGATTCCTCACAGACCTACTACTACCCTAAAATAATGGTAGTCTAGGAGACTTTGATTAAATGAAAAAATAAAGTCATATTTCAATGCGTATATAGATATAGATATAGATATAGATATATATATTGTGAATACACAAGCGTAGCATATCAAACACGCTTATGTGTCTGTCTTTCATCTCACACATAAACCAGCCATTTCATCGCCGAAATCATATCCTAGGACCCTCCAAAATAGGCTTTGCTTCTGCCGACCTCCACCAACTCTTACCCTCCTCACCAGGGAAGGCAAACTTGTCCATGCTCTCGGCCTTCATCTCGACACTGTATCCCGGCTCCATCGGTGTAACGTAGTATCCATCCTTAACACTAGATGGGTGCAGGAAGTGCTCGTGCAGATGGTCAACATACTCAAGCACGCTCTTCTTGCCACTGACAACAACGTAGTCAATGGTGCTCAGGTGCTGCGTATACTCGGGTAACCCGACCCCGCCAGAGTGAGGGACAATCGGCACACCAAACTTGCGGGCAAGCAGCAGGATAGCCATGACCTCGTTGACACCACCCACACGGCAAGCGTCGGCCTGGAGGACCGTCAAGGCTCCCGCCTGCAGAAGCTGCTTGAAGATCACGCGATTCTGGCACATCTCACCAGTAGCGACGCCAATGGTGCCGTAGGGAGTGTTCTCGAGGGCCTTCTTGATGGTGGCGTGGCCCAGGATGTCATCGGGGGAAGTGGGTTCTTCGATGAACCAGGGCTTAAACTCTGCAAGGTGACCCATCCATTCAATGGCCTCGGGGACGGACCAGACCTATTTCGCGAAGTTAGATCCGTCGGGATATATAGATATATAGATATATATATGCCTAGGTAGAAACTTACCTGGTTCGCATCCACCATGAGAATATTTCCCTGGTCATACCCAATAGCCTCCCGGGCGATGGCCAACCTCCTCTTATCATCCTCGAGGTTAGCGCCAACCTTCAGCTTGAAATGCCTATAACCCTGCTCAACGCTCTGCTTCAGGAGCGCCTTCAGCTTCTCCTCACTGTATCCCAACCACCCAGCGCTCGTGGTATAAGCCGGCACGGCCTGGCTCAGCTCAGCCTCCTTAATGCGGTCCGCCTTACCACCCTCGACCTCCTTGAGAAGAGCAATCGCCTCCTCCGGTGTGATGGCATCGGTAATATAGCGGAAGTCAATGCAGCCGACGTACTCCTCAGGGGTCATATCAGCGACAATGCGCCAAACAGGCTTGTTCAGGACCTTGGCCCACAGATCCCAGAGCGCATTGACAACAGCTCCGAGGGCCAGATGGATCACACCCTTCTCGGGACCGATCCAGCGCAGCTGACTGTCAGAAACAAGGTAGCGCCATGTCTTGCCCCAGTTGGATGTCAGCTCGTCGAGATCTTTTCCGACCAGGAGCGGGGCCAGAAGGGAGATGGCGGAGCAGACGATCTCATTTCCACGACCAATGGTGAAAGTCTGTAGATGGTGAGTGAGAACAAGCACTAATGCTTCTGGGCGGGGAGGAGGAGGAGGAGGAGGTAAAATTGGGTATTTTCACGTACCATACCGTGTCCAGCATAGGATGAGTCTGTGTAGAGAATACAGTAGGCAGAAGAGTAATCGCCAGCGGCATTCATGGCATCGGAGCCAGTCTTGTCGAGGGAGGTCTAATGGGTGCTCCGTCAGCGATTGGGCGTCCACAGCAAAGGAATTGGGGGTATTTGTGTCATACTGGAAACCTCACGTCTCGCGTGATGAAGCTTGTGATTTTGACCATTTTGTGATCTCTGTAGTTTCCTATGTCGTGTGTCGTCAACACTGGGGACTTCTCCGCAAAGGGAAGCATGAGATGAGTTCATACCTCCGAAGTAATCCGTCGTCAATGGCTCTGTTGATATACCCCAGGTGCCAGTCAAATGAACAGGGGGGAAAAGAAGAAGGAGAAGAAGAAGAAGACGAAGAAGACGAAGAAAGAAAAGATGCTGAAACGAGGGGAAAGGGGCGCATGATATAAGGAATATCTCTAGGGAAAGATTCATTGCCCCTCCCCCTCTTGATTGCAGGCTAAAAAGGATCCATCGATACATCCAGATCCCCAGTCAAGTGCCTTTAGTCTGGGCTATTAATTACAATTGTGCCGAGTGGAATCAGTAGGTTGATACTACTGGCAGCTACTATGGACCAGTTGGCGCGTCTTATTGGTGGAAGAATTATTCCAGCAGTCAGAAACATTTCCATTTCTTCCATCGGGGGCGCTCCGTGGTCGACTTTTGTATAGATTCTGGCTATGTCCTACAGGAGTTGGGGATGAAAGGAGTATACACTGTTTATCCTGAAAGCCCTCGCTTCTCGCTCTCCGAAAAGAAAATAATCATCCGCCACAGTTTCCGGACCAGCACTTCCGCCTCCTCGTCGAGTGCCTAAAAGAGGAATGTTAGAGATCATTAAAAAAAAAAAAAAAAAAAAGAACTGTCCCAGATATAAAAGAGATAAACTTACCTCTTCCAGTTGTTCTACAAGCTCTTGAGGATTTCCATGCTTGCGAACATGCTCCTCCACCACGTCCACCAACATCTGCTCCTGAACTCCCAGATACTCCACAATCTTCTTCTCCACGAACGGTTTGAGCTGCTCGCTGACCACAGACTCGTCCACAAATTCCCACTTGACTCCCCACTTCCATAGACCTTCCTTGTCCGTAGGGATCTCCGCGGCGAGTTGTCGTGCAGCCTGGGCTCGTTCCTCTTCGGACAGGCCGGCAGCTTCTGCAGCGCTGTCGAACTTGATCGGGATGAGGGGTCGTCTTGCCGTAGCCTCTGGCTCTTCTTCATCCTCGAGCAAACCTTCCACTTCGGCAACGGTTCGGCGGCTGGTAGCGGCTTGAGCCTTTTGGGCTGCCGCGCCAAGGGACAGCTTGAAGCGCTGGGGCTCCCGTGGCGCCTCGACTCGGGTCTCCAGTTCTTCGGCCTGGCGGGCCAGGAAGTCGTCTGCCATACCCCGAGCCTGTTCACGTTGCTGGACAGACCGCGCGCGTTCCCGCTCCTCTGCCGCGCGATCAGCCTCGTCCATGCTCACCTCACGAGCCCGGAAAGCTGCACGGCTACGTAACCAGGCGCCTCGGTCCACATAGTAATCATTCGATTTCCGAGTAGCCTCTGTTTCGTCATTCCACTCGCCCATTCGCTTAGCCACTTCATCGCGCACTTCTTGAGCTTTAGCCTGTTCTTCCTTATCCCGCTTTTTCTCTCGTTCCAGCGCTGCCGTTCTGCTACGCTCTCGATTGAGCCAGCGTCGCTCCTGATCAAGGAACTGTTTCTCGAGGTCCCCTTCGCGTTTCTCCTGTCGCCGTCTTTCCAGCTCCTCATCACTTGCATTCGATCCCTCGTCTTCACGATCCATGAAGACTGTGGTTGTTCCATTGATGGCGCCTCCGTTGACAAACGACACGCCCTTCTGGTAGTCCTTTGGAATCTGTACACCAAAGCCCTTGGGCCCAGAGGGGGCATTGGGCACTCCACGATCTCGGGAGCCTAGAGGAATCCCATTTGCGCCCGCAGCCGGTCCACTAGGCGCGGAAGGTGGAGGAGATGCTAAGCGGCTGACTCGCGGGCCAGCGTTTCGGGCCCGTTCCATAGACTCAATCTCCTCCTCCCTCTTCAGGCGCTCAATATCCCGGCGATTGCTACGCTCGCGAAATGCGGCAATTTCCTTTGAGACGGTTTCTCTCATCTCGGGGGGGATGTCAGAGAGCTCATCCTCCACTGTGATCGGAATGGTAACGACCTCGGCGGAGGTACCATCATTCTGGCCCTCAGCATCTTTCATTGCGGTATCACCCTCCCGATCAATGGCGGAAGCGTCCTCGGTCTGGGTAGGCGATGTTGGATGGCACAAGTCGGACAAGACGTTGGAGAGAGCGGTTTTTGCGGCTTCCATCCGGGCCTCGCGCTCGGCCGGGTCTCGGTCACCTCTAGTAGCTTCGTACTGCTCCAAGTATTTGAGAGAGCTCTCGTCAACAACAACCTATCACATCCATTAGTACGGTCGAATCAGAAGCCCCGGAATAGGGTCCATACCAATAGCGTGCTCTTTTCCACCTCCTGCTGTTCTTTGTCCTCTCCGTCGGACGGCATCTGTCTCTTCACAGGGACTTGCACGTCCTTTAGCACTTCAACAGCCGTACCTAGACTCTCAGGGTCCTCGTACTCTGCAAAGCCAAATTTGCATGGTTTGTCATCAGCATCCGTGGCACGGATCCAGCGCCGCAGATTACCAGCAGACCGTAGAATCCGCTCCATGCCCTCGTCGCCACCGAGGCCCTCGGTAATCCCGCCAACAAAAAGGGTCCTCACAATTTCATCTCTCGTAGGCGGCTGTAGCTGCATCATTGCATCTCGCACATTCTGGCGCTGGGACTCCAGGCTCGATGATCCTAACCCCGCCCGTCTACCACCCGATTCGCCGCCGCGCTCTTTTGTGGTATCTGGAGTCGCGGATTTGGATGGACCGGATGTCCCAAGTCGAATTACGGGAGCGGAAAAGTTGATATTTGGCATATTCGGAGGAGGTTGAAAGTTCGCCGGGAAGCCTGCAGGTCGACCAGGCTGCTGGGCATTCGCTTGCTGCATGCCTGGCGGAGCAGTACCAGGTGCAGCCATTCCGGGAGGAGGAGCTACAATATAATTAGATGTGAGAATAGAACGAAGCAGATAAAGAAAATAAGATAATTAGCAAACTTACCCATGCCCGGAGGTGCTCCTGGATAAGCTCCGTACTCGGGGGGGCGGCCATAGAGACCGGGAGCTGCATATGTCAGTTCAAATAATGTCGTTAAACGATACAGGAGAACACATATTGTTCAGATGCGAGTGGGTGAAACATACGTTGATAGGGATTGTACATTGCGACAGGTCGGTAGCTCCACCTCAGTGACAAAACCGGAGAGCGACACTAGAAAAAGGAGGGACGCGAAGCAAGTCGTCGTATCTTCACGATCTGCGTAGATTTGGCAAAATAATCTCAACCCCTCCGCACAGGTAGATATCCTTAAAGGGAACCCGTGAGGTGTTCTGTGGGATGGAAGAGATGAGTGCAGGCTGGTTGGACCTTTGGGCGGATTTGATGCTGGAGAAAAGTCCATGTGGTCCGTGCACGCTCTTCTTGGCGCTGCAGGTCGTTCACGCATTTTTGAAGTCTTAGGGAAAGTGGACAAAAAGTAGTTTATATTAGTTTTGGGTTGGGGATAGTTAAATTAGAGGTAGAGATATTTATATTTAGGTGTTGAGGGTCATACCAAGCCTTGGTTGTTGATATTGTTGTCTTTTTCAATGCTGGTTTGTGCGAGTAAGACTTTATACTATATGGTACCTAGGTAGGTAGGAATGCTGTATATACATATATACCCCCAGGAATAACTAGGTGCTGACTTTAGAAGAATAAGAATGTTATAAACTATTATGCGACGTAAAAGACATTCTATAGAATTCTGATTCTAAATTGATGGATAGCTTTCCAATTGACTCACTTCCTCCTTACTACTAGTACTAGGCACTTGTATACAGAAAATAGAGAGAGAGAGAGAGAGATTATCAAGATTCAAGTCAGGGTTAGTAGTCTAGAATGCAAGATGACAAACTATTTGCAATTTCTTGTCCAGATGACTCTAATTAAACCAGAATAATAATATAATATAGGTCTGGTTAAAAGGCTCTGGTGCCCCCACGGTTGCCCCTCTACGGACCTCAATACGCCGGGACCGTTGGAAACTTGACGACATAAACAGCTGTTGACCTCAAAGCATCATAAGTTTCCTTTTCTTCTGACATCCTTCCTCCTCCTTCTCTCTCCTTCTCATCGTTATTTTCATTTCCATATATTTCTGTTGTTAGGTCCTTTGTTGAATTTCTGGTAAGCTCCCTCCCTCGTTTTGAGCTTTAATAGCTTGCTTTCATCACTATAGAGAAAGCCCCGCACTGACGCCAATTTCTCCCTCCCCCCCTCTCTCTCTTTCTCTCTCACTCACTCACTCATTTTTTGATAGACATTCCTCTACATTAAACCCACTCCACATCCTTCATAATGCCCTCTTTCTCACAAGCCGCTGAACTTTCCGCCTGGAAGGAACTCCAGGAGCACCACAACTCTGTGGGTCGCAACATTGTCCTCAAGGAATGTTTTGAGAAGGACCCAGAGCGCTTTACCAAGTTTAGCCGCTCCTTCGATAACACCGTCGACAACTCCAAGATCCTCTTTGATTTCTCCAAGAACTTCCTCACCGAGGAAACCCTTTCCCTTCTGGTCAAGCTGGCCAAGGAGGCTGGCGTTGAGGAGCTTCGCGATGAAATGTTCAGTGGTGCGCCCATCAACTTCACTGAGAACCGTGCCGTCTACCACGCTGCTCTCCGCAATGTCAGCAACCAGCCCATGCAGGTTGATGGCAAGAGCGTTGTGGAGGAGGTCAATGCCGTTCTGGACCACATGAAGGAGTTCTCTGAGCAGGTGCGTAGTGGTGAGTGGAAGGGATACACTGGCAAGAAGATCAACACTATCATCAACGTTGGTATTGGTGGTTCTGACCTGTAAGCCTTGTCCTCTTCCCCATTCATGTGTAACAGGATATGCTAACGAACGGTATCGACAGTGGCCCCGTGATGGTCACCGAAGCCCTGAAACCCTATGGTGCCCCAGACATGACGCTCCACTTCGTCTCCAACATTGACGGCACACACATTGCAGAGGCTCTTAAGAACTCCGACCCCGAGACCACCCTCTTCTTGATCGCTTCCAAGACATTCACAACCGCTGAGACCACCACCAACGCGAACTCTGCCAAGAAGTGGTTCCTCGAGACGGCCAAGGACGAGTCTCATATCGCCAAGCACTTCGTCGCTCTCTCCACTAACGAGGTTGAGGTCACCAAGTTTGGCATTGACAAGAAGAACATGTTCGGTTTCGAATCCTGGGTGGGTGGTCGCTACTCTGTTTGGAGCGCCATCGGTCTGTCCGTCGCTCTCTATATCGGGTTCGATAACTTCCACCAGTTCCTCGCTGGTGCCCACGCTATGGACAAGCATTTCCGTGAGACCCCTCTGGAGCAGAACATTCCCGTCATCGGTGGTCTCCTGAGTGTTTGGTACAGCGACTTCTTCGGTGCTCAGACCCACTTGGTTGCACCTTTCGACCAGTACCTGCACCGATTCCCTGCCTACCTGCAGCAACTCTCCATGGAGAGTAACGGAAAGGCCATCACCCGCACTGGCGAGTATGTCAAGTACACCACCGGCCCGATCCTGTTCGGTGAGCCCGCCACCAACGCGCAGCACAGCTTCTTCCAGCTCCTGCACCAAGGCACTAAGCTCATTCCCGCCGACTTCATCATGGCTGCTGAGTCGCACAACCCCGTGGAGGGCGGAAAGCACCAGCGCATGCTGGCTTCCAACTTCCTTGCCCAGTCTGAGGCTCTGATGGTCGGTAAGACTCCTGAGCAGGTCAAGACCGAGGGTGCTCCGGATAATCTGGTGCCTCACAAGACTTTCCTGGGTAACCGCCCTACCACCTCCATCTTGGCCCAGAAGATCACTCCTTCCACTCTGGGTGCCCTGATCACCTACTACGAGCATTTGACCTTCACTGAGGGTGCGATCTGGAACATTAACTCCTTTGACCAGTGGGGTGTGGAGCTGGGCAAGGTTCTTGCCAAGAAGATCCAGCAGGAGCTCGAAACCTCTGGTGCAGGTGCTGGCCACGACTCATCTACCAGCGGTCTGCTTCTGGCCTTCAAGGCTAAGGCTAACCTGGCATAAACTCTTCTATCTCGCCGTACAGACAGGTTCACACGAAAGAGATGGAGCATAAGTAAAAAAAAAGAAAGAAAAGAAAAGAAAAGAAAAAGGTGAATATTGATGAGAACATGAGTGGTACATTTCTTTCGGTGTTAAGTTTTTTAAGCTCACAGAATTGAGCATTACATAATTTTTACGATCTTTATATTGTGTATTGTCCGGCATAGAAGACTGTAAAAGAATGAGGAGATGAGTCCGTTGTGAAGATCGACTGAAACCCTGGGACTAGTTCGTAGCAGCGGATCAACTCAACTGCCTTGGTCGGCTCAAGACCACCGTGTCTCTTCCCCCCATCTTTGCCTCTTGAGTCTGGACTTGAAGCTTCCAGACTCATACGCACATCCAATTCAGCCATTCGCTTGGCTGGCGGTGCGCGAATATCCAATATGAGTTTCCTCCCAGGAAAAGGCCTGCTGCTTTCCTGGGGTCTGCTTGTCTCGTGCTTGTCCCAGACCTCCGCTGCGGGGAGAATAGATGGCTATACATACGGCCAACCCATGCCAGTGACATGCTTAAATCGGACCATGTAAGTCGATACCTTGAGTATTTCTCCTTTTCCGATTCCCTCATCGCTAAACCTATGATTCAGTGACTCTGGCGAACACGTACGTCTGCTTTATCCGGAACACCTCTCCAACACCCCAGAACCCAAGACAAGGAAGGAGAAGAAGAAAAAAAAAAAAAAAAAAAAAGAGAGAGAGAGAGAGAGAGAGACTGACATTCCTACCTAAGATCACCGACAACCTCGGCAAACTCCAATATATCCCCTTTCCAACATGCAACGAGACACTCCTCCCGCTGGCCCTCCGCTACGGCGTCACAGAAACCGTCAATTGCACCATCTCCTCCCTCCCCGATGAGCTCTACCACCTCCTCGAATACTACGTCCACTCCGACGTCCCCATGACATGTCGCATCCCCACTGCGCCTCTCTCCCAATCCTCACCGACGGACCCGAATTCCAAATCCACCGACAAAGAAGCCGAAGAGCGCGACGAGCAATCCAGCCTCTCCGTGCTCGAAGACAATGGCCCGCCGTATACCCCGATTACCTTTGCTCTCCAGGGCACCCTGCAACGCAGCCACCTGCACATTTGGACGGACATGAACGTGCTCGCGCATAATATCCCCAAATCATCATCATCATCATCATCATCATCATCATCCAAGAAACACAAAAAGGGCAAAACAGCCGCCCCGGGCTACATCGTCGCTGGCACCGCATACTCCGTCCCAGAATTCGACTTCGCCCTTCTCAAAACCAGCGACGGAGACACCCCCGTCGAGAAAGAAGCGTCGGCTGTCTCCGAAGCAGCGAGGGAACCGTGGACAGCCGGCCACGGAACAAAAGTGATCCGCGGGGAGCCCCTGACGTTCACATTCCATGTTAGTTGGGTAGAAGGGGGCAGTGGGATTGGATGGCCGTCGCGGAATACGAAGGCTTCGCCGAAATCCTTGCTGGTGGGGTTGCTCGGGAATATGTTGCTGTTCGCGATGGCGGCGTCAATAGGGGGGTTTTTTGCGCTGTGGTGGGAGCGTAGACGGACAGGGAAACGGGGAGCGTGGAGAGGGGATGGGATTTTGGGCGTGCCGACTTTAGGGAAGGGCCCTGTTGGGGTTTCGTTTGGGAATGGGGGGAAGCAGAATGGATATGGAGGGTATTCGGGCGGGGGAGGAGCAGGGTATGGAGGGTTTACCAGTGGGAAGAGAGACTGATCGGATGGATTGATTTCTTGCCAGTGGGGGTTGGTAGATTGTATACAGTCTCACTATATGGAGCATATGTCAAAATGAATAATTAAATCAACAATACCCTTGGCACTAGGTGGTATAGACAAGACATTCGGTACTCCGTGTATATATAACTATATATATATCTATATATGTGTGTAGGTGTGTGTGTGGTTCATTCTAACCACCAGAAATGGTTAAGCATACAATAACGATACTGATATCTGGTTGGGATGTTTTTAAAAAAAAAAAAAAAAAACAGGTCAAATAGTAGTTAGTATAGTATACACGAGGACAATAAACCCAACCAGAACAACTCTACCAAGGGGAAACAGGACTCAAATCAACCCCCCCCCCCCTCCCCTTTCCTAACCCCCAATTGTAACAGCACCACTATTTTACACCCCCAGCCAAGGCTCAAGAAAGGAAGCAAACACAGATTAGGGTAGGGTCTACCAGCCCTGTTCCCTCATCCTCTGAATCTTCGACACGGTATGCGAGAAGGAAAACTTGAACAGCCTTCTCCACCGCTCAATCCGCAAATTCTTCTTCATCTGGCCGCGTCGCACATGAAACTTCTGCGCATTGGACTGCTGCCGCACCCGGTTCACCGCACAAGCAGTCTGCAACGACCGCAACGCCGCCGCGAGATCCACGCCACGTTCGGGCTCCACGAAGACCTGGCGGCCCAGCGTAGGACCCAGCTTCAGCTCGACTTTACGGACGGGGAGCGCGACGTTCTGTCGCTGGGAGGAGATGGCGCTTTGGCCGGCTGCGCGGGAAAGAGAGATGGCGTCCAAGCCCGTGGCGCTGGTGCTGTCGGCTCCGAAGGAGCGACCGGGTCGGGCTGCTGCGGAGGTGCCGTCTGCGTCCGGGATGGTTCTGCGGGTGCTGCTGAGGTTGAGCTCGTTGAGAATTTGGTCGATTCCTGCGGAGGGGGATTGCGGCGACTTTCTTGGGGGTCGGGATGAGGAAGACGGAGAGGGGGATTGCGGTTCTGTGGATGGAGAGTTGTTTGTGGATGCGTATCGGAGGGATCTGGGGCCGTGGAAGAGCGTTGCTTGGCGTGTGGTGAAGAGTAGAGAGGATGTCGGCCTCGAACGGAGGAGGCATCGGGATAGGGAGCGCATCTCCATTGTTGATTGATTGCTGTGGGAAGGGGTTTTGTGTGTGCAAGGAGATCTGACTCAATGAAGTTTCATAAATAAATCTACCGTTGTTAGCCCCCTTTGTAGCCCTTGTAGAAGAAAGTTGGGGGGTGAATAGAGATCAATGGTGAAGGTTGGATATTGATATTGCAGGATATCTTTTTTTCCCGAGTAGCTATCACGTGATTATTTTAGATGCCAACCAGAGAAGAAGACAGCAGGACATAAATAACTTCCAAAACATTTTCTTATCTTCTTATTCAACCTTTTTTGATTCCCTTCTTACACAGCTAATTTTATCCCCGGGTATCAAAAAATGTCATCTATCACTATCGCAACGCTCCCGCGCATGAGCCGCGAAGTGCTTTCCGCGCTGCTCCTGGCTTCTACCACGGCCGCTACTACCCCTCATAACCTAGCAATCATCGACGTGCGGGACTCCGGTAAGACTTCTTCTCTATCTTACCGGTTTCTCGTCAGGTCACCCCTCTAATACTCATTCGATCTGATTCAGACCATGTCGGTGGCCATATCGTCTCCTCCACCTGGGTTCCTAGCTCTACGCTGGACTACCGCATGCCCGAACTCGTGCGGACACTGAAAAACACGAAAATGGTGGTTTTCCATTGCGCGCTTAGCCAGCAGCGTGGACCATCCGCGGCCCTACGGTATGCCCGGGAGCGTGAGAGGATTCTTGGCTCGGAGGAAAGTAAGGACCAGGAGGTGTTTATTCTAGAGGGAGGGTTCGTGCAGTGGCAGGAGAAGTATGGGAAGGATGAGCGCTTGACCGAGGCGTATGCGGAGGATATTTGGCAGGAGTATTGATTCTTTTTTTTTTTTCCCCTTTCCCTTTCCCTTTCTCCTTTCTATGTCTGACTTGGGGTTTTGGGGATTTGTTTAATGACAAAGATACCCTGCGGGCTGGATGAGGGCCTGTCTTTTATGTGTAATGATCATGGATAGAAATAGATACTAGTATTTATATATATGTTATGTTATGTTATTATTATTATTATTATTATTATTTTTTGGGCTTATTTGACGGAATTAAATCATGGACGTGGCTGGTAAACTGTCGTTTTATATTATTATATGTATCCACTATAATACAATTTCTATGATGATTATTTCAAGCACCTCGTCAAGGTCTTGTTGATCTATAGGGATCCTCCAAATCCAACAGGTCGGCGTTTCCCACCATTCTCTGGAAGAATGGCCATGACCTTGTATAATCTGCCCATTCCACCTCCACCTCTTTCGATTAGTCGCTTTCCACCACTTTCCAGGATCTTCTTCTTCTCCTCATCCTCAACCTTGTTGAGCAGTTGCTGCATCCGCTCTGCAATACCCATAGCCTGGAGAAAGTGGCCTTGCTCGATAGGTCCATGAACTTCTACACCCTCGCTAGCGTCAATAGCTGCCTCTGCAAGAGCCATGAAATCCACGTCTGCGCTGACATCCACCAGTCCGGGAGACGAGAGCGCCGGCACGTTTTGGTGGTTTTGGATCCCGCGGAGCGAGTTAATTGGAATGGTAGACATGGTGCCGTAATCCATGATCAACGCTGCACCGGATGGACGGCGCTTTATAACTGTTGAGGTTGCAGGCGCGTTTTGTTTAGTGGTAGTGCTGGTGGGCTGTGGCGAGCCACCGATGCGACGCGCAAAATCCGCGGCGTAGATACGACTTTCTGGGCTCACTTCAATGGTAGATCCGGACTGAGACTTGAGTGCTCGGTACCGTTCAGAGATCTCGGGAATGACAAGTGATGAAGGGTTTGATGCTTTGGCTAGGGTGAGTTTGAACTCGGATTGGTCCTTTTGGTTTTCATCCACGGCTTTCGGGTTTAGTGTGACCATGATCTCGCGCCATTGAGGAGTGTTTGCGGCTTTTAGTGGTTTATGAAGCTTGGCTGGGCCTGTGGGAGTCATGATCTCCTCCTGTTCTTTGAGCTGATTTTCTGGCGCGGGGGGCACTGATTCAAATGCGTGGATTGGTAGAGCGTCGAAGAATTCGTGGGCGAAGATAAATGGAGTCTTGTCCTCTGTTGCGGAGGGTTCAGCAAGAGAGGATCATTAACCATGACTCAATAAATACTCACCATGAGGCAACAACCTAATATCCTCAACCCAGATAACAGGCACATTGAAGTACTTGCTGATACTCTGATGACCAATCTCCGTCTCTTCCATGCTCGCATCTCCGCACAGCCGTTGTTTCTGAACCTCCCTTAATGTGGGACTGGCTTCGACGAGATATATTGCTTCAAGACTCGATGTAAAAGCTTTGAAGTGTCGGAAAGTCTGCCCGGCTCGATATTAGACCCGACCAAAGAACCTAGAATAAGCCAGATATGATCCCAAACTTACGCGCAACATGTCATCCATTAATGTGCCCTTTCCCGGCCCAACTTCTATCAACTGTACTCCGCTCTTGGCGCCTCCCTGGGCCATCCATTCTGCAATCGTCCATATACCAACTAATTCTCCAAAGACCTGCGATATCTCCGGCGACGTTACAAAATCGCCCTTCTTTCCAAAGACCTCGCCATCGCCTGCCGGTTTCGTGGTGTAATATCCTCCTTCCGGAGAAGTAAGAACCTGGCGCATAAACGCTGCAATTGATATCGGTCCTGTAGTCTTTAGGCGCCGTTTGTTAGCATATCTAAATCCACAACCACGCAATGTCAAAATTGATTACCTTGATGGCATTGGCTAATGTTCGCGCAAGGGGCGTGGTCCATTCTCTAGTCTCAAATGTGGAAGACCATCGTTGCGACCTGGCTCCAAGGATTCGCCTTTGGTTTCCGTTTAGCAATCGGGTGGCTATGCGTTTTGTTGCGGGATTCATTTTTTGGTATGTAGCTTCGGCCAAGGCGGGAGAGAAAACGCTCTCAATGGCTGATTGCGATTATCTGGAGGTCATGGAAATGACTATGGATGATTTTATGTATATTATTGGGCTCCAACACATGAGATTTCAACCACTGGGATTGTTATTGAGGAATGGATTAGAAGTTGTCATGATGTCAAAGTTCTCTGCGCCCTCGAACTCCGCGAAACTTCCGCTGACACGTGATTCCATCCGCATTGCAGCTGGATATCAAAAAAATGTCGAGATGGAAACTCGAGTTTCTCGACTACATTTTATGATACAACTATAGTGTTGAAGATGGCAGTCGATGCGCCTGTTGGGGCTTACTTAAATGTGGAGCTCGTTTGTCTGTTTTACAGCTCGCCTAGCTGCTGTCTGCAGCTTCGACTAGTATAGCAAAGATCAATATTCGTACACTTCATCGTATTATAGCCAAGACCAAACTGAAATTCAATGGAGCCAGCTATTCCAGCCAGTCCGCATGTCCAAGCTTGACGTCGATCAAGCTACTGACGTCCGGTACATCCGGATCCTGGGGAAATCGCATCTTGAGGAACAAACCTCGTCGACAACATGTTTAAATCTGAATTCGATTGATGGTATACGATTAATCTCGACCGCCTGAAGTTCACTTCTGTCATTTCCCCCTGGTCTTAGGTTGCTGTGCGGGAGCGTCGGTCATCATTTCGTCGCTGTAGAGGCCGGTTTCCTTCGAGTGTTGATTTGAATTTCTGTCTGGCCTGCCAAAACTCCTATTGCCCCTGTTACCCCTCCTGCGGTTGTTTCCCCTAGAGCCTCTGCCATCATAAGGCTGGTTGTTTTGTTCATTGAAACCAAAGCTTCCATCCTGGACCATGGGTTCTGCCGTCCGTTGCAATCGTCGTTCACGATCCGCCTGTTCCCGTTGATGGTTGAAGGATGGCGCCGGGTTTGGATCGAATATATCACGGTTTGCATTTGATCCAGCAGCGCCAGATTTGTGGCGCATAGAGAGAACCCTGCCATCGGCCTTTGGATAATTAGCTACCCACTTTAAAACGGCCGTACCCTGATGGAACCTACCCGTTGGTTGTGAAAATTAGCCACAGCCTTGTCAGCCGACGACTTGTCCGCAAAAGTAATCTCCGCAGTTACGCTAGGTTGCTGCGATGTGATCCAACAACTCAATATCCTTCCCGATACAGGCTCGAGGGCGGACTGGATATCGGCAGCTGTGGTTCCGGGAGCGAAATTTGATCCGACGACGATAGGTGGCCCGGATCCTGCCCCCTTGATGCTGAGACCTTTATTGTTTCGAATAGTCGCCTGCCCGTTCGCAGGGTTGAGCGCCGACATAAGGCGATTCTCATCGGGGCGACGTCTCTGGGTTGGTTTCGTGCTTGATGCTAGGCCTCTCGCTGTCACTGGAGGGGCGCGATTGCTTTTTTTTGAACCGAGATTGGCGGAGACAGAGCGCTGGAACAAGTAAAGGTTTTAGCAATTGTTTCACTGCGATGTAATTTCCTTAGAAGATCACCCCAAAGTCAATTTGGCTACTACCTTTGTCACTCCGATTCGACTTGCGAGACTCCCGGGAGTCGCATTCTGTGCTTTGTTTCCAACTCCCGAGCCAGGCGCACTAGCTCTCCTGTTCTTACCCAGGATCTTGCTGGCAAGGTCTTCATTTTTCTTCTTCAGGCGGCCTTAATGAAAAGAGACGCGTCAGTGAGAAATCTGCGAGCGGACGGATCCCTGGTTGTGCAGTTATTTGACTTACCAGCTTGAATAATCTCGTTGAAGGAAACAGCTTCCTTACCCGCCATGACGAAGGGAAGGCGATGAGATATATGATAATTAGTGTTCCTGCAGGGGTATATGATGATGATGATGATGCAATGGTAAAAAAAAGAAAAGAAAAAGGAAAAATTTAATAGTTTGGGAATTATAAAAAAGCTCTGGGATTTGTCACGGCGTGGGAGTTGACGAAAGGAAAGCTGACTTTTGGTTTTGGTTCCGCTGCAGAGTCAAGATCCATGCATGTCCGACACACTGCAGTGGTTGCGCAACACCAAACACTTAATTTAGCCATTTTCTACAGCCGCTGTCCACAATCCCCATGAAAAGGAAGAGTAAGAAAATCCTAAGCTTTAAAATTGAGTGAGTTTGTCTACGTTTCATGGCTTGTGTCATGTTGCTCAACCATCGTTCATCACTCACCGGTTCTGTAGACGCGATGCATCCCTCAAAAGGAAGCTGGGATCGAGTCCCTTGCGGTGCTCCAGCTGCCTCTTGCCTCTGTCCGACCTTGAAAATGCATTCAGCAGGCAGACACCGTGGCTCTGTCCCCTCCAAGAGCGAATGCTTAGCAACCTCATTCCAAGGGTGGTTCACATTTTATGCCATTCCGTTTGTAAAGCTGAAACTGTTCAAAACTCGCTCTATCGGCTCTACTTGTTGATATTACCAATTAGTTTTCAATCTACTACTTTCTGCTTAATGGGAAAGCTTTGTTCTTGGGCAAACAATGATATCATCTGATGACAGTGGTGGCTCTAGCAGACGCCTGGCACTATCATTCTCTTTTTCCATCCGGTCATCAAGAGCGAGGAGAAACAGGTTGGTTTTAATTCTCGCATACTCTCTTTATACCTTCAGTACTGATATGATGCTTCTAGGCTTACACAGCTTCCAGTCACACCGCCAGTATGTGAGGAAAGTGCTCACTATCCAGTCTTTAATCCACAGGATCCCCGCCATAACCCTGCGCTTAGGACGAATACCTGGCCAGAGGTTGACTATATTCCTCCTCAAACTACAGGATCCACGAGCTCAATTCGCTGGATGCAAAGCCTCCCTAGAAGGTCTCTAAGGAGGGCGCGCTCTGGGCTTCTAGCTCTTAGATCTGGGCTCTCTCGACGCCCTGTATACCATAATTCAAGTCGCAACGAAGACACGCAGGACCCATGGTCGTCATCTGATTCAGCGGGAGGCTTCTCTAGCGGGCATGATGAACTTTTCTCATCGACTGTATCTGAAGCTAGCACGGAAGAAGACTACGAATTTGGGATCGACCTCTTCCGAGCGGGCTGCCACTGTCCTTCTGGTTATGAGGATGAAGCCGAAAGGAGCCCCAAATTTCCGTCCTCTATTCCATACCCTCATCCCGGCCCTCTGCCTTCTCCAAACACAGGGGTTAACGATCTTCATGGCGGTATTCTTGTGGAAATGACATCGAATGCTTATTTTATGGGGCCTCCAACTAGCCCGGTTGTAAACCCCGATCAGTTTAGGATAGAGACTGAACCTGGGACTACTCTAGATGGCCACTGTGGGGTCGAGCACCCCAATCCCACTCCCCCAGATCATGGCTCTCATACTGCTCGCATAGAAGTCATACCCGAGGAAGTGCGATTGTCGGATGAAAGCTCTTCAAGCATTGTGCCGGACTCATCCACTCTTGACGGGGACCTCCATGCATCGTCCCTAGATCATTCACCCCAGTCAAACGACGTCCCTGTACCGTCCGATGAGGCTCAAATATCTCTTCAAGTGGAAGAAGGCCAGCCTATTAGTCCATCTGGACTCGAAGACAACATGAGCATGATTATTGAGCAAGCAACACACTTTTCCCTGACTCCCGACGAATCACCCACAATTGTAAGTTTTAGCTAATCGTGTTGATTGATATTACATACTCAAATTTAAAAGCAGCCCCATCATGCACCCCCAGAATCCGAGCTCGAAGATGTGGGCTATTACCGGTCCTTACATTTACTCGGTACCAACGAGATCCCCTGTGGCAATGAAAGCGACGAGGAGCCACGCCAGAGCAGTACCAGTGACGACGATGCCAATCCGTCACTGAACCCATGGCTTCCAATTGATATCGATAAAAGTAATCGCACATCGCTTTTGTCCTTGAGGGATGAATACTTCCTTGTCGATGGCAAATCGAGTGATCTCCGCCCAGATCGCGGCGATAATCCTCTCAAGGCCGAGCAGCGGTTTACTGGTGATGGCAGCTTACATAGTGGACCCGGCCTTGACCGTAGTCTTTCTACCAGCACGCAAGATATCCCGGAAATTATTGGGCCGCGAGGACCAATGGGAATCCCAGCAGCAAGATCACTTCGCAGCGAACGAGAGGGAAGCGACTCGACTGACGAATATCTCGTTACATACTCCTTATTGCACAGGCACTATTTTTCATGAACGCCTCTTATCCGTTGGAATACATATCTGACTATACACGATCGTTTTATAGACACTGTTTGACAGAATAAGCAACTGCGGCTTGTGAGAGAGCATGGATTACATTGTTACACAGCCGTGATATGTCTCTGCTAAGGCGTTTTATGATTTAAATCCCGTCCAAACTTGCATTTGTAAGATTGCTTTTTGAGACGTCACTCTTTACGACCAATAACATGTATTTACTTTGTCGGACGAGCTCCCAGGCTGAACTTTGGATATCGCCTGATTCAATGTGCCAAGTCTACATAAATTTGTACGGGGAAAAAAAAAAAATTAAATTAACAAAAAAAAAAAAAAAAAAAGGACCCTTGATATAGATAGTAGTAATATTATAAGGCGATCGATCCGCTAACAGAAATTCCAAAATAGTCCCTAGCCCAAGCGCAAAGTAAACCCCGCCCCTGTCTCGCCAGCCTCCCCCCCAGCCTGGCTACCAAACACACTGGCAAAGTCCAACTTTGGAGCCTCCTGGCCTCTCTTAGGAGCCTCGGGCGTCTCCCGTCTTCTCCTCTTCTCCATCCCCGCCTTGGACGGAAACGTAGGAAACATCTCCTTGGGCTTTGGCCGTGGCTCTTCACGGAAAAACTGATGCGAGAGACATTCTGCCGCCGTTGGACGCGAGCCCGGGTTCAAAGCGAGCAGCGACGAAAGCAAGTGGAGGCCTGCATTTGTGAGAAAGGGGAATTTTGCCCGGGGCAGAAGAGGCAGGGGTCCTTGCGAAGCGGAGGAAGAAGGAGTGGTCGTAGCCGCTGGGAGCCGGAGTGATTTTGCATTTGGGAGGGAGCGGAAGCCAGGCCATGTTTGTGGGGATGGGGGGCCTGTTAGGGCGAAGATCTGGTTTTATAGGTTAAGGTACTGGTCGGTCCATTATAGGATAAAAAAAAAGGGGGGGGGGGGGGGGGGGGGGGTACCTTGGAGACTTGGTCGACTTCGTTTTTACCCTGTAGGAGAGGCTCCTTCGTTAGGAGTTCTCCGAAGATACAGCCTATACTCCACATGTCGATTTCGGGACCGTAGGTCTCTGCGCCGAGGAGGAGTTCGGGCGATCGGTACCAGAGAGTTACGACGAGCTGGGTGAGTTTTGGAGGAGGGTCACCGTAGTATCTGGCCATACCGAAGTCTGCGATTTTGATCTCGCCACGATTGCTCATGAGCAGGTTGGAGGTTTTGAGGTCACGGTGCATGATCCATTGGGAGTGGAGGAAATCTAGGCCGGCGGTGATTTGGAGGAGGAGAGTCTTGGTCTCGGAGGGGAGAAAGGGCTCGCGCATATCGTCGAGCAAGGTTTTTAGATCGTGTTCGAGAAAATCCATGACCAGGTAGACGCTATATGATTTGAAGTGATTGGCGGGTGGGTGGGTGGGTAAGGGAATTACCCCCCCCGGGGGGATTGGATAGTTAATTGCTCTGCATCTGGAACTTTTCAGGGTGGAGGGGAGAAGGCGCAAAGAGAAGAAGAAAGAGGGGACGAAGATATGGGAGGACGGGGGATATAGAGAGAAAGGAGTTGGGGGAGCTTACTCGTTCATTTTATTCCCCATTACAACCTCGCGCAGGTAGACAATGTTGGTATGGCGAGCTTCGAGGAGCGTTTGGATCTCACGCAGGCCGGTTACGGGGAATCCATCCGGGGAGTTATCCATCTTGAGCTTCTTCAGTGCAACTACTTCGCCCGTGGTGATGTCCTTTGCGCGGCTAACCCAACCGTAGGAGCCTTCTTCAATGTGGTTTAATCGCTCGAAGTTATCCACATGGCGGCAGGGGCCCCATTCCAGTACAGGGAACTGGAGTAAGCTCGATTTGATCTGTTTCTGCCCGTCTTCAACATGCGAGGAGGGTTCCTGGGGCTCGTTGGAAAGCCGTCGACGTTTCTTCGGTGGGGCATCAGAGTCGCCATTGACCGTGTCGCCAGATCGACTTTGAGCAGCTAGCGATTCTCGTGCCTTGACCTGTTCCTCTAGCTGCCGTTGCTTCTCGGCCTTGGCCCGTCGCTTTTCTTCCTTTTCGCGTTTGCGCTGAGCGAGAAGGGCTTCCGTTTCTGGGTCATCGTCAGCCCATCTGGATTTGGAGGTCGACATATCAAAAGTGTAATCGGGTCGGGGAGAGAGGGGGGAGGGAAGGTGAAGTCTGGAGCAAAGGAAAATCGGAAGACACGACATGACGCTATGTATCGGAATCGGAATCGGGGAAGAGTTTGGGGTGCCTGATTACTCAGGAGTGCGTCCCGGCGATTTCAAATCCATCATCATCCCCCCCGCCATGTTCCCCCACCATGAGAGTTCCTACCTACATTCATCTTCAACGACTGTCTTGAATTATTTTGGTTATCCTTTTTAGCAGCTATATATTGGTTGAGATTTGCGACTTAGAGCCATCATGATTGAGCCTTTCCAGGTATGTATCCCTCGCAACTGGTTTATAGTTCGTCCTGGAACGGGAAGCTGACTCACATCAGACAACGTTTGCAGTTCCGATGGACTGTGAGAGTTGTGTCAAAGATGTTTCCCAGGCATTAAACCAGCTAGAAGGTAATCGCTGCCAAGGTGAAATAGCTGCGAAATGAGACGTCTGACCGTCCGCCTCCAGGAATCCACAAGGTCGACGCAAACGTCAAGGATCAACTAGTATTGGTCGAAGGCACGGCGCCACCTAGCTCCATCGTGACAGCTCTCCAAAATACGGGACGGGATGCAATTCTACGGGGCAGTGGGACATCCAACAGTACGTTTGTTTTCTTTCTCTTTACTGGGCCGTTCTTGGCCCTCGGCCTAGGTCAAAGCTGAGATACGTTGTGCGATCCGTGATAGGTTCGGCGGTGTGCATCCTCGAAACACACTCGACCACAGTTCCCAATAAGATTCGGGGGTTAGCGCGCATGGTTCAGGTCTCGTCTAATATGACTCTGGTTGATCTGACTATCAACGGACTGGCTCCGGGCAAGTATTACGCAACGGTGCGCGAGGCGGGAGATATTTCACAAGGGGCGGAGTCTACAGGAGGCATCTGGGAAGCGGTGAAAGCGAAGATGCTGGGCGCCGATCCTCCCACGGAGCCGCGTGGTATATTTGGGAGTCTGGACGTGGATGCAAAGGGACAAGGGAACATCTTCCTGGACCGGCCGGTGGCGATTTGGGAGCTGATTGGACGCAGTATGGTGTTATCCCCGCGCACAGAAGGACCATTCCGACGCGAGGATCCCAATACTTTGGTTGGGGTGATTGCTCGTAGCGCTGGGGTTTGGGACAATGATAAGATGGTGTGTTCATGTTCTGGAAAGAATGTGTGGCAGGAGCGCCAGGAGCAGGTGGCTCAGGGAATGGTTTGATGAGAGAGGTTGAGTGGCTGGGGGGGGGGGGGGGGTTTAACTGTCGACCTTGCCTGTGAAGTTCACTTTTTATGATGATACCTGGATGATGAAGTTATGTACTGTACCTGATGATAGGCAAAAAAAAAGGCCCCTCGTTCGTCATTTAGACCATGTCGACCACGCGATGCCACGAGACTAGAATCCGAGACCTGTGAAATGAAAAATAAATCAATAATAAGAAGAAGAACGATAATAATAGTAAATAGACTCACATGACTGAGATTAATGCAGGAGAGCTGCAGAAAGCACGACAATGTTGCTATACTTAGACATCGCAGGAGAAGAGAAGAAAAAGAAGGAGGGGGAGGCTAGGATTCTAGCGTGCAGGAATGAGAGGCCAGGATGGAAAGAATTGAAGCTGAAGCGCCGTGGCGGGGGGTTTGGAAAGTTAATAAGATGATATTTGAAGAACTCGAAATATGATCAATTGCCTGGTTTTGCTGTGATGAGAATTCCTGAAAAAGTAAAAGGAAATCTTCTTCTTCCCCCCTGCAGCTGGAAATCATCAAATCATCAAATCATCACAGGCGCCCATTCTTTTAGCCAATATCCAACCAAAAGTCAACCCCTCCTCCTCCTCCTTCTTCTTCTTCTTCTTCTTCTTCTTCTTCTCTTCTCATCCTCGTTTCTTTTACCGCTGGATTCTTCTTAGCCAGGTCCTTTTCTTCTATCATCATCATCCATCACATCATCCCATCACCATCAGATTATCTCTAGAGAATCAACCAATTCATCTTTAGTACTTCTTCCAGCGTCCCCCTTTCACTATTTACATCTCATTTCCACTTACCAATCATCATCCAGTGGCCAGTAACTACCCTCGGCTTTCATTTGTGATCTAAATATATATCCGATCTATCTATCTATCTCCCCACCCAACCGCAACTAACAAATCCTTTGGACGGAGGATTATTCCCTTCACATCTCAGCCCAGTGTGGGCTCACACAATTTCCTGCCTGACTGTCACTCGTCCCTCCTTCCCGTCATCCGTGCTTTTGAGGCAAACCATCTTGGCCCACTAACTCCCTCCCCCTCCCTCTTCCCTTCCCCTCGTCACATTTATCGTTGTGGGCCACTCGCATACATATACTTGCACACACACACACCCCCCCCCTGTCTGTGTTCCGGGAAGACCGCCAGCTACTTTCTTTGCCAGGTGGCATCCCTCAACCGAGCCGGTGTCAGCCAGATTATCACTGTGAGGGGGGCCATAAACACTGGCTGTCGTCGTCCTCGTCGTCTGACGCAATACCTATTACATAAAGACGGTGACTGGCACTGGCACTGGCAAGCCTAAGAAACTATGTCTCTCAAGCAAGTATGCAGTCGTCTCTACTCTGCTATTCACAACAATTCTCAAGCCACAGGCTAATTGACAAAACACATACAGGAAATTGAGACCTGGGTACAGGCCCTCGAACATTTTGATAACCAGCAGTATGACCTGGCCCTGCGTGCTTTTGCTGGCATTGCGGACACCTCCAAGATCCTCTTCAATTGTGGAGTCATCTATGCAACGTTAGGAGAGCATGAGAAAGCAGTGTGTCCGCCCTAGCTTTCAGAGCCTCCCATAAGTGTGGCTAACGGTCATCACAGGTCCAGTGCTTTCAGAGCGCTGTCAGTCTAGACCAATATCTGGCTATAGCCTACTTTCAGGAAGGAGTATCCAACTTTCTCCTCGGCGACTTTGAAGAGGCGCTGGCCAATTTCAACGACACCCTGCTGTATCTGCGAGGCAACACGTTCATCGACTATGAACAACTAGGTCTCAAATTCCGTTTGTATTCGTGTGAGGTCTTGTTTAACCGGGGCCTCTGCTACATCTATCTACGGCAAATGGGTCCCGGTATGCAAGATCTTGAGTACGCAGCCAAGGAGAAAGTTACGCCGGACCACGACGTCATCAACGATGCTATCAGGGAAAAGGCCGAGGTATTTTTTTTTTTTTTTTAGCCCACCATCGGTAACGTCATCTAGCTAACGTTCTAGGGATACACCGTATTTTCAATTCCCGTAGGTGTGGTGTACCGGCCTAACCAAGCCAAAGTGAAGAACCTCAAGACCAAAGACTACCTAGGAAAGTCGAGAGTAGTTGCCGCCAATCGACTCAGTACACCCGTCGACATGGCCCAGACAAGGACCCCGGATGCCGTACCGTTTGCAACATCTCATCTGGTCCAGAAGGGCCTAACAAGCCGCAGCCGGCAACAATCAGAGCCACCTCTACACCGCAACCTGTTTCCTCCCACACCGCCACCAGACGCTGATAAAGCCAGTCTCAACAGCTCATCGGGTACCACCACCGTGGCAGCAGCAGGGCCGGCTCGCCCTAGCCCTGCCCGTGCAGGACGTCCTCCACGACTGGATCTAGACCGACCTGGGGCTCAACCCCCGGACGAAGCACCGCCGATCTGACAGCACCAGAAAAGCCCCGTATTGGAACGACCCGGACAGCATCAGAACCCCGAGGGTCGTCTTCCCGACAACAGACCGGTAGATTTGCTCCCGAGCGTCAGCCATATCCTCGAGAAGGCGGTCGTGGTCATCGGAGGGGCGCGAGCGACACTAGCTTTGCAGCAGCATCGAACGGCTACGCAGAGGAGGCATATGGAACGTCCGGACATGCTCGTGCAATGACCCTTTCCAACGGTGGGCGTCCTCCCCTTCAGCAGGAACGATACATCGACGAGGAGGATGAGTACGCCAGTTCCCCCTGCGACGAGGAGGTATCCCTCGGGGCCGGATTTGAGATTATGGATGCGCGACAGAGGACGCGGTCACGGAGCCGTGGCCCACCACGGGGGTACTCGCGACGGCCAGAGGTGCGCAAGTTCCGAGTTAAGGTGCATTCATTCGAGGATACGCGGTACATTATCATCGGGCCGATGATAGAGTTCGTGGAGTTTGAGACGCGCATCCGCGAAAAGTTCGGGTTCCGCATGGCGCTCAAGATCAAGATGCAGGATGAGGGGGATATGATCACGATGGTGGACCAGGAGGATCTGGATCTGCTGCTCATGGCATCTCGAGAGATTGCTGGACGAGAGGGAAGTGAAATGGGAAAGATGGAGGTACGTCGCATCCTTTTGACCTGGACTGGGACGGGACCGAATCCCGACTAACAGAAACAGATTTGGGTGGAAGAACGAAAGATTTAACTTAACGACTTGATACCCTGTTTATACTGTTATGATGTACATATTAGCATTTATACCCTTTGCGTAAAGGAATGATTAATAATATTCACTGGATCTTTGATGTGTTGATAAGCTCCTGGTTGTAACTACAGTTTGTAGGGCACTCCGATCACGGGACTGCCAGCCCCAGCTGCATCTTAGGTGTTCACTTCGATCTTTACCTCCACCAACAACACCACGCACCACACAATGACGGACATAACCCTCACATTCAACTCCCTTGTGAAAACAGATAACCCAAATGCATCTACATCTGCGCGTCCTCTGTCCACCGAAACTGCCGATGAATTCCTCAAAGAAGCCTACCGAATTGTACTTCCCTTCCCTCCCTCCCTCCCTCCCTCTCTCTACCAAAACCCAGAACCTATACTCATTGAATGGATAAATCCACACAGAACTCCCACATAACCTCTCTCCTACAATACCTCCAGTCCATCCGCCCTTCCTACCTGAGCACAGCCACCCAAACCCGGGCCCCAAAACAAGCACCACCTCCCACCCCCAAAGCCGCCCACAGTCACAACCAGTCCGTCGGCCAGAAACCAAAGCCGGAAATCCTCTCCTCCGCAGAACGCGACAACATCGACTCGTCCACCTCGCACCTCCTCCGCACCCTCAGCACCTCAATCACCAATCTTTCCGCGGCTGAATCCCTCCGCCAAGAAACGTTCTCCTCCCTCCTCGATCGGAAGTACGGGCGGCCCAGCGCCAGAGCAACGAAGCTTTTGTTTAAATGGGCCGGCGGGGCCTCCCTGGCCTCGGGAAACGATGGAAATAGCCCCAGAGCGGCGGCGGCGGCGGCGGCGGCGGCGGCAGGGGAGGACGATGATGCAGGGAAATCCACCGAGCAGATCGCCGATGAAGGAACGGGGAGGGCGCTCAAGGGCGTGCGGGAAAGCGTTGTTTGGTTTCTGAGCAGGAGGCTCGAGGTGGTTGTTGAGATGCAGAGGGATATGGTTGAGCGGAGGATTGAGCGGGCAAGGGAGAAGGAGAAGAGTGTGCTTTACAAGGCCTCGACGTTTCCTCTTAATTCTGGCTCTGCTTCGGGTTCGGGCTCGATCGCTCCTTCGCAGTCGTCTTCTTCTTCCCCTGGGGACTCGGTGAGTCCCGCAGCGAATCTCAGTCCTGGACCGAGCTGCGCGACGCTCGAGGAATCCGAAGTCGCCGCCATCGAAGCCGAGCTGTCTCCGGAGCAATTGCAGTTGTTTGCGGAAGAGAACGATTCCATGGTTCGGTATTATGAGGATACATTAGGGAAAGTTCAGTACGTTTGTGTACCTTTTCCCTAAACATTCTCTCTCTCTCTCTCTCTCTCTCTCTATATGTAAATGAAGAAAATTACTAATGAATCAGAAATGCCGAAAAATCCCTCCTTGAAATCTCCTCGCTGCAGCAAACGCTTGTCTCGCATCTCTCGACCCAAGAAGAATACATCACACAGCTTGTAGGCGACGTGGTCAACACGGAGACAAACATCGGACAGGGAAACAGGGAACTGAAGCGCGCAACCGAGCGGCGCAGTGCAGCGCAGGCGGTGTTTTGGGGGACGGTGGGGTTATGTACGTGGTTGGTGGTTTGGGATTTGGTGTTTTAAGCTTGTTTTGTGTGAATTTATCCTTATTCATTCATTCCCCTTGATCCAATGGATTCTGCTCTACTCTACAGGTATCTTCCAGGTATACAATTCAGAACCGGAACCCAGCGGGAAAATAGTTATGTACCATCAATGAATAATGTAACGCAGCATTCTATCATCGATACAGGCCCAGCACTGTACATCCAAATGAAAAAGAAAATGATATCATAGAAAGATAGGTAGGTAGGTAGGTAGGTATGGTATGGTATGGTATGGCCAAAACCCCACGAAAAGAAATACAAGAAAAATTAAAAAAGTTTATTTATAATGTCTCCCTGACAACACTGTCAAGTGCTTCGGCAAAGTAATCTAGGTTATGTGTGTTGAGGCCGGCCATGGAGATACGTCCGTTCTTAGTCTAGAGAGAGAGAGAGAGAGAGAGAGATTGTTAGCTTCATGCATGCGTCGTTGATATGATATGTTGGATCCCGGGATATAGCCAGATAGGTATATAACATAAACATCAAGTACCCACATCAATGTCGATCGATGCATTACCCCGGAAAAGGCGAAAACAGGGAAGAGAAAAGCGGAGTGAGGAGGGGGAAATGAGGGGAAAAAGGAAGAGGGGGGGTAGAGCATCCCCCCAAGGAAAAAAAAAAAAAAAAAAAAAAAAAAGGGAGAAAAACACATACCATGTAAACATGCCATTTATCCCGTAATACCTTGACTTGGGCCTCTGTTAACCCCGTGAAACTAAACATGCCAATCTGGTTGGTGATGTGGTCCCAAGTTCCGGGGGTGCCTTTGGCCTCGAGGCGCTGGCGCAAACCTCGTCGCATCTCCGCGATACGACCGCTCATCGTTCGAAGATCATCTTCCCACTGTGCAAAGAGCTCGGGGTCATTGAGGATGCGACTGGCAATGCGCGCACCGTAGGCTGGGGGGTTGGAAATCTCCGACCGCTGCAAGATCGCCAACTGGCTGGAGATGTTCTGAGAGGCCTTGCCCGCCTCGACGCCCGGAGCGGAGACGAAATGGAAGGCGCCCGTGCGCTCTCCGTACAGACCAAAATTCTTAGCGAAGGACTGGGCGATGCAGAGCTCAAAGCCTTGCTCCACAAAGTAGCGGATGGCCCAAGCGTCGCGGCTTAGGTCGCCAGAGGCAAAGCCCTGGTAGGCGCAGTCGAAGAAAGGGAAGTGGTTGCGGTCGCGCATAAGGGCGGCGACTTCCTTCCATTGGTCTTGGGTGAGGTCCACGCCCGTGGGGTTGTGGGCGCAAGCGTGGAGGATGATGACAGAGCCTGCGGGCGCGGAGCGCAAGGCATCGAGCATGCCATCGAAGTCGAGGCCTTTGGTTTTAGGGGAGAAATAGGGGTAGTTGGCGAGGGAGAAGCCAACATTGGTGAAGATCTGGTGGTGGTTGGCCCAAGTTGGGTTGGAGAGGTAGAGGGTTGGGCGGTGCGGGTGGAATCTGGCGAGGAAGAGGGCACCTAGATGCACAGCGCCGGTGCCTGAGATGGTTTGAAAGGTGCACACCTAAGTAGGGCTGGTCAGTTTTTTTTTTTTTTTTTTTTTTGCGATGATCAATCACATCTTTGATTTTTGGCGGGGGGGGGGGGGGGCTGTGCAGGTGATTGCTGTGACGTACTCTATTTTCCCGGATGGCAGGGCTGTCCGCACCGATCATGAGTTTCTGAGCGGCGGAGGTGTAATCCTGGAGACCTTTGATGGGAAGATATTCATGATTAAGATTGGGATCGTTATGAATGAGGTCATCAGCCTAGGATTCTCAGCGGTGATTCTTTCTAGCAGGGGGGGGGGGGAGACAGACCTTCTTCACCACTGGAAGCACCCAGGGTTTCGCATTATCATCGCGATAGGCACCAATGACCAAATCCACCTTCTTGTCCGAGGAATCTTGTCGATAAGCTTGCGCGAGACCAAAGAGGGGATCCTCTGGGGCGGCGGGAACGACAGAGGTAGAAAAGACGGAGGGGGCTGTAGAACCCATGATGTGAGAGGAGAGGGATGCGAGACGAGATTTTGCGATGAACGAAAAGGAAGAAGAAGAAGAAGATGATGATGATGATGAGGAAGAGGAAGAAGAAGAAGGGGAAGAAGTCGGGGGAGGAGACATGGTGAGGGTTAATTATCCAGAGGAATGCCAGAAAAGTCAGTCACACCACCAAAAATAGCTGCTTGCGTTCACCGGGACTCAAGCCAGAAGATCAACCCAAGGCCAAAACAGTCAGAGAGGATTAACGAGGGAGTGGGCTCAGAAGAAGAAGAAGCATAATACAGTAACGGGGTTAATAAAGGCAGAAAATAATGGGGACACGCAAAGCAATCTTGATCAAATGTCTCAAATGCCGGAAACCCCCTGCTGGTGTGGACGTGAAGAATAGAGGAAGCCGAGGGAGTGTATAGTTAGTTATAAATCTCATTATTTATAAGATTTAGAGATCTAGAACTTTGAATAAAAATACTACAATATTCATCTCGAGGACTCATAACCAGCCATGTGTACAAAGAGATTCTTTATACATAATTTGATCAAGGGAAACTCTCCCCCGAGTTATACCTACGGATTCTATAGGATTGTTTATCCAGCCAACCATGAATAGGGAAAAGTCTCTGAAGAACTCCACTGGATCCCCTAGTGAATTCCGTCGGTTAATAGCGGACGGAATAAGTTGACTCCAAACTAGGTATCCCTGGAATTGGATGAGTCCATTTTCAAGTCTCTTCTACCCCATGGGGTCTTTCTTTCTCTTGTTCTATACATCAACCATACACAAGAAATTCATTGGATCCCTATATACATAATAATATATATATATATAATATATATAATTCAATCTCATGGTCATATATCATAGAGAGATCAACATATACAAGAATCCCATTTTGCCCATCCCAACCTCCCAACGCCTGTATCCAACCCTGCCTCCCTCCCAAAACAAAACAAAAGCATATGCTAGCATCCAGGCCAGGCCATGCAAATAATACCCATCCCGTAATTTTCCCACACGAAAAGAAGAAGGGGGAAAAAAAAAAAAAAAAAAAAAAAAGAGAACATATATTACCAAAACGGACTGGAGAGAGAGATTTGTTTTCTCTCTCCATTTCGGATTTTGGTACGTCCTACACTGCGCAAGTTTACGAATTGGACTCCTCTTGAAGCGCGACTTCGCCGTGCGCCCGTGTACGGATCCGGAATCGATCACGGAGGCGTGCACTCAGTCGACTGCGTCGTCGCTGTTCCGCCGCGGTCTCTTCCCCGCTTCCCGGTTGGCCACGAGAGCTTTCTTCACGGACACTCCGTAGCGCAGCTAGTCGTTCTTCGACACTCGCATCGCGCATCCGGCGGGCGTTCAATGTGCTATGCAGGTAGCTGCTGATTCGGCGGTGGCGATGGTGGGGGGCTTCTTCGGTAGGGCGTTCGCTGGTGCTGTCGTGGGCTGTCTCCGCGGCGGCGCCTTCAGTACCTTCTGTCTCATCCTCACCTCCGGCTTGAGGCGGGTTCAGATCAATACGACTAAAAAAAAAAAAAACGGGGTTAGATTGTGTTCTCCGAGACGGGGGGTTCGGGGTACCAGGTCACACATACCATAGAGGACAGGTGCCCGACACGTTCACCAACCAAGGGTCAATGCACTCGGGATGGAACTGATGGTTGCAAGGGAGAACGCGCATGTCCTGTCCCTTAACAAAGTCATCGGTACAGATTGGGCAAGAGAAATTGGGATGCTCGGCAGAGGTCTCCGTCTCAGCATTGCCTGCTCGGCGCTCTTGGTTCGATTCGGGAGATGGAGTGGTGGTGGGGTTTCGTTGTGTTTCGTGGAGTTCGTTGGGTGTAGGGGCCGTGCCGCCCGTCGCCATGGGCGGTTGATGAGGTTGATCGTCGGCGGTGGTTACTTCGGATGCCATCGACATTTCGAGATCTCCCTTGTCGGCCTCTACTCTGCCCTCGTCGCCATCGTCAAATTTCACGATCGGGATCGTTTCTAGCATCGCCCGGGCTATTCCTCGCGCTCGACTTTGGCGTGGTCGTCCTGGCCGTTGCCGCGGTCCGTAACGCTCGGGATGACGATGGGCGCGGATGGCGCCGGTAATGATAATGGACAGGAATAGCGCCGTGATAATACCTGTGATACTATAAAGGATAATCATAGCTGCCACTTTGATTTAGTAACGACTCGAATATCTCGTCCGACAACGCCTACCTGTATTTGGGCTGTTAGCCGCTTGCCCACTGCCATCTCCTCCGTCGGCACTCGTATTCGCTGGGATGAACGCGGATGACATGTTGTAGACAATGTGCGAAGTTCCAGTGCTGTCCAGCGAATTGAGTTGGGTTAGGAGAGTATTGGCCGAATCCGTACCCAGCAACGTAAACAGCGAGTCGTAATCGCTGCTCGTGCTCCGAGTGTAGTTGCAATGAGAGTCTACCGTACTATATAGAAGAACCGCGGACGGTCTCTGCTGCGAGTTCAGAACAATGTCTACAGTTGCACTGGCATCTAATTTCCCCGGATAGGCGGATTGGTCACAACTAATGACCGCAATGTCACTACCATTCAGCGACGGGGTATTCGTCGCATCCACGAGGGTTCCCGTAAGATCAAGTGTCTAGGAGACCATCAGTATTTGCCAGAGAACGTAACGTGAAGGCCAAGACAATGGATGCATCGGAGATTACTTACCGCAAGTTGGCTCCTGTTCAGGCTTACAAGCGCCCAGGTCAACGGGGCAAGAGAAATGGGCCCAGAAAGGTCCACTTGAGTACTGACGAGATGGAACTTCAGCTGGCCCGACCACGATAGATCCGCCGAGTTATTCGACGGCAGGACCGTCGAGTCTACTGCGTAAAATGTGGAAAAGAGAACAAAGAGAAGAAAAGAAGGAAAAGAAGAGAAGAAGAGGGTGGGGGGAAGATGGAAGAGAAAAGGAACTTGCAGGAGACCCATGGACGAGAAGAACCAGCCGAAGTAGGAGGATTTCCCCACGGATCGCGAGGCTTACGGAGATGTCGGAGGGTATGGGGAATCGAGGAAGATCATTAGGTCACCGATCTCTCTGCCAGGGAACACAACAGAAAATCCCTCCAGAACCAATTATCATACAGAAATGTAAAAACAAGACCTGTTTTTTTTTTTTTTTTTTTTTTTTTTTCTAGCTTGGTCTTTGGTTCTGATAGTTATCACCCAACGTAGCAGCAGTTGGTCGATCGGTGGGCGGTTATGGGGACACGATCAACCCAGGGACAGCGCAAAGTTTCAACCGATTGAGGAAACCAACCAGGGTTACCTGACGATTGGAGTAAAAAAAGAAAAGAAACAAAAAAGGATGAAACGGAGATCGGGGACAGATGAAAAGCGAGAAAGTAAGATAACCCGTCAGAATTCTGTATAAGCGAACAATGCTGTTGGCGGGGGCTGTGAAGATGAGGTGAGAAGAATAATCAAATGGTATGGAATGAATGGATGGATGGATTTCTGACACTGAGTGGGCTGAGACCCAAGATTATCCAAGATTATCATCCACTACTGAGAGAAAATAACAGTGATGATTTGAAGGATGAGGATGAGGGGGTACGGAGTTCCACTAAGAAGGCGTGGGAGAGGGGCTGGATGGACCAAACCCCGGCTGTTCCGGAAGGAAAAGACAGGATTAGGGGAAATAAGAGGCAGAGAAACCCCCTCGAAAAAGAAACTGGAGAGAATGGATGGAGATGAAAGCGACCATGGCTGGAGTTGACGGTCACGGCCATTCTTTCATGCCATCCCATTTTCCCTTTTCCAGGATGAATTACCATTCTACATAATCTGACGGAGTGCAGTTCCTATAGTTAGTTACTTAGCCGTCAGCTTACTTTAGCGAGTCTAGAAGACCATGGTTCAACCGGATCACCCTCTACACCCCCAGCAAGTTACTGCTAAGTATACCCAGCCCGAGAAGAAAGAAATGACTCCGTCAAGAATGATCAAGATTACATCACCTGAAGCCTGTTTGCACTGCCCCTATTCCCATCCTACAAAGGAGCGGTAGAAAATAAGAATTAGAATTCCATGCGTTGTCAACATCAGTGACCCAATCAACAACTTGTCAATCGATCTCCACGACATGAATTCCTCGGTGTTTTCCCGCCACATGGAATTCGCCGCCGGATTCGGAGCACGCTTATCTTGACTTGAGTACGGAGGAGGTTCCTCTTAAACTCGCTAATTATACAATCATCGTTGAAAATATAACCTGCATAAAACTTTGGAGTTGACCGGCAAAATCTTGGGCTACCAACCTCTTGGGTCGGTCTCATGTATCCAGTGCGGTCGGTTAAGATATCTCTGGGTCTTTAGATATCCCATCGCTTTCCATTCAGACTTCCCTTATCCGTCCGATCGTCAGTAGATCATCGTGTCTTCCAAGTTGGTCATCGAGGGAGGCCTACTCAACATCACAACGTCTGGAGTAATATCTCTATTCGATTCCGAACTCTCCCCATGCTGAACACCATCCAGCCGAGAAAATTAAGCTCCGGGATTCTACCCAACTAGACGCGATCGCGGGTTAGTTAGTCGTGAACCAGTTTCTCTGGTTCATATGTAATGAATGGTGATCCGCGTAACACCCTTCTCCTCTCTCTACAAATATCTCTTCTCCCCACTAGGTACTTAGGAGAAATCGAATGGCCGAAGCCGAGGTTGCACTACCTAGTGGTATTTCTAGTATTTCTAGTATTTCTAGCATATACTCTGGAGCAAAGTAGGAAGCGAAAGTTTCGGATACGGGGGTGGATCCTCCGTACACTTTCTCGGATGCTACGATCTGCAGAAAGCAGGTGGGAGTAAAAGACATGTCTCAGTGGCTCCGACATCCAGGGGAAGTTCCATTTGCTCTCGAGTTTTAGGTTGAGTTTCGGGTTTAATGAGGTTGAGCAGACTGTTCTCATGTATTGCGGTGGTGTGACTGTGTGGCCTTGAGGTTGCGGTCGAGGTACATTCTCAAGTACAAGTATATAACTACTCTGGTGAATCGACAGATGAATAATCGCAGGTCTCTCGAACTGAATCTTGGGATGAATCAATGGGAAGAGTGACTCCGTGTACGGACTCACGGAGTACTCCTACAGAGAGAAATGTGATGGGTCCAGTGGGGCACAATCCGGAAGGGAGACGGGAGCTCCATATCTTAATCGTAGATATAGTTATTCTCTTAGGAGAAGAGTGTTTATAACTAGTTAACTAGTTAACTAGTTATTTATTATTATAATCAACTACTCTATAGTTAGTTAGTTATAATCGCCAGCATTTATAAAATCCCCCCCCCCCTTGGGCTATTCGGAAATCTCAGGGAGATAGGGGAACGTTGGGTGGATGGATCGGTCCAGACTCTGGGAGCAACATTCGGGCTGTGGTCCACTCAGCCCACGCATTCCTTTGCTCCGTAAGAGTCCTAACTTCAAAGACAGAGTACGGAGGCCAGAGTACATCTATTTTGAAGAATAAAAAATTTACCGAAGAGGATAAGAGTGGATTAGTGCCAGAGAGCTGGCGTCCTGTCCTGGATTTCATTTTCGACAGGGTTTCAGACACCGGGAAGAATACATATGACATGAGGTTGGATTCTAGGTTCAGATGATCTTCCACAGCTACATTCTACCTAGTAAGAAGTTATAGTGGCTTTGGACTGGAATGTCAATGTCCTAACCCCCTGAGGGAGGATGGACTCTATTTGGGGAAATGCAGAAATGAAAAGAACCCCTTGTCAAGAATCAGAATAAGATGCTTATCATGGCCAGCTTGTAAACGGAATAGAAATGGATGACTACCGGTAACTAGTACGAGAGAGAGTTCCCCGATGAATTCAGGTGGATAACTACCTAGAACAATGAGAACGGACGAAAGTGGGCTGATAGTGACTAGATATTATAACGATTCAATATGATTTGGGTATTTCCAACATAATTTGCCATAAGAGACTTTGATTCTCCCCAGTTTCGACTGCCAATTTGAGAACAAAAACCAATGGATAAAAATAAATAGATAAAAATATAAAAACCGAAGATCATATATGTAAAGATAATCCCAAATAAACCCAAAGTAAAAGCAGCCAAACCCAAGCAAAAAAAAAAAAAAAAAAAAAATCTGGCCAGCCCACGCTGGTCCGACCAAAATTAGTAGCCGCATGCCTGCCTATAGGCCATGGGGGAAAAAAAAAAATCATCTCCAGCTGTGTATCCCCGCTTCTATTCGAGGCCTCGAACCCCCCAAGAGCCCACTAAGTGGCCGCCCAAGGATTCATGATTGGGCCAGTCTCCCGGAGGCGTCCCAGGTTACCCTGCTGAGAGAGTCAGTTCGTGTGTTCATGGAGGGCCGAGGCTCTCATCGACTGAAGAGAGACAGCAATTGAAGAAATAGAGGAAGAGGAAGAAGACAAAGACAGCGAGGTCAAGAAGGGGGGGGGGTTTCTTTCTCCTGGTTAGTATAAAGGAATCGAGGCCATGAGGGTTTGAAGTACGGAAAGAAATTCATCGCTGGAGGAAGCTCATGGTTCGAGATACATCCAAATTGATCCACGAAATAAACAATAAAATCCCTATATATTAAGAATCCTTATATAGTAGCAAAATTAATACGCCTCATACTGACAAGACCGTCCAACTGGTGCGACCTGGTACTTTCTCTCTCACTAATCTGCTGGTGATGCATTTTTCTCTCTCCTCCACCCCTCCTCTCTCTCTCGATTTCTGTTTCTTTCTTTCAGATCTATTGCCCTTTTTCGACCTTTGGGGGTTTTACCTTAGGCCTACTCGGCAATCTCTTGCTTTTTCTTCGGGTTTCTGCTCTGCTTTGATCTTGTCCTCCTTCATCTTCATCCTTTTTTTTAATTTCTCTCTCTCCCTCTCTCTCTCTCTATTTTCCCTTTTATCTTCCCGAAATCGATTTCACACACTCTCTCTTTCTCTTTCTCTTTCAAATCGCTGTAAGAGCGGCATCTCCCGTGGAATCAAAAAGTGCCTAGGACCCCCCCCCTCCTTTTCCCAGGTTGAAAGATGCGAGTCATTTTTGATCAGATAATTCTCCCATTTTAAAGAAGACAACAGCAATCCCTCAGTGTCATCTGGGTTTACCTGTCAGACACTGAGAGGTTCAAATAGAACGATTCTTTATACTTGAATCCCCCCCCCCCCCCCCCTTTTTTTTTTTTCTTCCTCCCTACTTCCCGCCCCTGACATGATTGTGTTGGGCCAGCCGACGAGACCGTCCTCGTCCTGTCTTGCTAGTGTTGAGCAGGAGACAATCGCCGTCTGGCCTAAAAGATGCCCCCTGAGTCCCTTACGACTTCCCCAGGAGCTTCCAAAGCTGGGGAAGTAGACCAATTTGCCGTCAATTACTGGAAAGCACGGTTTGATAAAAGACCCCCTACTTTGTGAGTATACCAAACCGTCCTAGCGATCTATATGCCTCCCTACAACTTGTGTTTTTATCACCACTAGCGGTCAAAAAATGCTGAATTATCGCTGAATCGACCAGAATTCATGTGATTGAGACTCTGGATGTCGAGTACAATGAACTGGCCCAGTCCTGGAAAAGGTTCCAAGAGCTGCTTGCCCCCACGGATCGTGTATGCTTCGAGGAGCGCCCTCAGACTGCCCCCGACGTCCAAGCAGTTGTCCGTGGGGTCCAGGCTCTCTGGGGTTCTAGTCCACAACAGCGAGCATTCCGCCGTTCGATGGCTCTGTGTGATACTTTCGCAGCCACTCTCGATTCGCATACTGTAACCTTAACGACCCTTCCAAACCATCAATTCTACTCCGCCCTTTTCTACGGGGTGTTACAGTCCATGCTCAAGGTGAGTTTCGTATTTTGTTAAACCTGGTGGCCCACGCCCGTATAAGGCTAAATGTGTACAGGCATGTGCCACTTACCCAAACATTATGGAAAGAATGATGAGCGCTCTGGTCAACGTAAATCAATCTATTAGCCCGTCTGTGGAGAGCGGCACGTTGCAGTTCCCCAAAGAGTCCGTTCCGTTAATCGCAAGATTCTACTATCTCACTTTCTTCTTCCTCGGGGAATTTATGGACTGGTATGCGAGAAGATCCAAGTGCCGGCTACTGCAAAGTCTTAATGAGGATATGTATCTTGATTTTGGCAACCTTGTCGGTGCAATCCAGAGCAGTGCGCGCGATTTTATGCAAGGCTTCATCGATGTGCTGAGCCCGAACGACTGCGACTATGAGAGAACCTTGGGTACCGTCCACCACCCCGACCTGTACCTCTGGGAGCAAGCAAGATTGAGCCAGATAGGCCGACGACACGTTGACCGACGATTTGCCGCCCAGAATGCAATGACTCGCCTACTTATCTGGGGAATACAGCGGGATGCTGAGGAGCGACAGGGAATAAGGGAGAAGCGGGATGTCCTGCTTGCACAAATGTTCGAAACCGCAAGCCAACGGCTACGGCCCGCCAGCCAACAGAATGGCGGTATTGCCTGCTTGACAACGACTCCCGGGCCGTATCTGAGTAAGTAGCTCAACCGCCAAAGTTGGGCGAGAATCGAACTAACAATGCGACTAGCTAGAGACACGTACACCCTTGAGACCTCCGGTGGGCCTAGACACAAGTACTCCAGGGTTGAATTGCAGCTAGCTTCAGCGCATTTGCAGGATTACTTCGACAGCGACGACCAAATTGCCGGCTTTGAGACCGACGTTGGAATTATTGCCGAAGACAGCGTAATCGAGTCTCTCAAACAATGGGGTACGAATGCTTACTCTCAGGTTCTTGCCATCGGAGGCTTCACAACTACCGTTTTTCCTAGCCCAGTTGCTCTCATCTCAGCCTGTTATGCCAACCTGGCCAGAGAAATTAAGTTGCCCGTCGTCGCCCATTTTTGTTCTCTTCCAACCACTGCGAAGGATGGGATGACTTTATTCCAGCAAGGCCTCATTGCTCTCACATACAGTTTGATCCGACAGCTTATCGACTGCCTTCCCCCAGTATCCAATGGCTCGGCCGCCTATGCCCTCAAAGCAGAACGGTTCAGCCCTCTGAATGGAACGCTGACGTCGTGGAAAGAAGTGCTGTCTCTCATTGATACATTATTACACTATGCACCACCACTTCTGGTCTGTGTTGTGGACGGGCTGGATAAACTACATGACACATCGACTGATGAATATATCCGCTCTTTGGTTCGGACGTTTGTGGATCACACTAAACCCCTACCTGACCTGGTGACGGATAGTTATCACAGTCATAATACTGTCCTGCTCAAGGTTTTATTCACAGTCACTGGCCGACCGAGTTCGCTGGTGGGAACATTGTTTGAGAATACCCTCATTCTAAGTGAATCTAATCGACCAGAGCAAGTAGTCGCCGCTGACCCCTCCCTCAACCCCAATGTAACGTTTATGATGATGAATGCATAACACAAAGCTGAGAATGAAGTGTTCTACTCTCGCGTGCTCTTCATTCCTCTTCTCTAACAATCCTCTTTCTTCTTCTTCTTCTTCTTCTTCTTCTTCTTCTTTCTTCTTCTTTCTTCTTTCTTCTTTCTTCTCCTTCTGGTCAACTTTTTGTCTTTCGGGTGAAAATTGGGACGTATAGAACTAAGCGCAGGCAGGATTTCTTCAAATACAACATTGTCGGTGGCGGAAATCTCGCGGGTTCGCTATTTCCTTCGTAACATGTCTGTCTGTGTCTTTCTTTATCCTGTGCTATCTCCTTTAAGGCATTTCTGGTCCGCATTTGCATTTTGGCCTGATGACCGTGGGACTGAGATCACGCCGGTTGTCTGTTCCTCAATTCCGGGCTTCGATGATGTTAACTGGCCCCTGCAACAGCATTGCCTCTGTATATCTCTAATGATACCTTTCCTGTAAAGCATTACACATAGAAGATGAATTGGATGACTTCATCTATGCGCCTCCTGTCACAACTTAGGAATTAGGGTTCCGAGTCCCAGGTGGCTCTCCTCCATCTCGGATTTGACTTGATTCCAGGATTTACGCCAATTGAGCTACATTTCTGTTCCATAATTGGATGAGATAAACGGTATGACTATCGGAATTCTTCATCCAGTACACACAATATTTATACCCGCTAAACATCTCATCCTAGCGTACGGGTAGAAGGACTTGAGTAAACACCATGACTCGATCAACCGGAACAGAATGCTATCCACAGCAGGTTGTTTCATCCTGATTCATCCATCCAGCTGGCTGATTTGAAAAATATCGCTTAGCATCGACCATACAAAAGAACATCCCCATGTATGATATGATGCTCCAGTCTGTCAAAAACAAGAAAGGCGACCATTTTGCGGCAAGCGGCAACAACGACCGCATCTGGAACTCGTTCATCGACTACTATTCCAACCCGTGGCTCCGGATCGTCAGCGCAGGCTGGCTAGGTCCGGCCTACCGGGTCACAGCCCAAGTGAACATCGTCAACCCAGCTGGTTCCCATTGTGGAGCGATGGGGTGCGGAGAGGGCCGTTCGGGAGTTGGAGCAGTTATGAGCGGACTCGATGCGGTTTAAAATAGACTATACATAGTAGATAATTTAATGTATGTATCCAAGCAATTTATTGTGCGGAGTATACTTCCACTCAGCCTCGAACATCCCAAGCCACCACACCACAAGACAAGAACCCAATCTCAATCTCCATCTCACATCCGTTCCGTGACTCAATGGCACACCAATCAATTACAGAATACTCCGTGCTTCCAGTGATTGGATTCAATGCGGTCCACAAGCAGGCAACTAGACACCAATCCCCACTTGCAGCCTCTTAAGCCTAAGGGCCGAATTAATTAGGATCGGGACATGGATCCATCTTCTACTAGGTAGTAGTAGGTACATCTGATCTGGTATCTTGCCTAATAGTTGACGATTGAGGTTTGACTCACTGGGTGGACTGGTGCACTGCCTCACGGGGCAAGATTGACTCAAGAGCCAACTATTCGTTATCGATGCAGGGTGTATATAGTTCTCTCTCTCTCTCTTAAGCTGTACTTCAACTCATCAACCCAATCTCATAAAAACAACAACAACAACAAAAAGAAAGCGAAAGAAAGAAAGAAAGAAAAATGTCTGCCCTTTCCAACCCTCAAATCCGCACAACAGATACCCACATCTACTTCCTCGGCGGCATTCTCTCAAACTGGTACGCCAGCCCGAAAGCGTTCATCGGCACACGAGCCCTCGACCTCTGCATTGCCACCCTCGACGCAATGCAAATCCCGCACCCGGACGAAGCCGCCGTGTCGACGCGGCTGATTCGCGATTTCCGGTTCGGACGGGGAGAGCAGTGGATGATGGCCATGAAGGCTTGGTTGTTCGAGGGGGTTCCCGGGGCCGATCAACAACCCCCAGGGTTAAATCTGGATGAGTTCCGCAGGTTGCAGAACCAAGTCCTCGCGACGAGGGGCGCGCCTGCGGATCCACAGCGCAAAGAACTCTGGGGGTCGGCGCTGTGTCGGATTCTCCGGACGAACTCGCCCAAGGCGCAGAAGATGATTGGGCGCAAGGTGCCTGGTTTCAGGGACGATCTGTGGAGTCGGGCGGCTGGGGTGATTGTTGTTGCTGGGTGTGTGGCGCGCGCGGAGGTCGATCCGGAGTTGAAGGCGTTGTATTTGGCGAGTCGGGGCAGGAAGTTTGTGGAAGGGAGTCGGAATGATTGCGTTTGGGCTGTTGGGTTGGATTGGATGAGCGAGGAGATTCTGGACGAGAGGAATTGGAGGGGGATGAATAAGTTGGGGGAGAGTCATGATGCAGCGGCGAAGATATTATTATGTGGGAAGTAGTACATATATGTATATATAGACTTGTGCGTGCTAGGAATATTCATATCAAACAAGATACACCAACTTCTTCCCACTGATCTTCCCCTCCTTCAAATCCTTCAGCCCATCCAGCACTCCCCCCAGTCCATTCTGCCTCGCCTCGACAACTGGAGTCCTCAATTTACCCTCTGCCCACAGCGCCTCCACCATCGTCGTCCACCGCGAGACAAACTCGAATTCCTCCGGCATAGCCGGGATCTCCATTCGCTCAGGGCCATACTCGAACGCCTCGCCCATTGCCACACTGCAGTTCACCCAGCTGCAATGGATCTCTGGACGCAGAAACGGCGGTACAGGAAGCAGCGAGTGGTATCGACCACCCGCAGGACAAATTGCTTCGCTGCAGATCCTGGCGGATTCCTCGGTGGCGATCGTATCATAAACAAAGCGAAGACCATTCGCTGCGTATTCTCTGATGCGCTGGATGCATTCCGGACCACGGTAGTCGCAAACAGCATCAGCTCCGAACCGACGGACGAGATCAAAGTTTCGAGGTGAACAGGTTGTGATCACTGTATATCCCGCCCTATGCGGCACCACCAAGCACTGGAGATCAGCAGGTGTGTCTATACATAGACAGACAGTCCAAAAAAAAGAAGCAAAAACAGCAGCAGCAGCAGCAAACAACAACGTACAACTTTGCAAATTGAATCCCCCAGAGACCCGACGCGGAACTCCCTCCATAGATCAGAACCGCACGGTCCTTGCTCTGCGCATCATCCCCAACCTCAAGCCCCGGGAATCGCATCCCGAGTCCTCCACGCCCGAACAAACACATTCCCGCCGACACAACACCAACGCCCGCCGTCGCCGCATCCGCAAACTCCACGGCGTCGGGAATCTTCATCTGCACCCCGGCTTTGGCAACTATGTACTCTGCAAACGCCCCGTTCTCGATCCTCGTCGCATCTCCGCCTTTCACCATCCCGCAGACTCTGTCCCCGGGTTTGAATCGCCCCCGGACAGAGTTTCCCACATCAAGAACAGTGCCCGCGTAGTCGTGGCCCATGACGGCGTTGGGGGCTGGCGTGCTTGCCAGGAGCATCCAATCGATGGGGTTCAGCGCGACGGCGGTGGTTCGGACGAGGATGTAGTCGTCTCGGGGGGAGGGGAGGGGGCGGTTGGTGACAAGGGAGGCATGGTTCTGGGTGAGTGTTATGATGGCTTTTTGAGGCATGCTTTCTCTTTCTTTCTTTCTTTCTCTTTCTTTCTTTCTTTCTCTTTCTTTTCTTTCTGGTTATGTCAGGGCTTGATGGTGATAGTATAGTGTATATACACTGTTCACTTCTGAAGAGAGAATATCTTTTTATATCTTGCAAAATCATCATCATCATAAGATACCTAAGGATTCTTGATCCACAAATGTCCGAACTCTGCATGGTTCATAGTTGATATAATCTTGAAAAAGGTAAATTAATTTTGCGGGAAACTACATATGTATAGACTTATTTATCAGTCTCCACTTTACTCCGCAGTCCGCATCCACCTTTCGGCATGCAGAGGTAGGCTATAGAACGTAGATACTGTGACTGACTGTTCTATTTGAGGACTGATGTACCTACAGAATCGTCCTCGGAGTTTACATGACTGATAGCTGACGTGGATGACAGGCAGTATAATGCACCCACCCCCTTGCAAGCAACAAGCAAAAGCCCTCCAAAGTCATCCACCTCGGTAATGACTCCGCGTTCCCAACGCCGCACAAACTGGTCATACGATATGACCTCGTCAACATCGGTTTCGGATCCTCCTCCTCCTCCTCCTCCTCCTCCTCCTCCTCCTGCGCCTTGTTGTTTCGAAACCGGCAACCCAGCCAGATACCGGATCAGGTCGCATCGCCGATCCTCGAGCACCGAGCGCACAGCACGAACCAGGTACGAGAGTACAACCAGCCGGCGCGCGCTCTCACAGACATGCCGACTGTGCGAGTTCCCGACGTGCACCGGCAGGAACGCCGGACAGGTCCGCGCTGCTAGCTCGATGTTTTCCAGCTCGGCCGTGCTGCGCGCCAATGCCGTCTCTAGTTGGGTTGCCAGATGAGTGTCGTGTGGTGGTGGGCCACCGGCCAGGAACGTCATGGTGTAGTAGAGGATGAGGGCTTGCGTTCGGTCCAGGAGCTCGGGTATGGGGTTGTGCGGGGGCAGAGCATCCTCGTGGATGGCGAGGAGGGTGTTGAGCGCCTGGTCCAGGAGCTGGCGGTAGAACGGGTGTTGTGTGTAGGGTCGTAGCTGATACGCGGCACATACGCCGTACGCTTCTCGGAGAAACCGGGGGAGAATCGCGGCGCCGTTCTCTGCTCTGGGGTAGATCGAGGGGTGTATGAGTGGTGTGGTTCCGGAGTGGACGAAGATCTCGATGTCGGAATGGAACCTGCGGGTGCAGAAGTCCCAGGCTTCATGGTCATCAACGCGGGGCCAGAACTCCAAGACTCGCTTCTCGAGTGGTGCGAGCTGCGATCCTGGTTCTGGGAGCTGTCGGAATACTAGGTCGAGGTCGAGGTCGAGGTCGAGGTCGATGTCAAGGCCAAGGTCAAGGTCAAGGTCAAAGTCAAAGTCAAAGCCATCCGGTTCGACTGAAAGATCCAAACCAAAGGAGCCATCGAAGGGTGGGTTGGTCTGTTCACACGGTTCCAATTCTGAGGTTGGGTAGGGATATTGGCATGTTAGAGAACGTTTGCAACATCGCGAACACGCGGGGATCTCTCTATCACAGCGCCGTTTAGCCGCTACACATGACTGACAGGCTGTTTTCCGAAGAGACATGATGATGAGCAGCCTTGGAATTCCTATACTGACAACCAGGATGCTTGGATCGGATGGCAGAGGTATTCGTCCAGCTTACCAATCAGCCAGCGGCCGGGGCTAACCTAGGGAATAAGATACCTGAATTGTTAAAAGTAGTCTTCATTCTAATTGATCCCTACCAATAGTACGGTGGACTATCCTAGGTACCTGCAGGGTTTATATATATATATAGAGAGAGAGAGAGAGAGAGACAGAAAAAGGATTGATAGAGTAGAAAATAATGCAGTTCTCCCAACCCATAACCTCATCATAACCTCATCATAACCTATATCATAACCTATATCATAAACTTCAGTCTCCACATCCTTTTCTTCCACGACATTTACACCACAAACACACTTCACTTCCAGCACTCTGCACGGTGACGACGAGCATATGCACCTGGATTTGATGATTGGAATGAAAGAGAATCTCAATGATCTGTGCAAGCGACCACAGCCGATCAGATCGCCGTCGACTGAAATCCTTTCGGAATAGTGCGGTGATATTCCTGGACTATGGATGCGCCGTGAGTGGATCTGCCTTATATGAGATTCATTCGAATGAAATGAAATCCCTGACGCAAGAGATTGATGGAATAGATTCTGTAAAGATCGATCGCCGATCGTGAGTCAAGACGATTTGACTTGACTTGAAAGAAATTCAGGAATGAAGTCGAAGAATGGATCGTCAATTCCAGCCAGCCATGGTAACACTCAACAACTCTGGGGAATTTGAAAGAGATTTAATAACAGAGAGGATCACAACTCGGCTCAAAATTGACGGGAGGAAGTTAAAAAAAAAATAACTCCCGGTGGCGTTGACGCGGTGCCTGTTGGTTGGGCTCTGGATAGAAAACTGAAACGCCTCGAAACATCCGGTTTTTTTTTTTTCTTTTCTCTGATCAACTCAACTTCATCTTCTTTCTTGCTCTCTCTCTCTCTCTCTCTCTTCCCCCCTTCCCACGGGAATCTCTCGTTTCTTCCCTGCTCCATGTTTCCATCGACGATCCTTTAAATCGGTTCTTGTTCTTGTTCATCTCCATCGACCCACCTCGTCGTTCAGTTCGCTCTCTCCACAAGAACCGCATTTTCCATTTCTCTACGGGGAATAGGAACACTCACTCGATTATCACCGACCTTCGCCTTTTCGTGACTGACAAATTCTGTTTTTAACCCCCCACCTCACCTTTTTCCTTTATGGTCTCTGTTCCAAGTCCCTCGTTCATTCCATAATTTTCGATGTCCGGACGGCCTGGTCTCACAGAGAAGCGTCTGTCCGCTCATCGCTTCCAGCAAATCCCCGATCACACTCCTGACACCATGCACAATCCCAATGATGTTACCATCGACATTCCCTTGACCAGCGTCTCCAGTCGCGGGCAGACTGGCGCTCGCAACAACAGTGTTCACACCCCCCGTTCACCCTCCGCTTATCCGCCCCCAACAGACAGCGAGGATGTTACTGCCCACACCAACACCAGCGAGAAGGCAGGCCTGGTGTCATTGCCTCCCAGCTCTCATGGCTTTGGTCACCGTCGTCGCAAGATTATCGACGAAGCCTCTGGTCGTGCGCTGGATGACCCCGAGGACGGCACCGTCACGCGCATGGGCCGCATCTATCAGGCCGTCCTCAACTTCTCCTTCGTCACTCGTTATATGATCTACGTTGCGCCTGTCGCCTTGCTGATCGCTATCCCCATAATCGCCGGAGCAACTGTCGCAGAGAATGCGAAAATCGGCGGTGTCTCCCTTCCCTGGTTCTTTTGCTGGATTGAAGTCGTCTGGGTTTCTTTGTGGGTGTGCAAAATTGTCGCCCGCTGTTTGCCCTATCTGTTCCAATTCCTTTGCGGAATTGTCAGCTCGGGAACCCGGAAGTATGCTCTCATTTTGCGGAATCTGGAGATTCCAATCACCACCGTGCTCTGGATGATTGTGTCTCTCGTTACCTTTTTACCGGTAGGGTGGATTGATGGCTTTTGGAACCAGATTTATAAAAACTGGCTAACCCCTCTCTAGGTTATGACCCAGAACCCAAGGAAACAGGCCGAAGGCGACACATCCACAAAGGACTGGGAAAAGTCGGTGAAAAACGTGCTCTTCGCACTTCTGCTCTGCAGTTTGATCTTCCTCGGCGAAAAGACCATCGTTCAGCTCATTTCGATCAGTTACCACCGCAAGCAGTTCGATACCAAGATTAAGGAATCGAAGCGCAATATTTATCTAGTCGAAACTCTCTACGACGCCTCCCGCAGCATGTTCCCCATGTACTGCAAGGAATTTCGCGATGATGATGCTATTATCTCTGACTCCATTCTCGCGCAAGCCCCCGACGTTCGACCGGGTCATCTGCGTACGAGCTCGTCTGCTCCACTGCGACTGATTCGCGGGGTTGGCCAAGGGGTTGGCCAAATCCGGGGCAAGATCACGGCTGCGATTGGTGATGTGGCGCATGAGATTACGGGGAAACAGGTCTTCAACTCTGCGACTGCGCGATCTGTCGTCACCGAAGCGCTAGAGCGCCGGCGATCTACCGAAGCCTTGGCGCGGAGAATTTGGATGTCTTTCGTGGTCGAAGGCCGCGAAGCTTTGTTTTTTGATGACATTGTCGAGGTCCTTGGTGCTGGCAAGGACACCGAAGCAGAGGAGTGTTTCATGATGCTCGATCGCGACGGAAATGGCGATATCAGTTTGGATGAGATGGTCCTCGCCATTACCGAAATCGGGCGCATGCGCAAGTCGCTGAACCATAGTCTGCACGACGTCGATCAGGCAATCCACGTCTTGGACAACCTGCTGGTCACAGTTGCCTTCATCATCGGGGTTTTGGTCTTTATCTCGTTTGTCACGAGCGGTTTTGGTACTGTCATCGCCGCCGGTGCCACCTCTCTCCTGTCCTTGTCCTTCATCTTCTCTACCACGGCCCAAGAGGTCTTGGGTTCCTGTATCTTCTTGTTCGTCAAGCACCCGTTCGACATTGGGGACCGTGTCGAGGTCAACAGCCTGCCATACGTTGTGGAGCGTATTTCCTTGCTCTTTAGTGTTTTCCGGAGTGTGACCGATCATCGCGTGACCCAGGTTCCCAATGCCGTCCTCAACACTCTCTGGATCGACAACTTCACCCGTTCCAAAGCTATGCAGGAAAAACTGACAGTCCATGTCAGCTTCGACACCACGTTCGCCGATATCCAGCTTCTCAAGGATGAACTGGAGACTTTTGTCCGTGACAAGGACAATAGCCGTGACTTTCAGCCCGACGTGGAAGTGGATGTCGCCGGGGTTGGCGATATGGACAAACTTGAGCTTACGGTGCATATTTGCCATAAATCCAACTGGTCCAACGAGGCAATCCGCGTGGCACGCCGCTCCAAGTTCATGTGCGCCTTGGTCGCTGCTGTTCGCAAGATCCCTCTCCACGCTCCTGGCTACACCCCACCAGAAGAGACATCCGCTGATGACAGCGAGGACAAGCCTGATGAACAACCCGACGAGAAGGCCTCCAAACCCGCTGCGAACCAACAATATACCGCCACCGAGGGAGCGCACCGTCTCGCTGTCCCAGACACCAGCTTCACCGATTCTTCGAGATCCACAGGCTTCGACCTAGGTCGCGCCGCATCCATCCAGCGTCGTGGAGCTGCTGCCGCCGCCGCCTCCATGGGAAGCTCGTACAGCGACGGTGCCTACAACAATATGAGTACCAGCACTAGTGGCAACGAGTTGGGCCTCCGCTCCCTCTCCCCATCTGGAGCGGACGGATCCCACGACGGAGATAGCTATCAAACCCCTGGTGTCTCCCCTCGTCAGGACCAACAACTCGGCGTCCACTACGGATCTCTCACCCGGGAGCCATCCACCGGCCGCAGGAAGGAAGGTACACAGCCCCCCTACTCCTACGGGACGAGTGGCGTCCCTATCATCAACGAGCCTACCCCGCCTTCTCGTCTCCAGGGCCCTCCTCAGCCAGAGCCGCAACAGGAGCAGCCGGCATCCGATCCATACCCCTACCCGGGACATTATTACGAGGGTGCAGAGGATTCCAGCCAGCCCCTCGAGCTTCCATCCGGGATGGATACCTCTCGACCTCAACAGCATAGACAGTACCCGTCCTACTCTGCTTCGGCTGCCGCTTCTCATCAAACCGAGGCAGAGGAGCGAGAGAGGAACTACATGTCTCAGCATCCGTATGGATCGTGATTTGACCGCAAGCACCGCACGCAAGGGCATTATTATGTGATATGATTTTTTTAAAATAAAAATAAAAAATACAAGAATTTGACCCATTGTATACGGGTCATGTAAGACCACGGAGTTTGGAGCATGTGTGGATTCTGAACTATAACGGGGTTTGTCGTATACGTATCAAATGTGGAAGTCATACGACACTCATGCTAAGCAATTTATTTAGCATGGAATGGAATGCAAGGAATTGGGAGATTTCTATGTTACATTTCACCACTCCCAACTGCTGTACCATGCATGCATCACAGTCAGCCATGGATATGGATAGTCTAGTATAGTACACACAACAACAACAACAACTTCCCAACCACGTCCTCTATCTCGACCCTAGAAAATCAGAACCCTGATCTGATATATCCATCCTAGACATCCACACGGCACACAATGACCCCAGAGCACCCAAATGAGTGTGGTCTGTCTGTCTATTTTGTTTCCTTCCACGGATACGAAACCGGATCATCCTTTCGCACCCAAATCTTACTCTTCCGACGATTCACAACATGCTCGACAAATACCTCCCGCGTATACTGGGTCTTGAACTTGCGGATCCACCGCGGATCCCACAGTTCACTCGCAATCCCTAGATCCTTGCAGCACCGCACAAGCGCATTAGACCGGCATCCCTCCGTAGCAGTGGGGATCCCATCGGGGGAAAAGTAATCCTGCTCGCCGCGAGCAACAGAGACAAGCCTATATGTATATATAAATCGACATTAGCGCATCTATCCAGCCAACAACCCAACCCAAAACAAAACAAAACAAACAAGAATCATGCATCTGGAACCCCATACCGTCCATTACAAACCAACGCATACTCCCTCGTCACCGTCTTCGGGGTAACAATGCTCTCACTCCTCGGCACCAGACCCCACCCCCCCGGCCCAAAGGCCCGGTTCAGAATCCGCCGGTACTTGATTTCAGGCAAGTAGAGGATGCCATCAGGTTTGATCTCGACTTCCTCGGGTTCTGTCGCGGCGAGTAAGATCTCTGCGACTTCCTTGGGGAACGGCTCTGCGCTGAGCCCGTGGAACGACCGCGTCCAGTCGATTTTCTCTTGCGGCGGGTTTTCGAGCTCCAGCGGTTTATCGGCGAGCCCGGTTTTCGAGATGTTGTCTGTTGTTGGGTGGTTCGGGGTGGGGGCGGAGATGCGGGTTGCGCGCTGGGTGGCGCTGGTGGCGCTGGGTTGTGGTTTGGCTGAGGATGGGGTGGTAGATGCTGCTGGGGGTGATTGGGGCTGTTGGGATTGAGACTGTCGCGTGAAGGAGGTTTGGGTGAGGGATCTGGTTGCGCAGGGGAGCGAGGTAGAGATCAGGGGGCGCGTGGCAGCGCGTAGGAGTAGCGGTCTGTGAAACAATAATGCCATGATTGTGGTGTGTTGCAGGCTCGATGTTGGTTTGGTGAGGCTTTGGCTGGGGAAGCTCGTGTTGTTGATGATTTGAGGTCCAAAGCTGGAGCACTAGGGATGGGATCACGTGATATAACATGGGGTTGCGTGGAGTAGCGGAATTGGGTCTCTTTTGCTTTTTTTTTTTTTTTTTTTTTAAATATGGCCTTTATAGTATACAGGAAATACCATTATGCAGTTATTGTACAGGGTCTCGATCGATGGGTGCGGGTTTACAGCGTTGAGAAGGGGAGGGAAGAGGGAGGATTTAGGCGTCTTTGGTCTGGGTGCGCTCGTCGTTGCCTTGTCGTTTCCAGCACTCGCGGAAGGCCTCCATCTGGGGGAATCGACGGTGGTTAGAAGGGGTCTAATCGAGGAGGAGAAACCGTGGATTGGATATAGCAAAGGCAGTTTCGAAAGCCCGTGGGTTGGATGTGCCGGTGATCGCGAATTGCACATCGACTCACCTCGTTCTTGCAGCTTCTCCAGTCTTTCTTAACATAATAACAGTCATTCATTTTCTCCTGCTCCACTGATCGGGATCATCTAGATTAGCTGGGACCCTTTCTAGAGGTGGTGGACTGGTTGAAGGTACCTGCACAGCCGGTGCTGAAGATCCGCTTGTCCCTATCCCGACGGCCAGTTAACTCCCCGCAGAATAACAGAATAATGACAGGAGGTAAAAAAAAGGAAAGAAATTCATACCAGTCATCGGGTTCATCGTCGTCCACTTCAACAGCCACCGGCGGGTTCTCTTCCTTTTTCGACATTGCGATTGACGGATCGGGTGCAAGCAGGAAGATACAGTAAGAAGTCAAGTTCGACTTCTCCCCCTCTTTTCTCTGAAGCTTCTCTCAACTTCCCCGCGAAAATGGCGACAACGAACCCCAACACCACGGGCAGGAGGGTCAATGTGCTGGTTTACTCCGGTTAGCTATTATCTTTTGTTTTGGTCTTTATAAATAGGATTTATTTACTAACATAAGTTGCTTGCAGGTGATGGCACCACCGTCGAATCCGTGCGCCACTGTCTCTACACTCTTCGCCGCCTCTTGGCCTCCCACTATGCCGTGATCCCGGTGACTGCAGAAATGCTCCTCAAAGAGCCATGGACACTTACATGTGCCTTGCTTGTCTTCCCAGGCGGTGCAGACCTGGGATACTGCCGGTCCTTCAACGGCGCTGGCAACCGGAAGATTGAGCAATACGTTCGCCGCGGGGGTGCTTACCTAGGTTTCTGCGCCGGGGGGTACTACGGCACTAAGCGCTGTGAATTCGAAGTTGGAGACAAAACCATGGAGGTAATTGGCGACCGTGAACTGGCCTTCTACCCGGGTATCTGTCGTGGAGGGGCATTCTCTGGATTCGTCTACCACAGTGAAGCAGGTGCCCGCGCTGCTGAACTGACAGTGTCGAAGGAGGCACTGAGCTCTGGAGTTGTCCCGACCAACTTCCGCTGCTACTACAACGGTGGGGGCGTCTTTGCCGATGCCCTATTGTATGCAGATAGTGGCGTTGAGGTCCTTGCTAGCTACGCACAAAGACTCAATGTAGATTCTGGGTCTGGCTCTGCCGCCGTCGTTTACTGCCCGGTTGGTGACGGTGCAGCCATTCTTACTGGGCCGCATCCTGAGTAAGTAGACTCTCGGAATCTGGCAGTGGCCTCTCCTATGAAAGTGGTAACTGATTCTGGCAGGTTTGCGGCGGCGAACCTCACTCCTGGTGCGAGTGGTTCTGAATACACAGAAGTTATCGAGGCTCTTGCTGCGGATGACAAGTCCCGGACCGACTTTTTGAAGGCTTGTTTATCGAAACTCGGCTTGCAAGTATCCCAAGACACGACAGATGTACCGTCTCTGTCGTCACTGCACTTCTCGTCCTTGTTCCCCGATGACGCGAAGGAAGTATTGAAGTCGTTGGAAGAGCTGGTTGGTGATGCGCAGTACCTGAAAGACGAACATGACACTTTCCGGATTGAAACACCAGGTGTTTGTAATATGGGAGACCTCGCAGAATCCCTGCCGGCAGACGTAAAGGAATCCTCCAAAATCTCCCAGGAAGAGGGGATTCTGGATCACCAGGCAGTTGTCAAACGGCTAGTGGTTCACGACGATGTGCCGTCGTCAAAAATGACCCCCTATTTCAACCACCACGCTTTCTACACCCATCTCCGACACTACCAGGCGCAATCGAACGAGGGCGCCTCGCAGTTTGGCTCAAATCTTATATATGGAGAGGTCATCACCAGTACTAACACGATTTTAGAAAAGTAAGTGCTGAATACTGAAACATCTTGGGAATATCGCTAATTCAGACAGGAACCCCAAGCTCCTTCACCAACTGCCGAACGGCACGACGGCAACGGCAACTACGCAGGTCGCCGGCCGAGGAAGAGGCTCCAATGTCTGGGTGTCCCCAGCAGGGGCGCTCATGTTCTCAACTGTAGTACGACACCCCATGGATAAGATGCAGTCAGCTCCAGTCGTGTTGATTCAGTATCTCGCGGCACTGGCAACGGTCCAGGGAGTTCAAAGCTACGACAAGGGCTTTAACGCCATGCCAGTAAAGTTGAAATGGCCGAATGACGTCTGTATGTACTGCCCCTGGACCTTATACAACATATCGAACCCTAACAAAAAAAAATGTCCATAGATGCTCTCGATCCAGAGCAGCCTGAAGCCAAGAAGCAATACACCAAGATCTGCGGAATCTTGGTAAACTCTCAATACTCCTCGAATGAGTACACTTCCGTCGTCGGAATCGGCATCAACGCCACCAACGCATCCCCGACTACCTCATTAACAGCGCTTGCCAACCGCTTCGTTGGTCGCAATGCGGCCCCTATTACGCTGGAGAAACTACTCGCTCGCATACTCACTGTCTTCGAGGACTTGTATGTTCGGTTCCTGCGAACAGGCTTCGACCGCGTGTTTGAGGAAATGTATTACGATGCGTGGCTCCACAGTAACCAGATCGTGACTCTGGAAGCCGAAGGAGGGATCCGTGCTAGGATCAAGGGCGTTACTCGAGACTACGGCATGCTGCTGGCAGAGGAGCTCAGCTGGGATGACCGGCCTACTGGAAGAGTGTGTCAGTTGCAGAGTGACAGTAATAGCTTTGACTTTATGCGGGGATTGGTGCGACGAAAGATAAACTAGACTTTCCTTATAGAATTGAGAATACGAGGCAAATTTTAGACAATGTGTCAGCCTCTAAGCAGATGAAATATTAGCGACATACTGCAGTCATTGAAGTGGTAACAGGTTTAATCATTAGTGACCGGATCTGATGTCACATAAGGATGCGCTTTCATGACGCGTCCAGCATTAGCCGGTATATGACCTGATATCCAGTGTGTCCCCTCATAAAAGAGATACAGACTAACATATGCAAGGCAGAAGATCAAATCAAGGGACTTTTCTCGACATCGCCAAGTTATAAGGGACTACCAGTGTGCTCTTCATTCTCTTCTCTCCTCCGACTCTCCTCTTGTCTCACCCACCCTCACCCGCATTATAAACCAGACAGCACTCCAGAGGGGAACAGGGCCTGTGAATAGAGTATCAAAGTTACATCTGGCTTGGACAAAATCCCCGACTGTGAGACTTTATCCGTTGTTTGCACGAGAAATATATGCCGCCATCCGCAGATCAGCGCACACCGGTTCTTTGTCCTGGAACTCGGTTCATCGTTATAACTCAGCTCACCTACTGAGCACTCGCATTATTTTGCTTTGATTTGAGCATTTTTCTAATTGATAAGTTCTCTTTTTTCATCAGTATGGCGGCTTTGCTGCTTTATTTCTCAGCTCTTGGGGTCTGTTTGCTTGTTCTTCGTTACTTGAGGTCGACCTGGTATCATGCCCAAAAAGCACAAGAATGGAACTGTGCCCCCATCCCTCGCTATCCAACGGATATCTTGGGCATAGGAACACTGAAGGAATCTGTACAAGCAGATAAACAGGGGCTTGTCCCGCCGCTGTTAGGGTATCGCCTCGAGCGCATGAGAGCCCGGGAGGGCCGTGATGTCACCACCTTCTCCGTGACCCAGATGGGACGCAAGAACATCTTCACTTGTGATCCTCATAATGTGCAAGCGATTCTCGCCACCAAGTTTAAGGATTTCGAACTAGGTCCTATCCGTCAACACACCTTACTGCCGTTGCTGGGGACTGGAATCGTAAGGACCTCGCTCCGAATGATACTCACGGATCACGGAGCCCCTGGCTGACTTCCCAATCCAGTTTACATCTGACGGCGAGATCTGGTCTCGATCTCGAGCTCTGCTTCGCCCCCAGTTCACCCGCGAGCAGATCAGCGATCTGGACTTGGAGGAGCGCCATGTCCAACAAGCTATGCTAGCGATGCCTGTCGATGCCACGACCGGCTGGACGGCAGCCACAGACATCCAAGCGATCTTCTTCCGTCTAACCATCGACTCAGCAACCGAGTTTCTCTTCGGCGAGAGCGCAGGAAGCCAAGCAGAGGCTCTCCGCAACGGCGGCCAGCTCCCACCGAACAACTTCCCGGCCTACTTCGATCGAGCGCAGTGGTACGCCGCGCACCGCTCCCGCTTCGAGAAACTCCACTGGATCGTCGACAACAAGGAAAGCAGACACGTCGCCCGCGAAGTCCACGCCTACGTCGACCGGTTCGTCGCTGCAGCCCTCTCCGGCGCCGCCGTGGCGGCGCCGGGCAAACCGCGATCCTCCTCGACCTATGTCTTTCTCGACGCTATCGTCGCCTCAACCCAGGACCCGGTCGAGCTCCGCGCCCAGCTCCTGAATATCCTCCTCGCCGGCCGCGATACTACAGCTTCTTTCCTAAGCTGGTCTGTCCTCATGCTCGCCCGACACCCCAAGATCTTCCATACCCTCCGCCTGGCGATCCTTGACGACTTTGGACCTTATACCTCCTCTTCCTCCTCTGCACCGCAAGACAAACCAATCACGTTCCAATCCCTCAAATCCTGCCGTCCCCTTCAAAACTTCATGAGCGAAGTCCTCCGCCTGTACCCAGTCGTCCCTATCAACCGCCGCGTCGCAGCCCGCGACACCTTTCTCCCGCGAGGCGGCGGACCCGACGGCACTCGCCCCGTCTACATCCACGCGGGCCAAGCAATAATCTACAGCCCCTTCATTACGCAGCGCCGCAAAGACCTCTGGGGCGAGGACGCAGAAACATTCAACCCGGATCGCTGGGCCGGCCGCAAAGTCGGCTGGGAGTATCTGCCCTTCAATGGCGGGCCGCGCGTGTGCATCGGACAGCAGTTTGCACTCACAGAGGCGGGCTATGTGCTTGTGAGACTTTTGCAAAGGTTCGATGCGATGCAGGATGTTTTCCCTGAGAGGGCGGTGCGGTTTGCTTCGAGTTTGACCAGTGCGCCGAAGGATGCGGTCACGGTTCGGTTGCATGAGGCGGAGCGGTAATTTTCTCTCTCTCTCTCTCTCTCTGGCTCTCGCTCTTTTCTATGGAATGAATGAATGGGATGAATGTTGAGTGTACAAGTTTCGGTTGCGAGACGGTGTAGCTTATCCCGAGGGTTAATTGGCTGTGGTGGATGAGCTCATACATACATACATACCTATTATACATTTGGATCGTCTCTCTACTTACCTAGATAATAAGTAGTAGGATTGGGGTATCTAGTGGAGGGCACTTGATTCATGTACAATGGAGCCGGTAGCATCTTGATCTGACCGGTACCTAAGGTAGAGAGAGAGAGAGAGAGAGAGAGAGAGCGATGTGTGTTGTCTTACATGATATGATGATGGTTATGTGGTGAGGATGCAGATGAACGTGGTCTCGTTACCGTCATAAAGGATAGGAAAAATTTCATCTATTCCACTTATTTTATTATATGATTGTTGTTGTTGTTTTTTGCACCACCTTCTTGTGATTGAAAAAAAATTGGCTTGAAGACTTGAAATTTTCGGGTTAGATTTCGAAAGCAACTAAACTACCTATGTCGGTTTCTGCTTTAATCACCATCATAATCAATCGTTAATGAATGCATTCTGCACTCGCGGGAATTCATAAGCCGGGATATAATGTGTACATCATCATCATCATCATCATCATCATCATCATCATCATCTATATGTGAGAGAGTTTGGGTACTCATGAGGAAAAATCAAAACTCTAGTCACGACTTAACGTAGAACTCGAAGGACTTGTCTCCCTGACCGGCAGCAACAGGATTGGCGTCACGATCATATAAACTGCGCTCAAAGTACCTCACCCGGTCATCGATGCCTACAAGAATGACCGTTTGCTTTTGCGTGCCGTACGGGCCGTTTAGGAATGACTTGTCGAGAAGATCAGAGCCCGCACCTGCACCTTCACCATGACCTTGTCCGGGAGCCTCTTTACAGAGTGAGGACCCTGACGTCATCGAGGTCTCGGGTCCAGGGGCTTTCAGGCTCTCTTGTGTGCCGATGAGCGGAATAAAAATACTCTGTCGGAAGTAAGGAAGGTAATCCTCCGCTGTTGCGTCATCCGACAATTGCGGGAGCGAATCGGTGCAAAGCAGGTCTAGGAGACGGTGGATGAGCGCGTCTTCGTCCTCGTCGTTTTGAACGTGGGCCGAAATCGCCTGGTCAACGAGCTTCTCTCCTTCAAGAATCTTGGGCCACGAGCGGTCATCGAAGACCGTATTGCTGAGGCCTTTCGTTTGGCCATGCTCCGTCGCGATCCAGGTGACCTGGTCGAGTGTCGAGGAGCGATTGGACACAATTGCCAGCGGTTCATGGACGTAACCGCAGACTAAGCTGAAGCCGCCTACATTGCGGGCTGTGGGGCTGTCGACCATTTCCTCAACGTGGGAGAGTGTTGGGCTGTCGTCAGGCCGGGTGAGCCAGTTGTTGACAATCGCACCGCGGCTTTGTTGGCCCGTTGCTGGGTCGGAGGTGCTTTCGCGGTAGTTGGTGAGCACGGCAATCTTGCCAGATTTCGTGACTCCCATCCAAGTACCTTGGGTGGCACGGGCAAGATCACGACCTCCGAGGATGCCGGAGTGAGGCGAGGGCCACCATTCTACAGGGGCTGTTGGACGACGGAGGTATTCCTTGGTATGTTAGTTTGATACTGGATGGGGTTTATGGTTCGTGGGGTTCGACGGGTTTCAATTGAAGCATACATCCCTATTGTCAATGACAATCAATCGATAAGACGGGTGGGCTGTTGATATTAAAGCGATACACATGGTTGTGAGAGCTAAGAAGAGAAATCTGGGGGGAAAGAAGAGAAAGAGAAAGAAGAAGAGGCGAGATGAAGCCTGACGGATGCCAACCGTAGGTAGTTGGGCACGTGCGGTCAAAGTCGACCGGGAGGAGGGGGAAAGAGAGTCAAATGAGAAAGTAGCAAAATGAGCTATTTATATAGACTCGACAGAGAAATTAAGCAAGAACAACGAAGGGAGCTAGAGTGTTGGCGAGGTTGATGAAGTTGGCGATGTTGACGATGTTGTTGGATGCCAGCAAGCCAATGTGCTTGCCTTACCGCCTGATATATATGTATATGCCTTCTGACAAAACGCCTTTTGACTTCTCGTGGAATTTGATAAATAAAACCCATTCTAGTGCATCTTAAGAAAACTAGGGACTTGAAGCCGGAAGCCTGTCATGACGTCAAGACAGTTGTTGAACTGAATCTGGACTCTGAATTTCCAGATTTATATTATATAGTTATGTATAGAAGAGTATAAAGAAAGATCCCTTCTCCTGCTTACTGTGTGTGGATCAGTCACACTCCACACTCTCTGACAAAAAAAGAAAGCCGGCAGCCCCTCAATCTTCCTCCTTTCTCGCTATTCTTCGTTTCTTCTTCTCTTCTTCCCCTCGCTTTCTCGCTCCTCTCTCTCTCTCTCATTAACTGCAATCTCACTGCGGCTGGCCGCTTACTTCTCTCTTCCACCTTCGGACCCCGCATCCGGGCATCCAAGATCAACCCTCGATTTTGCTCTCGCTTCAACTTCAATTTGATAGAATTCGTCACCATGTTTGGCATCATTGCGGATCTCTGTTCGTGAGTGTGTTTCCGACCATTCCCTGATTCCCCCGAGTCTAATCGATCGACCCTGCTTTAGCTCCGTCTTGACGATCCTCTTCCCGATTTTCGCCTCGTACAAAGCCCTCCGCTCGTCGGATCCATACCAACTAGCGCCATGGTTAATGTATTGGGTAGTTCTCTCAGCCGTTCTGCTGGCTGAGTCCTGGACGGTTTTTATCCTCGGATGGTATGATACCTACCCTGGCGATCGCCCCGCCCATTCCCGGATGCTGACGAAACACCCTGGTGCAGGTTTCCTTTTTATAGCTGGATCCGACTTTTCTTTTTAACCTATCTTGTTCTCCCACAGACGCAAGGCGCCCGGATCCTCTACCAGAACTACGTGGATCCGTTCCTGGCACAGCATGAACGCGAGATTGAGGAGTTCATCGGCAGCAGCCACGAGCGTGCCAAAGCGCTTGGTCTCCAGTATTTTTATCAGGCCATCGATTGGGTCCGCGAGCGTGTCCTGGGCCTGCCTCCCCCGCGTCCGGCACCTTCTCCGCCCACCGGCGCCGCATCGTACGCCCAGTCGCTTCTCTCACGATTCAACCTCCCAACTGCCGTGGGCGGGACCAGCCCTGCCCCGGCAAACGATTGGTACTCGGCCATCAGTTCCGCCGTGACCGCTGTCACGTCCTCCACACAGAGCCGGGAAACACGGGCGGAGGAGCTTTCTGCGAGTGGGACCCTGCTTCCCCGAGAAATGGCCAGAATGTCGCGTGCAGAGAAGGCGCAGTTCCTCTCCAGCCAGCGGGATATGATTGAGGTGCTCCGGGACGCTCTCATGAAGGAGGAGCGGAATCTCGACACCCCAGAAACCGAGGACGACCTGGCGTATGGCTCGGGGCTGAGGAAGAACGGCAGCGACAACTCATTTGACCACATTGAACACGAGGATACGCGGGACCGCTCTCCTTCGCGCCGGGGTGGGGACGACTGGGGGTCTGGGTGGTTTGGCAGCGGAGAGCCGGCGGCGGCCTCCGGGGTGGAATTTGCGGCGGGGACATTAAGCACTCGTCGGGGGTAAGGACGAGAGAGGCTTGTGAGTTTGTGTCTGTGGTCAGAGAATCCAACCCTTTTTAAGCCGTTTAGTATCCACGTCAGGGCAGTTAAAAAAAAAAATCTTATCGTGGATCTTCTTTATCATTCGATTCAGTATCTATCTTCTTGGGAGGGATCCTTCGAGTGAGGATCTTAATATATTTAGGGATTTCAATCATTACCCTAGGGTACTACTACATCTCTCTCTCTCTCTCTCTCTTCTACTAACTTGGAGTGGAGGTAGACGGTATTTATCAGGATAATACATGTAACTACAGTACGGTATGTGACTAACGTGGCGAATCTTCCGTGCAGGATCTGGAAGGCTGAATTCAATACCTGATAGAGAGTATCCTCAATCTCTCTTTCTCTTCAAGATTTACTCTATCTTTACTCTAGATTCACTCTATCTTTACTCTATCTTTACTCTATCTTCTACACAAGTGTAGCGTAAATGCTCGGTTGTTTGCCGCCTCCACCCGATACCAAAGTCCTGTCCTCCCACGATCCTGCTTGTTGCTCTCAAGTACAGAGAAAAGAAAGCAAAGAATCTTGATTTTCATAGACCTTTATTATAGAAAAGAAAAGAAACATAGTTCTATCTATCTAGTGAGTTTGGAAGAACAACAAGATCAATCTTGTGTGTATTGTTGTTGTTGGCCGTTCTTAGCCTTTTCTTCGTGCGAACCAAAAAAAAAAAAAAAAAAAAAAAAAAAACCAACACCACCAAAAGGTAAGAAAAAAAAAATTAAGGGAACCAAAATTCTTTCTTCCCAAATTCTTCCCCCTCTTTCCTTTTCCTTTCTCTCTCCTTTTTTTCCTCTCTTTCTCCCCTCCCCCAGATATACCGTCGTTGACCACGACGTCTATTATTCTTCGTTGGTGGTCTTCGTTTCTTTTTTTCCTCCTTTATCCCTCCCCCTCCCCCCGATCCCCTTCATCTCCTTCGGTCCCTAGCAGCCTTTGTGTGTGTGTGTGTGGGATTCCTTGGATGTGGGATTTTGGAGCGTGTTCTTCCTATTGTTGAAACACGCCTTGAAAAATTCACTTGTCGTCCATCTTCACAACCTGCGACCTTTTTCTCTCTCCCATCTGTCAACTTCCTTTCATCGCCTTCTCTCTCTCTCTCTCTCTCTCTCTCTCTCTCGCACGTTTTACGTCCTGATTACCTGTCTAATGAGCTCGATCCCTCCCAAGTCCGGCCTCCAACCTCAAGGACAGAGTACCTCGACCCAGGCCCCCTCGCACTCTTCCTCTCCATCACTTAGTGGGAAACCCTCGCCTCAGGTGCCGGTTCCCACCTCCTCTGCCACCTCAACAACGGCGCCTCGTTCCTACGCTAACGCGACCAAAAAGTCCGCGACGGACTCGACCGCCGCTCCCGTCACCGTGGGTGGCTCATCGCAACATGGGAAGTCGACCTCAACTTCTGTGAGCGGCAAACCCATGCAGCAATCTCAGCCTCCGACCATCGTGAATGGTGCTCCGGCTCCAGGCCCTCAAGGCGACCATTCCAAGAAGCCCTCTGTGACTATCACGGCGGCCTACGTTCCCAACCAGGGCCAAACCGGTCGCCCCAATAGCCTTCAGTTCGGCTTCGCCAACCAGCAGTCCTCCCCGAACATGGGTAATCCCGCTGTCCTGGCTAACCAGCCTCAGCCTGGCCTGGGTGTGACCCCCCCGATGAATCCTCGTGCGACCTCTCCCCAGACTTCGCCCTCGCCCATCCCTCAACCCGCCTCCAGTGGTGGCAGACCACCGCCATCGTCATACCAGGCTCAGGTGAACTTTGGCAGCTTTGGTGATGCAGGTGACAATGTAAGTGTTGTTTCGTCGTCATCGTTGTTGTTGTTGTTGTTGTTTTTTTTATCGGTCATATTTCCTACCTTCGGGTATTATTGGTTGGTTGGGATTCTATTGCATCCCCAGCTGCAACACCAAACTCTTTTTTTTTTTTTTTTTTTTTTTCGCTTCCTTTTTTACCCTTCCATTTCCCACAATAATTTTCTCACTGAAAGTGTTACTTTCTTTACATTGTCCTTTTCTTTGCTTTATTTACAGCACCCAGTTCTTTTCCAACTTGGGAGCAAAAGAAAAGAGCAAAAAAAAAAAAAAAGAAAGAAAAAATTTATTTCGAGTGCAGAAGATCGTTCTTGGCATACATACCATTAAAGTCTGGGATTATTAATAATTTTTTTTTTTTTCTCTTACCCACTAGCAGATGCGCCCAACTTCTCAGGCTCCTCTTGGCCCCGGTCCTCAGTCGACCCATTTGCGACGCGAGTCCTCTCAGTCGACACACAGCGATATGAGCAATCATATGGGAAGTGGCCCAGGTCGTGGTGGTTATCCCTATCAGGGTGGCCGTGGTCGTGGACACTCGCAGTCCAGCCATCAGGGTCAGATCCCCTACTCACCGACTCCCAACTTCCGATCGACTCCCAGCCAGCCTCGAGGTGGTCACAACATGGGTCCTCAGTTCCATGGCCCCAACCAGGGTCGACCTATGCCTGGATTTCCTTCACCGCAAGCAAGTCGCAGCCCAGCGCTTGCCAACTCACACCCGGTGACTCCCCAGATGAGCCAGGTCCCTATGGCCCATCCTCAGATGCCCCCCCAGCCTTATGGCACCTATCCGCAACACATGGGCCCCCAAACAGTGAGACCCCATCCCTACTCCCAAAGATATGCGCGTCGTGGTCCCTTTCCCAAAAGGAAACAAGGTCCCCGTACTCTGGCGTCCCCAAATTCGCCTTTCCCTCATTCCCAAATCTCATTTCCTCCCCCAAACCTTGCTCCGGAGAGCGGCCACTTTGAGCATTATCTGACATTGATGAAACATAATCAGGCGTACCCCTACGATGCTAGCTACGGCTACTACCAGAATTACCAGTATATGGCCCCTCCCTCGCCACAGACCCGTCCCATCCCCTACACCCAGCCGCCCTACATGCAGGGTCAATATCCCGTCACCCAAGGCCCTCCACAGGCCACCTCCTTGTCGCGATCCCCCTCTCAGGTGTCCGCCAGTGAGCGCTCCGGTTCGAGTCTCGGCCAGGCACAGCCTGCTGCCATCCCCTCGACTCCCGGCCATGCACAGACTCCGAGCCGCTCGTCGAACACCCCCGCCACGAACAAGTCCCCCTTCGTGCTGCCGCAGCAAAAGAGAAACCCCATCACCATTCGCGATCCTGACAGTGGCAACGTGAAGACCTTCGAGAAGACCCCTGCATCCCCTGCGCACGCTGCTCCATCCCCCGTGAAGCAGGCGACGCCCACCTCCACTCCTCCTCCACGAACCGGCAGCAGCACCGATCATGCTCGTTCTCAGTCCAAGTCCGTCAAGACGGACGAGGAGAAGAAGCAGGAATTGAAGGATGCCGTGTTGCAGAAGATGCAGCAGAGCGAAGCTGAGCAGCGCCGCAAGGCGGAGGAAGAAGAGGCTGCTGCTAAGCGAAAGAAGCAGGAAGAGGAGGAAGCTGCCCTCAAGAAGCAGCAGCAGCAGCAGCAGCAGCAGCAGGAGGAGGAAGAGGAAGAAGCTGCGCGCCAGAAGAAGGAGCAAGAAGAGGCCGCTAAGAAGCAAGCTGCCGAGGAAGAGGCTGCTCGCAAGGCTCTGGAGGACCTGAACTTGAAAGAAAAGGCCAAGGAGGTCGCTGCCGAAGAACCCGCTAAGCCTTCTGAGCCTGTTCCTGCCGCGGAAGAAGAGGAGATCGATTTTGACGCGATCGAACGCGAGCTGGCTGAACTTGAGGCTCAGGAGGCTGCGGCCGAAGCCGCCTATCAAGCCAAGAAACAAGCCGAGAAAGAGGAGCGGGCGCGCAAGGAGAAGGAAGAGCAGAACGCTTGGGAGGCCAACATGAAGCAGGCTGAGCGAGAGGCTGAAGCCGTCGAGGAGGCCCGTATGAAGAAGCGCGAGGCTGGTGTCAGCGACGACCAGGGCAACAAGGACTTGTTCGCTTCACTCAAGAAGGGTGGATTCGCTGCTACTGAGACCAGTACTCCCGCCGATAGCGGAACTGCCACCCCAGTCTCCGATGTCTCCATGGGCCCCCCCGCCAAACCTGCGGGTGCCAAACGTGAGAAGCCTGCCGCGCTCAAGTTGGAGACCAACAAGTCCATTGAGCCACCTCAGCCAACTGCCGGTATGAAGTCGTTGCACTCTGCTCGCTTTGTGGATGATCTCAGCAAGATCAACTACCCTGCGTCCATTGTTTCCCCGAACCCTGCCCTGAACGCCAGCGCACCTGCCGACCGCAAGTTCCACTACAACAAGGAGTTCTTGCTGCAGTTCCAGGACGTTTTTAAGGAGAAACCTTCTATCGATTGGGATGCGCGTGTGCGTGAGACCGTTGGTGAAACCGATTCCTCCCGCCCTGCCTCTGCCCGCACCCCCATGGCACGGAACCCCTCGCGTGGTGGTGCTCACCAGCCCGATTTCAGGATGGGCAACTTTGGTCAACCCCCAAGCTCGAACAGCCTGCCTCCTGGAACCACCTCCGAACAGCGCTTCGCCCTCTCCAACGCTCGCTCTAGCTCCATGGGCTCCAACGCCTTCGGCCAGTTCACTCGTTTGGGACTGGGTGTAGGCGCTCCATCGCTCAGCCGCACCAACTCCGCTCATGCCATGCACCCCGGTATGCCCTCATCTCCCCGTGTTGGTTCCAGCAACCGCTCTGGTACCCGCACTGGCAGCAAGCGGGATAAGCATCAAGCGAAGAAGGAGGAGGACATGGCAAAGTCCATGCCACTCACCCAGGGAATGGAGATCAAGACCCTTCAAATTTCTGCTTCCGGCTGGAAAGCTCGATCGCTTGGACAGCCTACCGCTGCTGGCCCTACTCCTGGTGGCGGTACTGCACACATGGCTCCCGACGTGGTGCAGCGCAAGGTCAAGGCGGCTCTGAACAAGATGACCCCGGAGAACTTCGATCGTATTTCTGGTCAAATCTTGGAGATTGTCTCTCAGTCCAAGGACGAATCCGATGGACGAACCCTGCGACAAGTCATCCAGCTTACCTTCGAGAAGGCCACTGATGAGGCTCACTGGGCATCGATCTATGCTAAGTTCTGCAAGAGTATGCTGGAGAGCATGAGTGCCGAGATCAAGGATGAGAACATCCGCGACCGCAATGGCAACATTGTTACCGGAGGTAGCCTGTTCCGCAAGTATCTCCTCAACCGTTGCCAGGAGGAGTTCGAGCGTGGTTGGAAGATCAACCTGCCTCCTAAGCCTGAGGGAGTGACCGAGGAGGTTGCTATGATGTCGGACGAGTACTATACTGCTGCTGCCGCTAAGCGCCGTGGTCTTGGTCTCGTCAAGTTCATTGGTGAACTTTACAAGCTGGGCATGTTGACAGAACGTATCATGCACGAGTGTGTAAAGAAACTGGTTGACTACGAAGGTGTCCCTGATGAGGCTGAGGTTGAAAGTTTGACCAGTCTCTTGCGCACTATCGGTGCCAGTCTGGATGCATCCGAGAAGGGCCATGCCTTGGTGGACGCCTACTTCCACCGTATCAACCTGATGGTCCAGATCCAGGGTCTTCCTAGTCGATTGAGATTTATGTTGATGGTCAGTCAGCCCCAACCTTTGTATAATGATTATTATTATTATTATTATATCTCTAACCTTTTTTTTTTTTTTTTCATTAGGATATTATTGATTTGCGTTCTGCACGCTGGGTCTCCAAGGACTCCGATAAGGGCCCCAAGACTATTCATGAAATCCGCGAAGCGGTATGTTTTACCCCATCTTACCCTCACACCCACACCCACACACGCCCGCAACTAACTTGTTTTTAGGCTGCTCGTGCTCAGCAAGAAGCTGAGATGGAACGTATTCGCCAGCAAGCAACCCGCGGCGGCGGCGGTCGTCCTACTATGGGCCGTGGCGATGCTCGCAGCTTCTCCTCAGGCTACGGACAGGCCCCTCCTCCTGATTACGCCTCTAGCAAGGTTGGAAGTGATGACCTTCGCCGTCTGCGCACTTCTCGCAACACCAACCAGCCTATGTCTTTCGGACCTTCTAGCATGCTTGGCTCCCGCAGCAACAGCGGGCGCAAGAACCTTGGCCCTGGAGGCAACTTGGTTCGTGGTAGCGATGACAGCGGTGCCAGCAGCCGGACTGGGACGCCCCCTGCCGGTAAGAAGGAAGACAAGGAGGCAGCGTCCTCGATCAACGCCTTCAGGTATGTACCGTACCGTTCGAATTGGGTTTTGCCCCTCCGTATGTACTGACGATTCAAAGTGCTCTTGCCCAATTGCAAGATCAGGACAACATGGCCACCTCTCCCCCATCCAACCCTACCTCTCCTCTGCTGACGAAGTCGCAACCTGCGGTTGAGCGCCGACCATCAAAAACCCCATCGAAGGACGGTGAGGAAACATCATAGATTCTTTGTTCTTTGGCAATGATAATGAAAAAATGATTCCATTCTTCTGGAAAGATCTTTCTCCCTTTTTTTTTTTTTTTTTTTTCTCTCTCTTTTTTGACACCTAGTCACTGTGATGTCCATTCATGTCATTTGAACTTGAACATTCCTCCCTAATCTTCTCGTCCATGATTTCGACCAAAAGTCGGTCGCTCATTTGCTTCGTGCCCATAGAGGAGTATTCCGACATTCGATTGTACCATGTGTTTGTTACAAAAGTTGAAGCCGTAATGAAAGTGGGATGATGGCTTTTGACAATCTAGCGAGATAGGTAGGTTAGCTTGCGGGAGTGGTTATGATCATTCATCTGTCTATTTTTCCTTCTTCTTCTTCTTCTTCTTCATCTTCTCTTTTCTTGTTGCTCGTTATGTTTTCATGTCTCTTTTTTGCATCTTCAATACCCGGAGAGCTCTGACGGACGTTTCTCCCTTCATCAGACGCTGAATTGATATAGCGTTGATACCAGGAAGAAGGGGGGGGAGAGAAACCAGCAGTCTAGCCACGACTATTGCTGGAGTCATACAAGAGAACTAGTCATAGCTATCCTGTTTTCCTCTCCCTATTTTCCTTGTTCGCTATCGTCTTTTTCACTCTGCATTGCATCTACACTGGAATTAATTGGTGTGTGCTGGCGATAACTATTACTGTTCTCTTTCATTTCCTCTCTCCCTTTTGCACTTTTTCACCCCCCCCCCCCCGCCCCCTCTAGACAAAATTCCGTTAGAAAAAGTTCTTCTTTCTCTTTCCTCCTCTATCCTGATCTTGAAATCTGACTTGTCTCAATATAACTTTCTGTTTTTTTTTTTTCTCTCTTACTTTCGTCATCATGAAATGTGTTAGTTTCCGATTATGGTCTGCAATGCAAGTCCATCATCATGTATGTGTCTGTCTACCTAGTTTATTATTATTCATATTTTTTTTTTTTGGGGGGAGGGGGGGGTTATTTGTATTCACTCTTAGGCTGTAGATCTCCATCTATAAGTAGAGTTTCATCATCTTGATCTATTCCACAGGATCAGGTTAAGCAAAAGGCAACAAACATGGGTAGATCTTATTTGTTCGGTTGGGGACATAGGTAGCTGCGTTATTATTATAGATGTTGCCGGGCTGACTGACTGTATGGTATTTCCAGCCCCCTCGTCTACGGAAGGTCAAAGAAACTCATGAAAGAGTGTAGAGACAAGAGTTGATTCAATCGAATCTATACAGTACCAGACTATGTACAACTAGGAATAAGCAAATGGGGTTCATGCCGTCGTTATATGCTAAATGGATGCATCCACAACGCCTATAAAAGGTACAGTTATGAACAAGTTGTGTTCATTGGGGAATTCTGCATTTCCATGGAGAAATGGCTGGGAATATGGATATTGCGGCAGTGAACCGCGCGTAATGGAATGTTGCAAAAAAAAAAAAAAAGGATATAGCTCAAAAGTCGAAAAAAAATTAATCCTCCTTGGTTTCGGGATGATTTGGGATACCCTCCGTCACAATAACGGGGATATTTAGTTTCGGACTGGACGCTTGTGGAGTTGTTTCACTCGCGCTCGATACTTCGCCCTCGTTCGGCGTGGGTAGTTCGCTGTCCATGGGGGATACATCTTTTGACGATACTTCCGTCCCATTCTCCAAAGGTGGTGACGATAAAGGCGCCTGGTCAGATCTTGCTCGACTCGAGAAATAATCTCTCGACTCTGATGTCGAAGTCCTTCGGATACCCTCAAGGGAATCTCCCATGGGAGACAGGGATCCATCATGGCTGACACTGCTCCTGTCGGAAGTTGAAAGGGAGCTCCGCGAGTTGGTGTAATACCGAGGAAGCCCAAGAGCCGCAGCCACAGCAGCTTCTTCGTCGGGAAGTTTGGAGACGCTGCTGTTTCTGCTCGATTTTCCACTAAATATGTGACTTCCTTGGCGTTCGCTCATTTCCAGAATCTGGGTATAACTACGTCTGGTGGGATCTGCGAGACGTTTCTTCTTCTTCTTTTCTCGTTTGGGTGAAGGTCGTACCACGATTACCGGGATCGGGGAGTGCTGCAGGCAGTATTTGGAGACAGAGCCGGGAAGTAGGCCCTGCACGCCGCCTAAATTCCTGCCTCGTGTGCCCACGATTAGGACAGCGGGTTCATAAATTTTAATCTTCAAATCAGTCAGCAAACGAATCCATCCACTTGATTGTACAGATGCTTACCATTCGTTGGATGATTTCCTGGACCTTCCCAACCGCCAGCTCCAGCACTAAGCTTATAGCCTTCTCGTTTTGAGAATTCTTCTGAATGACCTGTTCAAAAAGCCTCTCTGCTTCCTGGCGATACTTTCCCGCCTCAACTGCAGCATCACTTGCGATGCTAGAATCCTTTTCGACGACCCGGAGACACACAATTTCATCGCCATCATCCACCAACTCGTCGATCAGCCACTCTAGTGCAAAGTCGGAATAATCGTTCTGGTCGGTGCCGCACAAGAATGTCCGGCTGCGACGGGTACTCTGATACCCCTTATGTTTGTAATTCAAGGTGAGGGAAAAATCCGCCGCATCAGGATTATCAAAGGTGTCGAATGAAACCCCACGTTCATAGGTTCTATCTGGATTAGCTTTGCGTGGGAAGTGGTGGGATAGGAAGCAAGGCTTACTGAGGAGGCGGAGGTGAGAGTCCCCGACCAGCCTGTTTTTGTTCTTTCTCCTGTATGTCGATCTGCGAGCTTTTCCGCCCTGTGGTACTACTCGGTCGGGATGGCGGCAGCGACTCGGATCTCCCTATGCTGAACTGAATTGACTTTCTCCGGGGGCTGTCGGGCATACTTGTGCTACCAGACCGAGAGGAGGTCGATATGCTAGAATTACGCCCGGAGGAAAGATCTTCTCCATCGAGCGATACCTTGGGCGAAAGGGTCGCCATGATGATGTCTTTGTTCGTAGGGGTGGGGGGGTCAAGGGTAGGCAAGGAAAGTAACACAAGTAACACGGCAGCGGCTGCAACGTAATTTCTAGACGCAGCAAGATGGGCAACGGCAGGGATGATGCAATATATCAGACAAGAATAGCTAGAAAGGACGTACGCGGTTCAACCGCCATGAGGCATCTGTAGTTCTTCTGCCAGTCGTACGATGCGGGAGGTGCAGATCATGGTTTGAGGCGGATGCAAAAGGAGAAGCAGCTCCAGGCACGGGGGGGGATGGAAACGGGAAGCTTCAGGAAAAGAAAGCTAGTGCCCGATGATTGGGCAGGACTTCGTTAGAAATCAGAGAAATGGCCCAAGCTTTTGCATATGGATGCTTCATCCAAATGCCGGATGCAGATGCAGAGGAAGGAGAAGAGAAGATGGAACCTGGAAGTCGTCATCATGCGGAAGAGGGGGAAGGGAACAGGAAGGCGGTGAGCGGATCTGGTAGGCATCACATGTCTAATATTATGTAATCACCACTAGGACTAACTTGGTATAGTGTATCGCAGATTATTGGCCAGATTCTTCAGGATATCTTTGATGGTACTCTATATGAAACCATAAACATCCAGTTCTTCCCAAAACCAAAACCGAGACCAGGGTATAGAGTTCCTACTCCCAATTGTCATTTCAAGCTTTCCATGATATGTTCCCAAACCAGCCTGGAACCCCGTGGCATTCGGCTCTTCCTCGTTGCGGACGACCTATCAATCAAGCTTTGCGACTTCGCAGGCTCTGGGATCGGTAATATGCCGCCGGTTGTTACAGAGGAGGACCGATACCGAAAATCACCAGACTCACCTCGATCGTTTCAGACAGACTTATTCGCCCTTGGCTGCCTTATATTCGAAATTATGGTTGGCTCGCGGCCATACGAAGAAATCAACGATGCAGACTGGGAAATGATTGCAGAAAACTACGAACGCGGGATTTTTCCACCTGTTGCGGGCGTGAAATATGGAGAAATTATTCATATGTGCGAGGGCTGGGTCTGTTTCATTCTGACAAGATAAAAGGATCCCAAGAAGAGCAGGTTAGATTTCTTGTGAGCAAGCACAACATCTCGTAGCTTACTACCAAGATCTGTATCGCCTGCATGATATGGCGCCTTATTATCCGTGTAAATAGCCTTGTCAGTCGATGTTGCCCTTCGCAGCTCTACCAGTCGGGTAGAGAGAACAAATGACCAGCCTAAGACAAGTATAGAAAGGTAATTGCTTGATGATTTGGGGAGGCAGTCGAATCCAGTCCACTCCGGGAATTGATCCGGGGATAAGTCGTGAACTTGAGACGCCAATAATGACCCCGCAATTGGATCGGAACAGGCAAGAAAGTTTATCCATGCCAAGGATCCGTCATGGTGGCCAGTTTATTAAGGCAATAGTGACAAACTAGTTATACAAAGTGTTAAACACAGACAGACAACTAGGTAAGGACTTTCTTATATTATTCCATCTATTCGATCGTTGACGTATCCCATGCCGTGACATGTGAGTAAAACATATGGGAAGGAAATAGCAGGATCTACGGCGACCAACGGAGGAAGAGAATTAGAAGATTCTACCTAAGAGACACGAGGGGTGCACTTCAGGATGCTAAGCACATCATATTCGGAATCATTACTCTCTTTTTAAAAATACACAGTGAAAATTGGCGCAGTCTTACTGCATTCATTTAATACGCAGCACACTGTATTTGGTGTTTCGGACTAGGTACATGCCTGCCTTGCCAACCCTAAACCACCCTAATGATCGCGTGACTTACGGCGGCGAAATCCCAAGGCAGGAAAAAGAAAGAAGTGTGGGGAAGGAGAATTATGCCTGCAGCCTCACTTGGCTGTAATTGTATTCCAGAAGTGCATAGGATAGTATAGGAGGACAATGACTCGAGTTAACTGTTAAACTGTGAAAGTGAAGGTCTGGCTCGGAGTAGGGCTGATCCTTAGGGCTAGACCTGACCTTGCTAGCAATTCACTACGGATACGAGGAACTACTAGTGCTAGATATTCGAGAGAATAGTACTCTGTATGTCAAAGAACAAAGAAAAAAGGAACCGAGTTCCGAGAGTCGGGTTCGTATAGCTCTATCCCAAAACGGTAATTCTTCAGCGTTGGGTGGATGTGCCGGAGACAAAAGATCCGATCAAGAAAAAAAAAAAAAAAAAAAAAAAAAGGATATACGGAGTCCTCGGCAACTGGACTCCCGGAAAAGAGATCTGATATTGTCACCTGCACCTGCACAATGCTACGGAGTACCTACGGAGTAGTTACTCGAGTCACTAGGGAACTAAAAGAGCAAAATGATCCGCTGGGATCGATCAGCCATGTGATTGATCACCCTGGCCAAGTGGGCGGTGTGCGCAGTAACTAGTCAAGGGCCTAAGGCCATAGTCTGGACTCTGCCCAACGCTCAGGGCGGATCCTATCTTCTTCTTTTTTCTTCCTGTGCTCTAGCGCTTTGAACTATTGAATTAAGAGTTCATACCTGTCGAGATCTACCTTTAACTACATAGTACGGAGTAGAGATCAGTAGGAACCAAAGATATGGAGAGTTCTAATATATTCAAGTCTACCTTGGGTAGATGTTGGGTGCTATATAATAGCGTGCCTCAAAAGGAGGCACTAAACTAGGTAAATCAACATGAGAAGGGAGTCATCAATACCCAAACGCTTGGGCACAGATTGAAAGATCCAGACACCTTTCGATGCGGTCTTGAGATAGGTAACAATGCAATGCATAAATGCCAAGGACCAATCAATGCCGCCAAAAGAACCAAAAAGTTTTTTTTTTTTAATAATGCACGCCGGCACTCGCTGAAAGAAATTTCACATCATATCCAAAATATTCAAATCGTCAGGGTATCACACGTATATTACATTAACGTAGAGAAGTCATCAGCAAAGCATGCTCAGCACGCTTCGATCATCGGTCCCTGCGTCGGTGCTGGTACGTAATATCCATGTTCGAAGTCGGAATCAGTAAAGGGGATTTCGGTGGTTTGCATTTGCTTGTTGTCAAAGGTCTCCAGAATCGGTTGTGATGGCGAGGGAGGCATGGTATCATCCTCAGAGTCCTCGTCTTCGTCTAATAGGAGCTCCGGTGGTGATTGTCGCGAGTGGGATCGGGTCAGAGCAAGCTCATCCAGATCCTCCGCGTTATCATATTCAAAATCCGAATCCGAGTCGGACTCGGAGTCATCCTCCTCCTCGTCCAGCTCAGTCTCGGTGATGATGGCCACCGGGGACGGTGCTCGTCGGCGAACTGGCTTGTAGGGTTCGGGAGTGTAATCGTCTTCAAAATCCGAGTCGTCGGAGTCAGCGTCGGAGGCGTCCTCTGGATCCCAGTCATCCCCGGGCTCCTCCACCACGGCTTCGGCCCATTTGATGTGTTGGGACTCAGAACGTTGGGATCCCTTCGTTACTCCGCTGACGGTCTGATTGAACCAACGCTCCTGTTCTTGCTCCGCATCGGCCAGGTCCAGCATAAGCGAATCCAAGAGATTGGCATGGCCAACAAGGAGGCGCAGGTCGTGATCCGGCCGCGAAGCTTCTCGGGTGAGCTTCTTGCGGGCGGTGTGGGCGAGGTAGTATGTTTGAGTGATGCTCATTTTCTTTTGTTGGCGTCGTCGGGCGATAGAGGTAAAGTAAGAGCTGGGAGTGAATGCAGATTGGGAGGAAGTCGACGGAAGAGAGGAGGAGGAGGGAGAAGTAGTAGTTGAAGTAGGAGAAGTCATGGTGCTGGATCCGGGCGAGGCCGCCTTGATGATCTCAACTCGACTGCTGTGACTCGTTCACTAGCAAAGTGTGACTCAGGCAGCACCGAAAAGCCGATCGTCCAATCAGCGTTGGGGGGGGGCAGGGGCGGTGAGTCAAATTTCTTGGGCGAGGCTACCTAGGTAGGGAGCCTTATCTGTGAGGACCAAATCGGAATGGGTGCTGTAGTGGAAGATTTCGTAATGTAGATATGTCCCTTTTGCAGCTCCAATAGTTTCATTCAGGTAGTGGTCTGTAGTCGTGGATAGTGTATGTACCTAGTATGTGTGTGTTGTACTCCGTACTAGGGCTGGCTGGTTGGGAAGTGGATAGGAAAGAGAATCAGGATCAATCGAAACAATCTTGATGATCAGAGAGACAGGGGGAGTTTTAATATGATATATCCGTCAGACTGGGTCAGGGTTCTTTCTTTTTTTTCTTTCTTTTTTTCCTTTACATTCTGATTCATAATCGACGATTAGTTACTAAACTACCTAGGTAGGTATTTTTTTTTTTTACCTTTTTCCGTGAAGCCGCCTAAGTCCGAGCGGGCTGAATCCAACGCCGAAGCCAGGCATAAATCCAGCCGGTGGACCCACTCTGGGCCGCCCAATGTTTGGTTCGCCGTGACCGCCTCGACATTTCGCCCAATAATGTGCCGGAATCCGTGCGTCAGGTCCAAAAATTTGTCAGACTAAACTTTTTACAGTAATCCTTCAGTCCAGAACGGGTGCTCGGATGACCAATGTTTCCGCCCGCGTTGTTCAAATTTCATCATAATCTTAATGGTATTTAATCAAGATTTTCAGTTGATTGCCAATAATCCCAAATCCATGACTGTACTGAAAAGAATTATTCTTGGGAGCTTATTTCCGAGCCAACCCCTGCAGACTTGGCGACAATTCTGTAGCCTGGTGGGCAGTCTTTCCGGGGCTGGAACCGAATACGATAACTCTGATCTAGGTACCTAAGTAATAGAGGCGGCTGCATTCCAGCGACTTCAGCTCAGGGCCCTGAAAGCGGAGCCGCACAGCCAGCCTGTACGGAGTACTCCGTATCAATTCACGTTCCCAGCCGCAAGTTCTGACAGGCTCTTTGGTAGTTACCTAGGTAGTTATCCTAGGATATCACCAAACTTCTAGACTTTGAGAACAAACTCTGGGATGACCAAACATCTATTATTATAACTAATCTGTGTAGGTAGGTATGTATTATTCAGTAATGACATCACCACCTCGGTTCTCTACCTCGTCCAACCATAATGCCATTGTCATGATATTCCCTCCCGTCTAGACCGTTACCCATCGGGGAGTCGGTCTCTCCGCGCCGACTGCAAATTGAACCACGGATGAGTTCGCCTTGTGGATTCTCTGCCGGGATTTTCTATATAGAAATAGAATGCTTGCAGCTTGACTCCGACCATACCCTAGGGTCTGGTACCCTAGGGTAACCCTAGGGTAATGTCATGTGCGCTCCGAGTCCGCTAACACCATGTTTTCTACCAACGTGGTTGCCATTGCGCTTGTGTTGTATACTAATGTATTCTTTTTATCTAAACTGGTATTGCTTTCTCGAGAAGAACCTCCCAAAAGCGAATCGACGCTTCCACCGCCACCATTCTCGGCCCTCTTGCTGCGTCGAAACCCCTGCTTCACGCGGGAGCAGGATCGCATGATCAACAGCATGCGGCAAGCCACGGTGCCGACCGCGCACCTGCATGGCCACGATGACCAGCTTCGAGACGCTCGTAAACTCGCCGCACAGACTTGTGTCCGTGCCCGGGTATCCGAGCGAGAGCCCGACGGTACCGTACGCAGAGACAATCTCAAACAGAACGGGAAACAGTGCGAATGCCGCGTCGTCGTTGTTGCTCTGGCGGAGTCGCTGGCCCTCTACCACGGCGATGGTGAAGAACCCCAGCATCATGAACCAGAGATCAAACCCTAGCTGGCGCTGAATGTGCCCGACTAGACCCTGTGCGGGGCCTGGTTGGCTGTGTTCGGCGTCGGGTTCCTCGTCGATTGCTAGGCTCTGTTCTTCGTAGACGGTGGTCTTGCGCATGGCGATTGCCGTCGGGAACGCGGAGATGTACATCATCACGATGAAGGACACTTGCACGCCGGGGTACAGCTGCGACAGAGGCATGGCTGAGAACCCGGCGGTTCGGGTGGATGCGATCTGGAACAGCCCGTTTACGATTTCCATTCCGAAAGAGATTTGTTCTTCGCGGTATGGAGTCTGTTTCACAGTCAGTGGGTAGGCCCCTACAACTTAGGTATGTATATCACACATGTCGCGGGGATCAGGCAGGGGGGGGGGGAAGGTGGCTTACGGTTTCCAGGGCCCAGAAAATGGCCAGGTCAATGACGCTGAGCAGCAACAGCACCGCCCCGAGTCTCCAGGTTTCCGCACTGGGGAACAACAGCGTGAAGCAGCGTCGCGGGCGATCGAGCAGGTATTGCAGTTCCTCGTCCAGCGCGGAGCCGCACGACGTGACCTTGGACAGCAGCCAGATGATAAACCGGAGCATGCAAGGGAATCCCGTATTGCCGATGATGATGAGAAACGTCATCAGGAGCAAAGGGAATGGGGCCGATCGAAACGACTCCATCGAGTTCGGCGTGAGGGTGTATCCCAGATCATTGAACGCCGAACCCGCCGTGAAGATCGCCCACCAGGTCTGGTTTACCTCCGTGCTGTCGAAGACGTGGTCATACTGCGCGCTCGATAGAGCCCAGATCACAAAGACCACCAGGCCCAGGAGGTGGAATAAAAAGAAGTAGCAGAGCAAAATGACCAGCAGCGTCTTCAACGCCCGGTACTCGATCCCGCCTAGTTCCTCCTTCTGTCTCTCATTCCAATCGGAGTAATTCGCAAGCGAGTGCGGCCTGGTCACCGCCGCGGGAAGATATGACAGATCATGATGATGATGATGATGATGATGATGTCCACGCTGCTGCTCCGAATACGATCGGTCGTGATGGTGTTTAGGTTCGTCCTCGATCTCCGGCTCCCGAAACGCAACCTGCAACCCCGTCGAGCTGGAAACGCTTGACCTGGCCGTTCTCGACGACCCAGACAGGTCTCCCGATTCGCCTTCGTCGGGTTCTTGGGCTGCACTCGCGGCCACCAGCAAGGGCTGTTCCTGACTCGTCCTCCCCTGGGACACCGCCACACTCAGGGCAGACCGATTCATCTCCATGGATTCCTGGATCCCCTCAGACTCGGACGTCGCCTTTGCTTGATCGAGAACATGCCGAAACCGGTTCCGGAACCAGTACAGCCGCAGCAACACGATTAATGTATTGAGAACGATCACGTTTGTGACCATGGGAATCACCCACAGGGCGATCTGCTGGACAACATGGAGCTTGTTGAGGTCTACAGGGTTCAATCCGCCCTGTGTGGCCGCCCCGGAAGCAAGCAGCAGGGCATCAATGAGCGATAGTCCGCCGGGGACATAGAGAATGATCGCAGTCACCAGAACCCAAAACAGGATGTAGAAGTAGTGGTGGCAGAGCCGGAGTGGGGATTGGTCGATGTGCAGCTCGGCGGGAGGCATACCGACCGAGGCTGGGAATTCTCCGGAAGCTTGATAATAATAATGGATTGCGGGATTGTTGTTGGGAAGAGAGATCATCTCAATTGCTTCGGCTGATCGGGATATCCCAAGCTTCTCAATGCCCCAGCAAGCAAGCACGCGCAGTAAGTAAGATAGAATCAGGGTACAAGATTCCATATAAGGACTGGCCAGGGGAAACGCGAACAAAAATCGCTTAAATGGGAGCGGATCCATAACTAACTAGAGATCCCCTTACGGAGTGTTACTCTCCTCACACACACACTACTCCGTACAGAGTACCAGGGCGTTAATGCTGGGGTTTAGAGCAAGCACCAGCATGATTCCTATCCCAGCCCACAGGATAAGGGGCGTCTTCCCCCCTTTCTTCCCATTACTCTGTGAGTCCGTAGTCCGTGAGCCCGTAGTCCGTGACTCCGTAATAGCCGTGGGGATCCACGGTCTTACTTAGGGTTATGAGGTCGTCGCAACGAATGGAACGGGCTGAATTACTCAGAATTAGCGGTTTATTTAACTAACTATCCACTTCCGCCAGAGCTTCCTCTAGGACATTAAAGCTGGATTCGATCGGATTCTCAAAGACTACAGGTAAAAGGAGGTCACTAGGTCCCCCTGACTCTCTATAAATAGAGTAGTAGACTGAGCAGTCCTAGCGCTCTAGTGATATTTAGTTGGCGGGCCCAGGGGTTTAGAGAGCCCACACTACGGTTAGGCATCAGCTTTACATAACTAACTATGTTCAGCAGGCGGAGTGAGTAAACTCTTGAGTAGAATTTACTATGAGAACCAAAGATATATACCTCCTCTCCTACCCGACGAAACCCTAACTCACTAGATGGGTCTTCAGTGTGACTTGTGTCCGCCACAGTCCCGATCCTTGAACAAAGTCGCGGTATCCAAGACCGTCCCGTTGGCGCTTCCGACAAACTCATGCGTCAGATGCGAGCAGTTATGGAAGGTCAGGCGGCTCCAGCCGTAGCAGATATCGGCAGCGGAGGTGCCGATGGAGATATACCAGGGGCGATGGCCAGCTGGGGAGTTTGTCAGTATACAATAGTTACAATGTTCGATATCGGCTGGGGAGTGGTGGGTTCGCATAGACTTTACCGACAACAACCCAGGGGGTCTTCTTGCGGTCCACGGCCGCCAGGTCCTTGGCTAGCCAGTCGGTCTGGGCGTTCTTCAGGTGGCTGAAGGGACCCGCGTCCTCACCGGCCGTGCCGTTGGGCTCGTCGGGAGCAATATAGCCGTGGCCCAGGTCGGTCTCCGTATCCAGCTGGACGTAGTGGACCATGCCGTGTCACCTACACCGATCAGTTAGAAGCGAGGGCAACCTGGAAAAAAGAGTGAAAGGGACAAGTCCCGTACAGTTGGCTTCGTGATTACCCGGTCCAACCATGTACGGCTTGAAAGCCGTAATTGGAGTCATCTCATCATAATACTGGTTCAGCAGAGATTCGTACACCTGGGCGCCCTCCTCAAGGGTGGTATTCGGAAGATATCCCTGGATTTCTTCCTTCAGCCAATAATCGGCATAGGCCAAGTCCCCAGCTAAAAAAGATCGTTAGCGAGAGAAAACAAGCTCTCCTCGCTCGGGGGTGGGAGGGAAACTGACGGTGCCAGAGGAAGTCGGTATCAGCACCTTGAGACATCAAGGACTGGAGAGTGTTGTTGTCTCCCGGCTTCAGCGGGTTGGCAGCACCGTTGCCCACAGTGGTGCTGAGACCATCGGCACCGATTAATCCCAGGTCGACCACCACAGCCATAGAGTAGGGCGTGTGATCGCCCTTGTGGCGGCTGGTCTTGAAGCTGTAAGGACCAGTCACATTGCTATCGAGGGGGAGATAGTGGTAGACCGTGTTTGGCTCCAGGGTCCTTCAACGAAACGTGGTTGTTGAAAGTGGTCGAGGTAGGATAGGTTACGGAGACATCAGACCGCGCCACTTTATCCAGGTGGTGAGGGTCTTTTCCATAGCGGACGCTGGGGTGAGATAGCTGCGAATACGTGTTCCAGCTGACAACCATGCCATCGTGGCCGGCGTAAGCCAGGCGGAGCTGCATAGGACAGGTATCATCCTGTTCCCGGGTGCAAGCGGCGTCTACAACGGGGGAGAGAAGACACGAAGGTAGTGAAGCGACTCATGGTGCAGATGGGCTTCTGCCGGCACGGGAAGAGATGAATGTCAAATGCCATGATGATTCTGGGGGACTCCCTTGGAGTTTTATACCAGCTAGACCGTTTGCTTTCTATCACCCCCCCCCCCCCCCCCACCCTCGAGGATGATGACCTTTTGCTTACCCCCGAAACAAACGAAGCACTCTGTAGAATCCAGGGTTCTCTTCTCTTCTATACCGTGTCGACACGTGGATCCCCTCCTGGCTTCGATAGGGCGAGGTAGAATTGCCCTATTTTAGACCCGGCTCCGTTGAAGCTTACTTTGGGAATATCAGAGCTGCGTTTGACAGGGAGTATAAATCGGTTCCGGCCCCTGATCTGGACGCTGCCAACCGAGCGAATGAAACCGTGCTTCATGATATGTGCCTCGTCGTAGGTGGTTGCTATTGGAGCTCCTCGGCTCTAGTTTTTTCTAGCAAAGCGTCCGAGAGCCAAAGCTTGTGTATTTTAGATTGCAAGCCAAAGCAAAGCCTATCATAGCAGGGTCATTACTCACTCCTCGTATGTTTCCGAGGAGCTAACGAACCCTGATAGAAGTCTAGACCGCGTATACCAGGTACGTATGTACTTATGTATAGATATCTATTCTAGCCGAACTCCACCCCGCATCCAACCTCATCTCCTCACTTCCCGCCGCCAAACTGCCGACTTCCTCAGCAGTGACAGTGGAGTGGATCTAGTGAACTAAGAATTGCCCCGGGAGAATGTCATCGCAACCCCCCAAAGGCCGCTTAATCTCCCAATTTGAAACCCGGTAAGTAGTTATGGTCTGGTCTGCCTGCCACCCTGCCAACTTCGCGGGCCACGAGACTGAGACTGAGAGAGAGAAACAGCGCAATCACCGAGCACGGCAAAGGATGGTCGGATCTGTGGGATACGGGAAATAGCAGCCTGTGGGATCGAGGAAGGCCATCCCCTGCATTGATTGATCTGGTGGAGGAATTCCACGAGCTTTTCAATCCGTTCCTCGCCGCCCCTGTTGCGAACCGACCTCACCCTCGGAAAAAGGCGCTTGTTCCGGTTCGTCCCCTTCCTCTGTACCGAGCATAAGTATGCAAGTCATGCTATTTTGCGCAAAGTGAAAAAAAAAAAAAGAAAAATATATATTCGTATAGTGTTGTTAATGCTCCCTCCCTCCCTCCCACCCACCCACCTCAGGGCTGCGGACGAGGCTACGATGTCATCGCACTCGCTCTGCACGGGTTCGACGCCTACGGACTGGAGATCTCCGCGACAGGCGTCGCAGAGGCGACCGCCTACGCGGCAGGCGAGATGACTTCGCCCCAGTCGTATAACTTTGGCAAGGATGATCCCAGCCCCAGTCGAGTACCGGGAGCGGTGCAGTTTCTCCAAGGCGACTTCTTTGCGAACGACTGGACGCCGTCCAACTCGGGGCGGTCGTTGACGTTCGACTTGGTCTATGATTATACTGTCTGTGCTTCATTCATTCCTCAACTTCCTTCCCTGAATCAAGATATAAACTGATTTTTTTTTTTTTTTTTCAGTTCTTGTGCGCCTTGCATCCAAGCCAACGGAGCCTGTGGGCAGAGAGAATGGCCCGGTTGCTACCCTCCGGTGGGCTTCTGGTTTGCTTGGAGTTCCCCATGTACAAGGACCCTGCATTGCCCGGTCCGCCTTGGGGCGTGAAGGGGGCTCACTGGGCCCTTCTGGCGGGAGAAGATGGGCAGGGGAAGTTTACGAGGAAAGTCTACGTGCAGCCGGCGCGTACTTATGCGGTTGGTCAAGGGACGGATATGATCAGCGTGTATGAGAGGAAGTAACTAGCCTACGAGCAGAGAGGTAATGCCGTTTTTTTCGGCCACCACGGCATATCCGCAAAGTCCCGGCACTGCAAGTCTCGTAGCGGTTCTGAAGCACAAGGCTGGGAATTGATACCGGAGAAACAGAAGGAGGGGATTGTAAGAAACAGCTAACTGGGGTCCTTACTCTTGATTGATTGATTTGGGGAGGAGGGGAAGAACTGGACAAGGCTGGCTGAAAGACTGCTATTTATCAACTACTAGTGCTTAGTTACGTACCTAGAACATCCATGCTCCTTATAGTATAGGTAGGGCTATCCTTGAAATCACATACGCAAGTCTGTAGGTAGGTTTGCCTTGTCCCACACTAAGCTACCGTATGACCTTAGTTTATAGTGGGTAGGTATATGCAGGTGGCTCTTTTGATCACATCCCTCGTCTATGTGGGGTTAAAAGGGGGGGGGGGGGGGGGGATTCTGAACATATATCAAGAGATTTGAATATCAAACAAGAGATTTGAATATCAAACAAGAAACACAAAATGGAATTCCATGGGAAAACCTACATTGTTACCGGAGGAAACTCTGGAATCGGTCTTGCCGTCGTAAAGACGCTCCTCTCTTCCGGAGCGACAGTGCATATCATCGATCTGGCAGCATCAATCCCACCAGACCTGGTCGGGTTTGAGCCAAAATCCCGGCTCCACTGCCACTCCCCCATCGACGTCAGCTCGCGAGAACAAGTGGTGACGGTGTTTGAAACAATCACCACCACGTCCCCGGATTTGCACGGGATCGTCAACGCCGCCGGAACAATACCAGACATGGACCCCATTGCGCTTCCCGAGCCCGATGCACAGTTTCGCCATATCCTGGAGGTGAACCTGTTTGGCACGTGGAACACCGGGAGCGCGTTTCTAAACTACATCGCCACGAAGCACCCGGAGCTGAAGGAGAGTGTTTCTAAACTGCCTCCGCCCACGGTGGAGCTAGCGAGTGTCGTGAACGTCTCGTCGATGGCGGCGGTCAAAACCACTTTGGGGTTTGCGTCGTATAACACGAGCAAACATGCCGTGGTCGGATTGACCAAGTCATGGGCCAAAGACTTTATACAGCGCGGGGTGCGTGTCAACTGTGTTGCGCCGGGGTTTACTAACACCCCCTTGCTTCTGCACGGCGTTGAGCCCGCTGTTATCGAGCATTTTCTGGGCAGCGCGACGATTGGGCGCATGGCGAGGCCGGAGGAAATCGCAGAGGTGATTGTCTTTTTGTTGAGTGAGCGGGCATCGTACATGACAGGGCAGATGGTGTCTGTTGAGGGGGGAGCGTCGCTGTAGTCTTTCACACATTAACGTCATCTATCAAGGCAGGAGCATATCGAGTTGCTCAGGTGGAACACGGGCAGAAAACCCTTGCTCTGCACTTCCTTGCAGGGTGTCTTTGTAAAGATTATTAATATAATCTTGTGCTCGTATGACCGTCCCCTCAACATCAACTAAACTTGCTTTCTTGCGCTCAGCACCCTGGTAGAAAATCCGCCCCCGAAACATTCCGCAGTATCTCGCCATGAGGATGGAAGAGGAGAGGAAGAGGCCACGCAACTCATTCTCACGGCGAGATCGGAGCATACCTTGCTGTGAGGATGGAAGAGGGGAGAAGTGTGTATTGAGTGTGTATATAAAGGTCAGGCAACTTTGCAGGCTCACTCGGCCGAACCGGATGTCGCTCGGGCGGCACTACTTTGACTTCCCTTGGAGTTTCCAACGGGGGTCACTGCTATCCTTATAAAGAGATGGATCTATCTCCCCTGCACGGAATGGCTCAGTTTAATCTACACTACTTGGGATGACCCTCTTTTGTTTTATTTCATTCATTCATGACCTGGGCTCCAGGTCATCAAATCATGGATTGCCTATGTTCAAACTCGGGAACAGCATGACATCCGACACCTGGTTCAGAATATTGCCCAGATGTTCGTCCTCTAAAGGGATGCCATATGCTTCCGTGTACGGCGCCATCGAGGCCAGGAGGTTGGGGAGAAGCGGGGACGGCAACGTGGTCGCGGGAGATATCCCCGGCGTAAGAGGATCGTGTTTCGTCGGGTTCGCGGCGGGGGCCGGTCCCTTGTTTGCGCGCAATGCCGCACTCACTTCACGCAGCGCCTGCAGCGACGACGAGAGATGTTTGGCCGACTCGGTCCGGCTGTTGAAGTTGGCGTCTTTGTCGGAGTTCACGTGATCTACCAGCACCTTCTCCAGGCGCTGCACCAGATCCCAGGTCTTCGGGCGCAGCTGGTCGTTCGTGTTGGCAATTAAAAGAAACGTGGACGCGATCGTCCGCTGCGCACTAATCCACGTACGGGACGCGTACGGGCTAATGTCGTGCAGTTCAATAAACGCCTCGATCGTGCCGATCAGGTTGGTGAGACAGTCATGGCGGATGATCGCGCGCTGCGGCTTATCCAAGGATGCCTCGGGATCCAGCGAGACCCGGCACATCACGGAGATATAGTATGACGAGTGTAACCGTAACTCGGCCCGCTGGATATTATCCGCCATGGTATGGCAACGTTCCTTGGATCGCAGGTGCGGCGCGGCCTCGGCAATGACGCGCTCGATTCGATGGATATGGTCGCGGATCTCATGAGGTCGAAGGTGGGAGTGGTGCGACATCATCAGTTCGCGGAGCATCTCAAGCACGATCAAAATGATGCGAGAGAGCGTCTCGAAATACGATCGATGACCCGGCATGGACTTGGGATCATAGGGAATCTCGGGTTGGCTGATCATGGTGATTGAGGGCCGATCATACGCTAAGGAAAAGTGGCTGTTCTGAAAGGCCATAGCCCACCTGTGCCGCTGCATCAGTATGATTTCCCTGCCGTCACGGAGCACAGTTGATCACGCACCAGACTCTCCTCCGAGCTTCCTGGAACACAGGTGGATAGCCTGGTGTCTCAACATGAAGTCCAAGAACCATGCACATCCGCTCCGTCATCCCTGGGAAAGGAAAAGCATGCCGTTAGCCGTGTCTATCAACAGAGGATCGTGCGTGCGCTCACCCAGCAAGGTATAAGACGCGCCAGCGTTCATATTGTACGACAGAACACTGCTGATGATCAAGAGAATCTGAATGACCTCCACCGTGGGCTGCGAAACATAATTCAGCATCCGCAAACACTGATACGAGCAAGAAACTACAAAAGGTGTCAGCCCGAGGGACGTCCCATGGCGATTTGCAGCCAGAGACCACCAACCATAAACCCAGGAGGTCATTTCCCGTTCGATTCCCGACAGATCGGAAAGTTGGCTCCCCGACGCCAGGACGGCAAAGCACAAGCTCAAAAAAGCGATACTCATGCCGAACGGTTTCACCAAGCCATTCGGATCCGGTCGATAGACCCCTCCAGCCTGCTTCCGGCCTTCCAGCAACCGCCTCATGTTCGTCTCCAGCTGATTCATGTCTGGGAGCACCGGATACAGCACATTGCCGATATCTTTATAAAAACTCAGGAGCTTCAAACACTGGGTATCGTCCGGCAAAACGTCACAAACACCTCCGATATTAAAGGTATACGGGTCCGACGACCAGAGATCAACAAACGGGTAAGCAGCCGACTCATTTCCCAAGGCCAGCTCGGTAAGCAAGTCATCTTTTGGCAACACCTGCGCGGTATCTGCCAATCCATCCGATTTATCCAAAATATCAACCAGCGCAGACCGAGATCCAATATGAACCGACCCTGTTTGCAAGGTGGTTGGCCCGTAAACACTGCTTTGCACCGACGGCGACTGGCCCTGGTCACCTGGCGAGACATCTGGCCGAGGATCAGTAAGCTTCCGTGGCGGAGCTGCTGAATGCGCCTGGAACAGAGCCTTCAAGCTGGATATTATTTTCTCCATATCCCGCATTTTAGAATTGATCTCCTCCCACTCGAAGTGAGATACCGAGACAGTGTCGGAGTTGGGGTCCTCGAGCGCGGAATTACCGCCGTAGGCTACATCGTGATTATTCGTAGAGTAAGCCGGGGAGGTATTTGGTGGTGGGACAGGGGTCAGCGTCGCTTGGGGAGCTGGAGAAACAAAGGTCTCGGACACGACAGACGGTGGTTTTGGGGCGGACGGAGGAGGACGACCGTAGGTGCAATCAAAGCCGCGTTTGACGCAGTTGCTGCAGGGCACATTGCGATCGCAACGGACCTTACTTGCACGACACTGGAGGCATGTTTTACACTCGCGCGGTCTGCGACGGATGGGGTATACGGGCATCGCAACTCAAGAGCTTAGGACCTAGAACCTAGAACCTAAAACCTTCCCAGGGTCCAGCAGCGGGAGGGGAATGGGGGAGGAGGGAGGAGGGAGGAGGGAGGAGGGAAGGTGCGCGCGACCACGGCTGCTGGTGCGGTCAGAGGGAGAAGAGCCAGATTGCGTAGAAAAGGCCAACCAAGCATGCGGGAAGACTGGACAGAGCAGCGGCTCAAAAAAAAAACCCACTAAATAAAGAACTGGGGCAGAAGCAATTTTTAGCAGAAATCTAAAACGAGCGCGATGATGGATGATAGTGTACTCTGTACAGTGAGTGATCAAAGTGGAGGAGGATAGGATCGTCGGCGGTCGAGGTTGTGGACCAGTTGAGATGAGGATGAGGGGGGAAAGAAAAGTACCTAGGTAACCTAGAGGAGAAATTTTGCAAATCAACGAGGTATCATAGGCGAATCTTTATTGGGAGCAGTAGATGGATAATGGAATGGATAATAATGAGAATAAAAAGATCCAATGTTGCGTTGACGCCAGTAAAAGACAGAAGAGGAGAGAAATTAGCAGCGACTGACTGACTAACGATTGATTGGGACTTGAAGCTGGGGAAAGAAAATTAGTCCACTAAGTAACGAAGAACTCCTCCTCCCGAGATGGCGTGGTGTAGATCCTGGGTATGACAGAAGGTTATTCATTATTTTCTAATTCAAGAAGGATTCCCAGTGAAATGATTATATAGAGGTGGTGGTGGTTCCGTGGTTAAGAATCTCTAATCTGTATATACATGGTATCATTCACTGTAAAACTACCTTCTGCTTCTTCTTCTTCTTCTTCTTCTTCTCAGAGAGGTTTACGATGGACCTTGCAAAACCTGTGGCACTACCCACCAATCGTGCCAACGAGACTTCGATCCTGTTTCCGGAATATTCACTTGAACATTTGCCATCGTCGTCGTGGACCCCTGCAACGCCTTGTTCACACTCTCGATCGCAATGCTGGCCCCAATACATGCTCGCATCGTATCCTTGACATCCCGTGTCCAGTCTTCTTCCAGAGCCGGGGCATGAACCGCCTCGCCCCTGGAATCCTGGAGAAACGCCCCATTCGCAAGGGTAGCTTCCCAAGCCTTTCGTGCTTCAGCAATGGCCTTTGTAGCGCGTTCCATAACAACATCATCGCCATCCCCTTCCAACCTGGCTTCACGACGATATTCATCGTAGGGAACCAGTTCAGGTAAGGTAATCGGGAGGAACGGTTTCATTCGGAGCTCGTACCGTAATCGATCGTTCGAGTATGCTTGGGCCGACGAGGCGGTGGGCACCCGATTGTGTCGAGCAAGTACCACGTAGAGTGCGTGCAAAGAGATCGCAAACGCGTCAATGGCCACGATCTGCGTCGTAAGCCGTTCAAGAAGATAATGTGATCGCTGGAAAGCCGCCTGACGCTCAACTGCCAGCCGCTTTGTCCCAGGCGAAGAAGCCAGGTTCCGCTTGGCAGCAGCAACCATAAAGGTGCGGATTCGATCAATATGACCGAGGTGAGTCGAGCAGATGTGGGACAGGTACCAGTACATCCCCGCTAGTTCCTCAGGGGCGTATATAGAGAGTTCAAATCCCAGCTGGAGAATGAGGCGGAATTGGAGGAGTTTTTCATGGTATGCCCAGCTGCTAAGCGGATACGAATATGTAGCATCCCCATTTTGAAGCAGGAGTGGAGGTTCATCACTCAGGGTGCGGAGCTGTTCATCAAGATCTTCGGCCTGCCACACGATTAGTTCTCAGTCTAGTAAGGATCCACATAAAAGAAACATACCTCTATCTGCAGATTGTCCCAATCAACAATCGTATGGCAGACGTTCCGACGGATCCGACAGCGATTCAGGCACGCGCTTCGAATTGTATCCACAAATGGCTGGTCAAGTTTTAGCCCCCAGGAAATAACCTATGGGTCGCGAAACACGAACCTGGGAAAATCTTTTCACAAAGCCATCCATCTGCCTAGCAATTTGGAAACGAGGGTTTGAAGGCATTTCGGTTTCATCGACACTAGCTTCGAGTAGCACACTCGAGGGAAGGACAACCTCTGCTAGCTCATCGTACAGAAACTGCTTGATTGGCACAGTCCCAGCGATACTGGACCTGTCGAAGATGATGGCCTGCAGAAGGGATCGAATATAAACAGAGGGTTGAGGTTTTCGGGAGAGAAGGGTCCAAATGGCCACCTGAGGAGTCAGACAAAATGAAAAGATCACAAAAGCCACAACCGGAGGACAATAAGCTCTACCTTGAAATTACACGGTCCTCGATAGTTGAAAATCTCCTGTATATCGACTCCGTCCTGACACAGTCGTTTGAGATGCGCCAGCGCATCTTCGATACTAATGTTTACCATCGGTCGAGGAGGAACAGAACTAGCCAGCCTTCGCTGCATCTTCACGCTAAAAGACTCGGCAACAGGCTGGCCCAACCCGGTTGACTCTTGCAAAGTGCCTAGCATGGACAAGCAGGACTTAAAGTTGTCCGTCGATCTTGTTTGTACAGCAGCGGCACCGTGTTGTAATCCCAGGAGGAACTTATGCCTAAATTCCAACCGAACCTTGATCGCACTCTTCATTTTCTCATCGACGATGCTTTGTTCGTCAATCCATGCGCACGCTCTATCCAAAAGATTGCAAAATAATTCATAATCGAATTTTGATAGCAGCGAGCGGTTGTATAACTGGGTGACAAAGTCCTCCTCCTGATCATTTGAAGCAAGAAAGAATGTTAGTAGATCGCAGCAGCATGCAGTTAGACCAGAGCAACGAACCTCATAGTAGTATTCAGCTGCCACTCGGCTGTGGACAAAATCACAACATTTAACCAGGCCAAGACAGTATGCGCGCAAAACTATATGTACCCATCCAAGTTCTTGATTGTTCTCAACCGCCTTTCCGCGCCCAAAATTCGCATCTTCGAGATCCTGCGGCACAGGCCATAGTAGCCTGTCGAGATATATTGAGGTGAAGAGGGTCTGCGAAAGAGGGTGTCCCATATGCCACGCCATCTGCCATATGTCAGGACAGCTCTTGGAGTACGAGATATCAGAAATTATCACACACCTCATGACATAGTAACTCATCCATAATGCCCACCACTTCCTCCAAAGTCAAATCGCGCATGACGTCGTAATCGTCTTCGAAACCTTGTGCATTATTTTCGTCGGGGCTCAGGTATCCGCTGTCCATTTTCGAATCCATGATCTACATATTGCGATGGAAAAAAAAAATGATTAGCCCATCGACCGTGCCTATCATAGATGTCTTCGAGAAACGAGCCATCAGCAACCCACCTCCAGCGCCCCCACTGCCTCGAAAAGTGTAAAGTATTCATCCTTGACAAGTTGTCCAGTCCTCAGTTCTAGTTTAAAGAAAAAGGAATATATCAGCTTAAAGAAAATTCAGAAAAATTGCAGTAGGCGCCGTAGGAAGGAAACTAGGCCCAGGAGATGGTCTTACTTGACGCAGCTTGGGTGAATTTCTCGGTGATGTCGCGTGGGACGACAGGTTGCGAAACGGCTCGCATCGTTGGAATTTGGGCCTGGTTATTCGGTAACAGAAGGAAAAGGTGATAATCTGCAGCCAGCTGCCAGATTTACCAAGTACAGGGAGAAGCGGTGGGTAGTTAGTGATCATGGAAAAGAAGGTGGGTGAGGGGAGGGCGGGGAGCAAGGAGAGTTGAGTCGGACGAACAGGGCAAAACTCGGGGGAAGACAACAAGCAGAATCCGCAGCCAAGCCGACAGCCTCTCGATTTAGGATTCCATGTCTTACCATTCAAGCAAATATAACTTATGAAGAAGGAGATTTACACTATTCAAGAACACGAGATGGCAGGAGGAAAACAATCCTTTCTATTTATACCTGATCAACGGGCCAATATTGCTACAGAGATCCAGTCCTTTCCTGCATCAGACTTTCACCATGTCCCCCCAACATTGTCTAGAATACAATTCAGATCATCGCATTCACAATTCCGGAAAGACGTTTATTTCGATTCGGCATGGGCGGCAATCGCTTGGTTGTTCACGTCGGCAAGGTTCTTGAGATCACCCTGCTTGCCGTTCTGTTTCCGAACTGGTCAGTCACATCTCCTTTTCTCATTCAAGCCCAACCACGGGAGGGGGTTATGTGTCAAAACGGACCTCCCACTTAGCGAAACGCAAGTCCATCTGTCCACGGCGCTCAGCTGCGAGGCGAGGGCCATCCTTGAGAGATCGGCGGACCGCGCGAGCGGCGACGGCCAAGTAGCGGTTGTAGCTAGAAAAGTCGGACATCGTCAGCGGGGGCCCTCAAAGGAGTACCAAAAAGGGGGAGCGGCAGATTGCATACGTGAGACCAGCGGATTTCCACGCGAAAACCATCTTGAAGGTGGGAGGAGGATGAGAGGGTTCAATTCAGAAGAGGAACAGGACAAGATGTGATGCCGTGCAAACCGTCAACTTCGGAGGATCGGGAAGTTCGGGTCATGTGACACACGTGACCTCCGGCCACAAAGGGGGCTAACCCCGATCAGGTAAGTTCTTTGGTAGGAAAGATTTACACCAAGGCAGAGCACAGAGGGAACGAGGTATCTTGCATTTATTGGAGTTTCCGGGATTATAAAGGTAAATATGAGGTTGGTATGCGGGGCTCTTTTAAGTTTTATATCTAATTGTGGTGGTAGATATAGACACAGGATTGTCTAACCGAATATCGGCGAGGAAACTGTGGAGAAAGAAATACATCGGTTAACTAAATTATATACTCCAGGTGAGCACTTGGCCAACAGGTTTACTTGCCAACAAGCGGATAAACAACATGAGATTTACACAGTAGCGGCTTTCGTTGTATATATAAATATCTACTGATCAGTAGTCCAGCTCCTGCTTTAGAGTTAATGAGCGAGACCAAACCCGAGCAGAGACAGAGAGAGAGAAACCCTAGACTAGATAAGGTCTTAAACGTCAGTATTGTAAGAGGAATGGCATCACTTCTTTCTCTCACTTTGTTTCCGTGGACTATTTTTCTGCGATAGGTTTGCTAGGTTGGTTTGAGGCTGTTTTAAAGCTGTGTTGCTGAGCTGCTCTAGCTATAAATACCCTCAAAACCGACGGGCAGATACTCGGAAGTGAGTTGCTTCATGAGGGCACCCATTTGAACTCACCATTAATTTGTATCAGCTTCCTGGAAGGTCTTGATCTCAGCTTTTTATTACTATCGAGCTATAGATACACTGCTAGAAGCCTTCACTCATCGGTTGGCGACACCTCAGTTGTCTGCTCTACTCTCATTTCTTGTGACTAGAGCCTTTGGAATTCCCACTCATCTCTCACCCACCCTCACCTAGCCTAACTATCTATCTTTACTCAGATCCCTTTTATCCGATATCTTTAAATCATATTTAGTTTACTCTGACCTTGCAATGGGAAAGATGCCTTCTAATCGGCCGAAGAAGCGTACTCTTGTACGCTGGGATGGTATTTACCCCACGTCGCCATTCTTTCTAGTGTAACTGTCTAACATTTCCCTACTGCGGCTAAAAATAGAGAACCTGGACGAATTACTTCTTCTTACAATTCAATCCGTTTGTAACACCCAATCGGTCAAAATACCATGGAGTAATGTGGCAAAGACGATGGGGAACAACGTGACTGAGGGCGCGATTGTACAGCACCTAGCTAAGCTTCGCACTCGTCGAGCTGCAGCAGGTAAAGACGTTCCTCCGCCTCTCAAGAGAGGGTCTACTGGAGGATCGGGCAAATTCTCAGAGGTAGTGGCAGCCAGAGTCAAAAAACATACAACTCCGAAGAGGCTGGTTGACAACGCGAGTGCTTCCGACGAAGAGTGGCAGGAACATCGCACCCCAGCAAGATATGATTCCTCTTTGAAGAGAAGAAAGATAGAATATCAAGATATAGAGGCTGCGGGACTGGAACCGGAGTACGATTCAGACGAGAGCGATGAGAGTATCGAAGAATTGCTGGTCCCTGGGGCCAAGTTCCTCGAATTTCTCGACTTCCCGACTCATAAGACACAGGGGACAGCATCCTCTCGTTCAGCAAGCCCAGAGGGACAGAAAAGCAACGTCATTGTGCTCAAGTATAGGAAACCTCTGGTTAGGACATGCGATGAGGTCCCCCAAATCACTAGAAAGACAGAGGCTAAAGAAGCGAACATCTACGAAACACTTACCAACCAGTTGCCTTGCCAATACGCCCCGACCGATGGTGGCCTTTCGTTTAGACAGAATGCCATGGGAGTGTCTAATCTCACTGCTAGCCATGAGACCAGTGGCAATTATATTCCTTTCCCGGATCCTAGCAAGGATCAACTAGGCAATTTGTGCGACAGCGTGCCTTTTGGTCTCACGTCTGCAGACCCTATACAAGAATCTGTTTGTATGAACCAAATGGATTTGTCAACGGATTTCTTTGGAGGAGCTTTCGACTTCTCTCACTTTCCTAGCGAGACCTACGAGGATATGTATGCCGACACTATACAGTCACCAGGAGAAAGTTACCCGCTTGGAGTGTATCCTACGACGACTTGATGTTCCAGGCAGCTGTGCTGAGTGAGCTTTTACTGCCTTTCTCGCCTCCAATTGATCATTTCCCTCCTAATGCCATCTATGACCCATATACCTTGGGATTTCTGACGCTTCGTACACGATAGGATGGCTTTCAGATCGCTCTGCTTGTTTTTCAGGGGTCGGTTGCTGGCGGCTATATGCATGAAACTGTGTTGTTCGAGGAAATCTTGGGAAACTAGTCATCTCTCGCTGCCACAGCAGAATGCAATTCCTGTAATTAGCCCGTATCATACTAAAAGATACTCTAAGCAATTGAAGAAGTTCATGAGCGACATAAACAACTCCGTCAATTAACGGATGAGGCCTTCCGACACCCGAGAAATACCCGGGCGACGCTCACGTGACCTTCTAGGAGCTTCTGCCGCCAAGAAATCCGGAGATCGAGAAAGGCCTGGAAAATTTTCGAGACTTTAGCTTCATCTCTTCCTCTGCTGTCCTTCTCGTTGCTTCCTCCCTTCTCATCCTATTCCTCCTGCATCCGTTCTTACTCTGGGAGTTCTGTTCGGGCAGTCTTGTTTCATCCATCCCTGACTCTTTCTTCATTACCTATTTCTTAATTCTTTCTTCCTCCCTTCACTCAAGATGCAGCGAGCTCTTTCTTCTAGGACTTCTGTCCTCTCTGCCTCCAAGCGCGCTCTCTACAAGCCCACTGGCCTTAACCTCCAGCAGCAGCGATTTGCTCACAAGGTAGGCCCAATCTCAATGGTCCCTGTTGATTGATGCAATACCGCTTTGGATTCGCCTTCCGCAGCTCCCGAAGCTCCTCTCTTGAACCCCCTGCTGATGCCTTTTAGGAACTGAAATTCGGTGTTGAGGCTCGCGCTCAGCTCCTGAAGGGTGTTGACACTCTTGCCAAGGCTGTTACTTCTACCCTTGGTCCTAAGGGCCGCAATGTCCTGATCGAGTCTCCCTACGGCTCCCCCAAGATCACCAAGGGTATGTTATGTTTAATTTGTCTTTTTTTTTTTTCAAAACAACCTTATCCCCATCAGCAGCGAGGCCCTATAAATTTCATTACTGACTGTTTTAGATGGTGTGACTGTTGCCAAGGCTATCCAGCTCCAGGATAAATTCGAAAACCTCGGTGCTCGTCTCCTCCAGGACGTCGCTTCCAAGACCAACGAACTCGCTGGTGATGGTACCACCACCGCTACCGTCCTCGCCCGCGCTATCTTCTCCGAGACTGTCAAGAACGTTGCTGCTGGATGCAACCCCATGGACCTGCGCCGTGGTATCCAGGCTGCCGTTGATGCCGTCGTTGACTACCTCCAGCAGAACAAGCGTGACATCACCACCGGTGAGGAGATTGCCCAGGTCGCTACCATCTCTGCCAACGGTGATACCCACGTTGGTAAGCTCATCTCCACCGCCATGGAGCGCGTTGGCAAGGAGGGCGTTATCACCGTGAAGGAGGGCAAGACCCTGGAGGACGAGCTTGAGATTACCGAGGGTATGCGTTTCGACCGTGGCTACACCTCTCCTTACTTCATCACCGACCCCAAGTCCCAGAAGGTCGAGTTCGAGAAGCCTCTCATCCTCCTCTCCGAGAAAAAGATCTCTGCTGTCCAGGATATTATCCCTGCCCTTGAGGCCTCTACCACTCTCCGCCGCCCTCTGGTCATCATTGCTGAGGACATCGAGGGTGAGGCTCTCGCCGTCTGCATCCTGAACAAGCTCCGTGGCCAGCTCCAGGTTGCCGCTGTTAAGGCTCCTGGCTTTGGTGACAACCGCAAGAGCATCCTAGGTGACCTTGCTGTCCTCACCAACGGTACCGTCTTCACTGATGAGCTTGACATCAAGCTTGAGAAGCTCACCCCCGACATGCTCGGCTCTACTGGTGCTATTACCATCACCAAGGAGGACACCATCATCCTGAACGGCGAGGGTAGCAAGGACTCCATTGCTCAGCGCTGCGAGCAGATCCGTGGTGTTATGGCTGACCCCACTACCTCTGAGTACGAGAAGGAGAAGCTCCAGGAGCGTCTTGCTAAGCTTTCTGGCGGTGTTGCTGTTATCAAGGTCGGTGGTGCTTCCGAGGTTGAGGTCGGTGAGAAGAAGGACCGCGTTGTCGATGCCCTCAATGCCACCCGTGCTGCCGTTGAGGAGGGTATTCTCCCTGGTGGTGGTACCGCTCTCCTCAAGGCCTCCGCCAACGGCCTGGAGAACGTCAAGCCCGCCAACTTCGACCAGCAGCTCGGTGTCAGCATTGTTAAGAGCGCTATCACCCGCCCTGCTCGCACTATCGTTGAGAACGCTGGCCTTGAGGGTAGCGTCATCGTTGGCAAGCTCACCGATGATTTCTCCAAGGACTTCAACCGTGGCTTCGACTCCTCCAAGGGCGAGTATGTTGACATGATCGCCGCTGGTATTGTCGATCCTCTCAAGGTCGTCCGCACCGCTCTGGTTGATGCCTCCGGCGTCTCCTCCCTCCTCGGTACCACCGAGGTTGCCATTGTTGACGCTCCCGAGGAGAAGGGCCCCGCTGCCCCTGCTGGTGGCATGGGCGGCATGGGTGGTATGGGCGGCATGGGTGGCGGCATGTTCTAAACTGCGCTACGTGTCTGATGTACCCCTAACCGTCCCTTTTTTTCTAAAGGTTTCCCTTCGAGCGTGTCTTTGCATACTGTGGGCATATTTTGATCCTCATTTTTCAACCCTTTTCCATTTCTGTATTATTTCCTTACGTCTTTAATGTGTTACATGTCTTTTTATAACTCATCCTCCCCGACTTCAGAATCCTCCTATACCTTTTGCGCACTCCGTTGGTTTGGGTTTGCTTCATATATCATCTCCACTCTACCCTTTTGGGCATAAAAATCGGGGGAAGTTCTGTGTATTATATCGTGTATCATCTAGCTCCGGGGAATTTTTTGCCGTAGTTCAAATTTATTTAGATTATCTTTTCACCCTTAGTCCCATGTAGAACCGAAACAAGGCACAGTAGGTCAAAATATCATGTAAATATCCTATGTCGGTAGGGGGAAGATAGAAATCTAGGCAGCTGCATCAATCACAGCGATGTCCCCCGGTGACTAGTTAGTTATGTACCTAGCAGTATGCCGAACTATTCCCATTCGGCATCTTATCCACCGACGTGTTCCCAGGCCCATGCCCATGGACTTCCGAAACCAAAACCGACGGCAACGGCATAGTCGACTGATCACTGTCCCTCTTCCAGAAATCTTCTTCCTCCATGCCCTTCTGGTTCCGCCACGAAGCCAAGTACCGGCCAACCCGATCGCGCATGGGCGAGCTTTTCGCAGACGCGGCCAGGGACGTCGTCTTCTTGGACGATTTGGATCTCGATCCCCATTTCTTCCAGGGCAATGTGCGGGCCAGCGGGAAGAGGATTAGATCTTTGCAAAGGCCGAAGAGGACGATTTGGGTTTTGAAGAGGATGTCGCGGAGGTGTTCGCTGAAACCTATGAGGAGGGCGAAGACGATTGTGGCGACGGATGTTGGACCTTTTTTTTTGGTTTGGGGAGAGGGTAAACGTTAGGTTTTTTTTTTTTTTTTTTTTTTTTTTCTTGTAAATGGTCCAGGGGGTGAATTATAAAATGGCGCATAGTGTGTGTGTGTGCATTTGTTTCTTACCTGCGATTGCGAGCATTGTACCTAGGGTTGGGTTTTGCGGAGTGCCGCTCCATTCCCGGGCGTTGATGCCGAATAATGAGGTGAAGAAGGAAAGTGGCAAGAATCTAACGAGGCAGACTGTTTGTTAGCCTGGGTACTAGGTAGTAGAGTACCTAGTTCTCGTCGATGTGGACTTGCATGATAGTGAAGATGGTGAAGACCATCACGGCTCGTGATTGGCTTTGCGTTACCTCTGCCTCCCATCGAGCCAGTCTTGCCTCATCGACGTTGGCTTGTTTCTGTTTCAGATCGAGGAGGTTTTCCACCTGTGCATGGGCATGTGTCAGTCGAATCGAACGTATTCTGCTAGGTTGTTGATGATGAGCGGGTAGTGTGATTGGGCATACTGCTTTTTGGGCTGCAATGGCATTTCCTCTCATTTCTGTGATATGGATATGATATTCGTCGAGTCTCATGAGAGCCGCATGGATGAACCGCTTGCCATAGCCCCTGTACTCGAAGTAATTGGCCATCGTCTTGATGGTTGTAGTTTGCTGCTCTAGAAGCTTCAGAATGGTCCCGAGTTCGTCCACTATATCCCTTAGTTCCAGGAGAGACGAGAGATCATTACGATTCTGAAGAGCAACTTGACGGTCTCTTTCGTCGCGCTCAGTAGCAGTCATGATTCTCCCATCTGGGGTTTTGTTGTATTCGGCGGGTCTGGTAACGAATCCTCGATTCCGGAACATTTTGAATGATTTGGTTGTCAATTCCGTCTGGTAGTGTTAGCTTGAAAGCTCATCTGGATATGAAAGTATCTAAAGTATCTTACTAAAATACTAATGGATTCCTCGAAGATGCGAAGGATTTGTAGGTCACTGTGCAAGGTTCTATCAAAAAGAACAGTTACAGCGTGCAATACTATCAGTGCAGCAAGGTCGCCTGCAGTCTCGAAACGCCGTGCAAGATCTCCGTTGAGTTCATTGTAAATGCTGTTGTGTAAGTTCGTCTGCTCGTAAAACTTGCCTTCAACTGTTGTTGGCTCCTGCTTTGGGAAAAAGGTGACAACGGTTTTCTGGTCGACAATCCAAAGCCAAAGCTGATCTACCATGAGCACTTTTCCATCGACAAAGGAGGTCTGAGACTCAGGCTTGTCTGGTGCAGATGGAGAGGTTCCAAACTCGTCATTGAGATTGACGGCTTTCCTCGTGCGCTTCCATAGCATTTGATCATCGTCTCGTGCGACAGTAGATCGCAGATTAGGGTATCCAAACTGATCCAAGGTCCTCCGTATATGGATCGGAGGCTCACTCCCCAAAAATTTCCAAATCAATTTCGATTCTAAACTCGACCTCGAAATATGGTCCGGGACTGGCCTGGATCTTCCTTGCCTTAACCGTTCTTCAATAACTTTACGTCGCTGGAGGAGATTCCAGTAAGTATCCCAATGAAGCTGGAAGGCATTAGTATAAAAACATCTATCTCTGGGATAACAGTAGCGCAATGCAACGTACATAAGGCATCTATACGGAGAAAAAAGAAGGAGGTCAGTGTATAGCTTGTCTTGCAAAACATTCAGTAAGCTCACATAAAGTGCTAGCTGAGGGTCATGGGGTTCCCCAGCTTTAATCGGTGGGGAATCAAGTTTGAAATGGATACATGCCGGGCGGACATAACGGGCATGGGGTTCCAAATGTCGAGCTGTAATAAGATTGGAGTACCAGTTTTCGTCGTTGATAAGTTTCCTAAAACTTTGGGAGGAATGAAGGCGTCAGTACTTTCATCTTGCAAAAGGCGATAGCAGACAAGACTCACAGGTTCTGCTTCTGCTGGCCCCGACAGGATTTGGACAGAACTGGAGGTACCCAGTCAGTATGTGTATAGGGGACGTGGATCCAAAGCAGCTTCTCGCTCCCTGGTTCTGGCCGATCAAATCTCGGGGTAGTTCGCGGCGTCTCGGATCGCTCCTCAGATATCCGCTCTCTCGTGGGAACATTGAGAAACTCTCGGTATTTAGAGGAGAGACTGGTTCTGAAATTGGGTTTCAAGTCAGATTTGAACATCAAGAGGTATGTAGGGTAAGAGACTAACAATAAGTTCCTTTGGCTCGGACTAATCACGCCCATATTATCAGCAGACATCTCATTTTCTTCGTCCTGTTCATGGTTTGCAGGAGAAGTTTCTTCGTCGTCGTAAGTAACATCTTGTCCGCGTGTGTCTGAGACCGAACTTTCTGAGTGAATATCAAAATAGCCATCGACGGGAGGCTCTGTAACGTGGACTCTAGGAGAAGACGACCGAACCATAAAACTTCGACTTCTTCTGACTGAGGGTCTTGATGAGACAACCTCGAGCGGGATAACTTCAGGTTCCCGAGGTCCAACAGCACCATCCTGCGATGGCTCGGCTTGGGCAGTTGTCGGCCGGCTATCAAAGCTGCTGACCGAGGAGTCTTCATACGAGCTGGATTGAATTCTGCTTGACTTTTTAAGTCTCTCCTCAAGGCATTCCGCAGGCCCTCTTGATAGAAACTCTTGAAGCGGCGTTTTAGTAGACCACAATTTCAAAGGCGTCTCGTCGCTAACCCCTCTGGCTGTGTCTTCGAAAAACCCGTTGATTTGCACCATAGCTTCCTGCTCTACCTGCAAAGGGATGTCCGTCATTATTGATAATTCCAACGCCATTGCCACGGAAGTCTGGAGCTCCTTGATGAAATTGACCCTGGCCGTAGTCTCTTGGCCTTTGAAAGTTGCAGTCCCAATGTGGTCTGTCGCCAACGGAATCTCACTCTCATGCTCAAAGCCTAGAAGACCTGACCGGATCGATGTAATTGGCACATGCATGTCAACCGTGCTTCCATTCTCGGAATCTGTTATGGTGAATACCGAATCAATAGTCTCCAAGAAAGTCCAGATTTTCATATCCGCTGAAATGGCCCGGAACTGACCCGCAAGTCGTTGAAGCTTTTCATGTCGCGGCTTAAATTCTCCACGTAGTTTATGCGGTATATGACGTTTAAGACGAAGAAGATGGCGTATACTCTTTGTAAACTCGGGCGCGGATAGGTAGCTCGAGCCCCAGTGCGGCGTCGCCAGAAAGGCGATTCCATAGCAGCTTGAGAGAATAGAGTCAAGAGGCGAAGGAGATTCACTTGCTTTAGAAAGAGCCGCTGTAGCTACGAGGCCACCGGTGCTATGGCATATGAAGAACATGGGACGTCTAGGGCTCTGGAAAGAATCCAAAATATAATCATTATTAACTGATTCGGAAAGCATATGGAACTGTAGGCACCTACCGTCAAGTTTCTCTTTTGCTGGAGCTTGTTCAGCAACTTCGTAGCCAAAGAGTCTAAATCGTCATTCGCATCCAGCTCGCCATGGTCTAACAGCAAGATGCGAGCGTTAGGAATGAGTTTAGGCAGGTCTGTCGTCAACCAAGGTGCATTTCCATTATCACCGATCCATGCTTTTTCCGGGTCCGCACCTATGGCGGGGATGGCGACAATACTAGACAGGTTCTCAGACAATATGCTCTCAGAAGTAGTTGGATCACAGTGTATCTCACAGTACTTACTCCACGTTGGTAACGGGTGCCATAGTGCTGTCGTTGTCGAGCGCCATGTTTACAGCAGCTCCATTAGAGGGACACTAGGACTAGAATATCGCATCCTCACCATGAACTGCATAGAAACTACCTGAGTTCAAAAGGAATCTCGCGGCAATAGCTGGGGGATCTTGAAGGATCTCATCTGACGAGTTATTGACTCAGGTGGAGGGCAGGTGACACAAATGACCTGAGTGAAGGCTGGATTCAGCCTCTGCTTCGAGGTTCACATTGAGCCTCACGCGCGGGAAAATCCCAAGTGACCTGACAGCCTCTAGAATCACTAAGGTATGACAAACGGGACCATTGCGAACTAAAGATGGCCCCGCGCGGCGTGGATAGACTAGAGCCTGCAGTACGAGTCACTAGGACGCCAGCCACCTCATATCCGGAGACTTGCATGATCGAGGTGGTTGGGTAAGGCTGAAGAGAGATCGATCCATTGCTATCACTAGTTGGTATTGCTGTCTTTATTTTGAATTTTTTTTTTTATTTTGTCTTCCTTTAATAATACTATTGGGAGAGGGAGGATTGTCTCAAAGGATGATAGAATACACACAGTATATATACACAATTACATGATGCGCTGATGCAATGCTTTTGCAGCAAAGATAAACCTCTGTGCTCCTGTCTTTCCCACCACCATGCTATGCCATGCCAGGGTAATCAGAGTACTCTATAACCTTGAAATCCAATGCGAGATCATCAAATAGCAGCCTGTGATGCAACAGGCAAACTTGCAGGTTGACTGCATGCGTGAATCATAGAACTTCAACAGTGAAAGAAAATTAGTAATCAAGAGTAGAGATCGTTCGAGATTGTACAGAAGGTGGTATATGGTGATTCGAGTAAAATGAGATGTAGAAGGGATCCGGCTTGATATTCAAATCATCAAGCCAATCGAATTAGGTCGAAAGGGGGGTTGGTTTCTGCAACTCAGAGAGTATCGGAACTTGCGTCATCTGCTGCTTGGCGTCTCTCATTAACGTCGCGGGCGAGTTTCTTCCCCACTTCGTAGGTTGAGATCATGATAGCACAAGCAGGGGCCACCTTCAAGCACCGTGCAACCCATCCCCGGAAAAGGCCTGCTGCGCCTTCTTCGCGGAAAATATGCATCAAAAATTTGGGCAAAGACAGCTGCTCTGGGTGAAGAGGTCCTCGTGGAAGGTTGCGAGCAGCCGAGTTCTGTAAGTCGTCACCCGCGTGGCGGTATACCTGTTGCCGCGTCTTGCCGACATCGAAGGGGGTAGTCACAAAGGCTGCCAGCGAGCCAGAGGCTGCACCTGCAATGAAGCTATCTGTAAATGTATGATCTACCGTCTCATGAGATTCCCAATGAGTCACAGCCGACAGAGCATGTGGTAGAGGGTATTCGTGAGCTTTCTGGCGTGCTTCATGAAGGTACTTCTTAACCTCTTCATATCCCCACCAATAAAGACCGGAAAATGGCACATCACGCCACATAGTAAGAGTCAATCCTCGCCATAGCGAACCGTAGCCTGCAGCTTGGGTCATCTGATGCAGACCCTGCAGAGTGGCCTTAAAATGCCCCGCACCAGTGCCCGGGGTAGCTTGTAAACGTGTTCGGAACATTTCAATGGGACTGATAGCCGTAGCTGCGGTAATTCTTGCAGCAGCTCCCGCGATAAAAGGAACATATGCGTCGGGGACCATGCGCCGGATCGGACTTCTATCGTCGGTGCGTAGCCAGTCGTACCCCGCAAAATAGATGACATTTCCGGGAATCCCCATCATCAGGGTCGGGCTCAGTCCACGCCAAAGTGTCAAGATACCTTCATTCCGGGCAATTTTCCGCATACCATCAAAGGTAGACGTAAATGTGCGCCGTCGGGTCTCCTCCACTGCACAATCCGCCACCGTCTGCGAGGTAGCGCCTAGAGCACCGGCACCGGGTCCAACCATGCATATTTGTGTGTTCTGGCCAACCCAAAATACTTCCCTGCAACAAGCGGTTACTCCGAGGTTTGGAGGGGCGTTTTTCAAGGTATGTGTGGTGTGCGAGGTGAACGGGGAAGAATTTTTAGTGGTGGACTGGGCTTGTAACCGAACCCGAACGACATCGAGCGGAGTCACTAGATGAAGCAGTTAGTACATAGCTGCGAATATATACAACTGATAGTAGTTTTCGGAAATCAACGCAAAGTTCATCAACCTACCTAGAAGAGCTGTCAAAACGCTTCCACAGGTCGCAGAAACCATCCGCTGGGTGAGTGAGGGATCATCGTTCTTTCCACTGGCGACCGGCGCAGAAGCCATTCCTGTTCCCGAAGTACCAGCCATGATTGTATCTTCTCCAGCCCAGGGCCATGTCTCTGCCGAATGCCCTTCAGATCCAACGCCGGTGAAATCGTCTGAGCGATATCGGTCCTGAAAAGTACCGTCAGTCCTGGAAGCGGACATTCATTCGACAGAGGCAGTATCGAGGGAGCACTGAGTGGCTCTATTCATCTACCGACAATCACTATTGTCTCGAGGGTATTACCCCGGGTCAAGTAGGACTGAGAGGGGTAGCGGTTGCAAGATCGAAAGTGGTGATGCTCACGTCCCGAAAAAAAGAACGTTCCGGCTCGGCGATCGGTGGCGGTCGGACCCAGTCCCGGAGATAAGCACCAAATCAACTACAACCACCACCAGGACTGCCACGTTATTCTGTATTACTATCGATCGTGCTGTCGAGGATTTAGCAGAGTAATGGCTTCATCAGCCTAGTTCATTCCGTCGTCGTTGCAGATTCTGTCTTTGGAAGTCTGCCTTCTCTCTTCTCTCCCCGCTAACCCAGCCCGCGTATCAGAGGACCGACCCCGTGTGTCCGACTGTGCATCACCACTCTACGTGATTATGGAGGACAACGCTGAGCTACAGTCGTTCCGACGCCAGTGGCGTGAGGAAGTCGCGCGCAAGTCAAAGCCTGGCCGTTCCGAACCATCACAGGCCAAATCTTCTAAACTTTCTGCGGCTCACCACCGACAGTTTCCCCCCACTCTGCATGAAGCTTTTGGGCGCAACGAGGAAGATGACGAAGTCACGGCGCCGCAAACTCAGGATGCCATAGTCCAAGAGCTTGGTCACCTGGCCCTTTCAAAACCTGACGATGAAGACGCCTTTCATTCACCAGCGCCTCGAGCGGAGCCCAAGTCGGCCCTGGAGCACTTTGAAAGAGCTGTTGAGAAGGAAGCAGAGGGAAACCTGGGAGACAGTTTGCAGCATTATCGCAAGGCATATCGGGTATGGCTTCAGCAGGCAGCTGAACCGTATATAAATATATGTACAAGTTACTAACTCGTACCTTTCCTGCTTATAGTTAGACGCCGCTGTCGACAAAGAGTACAGGAATAAGCATTTTGCTAGTGCTTGGAAAAAAGCGCCACAGAATGCTGCTCCCAAGGACCCCGCCAGTGCTATCTCTTCAGATGAGGCCATATCGTTACCCACCGCCGAGCTCATTGCTTCGTTTTCAAATCTTCCTATTTTACAGGCGGAGCCACTCGTTGAGGGCACGCCCCCTCCTCCATGCCCGATCGCGCACGTTCCCTCAGAGGTCATCGTTGAAATCCTAAAACATGTAGCCTTGATGGACCCTGCATCATTCTGCCGGATGAGCCTGGTTTGTAAGCGGTTTGCATATCATTTCTCGCACGAGCAGCACATATGGAAACGCCTCTGTCAGGGGGCAGAATTTGGATTTAAAGCGATGCAGTATTCGTTCGCTTGCGACATTCACGGTCTCCCGGAATATACCTTGGCCCTCCGATACACTCCATTTCCAACTACCACCCCTGTTCAGATTCCGGAAACTCTATCCTCTTGGAGCGAGGTGTTTCAGACATTTCCCCGGGTTCGCTTTACTGGAATATACATCAGCACAGTCAACTATACCCGTCCAGGTGCAACATCAGGATTCCAGAATACTTCATGGAATAGCCCCATTCATATAGTGACATATTATCGATATATCCGATTTTACCCCGATGGAACAGTCATTTACCTACTGACCACAGAGGAGCCAGTTGACGTAGTTCCGCATATCAATAAGGAAAACGTGAAAACAGCACGGGCAACATCTCATAAACAACATCAACGAAATCTCTCAGATGTAGGAGCTTCGGTCAGCGGAGCTCCAGACCCAATCCCCCATGTTGTTATGGGTGCACTGAAGCGTGCCCAATGGGGCCGCTGGCGTCTGGCCAAACCCGAGACTGCTTCCGATTCCGCGGACGAATCCGAGCAGATTGAGAGTATATCCGATTATTATTCATTCCCTACCAAGGACAAAGCTGCCGCGTCTCCAGACCCTCGAGACCTTGTGATTGAAACCGAGGGAGTGGGAGGGCCAAAGTACATCTATGTTTTGCACCTTTCCCTTCGGTCAACAAATATTCGCGCCAACAACACTAATCCATCCCTTCCCAACCCGTCGCGAAATACAAAGATGGTTTGGAAAGGTTACTGGAGTTATGATAAACTCACCGACGACTGGGCAGAGTTTGGGCTCAAGAACGACCGCGCGTTCGTGTTCCGACGTGTCCGGGGTTGGGGTATGAAATAACGACTTGCAACGAAAGGAAAAAAAAAACCAAAAACAATCTCTTATTATATAGATTGTTCTGCCCAATTTTATATGGCCAGGATTCAGGCTGTCACGTACGCACAGCTTCATTCCGGTATAGATCGAGGAAAGGTGCGACTGTTGTCTGTGGACAAATGCAATGACTACCTAGGTAGTTTTATTATATGTAGAGAGTGGTGATAATAAAGAAGTCCAAAAAGACTTCTTATAAATGAATCTACCTCATATCATCACAGTTTTACAATTCAGAAATCCAGTTAAATCCCACATGTGTAAAGTACCTATGTTTGTATAAAGATCCCCAAATAATGCCAATCGGCTTATCGATAAGATCTCTCTCCGCTCGAAAAATTTCGCGGTTCAGGTCCCCAAGTCAAAAACCCAGAGACAAATCCCTAAGAAAGGAATAACAACGCCCAACAGAGAATACTACATTGATCAATCGATCCCAAATATCATTCCACTGAATCCACTGGGTTACTGCGACTACAGTTCTTCTAACTTGCCATGCCCGAAAGGGTCCGTACCGTCTTCAATGATGAAGACGAGGTCCCCGTCCCCAGCCAGCACAAGGCCCCTAAGAACACAAAGGGCCAGGATTCAGGACCCGTGAAGAGGAAGAGCCATCTTAATGAAAACATTGAAAACATTGATAAGAGGAACAAGAAACGAAAACGCGATGTGGTGACAGGCGGATCTCTGCAGTCTCGCTCCTCGCTAACGGACGGCGCAAGCCCATTATCGCACCCCGCTCATCCTCGAACGAACGACAACTCGACAGACGAGAATAGCGTCTCCAGAAAGCCGTACGACAAACACCGAAAAGATAAATCGAGACAATTCAAGGATGGAAACCAGAACTTCCTCTCGTTGAAGAAGAGAGCCCAGGCTTTGTACGAGCTCCGCAAAAACCTCCCCATCTTCCCCTCCGGTGACGAGATACGAGGACACCTGCGCAAAAACGATGTGATGCTGTTGATTGGTGAAACGGGTAGTGGAAAGAGTACCCAGATCCCTCAATTTCTGGTCAATGAGCAGTGGTGTCGGCCAACCAAGGCCAAGATTGTCCAGGGGGATGGCGCTGAAAAGGAGATTACCGTGGGTGGCTGTATTGCCATTACTCAACCTAGGAGGGTGGCAGCTATTTCCCTGGCTAGGCGTGTTGCGGAGGAAATGGGGACCCCTCTTGGGTCTTCTTCTCCTGCGAGCAAAGTTGGCTATTCGGTTCGATTCGATACCTCTACCTCCCCGAGCACGCAGATCAAGTTCTTGACGGAGGGAATGCTTCTTCAGGAAATGCTACATGATCCGTGGCTTACAAAGTATAGCGCAATCGTGGTTGATGAAGTGCACGAGCGTGGTGTGAATGTTGATCTAGTGATGGGGTTTTTGAGGAATCTAGTCTCCGGGGAGAAAGAAGGCAGAGGCGGGGTGCCTCTCAAAGCTGTAGTCATGAGTGCTACGGCTGATATGGAGAGCCTACAGGGGTTCTTTGCAGAGGGATTCCAGGGTCGTCATTTGAAAGGAACCGCAGACGCAGATGCAGACGCAGACTCAGAGAATGGTCTTGACGGAATCTCTGTATGCCATATTAAGGGTCGACAATTTCCCGTCAAGACAATATACTCTCCAGAGCCGGTGCATGACTTTGTCGATGCGGCCTTGAAAGTTATCTTCCAGATACACTACAAAGAACCTATCCCCGGTGATATTTTGGTTTTCCTGACCGGGCAGGAGACTGTCGAAGCCCTGGAGCATCTAGTCAACGAATACGCGATCGGAATGGACCCAGCACTGCCAAAGATCCAAGTCCTTCCACTCTTCGCAGCTCTCCCCCAAGTAGCGCAGCAGCGAGTATTCGTTCCCGCCCCGCCGCGAACTCGCAAAATCATCTTAGCGACGAACATTGCTGAGACCTCCGTTACCGTATCTGGGGTGAGATTTGTTGTGGATTGCGGCAAGGCAAAGATCAAACAGTTCCGTACCCGTCTGGGTCTCGATTCACTGCTGGTCAAACCCATCTCCAAATCGGCGGCCATTCAGCGCAAAGGTCGCGCGGGTCGTGAAGCCCCAGGGCAATGTTTCCGACTATACACTGAAAAAGATTACCTCTCTCTGGACGAGGTGAATACTCCGGAAATCCTGCGGTGTGACTTGAGTCAAGCCCTGCTCAATATGAAGGCGCGCGGGGTCGATAATGTCATGGAGTTCCCGTTCTTGACGCGACCCCCACGGGAGGCCTTGGAGAAGGCCCTCCTTCAACTGCTTAGCATTGACGCTCTTGAGGAAACCGGCAAAATCAGTGCCACTGGACGGCAAATTGCAAAACTTCCCCTCACTCCCACCCTCGGCCGCGTTCTTCTCGCGGCATCGGAACACGGCCCAGATTGCCTACTAGATGTGATTGATGTGATCTCCTGCCTGAGCGTCGAGAACATTTTCCTGAATACGAATTCCGAGGAGAAGAAGGAAGAGGCTGAGAAAGCTCGGCAAGATCTATACCGGAGAGAGGGAGATCATCTTACGATGTTGGCGACTGTGCGGGCGTACGCAGCAGAGAACAGTGATCGGAAGGCATGGGCCGAGAGACACTTGGTGTCACATCGGGCGATGCAATCTGTCATGGTAAGTTGATAAGAACCTTTTTTTTTTTTTTTTCTTCTCCGTCAATCCATCTATCATTGCTAACTGTTTTTCTTCTCTTTTTAATAGGATGTCCGCAAGCAACTGACAGCCCAATGTCGACAAGCTAAACTACTTCCCAATCCCCACGAGTCTCGGGACTCTGCGGGTTCCTCTATGATTAGAGAACCATCGCCGGTTCTGATTCTGAAAAGTTTCCTGCATGGGTTCTCCACCAACACCGCCCGGCTCGTCCCCGACGGCAGCTATCGCACTGTTGTAGGGAACCAGACCGTGGCAATTCACCCGTCGAGTGTCTTGTTTGGCAAGAAAGTCGAGGCGATTATGTACAATGAGTTTGTCTTTACAAACCGCAGTTATGCACGCGGGGTGAGTGCAGTGCAGATGGATTGGGTAGGGCAGGCTTTGGCGGGGGAATAGATCTCTCTCGTCGGACCGCGCTTTCCCGTACATTTTCTTTTCTTTATGGTATTCTCATTAGCGAGATTTGAATTTGGGAGGGTTGGAGAAGGAGTTGTTTGGATTGTAATGGTCGAAGTAGAATAGAGTATTAGAACCTACCTTTATCTGTATGCCAAATTCAGTTCATATAAATGACTGCGGATCAAGCAGGAAGAGATCCAATGGTCCTTTTTTTTTTAGCCAAAGAGGGACAACATCCAAATTGCGTCAGATATAATGATGCCCAACCTACATCTCGTGTTATTGTTTTCGATGGGGACTGTACTGTACAGGTCTTCATCTGGCGTGATCTCACCACACCATCCGTACATACACTATACGTAGGCAGTAATTCAGGATGTTAGATAAAGTCGAAAGATGCTTCCTTCTTTGATCTTGTACTCTGTAGAATTCTCTTTATTCAACTATACTTGAAGCTAAATCTAAATCTAAAATCCGTCAGTATAGACGAACAGGTGACTTGAGTCTTGCATCATCCTCAAAACACGCACCATCATCATCATCACTTCTTCATCTTCATCTTCTTCTTCTTCTTCTTCTATTGTTATTATAATCTTGAATCCCCCTTTTCTTTTCTTTTTTCTTACACGTCCCCCCCCCCCCAACTGCGTCTATTGATTTTTAGGGCGATCTGGTCACTGCTTATCGCTCAGCCTGACCAGCACTGCTCCTCCTCCTCTGCCCCTCTGTTTCGTCTGGTTTTCCTCCTTTTCCTTCCTACATCAAGTTGATTCTACTTGATTTCCTTTTGTTGCTTTGCCATTTATATAGAGGTTATCCCTCTCCTATCTTCCTACTCCACCTCAAAGCACGCGACGAGATCCACCGCGATCGATAACCTCCATCTTATCTGGACTGGATACTACTCTTACAACAACACCAAACCTATGGCTTTTCGTCTGCCCCCTCAAGTTTCTCGCCGTCGCCCTTCCTACTCGGCTTCTCAACCTCCCACTCTTGATCTTCCTCAATCCTTCTCACAGCTCCCCGTGAACGAGTCAACCGAATGGGTGCTCTTCTCTCCATCCCAGCCATTCACCACCGCCCGGACTCACACGACCTCTACTGAACGCACCCCACGCACGGCAGGAGCCTCCCGTCTCAGCGACTTTGGCTCCCTCGATACACACACAAGATCTGGGCTCGGCCACGAAAGTGAGGCAGAGGGTTCGCTCGACGAACCGTTGGACGAAGATGGAACCGAGCTAGACAGTCTCGATGATGGGCTGCATGCCTTCCGGGCACCGTCTCCACCCCAGGAGCCATCCTCTCGATGGGCCCAAGAACCCCAAGGCTTACTCCCGGCACATGACGGATTGGGAAGCTTTCTTGCGTCCAGTCAGCCTGTACAGAATCAGCTCTGGCAGCATGAGCAATACAACCCAAACCGGAGGGTTGACATCGGACAACGGCGACACCCTAGTGTACAGCCACATCTAGACTTGATGGAGGATGAGGAGCAACTCGATGCGGACCGTGAAAGATGGCAGCGTATTGAGAAATGGAGAATGGATCAGAGCCGTGCTCTATTACATGAAATCGAGAAAGCAACGCGCAAACGGCGCAATCGCGGTCTCAATGCGTCAAATGTGGAAGCGCTCTCTCTGCCCGATGTACTAGGCGCTCCAGTTGATGATGTTCCCCCAATACTCGATGATAATCCACCCTCCGCTTCTACGCCACCAGCAGGGGATGGAGATGAACCGTTCTGGCAACGTATTACGCGAAAGGTCATTCGTGATCTGATCGGAATTGACGACTCATTGCTTTCTGTCATATTTGGAGAGGCATTGCCCGATACAGATGAACAGGATAAGCCAGAAGAGCCAGATCAGCGACAACAAATCGAAGAGATATTGAACCGGGAGTTGGAGTCGATTCCTGACGGCCAGGATCAGTGGCAGTCAAAGCTCCTTCAACGGATTGCGCGTGAGCTTGGCATCCTTGTTCACCAACTCTGTGAACATCCGGGTGCTTTCACCACGTATCTCAACCTAGCCAATGAAATCCCCAACCAGTACGCTGGGATTCCTCTAAGTAGCTTGCCTGAAGAGGCAAAGAATTTATCTACATCAGCAGGGCCTGCCGTCTCCTTGGATGATGCCACAAGCACCGGTGATTCCATATTATCACCGCAGTTCGTGCCTACTCTGCGTGACCCCAACCGGGAACATGCAGCTCAGTGGGGCATCGAAGACGAGGACATTTCAAATCGGGTGTCCAGCAGCTCTACGGCTGCACCATTGTCGGAATCGGCCCGCCTCCAGCAAGAGAAGGAGTACTGGGAACGGGAACTTGATGTTATGATGGTTTTCCACTATCTCCGTAACCGCTTTGGTCGCCGACCTACTAACACCGATACTCATACCGCACGCAGAGGCTCACCAGATGCTTCTCGTCGTGCAGCAATCATCCGCCAACACCATCCTCTTGTTGCTCGAGCGCACTCACGTTCGCAAGCACAGATTCGCCGGCAATCCCAGTATTCCGCAAATCCATCGGGCCCAACCGGGGTTCAATCTCCAGTATTGCGCCAACATCTCCGCCGCCCGAGTTCCAGCTGTGCCAGCCAGAGCGCAAAGATATCGGCTATTTCGAGCCGTCGAACTATGACTGGCTCGAGCCGGAACTACTGGGATATCGGAGGAAGTGTGGACAGCGGAAGTGCCATCGCACCAGCTCCAGCCGGCATTGGAGCTTGGGGCGATGTGTAAGTACATCCTGCCGTTCTTTCTCACAAATTTTCATACATATATATGTATTGGATGCTGGCCATCGATTTTCCCTATCCTCGAGCTATTCTATCCCAATCAGGATCTGTGTAGCCTTCACCCGATTTGTATTTCTGTCCCTCTTCTCCTCGTTCATGTCGGGTCCATTTTCTTTCTTTTTTTTCCCCTAAGTTCGGGGGTATTCTTGCCTATATATCTGATGTCTCCGCTTCCTAATCCTTGGTTTTGTGAATATTCGTTTTCTGTACTTGTTTGAGGAGAGATATATATATATATGTTTTTTTTTATTGAGGACGCAGAAGAGGTGACGTGCAGAGGATGATTAGATAGTATATATACACTTGTGAGTTCTATGCAGGGCAATGGTGCATGAAGATGGTGGACTGCATGTAGAGCGGCGTGGATGGCTCATCGGTATCTGATAGTTATATATTATACGTCAGTTCAATGACAAGTCGCATTTATGCCTGTACATGATATTCAATCAAGCATCCATATGCAAAATATTCTTTATACAGAAATGAATGACGACCACTATATGCCTTTGTCATGTTTTTGTACCTGTACCCAAGTTTTAATTTTTCAACCTGGGAATAACCTCTAGAAGAAATAGATAATTGATCCAGCTTCACCAGTTACCAGGACACTCAGGTGGTTTGAAAAGGCGAGAAAATAATAATAATAATAATAATAATAATTTAAAAAAAAAGCGAGGAAAATTATTCATTTCTGCAAGATATTCCTTAAATTTTTTTGTTTCCTTCTCTCTCTCTCTCAGTCTCACTGTCCTAACGCTAATTTGGAACATAAAACAATCATCTAAGCCTTGGACTCGTAGGCATCGGGGAATCGTCTCATGTTCTGCTCGATCAGACCGTGACCGCGGAGGAACTGAACATAGGCACCATCCTGCTTGAGCTTGCCCTCGTTACGGAGCTGGACGTAGTCCTCACGACGGACGGGGGTGAAGCCCCAGTTCTTGGAGACGATGATCTTTTGGCGACCGGGGAACTTGTACATGGAGCGGCGGAGGGCCTCGATGGCAGTAGCACGGTGGGTGTCACGGGTGCGGACAGACAGGATGATCTGGCCGATGTTGACACGGGCGACCTTACCCTGGGGCTTACCGAAGGCACCACGCATACCGGTTTGGAGACGATCGGCACCGGCGCAAGACAACATCTTGTTGATACGGATGACGTGGAAGGGGTGGACACGGACACGAAGGTGGAAACCTTCCTTACCGGCGATCTTCACGAGGTACCTTTTTTTTTTGTCAGTAATCTTGCTTGCTTTCTTTTCTTTTCTCTTCTTTCTCCTCATGTCCTTTGGTTGTCAAAACGAAATCAATAGGGACATACTTGTTGGCACAGATACGGGCGGCTTCCAGAGCCTCGGAAGACAGCTGTTCGTACTCGTTGGAGACGAGGTGGACACAGAGAGGGAAGTCATCGACGTTGGCCTTCTTACGTCCGAGATCGAAGATACGGATCTTGGCGTCGGGAACACCACGGTTGAACCGGGACTTAGGGTAAGGCTATATATATATCAAGAAGCGATCATTAGTATTCATTTTTCGGGGAGAAAAAAAAAAAAAAAAAAAAAAAAAAAAAAAACCACAGTAAAACCGCAGCAACGCGATAAAAGAAAAAAAAAATCCCCCATGGTTTCCCTCATATCGTAAAAAAGACTTCTCTTCCTTCCCCCACAAACAAGATCGCGCAGACAATTTCCCTCCTCCGCCCAAAAATCCACACAGAAATCTCAAAGAAAATCAGAGCATCGCACGAACCTTGTTCTTGCAGTAGCGGTAACATCTGGCGGGACGGCGAGCCATTTTGACAGCGGGAAATGACCTGACTGCACTTCCTGCGAACGGAGGGTTGTTGTCGAAAAGGGTGGTGTCGAGAGGCAGAAGAGAAAGGGAATCTTTTGACGGAGACACTTTGGGCCTTGATTTCCAATCAAACTCCCGCTAACGAGTGGCAAAACCCTAAGCCCTAAGTTGCCCGCCAATCACGGGACAAGGGAGCCCATGACGCATTTGTCAGATTCCCTTTACTTAACTATAGTTACAGTAAAGGGTAACTAGTTAACTACCTAGGTAAAAATTACATTAAGATATTGAACCTTCTATGACTGTCGAGTACAGAAGAAGCATTTATTGACTCTACGAGTATTAGCAGTAGGAGTAGTAATAATAGTAGCATTACTGATAATGAATTGGTGAGCTACAAGTTCCAAAAAAAAAAGAAAGAAAGTGAGCGAAAAGGTCTTGATTCTTGTCATTATCTAAAACATCATATCATGTTCGATGCGCTCGAACACATTCAACATTCAGACATAACATGAACTCATTGCTCTCGGCTCTCACGCTTACTGGCTGGTGAGGATATCAGAGTCACCAGCATCCAAGACGGCCATGGTGGAGCAGCGGTAGAGACGACCGCAGGCAGTTCCCAGCTCAATCTGTCCATATTGTTAGCCATCAACCTACTCGCAGTTCGTGGAGACATTTTCTTTTCAAACCCATCTCCACGCTAGAAAACACTCACGTTGTTGCCGGAGAAGTGGTGAACAGGGGTCTTGGCGAGCATAGCATAGTACTCGAGCTCAGACTTGCGGAGAGGAGGGGTGTTGGCAGCAATGATAACCAGCTTGGCCTTGCCGGACTTTTTTTTTTTTCGATGCAGTCAGTATCAATTGTTTTAGAATTCCCTTACTTCGGATATTTCGGTGCCGTCGCCATCGTCCATGTAGTACTCACACGCAGGGTCTTGATGGTGGTCTTGTAGCCAAGGGTGACTATTTTAAAACAAAAAGATTCATTAGCAAAACAGGGCCAATTTCGAGAGAAATTTCGATCTCCGTCATGGGATAAACAGGGACAATGAGCATACCCTTTCCACTCTTCATCACAAGCGCCAGGCGCGAGGAGATAGTGTCACCAGCCTTCTTGCTCTTGGGGGCCATCGTTACGCTATTGAAGTGTCTTGAAGGGAATTGAGAAAACGTGCGCTCCGGCCGTGTCTTTTGGTTGAGATGGATTGTAAAAAAACCGACGCTACCCTGATTTTTTGTGGGTTTGGCGAGGATCGGATCTGCGATTATCCGATCCGCCGGCTGAGTCAGCGCTTTCCTAAATCGGATGCGCGTGACTTGGGTCCAAAATGACGAGAATTACGAGAATTACGAGAATTACCAGAATTACCAGAATTACCAGATATACCAACAATTCCATTCTGGTTAAAGTTTCCAGTGACAGATCGTCTCTGAAAACGGTCACAAGATTACTCCTCTAATGGCAGGAAAAATAGAATACTAGTAGTTAGCCCTTTTAGCCCCTTTTCACAAGATTACTTTGTTGTTGTTGTTTTTTTTGGGGGTGTTTGGCTTACATTGCCAGATGGCAAGGTGTTGTTGTCAAGTCCTACCGTGGACGTTGTCTAGAGGACGCAGCAAGGACTGAGAATACTACTAATAATACTACTTAGTTACTTCTTACTGGTTTCTAATTAGAAATGTATTCCTGTCCTAAGAATCCAAGAATAAATAGAAAGACATAAAGGTTAAACTCTCCTTTTTTCATATCTAAAATGGAGAGTTATATACAGGTATCACTAATACCTGAATGATACGGGGTCTCAGTCTCTCTCTCTCTCTCTCTCTCTCTCTACCCATGCTGCATTATTTTCTCCTTCCCTTTCCCCCCTCATCCATCCATCCATCCATCCATCCATCCATCATTCATATTACCCTCATGAATCCCTAACATGACACATATCCTCCCTCTTCCGTCCTTTTGATCTGGATTTCCCCCCAATATCCTTACCTTTTGCATCTTCCACAACCTTCGTTGGACGGCGGCTAGACTTTTACCAGCCATTTCTTGCGCTAAGGTTTCCCTTTACCCCCCCACCACAGTCAGTAGTGCCCACTACTGTGTTTTGACCGCTACTACTATAGAACATCCATTCCTTAAATTCATCTGCTTTAATTTCCCGGCCGTTTTTATCACTATCCAGGAATCTTCAGATCATTCGTCTTCTCTTTCCCCTTTACACACACACTCCCCTCCCCCCCCCCTTTTTTTTTTCTGATTCGCTCTGCGCCTCTTGCACTCAATCTACTTGTTTGTTGCTCATCCTTCGTCATAGTCGGTGGCTATGTCTGCGACACCTCGCAAACCGGGCTCGCCAGCCACTTCCAACAAAGCCGCAACCACCGATTCTGTTCACGGGAATGGCACACCGTCGCGCGGCCATTCTCGATCTCCCACTGCGTCAAGTGGCTTGTCACGCAGTCCGTCTCTCCGCGGATCAGCTCCCGTCTCTGCGCGTGCCGCTGCCCGGAAACCTGGCCGCTCCAGCTTGAGTGTGTCAAGTGTTCCCAAAGCCGCTGCCGATCCATCGGAAGATGAAGCACGTGCTCAGAATGTCGCTCTCATCGAAGACCTGAAGGAGCAATTGCAAAAGGCGGAGACAGCCTCCGAGCAGTACCGCAAGCAGTTGGGTGTTCTGCAGATGCGTCTGGATGAGGCTGTCAGTGAACAAGGCAAAATGGAGGACCAGACTCATGAGAAGGAGAGCAAGATTGAGGCCCTGAATGGCGAAATTCGTGAGCAGGTCCGACAGATCCGCGATCTAGAGCAGGCGCACGAGCTGGAACGGAACGCTATGTTGCAGGAGAAGGAACAACAGGCCAGCCGTGAAGAGGAGATGCAGGCAACCATCCAGCGTTTGAAGGAGTCTCTGGCACAAAAGGAAATGCGTATTAACGCGGAGAGCGACAAGCACGTGTCCCGTTCTTGTAAGAATCTCCCCTATCCTGACGCTTGGACCTACCTGGGCACTAACCCCCTATTATAGCCAGTTTCCGCAATCGCTCCTCCCCCGAAGTCGACGGGCAATTTGCGCCTTCGTCCCAAATTGAGCGCAGTCCCTCCCGAAACAACTCGAAACTCCTGTTGCAGAAGGATAAGCTGATTGAGTCCCTGCGGCTCGAATTAGCCGAGTCCCAGATTAAACTTGTGGAGATGGAAAATCAAGGAGGTGGCCGACAAAGAGAACTGGAAAAGGAACTTCTCGAGGCCCGTATGGCAAATGCCCGTCTCATGGAAGATAATGAGAGCTATCAGCTCCTTCTCAGCGAACGAACCCTGAATGGCGATTTCACCAAGGGTGACTTCATGCGAGAAGTCCTGCCCGAGGCTGCAGACACCAAGGAAACCAGCAGCGGGCTCGGCTCATTGGCAGACGAATTGGAGTCCGTGGACGCTCGAGAGCCAGATGATACCCGCAAGCTCGAGTCAGAACTCAAGGCCCTGAAGGATCAGAACAAGGCTCTGACACTCTACATCGAGCGAATCATCAGCCGACTTCTCCAGCACGAAGGATTCGAGACCATTCTCGACAAAAACGAGAATGAACCGGCAGGAGGGGCTAAATCGGCCGGCAGCGACAAGGACCTCCCACCTACTCCGCTGGAAAAAGACGATGCAGGGCAAACTTTCCTCCAGAAAGCCAAGTCGGTCGTCTCCGGCCAGAACAATAAGCCGACACCTCGGTCACGTCCCCAGAGCATGATGCCACCACCACCACCACCACCGGCTCTAACTGCCCATGAGAACCCAGAGACCGCCCCTAGCATTCCTCTCAACCGCGCACAGTCAGTGCGATCTGGCCACCGTCGAACGAGGTCCGACCAAGCAGACATTGCGGCGGCAAGTGTTGTCGGCCAGATGTATCGAGGACGTAACTCTGGCGGTCCCATAAGCCCGACTATGATGGGCCCTGGGTCTCGCCAGAGTGCTTTCACAGGGTCAAGTTACATGTCAGGAATGAGTGGCAGCGTTCGCGCCCCATCCCTTTCTAGCCAGCCGGAGCGTGGGCATTTAAGCAGCTCAGGCAGTGTCTCAAGTGATGCTCCCGGTGACACAGCTTCAACCGGTGCAACCTCAAGCTCCCCTCGCTCAAGCAACGGCATGACAAACTATACAGGGGCAGTGATGACCCAGAACAAATTACGACCTTTGCGACTTGTCAGTGAGACCAAAGCTGCCGAGGAAGAGGAAGCCGCCCGGAAAAGGGCCAACAGAGGAAGCTGGATCTCATGGTTCAATCGTCCCGGCTCGAGCGACGCTACACCACCATAATCAGCACCACATTCTCTTTCCTTAAACGTGTGACTTATTGCGTTCTATTTCCCCCCCCCCCTCTCTCTCTCTCTCTCATTCTTCTCTTGTTTTTAATTAACGTTTAATATCATCTTTGACCCTCCACAGTCCCAGTCTTTCTGGCTGTCGCACCTTTTGAGGGCGTTTGATATTGGGCTGCCCGGATGTCGTCACGTTTGAATACCCTTATTTATTTATTTGTGTTTATCATGATGGCGGTGCTCTCCCGGCCTTGACCCAGCTTTCTTGTTCGAGGTACCCGGCAGCTGCTGATTTTGGGCGGATTCTACCTATGCTCTCCGATTTTTTTGTTATGACATGGATGCCTGAAAGCTCATCCACCCTAGGCCGGACACTCCAGCGACGAACTTCCCTCCTTTTTATGCCCGTGTTTATTCGATGAACATATGACTGCAATATATTCTGCATCGAGTGATGTCTTAGTGTGACATTTGCCAATAATAATCCCCCTGTCTGAGATGGTTGGCCTGTATTTTTGAACACGTTTCATGTACCATAGAAGCAGATGTACCTTAAGACGTTTCTCAGCCTAGATTAAACCTTCTGATCAATACTTACCTTGCAGATCAAGTCTGAAGAAAATTAAGAAACAAAGATATATTCATGCCAGTACTCAAAAACACTTGCACTTGTGTTGGAGACAGCAGCGAGCGAGCCCATATACCCCCGGAATAACATTGCAGCGGCTTCCCGGATTGCGGACAGCTTGACAGTAAATACGGAGCAGTCGAGTTGCGCCGCCGCATTCAACACCACTTATCCCCCATTTTCTATTGCAGCAATTGCCCACCATGGGATCCCTCTCTCTTTTCTCGGTCAATGCCGTTCTTTTGATGTCGGCTGATGACGGCTCTCGTATCTTTGCGAAGTACTACTCCCCTCCTCACCCCCCAGCCGGCACTGCTCCCAACTCCACCGATTACCCCGGAGCCAACCCCTATCCCACACTGAAAGCGCAGAAGGCCTTTGAAAAGGGTCTTCTGGACAAGACCAACAAGCAAACTAGTGATGTGATTCTATACGACAACCGGGTCGTTGTATTCAAACTGGAGAGCGATGTGATGGTGTATGTGGTTGGCGGCTCAGACGAGAACGAAGTACTACTGTATAACGTCGTTTTGTCGTTGCGGGATGCTTTGGGGATACTGTTCAAGTTCGTATTATTCTGTGGTCTGTAAGGAAATTAGCGGACCAAAAGAAATGGCTAATGTGAATATCTTCCAGGGGTGCCACGGACAAGCGCACAATTGTCGAAAACTACGACCTGGTCGCCCTTGCCATCGATGAGATTATCGACGATGGTATCATCCTGGAGACTGACCCCGTCCTAATTGCCTCCCGTGTTAGCCGTGCCCCTCAGCCGGATGCACCGAATCTGAAGAGCATTGACCTCTCGGAACAAGGTCTGCTCAATGCCTGGGAGCTTGGAAAGAGACGTCTGGCGGAGGGGCTGCGACAAATGTAGATGCGAGAGAAGTGGAAAAATTATTTTGAAGGCTCTTGTGTACTCGCATGATTTTTTTTTTTTGCATCTCAATGTGTTCGTTCTCTTTTTTTTTTTTTTTATGATCTGGTTGGGTTTCGGCGCGGTAATGTGCGTGTTGTTGCTCATTGATTGATGATATTCCTCTTACTCCATTATTTTCTCCCTGTTGTCTTTATTGATAGGGCTTGAGAGTGTTCTATAGAGATACTCCTTTTCTGTTTCCTTATATAATATTTGGCTGAAGCAGATAGGCCAGAGCCAATAGCTCACGGCCACTACATGCATGGTGGTATATCCAAAGTGTGAAGCCATATCAACACACCACGAATCCACAACATATACCCTAGAACAATAAGAAAAGGACAACCAGTTCCAGAATTACTATAATTATCCATCACATCCCAGAAAATAATGATGAAATTAAACCCCATTTAATCTGGCCACGAGTCTCGAGTTTGGTGGGAAACTGCCCCGCATACGTCACGCCCCAAAAATATCGGGGGTTCCGCGCAAAACTCTTGACCAAAATCATCTTCTCCGGCCAGCTTCGTTCCCAGGCGCTCTGGGGGCTACAATACCAAATATGAAGCAAAGATTCTCGTCATTGGATGTCCAGGTATTACCGTCTCGGAAATTTTAACCTACAGTCCGGTTTCCTAACTGTTATCCCCCCCAGGTAATCTCTCGGGAACTGTCCTCAGAGCTGGTTGGCCTGCGGGTTTCAAACATATACGACCTCTCATCAGTAAGTTCGCGAGGCACCTCTTCTGCTTCTCGAGGGATTTGCTAAATAATTGCTTGTGTGTTTTTTTTTTTTTTTTTAGAGAATTTTCCTTTTGAAACTCGCAAAGCCTGATCACCGCAAGCAACTCATCGTCGACTCCGGTTTTCGATGCCATGTGACTCAGTACTCTCGAGCCACGGCTCAAACGCCCTCTGCCTTCGTAAAACGCATGCGCAAGTTCCTTAAATCTCGGCGTATCACCTCGATCAAGCAAATCGGTACAGATCGCATTATTGACTTCACCTTCAGCGATGGCATATACCACATGTTGCTGGAGTTCTTCGCAGGCGGCAATGTCATCATTACGGATCGCGACTACAATATCGTCGCAGTGCTTCGCCAGGTGAATGGAGGAGATGGATTAGAGGAAGCCAAGGTCGGAATTCAGTACACGGTGACCAATAAGCAGAACTACAATGGCGTTCCGGATATCACTGTCGATAGGGTCAAGGAAACGCTGGAGAAGGCACAGATTCTTTTCGCACAGGAGGAAGGCATGCCCAAGAAATCAAAGAAGAAGAAGAACACGGATGTGCTACGAAAGGCTCTGTCGCAGGGATTCCCGGAGTATCCTCCTCTTCTCTTGGATCATGCTTTTGCAACCAGGGACGTTAACCCCGCGACGCCCCTGCAGCAGGTTCTGGGCGATGAAGGTCGGTTGAACCAGGTTCTAGGCGTTCTAGAAGAAGCTCGGAACGTTACGGCGGGTTTATCTGTGGAAAAGACCCATCCTGGTTATATTGTCGCAAAGGCGGATACTCGTCCCGTTGCCAAATATGCGAACGCTGAAGCCGAGACTCCCTCGAGCAAGCCTGCTGCGCTCCTCTATGAAGACTTCCACCCCTTCAAACCCCGGCAATTCGAAGGGAAAGACGGCATCACGATCTTAGAATTCAGCTCGATGAACGCAACTGTCGACGAATACTTCTCGTCTATTGAATCTCAAAAGCTGGAATCGCGACTGACGGAACGGGAAGAGGCGGCAAGGAAGAAGCTTGATGCCGTTAAAAGTGAGCATGAGAAACGCATTGGGGCGCTTAAGCAAGCTCAGGAGATACATATTCGGAAAGCCAGTGCTATTCAAGACAATGTGTATCGAGTGCAGGAGGCAATGGATGCTGTCAATGGCCTCATCGCTCAAGGCATGGACTGGGTGGAGATTGCACGCCTGATTGAGATGGAACAGGACAGAGGCAACCCCGTCGCGCAGATCATCAAGCTTCCTTTGAAACTCTACGAAAACACTATCACGCTCCTACTCAGAGAGGCTGGAGATGAGGAGGAAGAGGAGGAAGAGGAATTGTTTTCGAGTGATGAATCGGAAGAATCGGAGACCGATGAAGAGGAACAGGATGAAACTGATTCTTCCAAAAAGCACTCTACAGTGCTTACAATCGACATCGACCTGGCACTTTCTCCATGGGCGAACGCAACTCAGTACTACGACCAGAAGAAAGTGGCTGCTGTTAAGGCCGAGAAAACCACCCAGTCATCCGCGAAGGCGCTCAAGAGTCATGAGAAGAAAGTAAAGGATGACCTGAAACGAAATTTGAAGCAGGAAAAGCAAGTTCTTCGACCTGCTAGGAAGCTGTTCTGGTTTGAAAAGTTTTTATTCTTTATCTCCTCTGAAGGATATCTGGTTCTAGGGTATGAGCTTCGTATTTTTTTTTTTTTTTAGGTTATATATGAGATATATGCTAACTAATTCAGTGGTCGTGATGCTATGCAAATCGAGATACTCTACCGTCGTTACCTGAGAAAGGGTGATGTCTTTGTACACGCTGATCTCGAAGGTGCTACGCCAATGATCGTCAAGAATCGACCTGGAGCAACCAGTGCATCCATTTCTCCAAGTACTTTGTCCCAAGCGGGCAACCTTTGTGTTGCCACGTCGAGCGCGTGGGACTCAAAGGCGATCATGTCCGCATACTGGGTCGATGCAAACCAGGTATCCAAGACTGCAGAGGCGGGAGATCTTCTTCCAGTCGGTGACTTTCTAGTTAAGGGAAAGAAAAACTTCCTCGCTCCTTCGCAGCTTGTCCTAGGCTTTGCTGTTATGTTCCAGGTCAGCATGGAAAGTCTTCGAAACCACAAGTCGTACAGAGTGGAGGAGCCGGCAAGTGGGGAGCAAACAGAGAAAGTCAAGGAAGCAGTGGTAGAAGAGGTCCAGAGTCCAGAAGAGATCAAGCCTACTCAAGCTATGGAGACTCCTCGGCATTCCAAAAAACACGAGCAGGAGCAGGAGCAGGAGGAGCAGGAACATATTGAAAACTCGGATGACGAACAAGAATATCGCGATACTGCTTTCTCAGGAAATCCCCTGCAACCCGAAACAGCGGAGACTAGCGCATTAAAAGATGAAAGCGATCCAGGATCTGATAATGGAAAGGATCAGGAGGGAGCAGAGGAGGGAGTCGGTGACGAGGAAGAGTCAACCCGAACAGGTCAGCCAGCAGACGACCAGGCTACATTGGATGAGACTGAAAGCGTAGCGTCCTCCCAAACCCCAGGAAAACGACACCTCTCTGCTAGGGAAAAGCGTCTACTCAAGAAAGGCAAACCACTTGACACGCTCCCTCTAAAATCAAAAGAAATCAGCGAGTCTTCAACACCTGTTGCTAACGGCGGATCTGTGAAATCAGCGGACCCCAAACCCGGCCCTGCTCCTACTCGAGGCAGGAAAGGAAAATCGAAGAAGGCCGCAGCCAAGTATGCAGACCAGGACGATGAGGAGCGGGAGCTAGCTCTCCGCCTCTTAGGCGCAAACAGTGTTAAGGCCCAGAAAGCTGCCGCCGAAGCTGAGGCAAAAGCCAAACGGGAACAGGAAGCTGAGGAACAAAAGAAACGCCGCAAAGCTCAACATGAGCGCGCAGCACAGGCGGAACAAAAGCGACAGGCCCTATTTGAAGAGGGCGCTGCGGATGACTACGACGAGGAAACAGCTGCCGCTGAGGCGGCAGACCTCGAGTGGATTCCAGCACTGGTCGGAACGCCTCACCCGGATGACGAGATCCTCGCTGCCATTCCTGTATGTGCTCCTTGGGCTGCTCTTGGCCGATACAAATACCGAGTCAAGTTGCAACCGGGTGCAGTAAAGAAAGGGAAAGCTGTTAAGGAGATAATTGGGCGATGGGTTGCCGAGACGACCACCGGAAAGGTGAAGAAGGAGCATGCGGAGGACGCTGGAATCGATCGAGCGGCTGCAGAGAAAGTCAGAGCACGCGAAGGTGAGCTGATTAAAGGCTGGAAAGATACGGAGGTCATCAATACCGTTCCAGTCGGCAAGGTGCGGATTATGGTCGGTGGCGGCGGCGGCGGCGGCGACAAGGGCAAAGGCAAGACGAGTGGAGGTAGCAGAGGAGGAAAGGGAGGAAAGAAGATGTAGTTTCAATAGTGTGATTTCACTTGCACTATTCAGGGAACAAATATCTGAACTTCCATATTGGCGTTCTTTAGATGGTCAGAACAATACTGCAGTATATATATCATATCAACCACCACGACCTAGCTTCAACTCAGATATAGAGTCTAAACGCACACGTGGCGGAATAGATTTACGCCATCTACACATCTTCAAAATCCCGGATTTCCGGTCAAAAAGTCTCATCTCATCTCATCTCATCTCATCTTGGGCCTGGGTGTCATATTCCGCTTAGTCATGCCAATCGACGTCATCGTGAAGATTTTCGATTTACTCAAAAAAGACCATCGAGAGCCTCAATTCCTCACTTTCTCGATTCCTCCCAGCGGGCGCTCCAGTTTCTTGACCTCCCTCACGGCTGCTGACCCCCAGGGAGTCAAGGATCGGTAGGATAATCCTCCGTCAAGCACCACCCGCTAACGATTCACCACCGCTCCTACTTTTGACTCACCCAGCATACGCCTAACTATAGAGCCCAACTGTCACCAGCCTCTACTCTTGACTGGCGGGACATAGCGGCCAATCTGCTCCAGTTTTCACGTCGCCTTGTTGCTCGCGGCTCTCCGCGCAGCTTTACTAGGCCTGTTACGACAGCGACGACCGCCACCATGTCGCCCAGCGAAACCACGCGGATTGTATCCGCCGTGCGTCTGAACAAAGAGGGCCCCGGAAACCAGTCTCTCGCCGAATGGTGGGCAAGCGAACAGAGTCGCAAGACACCGGAGGCTGCTGCCATCGCAGAGGCCGCGAAGCTCCTTCAGGAAAGCGATATCCCCGTTGCGTTCCCCACAGAGACAGTGTACGGCCTGGGAGCCGATGCTACGCGGAGCGCGGCAGTACGAGGAATTTATAAAGCGAAACAGAGACCATCGGATAACCCGCTGATTGTACACATCGATTCGCTGGACATGCTAGACCGACTACTCAACCCGGCGGCGCATATGAGTCCCCCGCACGCCACACGGACCGCCAGACACTCCATCCCTCCTATCTACCATCCCTTAATTACGCGGTTTTGGCCCGGCCCGCTGACTATCCTTCTCCCGAATCCGTCGGGCTCCCCTCTTGCGCCGGAGGTGACTTCGAATCTGACGACTTTCGGGGTGCGCATGCCTGCCTCTCCGCTCGCGCGGTTGTTGATCCACGTCGCGGACCGCCCGCTCGCAGCTCCTTCCGCGAACGCCTCAACCAAGCCTTCTCCTACCGCCGCGGAACATGTCTTCCACGATCTACATGGCCGTATTGAACTGATTCTCGATGGCGGGTCCTGTGGTGTGGGGGTTGAGAGTACAGTGGTTGACGGCCTATCCAACCCGCCCGCGATTCTGCGGCCGGGCGGCGTGGGCATTGAAGAACTACGATCATGTCCCGGGTGGGAAAATGTACAGCTTGGATATAACGACGGTACCCTGGGCGCGAAGGAAGCGCCTCGAGCCCCGGGCATGAAATACCGGCACTATTCCCCGAAGGCGCGCGTAGTTCTCTTCGAAGACGGCTCGAACGCGCAGGCCGTTCTGCGCCATATCCAAAAGGACTTGCGGGATACAGCCGTGGGCGCGCACAGTATTGGCATCGTCCGAACGCGAAGCTGGCTGCGGGGTCTCCAGTTATTACCGGAGGAGGAGATGGAGAACCAGCTGCAGCCGGTTTCCTCGCTGGTGGGCAATCTCGTGGCCTTCCCCGTGCCAATTGGAGACAAAACCAAGCAAGTCTTCGACTGCCCCCTGGGCTCGGATCTTCATTCTATTGCCCGGGGCTTATTCTCCGCCCTCCGCGCGATGGACGAAAACGAGGTCGATGTGATCTATGTCGAGGGCGTGTCGGACCACCAGGGCGACTTGGCTGCTGCGGTGATGAACCGACTGCGCAAGGCAGCAGGAGTTGAGCTTCGCGTCTAATATAGAAAAAGAATCTTCTTCCATTTTTCTTTGCTCATTTCTTTCTTTTCTTTCTTGGCTTAGATATTCTACTCCAGTTCCATGGATGATAGAGCGATTTCGAGTCTCCTTACGAATATTCACGAATAATTAAAAGCTTTTTTTTTTTTTTTTTTTTTTTTTTGACTCAATATGACATCCTGGTAATCTTCAATCAAAATGAGTTATATAATTTATATACCTACACAGGCAGGCAAAAAAAAAAAAAATCTTAACGGCCGCTAAATTTTTTAGCCTGCAGTTTTCTTGCGGAGAAGTTGACTTATCTCGCCCGCTGGCGGGATATCTCTGGTATATAGTTACATATATAAGAAAAGAGTTCTTAGGAGGACTTTTCAGATACCCCTCCTTTTCTTTTTCTTCTTTTTTTCTTTTGGAGAAGGTTGTCTTTTGTTTGGTTGGCGCTGTTGCTCAAAAGAAAAGAAACCAAAAATGTGTCAATCCCACTGGCATGACTTTCTTCAGGGCCTGCCCAAATGCGAACACCATGTCCATCTGGAAGGCTGCATGACCCCAGAGTTGATCTTCCAGTTGGCAGAGAAGAACCAGATCAAACTACCAGACCCTGCGGAGAATCCCGCCTACCAGTCCGCCGAGACGCTGCTCGCCCGCTACGGGAACTTTACCTCTCTGGACGATTTCCTGAGCTTCTACTTTATTGGCATGAATGTCCTCGTGCACGAATCCGACTTTGAAGACCTGGCCTGGGCGTACTTCCAAAAAGCTCACGCCGACGGCGTCCACCACGCCGAAGTCTTCTTCGACCCGCAAGTGCACCAGGACCGCGGCGTAGCCTACCAGACGATTGTCTCCGGGTTCACCGCGGGCTGTCGCAAGGCCGAGAAGGAATTGGGTCTGTCCACCCGTCTCATCCTTTGCTTCCTACGGCATCTCCCCGTGGAGTCCGCAGCACAAACATACCAGAATATTCTTACCCACAACCATTTCGAGAATGACGTCGTCCACGGACTAGGATGGTCCTCCACTGAAGTCGGCCCGCCCAAGGACATGTTCCGCCAACTGTACGCCCAGGCCGCTGCCCAGGGCGTCCGCCTGACAGCGCACGCAGGCGAAGAGGGGGATGCGTCGTACATCAGCACAGCGCTCGAACTGGGTGCACAGCGCATCGACCATGGGATTAACCTTGTGCAAGACCCTGTGCTGATGGAGCGCATAGCCCGGGACGGTGTGATGCTCACGGTGTGCCCGATCTCGAATGTGCAGCTGCGGTGCGTGGACTCGATCGATCAGGTTCCGATTCGCGCGTTCCTGGACGCCGGGGTCAAGTTCTCGATTAACAGTGACGACCCGGCGTACTTTGGCGGGTATATTCTCGATAACTACTGTGCGGTGCATGAGGCGTTCCAGCTGACTTTGGCGGAGTGGAGGACGATTGCCGAGAATAGCGTGAAGGAGAGCTGGATTGAGGAGGAGCGGAAGTTGGAGTTGCTGGAAAGAATTGATAGACACTTCCTGAAGCATGCGGGTCTTGTATAGGTAGAATAAATGAATGATTTGATTGATGTACTGTATGTACTGTACTGAGTGTCCAGTCCATGTTAGTGGGATGTAGCTCTTTGGCCGTCACGCGGAGTTTTCTGCTCTGGATTAGCAATGGATTCAATTGATTTCAGAACGACGGTTCATTTCCAATCATAATCAAGCCCTTTCCCCCCCAAGATTCAAGAGTATTCATCAGTTGTCGAGTGGTAGAAGTCGTGGTGAATTCCTCCTGCAGTTGGGGAGAGGTGGAGTTGGGAGTAATCTGTTGGCTCTGATTGGTCAGCTGCCAAACCGGGCTCTTCCACCTCGAAATGATCGAAAGTCGCACTTCATCACCGCATCTCCTCAACATCATCCCCCTCCCTTCAACTTATCTCCTTCTCTCGCCAGCAATGGCTTCCAAATTCTTTCCCGCCCTCCCGCGGGCCGGTCGTCAGTTGACTTGCCATGTCCCCAGGCCCCAATTCAGACCTTTCTCGGCTGGTCCGCAACGGTTCAGTGACTCCCTTGCCGTGGTACGTTGACAGAACAAAGACCTGCAAAGTGATGTGATCTGCTCGGGTCGTTGCGGAATCTGCAATTATCTCCTGTGGTTTCCATGAATTAGCCCAATTGCAAGGTAGAACGCCTATTGCTGACCACCGAGTTCTGCAGCACCGCAACAAGCCTAACAACAACCCATCTATCCCCTTCAAGTTCTCTGAGCAGAACAACCAGCTCATCGAAGAGATCCTCGCTCGCTACCCCCCTCAATACAAGAAGGCTGCCGTCATGCCCCTGTTGGATCTGGGTCAGCGCCAGCACGGGTTCACCAGCATCAGCGTCATGAACGAGGTCGCTCGCATCCTTGAGATGCCCCCCATGCGTGTCTACGAAGTCGCAACCTTTTACACCATGTACAACCGGGAGCCGGTTGGCAAATACTTTGTTCAACTCTGCACAACGGTAGGACTACTAGCTTCTCTGGATTTAACCCGGGGGGGGGGGGGGGTCCTTTTTTTGTTTTTTTTTTTTTTTTTTTTTGGGTTGCTCACACATCACTAGACACCCTGCCAGCTCGGCGGTTGCGGAAGCGACAAGATCGTCAAGGCTATCACAGAACACCTTGGCATTACCCCCGGCCACACCACCAAAGACGGATTGTTCACATTCATCGAGGTTGAATGTCTCGGTGCCTGCGTCAACGCCCCCATGGTCCAGATCAATGACGACTATTACGAAGATCTTACCCCCGAATCGATCAAGACCCTGCTCACCGCGCTCAAGGAATCCGCCACTGCTACCTCTAGCAGCCCGGCTGAGATCGTTGCCCCAGGACCCATGACAGGAAGATCAACCTGTGAGAACAGCGCCGGACTCACCAACTTGGTCGACCCCGTGTGGGACCCAGAGACGATGATGAGGAAGGACGGAGCCCTTGATGGACAAGCGCAATAAATTTTATAAACCATAATTCGAACGAGACAAAAAAAAATCGAAAACAAAGAGTTAGATGTTGGAAATATCCGAAAGTTTTTCCTTTTTTTTTTTTTCTTGTTCTTGCAGCCATCCTTTTTATTCTACCTGGCGGGTTTGACAGGACAAGACCACCAGCGGTTGATTATGTATGTATAGTACGTTGTTTCTGGTCTTTCTTGCAATGAAGAAATTAAGATCAGACATGGCGGGAGTTTCTTGGACTGCTATAGATGGTTTATTTGTAGTACCAATGTAGGTTTCTTTTCCTTTCATATTGCGTGTTGAATCTACTAGATTATCATCTCTCTCTCTCTCTCTCTCACTCTCACTCTCACTCACGCACACAACTCGAACAAATTAACAAGAAGCAACAAAGAGTCAAAATATTCGACCCATATCCACTACCCCTTCCAAAGTTCAGCTTCTACAAGATCCGAATCAAAACGCATTATCCACTAGCAACGACGGACCCTGACAACTGATCGCCTCGGACTCTACAGCGTCGTCATCTTTGGAAACAAGAACAGCCTCACCGTCTCTCTCTATCAGAACCTTTCCCCCACGGCGATCCTGGAATATATTCACGTCAATCGTCATCTTCGCGAGCAGATGATAAACATGGACATGTCTCGTTTGTCCGTATCGACGAGCCCGCCCAATTGCCTGGATCATGGCGGAGTCGTAGTCGTATTGCGTTTGCGCAAGAAGCGGCGAGAGGAAGATGACGTGGTTTGCACACTGTAGGTTTCTATCCCAGTCCAATCAAATCACGGGGTGTTAGTTAGGTCTTCTTCTTTAGTTGAGGAATTCTATACCCTCGAATTCCAGGACTGGACTTGACTTGACTTGACTTGACTCGACTCGACTTGACTTGACCTTTGTGGTGGGAGAAAAAGGCGGGGGGAAGAAGATTGAACAACTCACAGCCCAGCCGCCATCTCACTCCCCAGCTTCAAAATCAGCACTTTATCCTCTCCAAAACTGGTCTTCTGGAACTTCTCAACTTTCTGCGTCGATTTCCGGTCTGTGGCTGAGATGCTCGTGTGCTTTATCCCGGCTAATTGGAGCGCCTTGGATGCTGTCTCCATGAGCTCGGGGAACTGGATGAATAGAAGCACTCGTTCGTCGGCAGGGATGCCCCGGATTATGTCGATGAGTTTGTCGATTTTGCTGCCGCCGTACTGCGGACTTGTGTCTTCTTGGTCACATCCTAGGGAAGACGCGCTGATGATGTTGAATCGTTTCCCGGAGCCACGGCAGCCTTCGACAGGGCATTCTTCTTTCAGGATTGTATCTGGGATGCAGGCCGAGCAGAGCAGGTGGCCGCAGGACCCTAGGATGTTCATTTGGCTGTTGCTGTGGTCCTTGCATCCTCGTTGACATGGGAGAATCTCGGGACTCGTCTGGACCTGGCGGATGGTTTTGAGGAAACGCAGTGCTCGTTCCCGGAGGACCCATTCGACGATGAGATTGCGGAGAGTGGTTGTGATTTCTCGAAGGGTGGGTTCGAATTCCCTGGCTCGGACTGGTCTTGTCGGGAGGAGTGGTGGCATCTCCTTTGATTTCTTTGGTGCGGGTTTGGGGGGGTTCTTTGGCTTCTCCACGGTGGTGTCTTCGACATCGGTTTCTTTTGGCTCGGTGTCTGATGCATCGTCTATAGGAGAGGGTTTGGCTTGTGCTGGAGAAGCGAAGAACGGTCTCCAGTCGTCTGGTTCGGACGTGAGGATTGCAGTCTTGAGTAGAGGGTAGACTTGCCCTGTCACGGTCATGTCACCGAAATCGTGTCTGACGATACTCTCGATGAAGTTGTGGAAGTTCTCATGTTTCACGTCACAGGCGCAGTAAACCCATGCCGCCAGCCGGAGCTTCTTCTCGAGGTCCTCGTGTAGTTTTGCAAGCTGTTCCTCGCGGATCTTTATCAGAGACTGGCAGGTGGTGACCTCTGGGTTTCCGTTCACCCAGCGGCCCTGCAGCGCGAGAGATGTGCATCGCTTCAGCAACGCCTCCTCGGCCGTCGAACTGCCGCTGATAATCTCATCGACCCTGGTCGCCTGGTCGCTTCCGAATCGTCCTCGGCCGCTTCGGCGAAGCTGTCTGTTGTAGGTCATCAATTGTTTGTACAGCTCGAGATATATGGCCTTCTCTGCGGGCGATTGCTGGATGAGAACAATATGCTCGGAGGACGGGATCTCGTCAATTTCCGCGACATTCCTCCTGACGAAATGATCCAAAAACTTCTGTGCCATTTCATGCCGACACCTGTGCCATGCTTCACTCCTCGGAGCGCGGAAGGACTGAAACGTCTCTGCCTGCGAGCGCTGTTTACGAAGCGCCCTGAGCCGTTTGTTCTGGGTCTGCATGTCCTCGTCGTCGATTCCAAGGTGCACCCCAAGGAAGGGTGCTATGGTGTTCACGTCAGCGAAGTCATTGAGAGGCGGCGTTCCGGAGAGAACCCATTTCGACTTGGCCCGTAGTGCAATAAGTGGATTGAGTCGGTCGGTGTTTGCGTAGGTGAACTCGTCGATGACCAGACGGTTGAATTCGAACGCGTGGAGAAGCGGGACTTTGACTGTTTCCCAGGGTTGGGATTTGCTGTTTTGGCTGATATTGAATTCTTTGCGGTCATCCCATCTGCTTGATATGGGCTTGGGCTTTGCTTTTGCGCTCTGTTTCTTCCTTACGTGTTTCTCACTCGAAGAATCCTCGTACTCGGTATCTTCGTCTGTTGAAGCCATAGCCAACGCGCCATCTTTCGCTCCTAGCGATCTGGCTGGGATAAGATTCAGGAATCTGTCCACTCTTGCCCTGAGAACTTCCGGGTCTTCCTCGTCGCTTATTTCAGATTCTTCATCATCATCACTAGATATTTCAGCATAAGGCATAGCGCTCTTGGTCCCCGGCTCCACATTCTTGTTGGCCAGTTCGTACTGCTTGCCTCTTAGCCGCGTGGATGGAAGATATGTGTAATTCTCCTGGGCGTCCTTGACTTTCTCGCGTTTCGCACGTACAGCCTCAAGAAATGCACCGGGGCCTTGATCCATGAGGACTTGAACGTGTTCCCCCAGCGATTCCTGGGCAGCAGCGAACCACTCGTCGAAACTCCGTCCCGCCTTTCCTGGAACGCGAGGAGTCCCAGTGAACTTTTGCATGCGCTGATAGTAGCCAGGGCTGTTGAACACTGCCCAGGATACCAGGATAATGTCACCATTGCTGATATCTCGAATACTTGCTTTCGTTAAAGCCACTGCTGACTGGAACGCAAGCACTCGGTATTTGGTACCCAGAAACTTGACAATTTCCGATTGCCATTGTTGAATCATTATATGAGGGACGACAATTAATGTTGCTTTGCTCGGGATGAATCCAGCTGTAGGCTCAGCCGCGGTGGCTATCTCATGTTGGCTGTTAATCAGTCCTAGCACAATAGCTGTTTTGCCATATCCAACATCATCTGCTAGAACACCTCCGCGGACAGTCTTCAAAGTCGTTGCCCTTCCTTCTGCACGCCATAGCAACGATGGAAGAAGCGCTTCTTCAATTTCCTCTTCAACAAAGGCTTTGACATCGTCTTGCTCTTGCTTTATCATCCACGACAAAGATCGTAGTTGTTCTGGCCGTAAGTCCAGGAGAAATCCTGGGGGCTGCAGACTCTGGATATCGTCCCGGTTGCTTTTGAGGCTGAAGTTTGGAAAGGTCAAGTTCCTTGTGTCATACGAATTAGGAACCAGACGCCAATTGAAGGAAACCTCACCCGTCTGTTTCCCTTGGGTTAATTTAGCAAATGCCTGGTGCAGGAGGGTTTGGATATTGAGAGTAACACGAAGATGGCCCAGTAGTCCATTCTCCTCAGCTCGACAAAAGATCAAGAAAGGAGAAGGCCGGGACTTGATTTGGCGTTCGTAGAGGGCTGCATCGTGTGGATCTTCGTATACCTTAGTCCAGCCTCTTCTATTACGGCCCCATAGGAGCTTCGGTTTCGGAGGCACACAGACAGTGCAGACTTTTTCCTCCTCGGGCGAAATCAGGGAACTCGCAACTGGCTTCCAGTCTCTAAAGTCGGGGACCCCAGCCGGTTTCTGCAATAACCAAGTAAGCTCTTTCAGTAAGTGTGGAGAGTCGGCAGGATCTATAACGTCCCAAGCGGTGCTTTTCCAGGCCGAACGAATGGTGGTTGCTGGAGCTGCCAAAGACAACAAGGTGACATTGGCATGGCGACAGCCTGAGTCGCTGATGGAGACGAACGCAGCTGGATCTAGATTGTGATATCTGATAGAAGAGCGCACGTCGGAGGAAGCCAGCATGGCCGTCCGAACAGAAACCCACTTGCGGTAGTACACGGTCACAAACTCGTCCGTTTCAGTAGCCTTCGATGAGCGCCACTTGTGAGAGACCTCCGCAATTTTCAATCGTGTTGAATACCCAAAGTTGCGTCGATGCTCCAAAGAAAAGACAAACGAATCGTTCTTCGGTTCTCCCAGCTTAGTCGGGTCCAGAAACAGGTACACTGCCGGGTTGTCCCCGACAGCTGATCGCCTATGCAAGCATGCATTTGCGGTGCCACAATCTGGAAGCAGGTCGTAGGTTCCTCGAATGTCAGTTTCGAGGTCTTTGACATCTTCATCCGTGCCCTGAATATTGAGTTGAGTCCAAACTTTAGAATCCGTATACTCTTCCAGTTCCAAGCCACATTTCGCTTCGTAGGATTGACTCCGATTGCCCGCTCCAGAAAATCCCAATGTACAGCTTGAGCTAAGGGGTGAACATATAGTCCAGGTGCCTTCCAAAATAGAACCCGAATAGGGCACCATGCGTGCAATTGGGGTTGACAGAATCTCACGGATGAGACACAATGCGGGCTCGGTTTCACGCGGCTTTGCAAAGAAGAGCCATTGGATAGTGGTTCCTTCGATGACGAGGCTCAAGATGGAGAACTTCCCTTCGTAAACCACGGTCCAAACCTCGCTCCGCTTGATCTCCAAGAAGCGCAGTTCATCTCCAACAGCTCGAGTAACAGCATCCAAAAAATCTTTCCAGACACCAGAAAGACACCCCGGAGGCAGTTCCTGCTCCAAACCGATATAGCTCTCAGGTGATATACCAGAGACTACCAATCTAGATGGCAAAATGTCCCGTAGCTCCGCTGCAAAATCCAATGGTGGGCTGCGTACCAAACCAGTCCAACGTTCGTATGCATGCGGCGGGTTGCCACCACAGCTTGAGCACGCAGCATGGCCACATAATGTGCATTTCAAAATGTTTGCCTCGATTGAGGTTTGTCGTTCGCACATGCAGTATCTCGCACTGCTTGCGGCGTGCTTTTGGAGCGCTGAGAGATCCACATCAAGACTGGAACCGAGCCGGATGTTACTTGGTACTAATATGTCGTCTTCTCTCGGTACGATGTTTCTGCGTTTAGCAGCCGCTGTCTTTGGAGCTGACAGGGTTTGGCCCTGCTTTAGGACCTTGTGCCCGACTATCAAGGCTGAGAGGATCGCAGCACCGATAACCGTGGAGCTCATCGCATTCCCAGCAAGATCCTGCAGCTCCCTCTGTGACTCTTGTGTCAGCAGAAGTCTATCCAAAGGTAAGCCTTGCAAAACGAGAGACTCGAGGCCGCATAGAGGTCCTCCTCGTGTAGTGATGTACGGAATCCCACAGGGGGTAATGCAACCGATAATTCCATACGCACGAGAGTCTATTTCCCGTTCAACGCCTTGAGATAGTTCGATGCATCTCCTACAAGAATTCTCCCTGTTAGCATTATACCCCCCCCCCCCCCCCCCCGATATCCCGGAAAAGAAAAAGAAAGAAAAAACACTCCCTACTCTTTATAATTCATATCATAGCCTTCAACAAGCTTGCGCAGGAAATTAACATCAATCGTATCCCAAACCCGTTCCGGCAAGGACTTGACCCAAGTCTGCCAGGCAAAATCGGGCATCTGGCAAGTCCCATCGTCCTGGGATTTGCTGACAGGCCGTCTATGACCGAGACCTTGGTTCAATCGATAGCTCTGATGTCGGACCTGATACCTCGCCCAGTTTACCGTCGCCCTAGATACCGACGAGGTGATTCGAATCGCCATGTCCTTTTCAATCTGCTCGAGTCTCCTATCATCAGCATCCATGAGAAACATACCGGCCGGTGAGCTCGCAGGACGCTTAAAGGCACCGAACACATCCGCCCATCCGAGCATATCTTCTTCCGTGAGATTATTCCGCGTCATGAGCTTTCGATCCACACAGAACATGTACCCTCTCTCCCGCGTTTGCGGGAGGTAATACGCCTTGGTGTCTACATCCGCGTGAACGGTCAAGTAGTCGATTTCGTTCCAGTGCTGCTCGATCTTATCCCACGGCGCTGTTTTCACGTTCTCCAGAATCACCATCCGCGGCCGGTATGTCTTAGCGTAGCGGATGATGCCCCAGAATGTACCTCCCGATTCACCTTTGTCGTCGAGGGTTTTGCGCTTGTTGTTTAGGCCGGAGAAGTCAACGCAAGAGAACCCCGCGATCAGGATATCCGGGTTCTTAGGGATTTTCTCCAGTGAGCCGTAAGCAGTTTGACTGGTCCAGTTAGCTTTGTGAATTTGAATTTGCACAAGTTAGTAGGGGGGGGGGGGGGGGGGAGGGCACAACAACTTACGCCACTCTGTTCTTGAGCTCCGCCACATCCCTGAAGATAAAACGAGGGTGAAAGTTGCGCTCGATGTAGGCTTGCTTGAAAGGCACAATCTCCGCGCTAAAAAGATGGCGGAATTGAAAGTCTCGGTTGGAATATTTCTGCAGATCTGCGGGAAAAATCTGAGCCCATTTCATCCTTCACTCATACATACATAGGGAGGGAAACAGTGGGAAAATCAAGACGGATAACTCACTCTCTTGAATCATCTCCAGCGCCAGCAGTGGGCTTTCAGTGCCAGAGCACACTGTAACCACGCGTAGCTGTTGGGATCCCAGATGGGATAGAAATTCATCAAAATCCAGCTCAAGTGCTCTGGTTGTAAGTGACTTGTAAATATCAGAGAGCCTGTGCAGTGGCGGGAGGCCCAACGCAAGCTGGGTCCGCGGATTCTTCGACCCTGAATACGGTCTGGATCTGATTACCTCTGGGATATCATAGTCGAGCTCAAGCTCTGACGATTCGGATGGGATTTTGTCTGAGGTTGAGGTTGGGGTGGTAATTGTTGCATCTCGAGGTTTGGGTTGGTCGAGTGTCTGTCTAGTACGCTTGGACACACGTGTTGGGGTGGGGGAAAGACGTCTCTTTCTTCTTGGAGGCATGTTTTTTGTTTCCCTCTCTCTCTTTTTCACTATGAAATGAGTGGATGGGTTTGAAGCATGAAGGAAATGAAGATATCAGGATAGGGCAAGCGGAAGTCACGTGGAGTGAAGGGAAAAGAAGATGGAAACAAGAAAAGGAAATAAAGAGGGAAAGGAAAGAACAGTAAAACACTAGGGTATTAGAGGTCGCAGTTACCTGTGAATGTGAAAAATTTTTAGTGAAAGAAAATGTGCTGTCCTATACTCTTGATAGAGAGCAAAATTCCCTCAATACTTCTACACGAGAGAAAATCAGTAAACGGTAAATTTCACTAACTACCTTCTATGATGCACTGAGTCTTTGCTCACATCCTTGCAAAAGAATAAACATAATATTTAGAAAATTCATGGCATCTAAACGCAGGAAACTAAGGAGAATCTAGATACTCTAGGGATTCCCATCACAAAAACCATCTGTCAAATCATTTAGTCTAGACCAGTGCCAGAACTAACTGGACTTGGGCTTTCCCGCCAGTTCATGGATACAGTCAAATCGTCGGGACCTGGTGTAAACGATTTCATTAAAGGACCCAGGAGTCGGCCTTCACGAATGGCCTCGTAGATGATCGAAATCCAGGACCCAACGGTTTTCTTAGAGCGGCCGTCCAGCATGTCGTTGTCGATAGTGGGATGCTCTACAAAGCCTTGATGGAAAGGCACACCAAGTTCCCGTCGGACCGTTTCGTATAGGATTTTAGATCCTTCTCCCAGAAGCTCCGCAGTGTGCTGTTTCTGGAAGAATGCATCAGCGGTTTCCTGGTATACGATGTTCAAGGCATCACGCGCTTGAGTCTTCCAGGTGTCCAAATCTCCAAAGCTAGGGCCCTGGTGGGATTTCAGGGTATCAAGAAGGATGGAAAGGGCATTTTCTATGACTGAATGCACCCGATCCGGGGCGTTGAGGCGATTGGTTGTGGGCCAAGCTTGTGTCAGGTATTGGCTGAGGGAGTTGCCCAAGATTGCGAGATCCGATTCGGAAAGATACTGGGAGAAGAGACCGGATGTGACGATGTGAAGCTGAGTTTTGGCGTTTTCTAAGAAAGCCAAATGAAGAGCCCGCAGGTCCAATGCCTGGCAGGCAATATACAGGTCACAAGCGCACATAAGGGAAAGGATCTCCACAGCTTGCATGCTGTATCGAGTAGACACCAAAGCCATAGAGTTAACCGCCTGGTTGCGCATCTCTGCAGATTGTACATGCGAGCTAACAGGGTTTGCTAAGTAACCAAGCTCTGCCATGTAAGACGCCATGCTAATGTCAACGCCCTTCATCGTAAACGAAATGCTTGGGTCATCTGCGACAAGGTTGGTGGGAAGGCCGTGATTCAGACTGGGGTCGATCATTTCAGTTGCCTGGGAGAAGATGAGTCTACCGAACATCTGTAGACACAGCCTTGTCTTCTCCATAGCTGAGGTAATCGATACGGCCTGAAAATTCCCACCAGAGAAGATGCTATCCGATTTGACATCCACCAGCGGGTTATCGCATGTCGAATTCAGTTCCACTGCCACCTGTCGATGAGCGAGGAGTAAGTCTTCCAGCTGAGGTCCGATCCACTGTGGAGCGCAACGCAGTGAATATCGATCTTGGATTAAGCCGGGACGGTCGAGGGCCTTCTGGGTTTCCAGGCCTTGGGCGAGCTTGGATCCTTGGAGAAACGAAACAAGGTTGTTGGCACATTCCACTTGTCCATCATGAGGTCGCACAGCTGAGATAAAAGGATGAAAACTTTCCGCTGTGCCAGTGAGCGCTTCGACACCCATAGCAGAGAGAGCTTGGACCAACACGGCCAGTTGATGGGCTTCGTACATGACCAAACTGGCCACTGCAGCAGATGTTGAAGTACCATTAACCAGGCCTAATCCTTCCTTCGGGCCTAGCTTTATGGCCTTCATACCGACGGATTGCAGTCCCTCGCTAGACTTCATGATCTCACGCTTTTCATCCCGCTGGACCTGGACATACACGTCCGGGTTCCCTTCGATCACGCCTGCAATGTAGGATAGCGGCATTAAATCTCCTGAGGCGGATATCGACCCTCTAAGGGGCACAATTGGCGTAATCTGGTTCCCGAGCAGATGTATCATTGATTCCAGCACCGGCAATGTCACAGCCGAATGCCCACGAATATTTGAATTGCAGCGGACTACCATGGTGCCCCGTACCCAAGAAGCCGGCATGGCGTGTGAATCGAGTTTGGTGTTCTCATCGCCACCTTTGTCAGATGAAAGCAGAACGCCAGCCTGAGTCAGTTGGAGAAGTCCGGACTGCAGCGCGACCACTTTTCCTGTTCTAGAGTCTGCACTCCCACCAAAGCCAGTGTTGACTCCTATCCAATTCAGTGAGCAACTTGTGCAGCATATTGCCTGGCCCAGGGATGTACGAACCATATACACTATAGCCTTTGTCGAGGTGTTCTTTCAAAACTCGGACACTCGCATTAATCCCTTCTAGAACAGCAGCGTCTTTCGTGATTTTTGGCTTGCAATTATGGCTGCCGATGATTAGCATCTATACTAGTCCACATACACCCCGGATTCACTAACTGTGCCACTGCTACTACAGCAGGAATGTCAAGCTTTGTGCCATCAAGTTCAAATTCTCCTTCCCCCAACAGCCGTTGCAATCTCTGCCACGTCTGAAGGGTAGTGTGGAGGTGTGTCTGGAAGTGTGTAGTCTTCATCTCCAAGTGCATGCAAGGAGCGTAAACCTTGAACCCAACCTATAGTATAGTTGTTCGTGCGTAATGCCCGGTGTAATGGCAGGGGATTTAAAGAAGACTTGAGGCACTAAGACCGTAGGCATAAATCAGTTAGCTCCAGCAGCACGCTGATTTATACGTAATTTTTGAGAGTCTTTACCCTTTCTTTTATTGCGTAGCTTGGCCCACAGCACCAAATTCTCAAACCCACTTTCAATAGCCAGAAAAAGCAATGAGCATGAACAGGCAAGGTTCTCCAAAATGAGCGGGATTCTGTGGCTTTTAACTGCTACTATGGAAAAGATCAGCCTTTGTTAATAGATAATATATGTGAGCTGAAGGTAACACAAGTGACCTACCTAGGTATGATCCTTTTACAGGATACCAGTAATCCCCTTGCATTTTAGTGAATATTTTCCTTTTTCCTTCAAGCTTTCGGCCGTCACCTTCCCCCCTAAATCATACTCTCATTCACTAGAATGAATAATGAATTTTAGGTATTCCCCAACTGTCACTGCAGACCGGTGCATAGAAGCCATGAGGAAATGAAAATCGACGGGAAAAGTAGGCCCAATATCCCTCCAGATACCACTAGGCAAACCTTAGGTACCTAAGTAGACAGTTGGTAGATTCTAGATAAAGTTACCTAGTGTGCATCCTGATTCATGCGAAGCACCCATGACGAGAGATATTCTGTCTCTTCCTTCAATTAGGACAGAAGACAACCTGCGGGGTCAAATTAAAGAGCTGAAACCTAACGCGATTGTATCCCAGTGAACCGACCCCAAGACAAAAATAGAAATGCTGTAAAATATGAGGATAGGATTGAGTGATGCAAGGATTCAGGACGGAAGAAATCAAAAGTCACCGGGAATTGATTGAATCTGACGGGTTTGGTGGCGGCGAGGCGCGACAGCCGGAGTGTTGTGAAGAAGAAGCAAAAAGACTCTGGGAGATCTGTCACTTGGACAATTAAAGTGTGCGTATAAGTCGGCGTCACCACCACCACCACATTGCTATAGTGATATGACAGTTGAAAGCTTTCTGAAGTACAAAAAAGTGGATTGGTAATTAATAGTGCACTGATAGCCACTGTGTCCATATTGGGATCCAAAATCTAGTCGTCGGTCAAATTACTCCAGGTGGCATATTCCATCATCAATCTGTTCCTGTCCGAATCATCACTGGGCACTTTGCTTTTGCCGGTAGAGTACTTGAGCAGTGTATGCAGCGAGCATTGATCCTTCACGGAGTACTTCAGTAGGCTTCCTATTATGTGTAGGTGCGTTCACAGATAGGAAAAGACTGTATCGTATCGTTAAGCCTATGAGGGTACCCGATAGTCGCATGTCCTCAGCAACCAGAGCTGCCATCCGGATGTATGTACTGTACACTACTATCTAGGTAGGTATGCTCTTGACGAGTTCGGAGTCGGGGCCATTGGACAGTCCGTCCGTCAATGATAGAACCGATCATGGCTCTGATTATCGTTATGTAGGATGCGTGGACAGTACTGGTTGTTCTGGACGAGACCGCTGAGTCTCACGCTCTTGGCTTCTGAGAAGGAGATGTTTTACTTTTGCTTCCTGACCACTCGGATCGATATTTACCGTACTGAGGTAGCCAAGCTCACTCTCCGGAAGACGATGTCCAGCTAAGGCACAGATTTGCGGTTGTTTGGGCCCGTCTAGGAAAGAGACCGGGATAAGAGTCGCAGAAGGGGAAGATGGAGAGAGAAAAAACCAGTTGAGGAAAGGGATATCTGCTAAATTCTAGGTATACATCTGAATCAAATCACAAGAGACTCCAAAGTGAACCCATCTGCGCCATAAACCCGAAACTGCCAACACATGCACAACTCCTCCCAAGACAGTAACACGCCCAGAACATATCGGGAAGAACTTTTGTAGATAACGCTACCGCATTCCGCTCTGCATCAACTGTTGGCGCAAAAGCATGATCTGGCTTCGCTCCATTGGTGGAAGGGCATCGATAGCTGACTGAGGCATGTTGAGAACTTGCTGCAACAGCTCATCTTGTCCTGGGAGCTGTTGCTGCTGTGCGGGCGGCGGTTGAGGAGCAAAAGGAGTATTCACCATCGGCGGGGTAGATACCTGGCCTGGAACGGCTGAAAAGGGCTGAAAAGCCTGTGCAACAGGGGGGGCAGAGGGGGGTGGCACTGCGGGCTGTGCTGCTTGCTCGACCACGGAGCCCAGGGTATTGTAATCAACAAGGTTCATAAGAAGCAGCGCTTGGAAAATTGCATAGGCGAGTTGAGGGGCTTGGCGCAGGAGTTCTGTAGCGCGAGCAGGGTCCGCCATCACCAGTGACTTCATCTGCGCGAGTACGTCCAAAAGCTGGTTCGGTGGGAGGGAGGAGAGCGTCTGCGAGATAGCGTTTGGACAATCCAAGTGGGGAGGTAATTCGATTCCCGGTGGTAGGGGTGGGAGAGATGCAGATGGCTGCTGAGCTCCTGATTGCACATCTTGCCCGGGAAGTTGGGACGATTGCGAGTAGTCTGGAGGCACGGAGTCTTTCTCGTTGTTATGCGGCCAGTCCACACGAATCTTGCGGCCCATGATCTCATAGTCATTCAGGTTGCGAACTGCAGAGGCGGCTGCATCGGCATCGGCAAAATCCGCGAAACCATAGCCCTTTGGCTTTCCTGTCTCCGGGTTCATCATCAAGCGGAATTTGGTCACTGTGCCGGCGGAACTAAGGATATCTTTGACCTGTTCCTCAGTGAGGTCTACATTACTCCGTTAATACTGTTTCAATCACGCGAACGACAAATCCAACAACCGTAGACATACTATATGGGATATTCCCCAAGAAAACACTTTTGCCAGCTCGTTCTGAACCCATCTTTGCAACAGAGTCGAGCACACCACAAATGGTTTGAGGATATGACGCGGAATGTGAAGGTGACCGAGCGACGACCTAAAGTCTCTCTCGGGCAGTTGAGTTCCTTAATTTGAGCTTCCTGTCAAGGCGGTGTCCGAATCTGGAGAACTGCCGGAAGTTGGCGAACCTCGTAAGGGCTTCATCCATCTTTGTCGTTGAGACACCATCATATATTTCATCCACAACCATCATGGCTCGGAACCCAAGGGATCAGTGGGAACGGCTTCAGGTCATCCTGCAAAACCGCGGAGGTCGCTTTGGAGGCTTTCCATCGGGTGGTGGCCGTGGAGGGCTTGGGGCAACGGGAGCTCTGATCTTACTCGGTGTTGGAGGATGGGCTCTGTCAAACTCCCTCTTCAATGGTAAGAGGCCTACTGTCTCTCATTTGCTCTTTTTGTTTTCTGAATCTGAGTCTTGCTAACTGGTTGACTCTAGTTGACGGTGGTCACCGCGCAATCAAGTACTCTCGAGTAGGTGGTGTCAAGAAGGAAATCTACAGCGAAGGTAACCACCCTGCGTTCTAAAATCCCACATGCATCTTGGGTGATTAACCCTTTTCCGTCTCCATTCAGGAACCCATTTCAGAATCCCCTGGGTCGAAACCCCGATCATCTACGATGTGCGCGCCAAACCGAGGAACATCGCCTCCCTCACTGGTACCAAGGATCTTCAGATGGTGAACATTACCTGTCGTGTGCTCTCAAGACCCCGAGTGGATGCACTCCCGCAGATTTACCGAACCCTTGGACAAGATTTTGATGAACGAGTTCTTCCTTCCATTGTCAACGAGGTTTTGAAGAGTGTGGTTGCCCAGTTCAACGCCAGTCAACTCATCACCCAGCGAGAGAACGTCGCAAGGCTTGTTCGTGACAACCTAGCGCGCCGAGCTGCTCGCTTCAATATTGCTCTAGACGATGTGTCCCTTACCGTAAGCTCCCTTGATCTTATGATTCTTCGCATCTTCTCGCTTTGCTAATATATCTCTCTCTGTCCCTTTAGCATCTGACCTTCTCCCCCGAATTCACCGCCGCCGTCGAGGCCAAGCAGGTCGCTCAACAGGACGCTCAACGAGCTGCCTTCCTGGTTGACAAGGCTCGCCAGGAGAAACAGGCATTCATTGTGCGCGCTCAAGGTGAAGCCCGATCGGCAGAACTCATCGGAGATGCAATCAAGAAGAGCAAGAGCTACGTGGAGCTCCGAAAAATTGAGAACGCCAGGCACATTGCCCAGATCATACAGGAGAGTGGCGGCAAGAACAAGATGTACCTAGATGCGCAAGGTCTGGGGCTCAACGTCAACGCCGGTGCGGACGTCGATGGAAAATAAGAACAAAATTATAAAATATCCGGGGGGTAATGGCCGCCGTGGACCAGTGTCCATCGGGTTGATTTCTCGTTTTATTCAGGCGGATATCGTTCTTGGACACCGGAGTGATCCAGGGAGTGGAATAGGGTACTGTACAAATAGTTTATTTCAGGATTATCAGAGCAACTAAGGCGAAATGTGTCTCTTCTCTTCCAGTGATTGTCATTATCAACGTAAAGCCAACTACAAAGACAGGGGCCATTTGCGATAATGGGGAAAGCCATAACTATTCGTGGCTGACTGTCAACATTCTATTCTTACTTACTTTGTGTTTTGCAATTTCCACCGAATATGAGTTTCGACAAAAAGGCTGCGAATGCTATCCAGCTGCGGGGGACGAAAGCGGCGGGCGGAAATTTTATACTCGGCGGGGAGATGATACTATTTCTTCAACTCCACGCGCTTTCCTTCAACCACGACGACCTCTCTGGCATTTATAGCCGCGATATATTCCACGGCCTTCATTTCAGGTAAGGATTGTCGAAAATTACACGACCTCTAGCTCAGAATACACCCCCTCCTCTCCCTCTCTCTGCTTTTCACAACCGCCCTGCGACTCTCCTCCTATCCAGCTCTCCGGCTGAACACTGGCTAACATGAACTTATTACCATCTAGGAACGATGGTCGATCCGGCAATTGATATCGATGTCGACCTCGACGTCCAAGAAATCCTTCTTGCGGCCTCGCAGCATGACATCCCCCAACTCCGACGACTGATCCGTGGCAATGAAACATCTGGAAATCCCGCCAATGTCAAAGATCCTGAAACGGGGTATTCCCCGCTCCATGCCGCCATCGCTGCTTGCGAGCCCGATGAAGAAGAAGAAGAAGAAGAAGAAGAAGAGCATGAACCCCCCGTGAATGGCGGGGCGCCGAATGGTGTCGAGCCCGAGAACAAACAGGCTACAGAGCATGAGAGCATGATCCGGTCGGGGGTGCAAACAGTGAAATTCCTCCTCCAGGAGGGAGCTATTTGGAACGACCTCGATCTGAACAACGAAACACCCGGATGCATTGCTCGGCGACTTGGCTTTACCGAATTGTACGAAATGATCGTGGACGCGGGTGTGAGGGCGGAGCTGTTGCTGAACAGGCTAGACGGCTACGAGCAGCTCTCGGATGATGAGGACGAGATGGAAGAAGATGAAGAGCAGCAGCGGGGGGGATCCGGCGCCGCGCAGACAGCAGAGGCAGAGGCCGTCCCTGAATTAGTCGATGCCGCAGCTGCGTCGTCCACAGCCCCAGCAGCAGCAGCAGCAGCAGCAGCAGAGCCCCACGTCACCAACTCCCGCTATCTCAATTCCGACCTGACGTTCCAGAATGATCGTCTGCTTGACCAGGACCAGAACGGGGTCATGATGGCCTGGGAATCCGATATCATGGCGAGGTCTGCGAAGAAGTTGCTCCCGACTCCGGGGCTCCGGGTTTTGAATGTTGGCCATGGCATGGGCATTGTAGATGGGTTTCTCCAGGAACAATCCCCGGCGTCACATCACATTATCGAGGCCCACCCCGAGGTTGTTGCAGAGATGAAGCGGAAAGGCTGGCATGAGAAACCCGGGGTCACCATCCACGAAGGTAGATGGCAAGATATTGTCCCTGGTCTGGTGGCACAGGGAGAGATGTTCGATGCCATCTACTACGACACCTTTGCCGAGTCCTACGCGGATTTCCGAGAGTTCTTCACCGAGCAGGTTATCGGCTTGCTGGATCAAGAAGGAAAGTGGAGTTTCTTCAACGGCATGGGAGCCGATCGACAGATCAGCTACGATGTGTACCAGAAGGTCGCGGAAATGGATCTATTCGAGGCCGGCTTTGATGTCGAGTGGGAGGAGATCAACGTGCCCAAGCTGGAGGGCGAATGGAACGGAGTGCGCCGGCCGTACTGGATGATCGATGACTACAGACTGCCCCTGTGCAAGTACATGGATTAAATGACTCTGTTAATTGTAGATAAAAATGAATTGGTATGAAGGGTTCCATAAACAAACTCCGAGAGATGTGAAATATTTATATCGTACATGTCGGGACAAGAACAGCAGCAAGTTATATAAATATATATATATCTCTCTCTCTCAATTATTTCTCTCTCCTATCTCAAAGAGACCTTCCCAAGTACCTCTGGGTTGTCTTCCATTAGACGCCGGTTGATGTGCTTCCTTATCCCAGGGAACTAGCTTACATCTAGAGTAAAGAACAACAAAGATATAACCTCAATCACAAAGTATTGCTTAAAACCGATTCTTTACTTGCTAGTTGGCCCGTGGATGGAAATTAGGATAATTGATAATTGTTTTCATTTCATATACTAGGTAGAGTGTATTTCGTATACTTCAAAAGACAAATACTCCGGGCCCAAGTATGCAAATCGTAAGTCAACAAAACGAGATTACCTCCTTCCCAACGCCATCCGCAAAGCAAATCGTCATTTCAACCGGTCAAGCCATTCGACCCATTCCTATTCACATGTCAAGCTCGGCTTCGCTCTATAGCTGGATGAGATCGACCTCTGAGAAGTCTGGAGGACTGCGGCTGAAGATGGTGCGGCACTTTCCATCAAGTGCTTGGTACTCATTACTGATCCAGATGTGCTTGCTGAACAGTTGGGTACGATAGACCTCATCATCACTGACCCCAAGGTCATCTCGAGGGATCCAAATGACCGGGCGCTTCGCACGCACGGCATCGTGTTGGAAGGCTCGCTGGACCAGCTGATCACGTTCATCCGGTGTCAAATCCTCCAACTCATCATGGATGCCTGCAAACAATGCAGGACCTCGTTGACGGGTTGCATGGCCCTGCGCTTCGGCATCATGGACAATTTTCTCCCGCATTCGCTTGAGAGTTGGGACTGAGCTGTCTGAGTTTACCCCAAAAAATTTGGAGCGCCGGTTGGGAGAACGGGTAACCCAGGATTGGCGGGTGGGCTTCAGATTGCGAGATGTATGTGTATCTTGGCAGTTTGGCCACTCTCCACCCCCAGCTTCGAGTTTTTTCAGCTCGATGTCACGGGCTATTTTATCCGCCTCATGCTCAGCATTTTCCCGGTCCCTAAGTCTATGCTCAAGAGTGTCCGACTCATCTTCTTCGTCCAATCCCAACCGTACTCTTTGTGCGCGTTCGAATTCCTCATCTCGACGCACGGCGTCATCTTCCAATGTTATTGGTAGGTACCGAATTAGTGGGCCAAAGGCATCGTTGAGCAAGATCTGATATCCAGCCGTAAGGACCAACACCACAATCATGCAGATAGCTTGACCTTGGCATGCAACATTGCCCTGGACATCACGAACCAAGAAGAAAAGGCCAATCAAGCTCAGCTCCATCACGTAGAGCCCAGTGAACAGCTGGTTGATAGCTCGAGGAAAGAGTAGGCCACCCGTATCAAAGCGGAATTTTGTCACATAGAGTGTGTTATAACGATAGACGAACCAAAACAGGCCGAAAGTGACCACATTGAAGACCATAATAAGGGGAGCTATGACCGAGTAGATTAATCCTGAGATCATGTTAGATTTGAGAATCTATGTATCAAAGGAATGGAAAACGACATACCAATGGACGCAAGGGTGGTGTAAACCGGGAAGAAGGTACCCCATTGCATTTGGTTCAGGTTGGTGGTTCGGGCCCATTTTTTACGTGCAGTTGAATCCAACAGCGGAGCCAGGATAAACCAGCTCACTAGACTAAAAATTTGCACCAAAGCACCAGCGCTCACAGACAAGGCTTGCAGAACCATATATGAGAAAAAGTAATTGCTCGACAAGGGAATGTTCTGGGCGAGGACTTCCGGCCAGCTCGTGAAATCAGTAACATTGTTAATGATGGTGGAGAAACTGGATGAAATGGCGACAACCAAAAACAGCTGAACAAATAAAAAGGCGAAGAAGTAGTTCTGCACGGTGAGCTCAATAGCCATTCCCGTGGATAGGCCCTGTGCCCGGCAGAGAAAACGAAGAACCAGTGGAAGTAGAGCCATGAGGATAGCTAAGAACAAGGCAGGCAAGATACCTTGAATTGCGGAAACAAGCCACTCTGGTAGTGTAGAAATCCATGACAGCCAAGTAAATGCGCTCTCCAGGTAGGAAAGCTGAGATAGCAAACCAGTGAAAGCTACGGGGAATGCCCAGCCGATGACCATACCGCAGACAACTGCCAGGATTCCAAAGGTGCGCAGATAGCGCTCCCACCACTTCATCGACATGTTGTCCCATATAACATCATCTGGGGAAATCTCCACAATGCGAGGAGCCATCTGTTTCGGGAGATGATGGCTGACTGCCTGACAAGCCATATGGGCAGCCACTTGGTGATTAAACTGGATAAAGGCAGAGTTCATAAGGGGGAATTTTTCGGGATGCTGTTGATCGAGCTCGATTTCCAGATTCAAGCGAGCCACCTCCTGGCGACAGTAATCGATGGTATCCACCTTCTTCCCAATTAGCCACAGTGAGGGCATCCAACTTATGCCGAAAATCGGGAGGCGCATGGTTTGCCGGTCCTTTTGTCTGATGTACTTTTTCCACGCGGGTTCCCCAAGATCCTCTTTAGAGAAATTCTGGTTGTATGCGATGGGATATATGTCATATTGAACCTCCGCACTTTCTTCTCGATGGTGTTGCTTCAAATCATGATCACCCTCCACATGTTCTTTCACTGGCGAGTCCCTATCTGAGCTGTACCGTTCTCTTTCATCAACCGGGGACTCGGGGGCTGTGAGCGGAAGCTCATCAGGCTCAGTTTTCTTACTTGCTTTGGAGTGGCCAGAACCTCTAGTGGTCCAGAATGGCCTTTTTGGGTGGACACTAGCTTCTGGTGTGCTGTTGGGCATTGGCACCGAGGGTTCCCCATTGTCAGGGGCATCGGAGGCATCCACACGTGGGAAACTCTCAGAACGCGATATCTTCTCGTTTGGCTCACCATCATCGGGCTTTTTTAATCCGCTTGGCATACTCTTCCCCAGCTTACCGACGCCTTGGCCGACAGCACCGGCTATCTCCATAGCGGGGTGCAAGGGGTTTAAATGCCTTAGTTTGCCGGTTTTGTTCCCTTTCTGAGTTGAAGTATTTCGGTTATGTCGGTGTAAGACCTGGTCCAGCGTACGGGCTTGATGCGGGTTACCAGAGCTAATACCGGCGCTCATAGCGAGTTTCGAAGCCCTTGACTCAGCAAGCTCCTGGTCTTTCCTTTCCATGGGCTTGATACCTGCTTTTTTGGCCGCCCTTTTGGCCTGCTTAAGCTGAGCCTTCTTGCACATGACAATCAGATCGGTTTCTGCCGCCTCAAGCTTCAAGGCGAGCTCATCTCTTTGTTTTACCTTTTCGTTCAGGTCATCAAAATTGCGGTTGATCCAGATGTTTCGAATACCGCCAGGGAATACATCATACAAAGTGTCCAAAGCGTCCACAGAAAGCCAGCTTCCTGGAATCGCTGTCACTAGAACCGTTGTGGCGGACGCCCTCAGTCGATGTTGGGGAGAAGTTAAGTAGGCTTGTCGAAGGCGAAGATAACCTCTCAGTTCATCGAAAAATATCGCGCACACGTAGAAAATAGCAATCACGGCCAAGATGAGATGTCCCCAGTAACGGCTGGTGTTCTCTGGAGTAACATTGCCCCAAGCCAGTTGGTCTAGCCCCGTCACATTCCAACTTTCTCCGCCAGCCGTCCCGTTCTTGAAGGTTTGATCCTTGCCACCAACTTTATTCAGCGGTAGAAGGACGGGTAGTATAATACATGCTAGAGGTACAAAAATCTTGAGTAGCATGCGTAAGTAACGTAGGAAGAAGTAGGCATCCAGACCACATTTCTGGATGAATTCGGAGCTGGAAGTACGGAATACAGGACCGATCCATTTGAAGAGACCGGGTGGTGATGGCTGAGTTCGTTCTCTATCGGAAACTAAATAGGTTCGCGGTTGACTGGAGGGGAGAGGGTCAGCTGCGCCAGTTGCTATTCGGAATGAACGCTTACTAGATACGAGTAAGCTTCCCTTTGAGAAGCAGAAACAGCAGAAATTCGACGGCGAAAACGATAAGTGCAGTAGCCAGGGACGCAATGAATGTCTTGAGAGAGATGCCACCCTTGCTCTGACCCGTACCGCCTGCATGTTCCAGAGCCTCTCCCAGGCCGGTTGTCATGGTGTTTCTTTTTTTTCTCACTGTTCTTGTTGAAACCGCAGAATTGGCAGAAATCCCATAAGGCACAAATATAAGAGAGAAGGAGAACCGAGGTGTGATTGAGGTGGGATATCAGAGGTCAAGATGCATTCCAAACAGCAAGCTCAACGACAGATAAGAGAAAAATGGGATGAATCACACGAGGAAAAGAAGAGAAAATTAAAAAGGGTATTCCACAAAGGAATTTACAAAAAAGAACACGCTGAAGATACTGTACAGAATGAAGAGAGGGAGGGTGGAAGGGGGAAGAGAGAGAGAGAAAGAGAGAGGTTGTGTTGGATAGAAAATCAAGGGAAGGACCAAACCAAATCCTTTGCCAGGAATGAATGAATCTGCAGATAAAGACATCATTTCATCATTCATCTCCCAACAAGCGCCCGTCGTTCGTCGATCTCTGCCCAGTGACATCAAGCGCCCGTTGAAACTGGACCGGCTCCCAACAGCGCCAAACCTCTTGGACACTTGTACGGAGGAGGAGTACTCCGTACTATAGTGGTTTCATCCACCTCGGACACTAGGCAAGGGATTGGCTGAGGGAAAACAAAGCCCTGTTTATGGATATTCTTTGTAGTTATTTTCAGCTCTTAAGCGCCAGCCAACTTCCCACTTATTGTCATACCCTAGTTATAGGTAGGTACATACTTACTCAGGAGGGCGTTTTATTTGAGTGGGCGTTCCTCTTCTTCAGGGCTCCCACTGGTTTTTGTTGATTTTCGCTTTCCAGACCTTTTCTGATTGGTTCAGAGACAGGACTCGCCCTAAAAGGAAATAATTGACTATTCCTAGTCAGGAGTAGTGTGTGACGCCATGTGGGGGTGTGGCGGTGCTATGAATACCATTTCTCCACAATGACGTATATCTGTGGCTGGTATTAGGGTTCAGGGTCAGTCTCACGTGATAGCTGTGGCGCGGCATCCACGTCTGCCCAAAGAGGAAACCACTCTACGCGTGGGTCGCGTTCCCTACGCGTCGTGCCTCAGGCTCAGCTCCACGAAGAGAATTCAATCCATGATCAATAGCTAAATTATCCCGTTCATCACCCCTCGCTCCCTCCTCATAACCGCACTTCGATCTCTGGCGACATTCTTTTTTTTTTCATTTGCTCCTCAATTTTCCCCCCTTCTATCCTCTCTAGCTTAATTAAATTTGTCGGTCCTTCCCGACGCCCCATCTCCCGCAGATAGGACCGACTCGCCATGTCTTCTCCTGCTTCTTCTCGCCGTAGGGGTCGTCCGGCCAGGGACTCGGCCACCGCTTCACCAGCTCGCTCAACACGTTCCCAACAGCAACCATTAACAAGTAGCCCTTCTCAGTCCACTCCCCGCGCCTCCAGACGCATAAGAGGCGAGGCCGCCGTCCCCTCTTCTTCCCCGATGTTTTTCCAGTCTTCCCCAGTCAAGGGAAACAGCAGCAGCGCCGAGACCCCAGACGCCAGAATGGAGGAACCCAGCTCTCCCATCAGAGCCTCCTCTGCTATGGATGAGGGCGAAATGACGCCCCGTGGAAATGGTGCTGCCTTGAGAGGTAAGACGGCCAAAGCTACTTGCCTACGACTCAACTTTGGGTTGCTAAATACTTAGAACCAGATTCCTCTCCGATTCGATACGTCTCCAGCTCGAGTCCGTCCCGTACCCCCCGACAAGTGGGACGCTCAGACATTCCCAGCAGCAGCAGTGGTCTATTCGTTTCGTCTCGACAAGGATTGGACGCTCATCGTGTCGCCTCTCGCCGTAGTGACATTAATTCCGGTGGTTTTGGGTCGACTCCAAGCCGCAGGCGCAGGGTGTTTGTGGACGCCAATGGTATTCCCGCGACTGATGGGGAAATTCAGTCAGATGCAACATTCTCCAATATCCACCCAGACACCTCAGAGGCAGAGGCCATGGGCGGCAGCTCTACCCGTGTGATCTGGGGTACCAACATTTCCATTCAAGACTCCATGTCTGCGTTCAAAAACTTTCTCTACAACTTCACGACTAAGTACCGTCTCTGGGCTGATGGAGCAACCGAGGACGAAACGCGCATTATGGGGCAGATGGCCGAGGAAAAGGAGTATATCAAGATGCTGAACACAATGCGTCAACTTGGCGTCACCAGTCTGAATCTTGATGCAAAGAATCTGAAAGCATATCCCTCAACTCTGAAGCTGTGGCACCAGCTTCATGCATACCCCCAGGAAATCATTCCTCTAATGGATCAAACGGTCAAGGATGTTATGGTCGAATTGGCAATCAAGGAGGTGGAGAGGCTCCGTTCTCAGAGCCAGCGAAGCCAAAACAGTCAGCGAGACCTGAGTTCCGCTCCTGTCATTCCCAGCTCCGATGCCCTGAGCGAGTCCGGCAGGATGCCACAATCTGAGATCCCAGATCTTGTGACCGAAGCCGAAACAAAGACTTTCAAGGTTCTGCCGTTTGGCCTTGACTCCACCATCAATATGCGTGATCTTGATCCTGCTGGTACGCTGCACATTCTCTCCGGGAGCCATTCTATCAAGAAAACTGACTCGTTGCCTTAGATATGGATAAGCTGGTGAGTATCAAGGGCTTGGTCATCCGGGCTACGCCAATTATTCCCGACATGAAAGAAGGTTTGTGTCCGACTTGCACCCCAGGAATGATGACTGTCTCTTACTCTATGTCCCAGCTTTCTTCCGCTGTGAAAGGTGCCACCACTCCGTTCAGGTGGATATTGATCGTGGCAAGATTGCAGAGCCCACCATCTGCCCCCGTCCAGTATGCAATGAGAGAAATTCGATGCAAATCGTTCACAACCGTTGCATCTTCGCCGATAAGCAGGTCATCAAGCTACAGGAGACGCCTGACAGTATCCCTGATGGCCAAACACCTCATTCGGTTTCACTGTGTGTTTATGATGAATTGGTCGATGTCTGCAAAGCCGGTGATCGTGTTGAGGTAACAGGTATCTTCCGGTGCAACCCTGTGCGGGTGAACCCTCGCCAGCGAACACAGAAGAGCCTTTTCAAGACTTACGTCGATGTTTTGCATGTTCAAAAGATCGACCGCAAAAAATTAGGCATTGACGTCTCAACTGTCGAGCAGGAGTTGTCAGAGCAAGCCGCCGGTGATGCTGAGCAGATACGTAAAATCACAGCCGAGGAGGAGGAAAGGATTAGACGAACCTCCACTCGGCCTGACTTGTATGAGCTCCTTTCTCGATCGCTTGCCCCTAGCGTCTACGAGATGGACGATGTCAAGAAAGGTATCCTCCTCCAATTGTTCGGCGGCACCAACAAGTCGTTCCAGAAGGGTGGTAACCCACGCTACCGTGGTGACATCAACGTGCTTCTCTGTGGTGATCCCTCGACCTCCAAATCGCAACTTCTCCGGTACGTCCACAAAATCGCCCCTCGTGGTGTTTACACTAGCGGCAAGGGTTCTTCAGCCGTCGGTCTCACGGCTTATGTTACGCGTGATCCCGAAACCCGCCAAATGGTTCTGGAGTCCGGTGCTTTGGTTCTCTCCGATGGAGGCGTCTGCTGCATTGATGAATTCGACAAAATGAACGAATCCACGCGCTCCGTATTGCACGAAGTCATGGAGCAGCAGACTGTATCTATCGCCAAGGCCGGTATTATCACTACCCTGAATGCTAGAACAAGCATTTTAGCTTCCGCCAACCCTATTGGCAGCAAATACAACCCTAATCTCCCAGTTCCCCAGAACATCGATCTACCTCCTACCCTATTGTCTCGATTTGATTTGGTGTATCTTGTCCTCGACCGGGTAGACGAGCAAGAGGACCGTCGGTTGGCCAAGCATATTGTCAACATGTATCTAGAGGACCGACCCGAAAACGCCAGTGAACAGGAGATCTTGGTAAGTGGAATCCTTATTTGTTTGTTTTGTCGGCATCGCTAACATATTAATCTCCCAGCCCGTTGAATTTTTGACGGCTTATATCACATATGCCAAAACCAAGGTGCATCCTGTCCTGACGCCAGCCGCTGGCAAGGCATTGTCAGATGCGTACGTGAACATGCGCAAACTTGGTGATGATATCCGGTCGGCCGACCGCCGGATCACCGCAACCACTCGTCAGCTGGAATCCATGATCCGTCTGTCGGAAGCCCACGCGCGCATGCGACTATCTACGGAGGTGACTGCAGATGATGTTGACGAGGCCGTGCGTCTGATCCGGTCTGCCATCAAGCAGGCAGCCACGGATTCTCGGACAGGCTTGATTGATATGAGCTTGCTCACGGAGGGTACTAGTGCGAGCGAGAGGCGTAACAAGGAAGCTTTGAAGCGCGGAATCCTGGGGGTGGTTGATGAGCTAAGTGGCTCGGGTGGTGCTGCTCGCTGGGCAGAGGTCTACCGTGTTCTCAGCGATCAGGCCAGCTCCGGTGTGGACAATGGCCAATTCACCGATGCCGTTCGGGCCTTGGAGTCCGAGGGTGTCGTAAACATTCTAGGCGAAGGTTCCCGGCGGAGTATCCGCCGCGCAGCGGGCACGGTTGTGTAGGTTGGGGGGGGGGGGGGAGGCACGGATGTGATGAGATTATGAAGCGACGGAACTACATAATAGCATATATTGCAGCCAGCGATGAGCTGCACCGCGTGGATCAAATACTTGTGAGATGTCTGGTGTTGATGGCGCGGTTGGGTATTCGGAAAGACTTGATTGTACTTAGTAGTAACTAATGATTCCCATTTGTTTCGCCTTCAGCTTGTAGACATACTCCGTCCTTCGACTCGAGGATATATAACTAGAGTATTTAATAATGCTGTGCTTGGGATAATAGCACGTAGCTTTGCTCCTGTGGTGATAAAATGGAATATTTCTTGTTCTCCTACACACACTTGTACAGAGTATATTATCACTGATCCATGCTGCATGCATGCATGCCTTAGTGTTCATCGATATGCATGCCAGGTCTGCCAATCAGGAGGTGGGCGTCCCTTTATTATATATACTAGGTACTGGCAATCTGCAGGATACTCCATTATGGGTACTTTATACTCCGTAAACTGAGTGGATATTGCCCCAAAAATAAGGTATATATATATATATATCCGTGTATATATATCATATAGGTATACATCCCCACCACGTGCCCTGATCAAAGAGCAAGACTCGAGAGCAATAATAATCACATTTAGTGAATGAAACCTTATGAAACTGGAGGAATTCTGGCCTAAGAAGCACCCGCCGCAAACTGCAAGAGGGGAAAAAAATAATTCTCGCCTATACATATAAGATAAGTATGGAGTAGAAAAGGGAAGAAAAAAAGAAAAAAAAAAGAACAAGCCGAACGCGGGGGTCGAACCCGCAACCTTGAGATTAAGAGTCTCACGCTCTACCGATTGAGCTAGCCCGGCTTTGCGATGTAAGACCGAGGGAAATTTGCCTACATGAGCTGGAATAAGACTGATCTCAGCTGAGCTTGGGAGGTCTAGGCATTTTTTTCCGCCAGTCGGATGTACACCATACCATGGTTCTCATCCTCATACACTCGCCATCACACATTAGAGTTATCAGAATTCTCTCCCTTTTCCACCCAATTTCCCGTGATCGCTCCGGAAATACTCCGGTTGGACTAGTGCGTATGACTCAGCTTCCATTCCTGTTCAAATCTTTTGATCTTATTCGGTATGCCATGACATCCTCGCACTCGGTGATTGGATTCCCTCCCCACCTGCCGGTGCATTGGACTAGAATACTATTACGAGAGTAGTATGCTAGCGCTATTTTGCACCTGCTGAATCGAGTGGTTGAGGGGGTCCAATGTCTATACTAATATCCACTTGGCCAGCCGGGAAGTGGGTGGTGCTTCGGTTAACAGTTAACTGGTACAGCTCCAGAGTCTATGATGAGTGTACCTACAGCGTACTCCGTACTGAAGCCACAGAACACCTTGAAAGGATTGGGAAATACTTGCTGGATGCGAGGAGAGAATCAAAGGACTGGACTATGATTGTTCTATATCCCTACCTCCCTACTGGCACTACTCTTGTCTCTCGAAAATGTTGCATTCCAGCTGAAAATCCCGCCTGTTGCACGTGCCCGGAGTTTGCCGCCAGGCCCACCTGAGGCACCCATTATTTGTCTAGACTCCATCTGAGACTGAGTCCATCCAACTCCGTCCAACTCCATTCAACTCCAACCTCGCCAGAGCCGTCGTCGTTGGAGCTTTCCCCAACTAGCCTGGAAATCTGGACTTGAGAGATTCCGGACTTGGGAGTTGGGACCCCTCCATCCAGGACGACCACGATCTGAACCTCGAGGTATTTTTCCTTTTTTTCCTTTTTTTTTTTTTTTTTTTCTCCCTTCCCTTCCCATTTGCTAATCCCCGCCACCCAGTTGATTCCTCGGGTTTCACAATTCTCAAGAGCTTGCAAGGAAACCTTTTTCTCTTGCTTGCTGTAGTCTCTTCTCCTCTCCCTTCTCCTCACGGACCCTTGTCGACGATCGTGTGGCTCCATTCCAGCATTGTCCTATCTACCTTTTACCAGCCTGGTCTCTACCTCATTTATCCCTCCTCCCCTTTACGTTTTGATTAATTTTCTGTTTCCTGGCGCTGGAATTGCGGCTTACCGCACTCATCCATCATGAGGTAACTCCACGCGTAGCTCCTAACGCTACGGTCGCGATTTTACTGACAAGGAATCCTCCCTTCTCCTAGGTTTGGAGAGCATCTCCGATCATCTATGATCAAGGAGTACTACTGGTACTACATTAATTATGAAACTCTCAAGAAGGCCCTGAAGACGGGTTATGTCACTGAACCTACCCCCGACAACTCAAAACCCGACCGCAAGCCATGGACGGAGGATGATGAGAAACACTTTGTGACTATCCTGGAGAGCGAGCTTGACAAAGTCTTCAACTTCCAAAAAATCAAGAGCGACGAGATTGTCCGCCGTATCCAGGCCAGCGAGAAGGAAGTCAATGACGTGGTGTCGCGCCTTGACAGCTCTGGCCGCCCCAGTGCTCAGGCGCCCACCGACGAGGACTTCCTCTTGCTCGAGCAGGTATTGAGTGACATTATCGCCGATGTTCACGATCTGGCCAAGTTCACCCAATTGAATTACACCGGGTTCCAGAAGATCATCAAGAAGCATGATGTATGCCTCCCTTGCAATTCTACCTCGGATCAAGAAGATCGTGGCGTACTGACATTTTGAACCTAGAAAGAAACTGGTTGGCACCTCAAGCCGGTCTTTGCCGCTCGCCTCAATGCCAAACCTTTCTTCAAAGATAACTACGATGCCTTCGTAGTGAAGCTTTCTAAGCTCTACGACTTGGTCCGAACGAAGGGAAACCCCGTCAAGGGTGACTCGGCTGCCGGTGGCTCTCAACAAAACTTCGTCCGTCAAACCACCAAATATTGGGTTCACCCCGATAATATCACAGAGCTCAAGTTGATCATTCTTAAGGTAGGCGGACCCTCTCTGCGTCTTATCACAGTGCCTGGCACTAACCGGTGTAGCACCTTCCCGTTCTTGTCTTCAACCCGAGCAAAGAATTTGAAGAAGACGACTCGGCCATTTCCTCCATTTACTATGACAACCCCGAAACATGGGAGCTGTATATGGGCCGCCTGAAGAAAACTGAGGGAGCGGAGGCGATTCGTCTACGATGGTATGGTGGAATGGGCAGTGACCAGATCTTCGTAGAACGCAAGACCCATCGTGAGGATTGGACTGGAGAGAAGTCGGTCAAGGCGCGCTTCGCTCTCAAGGAGAAATACGTCAACGATTATCTTGCTGGTCGACTCACTGTGGATCGCATCTTCGAGAAAATGCGAAAGGAGGGAAAGAAGAGCGAAGCTGAAATCGCGGATCTGGAACGCCTGGCCCGCGAGATTCAGTACCGAGTGATTTCGCGAGGGCTCAAGCCTGTTACCCGATCTTTCTACCACCGAACTGCCTTCCAGCTCCCGGGGGATGCCAGAGTCCGTATCTCTCTCGACACCGAGCTTACAATGACGCGGGAGGATAATTTGGATGGCCGCCAAAGGACCGGGAACAACTGGCGCCGAATGGACATTGGAGTCGATTGGCCATTCTCCCAATTACCGCCTGACGATGTCGAGCGCTTTCCCTATGCCGTTTTAGAGGTGAAGCTCCAGACACAAGCCGGCCAGGAGCCACCACAGTGGATTCGGGACCTTGCCTCTAGCCATTTGGTTGAAGCGGTACCGAAGTACAGTAAATTCATCCACGGAACTGCCACTCTCTTCCCTGAGCGCATCCACCTCTTGCCATTCTGGATGCCGCAAATGGATGTTGATATCAGGAAGCCTGCGACACGCCCGTTTGGTATCCAGCGACCATTAACTAGCACATCCATGTCCGCCAACGAGACCCCCGAAGATGAGGAGGACTCTGATGATGAAGTGTCGGACGAAGCCCAAGCTAGCAATGGGGGAGCCCGTACTAGCCGCTTACCTCCCCCCGAGGCTGAACCGGATGCTTTGTTTGATGAAACGGATGGAAACGCGCTGGATATCGAGGAACGCATTGCGGCCCAGCCCTTGCCCGGTGATGAGGACTATCCTCTATACGACTCGGACGAAGAATACATGGACTCCGACGAGCTAGAGGAGGCGCGTCGGGTTGGTGGCAGGTATTACTATGAGCAGCTGGCTAAGTATTATGCTCAGAATTTTGCAACTGGGTTGATCACGGTGCTTAAGGCACTGATCCCTCGACCAAGACCGACAAATATGCCACCTCCTGAACAGCGAGGAATTGCCGTCATGGGCAATAAGCGGACGGTTAAGCGGTTTGTTGCTCCTAAGGGTAAACGTAAGTGCTAGCTTTTCACTTCACTAAGTCTATCTATGGTACCCCTCTAAAACGTATTCTAGGCATCCATGTCCCTGTCCGCGTCGAACCCAAGGTCTACTTCGCTGCCGAGCGCACATTCCTGTCTTGGCTTGAATTTTCTATCTTGCTGGGAACGATCGCCGCCACCCTCCTCAACTTCGGTGAGGATTACATCACTTTCGCCTGCTCCTGGGCCTTTACCATCCTTGCCGCAATTGCTCTCGTCTACAGTCTAATGCTGTACGTCTGGCGTGTCGACAAGATCCGCAAACGACGAGACGTCAAACGAGTCTACTACGAGAAATGGGGTCCCACTATCGTCGGCGTGGGCCTGGTTGCGATCATGCTGGCCAACTTCGGGCTCCGTATCCGACAATCAGGGTTTATGGCCAAGGACGGAGACTCTTCTGGTGACCTGCGCGGAGGCGAGCTCTGATACTGTCTATCTGTCTAGGGCGTGTTGTGTTTATTTTGGACTTTGTGAGCTCCGAGCTGCAAGCTTCGAATTCGAAAAATGCTTTTAGAGGCGGCTTTCTCTCGTTCTCTTTCCCTTTTTTTCTTTTTCTTTTTCTTTTTTTTTTTTTCTCCCCTCTCTGTACAATGCTCAAAGTGAGATTGTCCTGGGTAGAGGTTGTGATTGATTGATGATCTGTATAAAACCATGGCTCTGTTCAACTTGAAGTTCTGTCATCCCCCCTGTGCAGTTCTTATTGTTATGATTATTGCATGCGATTGGTCTCTTTGGTTTTCTTTTTTGTACTGGATACGTCTTTTGTCTTGAATAATGAAATGATAGTTGAGTTCGTATTACATAAAACTTATATGGTCTCTTCCCATCCCATGTAGGGTATGATATGATGTATATAGGCTACAGCGTTTTCAAAACAATATATTTATTCACAATTGTACCATGACCGATGTGGGTAGTAGGTAGGTGTTCGCGGATCAATATTCAAAGTCATCATCCACAGCTGCCTTGCCCGCACTCTCCTGTGTGACGGCCTCTTGCTTGCGATACATTTCCGCGACGGCTCTTGTCGTCGTCGCCTGCTCGGGCTTCTTATCATCTCTTGATTTGATGAACCGAGGGAACCGCAGCGAAACACCTTTGCCTCCGCCCGTTGTGCCTACGAACTCGTCGGCAGCAGCCTTGTACCGCGGACTGAGGGTGAGATCTGCCGTTTTGACTTCCCAGACGAGTCGAGGCTCGAACCACACGTCTGGTTGGTCCTTGGGGACCGTGGAGTGGGAGTAGAATGGCTTTGGTCTGTCGATGGTAAGTTGGGAGAGGGTGTTGTAGAGGTCTTCGAGGAGGGCTTCGGAGAAGCCCGTGCCGATGTTGCAGATTGTTTCGTAGGTTTGCGTGCTGTTGTTGTAGGCGGCGAGGAGGAAGGCGCCGTAGACTGAAGTGCGCTTACCTCTGCCGTGGTAGGCGCCTAGGACGACGAGGTCGAGGGAGTCGCCGATTCCGGCGAGGTAGTCCTTTTTCACCTGTTTTTGTGGTGTTAGTTTTTTTTTTTTTTTTTTGGATGTGATTGATAACGAGAGAAATATGGGAGGGCAGGACGTGCCTTGAGCCAGTTTCGACTGCGTTTACTGGGTTCGTAGCCGCTCTCTTCTGTGTCCAGCATTTTGACCATCAGCCCTTCGCACGATGCTTTGACGCTCTCATCGAGAAGGTTCTGGATCTCGTCTACAACGTTTGTGTTGCCGAACTGGGCGAATTGGAACTCCCCTTCCATTACTTGGAAGGATTGGTGTAATAGTTCCCGGCGTTCTCGAAGTGATTTCTTAACTGTGGGCTGTGGTTGGGATTAGTATGACTATTGTTGGAGGATAATAGATGAATTGAACATACCTCTCCGTTCAAGAACAGAATGTCGAAAGCAAATACACAGACTTTGACTTTGACATCCTCTGCCTTCACGTCTTTTCTTTTGCGGGTCATAAGCTGTTGGAAAGGTAGAACCTTCTTGTTTTCGGTATCCCAGGCCACAGTTTCACAGTCCAACACAAAGCTCTTCACATCAGATTTGATCCACGTGTTAAGCTTAGCTAGAACATCAGGATATTTCTTGGATAGGTCCTCGGAATTACGAGAAAAGATGGCAGAAAGTCCAGTACCGTCCTTTTGTAACGTGAGCTCTGCCCCTGGGTAGTGGTGCGTGGCGTCGGGCGCAACAAAATGAATTTGAGCTCTCTCGCCATCATACTTGTATTCACACGTAAAGTCTCGCCCCTCAAACCGGTCGAGCACTTCGGTGATGGACTTGGTTGGCTTAGCAAGCATGGGCTTGATGGGAATACCAGGCTGTAGCTTGCAATGTTGTCGCAAATCGAATAAGCCATGCTCAAGCATGGTCGGAACAATGACTTCGTATGCGGGGAGCTCGCTGTAAACAGTCTTCAATACCGCCTCTCCCTCTGCGAGCTTTTCGGCAGAAGGAGCTTTGTCGCCCTTCATAACGGCTTCATGTGTAACGACTGCTTGGGCAAGGGCAACAAGAACCGTCTTCTCCGCCAACCCGAGTCGTAGTTTGCCTTCTAAAAAGCGAACAATATACTTGGCTTCGCTTGGACCTCCCTTATCTTTGGTAATATCGATGCCCTTACTTCCCTTTCCAGTAGTTGCCGCATCGGCAGCAGACAGCAGCTTCTTGATCCCCGAAATTTTCTTCTCTTGAGAGCCATGGCCTTGAACTTTGGCAATGGCAAGCAGGCCTTCATGCACTCCTCGGACTGTTAGCGGTTTTGGTTTGAACATCGTAGGCTGATTTGACCTGCTCTTAGCAGCGACTAAGCCTAGGTCGCCTATCTCATGCTGATCTGACTTGATCACCGCGAGACTACGGCCAGTGCTTTCACCAATGGCCTTCATGATTAAGGACTCGCCAATTCCCAGTTCAATACCGGCATAATCGGCAGCTAGCTTGTTGATCATAAGTTGGACCGTTGGGAGAAGGTCTTGAGGGGTGAGACGAAGAACTTGTTGGAGGAAACGGGAACAGTGGGCGAGAATTATTAGCCGTTTCGTGGTCATCTCGACTAGCGAAAAGGTAGTGCATAATGCTGCGTATGGAACAGGATCACCAGCCTTCCAGTCGGGGTAAGGATCATTCCCGCTTCCTTTCAAAGTGGCCTGCACTTTCTCAATCTCTTTTTTCTTTAGCTCCGGTTTTTCCTCTGCCTCGTGTTCGCTTGCGGACATTCCTTCCTCTACCTCTGAGTATTCTGCGTCTTCTGGGGTTTCCTCGCCCGACGCCTTGATCATAATTACAGGCGGTGATGCTGCTCTGACCGGCGAGTTTCGGGATTTGGATTTCTTGGGTGAGGGCGTAGATTCTGGGTTTTCAATAGGGGCTGCCTTTGCAGTGCTAGAGGTCTTTCGTCGCCTTTTGCGACTGGGTTGGACAACATCGCTTCCGTCACTATCACTTGCTTCCTCACTTTTCTCTCTTTTGAAGGATTTATCGCCTTCGCTGTCATTGTTATTGGCTACCTCGGGGTTAGTTTCTTGAACGTCTTTCGTATCAACATCGTTGCTGCTCTTCTTGTCGCTGGACTTATTCCTTCCCCCACCGAAAGAAAGAGTCGTTTGCTTCTTTGGCGCATCAGAAGTCGAGCCAAAAAACCTCCTAGAGATGGATGTTACGTTGTGTCAGCAGCTGATACCAGATATACCCCAAGGTGAGCCTGGGCCACAGTCGGGCAAGACTGTACGACGCACCCAAGAGTCAATTGGGAGTCCTTCACATACCCCAGAGTAACCTGCTTCCCGTCCTTTGAACCTGGCATTTTGACAAGCGGCGCTGAAACGGGATGAAAGGCGTTGGGTATGAAGCTGCTCAATTGGCGTCGATAATACACAAGCTGTCTCTCCTGCGAGTGCTGGAGATGACGTGCGGCACGTGGACGATTTGGACAAAGACAGAATGCGATTGAAATGGCGTTGTTCGAAGTTGATTTTCTGGTTAATGGTATTCGGTAGCGGACGAGAGGCGCTAGTGTAGTTGCGGAGCTATGTGATTGAGGCATAGACTCCTTAATATAGGTGAGCATACAAGACCATTAACAAGCGCCCTTAGAGCTTTTGAAGCTGCTCATCGAATTGGATTGCTGTGCGCCGAGTGCCTGGCTGGATGAGTGCCTGGTGTAGGCTGTAGCTGCTGCTGACGCCTGGAAAGTTGGAACGCGACGTTGACGCGAGGCTAAATGAGATCACGTGTAGTATATCGATAAGAAAGGTCTCGCTTGGGAGTCGCTTGGGTTCTTGTACATGGAAAGTTACAAGACAGGCGCTTCTGGAACTGGCATTAAGCTGTCTTACTAGGGTCTATCTATCCAGACGTAGCTCGATTCTGGGGAATTTTAACTGTCTGATATTCGGCGTGAAGTTCCAGAACGATAAACGGAGTACAGCATCATATCAAACAGTGCAAACATACCGACACCGCCTGAAAATAACAGCAGAAAATGCGGGCAAAGGGCGGTGAGGGCGATGGAGATGACGGGGGGGACGTTTTCCATCCCGATGCTTCTTCCATCAGCTCTCTAGCTTTTTGGTTGGCCGATAATACTTTCAAAGGGCTGGGTTTCCAATGATTATGCTATGGGCCAGATGGGAAGCGCATTTGGTACTACTTTAGCATCCCAACACTGCATGTGTTAGTACATACTAGTCCAGATGGAGAGCTCACGACAGGAAGCTTTCAGAAAGGTATTCCTTTGGTTTGAGCGTGTGAAAGAATGGAACTAATTGGATTCGCAGCTTCGGGAGCCGTGTGTTGAATTAAGCTCTATTGGGCTCAAGTTTCGTGGCCACCAGGCGACCCCCACTGATGTCCTGAAAGCACTTGGTGCGGTACATAAAGTCTTGGATGAACTGGCTGGGAAAGATCTGTTGGACGAGAAGCTCGCTGAATACGCATTTTTCCCTCTAGCCCATATATTTAACGAGTCTAAGAGAGCTCCGGTTAATGTCCTGGAATTGGCTGTCAATTGCCTCCGCATTCTCGTTGCTGAAGGATGGAAGGCACGTCTGTCTCCCCAAATGGGGAAGCAACTGATAATCCTTTTGACTTTAATCGTCGGCGGCACGCCGGGTAATGTTTCTGCGGGCCAAATTTGTCGTCAGAAGTCCATCGAGTTGGAGATTGCTGGATTCTCTTGCCTTTCAGCGATCTTCGATGTACTGACTGGGCCCACTGCGGAAGCGACAATCTTCCACGAGATTGGTACCGCAACAGTTGTTGACCAAACTGTGTATATATTACTCGAGGCAATTTCAGGGGATAGTTCGGATGAGCTTTGTGTCTCTGCTGCTCAAGCGCTTCAGGCTCTTTATCGTCGTGTTACCGACCGGGTTGTCCTTGCCAGCATAATGCCTCGGACTGTTTCCGCCTTGACTAAAGTGCTAAAACCAACTACTCAAGTCCGACGCTCATATAAACTGATAAGTATATGCTTGGATATACTTAACGAGATGTTGAGAATGGTTCTAAACGACCGGGACAATGCACATCTTCCAGAGAAAGCTACCCAACCCCAGAAAGCTGATGAGCGGCTTGTGCTTGATGAGTCCTGGTTGAAAGCTACGGCTACTCAGATTAAGCTCGCCCTTACGAATGTCATTCAACTCAGGCGCCATGAACGACTGGAGGTTCAAGGGGCTCTTTTGAAACTATGCATTATGGTCGTAGAGGAATGCCGCACTACCTTGCAGGATTCAATACCTATTTTGATTGAGACAGTGGTAGTATTGGCGGACCTTGATGAAAACCAGATACCGAATAATGCGTACTCGTCCCTTAAATATTTAGCAACTACCTACCCAGTAGTGCTGGATTCTCTCAAAACTTCTCTCCATACCTGGCTGATGGCCTTCCCAAGGACGATGCAAAATAATGATGAAATGGCAAAACAATGGGCAATAAAGCAAATATCAACTGTCTTTCAGATGCTGTCAGGGATTCAGTCCGGCTCCGACCTTCTCACCAGTAACCTGACGGCTGGACTATGTGACAGTGTTGCTGTCATTGTCAACCACGCGACCAGCACTCTCCAGCCACTAAACTCAGATCCGACTAATGACCAAACTATGGAGGCTCTTCATTCTGGAAACAAGTCTGTTTCATTTTCACCAGTGCTTTTGGACCATAGAAGTCAGCAGCAGACTCTGAAAGATCTCGAGATTATGATCACAAAACTGAACACCTCTGAACCAGGAAGTGATATTACGCGTTTGCTCATCAACAGACTCCATCAGGAGCGAGGAAATTCGATTATTGCCCCTTTGTGGTTGGCTATGGCATTTCTTAAAAGTAGCTCGCAGTTTACGAGCACCTTCGACGACTTTATTTCTTTGGACCAGCTTGAGCCTTCACGTCCATACTCCACGAGGAGTAATATGGTAGAGGAGCTTTACTATGTGTCATTGCCGATTTTGAATGAACCGATGCCAGATGAGTCTAGAGATTGGAGGATCTCAGCGCTTGCCTTGGAAGCTATTGCGCTCCAGGCCGGTGAGCTTCGGGAAGCATTTCGCCCTGAGTTGATGGATGCCTTGTATCCTGTTCTCCAGCTGTTAGCATCCAGCAACCCTAGCGTTCAGAAACATGCCATGGCGTGTCTTAATATTCTCACACAAGCGTGCAATTACAAGGACACTGGTACTATGATCATCGAGAATGTTGATTACCTTGTGAATTCCGTCGCATTGAAGCTAAACACTTTCGATGTGTCGCCCTATCCGCCCCAAGTTCTTTTGATGATGGTCAAATTGTGCGGTGCGCCATTAGTTCCTTATCTGGATGACCTAGTAGACTCGATTTTCGGAATCCTAGACCTGTATCACGGATACCCGAAACTAGTCGAACTGATGTTCAAGACGTTAGCGGCTATAGTGGAGGAGAGCACAAAGAACCCGTCCCTCCTGGCAATTGAATATGGAGAAGATGGAAAAGCTTCTGATCACCTTAAAAAGAAGTATGAACGTCTGCAGATTTCAACGCTTGCGGAAGATCTCGCACGTCGAAAGGCAAAGCGTGTAGAGTATTCATCTTTGATAGAGGAAGATGAAAAGGTGTCGCATCCGACTCGGCCTTGGGTCGAAGAACGACAGAAGAAAGAGCAAGATATCGAAGTCCCTGAAGACCCTCTTGCAGATTTATTCGGTAAAGATGAGTCGGATGAGCCTTTACCGCCTCCTCGTGAACCTGAAGACGGCGAGAAACCTTTGAGCAAACCACATTCACTGCTTCTTCATATTGTGAAATCTATACCATCTCATTTATCCTCACCGTCTCCATACCTTCGTCGATCCTTGCTTTCGATTCTGGCCAATGTTCTGCCCGTCCTTGCAGCCGATGGGAACAGCTTCTTGCCGCTTTTAAATGACTTGTGGCCGGCTGTGGTGTCTAGAATCAGCTTCCCTTCGTCATTTGGTCCATCATCATCTTCAGCTGCTCTTATTCGGGGTGATACCTCTAGTAATATGACTGACCATTCCAAAAATGGAATTTACGAATTCAATTCCCAGGAAGAGACATTCGTCACTACGACAGCATGCAAAGCCGTCGAGCTTATGGCCCAGAATGCGGGCGATTTCATGGCATCCAGAGTTGAAAACGAGTTTCCACGCTGGGAGCGATTGTATAATCGGGCCTGGGAGAAAGTTCGCCAAGATGCAGACAAAGTTGTTGAAAGACGAAACCAACATGCGAAAAATATTACCCTCCGTAGCGAAATGGGAGAAGGAACGCCGGAGACATCCTTCACAACAGAATTCATCCAATCCTTATCCCTTACAAAAGCTGGTTCTGCCTCTGGGTCGCGCGCATTCACACCCCACCATAACCTCTGGAGAGCTTTCATCTCGTTGTTTCTGACCCTCCTCACGCACGTCCGCCTCCCCTTATCTGTAGGTGATAGAATATGTGAACTTCTCGGGGAGTGGATATCTCGATATGCAGGAGCAACATCCTACTTTTCCCAGTTGGAGACCTTGCCAGAAGACACAAAACAGATCGTGGAACAGGATACGCGATCGGAAGCCGAATCAGTTCAGAACGTCCTCCGGGCTATGGAGACCTGGAATCCTGATTTAACGTGGTTCATCTTCCAGGAACAGAAGATTCGCTTTCTTGATTCTATGGCAGGCACACAGGAGAACAGAACATCAGGACGGCATCTGAATCGTCATGGCGCTTTAACATCATTGAGTTTCGCTGGGGGGAAGCTCGGTTTTGCGGAGATGGTTTTCTAGAGAGGGTATATTTAGGATGGGTAGGTAATAAAACCTATATGTACTTACTGTATATACTCCATGAAGACGAATATCATTGATGAAGGTCGGTGTACCTACTTGAAACCCACCCCCTCCTTGATTCCTCTAGTGCGGAAACTTGAATATAAGCAAGAGCATTCTACATATTACCAACGAGCAAGTTTACGGTTGAAGCAGAGATTGTTATTGAAAACTAGAAGGCTATAACCACTTTTGTTTTTTTGGGGGGGGGGGGGGGGATTTGGTCCAAATTAGAATCAACAACAAACAACAATAATAATAATCTGGTACTTGTGTTGATTATTTTAAAGGAGTGGCGATGGTGGGAACAACAATAGAAAAGACCTGAAATATCTCCTAAAAGAGAAGAGCAAGCTGGTAAATCAAGACGAAGCCGATGATTTACTCATCGTCTTCTTCGCTCTCATCCTCACTCTCAGCGTTTTCAAGCCACTGGAGGAAAGGCTCGGCGGCCTTGCGGACCTTCTTGCTGGTCGAAATGTCAACATATTTCTTGTTGGCCTTCGAGCACCAAGCCTTGAGCGATTCCTCAGAGATGATGTCGTTCTGGTAGTAGTTGAGCAGGATGGCGGGGACCTGAGAAATGAGTTCAGGGTGATCCTTGCCGACAAAGCGCTCGGTACCACCAAGGAAGGCCTTCTCGTGGCGCTCAGAGGTTATCATCTTCGTAAGCAGAGGGGCACGGGCCTCAATCTGCTTGACAATTGTCTCGTCAAAGATGGTTTGAGCAAGGACAGCCAAAGTCTTGTGCTTGGCTTCAATGCCGTATTCCTTGGCCTTCATGTAAATATCCACATCGCTGACAGCGGCAATACCGCCCTTCTCCTCGGCAGTCTTGATAATCCAGCTACCAAGTTCATCGTAAGCAGAGGGACCATCAACGCCATCGTCATCGCCCTCTTCTAGGACGAGAGAGCGCTTCAAATCGTCAGGAAGCTCCTTGGCACGGGCACGGACAGCCGCTTCCGAGACATCCACGGTCCACTCCACCTCCTCGGGGTCCTCGTCTGCTTCGATACCCTTGGCCTCAGATTTGATGCGACGAGTGAGTTCATCATCACTGTTAGCCTCCAGAGCAACGTCGCCATTCTCGCCATCACCGTTGTCAGAGTTACTGTCTCCTGGGCTGCCGTCTTTGTCTCCATTCGCCGTGGCGTCCTTGTCCTTGTTCCGTCGGGATTTCTTGGAAGCCTTGTCCTTCTTACCCCCCTTGGTTGAGGTATGGTTTCGTAGGATGAAAGTGCTCAACTTGAGGCGGGAATCGACGTCTGTGCGTTGTCCACAGGCCTTGCAGGCCAGGACGATCTTGTCATCCTTGATGATGACGTCGGTTTCCGGGTTCTTGCATTTCTTGCAAAGAACGAACTTGGAAATGAACCCGTCGAGGTAATCTTGAAGTTTAGCAGCATCATGGGCACCGTTGATGATCCAGCGGTCATCAGTAGGTTTGGCATTGGCTTGAGCACCAAGTTCAAATCCAAAGTACTTGATGACATAGGCGGGGGGGCGGCTCAGAGACTGGGCAACCGAGTTCAAGTTGACGACCACAGTCTTGATGCCGTTACCCTTGCCTTCAATCTTGGACTGGAGGCGCTCCATCTTGTAACGGTAAAATGGATCGGGTTCATCCCGACGAATGTTGATAGTAGCCATGATGGTGGGGGTGGGGGTGGTGGTAACAGATTACGCCGAACGTAATTCACAAAGAAATTCGACTAGGTAGGACGCGGGAGGGATTCTGGACGAAGGATATATTTTTGAAGAAACAAGACATGCGTCTCGAATTTTCTCAATAGTGAGGAAATGGTGGCGGTTGTCGGAGCAGAACGACTAGTACAGCGAATAGGGCGGCCCAACGGTCTCAGCCACAGGACTTTGAGTAGTAACTACAAGGTTTCGGTATGGAGCGAAACGATTGCAGCTTGAGCGGCAGGTGGTGTTCGAAATCTCTGACGGAGGACGAATACATAGACAGCTTGGCGAACGACTCTTAATTCAGTGGCTTTCTCTGGCAGGAGAAGAGAGAGAAACCAGCGGGTGGTTCTGCTTCTGGTACGAGGGAAAAGAGGACAAGAAGTCAGATTTCTGGAACACTTGGATGAAGGACTGCTGGCTGGGCTGATGAAAACTAACCAGAGGAATAAATTTAGAGCTGAAAATCCACGGGTGATCTCAGCAGCTCCGAAAAATGGCTCTGATGATGAGTTCAGGATGAAGTTGGGAAAATGGGAAGTTGGAAAGTAGTGGGTGGAAGAAGAAGAGAGAAAGAGAAAGAGAAAGAGAGAGAAAGAAAGAAAGAAAGAGGAGACAAACAAAAGGGACGGACTGGGAAAAAAAAAAAAAAAAAAAAAAAAGAGGCCGGATGAGTCAGCACGACATCCGAGTTTCCGGTTCGGAGTAACTTTCCCCATCTATTTATCATATAAATATCCCAGGCATTTCTAACTCGAGCTTCTTATTCTGTCTTGACAATCTGCCCGGGGACAGATCATAACACAAAATCCATTGTGGCAACCTCTGAGGCAGTGGTGAAATGCAGCCTGCCGGCATTTGGATTGGGAACTTTGCCCACAGCTTGAATGAAAGCCATTATCAACTCTCTATTCCACCGGAATATGCTCAGGGCCTCAGGCAACGACTCCAAGGTTCCCCGCATCTGGCCGGTTTTCCCCGCGGAATATAAGAGCCTGATCTTCTGCTTCTCTTCTCTTCCTTTCACCTAACTGATTCTCTTGACACTTCTTCCCACCGGTATATCTACGCTATCATAACAAAATGGCATCTATTTCCAGAGCTTGTCGCATCCGTATGCCCTCCCTCCAACTATAACTATGATCAAGAATGAATGAAGAAGACACTGACAAATAACTGGAACCACCACAGGTAACCCAGCTTTATTGTACTATTCCCCCCGTAACCCAAATCAATCCATCAAGAAGCCAGAAAAAAAAAAAAACACTAACAAAACCCAACAAACAGCATATGCGACATCCAAGAAAAATTCAGCCCGATCATCTATGAATTCCCGAAAATGTACCCAACAACACCTATTCAGGGGGGTTTCTTTTCTCTCGACTCTAAATTAAAAAAAAAAAAAAAGGGGGGGGGGGGGGGGGGGGGCTTATAAGAAGCTAACAAGAAATATATATATATATAATAGAGTCACAACAACAATCAAACTCCTCCAAGCATCCAAACCCCTAAACCTCCCCGTCTACATCACAACCCAGAACCGTACCCGGCTAGGCCCCACGGTCTCTTCCCTGCAAAGCCACATCGCGGGCTCGAACGTGCGCGCGGACGTGGACAAAACGCTCTTCTCGATGATAACGCCGGAGATTGACGCGTTGCTGCCGAGGGTAGGCGGTGCGGGAGAGGAAGGCCTGGATGTGGTTCTCGTGGGGATTGAAGCGCATATCTGCGTTACGCAGACGACGCTGGATCTGCTGGAGCGCGGACATCGAGTGTATTTGGTGGTGGATGGGGTGAGTAGCGTTAATGCGGAGGAAAGGGGGGTGGCGTTGGCGCGGTTGCGCGATGCCGGGGCGATTGTGACGACGAGCGAGAGTATTCTGTTTGAGATTTTGGGGGATGCAGGACATGCGCAGTTCAAGGCTATTAGTGGGTTGGTGAAGGAGACGAAGAAGGAGACGAAGGAGGCTTTGGAGGTGCTTTCAAAAATTTAATCAGTTGAATTGAGAAAAAAAATTTTTTGGATTTAGAATTTATAAGTAAGGGAGTACGAGTAACTAATGGGATGGATGTTACTGATTGATACTTCTGTGATTTACTACGCTAAGAAGCCAGCTACCGCATAGTACAGCTATGTGTGATGATGTCGGTGGATGCGAGGAACAGGATTTACGAACAGTCATCCAAAACTTTTTTTTTGACATGCGGCCGAAACACTGCCTTTTTGCCTCATGGGGGATTCTTCAGGTGCGTGATGATGGCCTGATATATTTCATTCAGGCCCCCATTGCTGTCCTGGCTAGAGTCTCTCACGATGAATTCAGCCAGGGAAATGCAGAAGCGCCGCCAATTGGGTTGGGGGCTAGCTGCTTTCCTGTCCGGCTGCCATCAGGCGATGTGACCGCGGACGTAGGTTGCGAAAATGACGGACCTATGTTTTCCACACTCGAGCTACCAGATCCGGTGGTGACCGGCGGCGTTCGGGTTGTTGACGGTTTGGAAGGGCGCAGCACTTTCATCGTACGTCCCCGAGAGGGTTTCCCCGCTCCAGGGGCGTTCGGGTCAAATTTTGCGTCACGCTTCCACGAGCCCCATACCCCAGCTGGCTCTGCCTTGGAGACACCTCCTGGCTGCGTGTCAGATGCGACAGCAGGCTTGACATGAGCTTGGGAGCCATCTGATTCCTTGGGAAGTTCTTGAGTATCTGAGAAACGAGCGACTTGAAGGTCTTCCGGGCCTTCAATGGAATTTCGGACCGAAGAGGGCGCAGAGGTGGACGGTAGAGGAACGTTCGTGGGCTTGCTGATGACACCAACAGCCGAATGCCCGTTTATATTAGCACGCTCGTCTTTCGATTCAGGAACCTGGCCCGTGAAATCTGATCGTGCTGCTCTTGATCCCGTTTGTAAATTCTTGAATACAGAGTCGTCTTCAGGTCGTACCAGAGGGATAGAGATCTTATTCTTCTCGTCATCCACCATGATGATCTTGTCCTGTGAGAAGAGGATGTCGGCATTATGGGAGCGGAGGATGTCACTTCCAAGAATGATTTGGATAGAGTTGTCATTGGGATCAACCGGACGAACAAGAAATCGAATGGTCAAAGTAGGAACCTGAGGCATTGGGCTATTGGAACGTGACGACGCTTGGTGAACGCTGGCTTCAGGCAGATACATTGGCAGCTTGATGAACTGGAAGTCCCCGTCCCGCACCAAGTGGTCTTCAAGTCCGAGCTTTTGGATCATTGGATACCCGAGCAAAGATGTATATGATCCAGAGCAGACCGCCGCATAGAGAAGGGAGTCGTTGGAGAAGTTCGTGGTCAGCCAGCACCGGATAATCGCTGGCACAGGGCCGAGAAGGAATAAACCAGGAGGGGGAACGAGAGGCGAATCGCTCATTATGGAGCTCATCATCCTACTTGTCGTTTCCAGCCCCAGACTGTTGGTTCGGACTGAGTGATGAGAATGGCCCGAGGAACTTTGCCTCCCATCGGACCGGTGCGACCAGGATCGTTCGGTGAGAGGAAGGCACCCCATACCACTCCCGGTCCTTAGGGGCAGCTCGCTGCTCGATCGGTTGGTCTGTCCATAATACCCGTGAATGGCACTCTCATCAAATCGAACACTATTAGCTCGGGATGTCCCCCGTCTTGGTTCGTCTTCGTTCTCTAAACCCATGTTTGCCACCCCGCTGTGATGTTGCCCTTGGTCGAATCCCTTGAATGCGTCGGCGGGAGAATGAAACACAGCTTCTGTAGGTTTGACGGGAGAGGATTAGCCAGCACTTTTAATATTCAATCTAGAGCAATAACATACCTGTGGGCAATACTGTGCCCGCAACAGAACTTGGAAAAGGTGACAAAGGGCCCCAGACACTTCTCAACCTTGCATCCTCGTCTCTGCGTCGCTCAAGCCGCGCAATCCGTTCTGCCTGATCGTACTGCGTGGCGTGGAGCTCCTTTAACTCTTCAAAAACGCGCCAAATATCGTCGCGTGAGGCAAAAGGATACTGAGCATCCATATCCGAGTGAAAGAGACGGGTCAGAGCGCTGGGTTAACAGGCGGCGGGTTTCACAAAAATGTTAAAAGAGAGAGAGAGAGAGAGAGAGAGAGAGAGAGAGGGCAGAATCTCAGGCTTGCGTAGGTAACAGGAACTCGATTCCAATCCAGGGTAGTATCCTCCACAACTTTTACCCCAAGTTGTAGCCAGCCCACTTTCCCACTAGACTCCTCCTCCCTCGTACTGTGAGCCGGCCGAACGGCCGTCCACCCGATTTACTATGAATGAGGATGTGTGAATTTGCTCAGATCAATATATATCGCGGGAGAGAAGGGCTGGAAAATAAGGAGGGTGCTCGGCAGCAAGGTTGTCTAAGGCGGAAGAGAAGGCTTGAGGGGATACGAATATAGTGGATAGAGGTGTTAATTTTCCGGCGCAGCGGAGGTTGCGAATATATAGGACCTGTCTAGAGCAGAGCCGGAGTAATTACTTGAAAGATAGTTAAAGGAGCAGTGATGACAGAGATCTCGTGGAGTGTGGAGTAACACAGAGACCAAAGGACGACGTGCAGCGGTGGAGGCGGAGAGGATGTCGGGACGAGGCAAGAGCGAAGTGGAAGGCGAATAGCAGTTGGAAGATGGAGAACAGATGTGTATTTGGATGAAAAGTAGATAAAATAAGTCGAAGAAGAGAAAGAAAGAAAGATCGTGATCGTTGTCGTTGTCGTTGATATCGTTGTCGTCGTCGGAGTATTAAGTGGTTGGAGGGATGGAACTGCCTATATTGGTTGGATCTAGACCGCTTTCGTGACTTGACAGTCGATCCAGATTATGAATGAATGAATGAATGAATAGATAAGTGAATACAAATGGAAATTGAGGTCTAAATTTGAACACTATTCATTTATATATATAATTCTGTTTCCTTTTCCTGCTTATTTTGGAGCCTCAACCCAAGGAGGAAATACCATGGAAAGCTTTCTTGGTGCTTGATCGGGGAAATTCTTATCTATGGCCTCAATGACGGCATCATAGACAATGCGGTACCCGTCCGCCGTGAGATGCAGTCCTTTTAGAAGTCAGTCAGTTTCCGCCCTCCGCTTCAAGGGATACAGCACGCACCGTCCGTGAAGAGACTCGCGAATTTCTCGTGGTTTGGCGCTTCCCTCGATCCGGTCAGAGGCTCTCCCTCCTTCCAGCCGACTGCCGTCATCATAGCTCTCCAGATGTCGACTACAGGAACTCCCAGGGATTCACCGACCTCCCGGGCAGCCTCCGCATATGCCTTCACCTGACGGTTTGTGCGGGTTGGGTGGACATTGCCCTTAGCCAGGTCGAATTCCTCCAGCTGATACTCGTTCAACGGAGGCGGGGTAATGAGGAGAATTCGGGGGTTCTGAGCAACCGTCGCGGGATGTTGGATAATCCATTTCAAGTTCTTTTTATAAACATCCAATGGGATATGTTGGTTGTTGCTGGACTCGAGGAGGGATGCATCGTTGGCCCCGAACCAAATTGTCTACCTCAGGAGTGAGTATATCTATCTATCTCTCCTGGCCGACTCCTTCACGAAGAATGATGGAGCAAGGAAGAAATACCAGAAATCGGACTGTAGCTATTTCGGGGACAGGAAAGAACTTCTCAAACACCTTGACAGCATGCCCGGTGTTATATCCACTACCGTCGGAATCGAGGAGTGATTGTCAGTGAAGTCGTGACACTGGGCTAGGAATTCGCAAGTCAACGTACCCGAACCCGCGGTTGATCACATCCAGAACTCGAGAGTAGGCTACACAAGAGGAACCCGATCAGTCCGTGCGTACATCCGGCACGACAAACAATAATAAGAAAAATAAAACCCACCGTCTTGTAATGCTGGTTGAAACCCGAAGCCCATCTCCTGGCTAGAGGACATTTGGGTGATGGAATCCCCGAAGAGGATGAACTGATCATAGGGTTTGTACAAGGGGCGTTCCATGATGGACGATATATTGCGCAAGAATCTCAAATTGGTTGCTTTGCGAATAGACAAACAGTACTATATATATAATAAAATAAAAATAATAGATAATGCATGGAAGGCGAGGGTATTATGGAGGGGAAAAGAGACGTTGTATAGCCTATAGGAGAAATTCTCCAGCGAGATCCCCGCGCTAAGTGGAAACGCTCCAACAAACTACGCTCTTTTCTTCTGGATTTTACACCAACCAGATTGCTCTCAATTAGTTAATTATAATCACGTCCAGATCTTCTGTTTATAAAACGATCCTAGTATTATTGCATTGAAGATTATATAGATCCATTTAAGCTCTCTCTAGGGAAGCAGAGTATATTCTAGGATGGATTTGTCGACATACTATACATATGTTATATATACTATGAATAGCACACTCTAATGAGCTATGGCAATGCAACCTGCATGCAAGGTTAGGTAGTAGTGCGCTATATATCCCTGAAACACTTCCTATACCATGAGTCCATGGTTTCTGGGTTAGCCTTCTCAGTCGATGGCAAGTATTTGATTCTTCAGCTCACTGGGATGGATTCTATTGGGACAAACCCCTAAATGTCTATCTAGGCCCCTTCTGTTAGAAATGCAACAGCTGTCAAGGATATGACTGTAGTAGGTACATCTTCAGCGGTATAAATACCCAAGACCGGCTGGGCCATGGGAGTTTCCCTTCTGAAAGGTAAGACATTTACAACCCAGTCTCAATTGTTTAGGGATTGCAGATGACAAGATCGTTTTCAGAAAGCATTGTTATAGCGTCATCTCTGCCGGTAAACGTATGAAAAAGATATTGTGCGCGGCAAGGATATCAAAGAAGATACTACTCCGGATGCCAATACATTGGCACATCCGGCCAAGAAGCTCCTATGCAATCAATCCGACATTCCACCAGGACTTGGACTCCGAAAGGTGGATGTTATACCGCTCAGAAGGAGCTTTTGTCTCAATCCTCCACTCCATCATTGGAGGAAGAGAGAGGAGAACTTCTCTGAGCACCTGGGCAAGACTGCGCTGTTCCCCCTGCAAAGTGTGCCTACGGAGTACGAAACGACATGGTTGTTTAATTCAACCAATAGCCAATAGTTCCTGGACATTCTGTTGTCGGTCTCTCTGCCTGACCGGGACAATCGGGTTGAGAGTATAAAAACCCTTGAACCCTCCGGTCAACAGGTTCCCGTAACTTCAGGTGCCATATCCTGACGACTCATTGGTAGCCTGGAGCATTCCGTGAAGAATCATGTTTTCCAAACTTGCTGTGATCTCGTCGGTTTTTCTCCCTGTCGCCCTAGCCTGTCTAGGATGGGAGGGAGGCGTTCCTGTACCCACCGCGCATCACTCAAAAAAAGCGCCTATTGAAATCCGTGCCGGAGAGGTCTTCGATGGCGGCTGGGCAAAGTTCGACCGTGGTGCTGGCGCCTGCAAGAACGGTGAAGGCGGAGACTCTGATGCTGTCTTTATCCTTCGCTCAGGCGCTACGCTGAAGAACGTCATCATCGGCAAGGACAATAGGGAGGGTGTTCACTGTGATGGGCCCTGCACTTTGGAGTTTGTCTGGTTCGAGGATGTCTGTGAAGACGCCATCACGATCGTATGGACCCCGATTACGGCCCCAAGTACTTGCGAAGCGACATGCAAACCCGACCTGACTGACTGCTTAGAAAAATGACAAACCGGGACAAGAAACCTGGATTCGCGGTGGTGGCGCTTATCATGCTAGCGACAAGATTGTCCAGCATAACGGCTGCGGTACTGTGAATGTGAGCATTTTCCGATCCCCCCGGCCAAATAATCCAAATAATCCAAATAATCCAAATCACCCTAATCCACTGCTTATCCTAGATCATCAATTTCTACGCCGAGGACTACGGAAAAGTCTACCGCTCTTGCGGTAACTGTGCCTCGCAATGCAAACGGAACGTCTACGTTGAAGGCACCACGGCCAAGAACGGTGGTGAGGTCGTCGGTATCAACCGGAATTACGGCGACACAGCTACCCTGAAGAACGTCTGCTCTGGCGCTAAACACCCCTGTGTTTTCTACGAGGGCTGTGCTGGTGGCTGTGAGCCGAAAAAGGTTGGATATTGTTCTGGTTAATCCCCAAATCCTAGGTAGGGGCTTGGATCAGGCCACTCATTCACTCGCTGTCTTTTGACTTGTGGGTGTAAATCAATCATATCATACCTCGAAAGGGACAAGATCATTGCGAGAATTGGAAAGGATCTGAAATAGTTTCAAGACTGACGGAAGTGGCGGCGAATACGGACATGGATTTGGCAGCCTGCATGACGCACCGACGATGGGAGAGCCCCATGGGGAGGGGTTCTTATTGGGAGAGAATCTGACGGACTTGCGTACTTGGATTCCATGCAAATCCCTTCACATGCATGTACTCTGGATGTAGTGTAGAGTAGATAGACCGTCGGTTGAATGATATACGCCGTATAAGAGAGACGTGTCACTGAGATAGACATTGCCTGATCATACGACACGAATAGTCAGTAGTTGCTCTTCTTCCTCCTATGGTGAATATACCAACCTCACAATTCCCACGGACTTTCAAGGGAAAGGAACTAGTATTACCATCTCTATTAACCAAGGAGCAAGACTCCTACCTAATGCATCCTGAGACCTTCGTGTTGGGTGTTGCGGGTCATCTGCCGCTAACAGTAACTAACTACTAAAGACGCGTGATTTATCTTTCCCTCTTCCTCCTCCTCCTTTCTCTTCGCCATCTGAAAAATCCTTTGTCTGTTTCTTGTCTCTCTCTGTCGTTTCATTTCCGTTTCATTTCCTCTATCCTTCTCCTTGCTCTCCTGCCCATCTCTCTACGTCGACCCTCGCATTACGTCGGTTATCACGGGTTCCCCAGCTCCCGCGCATTTAGGCTTCTCTCCTATTTGGGCTTCTCGCTCACCGACTGTTGATTCGCAGGTCGTCCACACTTTAGGCAGTTCCCTTATCTCGCCATTATCAATTCATTCCCTACGCTCGGATATGCTGTAGTGGGTGATATGTCTGTTGATTGGTATTCTCGCCCCGATTTTTTGGTCGACCGTTGGCCGCAAAGCTAACCCACCAACCCACCACCAAGATCTCTAAGATTCAAGGTAGAAGCGCAAAGAGCTTCTTCCACGATGCCACGATCGGTATCCTCCTATTTCACCTCTTCTCCCCTGCAGGGCGAACAGATTGCAAGTGAAGAAGGTGGCTCGAGGACCGCCCCGCAAACGGCTCCTCCCTCCCCGTCCGCGACGAGGCGGGGCTACGGTCTCCTCCCCGAGCCCTATACAGGCTATCAATCGTTAGAGCCACCGATAGAAGCGGGAGAGACCACCGGCCTGCTAGGGAAGGCCCAACCAAGCGAACGGGGTGTACCCAGCCGCTCCTACACCACCTTCTCCGCCTCCTCAGGTCCTGAGCCTGGGTTTCGACATACAATATGGGCTAGCAGCCTCCGTCGCTCGCGACACCATAGTAGGACAAACTCACAGAGCAAACGGTTCCATGAACCGGACAGCATGGACACTCCCCGAGTCGAAAGTTCTACACCGTCGACCAAGCATCCGATGACGGCTTCATTTATGGATGACCGAACTTGGTACGATCAGTTCACTTCGACCGATTGGGTCCATGATAGTGTCGCTGATGGAGCTCGTCTTCGGGAGCTGCGAGCGCGAAAGGATACGCGTGGTCGGTTACTAGCTTTGTTCGACGGCGCCCAGGGCTGGATCCTGGTTGCTGTAATTGGGTGCATCACGGCGGCAATCGCCTACTTTGTGGACGTCACGGAGGAGTTTGTGTTTTCCCTCAAGGGAGGAGTCTGTACGACGCGATGGCTCCATAGCCGCCAGACGTGCTGCGTAGACGCCCGTGATTGTTCCGCATGGCGATCTTGGTCCGAAATGATGAACCGCCAGGGCGCGGGCAATCAGTGGGTTGATTTTGCAGTCTTTGTCACTTGGGCGGTTGCTCTGGCCGTGATATCCTGCGTTCTGACCTTACTGACTAAGACTGTTGTGCCATCGTCGGTTTCCTTGACGACGCTGGACGAAAATCTCGGTGCAGGTTGGTCTCGCGGTTCAAAACGAACAACCGGCGTTGACGCTTCTCCTGCCTCCGAGAGCAGCGGGAACCTCTCTCGATATCCCACCATCCCCACGCGCCCCGACATGGTTTATTACTCCGCTGCTGGCAGTGGCGTGGCGGAGGTAAAGGTCATCAATAGTGGCTTTGTCCTGCATGGTTACTTGGGCTTCAAGACCCTGGTCATCAAAACCATCGCTCTGGTCTTCAGCGTTGCATCTGGTCTGAGTCTCGGCAAGGAGGGCCCATACGTGCACATTGCAACTTGCGTGGGAAACATCTGCTGTCGAATGTTTTCCAAGTACAACCTGAATGATGGGAAGAGGCGTGAGGTTCTAAGTGCCAGTGCTGCAAGTGGCGTTGCTGTCGCCTTTGGAGCCCCAATTGGCGGAGTTCTCTTCAGCTTGGAGGAAGTCAGCTACTACTTCCCCCCGAAGACTCTCTTCCGGACCTTTTTCTGCTGTATTGCTGCCGCCCTTTCGTTGAAATTTCTCAACCCGTATGGCACGGGCAAAATCGTTTTGTTCGAGGTGCGCTATCTGGAGGACTGGGAAATTTTCGAACTGATCATATTTATGTTCCTCGGAGTACTTGGCGGCGCAGTGGGTGCTCTCTTTATCAAAGCGTCGAGTCTGTGGGCTCGCTCTTTTCGGCGAATCCCCATCATCAAGCGCTGGCCGTTGTTCGAAGTCATTCTTGTTGCGCTGCTGACCGGGTTGGTCAGCTTCTGGAATCGGTACACGAAACTTCCTGTGACGGAACTTCTGCTCGAGTTGGCGAGTCCGTGTGAATCCTCGTCCTCGGACGGATTGTGCCCACATCCCGATGGCATTGGCGAGGTAATTCGTTCTCTGACCGTGGCATTTGTCATTAAGAGTCTCTTGACTGTGGTGACCTTTGGCATCAAGCTCCCTGCTGGTATTTATGTGCCGTCGATGGTTGTTGGGGGACTGATGGGCCGCATTGTTGGACACATGACGCAGTACCTGGTGCTCCAGTACCCCGACTTTTTCTTATTCCGGTCATCCTGTCCGGCCATTGCTGGGATCGAATCCTGCGTAACCCCCGGGGTGTATGCTATGGTCGCTGCTGGCGCCACTATGTGCGGTGTTACCCGCTTATCTGTCACACTTGCGGTCATTCTGTTCGAGCTGACAGGAAGTCTGGACCATGTGTTGCCATTTTCTTTGGCTGTGCTTTGCGCCAAGTGGACTGCAGATGCCATTGAGCCTCATAGCATTTATGTAAGTTTGCGTACTTGGATGATCGTCGCCGGGGGGGGGGTACAGAATACTGACTTCTCAGGATTCCTTGACGGAAATGAACTCTTATCCGTTCCTTGACAACAAACTTCAGCCCATGTCCGATGCGCAACTTGGCGATATTGTTCGACCCGTACGACGGAGTCGGTTGATTGACATTACGGAATCTTCTCTGGTGCCGGCGAGAGAGCTGCGTTCGAAACTTCAGCATCTTTTGATGGCAGGGGAGCTCGACAGCGGTCTCCCGATCCTGCGCGATGGCATTTTGATGGGGCTTATTCCCGCGCCTGATCTAGAGTATGCCCTCGACAACCTGGATGACGAAGAAAACACACTGTGCTTGATGGCAATGGATACCTCTTCTGTTGTTTCCGAGGGCGAAGGCGACAGTCCCACTGAAGTGGACTTTACGCGATACATTGACCCGGTAAGTTCCAAGAACTCTGCGGACTCAAAAGGCCATCATCTAACATGCATAGGCTCCTCTCTCTCTGGATATCCATTCCCCCATAAACCTTGTATATCAATGCTTTGTCAAGCTAGGGCTGCGCTATCTGTGTGTTCTCCGCGACGGACAATATGCCGGCCTAGTACATAAGAAAGCTTTCGTGAAATTCATGAAAGACCACGAGTGATGATATATCCTTTGCAAGCGTTGCATTTGTCTATAGCTGTTTTTCTTTGGATATATTTGTGTTACCTGCTCTGTTTCGATGCATTATATATATATTTGTTATTAGTTACCTGATTGCTTATTATTCTTACTTGTTAGCCGACCTGAGGCATTGTACATTGCGAAAATGAATATATCATATTCGCAGTCAATTCTAGACATTGTTACTGGGTATCTTTTTTTTGAATCCTTATACCTCAAGTAAATCACACGCAGTGCATCTTCTACAGAATAAGGCCTAATCCACCCGCTCATATCCAACCATTTGCACCCTCACCTCCCCCTCCTCAATCCACTCCCCGGAAACCTCCTCGCCAACCCACTCCGTCAACTCCCGCGCACTCACCTTCCTCCACCCGCGCTCATGAACCAGCTCCTCATCCACAGGAAAGAATGTATCGCACTCAAACACGCCCCCATCCCTCCGCTCCACCTTCGTCATGACGATCCGGACTTTCCTCTCTCCCTTCTTCAACCGCAACGCAGCCCCGTAGATCTCCGCTCCCCCGATCACAAACACTTTCCCCACATTCCTCCTGGCTCCTTGTGTAGTATCGCGGTTATCGAGCGTCTCTAGCGCTTCTTCCAACCCCCCGGCCACAAACGCATCCGTTTGTCCTTCTGTAGCTTTCTTCCCCTCAGCCCCAGTCCCAGAGGCACCCATCACCCCAGCCAGAGCTTTGTCCTGCGGCGCAAGCTTCCCCCGCAACTCCCCCAGAACCCTCTCCCCCACCTGTCCAGATACATCCCTCGTAACCACCACGCTGACTCTCTTCCCAAGCGGCCGGAGCTTCCCGGGGACAGAATCGTACGTTTTCCTGCCCATGACGATGGCGTTCGTGGGCCTGATCGCGCCGTGGGCGGGATGAGGAGGTGGAGGAGGAGGAGGAGGAGGAGGTGGTGGTCGTGCCGTGACGCGCGCGAAAAACGACATGTCTGTTTTGATCCGCGGCCAGGGGAGCGTGCCCTTGAGCCCGATTCCGAGGCGGGTGTGTTGTACGAGGGCATTTTCGGCTGCTGTTGGTGTTTGGAGGCGGGGGATTGGGGTTGTTGCGACGATTAGGGTGAGGGGTTGTGGGGGCATCTTTTTCTTTTTGCTTTTTCTGTATTGGGGTGAGGGGTTTAATTAATGCTTTTGCTTTTGTGGGTGGGTTGGTGGATGGGTTGTTGCTGTATGTGTGTGTGTGTACTGGTGGTGAATGTGAATGTGAGGTGAGGTGAGTTTTTTTGTTCTGGGTTGCTTGCTTTATGTATTGTTATCAGTGGACGGTACCGCATCTGGGCTCTAACTCTTCCAGTAAGATAGATAGAGAGTGACTCTATGTATGGATGTACTACCTACCTAGGTATTGCATGATCGAATATTCTATTCAGGGTATCTCGTACAATAAATACCAAGTAAGTGGTCTAATAAATTGCCTAACCCGTGACTCCGTCCCTATGTATAACGCCCAACCCAACAGGAATCAAACCATGCTCCCTATTTACTCCGTACATCGCATCGCACCAGATGAAGAAGAAAAGTAAAGCATAGGAAGCCGCTACGCTACGGCTTAGCAGGCTTCAGAACACCCTTGTTCTCAATGACCTTCTGAATCGCTGCCGCATTCCTCTCTAGCTCCTCTCTGCGCGTTACCTCGGACTCGTCTTCGCCCAGTGTATCGAGTTTCCCGAATAACCATGTCTCTTTCATTATACGGGTTAAGGAGAGGAGGTCTTCTGCGGCGCGGACCTGTCCATTTTCAGATTAGTGAAATTGTTGTAGGGAAGATACCCAGATATTTATTGTCTTTTTTGTTTGGTGTTTTGGGCCGGGCATGCTATGCTGTTCTGGGAGGAGTGACGTACCAACGCAGTCGACTCTACATCGAGCTGGTATGTTTCTACGGCTGTCGTGGTGTGGCTGGTGCTTTCGACCTGTTAAGAGGGGAGAGAGAGAGAGAGAGAGAGTCAGTAACGGATGGATGAAGCTCAACGAAGATGCATGGCAAGAAATTGAGCTCCAGTTACGGTTCGTCGGAAGAGTGAAAACGCACTGTAGCTGTTGCCATGATATTCTCGAATCGCTGGAGTAATTGTGAGATATTGGTGTTTATGCGGTCTGGTGCGCTCCAGTTAGCGTGAACATTCAGGGATAGCTATTGGGATGGGGCATTGTAAGCGTATCGAATGAAGGTAACTTACTGTGCAGAGCTTTCGATGTGGGTTGGGAATCCATTTTGCCTGATAGTCTTAACCTAGGGAGATTGACATGATCCAAGACAAGATGAAAGATGTGGCTCTTGATCATCGCTCGATGAGATGGCGGGGTGGTGGGCGGCGCGTTTATTGCCGGCACTACAAAAATGCTTATCTGGGAGGACGAATGTTATACGGAATACATATACAGAGTACTCAAGGTGCTGGACGACCCAGCCGATAGCTGTGTATCATTTGAGTTTGAGAAATATAGATTCAAGTCCAAGTTACTAGTTAAGGCTCAAACACCCGATTCTCCTAACGCCATAGCCAATTAGCGGTTGAAATCCCTTCAGAGCTTTGCTGCAAGAAATTCGTTTCCGGATAGTGCAAGTCGTTCTAGGGGTATTCCCTTGTCGATGTCCATTGCGAGATGAAAAGATCCTTTAGAATACAACCCAACTATCGCACATATTTAGACTGTGCCGCGTTAGTGATGTCAAGCCGGTGCTGGACAACAGACTTACCATGAACTTCTTGTGAAAGTCTGATCGTAGGAGATCCTGTGAAGGCAAGGTTAGCTCTGAACCATCACAGCAGTGGGAACCTCTTACATTGACAAACTCCTTTCCCCGCTTATCTTCAGTTCCCCGGGCTTGGTTTTTGAAGACGACATCGTCATCCCATCGTCGTTTCATGTTGAAGTCGGTGGGGTTGAGTAAGGGATTGCCTCGCGCGATATCGTATTCTCGCTTTTCCTCTTCCTCGGCGGCGCGCTCTCGTTCCTATGGTCATCAGTATCACTTCCCAATCAATCGGATTTTCATCCGTACCTCTTTCTCTTTCTGCTCCAGCCTTTCTTTCTTGATTTTTTCCAACTCCCGCATTAACTCGGCCGCCTCATCCTCGTCGTCACTACTGATGTCAGTGAAACCGTGGTATCCCAGGCCAAGGCGCTAACCTTTCTTCTTCACTACTGTCTTCTTCGGACCCGTCCGAGTCGGCATCGATATCTCGTGTTTCTTCTAATATTCGCCGTCGTTTTGCCTCCGGATCTTCTTCTTCTATCCCGCCCGCATCACCGCCGTTCGGTGGCGCTCCTTCTAGTTGTCGCTTAGGTACAGCACCCTCGATAGTGATATCATCCACAGGGACCCCTCTCTTCTTGGCGAAATGGGCAGCCTCTGCCTGGAGCAATTCGGCGCGTAGATCGCGTTGGTAAGCTTCGCTTTCACCACCCTGACCAAGTTGGCTGGGGCTTGGTTAGCCGAATCTCATGTTAGATAATGGAGTGAGCACTCACCGAGTCTTCAGAAGCTTATGCGCTGGGAGGAGGCGCTGGTGGTACGCCGGGCCACGGAGGGCCTCTTTCCCTTGTGCCTATATTCGGTGAGCTTTGGTTTACGAGCCAAATGACAAAGGACGTACGGGATCAAAGGTGGGCCTGTGGGCTAGGATGCGTCAGTATTATGTTTATCAAGTGCTTTTTGATAGATTTGCGTACCTGTAGTCATGATGGGCTGTCAGTGTGAGGCTTCTACTGGAGTTGGTCGTGATGTTCTGTAAAAGAAGAGCAAGCATTTCTCACCGCCTTGATACATTTCGCCCCATGATTGGCTTCAAGAAATCGGCGGCGGCTTTTCAATGACGCTGTGGAATGCAGGAAATTTCCTAGTCGAAAGTCCTCGTTCTGTCTTGACCTTCCTTCCCCTCCTTGGGGCCGAGTCTGCCTCTGTGATCATGAATAAAGAAGCACCGCTTTCGATTGCTGAACGCGATTTCATCCTCGATGCGCTCCGCGAGGATGTCAGGCTCGACGGTCGTGCTGCAGACCAATTGCGCCCGCTCAACATCTCTTTTGGAGAAGAGTATGGCCATGTGAAGGTACAGCTTGGTCAGACGAGGTGTGTCTCTGTCTATGCTGACGGTTGGGGAGGTGCTGAGCTAATTCTCACAGTCTGGTCGTCCGAATATCCTCCGAAGTCACAAAACCCCACGATGACCGCCCATTCGATGGTATCTTTACCATTGCCATGGAGCTAACGGCGATGGGCTCGCCAGCCTGGGAGAATGGCCGGTAGGAACCTGAAGTTGCCACGCACCCACTACATCAACTGACTCTTTCCAATTTACTAGACAAGGAGACCTTGAAACATACATCACCAATGTGCTCGATCGGGTTATTCGTCACTCGAACGCCTTAGATACCGAGTCTCTCTGCGTTCTCAAGGGCGTTAGTTGTTGGAGCGTCCGAGCCGATGTACACATTACTGATTACGATGGTAATTTGATTGACGCGTCGTGCATCGGAATCATGGCTGGGTTACAGCATTTCCGCCGTCCCGACGCCGTGGTCAAGGACGGCCAGGTAATTGTCTACGGGCTCGACGAACGGGTCCCCGTGCCATTGAACATCACGCACAAACCTCTTTCGATTACATTCCACACCTTCGATGAAGGCAAGCGGGTAATTCTCGACGCCACTCGAAAGGAGGAGCAAGCGTCGGAAGCGGACGTAATAATCGGCATGAACAATGCAGGAGATGTCTGCTTCCTTTCTAAATTCTCAGGCTCCCCGGTGGACGCCATGGTCTTTGTGACGAAGACAACGACTGCACTAGAGAAGGTTAAAGAGATTAATGGCATTATTGACAAAGCGCTGCAAGGTGATCTTACGCAGCGAGCGAAACGCGGATTAGCAGAGGAGTCACGGGCAGAGAACGATCGGTGATGGTCTTGGACTGCTATAGATATGAATTTACATACCCAATTTAAGAAGGATAAAATGGACTTTGATGTATGATAGATCCAAAGATCACAGAAAGGTGCCACCTTCCAGCACTATTACTATTGTTGTTTATAGTAGTTAGGTAGAGACAAAAAAATCAATGAAGGAGTGCAGATCGGTGGATGAAAATCTCCCAGCCACCCACCCGTAATAATGAGTACCATCGAGTCAAAGAACTAGGATCCTCAGTAATACTCCGCTTAAGGAGAGACTTGAATTCTTTTGACTTGCATACTTCGAACCGAGTATACGGAGTACCCTTTGGTTGTTCTCTTGGGAGGGATCTCTTGGACAGACTCAATAACACCAATGCTGGAACCCCGATTGTGAATTCGTGGAATGATTTATTAGATCAATATTAGGTAGAATGATATTATTCTCTTATTATCAATCTAAGACCTTTGATTTCTGCTGACGACGACGAAACGGGGAGTACAGGACGGATCCATACCATCGCCGCCTACGCCAAAAACCCAACCACTGCTAGTTTTCTCCTCCACTCTTCACCTCCACGCAATCTCCCGTGAGACAGTCCAACTGACAACCAACTACCACCACTGTCAAGTCTTCTCTTTTTCCTTCCTGTGTGCTCCTTGTATTTTTTTTTTTTTTTTATTTTTCTCTTTCGCTCTTCGATCCATTCCTTTCACCCTCCTCCTTTCTTGCTTTGCGTAACCCTCGTGAGCTTCTGTTCTCCTCGAGCTCTCTCTCCCTTCCAATCAAAACAGCCGCCCCAAATCAATGCTCCTCCAGGGGCACACCTTCACACTGACGGTGACTGCCCTCCCCAATCATCATGGCCAGCGGTAGACCTTCAGGTCGTCATCCAGCCGCTGGCCGGGATGATGACCTGCTACAAATGGAGGATGCCACCCCCATATACAACACCGGACAGCCCCCGCCGGTCAGCGACGATCGACTCTTGCGACAGTACGACATTGACGACTCCGACCAACCCGAGGCGCGTCCCTCCGTTTCCTACGATAGTTTTGTCGGTGGACGGGAGCCACCACATTCCGGTGCGCATGCGACGAGCTCATCTTCCCCCCCCGGGCAGTCCGGGGCTTACCTGACCGATCCTTACTCCGGACACGACATGTCTCGAACCTTCTCGCAGACTTCCGGCCTGAGCAATTACCAGCGCTACTCTCTGGATGAGTATGACGATGAGCGTGCGACACATGGGTACTATGATATGACAGGCGAGCACGACCAGCACCTGGGGGCGGACTATCATGGAGGGAAGGCGAGAGAGCGCAACAGTATACTTGCCATGGGGGGTGGATTGGTGGGCAGAGCAAAGCACATGTTCGGAATACAGCCCGAGTATTCGGGGATGGATCTTCCTCTGACCGAAGCTGGGGCAAGAGCAGCGCGAATCGACAGTACACATTCCGATGACGCTGGCGCTGCGACGGGCCGCCCCAAAAAGCCCAAGGGCTCTTCCTTTAAGTTTGGTTTTGGCAGGAACAAGACCGATCCCTCGACTCTTGGTCCGCGCCTGATCATGTTGAACAACGCCCCGGCCAATGCGGTGCACAAGTTCGTCGACAACCACGTGTCCACGGCCAAGTACAACCTCATTACCTTTTTCCCCAAGTTCTTGTACGAACAGTTCTCGAAATATGCCAACTTGTTTTTCTTATTCACCGCTGTTCTGCAGCAGGTCCCGAACGTGTCCCCTACCAATCGGTATACCACTATTGCCCCGTTACTCATCGTGTTGACGGTTTCGGCGATCAAGGAATTGGTTGAGGATTATAAGCGGCGGAGCTCCGACAAGTCGCTCAACTACTCAAAGACCCAGGTTCTGAAAGGCTCAGCGTTTCATGAGACCAAGTGGGTTGATGTGGCTGTCGGAGACATCGTTCGGGTTGAATCAGAGCAGCCGTTCCCCGCGGATTTGGTTCTTCTGGCGTCCTCGGAGCCGGAAGGTCTATGCTATATTGAAACGGCTAATTTGGACGGCGAAACCAATCTGAAAATCAAGCAAGCCATTCCGGAGACTGCACATCTTGTGAGTCCCGCCGACCTTAGCCGGCTCAGTGGGAGAGTAAGATCCGAGCAGCCGAACAGCAGTTTGTACACCTACGAAGCAACCTTGACTATGCATGCTGGAGGGGGAGAGAAGGAGCTGCCTCTCGCACCAGACCAGCTTCTTCTCCGTGGAGCAACCCTTCGTAACACCCCTTGGATTCACGGCATTGTCGTTTTCACGGGCCACGAGACAAAACTAATGCGAAATGCGACGGCAACTCCGATCAAACGAACCGCCGTTGAGCGCATGGTCAACGTTCAGATCTTGATGTTGGTCAGTATTCTTGTGGCACTCAGTGTGGTGAGCTCCGTCGGCGACCTGATTATCCGACAAACCCAGCGCGACAAGCTTAGCTATCTCGACTACGGCAGCACAAACCCCGGCAAACAGTTTATTATGGATGTATTCACCTACTGGGTACTATATTCGAACCTTGTCCCGATCTCTCTCTTCGTGACTATTGAAATTGTGAAATATGCGCAGGCATTTTTGATAAACTCGGATCTAGACATCTACTACGATGCAACCGATACCCCAGCTATTTGCAGGACCTCATCCTTGGTTGAGGAACTGGGCCAGATCGAGTACATTTTCTCTGATAAGACCGGGACCCTGACTTGCAATATGATGGAGTTTAAGCAGTGCTCGATAGCTGGCATTCAGTACGGAGAAGATGTCCCGGAAGATCGACGTGCCACGGTTGAAGATGGAGTTGAAGCTGGAGTCCATGACTTCAAAACGCTCAGAGAAAATCTCGTTTCTCATCCGTCTAAGGATGTAATCCATCACTTTCTCGCCCTTCTCGCTACTTGTCACACCGTTATCCCAGAACGGTCCGAGGCAGAGCCAGGTAAAATCAAGTACCAGGCGGCATCCCCGGACGAAGGGGCTCTTGTCGAAGGCGCAGCATTGCTGGGATATCAGTTTACGAACAGAAAGCCTCGGTCCGTGATTTTCTCGACTGGAGGACAAGAGTATGAATATGAGCTGTTGGCCGTTTGCGAGTTTAACTCCACGCGGAAGCGTATGTCCACAATCTTCCGATGCCCGGATGGGAGAATCCGCGTCTATACCAAAGGTGCCGACACCGTTATCCTGGAACGGTTGCACCCGAACAATCCTACTGTCGATGCCACCCTGCAGCATCTCGAGGAATATGCTTCGGATGGGCTCCGCACACTTTGTTTGGCTATGCGTGAGGTTCCGGAAGAAGAATTCCAACATTGGTACCAGATTTACGACAAAGCTGCCACCACCGTCAGTGGGAACCGTGCTGATGAACTTGACAAGGCGGCTGAGCTGATCGAGAAGGATTTCTATCTCCTTGGTGCGACGGCTATTGAGGATCGACTTCAGGATGGTGTCCCGGATACTATTCACACCTTGCAGACTGCAGGAATCAAAATCTGGGTATTGACTGGCGACCGGCAGGAGACTGCGATCAACATCGGCATGTCCTGCAAGCTAATTTCGGAGGATATGACGCTTCTGATCGTGAACGAAGAGAGCGCCGCAGCCACCAGAGATAATTTGACAAAGAAGCTTCAGGCTGTCCAAAGCCAGACCGAGGCAGAAGCAATGGCTCTTATTATCGACGGTCGATCTCTGACGTTTGCCCTTGAGAAGGATATGGAAAAGTTGTTCCTAGACTTGGCGGTTATGTGTAAAGCTGTTGTCTGCTGGTAAGTTGCCGCTTATTTCTCGCTTCGATCAATGCTAATCTTGTAGTCGTGTTTCCCCCCTCCAAAAAGCCCTCGTTGTCAAGCTTGTCAAACGCCATCTCAAGTCTCTGCTGCTGGCGATCGGTGACGGCGCCAATGATGTTTCGATGATTCAAGCCGCTCACGTTGGTGTCGGCATCAGTGGCGTCGAGGGTCTACAGGCTGCACGGTCTGCTGATGTGTCAATTGGTCAATTCCGTTATCTTCGCAAACTGCTTCTTGTGCACGGGGCCTGGAGTTATCATCGCATCAGTCGAGTTATTCTATATTCGTTCTACAAAAATATTGCACTTTATATGACACAGTTTTGGGTAAGTTCGCCTCGAGTTTTGACTTTCGTGTTACAATTCTGATCTGTCCAGTATTCTTTTCAAAATGCATTTTCTGGCGAAGTCATTTATGAATCATGGACCCTTTCCTTCTACAACGTCTTCTTTACGGTGCTCCCTCCGTTTGCGATGGGTATTTGCGACCAATTCATTTCTGCCCGGCTCTTGGATCGATATCCTCAGCTATACCAACTGGGTCAGAAGGGAGTGTTCTTCAAGAGACACAGTTTCTGGTCCTGGGTCGCCAATGGATTCTATCACTCGCTACTGCTGTACATTGTTTCGGAATTGATTTTCCTCTGGGACCTTCCCCAAGGCGATGGAAAGATTGCTGGCCACTGGGTCTGGGGTGAAGCTTTGTACACTGCAGTCCTTGCCACCGTGCTCGGTAAGGCTGCGTTGATCACCAACATCTGGACCAAATATACGTTCATCGCCATCCCCGGATCAATGATTATCTGGTTGGGCTTCTTGCCTGCGTACGGTTACGCGGCACCAGCGATTGGCTTCTCGCGGGAATACTACGGCACCATCCCGCGCCTCTTCACCTCCCCCATCTTCTACCTGATGGCCGTTGTCCTTCCCTGCCTCTGTCTCGTCCGCGACTACGCCTGGAAATACGCCAAACGCATGTACTACCCACAACACTACCATCACGTCCAGGAGATCCAGAAATACAACGTGCAAGACTACCGGCCCCGCATGGAGCAGTTCCAGAAGGCCATCCGGAAGGTGCGCCAGGTGCAACGCATGCGCAAGCAACGTGGTTACGCGTTTAGTCAGGCCGACGAGGGCGGCCAGATGAGAGTTGTCAACGCTTACGATACCACGAGAGCCCGAGGCCGCTATGGAGAAATGACCAGTTCCAGGAATTTGGTTTAACGGACATTCTGATTCAGATCTGATTGTATTCTTTCATTTTTTCTTGTGTTTATTTGCATGAGATGTATTTTTTTTTTTTTTTTTTTTTACCCCCCTTTAGCTCTGGGTGGAGCGTCTTGATTGTTTAGTTGAGGAATGTACCTAATGATCTATGATGAATAGAAGAAGAGATAGGATAGGATAGGATAGGATTATGCAGAGTTTACTCTCGACTTTCAGTTCATGATTCGAGTACGAGTACGGAGAAAGTACTTGGCATCACAGCACTCAATCGCATCTTCTCACGGAGGTAAGTATCGTATTACGCATGATATTTCTATGCGCATGTATATATATATATATATATATATATATACCCTCAGTATGATGTAAGTACACCACTTAGCGTATGTATGCATAGCATAGATATGGTCTGGTGAGAGTGTGTCTATAACTAATAGGAAACTACTAGTAATACGGCCCTATTATGTATTTATGTATGTATGTGTATAAACAAGAACTAAATATATATATATATATATATATATATATGTGATGATTGTACAGTATGAGTACAGACTGCCTAATAAAGGAAAGAAGAAAAGAAGAAAAGAAAAAGAAGAATCACCGAGTACATCTCGCCCCCGGGTCCCTCCAACCAATCCCCAATCCCTCCATAACTAACCTCTCTCTCTCCTGCCATGTCCCCCCGCTAGATTCTAAATCAAGTACCTGGCCCCCGGTTGTGCGCTCGCGCACTCCGCTGGAATCAAACTTCCACCCGGACGTCTTCTTCACGTACCGTCTTAGATCCCGTTGGAAGGTGGTGTCGCCTGTCCAGCCGAGCACGGCGCATCCGATTGTGTGCCAGGGGGAGATGATGATGTCGACGCGGCGGTGGGGGTTTGGATTCTTCTTCTTCTTCTTCTGGTCCTTCTTCTTATGTTTTTGGTTATCTTTTTCGGTTTCAGGACTAGGACTAGGACTAGGGCTAGGACAAAAGTGCGGATCCTGCCATACAACCAGGGCTTTGTCGAGGGTATCGAAATGCGGGGAATCCGTGGCTAATTCGCCTCGATATGGTAGGGTCTGCTGACTTCGGGAGGATGTGGTCAAATGTACCGATAACGTATGCGTGATCCATTCTGAGGCTTCGAGGCTGCGCACCACGTCAACGATCAGGTTCTTCGTGACTGCCTCGTCGCGGTGCGTGAGGATCAAGTCGACGTCATGGCTTTCGGGCTTGCCGCGCCGGTAGCTGCCGACGAGGATACATTGGACTCCACCCTCGGGGTTGCCGGTCTCAGCAGCTGCGGCGGCGGCGGGACGGACGCGATTCGCGTGTTTGTGGATGACATTGGCGATCTGCTCTGCCTCTCTGCGTGGAATCGGAAGAAGAAACTCCTCGGAGTATTTGAGACCAATTTGCTGGGCGCGAGAGAGAGAGGACCACCCGTACTCGATGATGTCGTCGAGGTCATGCCAGTGACGGGAGTAGTAGAAGTCGCGGGCGGTTTTGGGCCCAATGCCCCAGACGTCGGAGAATGCGTGGAGCGTGCGCAGGTCCGGGTCTCTAGTTAGAGGCGCGGCAGCGGAAAGCGGAGAGCCTTTTGGTAAGTGTTGGAATTCATTGAAGAGGTTGGCGATTTTATGGTCGCATCCTGGGAGGGCAAGGACTTGCGATGCCGTGTGGAGTTTATGCGGGTAGGCTGCTATAGAGGCGATGGCCGTGCTGTAGGCGCGGACGCCGATGGCGTCGAGATTTAGTTCGCGGATGGTGCGAATTTTGATGAGTTCTTCGATGAAGTCTTCGTTTGGAGGGTGAAGGGGAGAAGAGCGTAAACAGGCGTATAGGACATGGTTGTGGACCCAGTCTGGAGCATCAGGGAGCGGAGCTGTTGCTTCTTCGTTCTCCGAGCTTGTTTGCGGGCATAGTGTTGGGGAGTGTTCGCTGGCAGAAGGTCCCCCGTGGTGCGGTCGGTGCCTTGCAAAGGGAGACAAGGGTGCTATAAATGCTGCGTCCTGCTTGGCCCGTTCCAGTATACCCTTTGAGTTAGGGCTGGTAGTTGAGGTCTTGGTATCAGGGCGCTCGATCTTACGCGCACAGTACACCACAAACAGGTCAAGCGGGAGGAGGATTTCCTGTGCTTCAATGCATCGATCAAGCCATTCGAGTCTAACAACCCTAATCAAATCTTCTTGGCTCATAGTGTCCAATGAACTCTCGCGCTCCTCGACCCGCGTGGAGAGGAAGGCTGCGGAGGGTTTTAAATGCGCAGCAGGAGCTCGACGTCCTCGTCCTCCATCCTCTTCGCTCTCATCCTCGGTACTGAGGTCGATTTGCTCTTCACCTTCCTGGATTCGCCTTCGCTTTGCGGCCGGCTGAGATGAAGGCTCACTCGCCTCCTCAGTCCACAGGCCGCGGGAGCGCAATTCAAGCATCGCTCGCTTTTTCTGGCTAATTTTGCCGAGAATGAGCGTCGCCTCAAACACATCGTACGTCAGGCGCGCACCCCATTTGACAAGTTTTTCCTCAACTTCATGCAGCGCATCTAGGGTAAGATGCGTCGGGAGAACGAAGATAGGCGGACAAGATGAGAGAGTGAATTTTTCTTTGCTCTGAATAGGAGAACTGGGTGTAGTTGTATCAGACATGGTTCAACTGATTCCTATTGTTACGTCATGATAAAGCACTATATGGAAAATATTGAAAGTATATGAATCGTCCATGAAACATGGAAAGAATAGTGGATAAAAATGCACCTGGAGATACTACCTAAGTATTCAGGTCAGGTCATATATACACGTCGAACCAATCGATGCCTTGATGCGTTCGTATTCTGTGGTTGGTCATTCCATTGAGAAAATGTATGGCGGCGGGGTATGCAGTTCCAAGATGGCTTTGGGTGGTGAATATGCACATCCTGGCTGTGTCTGACTGCCTATGCTCTGTGTATCGTTGAAAGTTGGAATCAATAAGAAGGGAGTTGAAGAGGGGAGAAATTGGATTGTGGGATGACGTTTAAATGCGAGTCACGTTGGCCGTTTTTGCCTGAGGCATACCTATCATGTTAACTCCAGAATCAGTTATTCTTTCGTGTCAATGGCACTCGATTGAACAGTAGTTGGATACTACTTCTAATTTACCATAGGCTTGTCATATGCTTAGGATGTCTGACAAGAAGAGTCGGTCTATTGACATGTATATACCCGTATTATAGGATATCATGTATTGTTTGGATGTTGGAGAGAAGTTCTAGTTAAAGCCTATATATATATATATATATAATAATATAAATCTAGCACTCCAAGTATCACGGCATCTTTTAGTGGTTTGGGCGAGTCCCTTTCTTTCTTTTCTTTTTTTCATCATCAACTTGCTACACCCTTAGGAACAGCCCCATAGATGGGAGTAGTAGTTGCAGCCTGGTTCTCACCATCCAGGATGGGGGGTGGCTCCACCCGTGGAACGGTTTCACGACGGTATGCCTCTTCATCGCTCACAGGGGCCACAGGTTTCTTGTGTCGTCGGGCAATCCATCTTCTCCACGGCTTATATACGAACACACTCAATGTCCCGAAGAGAAGGAAACACCCGCAGATCCCTCCACCAATGACATCGTAATAGTCGCCGGCAGTTTGGACTCCATCCCAGAACCGGCCGGTTGGCTTGGCGACGTTCAAAACCAGCGTCAGGAGCTGGATGACTCCGATGATGATGGCGACGACGACTGTTAGGCAGGTTAGGACGATGGAGTAATACAGGAAGGCAACGGGGTCCCGGTGGTTTTGGGAGGGTTCGATTTCTTGGTCTTCGTCGATCAGGGGTTCATCGGAGGAAGAGGTCCTCCTGTCTTGTTTGGGGGGGGGGAGGAAGTTGGTTGCTGGCTGAACGTAGAGGGCGAGCATGAGAGCGCCGTCCGTGGTGTCTAGGAGACACATACCGGCTGTGGAGGTGAGCGACTGTATTGTCTACGTTGATTGGAGCTTGCAAATACACACCCGTAAATAATATGGGAAAGATGAGAATCACCCAGAATGAGGTGCCTTTTGCCGCCTCGATAGATGAGATTCCAAGCAGGGCAATTTCCGAAGAGGTATCGAAGCCAAGTCCGAACAAAATTCCAAGTGGGTACATCTTCCAGGGCCTGGGATCGTCTTTAGTTATATCCATTTGCATCCCTGCCCGTACGTATGGGGAAGAGGGGGATGGATGCGCTTTACCGATTAATCAACTTGAACATGCGCTTAAGCACGGAAAACAAGAACCCGCCACCCTCTATCTTCCACGCCTCGTCCTCCTGGCCTTCTGGAAGATCCAAAACTTTCTGCATTTGTTTGTACAGCTTGGACAAGATGTACGCATTCATGATGCCGAGGAGGATCAGGAAAGCAGCGCTGACAGATGTTCCAATTATTCCACCAACGGTGCTGAACTTGTCAAACCGGGATGACACGGCCGCTGCCGTGGCTGCGACGACAATGGAAGTGATGATGACAATGCTGCACGAGGGTTAGACAAGCTAAGCACGATGCCTGGGCTGCGTACGTTGAGTGTCCCAAGGAGAAAAATGTTCCCACCGTAACGGGTCGTTGGCCCGTAGCCAGAAGTCTCCGAGTCATCAAATCGATAGCCTGAGAGGGGGTTAGGGTTTGCTGATCATGAATGAAAGAGAAGGATAGCTACCGAGATATGATCCGCATCAAAGGCATGTCTCAACCCGAGGGTGTATGAGAGGACAGCATTGGATACCAGCGAACTAGACCGACATCAGGCTCCTGACACAAGGGACATTAAATTCATCAAAGCAAAAAAAAAAAAAAAAAAAAAAAACGTACGGATGGTAACGCTGGATAGTTATGTTAGTAGAGATCAAGACCACAGACAAAGGCAAGCATACCAGAACAATAGCAACCGCTATCCACACAAGCACATTAACCAATGCAACAAGCAAGATAATGCCAATGGACGGTAGGGGAATCTTTCGAATCCCAGGTAGTCGGCTGTGAGAGCGCTCAGCATGGCGGATCAGAGCTTTGGCCGTCCATTTTCGATCAGTATGATGGGGTTCCGCGTTGAGGGCGGGAGAATGCCCAGACGGGGGGGAGTCCCGCATCCTGGAGGTCGCTCTTTTGATCTTGACGTCTCTATTGACTTTGCTATCGATCAGATTTGGGTGAATGCAAATCCGGAGCGGAAAGGTGAAGTATTTTGATGAAATTTGTGGTCCTTGGCAGAGGAGGGGAAATTGATAATAGAGAGATAAACAGAGGATCCTATCATGTTTATCAAGAACACTAACTACCCTACAGCGCGCTTGCATTGAATGAGCTTGTATACTTTTTTTGTGTGCGAATGAATTTGCATACCTTATGATGCACAGGGTCCTGAAGACAACTCCAGAGTCCAAGTCTGTCCATTCCCGTTGCTCTCTCAGTCAAGGTATCGTATATATATATATATATATATTTCCGTCGGCACTCTCCGTGGGTTCACTGAACTAAATCGAGTCCGCGGTCGAAAGTAGTTGAGCGACTCAACGATCGTGTCTAGACTTCTGTGTCTTTTGGGAACCCCGCTGCCCCGCCACGTGACTCTTCGCAGCGGAGGACGCCGATGCTGTCCATTGAATCGAGTTATGTAGAGCTACAGGGGGGGGGGGGAAGAAGATTCACATCCACAAATATGTACTCTGTAAGATTTGGATATTATTATATACAGGTCTAGAAAGGTTATTCACATGTTCATAGCGTCGTATACATCATCATTCCGTTGCTCTCAGGGTTGGTCCCCGAGAGCACTGGAGTTAACCCGAGACTTACGCAGTTGATCAGGTTGATCACTGCTCGATCCCGTCCTGTGCATCCCGGTCTCTTCTAGTCTCACACGTGGTGTAGATAGAGCCGGACATGGGAGCTTGAAGCTCGAGCGGGAGCGCGTGGGCCGGAAGCCCCGCTAGGTATGATATCAGGATTCGCGAGCCCGTCGCTCGATCTCGAATCTGATCGTGAGGTCTACTCATTAAAAAAAAAAAAAAAAAGGCCTGGTAATTTAACCACGCGTACGGGATGGTTCCACCACTCATGCCACGGCCAGTGCAATGGGAGAGGGGGTCCATTTGGTGACCGTTGGTTTGGACTGGTGGAAATCAGGTCCAACGACATGGTTCCATTCCTCTCGCGTAATCGGAGTGACATCGGAGGCAGACAGCGGAGTCTTGGGCCCCCGCTTGGTGGGCACGGTGGCGGAGCGTGGCGCTGCCGGTTGCTTTCGCACGCGCATCGGGCGCAGCGGGGACTTGCGCTCGGTCGGCTCGGGCATAACCTTGACTTTGGGCTGCGGCGGGGGCAGGACAATCCCATCCTGGCCGTACTGCTTTTTATACGCGTCGGCGACCTGGGCGAGGAGTTCGTCTCGCACGTCGAGCTGCTCATAGATGCGGTGGAAGAAGGCCTTGCTGAATGGGCGGCCGTGGACGTCTTGGATGGTCCGGTGAAGTAGTCGCAGGCAGGAGGTCATGTAGGACTCCTTGAGGGGGGCGGTCTTGCCCGACAGGATGCACAGTCGGCGCTTGAAGGTGTAGATTCGATCCACATTGAGGAGCGTCAGGCCTTCCCGGCTGAAGACAACCTCATTTTGCAGGATAGATTGCTGGATCAGATAGTCGTTGGCTTGTCGTTCGTACTGGCTCCGGTTGAGGGCATTGGTCCAGCTTTGGCCGAGGGAGAACTTCAGGGCGGCTTTGGCCATGGTGCGGGACAGAAGGCGCCATTCCGACTGGTCGAGTGGGGTGGAGGGGATGACAATGAGATCGGATGGTTGGCCAGTGGGATAGGGCTTTCCGCGTCCCACCACCAGGGTGACATGCATCATCTTCTGTTGCAGTTTGGAGGAGATGTATTCCAGGGCAGGGAGGCTGGAGGGCGTCAGGATCGCCGAGTCGAAGTTGAAGCCGGCAGACAAGGGGGATGAAATCATATCGGAGGTAACGCTGCGGGGGGGGGAGTTTGGGAGGTACACGCCAGCTGGGCGAGGTAGACGGATGGCGACCATGATGAGGAATGGAAAGAGAATGATTTGAAGATAGAGATGAAGATGGATGAAAGAAAACATTCCAAGAATTCGAGAGCTGGGAAGTAAATAAATCTCCCCATGTACTCAGGGGGTGAAAAGAGGGGAACCTGGCTGGATGGATATAAATACCCAGGATTAACCCGACATGATGGAATCCAACGAGGGACTGAGTGACCATGTTAAGCGCCTGTTGGCTGTGCCATGTCAGCAATTATGTAGGACCAGGCACATTTCCTGCACGCCTGGCACACACCCGTTGATCTACGGTCTACCTCGACTTCTAAAAAAAGACTACTACTGTCGACAGGTACCGGGTAGGTAATTATAGGTACTCTCGTACCGAGTACAGACAATGTACCGAGTACTTTCTGCCTGACGATCCCTGCCCCATCCTGATCTTGGCGCCAAGACGCTTATCTTGGGTGACAGAATAATTCTGTCATTTGTAATTGGTAATTTCTTATCTCATATAATTTCTTATCTCCACTTGCCAAGAATATCCGCCTTGTCCTTGGCATTCTCTACCTTCCTCCGCCTTCTTCATCTATCATCCTCCCTTGAGGGCTGTTACTTCTCCTCTCTTCTCTTCCCTCATACATAACAACAATGGGTATCGTCGAGAAAGATGACGGGATCACACAGGTCTCATTCAACAATCCGCTCCCTTACGATGCGTCCACAACGGAAAAGGGCGTCATTGAAGAGCCCCAACAGAATGAGCTTCATCGTGCCCTCAAGGCTCGTCATATTACGATGATTGGTAAGTGGTGGTGGTGCTAATCACCCTAACTATCACAGAATGTCCCTCCAAGAAGATCCCCAAGTATTAACTTGTCATCTAGCCATCGGTGGTGCGATTGGTACCGGTCTCATTATTGGAACCGGTTCAGCTCTGAAAAAGTAAGCAAGATATTCAATTCCTTGGACGAACCCGTACTAACCCATATCTAGGGCTGGTGTAAGTATCCTCCCATTATCATTGTTACACATTTTTTAACTGAAGCACAGCCAGGTTCTATCCTGATCTCATACTCCTTCATGGGCTTCATCGTCTATCTCGTCATGTGCGCTCTGGGAGAAATGGCGACTTGGCTACCTCGTTCATCGGGCTTTACTGGTTATGCCGTTCGGTTCTGTGATCCTGCCCTGGGGTTTGCCCTGGGATATACGTATGTCCCTCACTCTCCTGTCTGCTAGCAGCGACTAAACCACCAACAGATACTGGTTCAAATATATCATCGTCACACCCAATCAATTAACGGCAGGCGCCCTGGTCATCCAATTCTGGTTACCCGCCGACAAAGTCAATCCGGGAGTATGGATCACCGTCTTCCTCGTGTTGATCGTCTCCATCAACTACTTTGGCGTAGGCTTTTTTGGGGAATTCGAATTCTGGCTCTCCTCCTTTAAGGTGGTGGTCATTATCGGTCTCATCCTGCTGTCGTTCATCCTCATGCTGGGAGGTGGCCCCGACCACGACCGCAAAGGCTTCCGTTATTGGAGGGACCCCGGGGCCTTCAACACCTATATCGACGACGGTGCGGCCGGTCGCTTCTACGCCTTCTGGTCCACCATGGTCTCCGCGACCTTCGCCTATCTCGGGACCGAACTGGTCGGAGTGACCGTCGGAGAAGCCCAAAACCCTCGCAAGACCATCCCGCGCGCCATCAAACTCACCTTCTTCCGAATCCTCTTCTTCTACATCCTGAGCGTGCTCCTCGTCGGCACCCTCGTCCCCTACAACTCTCCCGAACTGAACGCGGCCACCACCAAGTCTTCCTCCGCCGCCGCCTCGCCCTTCGTCGTCGCCATCGAACTGGCCGGCATCCCCGCGCTCCCGGACATTCTCAACGCCTGCATCCTGCTCTTCGTCTTCTCCGCGGCCAACTCCGACCTCTACATCGCCACCAGAACCATCTACGGCCTCGCCAAGGAAGGCAAGGCCCCCAAATTCTTGGCCAAGACTGACCGCCGCGGTGTCCCTTGGGTTGCCCTCATAGTGTGCGCCTCGATCGCCTGCATCGCCTACATGAATGTGTCCAGCGATTCCAAGACCGTCTTCGGCTACTTCGTCGACCTCGTCACCATCTTTGGTCTTCTCACCTGGATCTCCCTCCTGGTCACCCACATCTGCTTCGTGCGCGCCCGCACCGCGCAGCAGGTCCCCCCGAGCGAACTCGCCTACACCGCGCCCTTCGGCATCTACGGCTCATACTTTGCTCTCTTCTGGTGTACCATCGTCGCCTTCACCAAGTCCTTTGATGTCTTTGTGCATGGCAAATACGGCAACTTCAACTACAAGACCTTTATCACCTCTTACCTGGGGATCCCCCTCTACATAATTCTCATCGTTGGATACAAGGTCGTGACCCGGTGCAAGCGCGTCAAGCCCGAAGAAGCGGATCTCTGGACCGACAAGGACATTATTGACCGTGAAGAGGCTGCTTATTTGGCTCAGGAGGAGGAGCGGAGGGCAGCCCAAGGGGAAAAAGCCGGCAAGGCTAACTGGTTCTATAATACTTTTCTCGCGTGGTTGTTTTAGCCTCTCTGGTTATTTATTTTTGGGGGGGGGGCTCTTTCGGTCTCTCTTGTCTTGCACGGATATATATGTAGGTTGCTCCTTTTATGCTTCCAGTCGCGTATGTATATATCCTAGTTGAGTTACAATGAAATGATGGAAAGTTCTCATTATTCTGCTGATTACTACGACTGCTATAATAAAACATAGTGTCTTTTACTAGTAATATATAAGGTCAAAATCAAGCAGTAGTTGTAATATCAATGCGAACCTAAATATAAATATACAAAAAAAAAAAAAATTAAATAACGTTGTCAATTTTCCACACAAAATCGGATTTTTTTTTTTTTTTTTTTTTTGGTTTTGTTTGTATTTACCAACTCCCAACCAAGCCCCAGACCGAGCCAATCGCCTAAATGTTATGCTCATTAGTCATTACAGTCATCCACGGAAACACAAAGACTACACGGTAAGTGCTACCCAGTCACCTAGTTAGGGAAAAAGGAAGGTACCCGAATACCTAGCCTGGAGGGGGGATAGGTGGTTTATCGGCGTCGTCGGAATTCCAGCGTGTGCTGGTTCTCCCAACTTAGGGGCTCCCATTCGGCATCTTCTTCTGCTGCTGCTGCTGCTGCTGCTGCTGCTGCTGCTGCTGCTGCTGCTGCTACGACGGTCTCATCCAAGTCCTCAGTCGGGGTGTGGTTGGAGTTTGAATCATCCAAATCTTGGTCGGGGAGAGTGGTCGCGGAGTGAGGAGCAGCGTGGAATGGGACGTCTTCCGGTTCGATAAACTGCAGATCTGCGTCCCAGTCAATCTCCTCGACGCTCTCCTGGGCAATCAGGAATTCACCCAGTTTCAGCACCGCATTGAAGGTCTCCTTTCCGGTTGGGATAATATACTCGGACGGGAGGAGAAACCCATAGCTTCCTCGATCGCGCAGTTTGATTTGGTATGCGTAGCGAGTGTGCATCTGGTGATAGAACCAGTCGAGCGCGCTACCGCCCGAGCTACCGCCAACAGGGGAGAAGCTCTTGGCGGAGGATTTATCCGCGGCGGTCACAATGCCCTCGCACGCCGAGGTGACATCGTAGATCTCGTGCGTCGTCAATCGGATGACCTTGGCAAGGCCGAGGCCGAGCTCTTCCAGGCTCTCTAGTGTCGGTGGGATGGAGGAGCAGGAGAAGGCAAAAGGATAAAGAATTTGCTGGGAGTAGGAATGGAGGTCGACAAACCCCATGATCTGCGCGTTGTTGTTGTGAGTCTCGTTCAGAGCCCACTGCGCCAATTGTCGAGCCTCGAAACCCTCAAACGCCTCCTCTCCGGCGTAATTCTCGGAGCAAGGGTTCGAGTGTGTCTTTTCACCATCCCATTCAAAGCCCCAGGATCGATCCAGATCAATTCCAGGGCAGAATCGGAAACTGGTCGGCTGTCGGTTCTTACGCCACAGGCGGTCAGTATCCCAGGAATAGACATAACCGTCCGGGTTGAGAGTCGGAATTAGGACCCAGTCGTAGTCCTGTAACAAGCGCGTCACGGCCCTGGATTTCCCATACTTAGTAATCAAGCCATACGCAACATACGTGACCGTCGAGGTACTGATCCATTCCCGCGCATGGCTGCCTCCAACTATCAGAATCATGGGGCGGGGTCCAGATGCGTCGGGGTCTGGATTTGCTGAGAGTCGGAATGCGGGAATCTCGCGGCCCTCAAAGGACACTCCGATATTGATCAATTGCACATGGCCAGGGAACATCGAAGCCATCAGCTGCATCCAAGGAACAATAACCGACAATGGTTGGTAGTCACGGAAGAAGAGCTGGGAGGACGGGCGGGTGGGCGGACTGAAGGCGGGATGGCCCTCCAGCCCAATGGGTCGACGGCTGGGATATGTAGCATATATCATCTCCGCTAGGTTATCAATCAAGGGAGTGTAAGCGGTTTGAAGGGAGTCTGGTAACAGGCCCAACAGGGAGGGAATCTGAAGGATTAGCATCATCATCATCATCATCATCATCATCATCATCATCATCATCATCATGATGTCAGGTAGAATTGAGGGAGTCACTTACGACTTCTTGCGCCAGGCGGATATCGACAAACTCGGGAGTAGAAGCCCAGACATCCAAGAAAAGAATTTCCGTCGCCTCCACCAAGGCCTCCGCCTCCTGCAAATTGCCCACCTGGAAGCGAAGTACAACGTCACTACCATAGCGAGAGACCCCTGGGGAAGGGGGAGTATGATCGTGGATAGGGAACCGGGTGGAAGAGGGTTTGGGGATTCCCCAGATCGACTCAATGATCCAGTCCCGAACACGGACCCATGGTCTTCGAGGGTTCGAATGCGACGATAAGAGAGAGAGAGGTTCAAGAGGAGGTGGAGGTGGAGTAATGCTCGAGCCAGCGGGGACAGCGGCGATTCTAGTAACCGAAGCGACCAGGAGGAGGAGATGAAAGAGTGACAAAAGCGAACGCATTTTGGGGGAGGGGTAAAAAACAAAAAAAGAAAAAGAGAGAAAAAAAAATAGAAGATCTCACAGGATCATCCTCTCTTGGGGGAGAAGAGATGATGGGATCGTGAATCCGATGATAGAGATGATGGTTTTGATGATGGTAGAGAGGAAGAGAAACGGGTGAAGTGAAGGTATTCAGAATCTCTTTTTTCGCCGAAGCCGAAGTTGGGCTGGCGGTGCTGGTGGCCTGAGGCAGCCACGATGTTTTATACTGGTTCTCTTGTGCTTCACCGGTGGAATTGGAAAAGATCTCACTAAAAGGAAGGATTCTACGGAGCAGGGGATACCAATTTACTTACAGTTTCAGGGATATATTCTTTTTCCACCAGATCAGGGTCATGCCGTCCAAAGCCGGGCTCGGAATCGTAGCATTTCCTCCTCGCTAGGCATCAAGATATCTCTACTCCGTACCTATGCTTATATATATAATTATAGATAGTTAGTTATATACATATATACACGTGTATTTGTATTATTCTACAGGGATGATTCATTATTAGGTAGAAGAAAAAGCGGTTGTCCCACTCCTATTTTTGTATGGCTTTTCCAATTGCTCCAGTTCCTATATAAAGGTCCAGCTAAGAGGTCTAGACTCTCCACAAAATCTCTCAGGAATTTTAGTTCTTTTTTTCCAGCGGCTCATGTCCTCTGGTATGATTTCTAGAATCGAACAGTTGGTATTCGGAATCAGATAGAAATTTCCTTGCCTGGGTACAGTCTGGTCTCTCTTCTCGTGGTTACTCTACAGGTTTCGATCATGAATAGCAACCACTAGTTATAGAATTCGTCCTCAAATGGTTCCTCTGTCTTTATTCTCCCAAATATAACTTCCTCAGAGACAATCGAGAAAATTTGATCCAGAATATTCCAATAGTGCCAAAGTTGAGACAACAACGGTCTGGATAAAGATAGAAACACCATAGTTGTACTGTACATACATCCTACATACACTCTACATACTACATTATGTATAGTTACTCGTCCTCCACCATGACTGTGAATATAAAGCTTTCAAAGAATATAATACTTCAAAAATATAATTCATATTCTAAAATATTCAACAACATCGTGTAAACCGCCGAGAAGCCACACGTGCCCCAATCCGGCCGCCATCATTTTTTCTTGTCTTGTCACCTTCAGCTCCGTCATCCTCATCCTCATCCTCTTATTCTTCATCTCCTTCTTCTTCTTCATCTCCTTCTTCTTCTACTGCTTCTTCTTCTTCTCATATTTGCTTATTATTCTGCTTCTCACCTCCTTTCCGTGCTGCTAACATCCCTTTCCCTCCCTCTGTCTCCAAAATCTCCCCTCGTACGCGCTACGGACGACTGCCTACAGGGCTATTTATCTAATCTCCCTATTTCCACCCACGACCACTTTCCTCTCGATCGACCTCACGACAACCTGGAAATGTGAAAAAGAAAAAGGCTCGACCTTACTATTGTCGCTCTGAATTTGTTTGGGCTTTCTTTTTCCCCTTGTCCCTTATATTTGCGTGATCGACCGTTTACGTACCCCTGCCTCCCCCTCCTCCCTTCCCCCCCCCCCCCCCCCCCCCTATTTGCGGGTTTCACTCTTGCTTCATCTACGACCAACTTTGCTGCGCTTGTCTACGCTGCTTCGACTGGATACAATTTCCTTCTCGACTCTTTCGCGATGACCTCTGATTTCGAGTAATGGTGGCCCCCCTTGATATAATTCGCCAACAAGAACTCTCTCTCTCTCCGACGCGCACCCTATCCCTATCCTCCCCCCCCCCCACCCCTCGAATCGCAACACTACAAGCCCTGGATAAGACGGGCGTGATTGAAGGCCTGCTGCTGCTTATGGGTCTTTCAGACAGTCCCCGCTGCAGCATCATCTAGAATCGGGGCCGTAGACCCTTCCGTCGCCATGCATTGGAAGGGCTTACGAATCGGCACCTTATATGACAGCGAATCGAAGCGGAATCTCGCCGAACCACCCCTACGATCCCGCCATAGCGAACAGCTGTCTCGTAGCACCCTCTCAGCTACCAACTTGGTCCCAAGGAACTCTGAATCCTCCCCGCGCTCTCCGACACTTTCGGGACCTGGCGATGACGATCAAGATGATCCAGACGTGGGCAGGAATGACATGGCACCCGCATCAAACACGACAGTCAGGTCAAAAAGTTCGGGATTATTACACCCGAACGGCGATGTCTCGAATTCGCGCAGGAATCGCTTTAGTATCATGAGGCTTCGCCATGCTTCTGATCCGCAGTTATCGAAGTCCTATGCTAAAGCGGAAGGGGACACTGCTCCTCCGCTCCCCCAAATGCCCCCACGTAAGTTCCACCACTCCTGTCCACCACCACCACCACCACCCTCCTCCCCATGCTTCGCTCTCCTCAGAACGCTGATAGATGCTATCTATGCCTCTCCAGCTCCCACCATAATCACAACTGCCCCCACAAGTCACGAATTGGACCAGCCCCTAAAGAAAAAAAGCAAACTCCGCATCCTCCCAGAGTCGAGAAGGCCGTCAACGGAGGAACTTTCGACCCAGCGACCTGTCTCTGATCACAAGCCTCACCATGATCCTCAGGGTTCAACAGGTCCTCAGACCACCGATCCATCCTTGTCAATGTCGCGAATCAGTACGGAAGAAGCGGGGCGCTTGTCCACGACGTCGATTCGAAGCGCTGGCCGCGACCGTCCCAATGGCTCTCATCGCTCTTCCGTGGTGGACGTTCGGTTTTCCGAGTCTTCTCGCTCCGATCAAAGCCTTGGAGATAACAAACTCCTACCATCCCATTCCCCTAATAAAGCTCCAGTTTCTAGCGGGAAGCGATTTCGCATGCCACGTCTAAAACGCAATCGCGGTCCTTTATTCCCCTTGCCTCCCAAACCCTCGGAGAATCCGTCTAGGGATGGATCAACCCCAGATTTCACCCGGTCGATGTCGGCCCCAGATGACTCCGACCCAAAGTTTGACCCTCCGGATGGTCAAGATCATGTCTCCCCTCTGCCGTCTCCTTCACGGTCCTCGGTGGGATTGGCATCCGCGCGCCCTCCGCTTCTCCGAAAAGATTCATCAAATTCCACGCATTCGGCGCATTCTACCCCTTCAACACGAAATGTTCGGAATCGAAATCTGCTGCAAACTAGAGCGCGATCTTCAACTCTGGACTCGGTGGTCAATATTCGAGACGGCGACCACCAGTCGTCCCCCCATTTTCCTTCGTCGAGTCGAACGTCGGTATCCACCACCGGACGCAAGAGCTTTGGTGATATTTTTGGCATCTCCCAACGGCTCAGGCAGAACTCGGAGCCAGCCTACCTCCGAAATGGGTCGCCAAATGGTACCAAAGGCGCATCCACTCCGCTCACCAAACTCCAGCCGTGCCCCGAGCGAGAGGAAGGGGACACTCCTGCAACCTATCTAACGCGACTCGAAGAGACTATGCCTAAAAGTACAATCGCTGGCGTCCTATCCCAGTCAGGGGACGACTTTTTCAAGACAGTGCTGCGAAAATTTATGCGAGGATTTTCCTTTTTCGGTGACCCCATTGATATGTCTATCCGGAAGCTTTTGATGGAGGTTGAATTGCCCAAGGAGACCCAGCAAATTGATCGGTTTCTGCAGAGCTTTGCCGACCGATATCATGAGTGCAACCCGGGGATCTTTGCATCTACAGGTATGTTGATCTCTTCTGTTCCCCGATCCCTTTATTTTTTTCGTCGTTAACTTTTGATGTTATATTTATGTCTTTAGACCAAACATATTTCATTGCTTTTTCGATTTTGATCTTGCACACCGATGTCTTCAACAAGAACAACAAACGAAAAATGCAGAAACCTGACTATGTGAAGAATACCCGGGGGGAAGGCGTATCGGAAGATGTCCTGGAATGTTTCTATGAGAACATATCCTACACCCCATTCATCCGCATCGAGGATTCGAATCTTGGTGCGCGTCACTTGCCCAAACCCCGCAAAGCTTTGTTTCGTGTCCCCAGTTCCGAACATTTATCCCGCGTCGCTAGGGAGCCGGTAGACCCCTACACCTTGATTATGGATGGGAAACTTGACACTCTGCGTCCAAGTCTCAAGGATGTCATGAACTTAGAAGACACCTACAGCTGTGATCCAACAACCGGCCCCCCAGACATGGACTCCTTGCATCATGCGTTTGCGCAGTCGGGGATCTTGCAGATAGTCTCGGCACGGTCGCGCCCGGATGCGTTCATGCCCGCAAGCCTGGATAATCCGGCTGACTCAAACCCGGGGTTGGTCGATATTAAAGTGGCCAAAGTTGGATTGCTCTGGCGCAAGGACCCGAAGAAGAAACGAGCCCGATCGCCATGGCAAGAGTGGGGTGCCCTCTTAACCTTGTCACAACTATATTTCTTCAAGGATGTCAATTGGGTCAAATCCCTTATGGCTCAGCGCGACTCTCATCTCAAAGACGGCCGGCGGCGACCCGTGGTTTTCAAACCTCCCTTGGCCGACTTCAACCCCGATGCCATGATGTCTACAGATCACGCTGTGGCTCTCCTCGATACGGCCTACAAGAAACATCGGCATGCTTTTGTTTTTGTTCGCTCGAACTCCTTAGAGGAGGTTTTTCTGGCCAATACAGAAGCTGACATGAACGACTGGATATCGAAACTCAACTACGCCGCTGCTTTTCGAACCACAGGAGTCGGAACCAAAGGGATGATTGTTACCAATTACGATTCCCAACGGAATCGAATGAGTCGTCGACCCTCTCTGGATTCTCTTAGTTCCCAAGTTTCTACAGAAAAAGACATGTCAATGAGCCCAGATGCTGGCGCGACAGAAGAGCTGGTTCAAGCCCGAAAAAGCCTCATCAAACAAAAAATCAAAGAAGCGAATGAAGCGCTATTCGTATCCCAGAAGCAGCTCGATGATCTCCTGAGAAACGCTCGACACCTGCAGGTCTTGACGCCGGTGCACCCCCGTGCACGAGAACAGCTGATCATGGCTGCTGGGCGCATGGCGGCGAAACTCAAGTGGGTGAGGCAAGAAATCTGGCGCACTAAGAGCCACCGCGAGGTCCTAGTTCGAGACTTAGGCGAAGAGGATGACCATCAAGCGCCGCCCGCCGGCGTGCCACGACAGCTTCGTTTGCAAATACCTACCATGAATGCTCCTTTGGCTGAGTCGGAGGCCGTTGTGGAGAGCCCTGGTGAGCAGCTGGTGTCTCCGATGACGGAAGCATCTCCATGTACTGGCCCTGAGAAGCCACCATCGCTCAGTACTCACCTATGTTCCCCATCTTCTGCCTTGACGGAGGTACGACGATCTAGCCTCGCAGCTTCGTTGACCTCCCCGGATCTCGCCACTCGCGCTGGTCGGCTGTTTTCCGTAGAGACTACCCAGGAGCGCGCACAGTCCGCGTCGCCTCACCCAGCCCATCGTCTTGAACGCGAAGCCTCAGTTCTTAGCGCGAGTAGCAAGATGGACGTGTCGAGCCTCGCCTCTCGCACTTCTAAGCGCACGCTTCCTGGGAGCTTTGATGATGGAGAAGAACGCCTTCTTCGTGAAGCCGGGCTGCTAGAGGTGACCAGTTCACCACCCTCTACGCGGAAAGGATCCCTCGCAGTGGAGGGAGCTGAGCCCGACCAGAAACTGGATGAAGCCGCCGATGGATCTCAAAGCGAACAGATGCGCCGTGTACGTCGCAGCTTCCACCGCACATTACGGGATTCATCAAGTGGTCACTACGGCAACTACCTTCGAAGCAAAAAGTCACGAGACGCAGCCGCCACCATCCCAACCGCTGAGGATAACCAAAGCAACGGCGAAGCAGCCGGTTTATCAAGAAAGGGAGGTAGCTTCACTGTGCATGGTAAAAAGGCATCTATTGTGACCTTTGGGTCTGAATGGCAGAACATGCCGCCCGAGGAGCGTTTAAAACTCCGAAAACCGACCCCCTTGGAAGAATCTCGCGCAGCAGACCCGGGAATTGTCAGCACGGAAGACTCGATCCTCTCTGACCCATGTACGTCAATGGAGATCCCTGAAAGAGCCCCCAGCGAAGAAAAGCCAGACAATGATCTAGAGCGTCGCTCGATCCGCTCTGAGAGTGCAGTCTCCGCAATCTCCCAAGTTGTGTCTACTCCAAAGCCCCCGATGTCTCACGAGGATCAAACCTCCTCAGTGCCAGTCAATGACACCACCCTCGACGAGGCCCGGACATCGGCCCTACCACCTAGTCCACCTGAACAGGCAGTGAATGCATAAAAAAAAAATCATTTGATTTGGATTATAGTTATCAAGCATGATCTGTTGTTCTTGTTATGAATTTATACCCTTTCTTTCTTTCTGCTTTCTTTCCTTCTTTCTTTCTTGTGGTTTACTTCTTCCGAGCGTGTATGGTTTTCTTTGCAGCTCACTTTGACACTTGGAGCCAAAGCGATAGAGTCGGCGCCTTCTAGGTATAGCGCCTCTTTTTTTCCCCCTTTCCTTTTTCTCTTAGAGCCCTGTACAGGCTCGATGATTACACACGTTTTGAGTGGGGTGGGATTATTGTCATTCTTTTGGGCTTCGGGACATGGGTGGGTGGAACTTGTCTGGAGGCTGGATTATTACAGGAAAGGCGATATAGGTATGCAGCATATACTGTGGAATGAATTACAAAAGTCAGGACTTGATAACATATATTCCTGTTCTTCACTAAGGCCTTTTCATGAGGAGGCTCTCTTTCTCTGGTCCTTTGTAAGTGCCTCGTTCATAACAAAACCCTCACCTAGGCCGTTCACCTCAGTCACTTCACCCTGAGTCTTGTTTTGGGCGCCGAGAACACGACTGCACAGAGCAGTTTATTCCTTCATGACCCTCTTCCTCTTCCTCTTTCTCTTTCTCTTTCTCCCCACTCATCATCCCCTTCCTTCCCTTAACTCCTCAACTCTTTCCCCCCCCTTCAAATCTCCATTTCTAGTATTGAGCTCTATCAATCTTCCACCTTCTCATGGTCCTTCTCCTGTCTTTGGAGAAAAGGAGATAGGATCAAAGCACATCCCCCCCCTTCTATGGCGCTTGACAGCGCTCCTTCACCTGCCTTATTTCCCCTGTCTACTCATCTTTTTGCCCTGGCAATCCAGATCGCTAGAGGACTTGGCCGTGTTACAGACTGGCTGCTTCTATTGGATTCAGCATTTTCCCCGAGTTGGAGATATTCCTTTCAGGATTTACTGACTGTGTTTGTCATGATGATGGCGCAGAAGTTGTTAGGTTTTGGATCGTCACGTGAGTCATCCTAGCACCCAGATGTGAATACAGCAGCTGTTTTACAAAAGAAAGAAAGAAAGAATGAAAGAATGAATGAATGAATGAATGAAAGAATTCACATAGTAACTGATCTTTATTCACACAGAGTCTGAGAGCCAGCCAACCAATACCCAGTTGCTGGCACTTCCTGGTCACCACCGCAGTGGTGGAAGGCCTGTGGTTGAGATTCGAGAGCGTATCTACAAGGATGCGTTTAAAAGACAATATGTCAACAGTTATGTCGGGTTTGGTCTCATTTCAAACCAGACTATCCCGGCGGGCACAATCTTGTTTGTCGATCGGCTTTTCGCCGTGTGGAGAAGCGAGCAAAAGGACTGCAAAAGCCTGCACCAGGCCAATGACCTGATCCAGAAGAAGGCGCGTGCTTTGGGTCCCAAGTGGTTCAACCAGTTCCTGATGCTGTCTCGTCCCTCTGAGCAAAAGCTCGGCACGATGGCAGCGATCTACAATGCCCATCACGTTGTGGTGGCGTGGGGCGACCAGGTCGGCGGCGCCGTGGGCCTCAACCTGGCGTGGATGAATCACTCTTGCATTCCGAATTGCACCCTCTCCATCGTCGACAAGCATCCCGTGCATCGAAGCCATGGCCGTCCCCCGCGCCGCGTGGGACGCGCCGTGGTGCGCACCTGCGCGGAAATTGCTGCCGGCCAGGAGCTCACCATCCCCTACGCGTATATCAGCGGAGTGCGCGCCGCCAGACAAAACGAGACCTTTGGCCGGTTCAATTTCCGATGTGCCTGTCGCGCATGCCACGAACCGCAAGTCGCCATTGAAGAAACCCTTGACCAACACAGCGGGGTCCAGTACACGATCGACCGCAAGGACATCATCGCCAACCACCCGTCGCTCGCGATCCAGTTCGCCTACAATCTCATCTGGCAGTCGGTCCGCAGCCGGATGTACGATCTCCGCGTGGCCATGCTCTGGGTGAAATGCGCCCTCATCGCCGCGCACCACTCGGACCTGGGCCGTGCGCAGTGCTTCCTCGTCCGCGCGCGCCAGATGGCTCTCATCCTCGAGGGTCCGCACGGCGCGCTCTACCGCCAGGTCTCGCACTGGTATCTGGCTCCCACTCTGATGCCCGGGTACGGCGGCACGCGGCGCGGCCTGTCGACCCCGCTGGACGCCCTCACGATCTTCCATCACAAACGCCAGTCCCGCAATGTCCTCTTCATGCTGGGCTGTGACCCGAACGAGTACATCCGGATCCGTCGCTACCGGTTTCTCCGGCCCGGGGACGCGAATTTCCAGGCCGGGGAGCTCCGCTATGAAATTCTTCCGGACGTGGACCATGCCCCTCCACCGCTTATCATCGATCCGAATGAAGACGAGGGTAAGAGCAAGGCTCGGGATCGTCAGGACCAGCGCGGTGAGAAGACGACGCAGAACCAGGACCAGAACCAGAACCAGGAGAAGAAGAAAAAGAAGAAGAAGAAGACGAAGAAGAAGGCAAAGGGTGGAGCTGGGAAGGGCTGCGTGGATCCCGAAAAGGATTTCCTGGATCTGTTCTTGGAGGTGGTGGATAATTTCGAGTGTCCGGAGTGCGCGAAGGAGGCATCCAATGCTGATTGTGGAGCTGGAGCTGGAGCTGGAGCTGGAGCTTGTGCTGGAGCTTGTGCTGGTGCGGATGCTCATGCGGAGGGTAAACCTGGTGCGGCTGTGCCTGGACAGAACGCAAAGAATGAGATGCAAAAGGTCAAGGAGAAAGCAGTCAAAGAAGGAGCTGAGAGAAACCCCAAGAAGGGTGAAGAGAAGAACAGTGCCCCCCAGCAACCTGAAGAGCCAGCTGAGCCAGCCGAGGGAGCTGAGGGGCCTCAGAAACAGAAGAAGAAGCGCAAGGGAAGAAAGAAGAATGGATGCAGAAACGATGCCACGGCTGAGCCTGTCATCCAGGATGTGGGAGCCGAGAAGCAGGTTGTGTTAGTGGAGGCTCCAGGCTTTCCCGGCCGTAACGAACAGGCTGAGCAGCAAGATGCTTGAGTTGGGGATGTGGATCAGGAGTGATACATTGGTGAATGGTGAATGACCCAGATAACTAGCTAATAATGAGCCTTTTTTTGAGTCTGACCAAGTGGCGAGACATTGGCTTTCATGTATGTACAAGTGATAGGAATCAACTAATGAATTGACATGCAACTATGAGAGATTGACTGCGGAATATATATAAATACATATATAGTCCCAAAACAGCAATCCTGAAGCTAGACAGATTACCCAAAGCGGAAATCTCCAAGATCGCCAGCAGCATCATTTTTCGTGTCCAGAGATTCCTCTGATCTGAACTGAACATAAATGCCATCCCAATTCCAATCCCAATTCCAATCCCAATTCCAATCCAAATAATCCCATCCTCATCATCTCTCAATGTCAAAATCCAGCTGCCACTCTGGCTTATATAATCTTTCCGTCATCAGAAATTTGATTTGCTCCCAAGGTTCTCTTCTTCGGCTTCCAAGGTTCTCTCTCTCTCCTCTTCCTCTCTCTCTCTCTCTCTTCTTCTTCTTCTTCTTCTTCTCCTCTCTATCCCATCTTCATCAATCCCCCCCCCCCCATGGCTGCCTCTAACGACCTCCGGGGTTGGGTTATGAGTGCGGTCTCTGGCATCGGTGAGTTCTCTCAATGGGTTTCTTCCTCTTCTTCCATCTGTGTTTCTTCACGCTCATGTCAACTAGCTTGTGTCCTTGGATCGGCCGTCATCTGTGTTGATGTGCTGCTACAACGCTTCACTCACGGGAGCAGCTTTCAGATTGTCTACCACAATGGTTTTCTCTCTGCCTCTCTCAGTCTCAGTGCCGGAGTAATTGTAAGGACAATCCAGGTCCCGGAGCTTTCTGTTGGGAATGTTAGTCTGATGTGGAAACAATCCCCAGCTGTTCACCTCGTTGTATAGTATGCTCCCGACTGCTCGCGAATACCTGATGAAAGCTGGCTGGTCCCACGCTCGTTCTGCCTACACACTTATTGGCTTGTTTCTCGCTGGTGTTATCGGGATTCGCCTTCTCTCCGCCTTGATCCACCGTTATCTTCCATCGCACGTGGTGGATTGCGCCCACACCCACGAGCGCTCACTTCACGACCACCCCGATCCAGAACGCGGCCAGGTCCCCCACAAACACCACGAGTCCACGGAGCGAACCCCTCTATTAAAAAAGCACTCATCCAATTCCACGTCCGCCGTTGTTGTTGCCCGCCCAGCCCGGGGGGGCCACTCGACCGTTCAGGCTCCCCGCTCCTCCAATCCCGACCCATGGCCGGTCCGTTTCACCCGGCGCTGGAAGACAGTTATGGGAGGTGTCAAGCCCCAGTGTGATGAAAATGGTCCATGCTATGGGGTTTCTCAGGCTTGTGGCAATGAATGCTCCAAGACCCTTGTTCCCACCACCCCCGTCCTCACGGCAGACCATGCGTCGGGTCCAGTTCCGGATCTGCCTCCGCCTCTTCACACCACTCCCGATGGGTCCAGTTCTTCCTCTCATACGGGGCTGGACGAAGAACCCGGGTCGTCCCTGGCGGAGCCGGACGGGCCTACCAAGCAGCTACCGCTCACAAGCAGCCCGCAACACCATCATCACGTCCCCCAGAATGCGTTTCTATCGATTGGACTTCAGACCTCCGTAGCCATTGCCCTACACAAGCTTCCGGAGGGTTTCATCACCTATGCTACCAACCACGCGAGCCCCACCCTTGGCACCACGGTCTTTTTAGCCCTATTCATCCACAATATTAGTGAAGGATTCGCGATGGCTCTCCCCCTGTATCTGGCCCTCCACTCGCGCGGTTGGGCCATGTTCTGGTCTAGTCTCTTGGGCGGCATCAGTCAACCGCTTGGGGCGGCCCTGGCGGCCATCTGGATCTGGGGCGCGCAGCGAGCCGGAGGTCACAACCCATCGGAGGTGTCATGGGCCGTCTATGGGTGTATGTTTGCGGTGACTGCCGGCGTCATGACTTCCGTCGGGTTGCAGTTGTTCACGGAAGGGTTGGTCTTGACACATCAGCGGGGTATGGCGATCGGGTTTGCCGTCGGAGGAATGGGGTTGATGGGCCTAAGTTTTGCCTTGACGGCATCATGAATTTCCGCATACAATGGATGGCGTTATTTTCTTCTCTATTTTTCTGTTCCCCTCTTGCGTTCCTCCTCAGGGAATAAAGCCTCCTCCTTCCTGCACTGTTTATGCATCTGTGTGGACTTTGATTGCGAGTGAGCCTCTTTTTTGTTTTTTTTCCCCCCCCCAGACTAGACAGGTTCTAGAATCGCTACGAGTGATGACATTAATCTATACATATATTTACAAGCAAAGCGTTCAGGGCACCTTGAGCAATCCGGGATGGTTTGTATAAAATTCATAGCTCATAGTTAAATCTGCAAAAAAAAAAAAAAAAAAAAAAAAAAAAAAAAAAAAAAAACGCCCTGTATGCAGTTCGAATCCAGAATATTAAAAGAGGTATCAGGAACAAAGCGTGAGGGTGATTGTTCGTAAGAATGGAGGAGGTAGGTAGGGTTTAGGATCCCTTTGCAGCCGCTGCCTCTCGCTCCCTCTTACGTGCCAGATATCGTTCCCGCGCGCTCAACACGTCCCCGGCGGATTTCTGACTGCGACTGCGCTCTGTAATCTCCCTTTGCTGTGCTGCTGCCGTCTCCGCTTGCTGCCGCGCTTGCTCCTCCAGCTGGGCAGCGATCATTTCGGTTTGACGCGCACGTTGGCCCGCCGCGCGTGCGCCCATCGCGCGAGAATCCATGCGGACCCCAGCACCGCTGCCGGCCGGTACATTCCTCGCCGAATCAGCGGGAGTCATCGCAGCTTGCTTGGGTTTCGGCGCGACGTTCAATCCCGCCGACAGTAACTGCCGCTTATCCACCACTTGGCCTTCCTCGTTGATGGCAATCTTGGCCCCGCGTGCATTCAGCTCGGCCGCTACCTGGGCGGCGGTCTTCTCCGCGGACTCCTCTGCTTCGGGGGCGGCCGCGTCGCCGCCCGTCTCCTGGATCTTTCGCGCCGCCTTGTCCGCCGCCCGCATCACAGCCTCATGCTGCTCCTCGCCACGCGACAGCAAGTCCCGGTAGAACCCCACCATCCCGGACCCCCCGTGCTTCCGCCGCCGTTCCTCCTCCTCCCGCTCCCGCTGTGCTTCTTCCTCTTCCACCTTCCGCAGCTCCGCCTGCTGCGCTTTATACGCGGCCGTCACGAACTTCTCCTTCTCCGCGAATTCGTCGCCCTCGGCTTCCCGCTCCTTGGCGAGCAGGCGGTCCCGCGCGCGCAGCTGGTCTCGTTTCCGTATCTCCGCGCTCCGGAGCAAAGATCCCATGTATCGCGGTCCGTCTGCGCTTCCTCCTTCTCTGCTACTAGCACTAGCACTAGCACTAGCACTAGCCCCGCCCGGCTTTTTCTCCGGCTTGGCGTGCAAGCTCTCGTAGACCGCGTCGTAGGAGTAAATCGAGGGATCCATGTCCTGTGCATCCGCCGCGTGTTTCCTACTACTGTGCAGCGCAGAGAGATTCGTATACTCCTGTTTCCCTGCGCCCTTGTTCAACTGCTCCGGCAGCATCTGTTTCCGCCCGTTGTCATTGCCATTGCCATTGCCATTCCCGTCGTCGTCGTCGTCAGCATCCGCAAATATCGACGTCTTGCTTAACGGCTTGAGGGAAACGCCCTTGCGCTTTGCTGCTGGCCGACCGCGGCCGCTGTCCCTGTCCGAGCCGGGTTTCGCCGTGGAATCCTCAATCCCTCCGAGTGTCGAGATCTCAACGCCCTCTGCGGGATCGTTGCCGTTCCCCTCCTCATCGGAATCGGAATCGAAGATTGCTTTCTTTCGTTTTGGGGCTGGGGCGCTTTTTTGGCTCGCGAGGTTTAGCCCGTAGGAGAGTCGTGGTGGTGGTGGTGGTGGTGGTGGCATTTCTATTCGTCGGAACCTGGGAATTAAATGATCATGCACTTCGCCATACTTAGGTAGGTCCCTAGGTAGTTGTGTCCGATTGATCGGTTGATGGTGAAGCCTGGAGTACTGGAGGGAATGTTATCGGGGGTGCGTGGTCATGTGACTGGGACTGTTATCACCACGTGAGTGCGTCACATCCGCAGGTCAAGACAGGATAATTGTCAATCCTGCTGTTTTATATACATACTTGTTTAGGGGTATTTATATATATATATATATATATGATTCGGAGGATGAGGTTATTCCATTTCATCTGACGTTGAGTGTATACAGTACTAAACGGCCAAGAATTCATGATATGTCAACTTGATCCGCCATCCGCCATCCATCATCTACACCAACACAACACCAACAACATCCATTGACAAAGAAGAAGAAGAAGAAGAAGAAGAAGAAGAAGAATGTCATACTACTTCACCATCCTCTCCCCCACAGATGTCCCCCTATTCCACATCGCCTTCGGGACCTCGAAAAGCGGCGGGGATGGCATCGCGCGGTTCCGCTTCGCTGATACAGCCCAATACATGAACCAATTCATCATCCATTCGAGTTTAGACATGGTGGAGGAAGCACAATGGATGAACGGAGCAATGTATGTTCTTGTTCTTTCTCTTTCTTGCATTCTTTTATTTACATATTTATTATTATTTCTTCCAGGTACTTGAAACATATCGACACTTACCCCCCCGCCGCCGCATACATCTCCGCCTTCCTCACCCCCTCCGGCGCCCGGTTCCTCCTCCTACATCAGCCGCCTCAGCCGCAGATCCCGTCTAGTGGCGTCGCGGGCTCGAGTTCCCTCACGGGCGGGGGCGCGAGCATCAGTGGCTCCTCGCTTGGTGGTGGTGGCGGCGGCGGCGGCGGCGGGGGGTCGTTGTTATTTGGGTCCTCCGGGGTGTCGTCGCGGGCGTCGAGTAGCTCGATTGCGGCGAATCCGACGGCGCCGCAGACAGAGGAGGCCGTGCGGCAGTTTATGAATGAGGTGTATGAGAATTATGTCAAGACTGTGATGAGTCCGTTTTATCGGCAGGGGATGGAGATTAAGAGTCCTGTTTTTAGGGGGAAGGTGACTGCTGCGGGGAGGAGGTGGTTGTAATAATGTCTTTCTTTTCTTTTCTTGTCTTTTCTTTCATTTAGTGTTTTTGTTTCCTGAGGAGGCGTTGAGATTGGTTCGCACTTTAAGAATAAGATGTTGATCATTCATATAAACGTCCAGTACATCGTCTTAAATCCCTTCCCAAAAAAAAAAAACAAAACAAAATGATTGGAACATGAAAAACCCGCTAAATCATGCTTTCACGCAATTTTCAGGGAACCAAGTAGAGCAAGAGCAAGAGAGAGAGAGAGAAAAAAAAAAGAAAATCAAACTGACATCTGAGGAGCCAGCTTCTTCACGGTGACGGCTTTGAAATTTTCCACCGCTTGCACTACATCCTCCAGTTTAGCCACTGCACCAAAGATCCCTCCCTCCATTTTGACCGATTCTATCGTGTTCACATGCAGATGCGGCTCACTGGCCGTAGTGCCGTCGTCCAGGACAACACAGTCGAACCCCCGGTCGTTGGCTTCGCGCATCGTCGTGCTAACACACACATCGGTGGTGACCCCTGCAAGCACAAGATTCTTGATGCCTTTGTTCCGGAGCAGGAGTTCGAAATCAGTATGGGCAAAGGCCCCCCGGCCGGGTTTATCGATCACCGGTTCGCCGGGGATGGGATACAGTTCGTCAACGGTATCGTGCCCAACCTCGCCCCGGATCAGAAGACGACCGAGAGGACCCGGCGATCCAATCCCGAGTCCAGATCCATTGTTCCTTGACCGATAGGCCTCTCTACTGGAGAGAGTCGATAGATCCGGGCGATGTCCTGGAGGGAGAGGTTAATCTCATTGGGACCGGAATCAAGTCGAACCCAACTTACCTTCGCGAGTATGATAAACCGGAAATCCAGCAGAGCGGAAAGTGTTCAGCAGATGCTGAAGCTTCGGAATCAGTGCCTGCGCGGCAGATATGTCGTAGCCCTGGAATTCCATATATCCACCCGGAGCACAGACCGCATTAAAGTTAGCATCCCAGCGGCCAAAGAAAAAAAAAAAATAAAAAATACACTCCAAAACAAATACTCACAATCTTTTTGCATGTCGATGATAACCAAGGCAGTAGTATACGGCGTGAGGGTCGCGTCATGTGGCCAGTCATACGGAACTGCCGCGATTTGACCCTTCCGGACTTTGTGATGAGGAACCTGCCGGGGTTTCTCTACAATCGGGCCATGGTTGTGGGTGGGATTCAGGACAGTCAATGTCCAGATGCCAGGAGTTCCAGCTGCAACCAGCATGAACGGACAATCCATCAGACGGGAGGTGCGCCTTCGCTTCCTGGTCTCTTCGGTCAGACCGTTCCGCGGGCGGTAGTGGCCACCACGGTCACATCGCAGCCAGACCTTGGCTGTTCGCCCTGGTTTCTTTTCGGTGGGCGTGCTCGATGACTTGACCACCACGTTGTATCCGTGGACTTTCCCGTGTGCCTGCACAGCGGCAAGAAGTGAAGCTCTTTGATAGATCACAAATGTAAGCCGGTGCGCGCGGTCCACTTTTTCACGCCATTGCGGGGCGTTCCGTAGTCAGGAAGTATGGAACAGACAACACTCACTTGTCAGGATACGTTCCCTCCGGTGGAGGAAGAAGCTGCATTGACATCTCCGGGATATCCTGAAGATCGCTGGGCGCGTCGAGATTCAAATCAGTGGGGTCAGCCATGGCGACGACGCGCGACCGGACGGGAATCTAGCACCAGGCATCAGCATCATGGTTCCAACAGTCGAGATTCCAACATAATCAGGAGAAACGGGGGGGCCATCCCAGCGATCTAAGAATGGGACGCGATGAGTGCGTGGAAGCAAATCCTCCCGCGAACTGAGGTTGAACCCGAGATGTTGTCGTGCGTGGATATAGCACTCACAGACCTTCCAATTCCGGCAATTCCAATTTTATTCTCAAGGGGATCCAGGAATTCCGTCGACCAGCCTGGGAGGATATAATTCCGACAGCTTCGAAGCAACGCCGCGCGAATAACTCCGCGAGGCTGGATGGGAGAGTGAGGCCGCCGACGCCTTCAGGTGTGTGTTCGCTACGGGTCACATGACTGCCCGTGACTGCCGGGAACCTCCCCGTGGCAATAATCCTGCGTACGTACGACTAGTAGTAGTAGTATAACTATCTATCTACGGAGTATAAACTCGAGTTGGATTGCTGCCCAACTACGGAGTAGGAACTGAAGTAGGAGTGTGTTTGTGGATGTGTGCTGTAGGATATATCTTGTGGCATTTCTGGTATGTATAGTAACATCAGTACGGAGGAGATCCTTTAACTACGGTAATACATACATATATTATATATAATAATATTTCTATCTTTATCATCATACAGTACATAGTTACTGGATCGTGTAATACCACGCACCTCTCCTAAATACCACCACCCCGTTGTTTGTTCCCGTGGACACAGCTGTCTATCATCACAATCCATCAACAATCCCCTTTCTCTCTCTCTCTCTCTCTCTCTCTCTCTCTCTCTCTCCCTCCTTCCCTCCCTCAACCCTCTGTGAGGGAATGTTGCAAAGGTAAGTCAACTTATTGGGGCTGTTCCCAATCCTCTATTCTCTTCTTTTTTCTTCTTCTTCTTCTTCCTTTTCTCCCTCTTTCCCCTTTTTTGGGGGGGGTACCGTCCACAGTTCGCCGTCGCTCTCTCTCTCTCTATCCGCGACACCGCCTCGGCCCCTCCAACCACCGCTGTCCTCCAGTCCAACACATTTATTATTCGATCCAATCCACCGGGTGCATGCTCTCGATATCTGGTGAGACCGCTGCATAACCCCCCCTCCCCCCGTTGTTTTTAATCTCGACCGCAACCCGTGGACAGCCTCTGACGTGGACCCCTGGAACGTGCGCCCCCTACACCAGCGTTCCTCTGCTGGTGCGGGCATCAGAATGCCTTCTGCCGACGACTCTCCTCCAGCCCGAACCAACGGCTCTAGCGCGAGGTCGGACCAGCTTGCCCATTATAAATCCCAATATGAGCAGCTAGAGGCCGAGTTGGCCGATTTCCAGGCTTCCAGCCGCGAATTGGAGGCGGAGCTCGAGAAGGAAATCGAGGCGTCGGAGAAGCGGGAGCGGCAGCTGAAGGAGAAAGTGGACAACTTGCGATACGAGGTGGATGAGTGGAAGGTACGTGAGAATTCCTTCCGAGTAGTATCTTTGGTTGGCGCTCACCTCGTGGGCTTCTCTATAGTCCAAATACAAACAAGCCAAATCCGAAGCCAGCTCCGCTCAGAATACGTTGCAGAAGGAGGTCACATCGCTGCGGGATGCCAACCGGACACTACAGCTGAAGCTACGAGACATTGAAGTGGCCAATGATGACTACGAACGCCAGGCCCGCCACACGACTTCGTCCCTGGAGGATTTGGAGTCCAAATTCAACATGGCCATCGAGCGGGGCGTGCTATTGGAGGAAGAGATCAAGGGTGGTGAACAGGAGCGGGAGCATCTCCGAATTGAAAACCAACGCCTTCGTGATGAATTAAATGACCTCAAGATCGAAACCGAAATTGTCCAGGAGAAGTTGCGAAATGCCGAATGGCATGGTGGTGGTCGCCGTCACCGTCCCACTCCCTTGCATCGTACTCCATCGACACCGCATACCCCAGAGATCTTTGACCGGTCCCCGGGAACGTCGACCGTGTCGTCGCCGCTGTTTGCCACGCCTCCGATGAAACTGACGCTGGCCTCGGCCACGGCCACCCCACCCTCACCTCCCATGTCGGAAACCTCGAGCAGCATGCGCAAGTCGCTCAATGCCACCCCCGGGTTCCCGCTCCAGAAGGTTTCTGCGTCCGAGGCGCTGGGATCCCGGTCCCTGTACGGGTCGAGGACTCAACGCTTCTCATCCCACTCCCGCGCGACATCTTTCGCGTTAAGCAATGGCCGGTCCACGCCGTCGGTGGCCTCGCGCCCGAGTCTGCCGAAGCAGAACCACCACCACCACCACCACCACAACCCCCCGGCAAACAATCCCGCGCCTTCCGCCGCGTCTCGTATGCCGGCGATCCCCAAATCCGGATCCTTATACCAGATCCGCGGTCTGATTGGAAAGATGCAGAAGCTCGAAGAGCGGGTTCAATCGGCCAAGTCAAAGCTCCCGCCGCCGTCGGACACGGCTTCCCGGACATCTTCCCGGTCGGGGTCTGTTCTGGGTGGGGGGGATAGCCCGGTTGCGTCTACGCTGACGATGCGGCGGGAGGCTCGCAAGCGAATGAGTGGCAGCAGCTTCAGTTCCTCGATCCGGGAGGGCGATGGGGGTGTCTCGTCATCTTCCTACCTCCCCAGCCGTCCGTCGTATGGAACGCGGACGCAGGACAGTCGGCCCAGCAGCCGCACCAGTTTCTCCAGCTCCTTGAGCCAGAGCACGCACCCCAGCGTGGCGGCGGCGTCGTCGACGCGGCCGGAGAGTCGCCAAAGTCGCACGAAAACGCCGCTGGGACACTATTCGACGAACCCCACGACGGAAAGCCGACGGCCGCGCTCCTCGCTGAGCAACCCGGCGGGACCGAGTACTCCGTTGAACGGCATGACTCACATTGAGGAGGACGAAGGGGTTGGGGCACCGCCGCTGGTGCGAGGCCCCGTGAAGAACGGCCGGGCGACGCGACTGCCGTCCTTCTCGACGCTGGGCGGGATGAAGAAACGAAGCACGAGCGGGATGACAGGAATCCCGGGGCCGCGGAGCTTTCGAACGAGTCAGGGGATTGATCGTGGAGAGGGGAAGATGGGGCCGCCCGAAGTGAAGACGAACGTGGTTGGGGGTGATTTGGGGGAGACATTCTGAGTGTATTCTAGTAATCTGTCTCTTCTTTTCTTTCTTTTTTGTTCATTCTTGCGCGGACCGGTTGAGGGTTTATGATATTTACGGCTGGTACGCAAGTGTTTAATCTTTCTTTTTGCTCTCCACGTATCGTGTACAGAAATCTTTAGCGGATTGAATCGATATACCCCGTGATGTATTTCTCTACATAGAGATATTTCTATATATAGATATATAGATATAGATATAGATATAGATATATTATTTAATTGATAGATGATTATGTAATCGACCCCGAGTAATTGCTGAGGTCGATCCTTTCCCCTTTGGGCTTCCCAACGCGATCCCGGTTTGCTGCATGCTGATTGGTTGGTTTGGCCAACGGTCCGCATGCGGTTAGACAGTGAACAATTGACCAGGTACCCAAGTCCCTACTAAGTACTACCTACTAAGTACTACCTACTAAGTACTACCTACTTAGGTACCTCTATGTAATTAACGAGAAGAATCTCTCATATGAATCTGGATTGTAAAGAACTCGGAGTTACCAAGCCGTACGGATCGGAGTATCTCACCCAAGTCCGGTTGATCAAATAAATTACGGAAATGCTCGTGTATTGTTGGACGGGAAATTGGTGGGACGAACCGTTTTTCCCCGGCTCAACAAGCAAAAAGTTGAGAGAAATACCGAGATTACCATCGGTGTCCGATCGTGTATTGTAATATTGCTCGTACGGTAGTTTATTCCATAGTTTATTCCGTTTCCGTTTCTCTTCTTCTTCTTCTTCTTCTTCTTCTTCTTCTTCTCCTCTCTCTCACTATTATCATTCATCCACTTTCTCTCTCTCTCCGGGTGAGTTCTTTCTTCCTCTCTATACTCCTTATACATGTTAACCGTCCTATCAGCCCAGGCTTCACCTCTTCCCTGTCCGAATCCGACTTAATTCACCGTCCCCGCTTCATATATCTTTCCCTCTAATCCTCTCACGACTTGAACGATTCTCCTCTCCCCTCTTACATCGTATGGAAGCAATTAATACATAATCTCTTGCAATCATGGCTGTCCCCGACGCTACTCCCTCGCCCAACGGCCACGCCAGCTCGAGAGCCGCCAAATATAACCTCCCTTCACATTTCATCGGTGGTAACCACCTGGATGCCGCTTCTCCAAGTAGTGTCAAGGACTTTGTCGCTGAACATGAGGGTCACTCCGTCATCAGCTCGGTGAGTTTGTTCCGCCATCCGGAGTGTACCCTGCCCCTCTAATCCAATAGGTTCTCATCGCCAACAACGGTATTGCCGCCGTCAAAGAGATTCGCTCCGTCCGAAAATGGGCCTACGAAACATTCGGGAATGAGCGTGCCATTCAATTCACAGTCATGGCCACCCCAGAAGATCTCCGGGCAAATGCCGACTATATCCGGATGGCTGATCAATATGTCGAGGTATGCCTTCTTTTCTTCATGCGACTCAAGATAAAATCGGCGCTAAAAAAAAAAAAAAAAAAATTGCCTCCCCCTCCTTCTTTAGGTTCCCGGTGGTACAAATAACAACAACTACGCCAACGTTGAGCTGATTGTCGATGTCGCCGAGCGAATGGATGTCCACGCCGTCTGGGCCGGTTGGGGTCACGCCTCAGAAAACCCCCGCTTACCGGAAGCTCTGGCGGCCTCGCCCAAGAAGATCATCTTCATTGGCCCCCCCGCCTCCGCCATGCGCTCGCTCGGTGATAAGATCTCGTCCACCATCGTCGCCCAGCACGCCGGTGTCCCCTGTATCCCCTGGTCCGGATCCGGGGTCGATGATGTGCGTGTCGATGACAATGGCATCGTGACCGTCGAGGAGGATGTTTACAAGCGCGGTTGCACCTTCTCCCCGCAAGAGGGTCTGGAAAAGGCCAAGGAGATCGGTTTCCCCGTCATGATCAAGGCCTCCGAGGGGGGTGGCGGCAAGGGAATCCGCAAGGTCGAGAGTGAGGACAATTTCGTCTCCCTGTACAACGCCGCCGCCAACGAAATCCCCGGTTCCCCCATTTTCATCATGAAGCTGGCCGGCAACGCCCGTCACTTGGAAGTCCAGCTGCTGGCCGATCAGTACGGCAACAACATCTCCCTCTTCGGTCGTGACTGTTCCGTGCAACGCCGGCACCAGAAAATTATTGAAGAGGCCCCCGTCACCATCGCCAAGCCCGTCACCTTCCAGGCCATGGAGCGCGCCGCCGTGAGCCTGGGCCGACTCGTCGGTTACGTGTCCGCCGGTACCGTCGAGTATCTGTACTCGCACGCCGATGACAAGTTCTACTTCCTCGAACTCAACCCCCGTCTGCAGGTCGAGCACCCCACCACCGAGATGGTGTCCGGCGTGAACCTGCCCGCCGCCCAGCTCCAGATTGCCATGGGAATCCCGCTGCACCGCATTCGCGATATCCGGCTGCTCTACGGCGTCGACCCCAACACCGCCTCGGCCATCGACTTTGATTTCGCGAGTGAAGAGAGCTTCAAGACCCAGCGCCGCCCGCAACCCAAGGGCCATACCACCGCCTGCCGCATCACCTCCGAGGACCCCGGCGAGGGCTTCAAGCCGTCCAGCGGCACCATGCACGAACTGAACTTCCGCAGTTCCTCCAATGTCTGGGGCTACTTCTCCGTCGGGACCGCCGGCGGGATCCATTCCTTCTCCGACAGTCAGTTCGGCCATATCTTTGCCTACGGCGAGAACCGATCGGCCTCGCGGAAGCACATGGTCATCGCCCTGAAGGAGTTGAGTATCCGGGGTGATTTCCGCACCACCGTCGAATACTTGATCAAGCTGCTGGAGACCCCCGCCTTTGAGGACAACACCATCACCACCGGATGGCTGGACCAGCTGATCTCCAACAAGCTGACCGCCGAGCGCCCGGATCCGATCGTCGCCGTGCTGTGCGGTGCCGTGACCAAGGCCCACCTGGCCAGCGAGGCCGGCATCGAGGAGTACCGCAAGGGTCTCGAGAAGGGTCAGGTGCCCTCCAAGGACGTCCTCAAGACCGTCTTCCCCGTGGACTTCATCTACGAAGGCCTGCGCTACAAGTTTACCGCCACCCGCGCCGGTCTCGATAGCTACCACCTCTTCATCAACGGCTCCAAGTGCTCCGTCGGCGTCCGTGCCCTGGCCGACGGCGGTCTCCTCGTTCTGCTCGACGGCCGCAGTCACAACGTCTACTGGAAGGAGGAGGCCGCGGCCACCCGGCTGAGTGTCGATGGCAAGACCTGTCTGCTGGAGCAGGAGAATGACCCCACCCAGCTGCGCACCCCCTCGCCCGGTAAACTGGTGAAATTCACCGTCGAGAATGGCGAGCACGTGCGCGCCGGCCAGCCCTTTGCCGAAGTGGAAGTCATGAAAATGTACATGCCCCTGATTGCGCAGGAGGATGGCATCGTCCAGCTGATCAAGCAGCCCGGCGCCACCCTCGAAGCCGGGGATATCCTCGGGATCCTGGCCCTGGACGACCCCTCGCGCGTCAAGCACGCGCAGCCCTTCACGGGCCAACTGCCCGACCTGGGTCCGCCGCAGGTGGTCGGGAACAAGCCGCCGCAGCGGTTCGTCCTCCTGCACAGCATCCTGGAGAACATCCTCAAGGGCTTCGACAACCAGGTCATCATGGGGGATACCCTCAAGGAGCTGGTCGAAGTCCTGCGCGACGCCGACCTGCCTTACGGCGAGTGGAACGCCCAGTCCTCGGCCCTGCACTCCCGCATGCCCCAGAAGCTGGACGCTCAGCTCCAGAACGTCGTGGACCGGGCCCGATCCCGCAAGGCGGAATTCCCGGCCAAGCAGCTGCAGAAGACCATCCAGCGATTCATCGAGGAGAATGTCCCCGCCGCCGATGCCGAGATCCTCAAGACCACCTTGTCGCCGCTGATGCTCGTCATTAACAAGTACCTGGATGGCTTGAAGGGCCATGAGTTCCAGGTGTTCATCGGCCTTTTGGACCAGTACTACGAGGTGGAGAAGCTCTTCTCCGGCCGCAACATCCGGGACGAGGATGCCATCCTGAAGCTCCGCGACGAGCACAAGGATGACATCACCAGCGTCGTCCAGACGGCCCTGTCGCACAGCCGCATCGGATCCAAGAACAACCTCATCCTGGCCATTCTGGCCCGCTACCGCCCCAACCAGCCCGGCGTGGGCAATGTCGGCCAGTTCTTCAAGCCCATCCTGAAGAAGCTCACCGAGCTGGAGTCTCGGTCCGCCGCCAAGGTGACCCTGAAGGCCCGTGAGGTTCTGATCCAGTGTGCGCTGCCCTCGTTGGAGGAGCGGATCGCCCAGATGGAGATGATCCTGCGCTCCTCCGTCGTGGAGTCCCAGTACGGCGAGACCGGCTGGAACCATCGGGAGCCCGACCTGGGGGCCCTCAAGGAGGTGGTCGACTCCAAGTACACCGTCTTCGATGTCCTCCCCCGCTTCTTCGTCCACCAGGACGCTTGGGTCACTCTGGCGGCGTTGGAGGTTTACGTGCGCCGTGCCTACCGCGCCTACACGATCAAGGAAATCCAGTACAACTCCGACGGGGAACCCCCGCTGCTGTCGTGGGACTTCACCATGGGCAAGCTGGGTCAGCCCGAATTCGGCCCGCTCTCCACCACTCACCCCTCCACGCCGAGCACCCCCACGGCGGAGATCAACCCCTATAAGCGGATTGCCTCCATTAGCGACATGTCCTACCTGGTGAATGATACCGCCGCCGAGGCCCCCCGAACGGGGGTCATCCTCCCCGTCCAGTACCTGGAGGACACCGAAGAGTCCCTGACCAGGGCCCTGGAGGCGTTCCCTCGCGCCGCCAACTCCAAGCGGAAGCCCAGCAGCGACCACGGCCTGCTAGCCACCCTCGAGGGCAAGCGCCGCCCCGCCCTGCGCACCGAACATCCCGACACCGAGCTGACCGGCGTGTGTAACATTGCCGTTCGCGATGTCGAGGACCTGGACGATGCGCAGATTGTTGCCCAGATTACCCAGATCCTGTCGGGCTTCAAGGAGGAGCTGCTTGCCCGCCGCGTCCGCCGCGTCACCTTCATCTGTGGCCGAAACGGTCTCTACCCCAGCTACTACACCTTCCGGGGCCCCAACTACGACGAAGACGAGAGTATCCGTCACAGCGAACCCGCCCTGGCCTTCCAGCTGGAACTGGGCCGCTTGTCCAAGTTCAAGATCAAGCCCGTCTTCACGGAGAATCGCAACATTCACGTCTACGAGGCCATTGGCAAGGGTCCCGAGAACGACAAGGCCGTCGATAAGCGATACTTTATCCGTGCCGTGGTGCGTCCGGGTCGCCTCCGCGATGATATCCCCACCGCCGAGTACCTCACCTCGGAGGCCGATCGCCTGATGAACGACATTCTGGACGCCCTGGAGATCATTGGCAACAACAACTCGGATCTCAACCACATTTTCATCAACTTCTCTCCCGTCTTCAACCTGCAGCCCAAGGATGTGGAGGAGGCCCTGGCCGGTTTCTTGGAGCGCTTCGGCCGCCGTCTCTGGCGCCTGCGCGTCACCGGTGCGGAGATCCGCATCCTGTGCACCGATCCGGCCACGGGTGTCCCCTACCCGCTCCGTGTGATCATCAGCAACACCTATGGATTCATCATTCAGGTCGAGCTCTACATTGAGCGGAAGTCGGAGAAGGGCGAGTGGATCTTCCAGAGCCTGGGCGGAACCACCAAGCTGGGCTCCATGCATCTGCGCCCCGTTTCGACCCCCTATCCGACCAAGGAATGGCTGCAGCCGAAGCGTTACAAGGCTCACCTGATGGGCACCCAGTACGTGTACGACTTTCCCGAGCTCTTCCGCGAGGCCTTCCAGCACAGCTGGGCCAAGGCGATTGAGAAGATTCCCAGCCTGGCGGAGCATCGTCCTCCCCTTGGCGAGTGCATCGATTACAGCGAGCTCGTCCTGGATGACACGGACAATTTGGTGGAAATTTCCCGCGGCCCCGGTACCAACACCCACGGTATGGTCGGTTGGATCGTGACCGCCCGGACCCCCGAGTATCCCCGTGGACGACGTTTCATCATTGTCGCCAACGATATCACCTTCCAGATCGGTTCCTTTGGTCCTCAGGAGGACAAGTTCTTCCACAAATGTACCGAACTCGCAAGAAAGCTGGGGATCCCCCGCATCTACCTCTCTGCCAACTCCGGCGCTCGGATCGGGATGGCCGATGAGCTGATTCCCTACTTCTCTGTCGCCTGGAACAATCCCGAGAAGCCGGAGGCGGGATTCAAGTACCTCTACTTGACCCCCGAGGTCAAGAAGAAATTCGACGCCAGCCAGACGACGACGACGAAGAAGAAGGAGGAGGTCCTCACCGAGATGATCCACGATGAGGGTGAGGAGCGCCACAAGATCACCACCATCATCGGCGCCAAGGACGGCCTGGGTGTCGAGTGCCTGAAGGGCTCCGGTCTGATTGCCGGAGCGACCTCCAAGGCATACGAAGATATCTTCACCATTACCCTGGTGACCTGCCGCTCGGTTGGTATCGGTGCCTATCTCGTCCGTCTCGGACAGAGAGCGATCCAAGTGGAGGGCCAGCCGATCATCCTGACCGGTGCCCCCGCCATCAACAAGCTGCTGGGAAGAGAGGTCTACACCTCCAATCTCCAACTGGGTGGCACCCAGATCATGTACAAGAACGGTGTCTCCCACATGACGGCCACCGATGACTTTGAGGGTGTCCAGAAGATTGTCGAATGGTTGTCCTTTGTTCCCGAGAAGAAGGGCGCCCCCACGCCCATCCGCCCCTGGTCGGATACTTGGGACCGTGATGTGGCCTACTACCCGCCCTGTAAGCAGGCCTACGATGTGCGTTGGCTCATCGCCGGTAAGGAAGACGAGGAAGGCTTCCTTCCTGGTCTTTTCGACACTGGATCCTTCGAGGAAGCCCTGGGCGGCTGGGCTCGCACCGTCGTCGTGGGTCGTGCCCGACTTGGTGGTATCCCCATGGGTGTCATCGCTGTGGAGACCCGCTCCGTGGAGAACGTTACCCCCGCTGATCCTGCCAACCCGGACTCCATGGAAATGATCACTACGGAGGCCGGCGGTGTCTGGTACCCTAACTCTGCCTACAAGACCGCTCAAGCTCTTCGTGACTTCAACCATGGTGAACAGCTTCCGGTGATGATCCTCGCCAACTGGAGAGGGTTCTCTGGCGGTCAGCGCGATATGTACAACGAAGTCCTCAAATACGGTTCTTACATTGTCGATGCTCTCGTCAAGTACGAGCAGCCGATCTTTGTTTACATTCCTCCCTTTGGCGAGCTTCGTGGTGGTTCCTGGGTAAGTTATTATTATTATTCTAGCCTTGATACACCTTGTGCTCCGAGTCTCCCCCAACAACGCTAACGATTATCTAGGTTGTCATCGATCCTACCATCAACCCCGATCAGATGGAAATGTATGCCGACGAGGAAGCACGCGGTGGTGTTCTCGAGCCCGAGGGTATCGTCAACATCAAGTTCCGCCGTGAAAAGCAGCTCGAGACCATGGCTCGCCTGGACGCAACCTACGGAGAACTCCGCCGCTCTCTCGAGGACTCCTCCCTGTCCAAGGATCAGCTTTCCGAAATCAAGCAAAAGATGGCTGCGCGGGAAGAACAGCTCCTGCCGGTCTACATGCAGATCGCTCTGCAGTTCGCTGATCTCCACGATCGTGCCGGCCGTATGCAAGCGAAGGAGACTATCCGTCGTGCGCTAACCTGGAAGAACTCTCGTCGTTTCTTCTACTGGCGTCTGCGCCGCCGTCTCAGCGAGGAGCTCATTGTCAAGCGCATGATGGAAGTGGCTCCTTCTCCTGTGACTCGCGAGGGTAGCGGGGCTATCCCCTCCGACCAGACCGATAGCCTGCCTTCCACCAATGGCTCCCCTCGCTCCACTCACCTGCGCACTCTGCAATCCTGGACTGGATTCCTCGACGAGGATCTGGAGAACGATGACCGCCGCGTCGCCATGTGGTATGAGGAGAACAAGAAGGCCATCCAGACCAAGATTGAAGCCCTCAAGACCCAGGCCGTTGCCGCCGATGTCGCCCAACTCCTCTTCAGCGACAAGCAGGGTGGTCTCAAGGGTGTCCAGCAAGTGCTCAGCCTCCTCCCAGTTGAAGAAAAGGAGGCTGTTCTCAAATTCCTGGCTTCCAACTAACTAAAAGGTGGAAAAGATTTTTCTCCATTGTTTCTTTTCTGAAAACTTGCAAAAAAAAAAAAAAAAACCCTTTATTGTTTCTATTTTCCTTTGTCATTCCACCCATGATGTCGATTAGTTATGCATGATGACTGACTGTCAAAAGGGTTCATGGTATGGGTTCATTGCATCCGTTCTTGCCCTCTTGTTTTTGTTCTTGGCTGGGTTAGAAAGGTATACACGATATGGTATGGTATGGCATGGTTTGGCTGTTCTTGCACATGGTCTCTCATCTTTTTTTTTTTTTTTTTTTTTTCCCCCTTCAATGTTACTGAATTTATTCCATGAAAATTCCAAAAATTCATTACTTTATTTATTTATATCTTTCATCCGTGTAAATGGTCTGGAATAGAATACAGCTACTTACTACAAGGTGAGGGAGGGCGACTCTCGACTCTTGAAACGGGGTTGGTTCGATTTCTACGCTATATATGTATACATATACACACTCCAGGAATACAATATGATTCCCGGAACTCATGTACCCTATAAATAAATAAATAGGTAGGTAGGTAGGTAGGTAGTTCATGACCATGCATTCTGAAACAAAATGCAAACAGAAGGAAAAAAAAAAAAAGGGGAGAAAAAAGGGGGTATTATTTCTGCAATCCACTCATGAATAGTCATAGAAAACATTAACAGTTGTTCATCCATCCATTAGGTTAGGTTTATTCATTCAACCGGCCCCTCGCTTCATCGGAGGGAACGGCGAGTTTGGCCTGATGTTGTGGAGGATGGGGTATCAAAGCACGGCTGGGCTGGTCATGCACAGGTTTGTTGTATATAGAGATAAATAGACGTAGTGGGAAAATGTGAGAAGGAGGACAGAGGTGGCAAAGGACAAATGGCGGGTGGAGAGAATGCGTGCTAAGCAAGCTGTCTTTCGAGACTGCGGGGAGGCGTCAAGATAGGTGGCATGCTTCGATAAGGGGTTGAGACATTTCTGAGGCCGTGACTAGTGTTGACAGAACCTACGCCGGGGTCATCTAGACGGAGTTGACGGTTCAGGTCGACGGGGAGCTGATCGGGTAAAGGGAGCGGAGAGCGGTATCTTGGGTTCTGCGGGATGGGAGAAGAGTGTGGCATAGCAAGGGCAAGAGATTCGTCATGGCTACCAGGGAGAGCGACATATGTTGCGTTGAGGGTTCGAGCGATATCCTCTAGGAGGACTTCCATCGGGGCGATGTAGGCTGTTCGACTCTTCTCGGACCAGGCAAGGACGTGGCCGCAAACACGGCCCGTGGATTTTTCAAATACCCATGCGCCTGAATCTCCCGGAACTAGTGAACCAAAAAAAAAAAAAAACGAGTTAGCAAGGGACTTAGGCTAGGGATTGAATTGCATACAGTGAACTGCACTCACTCACCTCCGAAGTTCCCATCCACCCCGAAGCTGGTTGAAAAAGTTTGTCGGCCGTGAAACTTGACGATTGTCATCGCTTTGGATATCTGCCCCGTTTGTAATCCGCTGGTCCGACCGCAACAATGGACATTTAAGCCACCGAGATCTTCTAGTCGCGCTATATCGTTTAAGTAGATGGGGTCTCGCTGTGCTGGTGGGTCTTGGTCACCGAGTCTGCGTCGCATATGGCCTGCCCTAGGCGACGGGATTTTGTCATAGACAATATTGCGTGGATCCATACGGTCATTGTTAATTTTGATCAATGCCCAATCGATCTCATGTTTAATACCTCTGCGTGTCCAGCGGCGGACACCAGAGGATGCGTGAACGTATCCAAAAGAGTGAGAGGCGAGGTGCTCATCGTCTCGATCTTCGGGACTTGGGAAGAAGTCATCCCGAACATCGTCAATGGCAGGTTGAGTTACAAAGAGTGGAGGCTCTTCCCCGGGCTCAATACCCGCGGTATCCCCTATCGAGGCCGCGTCTTCGTCATCGTAAGCGGCATCATCGTCAGCTTCATCTGATGAGTATCCATCCGAGAGGTTATAGTCATCATAATAGTCGTCCCCATCCTCATCATCGGAGATTTCGAACTCCAGATTATGCTCAGGCGGGTCCTCGTCACACCAGGAGAACGATAACTGAGGATCTTGGAATGTGGGCTCACGAGGCCAATTCCCAGCTGATCGAAGAGGAGCATCATTGGCATCTTCATCGTGATAATAACCCACACCCTCCTGATCACTAGGTGCCTCAAGCATGTGATGAACTGTCATGCCGTAGGGAATGCCATCGACCAGGATGGCACCACCATAAGTCACGGGGGGAAGATGCTCCTCGTTCATGAAAGCACCGATGGATGCACCACAGAGAGGCCGTGGCTGAAAGCAGGGATTAGGATCTTGTGGCAAGAGGCTGGGTCCGACTGTACTCTGAACACTGGACTTGGCTGGCCGACGACGCTTCTTTCGCGGTACCTTGGATCGTTCGATATCTCCCCGCAGAACAAGCAGATCCCAATCGTCTCTATCCAGAGCAAAATATTTTTTCAAAGCTGCGCGGACTTTCTTTACACTGGTACAAGTCACACAGATGGTTGTCTTGGCGCTTTCCATCGCTTCACCAGTCATCATAAGCGTGACACCGCATGATTCTGATGAGTCCTTGAGTATTTTCTGGAGAAGCTTTCGGAAGCGTGGCAACATGTGAAAGTTCCACTCGTTGAGATGCTCTTGGGGAATTTCAACGTTTGTCAACTTTTTGAAAGTCCGCTTCTTGACTCTCCTTTCCTCAGATCCTAGTTTCATCAGTTTCATCTCAGGGATAGGAACTGTGGCTAGAGGTTCCCTAAATGGTGTGGGTTGAACGGGCATTTTGTACTCTCGCGATGCTTCTTTTGCCGCAGCAGATCCTGGAACAAGAGCCAGGGGAAGACAGTCATCCAACTCCTCTGCACCTGGTGCAGAAAAGATATCTATCCTGCAGCATGACCAGACAATTTTGCTCAGAGTATAGATGAAATTCATGGAAAATGAAAAGGTGCTGTCGGGGGCAGAAAGATCGAGAACAGGATAGTGATAGACTTGAGGTATTCTGAGGTTTAGGTCGTCGAACGGCTGAGTTGACAGATGAAAATTGGGGGCATCAATACAAAGCTGGACCACATGAAAGAATGCGCTGCCGCACTTCGGGCCGAGCTTCTGCAGATAGACATTCTCGACTCTTTGCTTGAACATGGAGTTGTTGTACTTCAACTTCCAAAGGCGGCTGATTGGGGTCCACAGTCCAATCTCCATTAGAACCAATCCGAGAGAATAGAGGTCGTAGGCCCAGGCTGCGTCGTCCTCGATAGACCGCTTGTCATCGGGATGACGGTACATACTTGAGGATAAGGGTTCAGGAGACGGGTTATTCCCGGAAAACTGGGCAAACGATGTTAAATATGGGCGGCGTAGGTTTTCCGTAAGCCCAGCCTCTTCCTTATTTGAGTCTGTCAAGCCAGGGAAAATGAGAACGTTGCTGCTGTTGATGTTTCCGTGAATAAGATTCTGGCTTCTGAGCTGCAAGATGGCCATCAGAAGATCGTAAGCAAGGCGAAGTCTGGTCTCCAAATTGGGAACAGGATAGTCTTCGCTAGATTGCAATAGTGAAACCAAGGGCTTTGGCTTCAACGCGTTCAAGAGGTCGGTAGGGTTCTGGAGGAAGGGGAAATAGTCCACGGGCATTTGATAAACAAAGGCATAACGGGAGTTTGCTCGGTCGATATAATAACCTAGAAACTTCAGCAGACTGAGATGGGATACCCTGGCATTCTGAACTAGTTGATCGAGGGCCTGATGTACGTGCTCGAGGCGCGAATCTCCTGGATAGGTGGGTTCCCCCGAAGCTTCAAGCACCATAGGGGTATACTCCACTAAAATGCTGACGGTGGAGTCCTTGATCTCGTGTAGAAATGGTAAAGCGGATGTCTTCATCCGGCCAAGAACTCTCGAGTTGGTTGACGCAGCTACCATTTCATAGGGTGGCGGATTGTTGTCGTGCGATGCCCCAGACAGTTGCAGAGCCGACCGGTCAATAAGAAAACTCCTTGACTCAAAGGCTGCCTTACTGAAACTCCTTTCGAACTTGGGGTGCTCAAAAACGGGGGATTGGGTGTTAATCGCACGTAGGTTTGTGAATGGGGAATAGTCAAGCATTTCATGTTGCGACTTATTATCACATGACGCACTATGGTACGTCTTCGATTCCGGATAAATTGAATATGCAGAATCATCTCCGGGGGTAGCTGCCTGGATAGGAGGATAGGACTTAGTACGCCCCTTACCCGAAGACTGCGAGCTGGCAGTCATATCCCGGCGGGAGCGTGAGAGATCGTACAGAATATCGATACACGCCGTCAAATCAGAAAGAAGGGTCTTCGAGCGACTGATCTCGACACTAGTCCAATTGGTTTTGGACGGTAGACTGCCGAGTCCGTCCTTGGAGGCGGCGTCCACTTTCCCACCCTTGGGCGGTAGATCGGAGGTGCCTTTCTGCTGAAGACGCTCAGCCTCATTGAGCAGATCTTGAATGGAGGACATCACGCTTTCCACAACATCGCTAAAGCCAGCCTGAGTTAGGGATTCGTCGATATCATTAGGTTGGGCGGCACTAGCGTCGCTCCAGTCCAGACCCCAAGCTAACAGCCTGTCCCTCTGAGTCTTGAATTCTCGGTGCAGAATGAGGAGCTCTGGATCATCTGCCGCATTTGGAACCGTAGTGACGCTCTCACATGAGGTCTTGGTGTCGGTATACATCTTGGTGAGGCGTCGTTGGAGGTATGAACCTCCATGGCGGAGTACGGACATCTTGGCAAGTCCAGACGGAGGCAAACGACACAAAGTGATTGCGGGGTGGGGGGCTTGAAGGTTAGAACATGATAGATGGCGAGCGGATTGGGGGCAAACAGCGTCAAGGTCGAGATGATAATAAAGATTACTTGAACACACACACACAGTAGATAGATAGACTGCAGAAGAAGAAACAAGTTCGAATAAGAATCTGGACAAGAACGACTTGCAGATGGGAGGGAATCCTGTTGCCTAACCAATCGGGAGTGGCGAGTGAAGCAAAGCCTCCTTTGCCAAGCCACAGATATGCGCCTGTCACGTGGCAGGCAACCGCGATTCATCCTGCCTGCTGACTCAGCATCTGCATGTCACATGTAAATTGATGTATGTCTCATATATTGGTTCAGGAAGTAGAAATCTTGCAGACATGCCCTTTGGATAGAGATTGATCCTCTAGCTACGTACATGCCAGGCAGCCACGATTCTGCCTAGTTGGGGATAGTCCTCTGTACGGAGTAAGGGACCAGGTTACAACGCGGCATGGCTAGGCAGGTCTCATCCGATAATGATATGATAGTAATGAAGATCATCACATCCCCTGTGAGTAATTAAATGTACAGAGAGAAAAATAAATAAATAAATAAAACAATGGAAAAAGGCAATCTGCGCCGGTACTAAATTTATCAATGGAACATGTATGCTCCTCTAATTTCTCTCTCTCTCTCTCTCTCTCTCGCTTTCTCCCCTCTCCACAGTTATCCGGTAATCACTCGTCGGGGCACACCAACTTCTCGTGCTCGTTTTTCACGGAAGTTATGGAGGCGTTCTCCAATCAAGTAGAACTCATCACGGATGCTGACTTTCCAGATCTCCACCTGACAACCGGCCAGGTAAGCAAGCCAGGCCATTAAGCTCAACAATAGCGTGGCAGGATACGTGTAGCGGTACACTTTGGTTTGAAGCTCTGGATTTGAACCAAACATGATTGAGTTCAGCACAAATCCAAACGAGGGCGGTAAAACAATCGCGATGGTCGCCAAAAGTAGTATAGGAAGAAGCAAGGCCCGGGTGGCAAGCCTGACGTTGGGTTTCAACCAACCATCGCGGAAGATCCCATTAAGAACTGCAGCGGGGCGAGACCTGGAATGCCACAATGCCAGCTTCACAGCCATCTGAACATAAAGCACTCCCAGTGCCCAGTCTTGGACGAGATAGATAGCATGAGCTTTGCTGTTGCCTAGGTAAGTGTAGATAGGCACGAGCAAATAAAGCTCCATTACTAATCCGAAGATAGACGGCAAGATGATCGAAAATGACGCGAAGACGTAAATAAGACCCATTCCGCTGGCAACTAAACTCATCAAGCCTAGGCATGCCTCTTGAGGAGAACGCAAGAATGGATCGAAACGGTCTTTCACAATCCGGAAACAGGCCCGACAGGACAAGACAATGCAGGCAGCAGCGCAGAAGAGACCCATACCAACGGAGAACGCATAGATGTCATTCACCGGTCGGCTCGCAAAGTACAAGTGCATTGCTTTCCGCCCAATAACCAGGGGAAGAACCGTGGTGCCTACTCCCGTAGCGGCCGCAAATAGCCAAATCAAGACGAGGAAGGCTGCAATCCTGGTTCTGAAAAAGGGGGGTATGTAGACTTGGATGAACATCTCATTGAGTCGCCCTTGGTGGCCTTGGTCGTTATCAGGCGCTCCATCAACACGTTCGTTCGCTTCGGTGACCTCTAAAAACACTTGGCTGCCTTTCGGAATGCGAACTTGATCCGACGCAGGGGCCCGTACAAATCGGCCATCTCGCTTAAAATGGCGGTCTGGCTGTTTTTCATCTGCGTCAGCTTGCTGGTCATGCCCCGTTACAAGGTGTCGAATATCCTCTTTGTTCCCAGGCAGGTAACCAGACCAGAATTGCCGTCCATAGGAGCCTTCCTCATCGAGGTGTCTTTCACTGAAGAAAAAGTCGGATAGTCGTAAGAAGCGAGCACACTTTCGGAACCACCAATTGTATAGGTTGTGTAATCCTTCTGACGGCTTGAATGCTCGAATCGCAAGAGGAATCCCGAAGTTATAAAACAGCAGATCAATCGGGAACTCGAGCACAGGATCTTTTGATGACCAGTGGAGGGGAAGGACGCCGTTAAAGCCGTAGTATAAGCCCCAGACGACACCTCCAAGACAGATGATGACGAGCGCACCGTATACCAGTGCACTGAATGCAATCTTCCGGAGCTGGGTAGTGATATTTCGCTCTAGAACATCCCGAACAGGATGGAAGGTGGGGTCATCCGGATCACGAATAAAATCTGGTTTAAATTGGGTAAGTAAAGTGACTGAATCTCCTGCGCCGGGGGAGACTTGGGGGGGGGGGCTTACAGAGAACTCCATTCCTCATTATCTTCCTGCACATTGAAACAAACAGTGCAAAATGGAACATGTAACATGTGCCAATAAACCAGTGCACGAATAGAGATGTTAGTGGATAAGTAGAGGTGAATTCGACGCGAGAAGCAATCGTAGCATTCTCGAAAAGGGGTAGTAATGCAATGTCAAGGAGAGAGCCGCAATACAATGGGAACACAATCATCTCAATACCGATAATTAAAATGACTTTCATCACTCCACCAGCTTGATGCAGTCCTTCCGCAACCATGCCTTCGACTCTCTGGCCACGATCAACACCGGAGATAAAGCGTGCAATCCGGAGGTAGGCCAGTCCTACAACTGATACGAGCAAATATCCCATAAGAATAGCTATCGTACGATCTTTCGTATTCCATACAGCTATGTCGTAGTCAATGCTTTCGGGCCCTAAGGCCAGGCTTGTCATACCTGGGGTTACCCAGTTTGTAAAGTTTGAGAAAGATGGCAGGTTGTGGGCAAACCCGAGAGCTCTCTCTTGTACCCCAGTACAAATGCTGCCAACATCGAGAGTGCTGAGTGACAATATCTGGGGGATGTGAGATGATCTCATATTCAGAGGGAGGTCGTGAATAAGGAATTTGCCTAGAAGGAAGATTGATCGGAACAGGGAGGCGATGCGTCCCTGATGGATCTTCAAAGCGTGATGGGAAATAACGGAGAACATGGGAACATCTGCTTCGTGGAAGACAAAGAAGGTATTTACCACACCGCCCAATCTGTGGCTGCTGGCATCAATAAGCGATAGCGAGGTGTTGGTGATAGACTTTGTCCACTCGCCCATAGGGACGAAAGCTCCAAAGGGACTTAGGATGACCCTGCAGATCAAACTCGTCCAATACAGAATATATCCTAAACTTCCAATGAGGGTGTCAAGTACAACGTCTGCAAGCACCGAGACGGCAGTCATAGGGACACCGAAGATAAATTGTATCGGATTTGCCAGGAGAACAAGGGCGATCTTGCCCCCGAGATACGGAAGCCAGATTCCAGCAGCCACAGTGAACGAGATTAAAAGTGCACAAAATACCCCATTTTGCAAGAGGCCGAAAATAGGGCCCTGCATTCCGATAAGTTCTAGAATTCCTTCCAAATCATCGGCTTCCTCAATTGCGTCAAGATCATTGGCATCAACGCCGAAGTCAGCAAGGGCCGCCTGGTTGTCGGGTACCAAATCGCCATCCAATTCGCCATCATTTTGTGCATGTGGAAGAGCTGCTTCCAAAACGGGCTCGTCGACCAAATTTGCTTGCTCATCCTGTTGTCGTTCCGCATTTGGATCTTCGGGGATAATGTCCGCCCAAAACCAATCGAAAGCCCTCCTAGCAAGGCTCTTGGGGGGCTCGACGGCGGCGGAGTGGGACGGTTGCAAAGACGATTGTGTGTCTTCAACAGACTCAGCATCCGTGGTGATTATGTTTTCCGAGACTGAAGGTGCAGATGCAGATCCATGGTCATCACCAATCTCTTCTCCGAACACAAAGTCCTGGAGTACTTCACGAAGATCAGGGTCATCACGTTCCGCGGCTTGAAAGGCAAGGTCCAGTTCATGTCGTGCCTGAAAGTCCGAATCGCTTGCAAAGCGCGAGCTAGATGGAACATCAGAGCCCCAGTGAGGAGCCATGCTTTCAAATGGATTAGTTCCACCAGTTCGCTGCTGTGCAGACGATCCCGAGGCCCCTACAAAGCCGGGTATTGTCTCGCGAGGAATGTTCACATCTACGCGAGAGTTGAGGGCAGAGAGATCCGGAGAGTCTGGCTCACGGTTCCTAGACCGTCGCAAGTCGTCATTCTGTAGAAGTTTCGTAACGGCCCTAACAAGCCAACTGAGCTCTTCTTCCCGACCTTCCTCCCGTACAATTCTTATGATCTCTTCTAGATCGCCATGAGCGCGGTGCCAAAGGTCCCGAAAAATTTGCATATCCATAGCAGGCCAGGGCTGGTTAGCTTGGGGTGATTGTTGCCAAGCCGACAGGTTGAGATTGAATGCATCGTTATTACGAGCGAACGGAGCAGTAGAAGGGTTGTCTGCCGGTAAATCTCTCAAACTGAAAGGTTCATCAAGATTCATTACCCCTCGGCCGCGGGAATCCTCAAGTTCAGTAGCAGGTTGGTGAATGTCGTCTTGATCAGCATGGTGAGCCACTTGTCCAAGATGCCGACCGACAGGGGGCAGAGCTTCGCGGTTTCGAAATGCGTTCAGGTTGTCATCTGGCAGCGCAGGTGGTTGTGGCTCAGGTCGAGGGGCAGCTTCGGCTGGTTGAGCCGGTCGGTTGTTGGCTATTAATTGGACTGCAGCTTCACGCTCCCCTTCTGCAATGTTATCCATAGGTTGCTGTTGAACAACCCATTCGCGGATAAGGAATATCAAGATAAAAGAGACAACCACAAGCAGAGTGATCAGCTGACCTTCTAGAGTGTCGATAAGGATGTTATTGATGGTAGGGGACGGGGTCAAGGAATTCAAGAACTTGACATCCGAAAGCCAAGAAGGACGGCGGGGTTTGTTCGATGTCGTCGTCACGTTCGAAGGGTCCGTAGAGCCAAAACCGGACGACATGGCTGGGAAAAAAAGCGTAGCAAAAGCTTTCTTTGTAAGAGAAAGCAACAAGGGTTCCCCCGCAGGGAAGCCGAATATCGACGGTGCTGGCCCCTCCGTTGCACTGGGTGGAACAGCTGAGCCCACTGAGCTTGTAGCCGGATCCGTGTTATGGGCTACCAAAGTGTGGTTTACTCCGAGATGCGCAGCATTGCCAAGTGAAAGACCTTTCTGGATACCATCACCCGCCGACCAACGACCATCTGCAAGCCAGAACAGCGCTCGCCATATTGCCCGCATAGACCATGGCAACCACCCGAGCCAAACGAAGGCAACGAGAACCCAGCGAAGCCAAGTAACAACGGTCCGCAAGCTATGAATCAGAAGTTGTTTGGTGAACAATAGGATCGGTAGGTTCTCAGGCATATCCGGATCGTATAATTTTGTAAAGTGGAAAGGAGTCTTGCACAGCTCACAATGTTTCTTCTGCGAATGAGCTAACCATTGCACGAGGCAAGGCTGGTGAACAAACTTGATACTGCCACTGCATTTGCATGGATAGTAGAGTTGATCTTGTTCCGTGGCCTCCCCACGACATATCCGGCAAGTATCTGGCTCCTCCTGTTCTCTTTCCTTGCCTCTCCGATTCGTATCGTAGGCTGGATCGTTCATTAAGTCGGGAAAGCCTGCGGGGCCCCCATGCTCGCGAAATTGACGGCCTGGAAACTCCATTTTGACGGATCAAGAGTTGACGATCGAGTCGCCCTCAGTAGTAGCCGGCAGGTAGACTATCAGTTACCATGATTCAAAGGCGAGAAAACCAGTCCGGGATGATGACGCAAGGTGTAAACGTGAGGCAGGCAACTATGCAGGGGTTCCACAAGCTGCAAACTACCGGAGAACGTAAATAAAGCTTTTTCGAAATCAAGTTCGAAGAGGAGGATGTCGCTCGGAACACAAATGTGGGTGAAACTGAGAGACAACAACTGAAACACCGCAACAACGAACTGACTGCCTTTCAACACGATTGTCGCTGGTGAGGAGCAGAATGATGACTCAGCCTTGTCTGGTTGGGGAATATGGTCATGTGACCCGAAACGAACTCGACTCGTCATTCGCCTCTGGGTCTTTCTGATATGAATCTACATCTAAGAGATTAGAATTCCCCTGAAGCCGGACTCTATCAGTTAGGTTACTGGTTCAAATGCAGAATGGGGCTGGAAACAATAGCGCAACAGTCGCAGCAGCAGCAGCGACAACCCCTCTTCTTCCGAGCGGTGAGTCTTGCTAGCTATAACATTGCAATTCTCTATGTGCAACTGTCATTCTAGCATCCAGGAACAGAATGGTATCCTGCCAGTCGACCTATGGGAGGGAAGAAGGGCTGAGACCTATGAATGCCCTGAGCTGTCTTGATCAAGAGTGTTATCCAGTTGCCTTTCCAAATAAGCACAATCTAGTTCAGTATCCTAGGTAGTTACTACTACCTACCTACCTTTGATCTGTGTTACCAAGCCAGAGAGACCATGGCCCTCCAACAGATATAGGTAGTACAAGTTGAACGAGTCAGCATCGTCAATGCCACATACGCAATTTTCAAGCGATCGATGATAGTCTCTTAGTCCCGAGAGATGATATTTTCCCGGTTTTTCTTGACCAGCTCCCTGTTCTCAGCCATACTCTGGAATCCAGAAGCACCAACAAGTAAGAAATATTGCCCAAGGCTCGTTCAATTTGGATGATAACAAATCTACTGCTTCATCTCATATGAAACATTCGGACTCTTTGAAGAAACAGCCACATATCTGTGGCACGAAGATAACGAGGGAAATCTGCCGCCTAATCAAGTCGGATCAAGTTGCAGCTCAATGCTGTTGGCATAGCGGTTATTTTAGTAAATAAATATAGATTATCGCATCGCGTATGCGGGTGAGGCCACGAAACATCAATAGGCCGGCAATAGTGATGACATGCAGATAGTATGGCTTCTATCGGGCCTGCGCATGTATTGCAGCGCGAAGTGTAGTCTCCTGGACAATGGTGGGCAGGATACAGGTTTGTATCCTCACCCTTTCCCCTAGATCTCAGATAAGGACGAATATTCCATCATAAATCGCAGCTTGGTCGAAACCCTTCTCAACGAGTCAGCCATCGAAGTGTTGATAAGATGCAATGTTGCGCCACTTCGGCACGGCACAATGACCTCACCGACCAACCTGCACGCCTCCTCCACTCACCCTCAATATGAAGTAGACCATTGAGAATTTCATGGTCAGATTCAGCCCTTGCATCGACTTTTGCTCTAACCGCGCGTGCGCTGTTGGGTTTCTCTTCGATGTTGAGGTCGTCAGTGTAGCGGCCATTCCTCTTTGCCAAGACCCGCACCAGCATCCATCGCGTGCTGATCCTGGGCTGTTATCGCGGTCAAATTCTGAAGTGAAGCTCTTCTTTGCTTTCGATCACTCACTCACAAAGCCCCCCGGGCACCTCTTCTCTCGAGCACCTCGCGTCATCTTCCGATGATCTAGTATCTACCTTACAGTTTCTTGTCTTTACCAGCGACCTTTTTTAGCGGGTGACGCGAAGTTTGGAACAGCATCCGCTTCTCGGGCTCTCTAGGAGCTTCCCCCCCATTATTCGGGGGCAGATAAGTCATGGCATCCTCGCAGAATGGCCATGCTTTGGACATAAACGACAAAGCTGTCGGGGTCAAAGAGAAACAGCTAAAGTTGAAGAGGAGAAATCCTATTCGATGGACAGTGGGGTTGGTTGTGCGGTATGAAACGCTTCTTTCTTTTTTTTTGGATCTCTCCCCCGTTACTCAACAACAATAAACAATTCATCTAACCATAACGTCTATAGTCTTTGTATTTGGTATGTTTTACTAACCCCGTTTTTCCGATGCCCGTCGCGCCTCTCCGATCTGACAGGCTCTTCCCCACGAGTCTGTAAGCCGTACCTGGTGGTTAGATCTTACGTCGAACCTCACATCATCCCCTATTACAACACCTACGGTGCTCCATATGTCGATACTGCGCGTCCCTATGTTCGCGTGCTGAATGAGAGGGTATACACACCCGCTGCGCATCTTACAAAGCGAGGCTACGAGAAATATGGGGCCCCAGCGTTGGATCGGGCTCAGACTTACGGCCAGCAACAGTGGTCATCCAAAGTTGTCCCTCATATCCAGTCTTCCAGGGACAAAGCAAATGTTTGGTATAATGCTCAAGTAGCTCCGCATGTGAAATGCGTCACGTCCACTATCTCGCCGTATTACCAGCGAGTCCACTCTGCATATTGGACCGCTCTTGATGGCTACATCCTACCTTTCTGCGCCAGATACCAGCCGTTCATTGGGAAAACGTATTCTTCAGGACAGGGAATTTTAACGACCAGAGTCATGCCGTTCGCGCAAAGCACATGGTCCTCCGCGATGTATCTCGTCAACAACTCTCTATGGCCGAAGATCTCCAATCTCTACTCGGAGAATGTAGAGCCCCAACTGGTGAAGATTGGGCAGCGGCTTGCAAGCTACCGCGAAGGAAGTCGCATACGAACAGTCATAGATGATGTCGACAAGTAAGGGCCTCACTAACCAGAAGCTGGAAATCCACTAACCTACGGAAAATTAGCTCCTCTGAATACTTGACGACTTTCGCCCCACCATCAGTGGAAGTCAGCAAAGCTACATCATTCACACCATCTTCTTCTCCCGATCCCACACCAACTCCTTCACTCTCCCCTGCAGAGCTAGCCGCTCAAACACGTGAGAAAATAGCGTCCGATCTTGAAATTTGGCAGCGAAAGTTTGCTGTGGCCGCTGAAAGCGGCGTCGAAGACCTCGAACGACGCGTGAAAGAGATCGTCGGAAGCTACTTGGCGAGCGAAGTCAAGGCAAACGGAGAGAGCCTTGCTACTGCGCTAGAAATCGCGGTTGAAGATCAAACATCCGCAGTTAAGAGCCGCATCAATGCCCTCGCCGAATCTCTCCCATTTGAAGAAGCGCCTCAAGAAGAAGAAACGGCAGCTGAGAAGCTATTAAAGGCAGTCAGGAACGCAGCGATTTCTATCAGGGATCGGGCTCACGCGCTCAGAGTGTGGCACATTTCATTCGAGCAAGAGCTGGTTCAGATGGTTTCCGCCGCTGTTGACTCCACCCTGGCAGTCCTGGACGATGTTCGGGATTTGGGACTGCAGGAAATAGGCATGAGGTGGGCTTGGATGGATGGCGTTACCTACAAGGACTGGGAAGATTACCATGCGCTCAAGGGGCAGATGGAAGATTGGAAGGATAAGTTCCGCAGCGTTGGGTTGCAACATACAGCAGTCGAAGCGGCCAAGGCGCTCGGGGAGGACACCCTCTCCCGTGGAATGGATGTGGCCGAGTCTGCTGCAAAAGAGCTCGCGAGGTTGAAGGACGTTGGAAGGTGGAAGATCGCTGCTCGGGAAGTCAGTGACGATTTTGACACAAGATCTTCGCCTCCCCCACCACTTCCGAAGCCTACCCCCGCGGAAGAAGAGGTCACATCCGGGGGCGATGAGACCACCACCTCACAACCAGCCCCTACTGAGAACAATCCTGAGTGTGACACGGAAAATCTCGCCGTGGAGACGGAGCACGAACCAGCATTAGGACTGGATGATGAAATTGTTCCTGATTTAGATCAGGATCCTCTGTCCCCGGTGAAGGGTGAAGAATCATCAGCCCCAGCCCCCGAACCCACAGAGCCCTCCCAAGCTTCCCCAACTGACCACGGGACTGAGTCGGAAACCGTCCCTGATCTGCATCAGGGTACCTGGGGAGTGGCAGCTGCTGAAGTTATCGCCGATCAGGATGTAGTGGGCGATGAGTTCGTCCCTGGACAGGTGCATGAGGATAGCGAAGATATCGACAATGATATAGTTGACACTGAGGCAACAAAACTGGCCGACGAACTGCTCGCCCAGTCATTGGATGTCGACGAAGCTGCAGATGGCGGACCAGAGCAGCCCATTGCCTCGTCGCCCCCCGCTTTACAGCCTACGCCGAATGAGGCTGTGCAGGACCTGCTGTCCGACCTACTGGCAGGCAAGGATGCTTCCTATGCAGAGGATATCTTGCAGAAGCTTAATGCGATTTACGAACTCACAAAAAGCGCTTCCACCCCTTCCCCGGCACCTACTGACCCCGTTGTTGACTCCCCAACGCTCTCTTCCCCCCAGTCTCCCTTCTCTACAAGCACCTCGGGTCAGGATGAATCTACTAGCGAAGATTTATAATGAAATAATGATGAGAAAGCTGTGTGGTTGCAGATCTCCATTGAATGCGATGTGGGCAGAAGAAGAACTGTGTAATCTGGGCTTTTAACATACCCCGTTTCCATACACTCTTGATATCCTTCAATCTTCTTCTCGCGTTTTGTTTTTGCTGGACGCTGTTTATTCCCCACATAGTTCCCATGATTGTACGTCACGACGGATTGTATGGCTATGATGAGATTTTCCTTGCTATTTTGATCAGTGTTTTATTAGTTTCCTTGGCTTTTTGGTTTTTTTTTCTTTGCTTTGCTTTTCTTTTCTTTTCTTTTCTTTTTTTTCTTTTTTTTTTTCTTTTCTTTTTTGGGGGCGAGGGTGTATTTGCCTGATCTGATGCTGTAGAATCCAGATTATATCCTATCTTATATTTTCCTTTGCTGTCCATCATAAATATATACCTCGCGGACACCCTGATGCTTGCAATTAATCCGTTACATACTCTGTAAAGTCCTAAACAATACTCGTACATAGACACACACACACAGAGAGAAGAGAGAGAGACTCTCATCAGATCTTCACCGATATTGCACCCGCTGACCCCCCCGTTTTTCCATCTTCTTTTGTCTCTTGCTCTCTCCACCCGTCTGTTCCGCCTCACCTCCCATTCCAGCCAACCCGCTCCGCACCCCAGTCAAGGTCGAATAGGCCAACCAAACAGAATACACCGGCACCACGATCCACAACCACCAAGCACGGTCCCCGAACAGACACGCGGCGCCGATGCAGCCCCAGGTCCAGTAGAGAATATCCCACATGTACTCTGTTAAACCGGCCGCTCCGAGATCCTCCCCCGGGGAGCGGAGAGAGCCGTCCGCGGCATTGTAGGCGGGTCGGCCTAGACGGTCAAGGTAGAATTCGATCGCTAGGGTGGGACATGCGAGGAGGCAGTAGGGTTTTAGGGAACGAGGACGGTTGAAGGTCCAGTGGAGGAGGAGGAAAAGCGAGTGAAGGGCCAGGGTGATGAGATGGGTGCGCAGCAGGACGGAGGTGTTGCGTGCTGCGAGGGTTTTGGCTGCTTTCTGTAGTTGAGGAGGACAATGTGAGTTAAGATGGATTGGATTGGATTGGATTGGATTGGATTAAGGGGGGGAAGGATCTACCTGGGCCATTTTTTGGGGGGTGTGTGATATGCTCGTGGGAGAGAGAGAATGTAGGTGAGGTTAGGTGAGGTCGAGATGATGCAGCAGGACTTGGGAGGTACAAATTGACAATGTATGTCAAGAAGGGTGATTAACCAAAAATAAGAATATTAAAAGAAGAAGTATCATTCCAAGCCATGTAACTATCCCACTCTTATTCAGGGAGCTCTTGCGAGAAGAGAAAGAAGTGGCATCGAGAATGAAGCGTTGCCCTCCACAACCAGACAAGCGCCCGCGCCTCCACCAAGAAAACATCATCAGTTAACTTACCAGCTTTCATCACTTACTCATACTCATACTCATACTCACATCAGTCACAGGAGTCCCACTGGTTCTACCTCTGCTCCTCTCCCTTCGATATGCAATTTGATCTGGTCTGAGACTTTGTTTGGCCTCCCTCCAGGGCGTCACAAGTCGTCCGAACGTCATTCTCTCTTTCTCTCTTTCCCCTTTGTGGGGGGTTGAAAAAGGTGATTCTGTCAAGGGAAAGGAAAACAAAAACATAAAATTGAAAAAAAAAAAGACCCTATTGCTATTTTCGTCTCTGCTTCTTCCTCTGCTTTATCCCTACCCCCTTCTCTTTCTTTTCTTTGGCGTCTTGGGGGCGACGGTAAACTTTTCCCATTATACACGACGTGAAAGAACACACACACACTTCATCGTGGTTTCCTTCATCTTTGTCTCGTGCTATCTCCCAAATATTAAAGTCTACCTGATGCTTGTCTTCTGTTAAACAGATCTGCCCCTCGTCTGTTCGATACTCGTCGTACCTTTCTTTCCGCTGGCACCTGGCTATTCTTACGTCGACACCGCCTCCTGCGTCGATATCCTTTCGATAAATTTTGTCGTTGACCGTGGTTCTCTTCCTTTTCACCCTGGACAATGTCGCCATCAACCTCTCATATATCGGCCCAGTTGCGGCAATTAATCTACTACCATCTCGACAACAATCTGATTCGCAACGCGCTCTTCCTCGCCGGCCGCTTGCATGCTTATGAACCTCGAGCCTCCGAAGCTTCATTCCTCCTTGCGCTTTGTTACCTGCAGAACGGCCAAGTGAAAGCGGCATGGGAGAGTAGCAGGAATTTTGGATCGCGTGGGACGCATCTGGGGTGCTCCTATGTTTACGCGCAGGCATGCTTGGATCTGGGGAAATATATAGACGGTATTAACGCGCTGGAACGAAGTAAGGCGCTTTGGACGTCAAAAACCCACTGGAGTAAGCAATCTACAATCTATCTTCCATATGATGGTGATGGCAAGACTGCAATCTGCCTGTCATTCGGACCTGTGAGCTTGATGCTGATTTTTTCCCCCTTTTTTTTCTTATCGGATCGTATAGACAAACACAGCGAAACACGCAGACAGCACTTGCCAGATGCGGCTGCAGTTCTCTGCTTACAAGCTAAGCTATGGCACGCGCACAAGGAGCTCAACAAAGCCGTCGAATGCTACGTTGAGGCTCTCAAGCTCAATCCCTTTATGTGGGACGCCTTTTTGGGGTTGTGTGAGACAGGTAAGCCAGGGGCCTTTTGACACCACGGCCCGTTGATCTCTTAACTGACAGTCGCGGAAAGGTGTCAATGTTCGAGTACCAAATATCTATAAAATGAGCTCCGAACTTTTCACGTTAATCTCATCCTCCCTCCAGGATGATGCCGAATCTCCCATCGACAAACCAGCACCCTCCAGTGGGCCCTTGCAGAAACAGACCAATGCAAATCCAAGCCTGGATCCTTTCACCTCCGCTACCTCTCGGGCCGATTCGTTAACCACTCATGGAAGCTCCGCGTTATGGGAAAAATTGAATGGAAGTACGGTCAGTGTAGCATCTACAGGGGGGTCAACACATATTATCCACGAAGGTGCGGAAACTCCAGGGGAGCAGAGCAGTGAGTCCGACGATCCTCGCCTGGTCAATGGAACTGGCGGTGCAGAAGTATCGTGGGAGCCACCGCTAGCACCGACAAGGAAAAACCGGACAATACAAACAATAGGGGGCGACCACGCGATGGACCCTCCGCCGAAGATGAAACCCACCGGGATTCGACCGAGAACGAGAACCAAGACCGACGCAGACGAACACGCCCCTGCCCAGGCCGATAAAGACGGGACGACAGGACCTAGAATTGGCGATCGCAAACGCACGGTTTCCGGTCAAGTCGCACACCCTACTGGTCCTCATCCCACAGAACCTGGCGCGCCGCAACGACGCAGTGTACGGCTTTTCAACCAGATCAAGCCTACTACGAGTAAGTTCTCCGGAACTGCGCTGGGGGTGAAAGACAGTCGAGAGCTCAAGAAGGTGAGGGCCACTGGAACCAAGGGACGCTCAGCAACTTCCACCAACGTAGGTCGTGTGGTCAGCGGCAACAATCGAAAACATATTGGTGAAGTCCATGATGGCGATAATAGGGAATACCGAACCACGTCTTTACCGATGCAAAATGGTGTTCACCACGCGTCTTCTAAAGGGGCCGCAATTGAACGATCCAAATCTATCGAGGCTTTGTCATGGCTCTTGGAACTGTTTTCCAAACTCGCATCTGGCCACTTCGCTATGACTCGCTATAAATGTACTGATGCTATCCAACTGTTCAACTCCCTTTCCCAGGGGCAACGGGACACGCCATGGGTTCTCGCTCAAATTGGGCGAGCATACTACGAACAAGCAATGTACTCAGATGCGGAGAAGTATTTTGTCCGGGTAAGGGCGATGGCGCCGTCTCGAGTCGAGGATATGGAAATTTATTCGACAATTCTCTGGCACCTGAAAAACGACGTGGAAATGGCTTATCTTGCGCACGAGCTGATGGAGGTTGATCGCCTATCCCCACAGGCCTGGGTTGCTGTCGGAAACTCGTTCTCACATCAGCGGGATCATGATCAAGCCTTGAAGTGCTTCAAGCGCGCTACCCAACTGGATGCCCATTTCGCGTACGGATTCACACTCCAGGGCCACGAATTTGTTGCCAACGAAGAATACGATAAAGCTCTAGAAGCCTACCGACAGGGCGTTAACGCGGACAGCCGGCATTACAATGCCTGGTACGGACTGGGAACAGTATATGATAAAATGGGTAAACTCGACTTTGCGGAGCAGCATTTCCGCAATGCCGCCAACATCAACCCTACCAACGCGGTCCTCATATGCTGCATCGGTCTCGTTTTAGAAAAGATGAACAATCCGAAGGCAGCACTGGTTCAGTATGGCAGGGCGTGTTCTCTGGCTCCTCATTCTGTGCTTGCTCGTTTCCGTAAAGCTCGCGCACTGATGAAGCTGCAAGAGCTCAAGTTAGCTCTTGGCGAGCTCAAGGTCTTGAAAGACATGGCTCCGGATGAGGCCAATGTGCATTACCTCCTCGGTAAGCTCTACAAGATGCTCCATGACAAGGGCAATGCCATCAAGCACTTCACGACTGCTTTGAATCTTGATCCCAAGGTATGATGATACGACTCGCTCACCGCGCAAGGTGTACCTAACTAACTTGTTTTACATCAGGCGGCGCAATACATCAAGGACGCAATGGAATCGCTTGACGATGAAGAGGAGGACGAAGACGATATGGCATGATTCTATCTATCGTATTAGCAATTCCCCCCCTACCCTGCCTTTTTTTTTTTTTTTTTTTTTCTTTTCTTTCGTTTTCTTTTGACGCCCTTCATCTTTTCCAATACCCTCTCGTTACCTCCTCCTCCATTTTCCCACCAGATTGGTGTCTCTACCCTAGGGTTGGCGTTTCTTTCTAGGTCGGATTCATACCCGCATCAGCATTACGGCGTTCGGAAGTGGATTGGTTACAGGATGCATTTTCGTTATAGCAGGCATCGTCGAATCAGTGTCGAGGGCCCTGGTTTTGTATATTAGCGTGGGTCGGCATTGTTGTACCAGGGCAGGAGATTGGCTGCGCTACACATGCGACACGAAAAAAGCTGGGTGAGACAGGTTCATGAACATAATTGACGGTCTGTCGCGCCGGGCGGTTGCAGAATTAAGATCATTTTTACATACACATTCTTATGAACCGGACAGGACTCGATAGTTATTTCTTCGTATACTGTAGTGTGAGTCTTTGAGATGGACTGAATATATTATCGAAGAGCGGTGAGATCCTGCCCGTTCCTCTTACTCAGCAGATCATGTGCCCCAAGCCGATCGCCGCCTGGAATTCGGAGCATCGCAAAAAAGACACACTTTGTAGTCAACGAGATTTCACCTTTTCACCTTTTCCCCTTCTGGTTATTGGCTCGGATTATTCTTCCCTGATATTCTGCGCACCCTCCACGGAGTACCGCTTGCCTGGTCATGCTCCTGATCGAGTTGTAAATATTGAATTATTCTTTGTTTTTTTTTCGTTCTTGTCCCCCCAATTTAACGGCCGCCTGACCTCCATCACGCACCTCAACTCCGTGCCTTGGTGGTAAGCCGCTCCTTTTTCTCTGCGTCTTAGATCTTAAATTCCCTGCGGACCCTGCGGAAACAGCCAGAGAGAAATCGTTCTCCTAACACCACCCACGCTCCCCTCTGTGCCGCATCCGAACCAGTCGCTCCCAAAAACCATGTCGTTCCTCTCGTATATCACCACCGGCATTAGCTCGTTTGTTGTCGTTACGGCGTCACTCTTCGCAATCGGGCAGAAGGTTCCCCGTGCGGCATTTGTAGCCCGCTGCTTAGCCGCCTATGGTTCTCTCCTTCTCTGCGCAACCTACGGTGTGATTGCCTCGATCGTCCTGCGTCTTGTTGGTTACGGCCGCGTTTCTCAATGGGCCACTGCCCGCAGCTTCAAGTGGGTGATGAGGTATACGACTGGTGTGCGGTTCGATATTATCCAGGGTGAAGAACACCTCGCGACCCGTCCTGCCGTTTTCATTGGGAACCACCAATCCGAACTGGATGTGCTCATGCTGGGATGCATTTTCCCACCTTACTGCAGTGTCACCGCGAAGAAGTCGCTCCGCCATGTCCCCTTTCTCGGCTGGTTCATGGCGCTATCTCGCACCGTTTTCATTGACCGGGCGAACCGCGAAACCGCTGTAAAGGCCTTTGATGGTGCCGCGGAGGAAATGCAAGTTCACCGACAGAGCGTCTTTATCTTCCCCGAGGGCACAAGAAGTTACTCAGGCAAGCCGGAGCTGTTGCCGTTCAAGAAGGGTGCTTTCCACCTTGCGGTCAAGGCTGGGGTGCCTATTGTTCCGGTTATTTCTGAGAACTACTCGCATATTCTGTCGCCGAAGGACATGAGGTTTGACGCCGGCATCATCAAAGTCAAAGGTATGTTGTTTATCTACAGCAACTTCCCCTGTATTATTTTTTTTCTTTTTTTTTCAACTGACAGAAAGCCAGTTCTCCCACCTATCAGCACCGCTGGCCTTACCCCGGCTGATGTTGACAACCTCACCAAGTCGACCCGAGAAGCCATGCTCAAGACTCTGCTAGAGCTGTCTGAGACCAATAAGGAGGATGATTCTTCTGTTCCGAATGGTAGATCCTCAGCCATTGAGATTTGATCACATTCATCTACCTAATACCAGTGGCTACCCTGATTCATACTCCACCCCGATCCAAGCAAAGGCCATGAGGGACTACCCCCCCCCCCCCCCAACACTCTTTATTATTCATTATTCCCCCTACACCCTTCGTATGATTATACGTCGACATGACATTCAACCAGCCAGAAGGCCGATGAATAGAATAGGCTACCATCCCCCAACCCTTAAACCCAGACTCGTGGGGGGGTATACGACACGACACTGAAGCGGAGGCGTGTTGGGAGATTTAACTAACGTTCCCCCGAGAAACAAACAACGATGAATGCAGTGTTGGATTCTTTATATACCCTAGAATTGATTGATACTCAATGAATAGACGATGATGATAACATAATATATATATATATATATATATATATACTTATCTTTATACTTACTTCCAGGTTATCGTTATTACGTATACTTACACCCGTGGTTTATTTTTAAGGTAATATAATATAATATAATATACCCAACGAATTCCATTCCACTCGGCACTCGTTGAGGCAGTCAGTCTACTCCCTCCCCACCTTCACCCCAAACATCTACAACCCCCCATCGCACAAGGTCGGATATCCCGCTCAATATCCATCTTCTCAAACGGCAGCCAGAGATCCTCCTCATCCCCGCCATCAGCCCCAACCCTGGCCCCCCTCGCAGCCGTCGCAATCAAGTAATCCCCTCCGAAGGCAACAACCTCAATCCGTACATCGCCCACCACCTCTCCGTTTAATGTAGTGCGAACATCCCTGTACGGTTCCCCGAATAACCGGTCTCCTTCGTCACCATCGTCGTCTCCGTGCTGCTGCTGCTGCGGAGGCGGAGGCGGGCCCACCTCCGCAGCAGCAGGCGCAATAACATTCGTAAACTCTAGATCCCGGAGCCACGGCGCTAGAAGCGCCTCCCCGGTCATTTTGATGTAGGCTTCCTTGAGCGCCCAGTAAGTGTAGAAGAGTCTGTAGCCGTATTCTACGAGGCAGGGGGGGGGTCGACCTTGGGCTTGTCCCAGCAGTGATTGAGGCGCGCCGTGTAAACTCTTGATTGTTGCGATTTGGGGGGCCGAGAAGATCTCCGAGAAGATATCGACGTAGTTGTTGAATGCGGTGAGGGTGCGGGCTTCGGGATCAGAGGAGGAGGGTTTACCCTGGCGTTCGTTGACGCAGGTGATATCGATTCCGACCTGCGGGGTTGGGTGGGACGGTTGGGTTCGGGAAGACGAACAAGGCACCGCGGTCCCCGCCAATGCGACTAGGGAGGCTTGGTGGCTGACGTTGAATTCGACGTTGGGGGCAGCAGGGTTGCGGGCTTGTTGGGCGTGTGTTGGGACGAAGCAGGGTCGGCGGTGCGGGGCTGGGGTGCGGCTGATGGTGATGTCGGCCCAGGGGATGCGGCAGGTTCGGTGGACGAAGAGGTATTTGAGAAGGTTGGAGGCGAGGGACATGTGTTTGTCCTTTTGGTGGTAGAATTTGCGGACGGTCTCTTGGTCGTTTGGTTGGAGGGTTTCGAGGAGGGGGAGAGCGGTGGTGGTTTGGGTGAGAGGGCGGGTGTCGATGTACCACCGGACCAGGGGTTGTGTTGTGGTGTTGGGATCATGATTGGGTTGGGCCATCGTGTTGTGCTTCCCTTATTTGGGGTCATAAATTCATACTGATTGTCAATTGTCCTGTTGAAGACATGGATTCTCTATCTCTATACTATATATATACTCCCGAGTCCATCAGCGACGATCAGGTGACGCTATCGGGAGGGGCAGCACGTGGTGATAACAGATTGCTGACATAATCTCTATCAATGAATTGCCGGTGGCTAAAAAAGAAAGAAAGACGAAGGCCTCACTCATGTTACGTTCCCCTGTCCCGATTGAAGGGCAATGACTGGATTTACGATTACTGTCGGGGTTTTGGCCTTGCAAGGCGCTTTCTACGAGCATGTCGTGCTCCTGAGAACGGCAGCCGCCAATCTGGCCTCAGATAAAACCCAATCCCCTACGAAATGGGAGTTCATCGAAGTGCGGACCCCGCTCGAACTGGAGAGATGCAATGCCCTGGTTTTGCCGGGAGGTGAAAGCACCGCCATTTCTCTGGTTGCCGCTAGATCGAATTTGCTGGAGCCATTGAGGGACTTTGTGAAGTATGTATATACCTCTTCCCTGCTTCTGGCCTGGGTAAAATGGAGTAGATCGATTGACTCATACCCCCCGCAGGGTCCATCGCAAGCCCACCTGGGGTACCTGTGCGGGACTCATTCTCCTCGCAGAGTCGGCCAACAAAACAAAGAAAGGCGGCCAAGAATTGATCGGAGGCCTCGATGTTCGTGTTAATCGGAATCATTTCGGTCGCCAAACCGAAAGCTTCGAAGCGCCACTTGACCTCCCATTTCTTAGTGCCTCCGGCGAACCCGAAGCACCTTTCCCAGCAGTCTTTATTCGCGCGCCGGTTGTGGAGAAGATATTGCCTCACCAGGAAGGTGTTCAAGTTGCCGAACTCCAGAGGGATGAGACTGTCGTAGCCCCGTCTCGACAAGCTGAAGATGAAGCGGCTCGGAAGGCCATGTCAAGCCATGTGGAGGTCCTTGCGACTCTCCCCGGAAGGGCCGCACGCTTGGCCGATGATGCCAAGGCTATCGATGCCGATGAGGAGGCTGGTGACATTGTTGCCGTCCGACAGGGCAACGTATTTGGCACGAGCTTCCATCCCGAGCTGACCGGTGACGATAGGATTCATTCTTGGTGGTTGCGCCAGGTGGAAGCTGCCGTGAGAGGAGCAAACTGAAATGAGTATAAGACGTAAAGCCGTGCCAGCGAGACACGTAATGAACTGGATGTATAAAGAGCGTTTTGCATGACACGGGGGTATTAGGTGTAAATATTTATTTATTTATTTTTTCTTTTCTTTTTGGGGCGCTGCTGTTTAATGCCAATGATAGACACAATAGAATTTACACATAAACGCCATGACTGCGCCTGTTAAATGAAAGCAATTTCCCATACTATTTATTACCTACCAGGCCCGTATTCATCCTCTTCGCGTTGCCGTTGGTCATCCGCGTATGCTCGTCCGTAGCCACCACGGCCCGGATCATACTCTTCTCGGTACTCGTCGCGAACCTGACCACCGGATTTACCTCGTCTGCGCAAGGTTAGTTACTGTGTGGAGTCTGAATATAAATCGGCGTTGCTTGAACACGCACCCGTACTGCCGTCCTTCTTCAAACCCAGGGTCCAAATCCGTTCGAATGATTCTCTCATCGAGCTTGGTGCCTCCGATGTATTTCAAACAATCCAAAGCATCCTGATGTGTATAATATTCCACGAAGCAAAAGCCGCAAGGGGTTTTGTTGTATCGGTCGAGTCCCATCACGAGGCGCTTAATTTCTCCGCATCTGAGGGTTGCCATCAGTAAGAGCATTCAGCGGTGAAACCAATAGAGGACTACCAACTTTGCGAAAAGCTCGTGAATCTGTTCTTCAGTGGTGTAGAAAGAGCTGGTGTCGTGCGTTAACAGGCAAATGATACTGTCAAGATCCGCAGGTTGTCCAAGCAAAAACGTACAGGTTGCCCACATAGAGCGTGGTAGCGTTCTTCAGATTATCGGCCGGAGATTCTAGTTTTTCAGGCTCATCTTGAGTGTACTTGCGCTTCTTGTTCTGCGTGTATGTCAGAACTTGTCAATGACTTCTCCTCCGCTGAAGCTGGTGCAGAATGTTTTGCAGCGCTGTACCTTTCCCACATAGTAGGCACTGGGCCGATCAAGCCTCTCCACTGTGTTATGCCGTGAAGAATCCATAACTCAGAGACAAAGAAGACGAACAAAAAGCTGCGAAACAGCAGATAATCGCAGAGAGCTGCTGCTGTTGTTGTTGTTGTTGTTGTTGTGGAAGGAGTTGGATGGAAGAAGACGGAGAGGAAAGCAGGAGAGCTTCGTCCGTTCTTGGCGCTGTTGCTTCTTCGTCCCGCCCAAAATTTCGCCCCGAAGCTCGTCGTGGTCGTCTTGTACAGTCTGCACGCCAGCTCCGGCAGTTTTCCCTTTCTATTTCTATCAGGGGTCTGACCTTGTTTCTAACTCCGACGATCCGATGAACTAATTGGACCCAAAATGCCGAAAGTGATCAGTTTTACGCCCCCTTGGCTATCGCGCCCTTCTTCTGGCGCTTCATTGTTCTCCAGCACTGCAGCTCCCAACGACCCGATAAATCTCAAGACCGCGAAAGATGTTGAATATGATGGCCCTATTCGGACACTGGCACGGCGGGGGAACGAGGTGTTTACGGTGGTAGACAATCAGATTCGCTGGTCCAGCCTTACCCGGTTGAAGGATCGTTGGCAGCAACGCAGCAAGTCAAAGAGCAACTCCACGGGCCAGAAGGAGAGCTCTGAAGACCCAGCAGATACAGAGAGTAGTATCGCCTACAGAGTATGGGCCCCGGTTTACCATGCATGATGTTGGTATTGTGGCTAATCGCGCCGATGATGAATAGGCATTGGTAGTACCGGTTTATGAACCAATTCGACAACTTGTTCCTTCTCCGAATGGTGCCTTTCTCGCTATTATCGCAGACCGCACCGTTTTTATTGCAGTACTTCCAGATCCTTCGCATCTGTCCGGAACTGATAGCTCCCCGATCCGCGTGAAGACATACCAGCTGGGTCCGACAACACATGTTATCCCCGAGTCGCCTGTGGTGTCCGCACTCTGGCATCCTCTTGGAACCTACAGCAATCTTGGGGGGTGTCTTGTTACAGTGACTGCCGATGCTGCAGTCCGTGTTTGGGAGCTGGATCGGAATAATCACTGGTCGTTCGATCGCCCAACGCTGGCAATTGACCTTCGGAAATTGGTCGATGGAACGTCTTCAGACCAGGACTTTGCACCCTCCGGGTTCGGTAAGAACAAGGGCTTTTCTGCAGATTTTGTTGATATGGAAGTTGCGTCGGCTCGTTTTGGGGGTGTCGGCAGTGAAAAGGAGGATGCCTGGGCAGCAATGACTCTCTGGGTTGCCATGCGGCCGGGTGACCTGTACGCTCTCTGTCCTTTGCTACCTTCTAAATGGAGGGCGCCGTCGGCTGCTATTCCTGCTCTTTCAGCCGCCATAGTCCCCAAAATCTCCGCTCTTGAAGAAGATCCCCTCGACTACGAAGAAGAATTAACTGCCTGCCGGCAGCAGTATGAGTGGTTGGCAGAGATCGATAACCAAGAGCCATTGCAAATACTCCCAGGCTCTGTGACAGAACCCGAGTCTGAGATTCTCACTCGACCGGCAAATCCTAGTGCTATTCCTAGGTTGCAAGGGCCCTTCAGAGTAGATACTGGCGAAGAGATTGATGACCTTGATCTTTGTGATATTCTAGTCATTGCAGCCAAGGCTGATGTTGACGCTTTAATGATGGGAGAAGAGGATGAGCTTCTACTAGAGAGCGGAGAGGACAACTTATCGGCCACTTTGATATGTCTCTCAACTCGGAGTGGCAGAGTCCATATTTGCCTCGAACTCGACGGAGTGCAGGGACAATGGCTACCAAAGGCGAAGAAAAATGCCTTCCAGACTCCTTTTTCGGAGCCGTCTGATCTGCTTTTGGTCGAGTCGTTGGATACCGTGAGAAAAGACCATCAATCCTTGGACAGCTGGCCCATCTTTACGCCAGACGCCCACTCTCGGTACAGCTTCTTTGTCACCAACTCTCAGAGTGTTGCCTTCATCTCCCTCGCCTCATGGGTTCAACGATTAGAAGCCGAGTTACAGTCTGAAGATACAGCCGGCTCAGCCTTCCGCCTGCAGATTCTTTGCGAAGGCGATGTCTCTGTGCTGGAGTCAATTATCCAAGTGGAAGACGATGCAGGGACCCCTAACAGCCAGCCCTCCCGTCTGCCCGCGTCCTTGGTTTACTATGACTATGATTTAGGTTACTTTCTGCTGACTTACCTTGCTTCCCATCCTTATGCTGCGACTATGGAAACGCCTGACCTATTTCCATCGTTGTCCCTCGACTCCGAGGCGGAGGAGTCCAGTTCGCCCACAATACCGCCTCACCGACCTCCTTACCAAGTTCCTTCCATCTTGTACTCAGAGTCTCCCTTGGAATTTTTTGTCGACAAGCACGTACCACACCGCCACCGAAACAGTCTCAAGGAACCAATCGTCTTATCTCCAGCGACTCTGGACCTTGTGGCCGCGGCTCATCGAATCCTGTCTGCCCATACCAATGTTCTCGAGAGAGCTGCATCGGATCTATTCCGTCGCTGTGAAAGACTACAGGGGGAAATGCGAGATCAATTGGAACAGCTCTCCGATGTGGCTGACCGCATCAAGGGCGTATCGAACGAGATTGGAGAAGATGGCCAGCGGAAGGAAGGATCCCGAAGCACTGCAGCCCTCGATAAGCGGCTGCAAGCCGCTCAGGACAAGCAAGTACAGCTCGTTCAACGTTACGAGACTCTCCGAAATAAGGTTCTAAAATCTGGTGGACGTCCATTGAGTGAGAAGGAGGCAGCATGGGTTTCTGAGGTGGAGACATTATCCGAGTCGTTTGGTGATGCCCGCAAGGAGCCCTACGATAGACAGCAGCTTTCCCAGCGGCTAGAGGCTGTAAGCCCTCAGTTCTTCCGCCGACCATGTGTGCGATAACACTAACAAGATTTATAGGTCAAGGACATTGCAACCGAACTCCTTCTGGAAGCAAAGGCGGTTGCTGCTAGGTCACCCATTTCCCAGGAGCCTGGTAGTCCGGCCTCTCCTACCAGCGCACAGCCCAGGGTTCCTCAACGACTCCAGCGGGCTAAGGTTGCCGACGCCATGAAAATGGTAGAACGAGAGTAAGTCATTACCGAGTCCTATCCTTTTCAATAGGGTGCTAACGTCTGATGTGTAGGTCTGCTGTTATTGAGTCGATTACCGCGCGCCTAGCCCGACTGAACGCCAGCATATGATACCAGCCAGCTTTCTGTTTTGTTTTGTGTTCCCTTGTTCATTGACATGGAGATTAAACGTCTATACGAAAAACTATTGAGAGAATTTAGTTCTGAAGGTATAGTCATGTATGAAAACATACCACTAGTCTGATTCTGCAAATCCAGGGGACTCGAAGAAAGGAAGATGTAAAGAATACCCTCCATCAATCAAACCCCTTCTCTGTCCACTTTACTTGTTGCATCTCATCACCCAATGACCCAGCCCAGCACCTACCTACCCTAATCATGAATCCCAATTCCTCCTCAGAAGACATCTACAAGAATCAATCAGCAGTGCGTACGTACTAGGTAGGTAGGTATCCAAGTAATGACTACAAGAAGAAGAAGAAGAAGAAGAAGAAGAAAAAAAGAACTTACCTCTCCCTCATCAACGCCGCAGAAACCGGTCGCAAATCCTTCATCGTATCCAATTCGCGATCTCTGAAAAACACCCGCTCGCCATTCCGAAACAGCCTCCACTGCTCATTTTCATCATACAACAGCACAACTAACATCCCCAATGCCCGGCCCAGCGGGAAGGCCTCCTCCTCCCCCGACCGCAGCACATTCCGCAGCCCGTACCGTCGCACCCTGGTTTCGATTCTGGCCCAGCAGTCTTCGCATGCGGTTAGGGGGTCGTCGGTTTGGATTATGTCTCGGTAGGTGCACCATGCGTGGGGGTTTTCGCAGGGGAAGCGCCATTCGTCCCATATGCATCCGCAGAGGAATTTGCAGGTGTAGTGGATGCACATTGGATTGTGTATTGTGTATTGTGTCTAGTGGTATAGATTTTAATAGCAGGGAAGGGAGAGAGGGGGGTAGTAGGATAGTAGGGGTAGTTTCGCTAGGTTTTGATGATGTTTATACATATGTACAGAGATATATATATATATGTATTATATTGTGTTAGAGTGTGTCTGGGGTCTGGATGAATGCTTTGTTGGAATAATGGATTACAGACAATAAAGAAGATGATCCTGGTAACATGAATCATTACAAATATATATATATAAGATGTCTTTGTCTTCAGATGACACCTTTCCTTTTTTTTGCTGCTTTTTCTTTGATGTCTGGAGATATGTAGGGCTCGGTGGCCACGTGATGTCGCGTCGCTGCAGTCCTTTCGCTGACTGAAAAGAGAGGAAGGAATCGACAAACTAATAAAGAAGAATTACTGTTGTTACATTTCCATGGCTGTACAATGTGATATGAACTTGGAAACTTGAAACGCGATATTATTGTGACTACTGGGTTAACTCCACTGAACACATTCTTCTGATCAAGTCCATCCTGCACGCGACTGTTCGACCCAAACCTCCTCGAATTCATTAATGTATGTATCCCAAATTCAAACGTAAATCCAGGCTCAGTTTCAAGGCTTTGTCGTTCATCCATTATTCATCCATTATCCATCATAAGAAACACATAGTACAATGATCGCTGCGAGGATCCATGAACCCCCCCCCAAAACTCCACCTGCTTTAACTCCCAAGTAGGCGACGGTATTGAGCTAAACGCACGAAAAGTCGAACGGCGGGAGACATCACGGTGATCCAGACCATTCAGGGAGTGGTGGTGCCGTAAAGGTAAAACTCTTTCGAGAGGCGTTCGCCATCTTCGACCCGCTCGCGAATCGCATGGTACATCTCGTCCACCAGGTCTTCGTAGGAAGGAAGTGCGAGCTCAGGCAAGAACTCCTCCCACTTCTCCATCTCGGCGAGGAAGCGGGGTCCCCAGAAAGTCTGCCATAGCTCCCCATTCGCGCCATTGAGGGTGGTGAGTCTGGCCTTGGAGATCAAATCCTCCATCTCCTCTTTGGCGTCGAGCCAGGCCCGGTAAGGTCCTTCGAGGAAGGATTCCAGCAGACGGTGGTATTCGCGGGCCCACTGGTCGTAGGTTCGATGGTCAATCCGGAATTTCATAAGGAGACTGGGGATCTTGGGGGTAGGCGCAAGAGTCGGGTCGTCGGAATTGTAGTCCTGGTACCAGTCCCAGAGACGATGGACGGAATCCGCGTGGGAGAGGTAAACGGCAGCATCATCGCGGGGGCACATAGCTTTGTAACGGAGTTCGCGGCGTCTGTTGATGCTCTTCATCATACGGAAGGCGCGAGCGGCAGAGGCACGACAGTGGTTGAATGCATCACGCAGATCGCCCACAATCACTCCTTGGAGGGAGCGGGGAAGCGCGAGGTTCTCTCTGACGAAGTGAAAGCTACATGGGATAGAAGGGGCAGAGGTGCGCTGCAACAGAGTGCAACGGGGCGTATTGGAAAGGCACATGACGGCCGAGAAGATGGCATATGCCTGGGAAAGAAAAGAGACGGTAAGCGAGCATGCAGTCAGGAGGAATAACAAGAAGAGGTCTTTGGGAAATGGTGGGACCGGAGGAAAGAGTAGAGACGATGAGATGGGAGACTGGGGGGAATTTATGGGCGAGCCATGAGAGAGAGTGCAATCAGAATTTAACGGAGATTTCCTATAAGTTACCAAGAAAAACCTCACGCCAAAGACTTTTTAGTCTTCCCTGTGTTGCTTTTTTTTTTGTCTGGGACAGGCAAGTGTTTGGAAAATTAGCGCATGCTGTCTTCACCAGCTGCTTAAGACGCCAGGCGCGTATTAGGGCATAATCTAATTCACGCACTGCGATATAATACACACCAGTGTCTCGGTGAAGAGAGAAATAGGGCCTCAGAAAGAAGAAGATAATGGCCTCGATCTCTGTCTTTGTAGGTCAGCCCATGAAGGGACTGCTCTGATAGCGCTAGCATTGGCGGAAGTCAAGTTATATAGAGGATTGTATGGAGTCATCCTAGAGAATGAGAAGGGAGGAAAAAATATGAATAAGTTGGAACAACATTTTAAATTTCTCTCCTCTTGGGATTTGGTTTAAATACATATAAAAGCATGCGTGGCCAACCCAAAGCATATTTACTGGACACTGTTCGAGCACCTCGAGGTTAGTCTCCGATATACAGCCGGCGAGAAGATCAACTAACCGTTCAATAAGATGAAGACCCGACTGTGAATCGACGATTTCACTAATTTCACCGGGTTGTAGAGCAAATGCTGCGTCTTCGAATTCTTTCTGCATGTCCCCGCGTCCGAAGAAGCCGCTTTGAAAGATATTAGCCATTACTGATGGTAGGAGAGAAAGTCTACGAGACGGTAGTATCCAAACGTACAGATCACCCTTCTTTCTGGCACTACTACAGTCCGATTCTGACATTGCGAGATCGCCCAAGCTAATCTCCCCGCGCAGGATCCGTTCCTGGTAGCCTTCCAGGATTTGACGCGCTTCCTCCTTCGACCGAGTGATGTCTGACTCTTTCCAGCTACTGGGACGTCTACTGTCTCTGTGCTTCACCAAGAGGTGGCTGCAGCGGATCTTGCCCTCACCTTGACCCGAACCATCGGGCACGGCAGCACTGCCGCTGTGGAACTTGGCCATGTACATCTTGAGAGTTTCCATATCCGTATCCGCTGGGGGTTCCCAGCAGGATTCCCTGGTCATGGGATTGAAGTAGTAAGGAAGGTTCTTGGAGTTGGAGTGGCGCACCTCCCATCCTGCTGGAAGTCCAGTATTTACCTAGCAGATGGACAAAGTTAGCAAACAGCTTCTACACTAAACCAGCGCAACACATAGCTCAAGACTAGGACACAAGACTGGAAACAAACCATGCTGATGAAGAGAGGTAGTATTTATATAATTACGAGGGGGTGTTTTATCCTGGAAATCGAGCTGTAAGCCTGTAGTAAATCGTTTTGTTGCGACGACGACGCGGGGAAACGAGAGCGGGAGGCGAAGATGCAAACATAGCAAACTGCACAACCCCTGTAAACAGTGCAAACACCCGGCTGGTGAGGCTGCAAGTCATTCCACCAGATCAGGACTAGTCTTGCGAGCCCCAGGCGCTTCTTTCAACTTCCATTGATTGATAACCTGGGCCTCCGCTCATTCTGTCGTCGATATTTGTCTTTCCTGCGTTCCTTGCAAGCGTTTTGGAACCCTCGAGTTTAGGTATCTCTTTTGGCACGTTGTGCTCTACCATCTCACCCCGAATATCTCGTTTTTCATCAATCTTTGCCAACGTTTTCTATCCACCATGTCCGCCAGTCCTTCTCCATCCGCCGGTGGCGATAGCAAGCAGTCTGATCAGATTCATTTTCGGTTCTGTCGTGAATGGTAAAGAAGCCCCTTCCTCGGCTCATATTCTGCGGGTGTGTGCTAATATTCTTGCGTAGTTCGAACTTGCTTTACCCGAAAGAGGACCGCATCAACAACCGCCTGATGTTCACCTGCCGAACCTGCCATGTCGGCGAACCTGCCACCTCATATTGCGTATACCAAAACAAGCTGAACACACAAGTCGGTGATACTGCCGGTGTGACTCAGGATGTAGGATCTGATCCTACGGTTAGTCTCCCTGGGTTTTGTCTCCTTTGTGGGGATGTGGTCACTTGTTTTGTCTGTGGATCGGGCTCTGAAACCGCTTGGCCCGATGAGGCATATAAAACTTGCCTGGAACTTGAATCCCATGAGTTGTAAAGGCAAACATGGCTTGGAATCCTCGGGCTAACCTGCGCTTTCTTCTCTCTAGCTTCCCCGATCCAACAAGGTCTGCCCAAGTTGCGGTGAAGCCGAAGCCGTGTTCTTCCAATCCCAACAACGATCAGCGGAAACAGGAATGGTAAGACCCTTTGTTGACCGCATATCTTTCTGGAGCCTTGTTTACTGATGGTTACTCGTCAGAAACTTTACTATGTCTGCTGCACATGCGGAAATGTTTTCGTATAGTTTTTTTTCTTTCACGTTCTTTTATATCAAATTTCCCGATACCCATTATTGGTTTAATTTTCAGCATGTTCGTGGAGTTTTGGGGCATTTTGGGGGGCACCCAGGAGAATTTAAGAGGAAAATGTTCTATTGATACAGACTAGATATGTGGACATTTAAATATGAAACAGTTCGCTTTCAAAAGAGGTATATCATCTTACACGTGCATCGGCGCCAACGACAGAATCTTAGACCATTGCTTCCCCCGTAGTTCCGTAGCCACAACGCCTGTATTCTCGGTTAGAATGCGTACAACCAGAGACCGATTCGGGAGAGGGGGGGGAGAGAGAGGGAACTGACCGTTCATTCTTGTTCCGATTGGGTCTCCGGACTTGTTCACCAGCACGCAAGCATTATCATCAAACTTCACAATAGATCCATCTGGCCTTTGCATTTCCTTCTTTGCTCGGACGACGACGGCGTGTCGGATGTCTCCTCGACGGACCTTGTTTGCGATACCACTGTTATTCGTGCTCTCGGGGCCAAAGTTTCGTTGCTTCTGGACGACCACCACGATCCGGTCGCCTGCAGTAATGTAATCATATAGGAAATCATGTTAGATGCGTATTCAAACCAACAGGCAGAGATCGGTGGAGAATCACGCACCGACCGTTGCTGGACGCTTCTTTTTCAGAACGTTCACGCATTCGACCACGGCGGCACCGGAGTTGTCGATGCAATTCAGCATCGTCTGATTTCTGGTTAGTCGAGGCAAATCGGATTCCAAGTTTTCAGTTCACAACCCACCTTTAATTGAATCATCTTGTCTGTCTGCCGTGGTTCTCAAAAATACCCCCGAATACAAATGGAAGCCCAATCCATGTCGGCGCTCCGAGAGATTTCCAGGCGGATCCCGGGTAGGAAAGTTTCCCCGACCGCCGGCCCCAGAGAGGCAACCAATGACGGGCCTGCATTTCCAGGCAGTCATAGCCCAGTCTGCCTGCCTGCCTGAGACTCTCTCCATCATCGCCTCAGGTACTCTTTGTCTTCGTAAATGTAGCCCAGCCCCCTTCACCTGTCAGATGCGCTCATATTACTACTCCCTATTCACATTGGGTCTGGCTTTCACTTCCATTATGATTGTTGACCTGGAATCCACTGTGTTTCCTTCGTAATTGTATTAGACACCACGCTCCTTTGGGGAAATTTTTTCTCCCCTCAAAAATATACTGTACTGGGTGGGATCCCCCCCCCCATTTTCCGCTCTCCCGCTCTGTTCCCCTGGACGCATTGACCCTTCTTAACACCCAGACAATTCGCAACACTCCCTCAACACGCACTCCTCTTGGATTTTATGGGGGTTCTGTGATCTCGTAAATTACGATGCCGTCCTCGAAGGCGCGATCTAGTCCCTCTGTGGACCGGCGCGACCGTCTGACGCTCGCAAAACTGGCCAGCTATGACGATGTCGCGACGGATGCGCTGGTTGATCGTGTAGGCCCCCTCCTGCAAACGACGGGTTATTGAACTCCTTTCTGACTAGACTATTGATATCCAGGCCTATTTCTGGACAAACACCCGCAAGAACAGAACGAAATACATCCCCGTCCGCGGCGTGATCGAGGATAGTGTGGCCCACATTCTGCTGCACGAGGTCATTGTCGCTAAGGATGCAGCAAAGGCTGAACGTGAACTGCTGGCAATGTCTGGGCTGAAGAAATACTTGGCAAAACTTCCCAATGACCGGGAGAAGAACTGGTTCCGTCGCCACCTACGCAAGTACATTCAGATGTATCTCCCGGACTCCCCGTTCGAAGTCACGACCACCAACCGCTACACGATCACGGAACACGAGGCTGCAATCTGCGCCCGCAAATTCATCAAGCAAGGCCAGGAGATCAAGTATCTGAGTGGTACTTTGGTGCCGATGACCCGGGAAGAGGAGCAGGATTTGGATCTAAAGAGAAAGGATTTCAGCATCGTCATGTCAAGTCGCAGGAGAACGCCCTCATTCTTTCTGGGCCCGGCACGCTTCGCCAATCATGACTGCAACGCTAATGGCCGACTGGTAACCAGAGGATCAGAAGGAATGCAGGTTGTGGCTACGCGAGACATCTATATCGGGGAAGAAATTACCGTTTCATACGGCGAGGACTACTTTGGCCTTGACAATTGTGAATGCCTTTGTCTTACGTGTGAGCGTGCTGTTCGTAACGGCTGGACATCCCAGGTTCATTCCGACCAGCCCAGCAAAGCGTCTACTCCTGCGCTGAACGAAGATGTCGCAACGCTAGAGAGTCTGACTTCCCCAAAGAAACGCAAAGATACCGCAGACACAGACTCGGATATTTCCCCGGCGTCCACCCCTCAAAAGAGGTCAAAGTTTAGCCGGCAGAGCTCCAAGTTGCGGTCTGAACTCTCTCTTACTGAGGTTGCTGTTTCAATTGAGTCGGGGCCCGGCTCGAATCCGAGCACCAACCTTCCGGTCGAAATCCCCCCGGGGCCCAATGATACAACACCTGGTGTGACGGTCAATTCTACAGTCGACGAGGAGAGTGACTTGGTTGGGGATCTCCATGCTCTAGCTTCTCCTGGTAGGGATAGCGAATCTCTCATTTCCCTTACCGCGGACGAATCTCAACGTTCATCAACATCCAGCGCAGTGACCTCGGTGTCTGATGCGGGGGTCGACGTCAAGGTTGAAGATACCATCGAAACCATCACACAAGAATGCACGCCCGCAGCCTCCACTCCCCAGCTGTCAGAGGGTGAACAACGCATGGAAAGCTGCGACGCTGGTACTCCAGTCTCTCTCCAGCTCGAAGACAAACTTGAGGCTGTTGAAGAAGGGAAGAGGTCGAGGAATTCCCCAAGAAAACAACGAGTCTCTCTATCGGTAGAGCCTGAATCGCAACTTACCCGCGTCCCCGGAGACTACACCAAGACTCCCAGGCTTCTGGCGCAATCATACGACCGATGGGTAGACTGCCACACTTGCAACGCATGGTTCGTGCAACAGAACTCGTACCTCACTCGAAGGGAATGTCCTCGCTGTGAGCGCCATTCGATGCTGTACGGGTTTCGCTGGCCCAAGACCGACAAAGAAGGTGCAAGCGACGACGAAGAACGCGTGATGGACCATCGTACTATCCACCGATTCCTGTACCCGGAAGAAGAGGCTCTCGTCTCCCGCAAGGATCGTGGAGTCAGCTTCGGCATCACCCCTACTCCGGAATTATCCGATGCACGCACCGAAACAGAAGGTAGCGAGGCAGGCGACGATCGACGCAACACCCGAGCCAGTAGAACGCGCACTCGATCTCTCAGAATGACCATGTAACCGCACGACAGACATGTTTCGACAGACTGGGATCTCAATACCGTTTTAGATGTGGAGTTTTCGAGCGATATTCAGGTGGTCAAATTATTCCCCGTTGTAACTGGTGTTCATCATGGTTGGGAGTTGGATGATTCGATTAAGAGCATGGATATGGAGTTTATTCATTTGGGTCGAATTTTCCTAATATGTTTTTTTTTTTTTTTTATTATCTCTGTCCCCCGGGGATATTTTATTTTACCTCTTTCTTCTTCTTCTTCTTCTTCTTTTTCTTTTTCTACTGGGATACATACGTCGACGGCGGAGCATATATTGCATTGTCACATTTCTTTCTGTACTTCTACACAGTGTAACTCCTTATTAGTTAGAACTTCAGCTGATGATAATAAATCCATCCATCCATCCTACCTGGATACTGATTCTGCCTTTCTTCTGTAGCGCCGGGGTCGGGTTGGACATATACGGTACTGTATGAACGGGTGTGTGTGTCATGAGCAAGCTAACAAGAGTCCAAGAAAAGGCAATCAGAGATGAGTCGGGTGTCATGTGTCTATATTGCGATGCCCTATAATAAGAAAAATAAAAATAAAAAATACATAATAATATACATGGTGTTAAAAAGAATCCAAAGAGCCATGTCTAAATCGAGACAAAAACATGGGTATTTTATGTCCAATCCAGCGCCAGTCATGATGAGTATTTCCAAGCCAAGACAAATATTAAACATGGTAGAAGTACAAGGAAATTGCCCCAGAAGAAAGAAAAAGAACATTTAGATCAGAGCCTGGCCGCGGAACATGCCCTCACGCACTTCCTTGACCACGTCCTTCCGGTCTTTCTTTCCAACCAGGACGATGGCTCGGCCACGTTTGCCCATACGCCCAAGACGACCCAGACGATGAATGAAATCAATCGTCGTGTGGGGGACATGGTAGAGAACGACAGTTTTGACAGCGAGGGTATCGATACCACGGGAGGCAATATCTGTGGTAACGAGCACTTTGGTATTCGGCAATCGGCGCTCCTCTCTGGGCTTCTCGGGCGTTTCAAAGGGGATGGCGTTATCTGCGCGGCGGTTCTTTTTGGCCAGCATAATGTCCTCTGCGGTGGGCGGGGTGGTGGGTTGGGTGAATTCGGCTAGGATCTCTTCCTGCTTGCGTGCGCTCGAGTCTCGGGATAGAGAGTGGGCATCGATTCCCTTCGCCTGGAGGAACTTGGCTACTTCTTCGGCCTCTTCACGCTCATTAACGAAAACAAGAATCTTTTTGACCTTGGGCTCTTCGTAAGCGGCAAATGGGCCGCTGGGTTCGGTGTCTCCGGCTTTGCCGATTGACCAGATCACATCGGCGCAGGCGAGATTCCTGTTGCCGCGATAGGGGTCCTTTTGGATGTCGACTACCCCTAGCTGTACGCGACGGGGAATGGCGTGTAAATTGGGCGTCGTCAGACGCACGATATCCGGGTAGCGTTTTCGGAGTTGGTTGTCCAGGCTGCGCGGAATTGTGGCCGAGCACAGAATGAGCTTCTGCAAAGAGGGTGCCGCCTTGCTGATAACTTCCGATGTTGTCGGTAAAAATGATCGGTCCATAAGGGAGTCAGCTTCGTCAAGAACAAGGTGGCTGACACGGCTGAGGACATATGGCTCTGTCTTCGCGATCGACGCAAGGAGATGAGGGGTGGTGACGAGGATATCGATACCCTCCGGGTTGAAAAGAGTGCTCTTGATTCGACGGGGCGTCAGGTTAGATGATATCATTCCAGACCTGTATTTGACCGTATGGGCAAATGCTTTGACCTTGACACCCACTTGCGCAACTAACTCTGCTGTTGGCACCAAGATAACGACTCTCGGCCGACCTGCGTTCGAGAGAGGGGGCATTTCTGGCTCGATGTCTAAAGCCTTCTCCTTCATCCTTTCTTCAGCCTCTCTAGCCTTCTCCTCCTCCTGTCTCCTCTCAAGGATCTTATCCTCTGCTTCCTGGCGCTTGATAGCATCCACCAAAGGGATCAGATAGGCGAGAGTCTTCCCCGAGCCAGTTTCCGCGGCCAGAAGAAATTGGTCGTACTGGGGGTCGTCTTCATCAATTTTCGTTGACTTCTTTCTTGCCGGAGCATCTTGGAGGAGCCTTGGGATTGCGAGACGTTGAATCGGTGTAGGCACTGCATCAACTATACCGGGGAGGGCCTGGGAGAGGATCGAGTTTCGAACGACGGGGAGGAGCGGAAACTGATCGAAGCTTGTAATTTCCGCCAGTTTGTTCTTGATCGCCGTCCGTCGTCCGTACGAAACGGGTGCCAGGGTAGTCTGCATTTTTAATGCTTTATATAATGGACTATCGCTCTTTGTCGAGCTTTCCTCTGAATCTCCGGTACGCTTCAAAGCCGCTGAAGATCGTGGACGGGGGGCACCACGGATACGCGCTTCAGTTTGGTTCATGCCCGCGAAAGGACCTGCATGATCTCGACCGGATCGTTTCGGTTTGATGGATGATTTGGCGACATTCGGGGACAAAGACATGCGAGAAGCTGTGCGGCGAAGTCGGCCCGTGGCCATGGCGCGGACAGTCTGTCCTCCCAGGGCAGACGGGAAGGCCAGGGAAGGCTGAATGCGACAGAACAAACATACTGGTGGCCGAAGCGGCAGAGACAACCCGCTGAACCTATTCATAGTGGCTGACAAGCTCAATATTATGAGCAGCGTTGAGAGGAAGTCACTGGCTCTTGCCTCGTGCTCCGTCAAAAAAAAAAAAAAAAATCCTGAAATCGAGCCCAAAGCTCGGACCCCTGGGGTCACAAGCCACTAGGCCTGTCTGGGACTAGCGCGATCGACAGGAAATGCCAGGCGTCAAGGCTGTAAGGCTTTCAAGGCGCCGAGGCTACGACCCCGAAACCAGTTGCTATGGAGACTCCCGCCAACCAACATTAATGTCAACATCGTGTCGTGTCGTATTGTCACTCCTCCATCCACTAACTATTCCATCCACCTGGGTCTCTACTTAACACTCCCCCATCTTCTGTTTCATTTCATCGTGTTGTTGTTATCGTCTTCTGCGTCGGTGGTGGATGGCATGTGTTTTCATTTCCCTTGTCATCCCTTGAATTCGCAGTCATATTAACTTCCTTATTCCACATCTCATCCCTCCACGATCTCTTCCTATCTGACTTTGATATCCCTTCTTTATTGCTCTCTACCTCCATCCAGACGGGCAAGAGCTCCTACAGAAAAAGAAAAGAAAAAGAAAAAGAAATCACAATTAACGAAACTGACAATCGTTTTGGATGATCTTCCCTTTGTGACGCGTTGTTGAAATACCTAACCTCGTGACGATTTCTATGAGCAACCCAGTTATTGGGTGGAGTTGAAACAAGAAGACAGACAGACAGACTTCTTGGGTTATTTCCAGTCATTCTTCGAATATCGAAGTGTTTCGTGATTGGCATTTGTTGTTTTTGTTTATCAAGAAGAGGTAAGGCTGCGTTCTCCCACCCGCAAGGGATATTCAAACTTGTGGTGAAATGAAACAACTGTTGCTGATTATCCTCCCCAGCGTTGTTTTCTTTTTTGCATTGTCTTACGCCTCTGGAATCTTTTGGTTCTTCATTCTCTGATTGTACGTTATATCTCATACAAAGATGAGTACAGGACAACGACCACTTTCGGAAGTGAGCCCTATGGCACAACGTCGCAACTCTCCAAGTTGGAGCCAGAGCACTAGGGTAAACAATCTACCTCTTTCTCTAGTGATAATTGAGCTAACAAGGCCGGCTTAGACTATGAAGAATGCCGAATCCTCACCATATGATTCTGCGTCATCCACCCGTCTCTTCTGGCAAGGCCGTGAATCATCTCCTTTCCAGAAAAGCTCGGAGAACCAAGCACCGTACGATCCTGGGGCTTCTTTTTCCCCGAGAAAGAGACCGTCGCTCGAGAATTTGAAGCGCGCGTCGCGCGTCAAGAACAGTAGCATGTTTCGTGATTATCAGGAGTATGATCCTGCCAGTGTTTACGTTCCACAACGACCTTTAGCCACTGGCCGTTCTTCCCCTCAGAGGCAAGCCCAGGGGATTACATCGCCACGATCTTCCAACATTCAGGACGGGAGTCAAATCGGTTCGCGCCCCCCTTCACCTAGCAAGGACCAGGTCCCTCCTGCGAAGTCTTCTTTGTCTCGCGCAAGTCGGTATGGCACCAGCAACGCCTTCGATCCGGAAAACGAGATATGGTCTGATATTGACGGTACCCGTTACACTAAAAGTGTTACGTTTGACGCCGCTCCGCCTCAAGTGAATGAATATGAAATGACGACACCCGATCCATCGTCTGTGGCGTCGGAATCTCGCGATGGAAGTTATGATTCAGAAGAGGACGAATGCGATATCAGCTTTGATATGGAATCTTCTTTGGACCGTGATGATAGTTTTGATGCCTCCTTGGAGGACCTTGAAAAGACTCCCGTCGTCCTTCCTGAAGATTGGCGCTATATGAGCTCAGACACTGTCAATGGTGAGGGGGCGAAAGAAGACGAGCATTCGTTCATTAGTGATGGGAGCTGTAGCCCGGAGCCCACACAGGAACCTCAAAGAAGACATTCCAGGGTGGAATCGCAGGATTCGGATAGTGAACGACGCCCGCTGCCACCCCTTCCGGCCATAAATGGACTTTCTTTCTCTGCACGCACACCATCTCCGGACAAGTTGTCGGCAGCATTTGAGCTTGGAAGTGGTAGCCAGCGGGTTCTGCCATCACCCCCAGCTCCGGCATCTTACAGCAAGTCGGACATTGCAGAGCTTGGACAGAGTTCTATGTCCTTGGAAGACCGGTTGCGTTTGATGATGATCGCCGAGCGCGAACATGATGATACCCGCACGCTTGAAAAGGATGGCGGGGAAGAACTTAACTTGCCACAGGATAAAGACGAGAGTATCGCTGAGACGCAAGCCGAGGAGAAGGACTCTCTGGATAGTCGAACTCCGAGCCAGCCGACAGGTGATGGGTCGGACGCCTTCTCACCTCCACGTATTTCCAGAGATTCCATCCTGCGAGATATTCGTAAGAGCGAGAGCTACTTGGACGACTCCTATGAGCACTCGTCCCAGGGAAGCGAAAGCCCTCACGACTATATGCATTATGACCCTGACGTCCCTATCCCATCCCTGGAACATGATAATGACAATGAATATGAAGACGACGATGATGACACAAACAGCGTTGTGATCAAGGAAGAGCACGAAGATGATCATGATAACCTTTACGATATACCCGATTTTTACGAAAATATTCCTTCCAACGATTCCTCTTTCAAAAATTTGACGGGTTCGCATGATGACGATGATGGCCCTCAATATGCTAGCCACTCCATTGAGAAAGCCCCCAGAACCAGCAACTCATCTTTCGGTTCTGAAGCGACGCCAGTTCCTGGTGACAAACCTGCGGCTTTAGCTGCCAAACCGGCTGACAATGCCCCTCCTGAAGGCTCCCAGCATGACGAAATTGAACTGAAAATGGCCGCCATTTCGGAGTCCCTGCGTCGCCCCGTAACACCAGAGAATCAAGAGGAAACACCCTCTCCATCAACTCCAGACTCGGTTATTCGGCACCCAATCGATAGCGATGTCAGCGACCTGGAGATGTCGGCGGATGAGAGCATTCCTGATCCTATTGCGACTATCAAGGCCCCTGGAACGGGCCTGAAGACACGCCCGTCTCTAACCCCGGCAGATATCGAATCGATGGCGGCCACTCGCCGCAAAATCAGCGGCCAGTACCCTCCCCCGACCCCAGCGCTAACCACCACGAACTCTGAAGATGCCGAAGATCCTACCCCGGGAGACCAACCCGAGTCAAAGTCATCAAAGGACACCCAGCGAAAGAGCAGTTTTATGAAGCTTGATATCCCCTTCAGTATTCAGGAAGACAGCCTTGGCTTTGGCTTGGATAAAGAATTTGATCGAGTTATCGAGTCCCAAAAGGTTGCGTTTGACCTAGCCCTTTCCCAGCTGTATTCCTCAATGGCCCCTTGCCCCCAATCCCTGGATCCCCCTCAAGACCCAGCGGGAGTCCGTCAGAATCCCCAGCCAGATGCTAACCACCGAGTTCCTAAACAGAGAGGCTATCTCATGAGACATAACACGAAATTCATTGTTGCCAGTAGCCACCCTGAGGAGGAACCCGCCCCTGCCTCAACAACCGGCGAGCCCTCTGCTGACCCACGTACCGCGAAGTCCGCTGGTCCATCACCCCGTAAGGCAAGTCAACAAACCTGGACTACTGTCCCGTGGAACGGGAAAACCCGACGAGCCAGTATACGCACGTCGTCCAGTGCAATTCGTAAGAAGCCTGTTCCTGGCCCCGTTCCTCCTCTGCCCGGTCAGCAGAGTAACGCCCAGGAACCCCCGACGCCAATTGAAGAGGTCGACCCCGCACTCAATGGTGCCTTTGAGGAGGGCGAAGAAAGGGGTAGGCTCTTCGTCAAGGTTGTTGGAATGAAGTATCTGGACTTGCCCCTTCCCCGAGGTAAGAACCCCTTAACATTTAACAAGCCTATGATCCGTTGTTCCCAAGGCTCATCTAACCACAAAACAGGTGAGAGATCTTACTTCGCCCTCACGTTGGACAACGGTCTGCATTGTGTGACGACCGCTTGGCTAGAGTTGGGGAAGACCGCTCCCATCGGACAGGAGTTTGAGCTCATCGTACAAAACGACCTCGAATTCCAGCTCACCCTTCAAATGAAGGTAGATGAGGATAAGTTCAAGGTCGCAGAACCAACTCCGTCGGCGTCCCCTGCGCGACCAAAGCAGTCCACTTTCAGCAGAGTCTTTGCGTCCCCACGTAAGCGCAAGGAACTTGACATGAAACAACAACTTGCATCCCAACAGCAGAAGAAGCAAGATGTCAATGCACCAGTCTGGGACCGCCTCCGAACTCTCGTTGCCCGCGATGGTAGCTTTGCACGAGCATATGTGGCCCTTAGTGACCACGAGAAACACGCATACGGCCGTCCATACACCGTGGATATCGCTTGTTTTAACGAGTGGGCAGTTGATGAGCAACCAAGCAGCGTGAAGAGCAAGAAGAGCACTTCCAGTGCTTTGTCCCAGCGGCGCCCTCCTTACAAGATCGGTAAACTGGAGTTACAGTTGCTGTTTGTCCCCAAGCCCAAGGGGGCTAAGGATGACGATATGCCTAAGAGCATGAATGCCTGCATTCGCGAGATGCGGGAAGCTGAAAATGCGTCCTCCCGCAGCTGGGAAGGTTTCCTCTCTCAGCAAGGTGGCGATTGTCCGGTAAGCATCGAATGGTCTACCTCTCTGTCTGTATAACAATTACTGACCTTTTGGGCATAGTATTGGCGCCGTCGCTTTTTCAAGCTGCAGGGATCCAAGTTAACAGCTTATCATGAGACCACGCGTCAACCCCGTGCAACCATCAATTTGTCCAAGGCAGCCAAACTCATAGATGATCGAAGCACCCTGACCCAAAAAGAAACGACAACCAGGGGCGGTAAGCGCCGTAAGTCCGGCTTTGCTGAAGAAGAAGAGGGATATATGTTTGTGGAAGAAGGTTTCCGTATCCGCTTCGGCAACGGTGAGGTGATTGATTTCTATGCCGACAGCGCAGCAGACAAGGAGGGATGGATGCAGGTCCTTGCAGAAACTGTTGGCAAGGGAACCGTCGGAAACAGCCAAGTCAAGCCTTGGACCGAGCTTGTGCTAAAGCGAGAACGAAGCACGAAGTCGCGGAGGGAGACCACAGATCGGGTTGCCAATACCGGACTCGCTCCTCCGCCGCCTGTCAAAAAAGACGCTCCCCCAACGACGCCGGCGCCGGCACCAGCAACAAACGCAGCCCAACAACGACCGAGGCACAAACACACCCAGTCCCAACCTGAAGTTCGCAGTCCAGAAGCTCGGCGACAAAAGGCACGTTCTTTGATCTTCTAACAGTTGGCCGTAATTTGTGTGGATTTTTTTTTTTTTTTTTCGCCTTCATTGCACTTCTCTTGATTCCAGTCTTCTTCTACGTCCTCTTCTACTTTGCTATTTTCTCTTTTCATTTGTCTTCCTTTTGTCCCCCTTTTTTTTTTCCATTGCTTCTTCTTTTTGTCTCGCTCATGGTATCGAAGTCCATTATTCCGTTGTATTATGTGGCTACAGCAAGTCTTGCGCAAATACAAGGCTTCGATACCAACGCCTACCGCAGCGAGAATTGTAATTCCACTAGCGACGATATTCCTGTTTTGACTTTTTCCGTACATTAATGACACATAGCGCCTTTCCTTCGTCAGTCTATAATTCAATTTGTTTCTTGTGATATTCCTCCTGCTAGAAAATGTTTCACGAGCTTCATGCAGCTGAATTGTAACTCCAGGCTAGTTTGGATTTTAAATCCGTATACCTGGCTTCTGGAGTCATTATTATATGTCTGAGCGAGCCTGTCTTAATTTACTCTGCAGACTCCTGTGCAGTATCCAGTTTTGTAGGGGTATGGATGTGCTTAAACAGAGTGTACGTACGTACATCAATAACTTCTTTCAACCTTTTCTGTTAAAATTTGAAAAAAAAAAGAAGAAGAAGAAGAAGAAGAAGAAGGGGGTCTGATACCAGTGTCCTATATCTATATCAACATGCATGGAGAGAGAGGAGGGAGCAAGACAGACAGACCATGCTTTTGATCTTATTCAAGATTGGTTTCCTCTTGTATTCCAGATGAGGAGCATAATCAGATCAGGTCAGTGTGCATGACGCTGGTATGTATAATAATAAAGCATATGGCAGAGGGGATGATGGTTGTATGGATAAACAACGGGAAATTCCCCATTAATGAGATGTCGAACATGGGGAAAAGAGCTACATAACATTGGTCTTTATTATTTCTTGACAAGCTCGTATATACAGATTCATGGAGGGGTTCAGTCAGCCTTCTTCTTCCCCGGCACGCTCGTCCTCGGATTCCATTTCAACCTGTGCTAAAGCTTCGCTCTGGGATTTCTGTCCAGACTGAGATTTAGATTGGTCTTCTCCTGGGACAGCTATCGATTTTGCAGACGCGAGACCGCCGGATGTGACGTAGAGGAACTCTTCCTGGGGGTAATGATCGATGTGATTGAAGAATGCGGAGAAACTGTATCAAGTCAGCATATCTATGAGTGATGAAAAAAAAAAAAAAAAAACGGGGTGGTTGGACGGGTGATGAGATGACATACGCATGAGTCTGCTCCTCTTCTCGGAAGATACGATCATAAATCTCGCGTTGCTTGAATTCGTTCATCTCTGTGGCGTAGTTGTCGAAATCGATAGGCTTCTTGTCCAGGTCCACTGCTTTCTTGTTGTAGACATCAAAGACGGGACGCTCGAGTAATAGGCCAAGCCCTGGCGCTTTGGGGATAGCGATCTTCGTTGGGCCGTAAGTGTCGACAATGCGCTGGGGATCGCAGCCGCAGCGGACAATCAAGGCGACCATAGCAACCATTTTGCGGATCTGATGCATCATGAAGCTTTGGCCATGGACCTTCAGACTAAGCCATTCGGTGCCATTAATGATGATAGGCTCGGGGTTGAGTTTGAAGGTCTTGATATGTCGCTTGGCGGAGGGATCTTTGTACGTTTTTTGGATAGTATAGTTGTAAAAGTTGCGTGTCCCCAGATACTTATCCAGTGCAGCTTGGATACGGGCCAGGCGTGCGGGAGGAATGCGATATGCTCGTCTCGAGGTTAGATAGGCTGCCTTCACCTTCTTGACGGATTCGAGGATTTTCTTCCTGTAGGCTATGGTCTCTTCGTCGACTCCAGACTCTGCAGGGTTTTCTGCGGATGATTCCTCTGCGGGGGCAGACTCGGTCTCTTCTGCTGGCTTCTGCTGTTCGGGCTTAGGTGTTTCAAGTGGCGTGAGCGTTTCCTCGTCGTCCAAATGGAGAGCTTGCTCGACCATTTTCCGGATATCTTCCGGGAAACTCTCCAGTAGCGGTCGGATGGTTTTCTCATCAATTTCATCCCAGTAAGTTGCAACCTCTTCCTGGCGCGCCTTATATCCTTCAAGGTCGTCTTCTTTCTCAGCAAACTCCACAAGCTTGGTGCCGAGGTAGGTGCTAGGATGGGGTGGCAAGAAGCAGTGGGAGGGAATGAGATACTCGTAAATTCGGGAATCGCACATCTGGTAGCTGCTGAACGATTTGCTTGCGACTAGAATATCCCAAACCCGGATCTGGGGACCGAGCTTCTCGTTGATCTTCTGGACGATATCTGAATCCTCGACGATCATTTTGAGAGAGACAACATTGCCTGCGGCATGAACACCTTTGTCTGTGCGTGCGCAACGCACCAGCGAGGACTTCTTCGGATCGGCAGCGTTGGCCTTGGAAATAGCGCCGGCAGCGACAAACGCGGTAAAGAGATCCCCTTCAATAGTTTTTTCGGTGGTGCTCCTGTCAGTGGTCACTCATTAGCTTTATCACCAAGGCTAAGATGACCCATTGCGCACAATTGCATTCCCTTGTATCCTGTCCCGGAATACCCGAGCAAGACCGCGACCTTCTTCTTCGGACGTCGCTGCTCGTTCTCAATATCCTCCTGGGAGAATTCCGTAGCATAGATAGGAGTAACAACTTCCTCTCCATTTTCGAGCTTCCTTCGTTTCACCTGCTGGTCCCTTTCGTTCCGTCCTCTCTTATCTGGCATTTGGCGACTTGCCTTGTTAGCTCGATGACAGAAGCAATTTGGGGGGGGGGGGGGGGGGAAGGAGAGTCCTCAGACACGCCCAACATACCTCCACTCGGCCCTTCCCAGATCCCTCTTCTTATGCTGTCGACCAGCTTCTCCGGATCCCTCAGTTCTTCCTGTGTTATTGTCCATGGTGTCTCCGAGTAGCCTTTCCACCACTGATGATTGCGGGCGCGCTGGTAATCGGCAGGGAGTAGAAGACGATTCCGAGGGACTAAACGGCGGATAGTAGGAGTTTGGCTGTGACAAAATGTAATCTGATTCAACAACTGCCGCGAAAAGTAGTGGGAGCGCATTGGAGACCAAGATCAACTTTTTGCAATTGTTGTTCTCTTGGTTTTTCATGCGGCGCAATTTTTCTGGTTCCGATTTCCATGATGGCGCTAATATATATTCGGACTAGCGTACCACACTTACGCTAATCCATTCTGGGACAGCTTCGTTGGTGCCTCAGGAATGAAGGCTCTCCGCCCGCGTGCTGCTTTTTGTCTTCTTCCCCTTCATCTCACTCTCATCTTCAGCCCACACCGTCCTTGGTATTTTGAGTCTCATCTCAGACAGCCCTCTTGGTATCTTTCCTCAGTATATCTCTCCCTTGCCTGCGCGGGTGCGAGACGGAGACATGCTGGACTTCCTGAGCCAGATATAGGATTCGGAGACATCGAGAACCTTGCGCGCTCTTGCGCCGACCCTACCTCCCAAACCGTATCGACTGCAGAGCTATTAAACTCCAGGGAACAGTCGCATTCTAAACGACAACGCATCATCAGCCATGGATCTCGCAAACACTCTGATTCGAACCGTGGCCCGGGCCTTTTACGAAACCCGCCACATCCTCGTGGTCGATGCGCTCTTCATCCATTCCGTGTATGTAGCCTCATCCTGTCTACGAGGGAGAGAGCATTTCCTTATAGGGGAAAAATAAAAAAATAAAAAAAATAAACAGCTAACAAGTCATTCCTGGAGCAGACTGCACGCAGAGGACCTCGCCTTCCTCCTCGGAATGCAACAGAAAGATCTGCGAAAACTATGCGCCAAATTGCGCGAGGATCGCCTGATATCAGTGTATGGGCTTGCCCGTGGTGCTAGTTGATCATTGGTGTCTTTTTAATCTGGGCAGATGCTAATCTGATAATCCCCTTGGGCTCGTTTTCACGATACAGAAGCACCAGGGCTGAGATTCGAGATGGCTCTACCCGGCCCGTCAATCGCGAATACTACTATATCCCCCTGCATCCGGTCATCGACGCGATCAAGTACAAAGTCTCCAGGCTGACCTCGACAATCAAAGCGCAATACACTCCTAGCGAGGAAAGAAAGGAGTATATCTGCCTACGATGCGGAGCTGAGTGGACAGAGCTGGATGTCCTCAGTCTCTACTCCGATGAAGGATTCGAGTGCCAAAACTGCGGCGCGATTCTCGAGCGCACAGAGGACGTCAAGGGTAGCGAGGGGATCGACCGCACGGGACACGAAAAGAATAGCAAACTCATGGCACAGCTAGACACGATGCTAAAGCTTCTGAAGCAGATCGACTCCGTCGAGGTCCCTCCCAACGATTTCGATACCGCCTGGGACCATAAAATCGACGTCATCCGAAACCAGCATACCAACCCCACCAGAGCAGCCATCGTTGTCCCATCCAAGAAGCAAGAAGCCGTCCGTGGCAATCTGAAGACCGACGCCGGCGCACTGGAGATCTCCCTAACATCCAGCGCAGAGAAGAGCGCCGCGGAGCAAGCCGAAGAAGCTGCACGCAAAGCTGCTCTAGAGAAACAAAACGCCCTTCCTGTCTGGCACACACACTCTACCGTCTCCACAACAGCCGGTGGTCTCAATATCGTCAAGGCCGAGTCAAACATCAATGTGAAACCGGAAATCAAAGACGAAGACCAGAAACCCAACCTGGACGCCCTCGACGACAAAGTCGCCGCCTACTACGCCGAAATGGAGCGCGAAAAGGCCCTCCAGGCCCAGGAAGACGCAAGCAGTGCGGACGAAGACTCGGACGAATTCGATGAGGAATTCGAAGACGTCGGTGCTGTTTCTGCGAGCGATACCGCTTCCCCAACTCTCGGCGCCGGGCCAACTAGTGCCCCTACTAGCGTTCCTACGGGGATCAAGCGCGAATTTGACACGGATTCTGGCAGTAGTGCTCCCCAGACGGCTGTAGGGACGCCGTCAACGGCTGCTGATGACGGACCGGCCATGAAGAGGATCAAGACCGAGCCTGAGGTGAAGAAGGAAGAATCCGACGAGGACGATGAGGAGTTTGAAGATGTTTAATCTGATTTATATACTTGAATAATGGCGCTGGCGTCGATTAACAACTTGGTTTTCTCAAGGGGAAGCATAGATGGTTGCCATGGTTTTTGCGTTCTTTCCCTCTCTCTCTCTCTCTCTCTCTCTCCCTTTCGAACCAGATATGCATGCCCTTTTTTTTTGAATGCGAAAATAGATGATGGACCAGCTGGCTCGTCGGAGAAACCCCCCCCCCTAACATGACGTTTCTATTTCCTCTTCCCTTTTTAGGGAGATTCGTTACCTCTTTGTATGTACTATGATCATTTTCTTGAAGGAAAACAAAACAAGACACGTTACGTTGTATGATATTTGAAAATGCGCTAGTCTTGTAATTGAAAAGGACAACTTAAATCTAGCTTGAAGACCAGCTTCACCTCTCAGGATACCCTTCTCTTGGTTGTTTTCATACCTAAGTGATCCCGATAGTTTTCCAAGGGGCGGGCGCTCGCGCGGATGAACATAGATGTGCTCACAGCCCAATGTGTATAGAAAGGCCAATACCACAGCCAAGAGGGTCCTCCAGTAGAATAAGACGCAAGAAATCCCACAACAAGTATGACCGCTAGTTATTGTTGGGAATGTCCATAAAAGGGGAGGAAAGAAGAAAAAAAGACAAAAAGAACCGGGAGATCAAACCCCAGAACAAACGCCAATTTCACACTCATACAAAGCAACCTTGGCCGAAACAGAGGTCCAAGGGCCCATCTCTAGGACAGCTGATCTTAGGAAACGCCGATTGATGCAAGCACAAATAGTGTTTTCGTCATAAATTCGTCTCTCATATGTGATACAATCACGACATTTCAAAGGCGTTTGTTGTAGTTGCAGGCAACTCTCAAGGGGATCCCGCCAGCCCCATTTCGGAGTCGCTAGCCATCATTGAGTTATCTTCCCATTCCTCTGGAGAAGGTACATCAGATTCTGGAGCTCCAAGGGTTAGACGATGATATGGAGTAATGAAAAGACAAGCTTACCGGATGCGAGTTCTTCTGGCAATTCAACCGCCAACTCCTCAATGGCTGTGATGACGGCTGCAGATTTCGTGTCAGTAGCTAGTATCAGTAGATATCGTCGTCATTGGGAGCATACCTTGTGTCTGATGGACAATTTTTTGATCTTCTTCGCTGTCATCAAAGTATGTGACCAAACAATGGTCGACTACAGTGCGGATTGCTTCCACGGCTCTAGCTTCGACATTACATCCCGGAACTGTGAGATATGTTTTGCGTAGCTTTTCGATACTTGCAAACACCAGCTCTTTGGCGATATCAGTATGACGTGCCTGCCAGTCATCGTCCAAAGCTGCCGCCTCTCCGCTAAACAGGATACGGCGCAAAACTTCCATTGTCATGTTCCGGACTGCTCTATCAGGGAAAATGAGGAGCGTTGGGACCCAATCCGGGATCCTAATTGTCACGCGAAGCAAAAACCACCCATCACTGAGACCCAGGCGTTCATTACGGCTGGACATGAGGTTTGTGAAAAATGCAAGATGTTCTTTGCCTCCGCTGTTGCCGATTGTTTCCACTCCTTTCGTAACATAGTCGATCATGGCAATTATCTTATCCTCCTCGGAGCTCCTCCGGCAAAAAATCAAGGTTGCCTCCAGAAATGGAGCACAAAGTTCAGCAGGAGCAACGCGAAGTCCATCTTCCAATACTTTGCATATTGGCGACGTAAGCCCGGCATCGGAATCTGCATCTATCAAGAAACTAGTAATAGTCCTACATGCCTGAGGACTACTATGCTGCTGTAGAATCTTTTTCAAAAAGATCAATTCCTTATCTCTCCCGAGGGTCCGAATGAAATCGCTTTCCGTGACTGTGAGGGAGAACTTTCCATTTGGAAGCTGTTCCCGTTCATCGTCCGGAAGGGGCGGTACCGTAAGATCGATTTTTGCAAGCAGGGCTGACAAGAGGTCCATAAGCTTCCGGTGTGAATACTTTCTACCTTTCTCCAGAAGCTTGAAGTAGGCGAAGTATTGTTTCTTTAGCCTCTTGCTATCCTCCTGATCGATCCACACAATTTCGAGGCATTTGAGGAGGAAATTATTGTTCAGAATTACCCCAACTTCCTGGCCACCAAAGCTGGCAAGCAATAATAGGAATTCAAAGTAGTCATCCCATGATCGGCTAAAGGTGTGAAGGGTTTGCCATAAACCTTCAACTGTGGCGACAGTATTTTCCAGCCCATCTAGGTACCGCGTATGCCATTTTTCCTTCTCAAGACTCCCATCCTCTGCCGTATTGTAATAATCCCGCAGTCTAGAAAGGGCGCTTACAAATAGCCTGAGGGAACCATTCCTCATAGATGCATGGGGACTCTTCAGAACAAGGTTACGGATTCCACAAGGTTTTTCCCTAATCCACTGGAGAACTCGGGATGAGCCTTTGGGAATCTCCTTGATGACCCTGAGGATTTCCGCGAGGAATCCATCAAGTCCTGCAGGCTCCCTGGTCCTCGAAACCAATTGTTCCAGGGTATCTAGCGCAATCGAAATGACTGACTTATCCAGCTTGCTCCCCTCTGAGCTTTCTGCCATCTTGGTCTCATTAAACTGAGTGAGAAGATATCGAACGAAGAGGGTATAGTATGGGTCTAAGAGGCAATAGGTCCGGACAAATATCTCGTTATCCATTGCAATATGATTGGCAAGACGCACTGGTAGTGGAACGTGCACCGGATATTGGTTCTTCGTTGGCTGGTAAATTGATTTCGCAGAATCCATGCTCGAGATCCGTTGATAAAATAGCATGTACGCATTCCACACTTTGTTGAAGCGGACTTGGCCCACAGAGGAGGAATGCAGAGACTCGCTATAGCCGCCAAAGCACTGCTCGGCAATTCGAGACGGATCAAACCGGCTGACATCGGAGTCATTGAATTCCACCCACGACCCTCTTCCATTCATGGTAGGTCGTTCACGAATATAAGAGTAATAATGGCCAGACTCGGCGGTTCCACTATGAACTAGCACTCCAACTAGCTCAAAAACATCGTCTTTATTGTCACAGTTCTGGTCTGAAAGGTGCTCGACTGTGAACGGCATCATATCAATACGATCAGGGAATTGGAACTCGTCGTTGATTTTGCTTCGCATCATAGTAACCATGTCAAAGTCGAAACGCTTGAGATGAAAGATGAGGTTATCAGGGACATCTTTGAGGCAAGCTCTACATAGAAATCAGTATTAGAAGGAGAAAAAAAAAGGGAGGGGGAAAATGGGAAAAGGGGGGGGGGAGCCCATCGTACCTCTTCACAGCGTCAACATGGCGCCCACATGACGTGCATGAATATTTATTATCTGTGAGAAGACATTAGAATGACAAGGCTTCTCGTGGATCTTTCATCATCTCCCCACTTACCTCCTTGCATTATCTCCCCTTCAACATAAGCTTGCAGGCTTTCCTCAAGGTCTGCCTTGCCCTTGATGTCACATTGGATCGCAGAGAAAGGTTCCAGGCGTTCAGAAATATGCGGACATTCTTTGGATTTAATTTGCTGGACTAACTGGCCGCCGTAGAAGGACCTGAACTTTTTCTTATCCTCGGGATTTGATATTTGAGCCTCCCACCTGTCAAAAAGTAGGTTGTAAAATTCATCGACATCCATTTGGATAGTGACATCAACTGGCTCGTTATCATATGTGCGAATAGTGTCAACGAATGCTTGCGGATCCACGCTCTTAAGCCACGATTCTTGCATATGCCCAAAGACCTTCTTGGTTTCATCAAGCAGTTTCTGGGATGCGGTGGAATCCGTGAGATCAAGACGGAGCATAAAATCCCGAAATCCAACATTCATAAACAACTGGCTAAGTAGCGAGTTCATGTAACATGTATTCGACAAGTTTTTCAGTCCAGCGTAACCTTCTGATGAGCGTATCATTTTTTGGCGATCAAAACACCAGGCGGGCGAGTATGTATAATCTGAAAGAAGTGCGTAAGCCAGACATGTATTGGGGGGGGGTTGAAAGGGAGGGCATACTAACCTTGGGGGATGATATCCTCTAGACGCTCTATGAGCTGGGAGTAGTTTTCATCATGTCTTGAGAGTAATCCAAGTATTGCGTAAAGCTCTTGCCGTGTTTGGGTATGCATAACAGGTGTTTGGGGAACGAGAACCTCTGAAGAAGGCATAGAAAGGTCTGGAAAAAGGTAGGTATCAAAAAGGCTTTCGGCGAGGTCACTACAGGCCATCAGTCACTTGGTTTTCTCTAGACAGCTTTCGGAATGTATATGATGATGCTCACAAGGTATCAACAGTAATTTTGGAAGATGTCGCGATATCCAAACAAGCCTTTAGAAGACGAGAGAAGCCGAAGATAAGGTGATCAACAGGCTCCCTGCCCACAAACTTTCGAAAGAGTCAGCAAAACCGGCTCGACAAAGGTAAAAAAAGAGAATAGCAAACCTCGGTCGTTCGGTGGCTTAACATAATTCCACTCCATTGTTTGAGATACTCGCTAAATATGAGATCCCGGGGCGACTTCTCTGCGACGGATGAAAACACAGAGTGGGCAATTTCAAAGAACTCCTGCGATTGAGTGGCAAACTCTAGAGCTCGTGGGAAAGTAAGGACAAAGGCATCCCATATTGTGGCAAGAATATCAACTCTGGCGGGGTTTTCAGAAATCGCTGCTTCTCTAGTTTCTTGCGATTCGGACGAAACAAATTTGCTAGGCTTTTTGAATATTTTCGACGGACTACAGACAATAGCTATATTATCCGATATTCCTTTTCGAATGGGTTGGCGGCTCTCTTCGAGAAGGAGAGAGAAAATGAATTGAGCGAATGGCACTTGCTCCTTTATGGCGGCCCAAAAGCCCGGATCTCGAACAGACCCTTCAATGAAGACGGCAAACGAATAGCAGATCAGTTTATGAAGGTTGACCTCGGGAAACTGGGAAGCGGGGAGGTTTCTCCCAACTTCTACCAAATACGATAACTGAGAAACTAGTTTGGTGGAATCCGGAATTAACGGCGACTCTTCTGCCACGGGTGGTTTCACTAATATACCAATCAGCTATGCTAGATATAACAGACGAATAAATCGTCCAGTTCAAAATCTTACCCATCAATGCATAAAGGAGACATTCAACGAGACTCATAGCGAATGAGATCTTTGTCGGGGAATCTGCTAAAGACTCGGACATTTCGGGTCGGGTCAGAGCAGCAACTAGAACTCGAACACTATGAGAAACGAAGGCTTCGTTGAAAGATGGCTAATCAAATCTTTAGCATGGAAGTATATATATATATAAAAAATAGGACCCACAAACCTCGAGGGCTTCTTCCTGAAGGCATTTGGAAAGGGCATTGACCGAGTAAAGAAAACTATATGGTTTGGCCAGAGGGAACATGTCCTGCTCAGTCTTATCGATCGACTTGACCAAGTGTAGAACCTTTTCCTGGGGCGGAAAAACAACGAGAAAGTCATATATCTGAAGTTGAAGATTAGCATATAACCAGGGGTCGGTCCATAGTGGTTATTTAGCACATACCTCTCGGGCTAGGTGATCGTCGAGGCCGAGAAGATCATAAAGATCATCAAAATGCTTCAATACCTCGGCGTCCACAGAAGTAAGGGACTGTCGTTTCCATTCAGCTACCTCGCGGCTATTTGGATCTCTGCGAACAATCAATAAGCCTGAACCAAGCTTTAATTCTCGAAGCGTCTGGCTACCCTTCTCAAGAAGGTCGACTCCGCGTCCGCCGTATATCGTCTTAAGCTTGGAAAATCCCGTGACTTTAACAAGAGTCTCCACGAACTCGGATGCGGTCGAGAGATCTCCAATTTGCAACGAGCGAACTTTCGAATGCGAGCCCCCATCAAACGCTTGATATCTGATATTAATCGGTTCGCCTTTCAGCGGCCGGGTCGGTAGCTCGGGTGGGGAATTCTGTGGTGGGCTATATCGAGGACGGGTACGTAAACCCTGCAAGAATTGTCGAAGGAAAACCAAAGACCGGCTAAACCTCAGTTCTTCAGTCCGGACTTCATCTTCTGAAGCTTCAACCACCATCGACTCTCCAGCATCACTAGTAGTTTCATGTGAATATGATTTCAATTTGGATGCGGCAGACTTTAGTTGATCCACACAGCGATCGACCAAAGCCATGTGAGTAGCCTCGACAGCTGACCGAGGAGAGCGGTGGATAATGTTATGGTCAAGGTAAACCTCTATGGCAAACACAGTTGCATCGGCCTCGATTGAACCAACGGGGGCAGTCAAGATTAAATTCCATATTCGGTCCATTCCCGGGACCGATAGCACCTCATTTTCGTCGGCAGTCGGTGGAGGATTAAATCGAATTTCATATCCAATCGTCTGTTTAGCAAAGGCGAGCACCTCAGGGAAATAGTCTTCCGCGGGTGAGAGTTTCGGAAAATAGTCCCGGATGCAATGATCGATGAATGGATTCTCCTTGGTACTGTGTCGGGTGAGCCCACAGAGCATATCCCAGAGAGCTCTTCTGCCTTGTTGAACGAGAGACTTTGACATGAAAATTTGTTGCCACAAGATTGTACCAAGCTCGTCCGTGATGGAATCCGGGACTCCATCAATAAGGCGGGCGAGCATTTGAACTCGAGACAGGAAACCATTCCGCAAGAATGTATCCGTGAAATCTGTCTGGTTGTTATCCACCACATGTGCCATCTCAGAGATCACTAGGAATGTTAGATTGAAATCCATGGCAAGCTTTCGGATTTCTTGGGAGTCATGGTTGGGGAGGAGAGCATTTAAGGCCTGAATGCTGCCCACGGTAAACTGATTCATTTCAGAAATATCCTGGACGCATCTCTCGTATGTCTCCATCTTATCCATATCACTGAGTCCTACATCCATAAACGAACTCAGCTGGGAACTGGCAAACTTCTGGAGGAGAGCCTTGTGTTCCAGGGGAAGGTCCTCGGCGGCGGCGCTCTCGCGAATGAGCCGTACACATAGACGCAGTGGGATAACATCAACGTGGGCCATATCCAATATTTCATGGCGGTGTCGATCATGGTATTTTTCACGAATATAGTGGAGAAGTTGTTCGCAAAAGTCAACCACCCGGGCATCAAACCGAGCCAACGGAAGATCCACCAGTTTCGAACACAAATAAATCAGCGCAGGTGAAGAGGGAACGTGCATATGGAATGTCTTTACGAGCATAGCCAGCACTTCAGACACGGTTCGAGGATCTGGGCTCTCGGTAACCGCCCTCCAAATGGTGTCGGTATCGCCATCAGTGTATGTACCGGTGACAACCAAAAAGCCAACGATGTTGCTACTCCTGCTGATCAACTGGGGGTGAGACTCGACACCCACAATGTACTCAACAATCTTATTCTCCCTCAGAAACTTGACCAGAAATTGAACCACAACATTGTCGACTCCCACCGGGCTGCTATGGATATACTGCCTCCATACGCTGACGAAATCTTGCTGCATCGCCTCAATCCCATGAACTCGAAGCTCCATGCGACCTTCCATAATGTGCTTTTTTAGGACGCCAAACTTCCAGCCGTATAAGACTATAAACGGCAGGTCCTCCGGGGGTACGTCTCCAGGAACGGGTATTGACAGATCATTGGCAATCTCCCACGCAATGTCTGGGCTTTTATGGCACAAAGCTAGATAGACGTACGAGAGAGGGCGGATTATGGAGTCACTAATATCGCTCGTCACCCAAGGGGACTTTTTCGTGATATGAGCCTGGTACTGCTTATCCACCGTTCTGATAAGATCGTGGACTCTTTCCATGGCATGCTCATATGCGGCAGAATCGACGAGATCGTGATCTATGTCCAATTTTTTCCGCTCGGCACCCGACTCTGCCAGATTTTGGGTAACAGTCAAGACGAGAGCCAAGAGAGACGCAAGCTGAGGGCATCGAGTGATAAGGGCTAGGATGCAGGAGGTGTACTCCGAGAGTTGTTGGACGGAATTCAACGGGGGAGCTATAATTCGATCACATATCCGGGCGACCATGCTCGGAATCTCAGGGCCGAATTTTCTGTGCATCGTACGGAAGAATGGAATGCCACCGACTTGGACAAACCATCCTAGCGATGAGATATACGGTCGAGAGATCAGATCCGTTACTTGCAATTCAGGTTCTTCCACGAACTGACTGAAAAGCAAGGTATCCAACTGAATCAGATGAAGAGCAAGTCGGGCAAAGTCGAGGAAAAACTCTTCTAGACATCTCCAAAAGCCTTCACTATCATCCGGGTGAAACTCTTCACTATGTCTCCACTTAGCAAATCCTGGTCTTCGTTGTGGGGTTGCTGGGTAAGTGATACAGCTACTTACACTCTACGAAGCAAGTACTCCACCAAAATCGGGAGCTCGTCCCAGAATTCGCGGTCCTCCAAAAACGTTTCGTGAGTCAACTGGTCCAACCCATTGACCACATCGTCAAGCCAATGCTTCACCGCGAGAAGCACCGTGGTATCATGCTCAAGTCCTACACATAGCTCAGCTCCCAGTCCCTACTACCGAGGGAATGATCCAGCAGTGGAATATGGTCGCATACCTTTCTCAATAATCGTACATATTTCCTCCAAATTTTCGCGTAGTTCCTGGTTCGGACGAAGCTTAGGGAAGGCCTCCGTCAAAGAGAGCGGTTCATGAAGCTGCACTACATCTGGTGTCAAAGGGTCCTGCAACGCACTCCCCAGGGACTTCCAGCTGGTAGTGCTAGGATCCTGATCCATATCCTCCAACTCGGCTACTTCAATCTCGGGGCTCTGGGCAGGCGACGATGACAACGACACCGCATTCGACGCATTTGTCCCTCTTTCACCGGTCGATAATACGGAGGGTTCGGGGCCGGGGTCGGGCTGCTCAGCCAGGGACTCTTCCGGAGGGGCAGAAGCCATGCGGTCGATAGTGCTAGGGGACTTCATGTTGATAGTCATTCTACTCGCCGGACGATTGGACACAGGAGCCTCCTGATCCGCGACGGCAGGAGCATCCGGTATTGGTTGGGAGACCTGGGGGGAAGTCTCGTTCGGGGTGGACCAAGATTCACAAGCACCGCTTCCACTGTCAAGACGAGGACGTTTCCGAGTCGACTGGGGATCTATTTCTTCCATGGAATCGCCGGGGGAACGCGTCGAATCGGACGGCGTAGCGTCAGGCGGGGGGCTAGAGCTCTCTAGCGGGGCAGCTGCCATGACATTTTCCTTAGCTCTATCCTTCGAGCACAAGTGAGATCAAGCTGATAATAAACCGTACAGGAGGGGGGAGGGGGGGGGGGGGTAAGTAAAAGTGAGATAAAGAAAGATAAGATGCAGAGAGTTGGGGAAATGGGAGCTGTCGAAACTACTACTAGCTCAAAGTGACGCAGAGTGGAGAGTCTAAAAAAAAAAAAAAAAGGTGACGGAAGGTGAGAAAGGCAGAAGAAATAAGGAAGCAGGAAGCAGGCAATAATTCAGACCAGGGATGGAGGAATAGACCAGAAAGAGGCTGAAAGCCCTGTATCTTTCTTGATCCAAGAAAGGAGAAGGAAGAATGAATGAATGATGGACGGATAGATGGATGGATTGAATTGATTGAAGAGGAAGAAGAGAGGGAGGGGGGAAGGAAAACGGACCTACTGCGATTGTTATTTGTTAGTGCAGCTCTGACGTTGAGGTGGAGCCAAAAGATTGCTATATATACTAAGACACGAACAGGTACTTTTATTCCACTGTTAAATAGCTACCTATTTATTTATTTATTTATTTATAGAAGAAATTACTGTTTCAAGACCTTTACACAACTGGTGATTCCCTTGAAGATTAATAAATCAGCAGGAATATCCAGAATATCCCAGGTACTCCCAGGCAGAACCAACACCACCGTCGATCGGGAATTAAAGTAAAGAAAAGGAACCTTAAATGAATGAAACAAAAGAAGGGAGCTAAATCGGAATCATAAGGATGATCGGGATATATATGACCACTCAAAGCTTCATTCAAGATACAAACTAAATAAATACCTAGCTCCATACCTACCTAGGGGAGGTGGAGAGAGCTTCACCGAATTCTTCAAATCTCCTCCCTCCTTTACAGCCGCAAACCCAACCACTCGCAGTTTCTTCCCATCCCCTTACAGAAGGTCGTATTACCCCTCCATCACAACAGCTTATTCTCTGATCTTCTTAAATGAAGGCTTACAAAAAAGTACGGGTCCAGGTTCCACCTGAACATATCAACCCGCCAAGAGAAAGTCGGCATACAAGCTCTAATGCAATGATCAATGCATATATCTACGAAAATGATCGAATCCGCTGCATGGCTTCGCCCTATTACTATACTAATCCGAATCAACAACATGCATATTTATATGAACAGTAAAGGAGAATATCGAAAAGCCAACTCGACAAAAGAGCAAACCCGTCGTCCACCTGCCCCGTCAGCCATATTATGCTGCTTGTGTAGTATCAATCTTGCGCACGATTTTCGCTGGGTTTCCCACAGCAAGATGATAAGCAGGGACATCCTATAGTAAAAATCAAAGTTCACATATGAACAAGAGAAAGCAGAAATATTGTTATAACATACCTTGGTTACTACACTACCAGCCCCAATCACTGCCCCATCTCCTATCGTCACCCCTGGAAGAACAATCACATTCCCTGCTAGCCAGCAATCCTCCCCGATATGGATTTCCTTGCCCGACTCCGGACCTGACGTTCCATTGCGAATTGCCGGATCTAGAGGATGCGTTCCACTGTACAGAGCAACCTTGGGTCCAAGGAGAGTTCGTGCTCCGATTGTCACCAGGCAGGTGTCAAGAATGACACAGTCAAAGTTAATAAAGGCCCCTGCGCCAACCTTAACATTGTACCCGTAATCCATTCGAATTGGGGGCTCAATCCAAGGTTCCCTCTTCAGCACCTCTTCGTCTTCGACGGGGTCTTCTTTGGCGGGAGGAAGAGGCGTTGTGTCCTGAACTATACTGGATTGACCCAACACCACCACGTCAGCCAAGGTTGTTTGTTTGATGGATGCATCATCGGTAAATGAAATGTAAAAGCATGGCTGTAGTAGATATACAATGCTGCACCCGTATCGTCCGGTCAGTCGACACTTACTCTTTCCAAAGTTCAAGTAAGCGTCGTCGCGAAACCTCCCCGGCGTTGTTGAACCGGTTACAGGCATGTTTACAACGAGTCCTTTCCGCCAGGAGGTCAGGGGTGAAGGCACAATAAAGCTCCCCGCGAAGCATCTTCTCTTTTTCAGTTCCGGCCATGTTGTATACTTATTTTATATCCAGTCTAAATATATTTGTTAATGTTGAGTTCAGGATGACAACCGACACATCTTGCTGCGGTTGACCATCCCACATTCAGTAGAACCCCATGAGAGGATCTCTTTGAAGTTGGATCTGGATGGGCAATCTTGAAATGACTTACATTTTGAATATCTTATAATGGATCGATCAGATGAACAAAGCGCAGTCAACACAGAAGGAGACCAAGAATAGTGACGGCATGTGTGAGGAAGAGAGTGGGCGGGGTACGGACAGCCTCTACAGAGTACTCCGTACGCTACTCACAAGTCAGTCCTAGATATGGGACTAGCCTCAGTTCTATTAGTGTCCCGATACTCTTGTAATCGGGTTTAGAAGGTCAAACAAATCTCGAAGAGCTACTGGTGACATCGCATAACCAGTTGCTTGGAAATACGAGTTGTCTAGGGCATGTGTATGTTTATGGAGGTGGCTATTAGATGCGTAAGACGCAGTTATGGATATTTTCCAAGAATAGAAAAAACAGAGAGAGAGAGAGAGAGATATATATATATATATCCCAGTTGTATGTATATGCATGTATGAAGTAGCCTCTAGATTTGGAAAGATAAAAAGACAAAAAAAAGGCCCGAACTGGGATTCGAACCCAGGGCCTCTCGCATTTTAGATGTGGTGGTCCCAAAGCGAGAATCATACCACTAGACCATCCGGGCGTGTTATGTTTATTCGGACTACTTAAAGATACTATCAGGGTATTAGATACTTATTATCATAACTAAAAAGAAAAAAGAAGGCCCGAACTGGGATTCGAACCCAGGGCCTCTCGCATTTTAGATATGGTGATCCCAAAGCGAGAATCATACCACTAGACCATCCGGGCATGTGATGTTGACTAATCAACTCCAGATGCGCTACTTAGTCAACTACATAGGTATTGAATCATCCCTGTATGTATTTACAACACTTTCAAAGAACTTCTTCATATTGTTCCCCGCCAGTTATAAAGCTCCGCCTCCAAATGGGTTCCTATTGTCCTACTATTCCTTATATATCTCAACAGTCCTACATTCTTTGAATCATGTCTGCTCCTTAGTTCACACTCACCATCAACCCAAGAGCCCTCCCCCTCCCCCCAAACAAATACAGACCACGAAGATCTATCCAACATGGCCTCTGAAGCTCCCCATCAAGATGCAGCAACAACAGAAACAACAAACTGGAAACCCCACCGACCAACAACGCCATCCCTAAACTCCTTCCCCAATTCGCCCCCCTCTCTCGATCCATCCAACTACCCTCATGGCAAAAAGTCCCTCTCCGGCATCTCTCTCCGCGCCTTTCTGATCGGGACCACTCTCGGCCTCTCCCTCTCCCTCACCATCTTCCTCTTCCCAACCTACTACCTTTGGCGCGTCCCCTTCTTCCTCGCGTCGCTCTGCCTCTTCCACTTCCTCGAATACTACGTCACAGCCGAATACAACACGCGCTACGCTTCCATCTCCGCCTTCCTCCTCTCCTCCAACGGCTGGGCCTACAACGTCGCCCATTCCTCCGCGATCCTCGAGTGTCTTGTCTCCTATTACTTCTGGCCCCGCGATAGCTATTTCTCATGGACAGGCCCGGTGTTCGGGGTTATAAAGCTGCAGGTGCTGCTGGGCTTGGTGATGATGGCGATCGGGCAGGCCACGCGCACGCTCGCGATGGCCCAGGCGGGCAGTAACTTTAACCATACGGTGCAGGTTGAGCGCAAGGACGGCCATATCCTTGTCACGCATGGATTGTATGCGATTCTCCGGCATCCGAGCTACTTTGGCTTTTTTTGGTGGGGGTTGGGGACGCAGTTGCTCCTAGGGAATGTGGTTTGTTTGGTTGGGTATGCGGTGGTTTTGTGGCATTTTTTTAATAGCCGCATTGCAAGTCAGTCTTTTGCTCTCTGCCCCTTCTTTCTTCGATCTGCAGTGATAGTGTGACTAACGTGGTGGGTGGTGTGGTGTCTAGGAGAGGAACGCTTCCTGATTGCGTTCTTTGGAGATGAGTATGTGCAGTATAGGAAGAGATCTTGGGTGGGTATTCCTGGTATTCCGTGATTTTATTCTGGTTTTTTTTTTTTTCGATAGAGGCCTGGGGACAGAAATGGAACCCTTTCATTGTAGTTAGTTCGGTCGGTAAATATCCAAGATAGATTAATCTATGCAACATAACTGCTTAGGGATGTCCACGCCCTAAATAGTGTTGCACGCCCCCAACATCGCTCAGTGGTATCGAATACTGCTCAACTAAAACGCCATAGCCATGAAAAGTAACACCCCTCCACCAAATTACCAAAAGAAAAACTAAAAAAAAAAACTAAAGTTTACTCTCGGGCGCAGCTCCCCCAACCGCACCGCTCATAAAGGCTCCCTGCGCCTGGTCCTCAACCTGCGCATTCTCGCCTCCAAACAGAACAAGTTCCCGACCACCCTTAGTGCTCCACCAGGTAACACAGTAATGCGCGCGCTGTACGTCCATCTCACCGTTACTCAGCGCATCCCAAAACCGTTCAACGCAGGCCTTGCGCATTTCAGGTGCAGAAATAACATTGATCAGATTAGCGGCGAGAGGAAGCCACTCGTCTAGTTCCTCTACGCGGAGGAAAGAAAGACTGTCGATGAGAGCGAGTGTAAGTACAGCTTGTTCGGAGAGTGGGATGGTCTTCCCCATGTCCGGGCCGGTAGTGCCTTGCGCAGAGGGTGGAAGGGCAGTATCGGATGCATGGAGGGCTCGGTCGTAGAGGACTTCGAGGAGGATAGATGGTAAAAGGGGCTGCCGGTTTGCAATTGGGGATGGAGGTGTGGTGACTTGGAGGACGGTTTTAAATGCGAGGCGGAATTGGCGAGCGGATAGATTGGTAGGGAAGACCTTGTGCATAATCAGTAGGTGTATAATGTGTTTTGAGTACCTCGACAAGGGGAGGGTATTATACAGCAAAAAGATTGTCGATGTAGAAAGGAAGATGTTTGGCTGCTACATCTGCGTTATTGGCGATTGCGCAGACAGCGAGAACTACGCTGTGAGCAGCTTCGAAGATCTCGAGGAGGTGGTTGTTTCCTCCGGCCGGAAGGTAGGGCAGAGCGGCCTGGATGAGAAGATCTTCGGCACATTTAGGCGAAAGAACAGGAGTGAAGTGTTCGGAGGTATTCAAGAAGAACAGATCGAGACATCTCTCAACGGGATGTTCTGGGATGTGGCCGAGTTCATGTGGTTTGATACTCGTCAGGAAATTCTCTGTCAAGTCGGGATACTGTGTCAGGATATCCACAGCCGCTAGTGCCACGAATGTGTGCTGCGAGGATGAGTTCGGGCCAATACGAGAAGAAATGAAGTATAAGTTGCGGAGGATGTGAAGCGCCTGCATTGAGAGATATGGTGCACCTGATGTAACCAGTTAGTAAACAACCTCATTAAAACCTTGGGGGCTCTCACTGTTGTCAGCGGCCAGGACACGGTCATTGATCACCCGCCCCAGGACCGCCCGAAGAACAATCACAACCGAATACAAACAATTCCGGAGCAGTTTCCATAGGCTGGGAATCGTATTCTCAAGCGACTCAGGATCCAAGAACTCAGCTTCTTCGGCCTGATCAACCTCCGATAGCTTGTTTTGTCTCCACTGCACCATCAAGGTTCGGACGAAATCCGCAATTTGGTCGACGGTCTGCGTGACAAGCGCTGGCTCGCGAACATTTTCAATCGCATGTGCAATAAGCCTGGAAAGTGGACCAAGGCCGGAAACAAGAGGCGAAGAAGAAATCCCCGTTACTTTTTGAAAAGTTGGAGATTGCGGGGGCCATGCAAATCGCTTTCCGGCTGTCTGGACAATATCCGTATCAACAGTGCCTAAGAAATAGCCGCCTTCAAGGCCCTCCGGAGACAGGTATGCCGCCCTGATCAGCACCGGCAGCAAGCGATCATAGTCTATCCTACTCCTCTCCTGGTCGGACAAGAGTTGAAACGAATAGTTTAAGACCATAGTAATGCAACGACCATCAGTCTCATCCTGCAGGTCTAGTTCCTCCAGGGAAAATTGCGTAGCAGTCACCAAAGCAGACTCCAGTTTCTTCCGAACACTCCACGGTAAACCCTGTCTATCCTGACCTTCAAATCCCAGCAGAATTCCTCCGATAAGAAGGAGGTGTCTCCACCGCGGCGACTTCCCATCGGCTCCACTAACAACCGCCTTCACCCATTGCTCGCGGTCCAACTTCCTCGGCCTCCCGTAGGGTATTCGTGGGTCTTCGGATGCTTCACTCTGCAGGATTGCCATCGCCGCTGTGTTGAAGACGCTGAGGATCCTGCGACATGCGTGTAGGTCAACGGGGTGGTGGTCCCATATTGCTGGAGATACCAGTAACTGCGAGGCAAGTAAAGTGATATTCAATGGGTTACTGAGCACTGATAGAAGGCTCGTTGCTGTTGGAAGCAAGCTGATAGACACACTAGAGTCAGTCGTTTTCAGCCGGACCGCGGGCAAGACAGGGTATATCTTACTTGAAGGCATTGTGAAGGTCGGACGGAGACTGGAGGGATCGCAGAAGCGCGCCTAAGGAGCGCTCTGTCGCCATTGCAGGAAGCTGCCAGTGGGATAGTTAATCGAAATGGCACGGAAATCAGGAGAGGATGGGGATGGATGGACGTCATGAAGTTATGAAGTTGGTACAGGCTCCCTACAACAATGCGGTAATCGAGCATCACCTCGCGGAGAGAAACGAGAATCCACTGCCGAGGCTCGCCTGGGGAAGTGCAAACCGTGCAAACAACGTCTACGCGCTGCAGGTCGCAACTTGCCCCAGAAAGACAATTATTCCACTTTTGGGCCATACGCACTCCAACTCCAGTGGTATCGCCCCAGGTATCATGGTGTTTCTTCTCGTTTCAACCCGTCCTCCTCGCCGTTGACAAGGCGCAACCGCCTTTCCAGAGTCAAAAATGGCAAATAACCGGATTCCGATCAATTACGTGACGCCTTCATTCCCGTCGCTCTATTACCCCTTCCCAGCACAGAATGTCGACGCCTACTATCTCTACCATACCCGGGATATCTGGCGCTTTACACTATATTGGACTTTGATCTTTTATCAGGCCTGCTACATAACGGTGGCGGTCTGCGCTCTGGTTATGCAAGGTCGCAGCTGGAGAATAGGTATCGCAGTTCCCGTGCTTTACGTATTGATTGGGGGGTTAGAAGCTCTTCTAGCGGGGAGTATCGTTGGTGTCGTGTAAGCTTTGCCTAAAATATAGGCGTGATGCCACTAGGGGGCCTTACCGAAGCTAATAAACACAGTCTCGGTGCTGTTTACGAAGCGGGTAACTTTAGAATGTCTACCTGGATCCCTATATTATGGGGCGGTGTGAACATCTTGGTTGTGATACTCGCGAGCTTCCCCGTGCAAGGTGGGCTGTGATGCCTTGCGAAACAAGATGGGTATTATTCCATTCATGGTATTAAGTCCCGAAACCGATTGGAAGTAAATTCCCAAACAGTACGCCCGAAAATGCAGCGGAAAATCCTATATGATACATCCAGAGACAAACGCTCTATTTCCCATAATCCCATCGTTGTCAAATCCCGACCCGCCTGCCGTTGCCCCCCCCCCCCCCCTTTCGAGAAGTCTGATAATGCGTTTAATATTAGACTCACTGACCATAACCGTTATGAGAATGGAAGCCCCCCTGCAATCCAGGGAGGCCTGGGATGCCGGCGGCGCTCATCGGTGCGGACACGGGTGGAAAACTTTGAGGGAAGTTAGGAGGTAGTGGAATCCCTTGAGCAAGGAGCTGTTTCTGCAGCTCTGCTAGGTCGACATTGACCGGCGGAGTTCCTGACATGGGGGTTTGCATTGGGAAACCGGGGAAACCGGGGTTAGGAGGGAAGTTGTTTGCTTGATGCTGGCCCATCGCGGCAGCTAATCCCGATGGTGGCGGTGGTTGAGCAGCGCCAATGCCCGGTAATAGCGATCCAAGCCCGTCGGGGACGCCACCAGGCGGCGCGCTTTGTATACCAGGAAGAAATGTACCAGTAGATTTCTTTTGATCCACCAGGCTCTCCGCTTCATCCCGTAGTTCTTGTTCCTCCTCTTCGCGCATCTGTCGCCTTCCAAAGCCCCGACTCCATGTCCCTTGGGCTTCTGCAGCCTCCTCCCCGATGTGGAATCTATCTTTTAAATAGCTGGTCTCCCCAGGCCGCGCACGAGACCAAAATCGGGTGAAATTGTCTTTAGAGCCGGACGCAAGAATATTGCCGAGAGGGTGCCAGTCGAGAGACCAGATAGTTGCACCATGTGCGTATTGTATGCGGTGCGCTGGATAGATAACCTGTGCCGGAGTATTGGCTGGATCGGGGCTGTCGTAAGGTGCCACAGTAGGGACCTGGCCCTGAGGCAGGTTGGGTTCATCGAGCAAATAGTGGTATAACGATCCGTCTTCGCTACCCGTTGATATGAGGGAGGAGTGAATGGGGTGCCATGTAAGTGACGAGATTGGCTTTTCATGGCCGCGAAGAATGCAGATGTCCCGCATCATGCGCAAATCGAACACTCGAGCTGTTTGATCACGCGATGAGGTAGCAAGGAGGTTGCTATTTACCCGCGAAAACCTCGTTGTGGTGACGGTATTTTTGTGACTGTGAAGCGTCGTCAAACAGCGGGACGTGCGAGGGTCCCAGAACTTGACCTGGTGATCTTTGGACCCAGAAACCAGGAGACCCTTGGTCGGATGCCAGTCGCACGACTTAACGTCCCAATTATGACCGGACAAAACGGTATCGCATGTTCTAGTTGTGAAGTCGAAAATCTTGAGCGTCGTGTCGTCGGAGGCGGAGAGGAATTTGCTGTCACTCGGAGACCATGCTAGGTCACGGACGGCATCATGATGGGCGTCGTCTATCGTCTCAACATTATTGAAGTTCGGCCTCCAGTACTTCACATCGCCCTTTTGGCCTCCCGAAATCAGCCAATCGTGGCTATGAGACCATGCTAACGACGTAACACCCGCTTGTAGTTGATCGTAATGCGCCTATCTCGCGATTAGTCCTTGCCCGCTAAGATATATACCGTCATGAAGATGTAGACCTACATCCATGACCGTTTCAAAATTAAATGCAGTTCCGTTCCATAGCATAAACTCTCCGGTATGTCCGCCTGTCAAGAGACGCCTTCCCTCCGGGGTCCATCTGACGACCGTGATGGGCTTCTTCGACTTTCCGATAGACTGGTGCAGGTGCCGGACGGGAATTGTGTCCACCGGTGCATGGACTCGTGCGAGCGGAGGAAGCATCTAACAAAACAGACTCAGATCAGCCACCGACCCATCCGCAAAATTTGTTCATCTTACATCCACTATGTAACTAGCACTTGGGCGCTCTGTCTCCATCTTATAGCCTCCCCTATATCGCGGTCGTCGGGAGCGCATCCATTGCACCATTGACGAGCCATAATCCGTGACCAATCCTATGAGAATCTTAGCTCATTGCCCAGGAACAGCGGGGGAATCAGCATGATCGCTTTGGGGGAGGGGCTGCGTACTCGGTCGGCGAGGGCCAGCAATTCCGCCCTCATACGATTTTGGAGGCCGTCCAAATGGCTGGGAGTCATTCACGGGATCCTCGTAAAAGGCCATGGCAACAACAGCGGGTCTAAGCTGCAGAGAAGGGCGCGAGAGAGATGGGATAGGCGAAGAAAACCGCGACCATGACAGGGGGCCAGCAACACGGGCGGCCACAACGGTGCTTATGCAGACTAAAATTGGGAGTCCGAGATGCAATAAGTCGAGGTGATAATAATCGTAGGTACGGAGTAGTCGTGAATACAAAGGGGAACAGGAGAGAGAAAGCAGACTTTGGGCTGGGGGACGTCGACAAGCATCCGAGGGTATTTATTGATTGGGTCGGGGCACTTAGTTAGCAGCTCGCCCAGACGACCGATTGATTGTCAGTTCCAGATTCCCCCCTAGAACGACCAGAGGAAGCTCCCTCAGTCGTTTGATTTTCCAAGCTAGCATTCCTTGCCAACCTGCTAATTATTTTGCATGGTGGAACAACGGCTCTCCTGTCTTGGTTGTTAGTCGAGGCCTTTGCTGAACCTTCGCGACAATGCGCACCCTGATAACCCCGCCGCGCTGTTGGATTACTCCTCTTTTTTCTACCTCTGGTCCAGACTGCTGTCTACGCACACACGCCAGGCTTGCCTTTGTCTCATAATTGACCGGAATGAGGCCGGCCTTACAGACATCCTTATCTGGTATTCTGAATCAATCCCCGCAGTTGGATTACGCCGAGCCCAGGAGGATTAGAATATCACACTTTGACAGTGTGTCCGTTGGCGACAACCCTTGATAAACTCGATTCTGCGGTCGCTGCTCTTACTGCCTTGATATATTCTGTATATTTTTCTTGTTTGTTTTTATTTCCCTGCAATTGCTTTCCTAAAAGCAAGTGTGAAAATGAATGTGGTTGAAGTTCTCCCTTCTCCGGCGAGTGCCGCTCTCCCCCCTACCGTCTCCGCCAACGGTAATACCTGTAACAAGGACGATACTCCCATGCCCTCTGAGAATGGAATAAAACGTCCAGTGAAAAGGAAGAGGGCGAAATATCGACATGTGATAGCTTGTCACTCCGAGGTGCGACACTCGTGTCTTAGCCGGGATTCTCACGATGTCCCGAGTTTCATAGGCTTTCGCAACCTCATGGTCGTCGTTTTGGGTAAGGATTCTGATTGACATGAAGGCGCGCATTCCGTTGTTGTTAATTTCTCGCTATTGTCTCCAGTGGCTATGAACCTTCGGCTCGTGATTGAAAACTCCCTCAAGGCAAGCTTCGAGAACCTCAATTGACACGAGTTTATCTAATCTAGGCTTGTTGGCAGTATGGTGTCTTAATCTGCATCAAGTGCCACGACTACCGAAAGCAAGATGTGGTCATTGGAGCGATTCTTTTTGTCCTGGTCCCATGCCAGCTACTCTGCTCGTATTTCATTGAGTTGACCGCGTCAAGGCATGCTGCGCGAATTGTTGGTCAAGCAAAAAAAGAGGACAAAGTCTTGCAGGAGTCCAGGGCAACCTGGTTCTACATTGCGTTGTTGCACTCCGTGATCACCATCTCGGGGTTGGTGGGGACGAGCTATATTATATACTACTATATTAATCATCCTGGGATTGGTACCCTGTGTGAGCTGCAAGTGATCATTGTGTCACTTAAATCATACTCCTACGCATTAACCAATCGGGATCTACGGCGAGCCATGCTTGGCTCCTCCTCGGCCGATTTCGAAATCCCCAAACTCTACTCGACCTGCCCTTATCCCAAGAACATCACTGTGGGAAACCTGGCGTACTATTTGCTGGCGCCCACGCTGGTCTACCAACCTGTATATCCCCGAACACCCCGCATCCGCTGGTCTTTTGTGGGCAAGCGCTTGTTCGAGTTTGTTTGCCTAGCGGTGGTTATTTGGCTCCTCTCTGCGCAGTACGCCGCACCACTGTTGCGAAATGCGACTGAAAAGATCGCGACTCTGCACATCACCTCTATCCTCGAGCGCGGGTTGAAGCTCTCTACAATCTCTCTTGTCATCTGGTTAGCTGGGTTTTATGCCCTCTTCCAGTCCCTGCTGAATGGACTGGCCGAGGTGATGCGGTTTGGAGACCGCGAGTTCTACACGGACTGGTGGAACAGTCCCAGTTTTGGCGTGTACTGGCGATCCTGGAATCGCCCCGTCTATACCTTTATGAAGAGGCATGTGTACATGCCTTTAGTCACGCGAGGCTGGAGCTCCTTTGCTGCGGGCCTGGTCGTCTTTACCGTCTCTGCCGTTCTGCATGAGATCCTCGTGGGGGTTCCCACACATAATCTGATTGGTATGATAGCTACCACTCCGTCCCTTTTATTTCCATGTACTAACCAATATCAGGAGTCGCATTTCTGGCTATGTTGTTTCAGCTCCCATTAATCTTCCTCACTGCACCGTGCGAGAAATTCAAAAATCCCCTAGGCAAGGCAATTGGCAATTCTATTTTTTGGATCACATTCTGTGTCGTTGGCCAGCCGCTCGGTGCACTGCTGTATTTCTTTGCATGGCAGGCGAAATACGGCAGTGTCAGCCGGACCCAGGTTTAGATAGTTCTGGATAGAGGATATCGGGTATACATGCACACATCGGAATCATTGTAACAGGTAAATATTTATCTTATAAGGTTCTTGCAAAAAGGATAGTTAGTTATCGAATATTGCACATGTCCGAAGACTTATTAGCGATAAATTTAGCGAGCCTACCTAAACTCCACGGTTTGGCCTAAACGCCGGCGGGATTTTGGAATACATACGGAGTACAATAAGGATTGTATGTAAGTGAGTTCAGTAAACCGCCGATTCCTAGCGCCCGGAAGCTCGGCTCGAGCCTGTGCCGGTGGAATCAATTCCCCCCCCGGGTTCCGAGATCCCTCTTGACGTCAGGTACCTGGCGATATAAAGTCGAGCTGTTACTCACTTGTTCAAATATTTCACCATCAGAGACCAATTGCATTTCTAATCTCAATCTCATAATGGTGTCTATTACTATCCCCGGAGACTATGGGTACGTTACTTTCCCCATCGCAAAACAAGGCTCCAAACCGTACATCGTGGACGGGAATACCGGCAACTTTTCCCTCATGGCCAAGAGAGAAATACTAATCACCATTTACAGCTTCGTCCTAGCCGTTGCTCTTGGCGCAATCCCCGTGCTAGGCTTTGTCCACGGTGTGGTCGTGGGCAGCTTCCGTAGGGAAGCCAAAGTCCCCTACCCACACACCTATGCTACAGTTGAGCAATGTAACTCAAACGTGAGTTCTCAATCAGCGCCTTTCTCACTTCCAACAATAACCCCCCCCCCCCCCCTTACACTGGTCCAAATTACATTTCAACTAACACGACCTCTAACCTCGAAAAATGTAGCCCAAGGCTCACAAGTTCAACTGCGCTCAGCGCGCTCACGCCAACTTCCTCGAGAACGCCCCCCAAACTATGCTCTTCACTCTTGTTGCAGGCCTGAAATACCCGCAGCTTGCAACTACTCTGGGCGCCGCCTGGGTGGTTTGCCGCTGCCTTTTCCTGTACGGATACGTGTTTACGGATAAGCCTCAGGGTAACGGACGGTACATGGGGGTTTTCTTCTGGTTTGCACAAGGAGCGCTCTGGGGATTGAGTGCTTTTGGTGTTGGGAAGGAGTTGATGTAATTTTTGGTGCTTTTTTTTTTGGTTCTCTTTAGTTTGATGATAGCACTAGGCTAATATATAGAGAGTTGGAGGAATTAAAAACCTCTGCTCACTTATGTAGTATATATCCATATTTCAGTTCAATTGTACATTCTCAACTTCAAAAAATTTCCAAAAAAAAAAAGGTGATGATAGCCATATACTGCTTGACACTAGAAGCTACATACATACATACATACATAAATCCCGATGATCCCCACATATCGGCACGGAGCAAAAATCCACCGTTGGTGGTGGGGGGGAAGGGGGGGGGCATTTTCTATTCTCTACCTACGGATCTTTCTTCGCTTCATTCTTCACGTCTGAAAGAGAAAAAGAAAAAGAACAAAGCTCATCATGTCCTCCAAATCTACCCTTACCTACGGGGCCCGCGCCAAAAACCACCCTAACCCACTCACCAAGAAGCTGTTCGAGATCGCCGAAGCCAAAAAGACCAACGTCACCGTCTCAGCGGATGTAACCACGACGAAAGAGCTTCTGGACCTGGCAGATCGTAAGTACCTGTCCTGTTATTGAATTGATGGATAATAGCAGCAAGCAGCCCAAGCACGCAATGGCTAACTGCTGACTGCTTCTGCAAACAGGCCTGGGCCCCTACATCGCCGTGATAAAAACCCACATCGACATCCTCTCCGACTTCAGCCAAGAAACCATCGATGGCCTGCAGAGCCTCGCACAAAAGCACAACTTCCTGATCTTCGAAGACCGCAAGTTCATCGACATCGGCAACACCGTGCAGAAGCAGTACCACGGCGGCGCCCTGCGGATCTCGGAATGGGCGCATATCATCAACTGCGCGATCCTCCCGGGGGAGGGGATCGTCGAGGCCCTTGCGCAAACCGCATCGTCGTCGTCGTCGTCGTCTGATTTCCCGTACGGGCCGGAGCGCGGCCTGCTCATTCTCGCGGAGATGACCTCCAAGGGGTCCCTTGCTACGGGGGAGTACACGGTGCGGTCGGCGGAGTATGCGCGGAAGTACAAGGGGTTTGTGATGGGGTTTGTGTCGACGAGGGCGCTGAGCGAGGTTGTTTCGGAGCGGGGTGGCGAGGACGCGGAGGAGGATTTTGTGGTCTTTACGACGGGGGTGAATTTGGCGTCTAAGGGGGACAAGCTGGGACAGCAGTATCAGACTCCTGGGTCGGCGGTTGGACGTGGCGCCGACTTTATTATTGCGGGGAGGGGGATCTACGCGGCGGAGGATCCTGTGGAGGCTGCGAAGAGGTATCGGGAGGAAGGGTGGGAGGCTTATTTGGCTAGGGTAGGTGGGAAATAGATTCCTTAAGAATGAATCAATCAATAATAGGATAGAGCTGTTTGGACTTGACTAGTTGGGTGCTCTGAAGCAGAGACAACCTGTATCTACGCTATAGACTAGGTACACATTTCAAGCGCTCAAAGTACCACTTAATACATGCATAAAACATGCCAGGAAGCTATCTCTGGTAGGATCCCCATCAAATGCGTATAATGAGGTATAATCTATTGTACACGCCATGCATCCATATCATAGTTAGGTCTCTGGATATTCGTTAGTCAAGCCCTAAGACATTCACGAGGAATCTAGCTACAATACCCACCTATTGAGAGGGAAGAGAGTCAAGGTTTCTTGAAGAACAGTAGTAACCCAAGCCGTGTATAGATTAGTAGTATAGATGATTGTAATTTTCGTTAGCTGCTGCCCATAAGAAACATAAGATAAGGACATGGAAGGTATTATTATACTTACAAAAGATGTGTGTGTGTGTGTGTCATTGTCCCAGGCCCGTCCCAACCACCCAACCAAGGCCTGTCTACGATGGGCGCTGTGGTCAGTCTGTAATATATTAGGTGTCATTTCCAAAGAGAGAGAGGAATGTCAACTTACTATTCTACAGGTTAGTCTGAGATATGATGACCCAGGCCCATCCCATCCACCCAACCTAGGCCTGGGCATGATGTGTGTAGCTGCGATGTAGGTAAGTTAGCTCAGTTTTATATGAATAATAGGGCTAGGTGTATACTTACATCCTCCCCACCCCCCGCTGTCTGATAACCCAGGCCCGTCCCAACCACCCAACCTAGGCCTGTGTTGCTGTGTTGTTATAGCTATGTTATATGATGGGTGTAGCTGTGATATAGGTAAGTTAGCTCAAGTTTATATGAATAATAGGACTGGGTGTATACTTACATCCTCCCCACCCCCCGCTGTCTGATAACCCAGGCCCGTCCCAACCACCCAACCTAGGCCTGTGTTATTGTGTTGTTATAGTTATGTTATATGATGGGTGTAGCTATGATATAGGTAAGTTAGCTCAGTTTTATATCAATAATAGGACTGGATATATACTTACATCCTCCCCACCCCCCGCTGTCTGATAACCCAGGCCCGTCCCAGCCACCCAACCTAGGCCTGTGTTGTTGTGTTGTTGTATAGTTATGTTATATAGTTATATAGTTGTGTTGTATGATGTGTGTAGCTATGATGTAGGTAAGTTAGCTCCATTTTATATAAATATCAATAGTAGGACTAGGTGTATACTTACACCCCCCACCCCCCCCTGTCTGATAACCCAGGCCCGTCCCAGCCACCCAACCTAGGCCTGTGTTGCTGTGTAGTTGTGTAGTTGTGTAGTTGTGTAGTTGTGTAGTTGTGTAGTTGTGTAGTTGTGTAGTGTAGTGTTGTTGTGTGGTGTGGTGTGGTGTGGTGTGGTGTGGTGGAGTAGTTGCTAAATGGCATATAGATTGCAGAATATGGTGGGATAGATGGCCGCTATATGTCAAATGGGGAAGAAGGGCAGTAGAAGAGTGATGTGTGAGGTAGACGTTGGTGAGAGTATAAGACTATATACAAATATATGGCAAGATATGGCAGGATATATCTAAGTAGAAAGGAAACTATACAAAGAATGAGTCACACAAACAAAAGTAGAAGAGTCGAGTACTCAAGTAAAGACGCAAAGAAGAGTTGTAAAAGGAAGAAAAAATCCCAGCCTCGAGGGGAAAATAGGAGATATTTATAGCTGAGATTTGGCATGAGTGAATAGCTACGTGAATACTCTCTCATCCATCATTGCGTAACCCGGGGATAATGATTACCAGTCATCACGTCGCTAAACATGGGATATTCTACATCATTCTCACGCCAGAATGCCTTCATATTGACGTTTTAGCTGGAAGAAGGAACCCGATGAAATAGGAGATAGCTGGAGGGCAGAGAGTCTCGGATGATATATGAAGGATCCTGTGTGATAAACCGAGTATGCAAAAGCAATCTTTCTTATTAGAGTAATTTCTGGTTCTTTTAAGCTAAGTTCAACAATTAAGTCTATCAAGATCTTAGTATATTGATTGAGTAACGGAACTCGGGAATTTATCACATAGAACTATAACTATACTCCGTACCTGGGTAGACATGTAGTTATTCCCAAGTCTAAATAAGCTGGGACCAGCTGAGTCAGTCAGGTACTAACTAACTAGTTAACTAACTAACTAACTAATAGTAAGTAGTAATTCGACCATTAGGAAATAGGAATTAACTAGCGGTGTATATACTCTAAACCAGTAAAATCTCTATAAAACAATGGATGTGAAACTAGAAGCCGAACTAGAGGTCTGGATGCTCTAGGATCAATGCCCCTCATCTCGAGAATTTCCATCTAGACGAGAAAATAACCGGTGAGAAGTTAATACTAGCCTCTCCGGGTAGGAGCAGAGCAACTTGCATTTAGCCACTAGTTCTGCACTGTGACAATCGCTTCCTTTACTCACCAGACAGTCTCTGTTTCTGTTGCCGCTGGGATGGAAGGTCGCAAATATAACCAGTACTCCTACTACCTGTTCGGGGAATCCCCGCCTGACCTCTCTCTCTCTCTCTCTCTCTCTTTCTCCCTTCGTAACTTCATCCGTCATCCAGAGATGGATCTCTTTTTGTGACTCCTACTCTGACTGGTACTTCCTCTTCCTCTGATTTTTTTTTCTTGCGTCGGGTACTGACTGCATCGCTCTCGTATAGAGAACCCTATTCTTATTGTCTCGTCCTGGTGACGCCGGTCTTGACGACCCCTCGTGTGTGGAGGGCATTCATTCTTTCATTCTTACTGAAACTCACTTCTATGGACCTTTGCTGATCCCCTCCGTGTGACTGGTGCCATTTGGCAGGGATATGCGAAGCTTTTCTACTTACAACTCGCATGGTGATTTGGCACCCGATGACGCAGGTGTAAAACCCATGGCGACCTCCTTCACATGCCATCATCGCCATCTTGCACCCGGGGGCTATGACCACTGCAGTTCTGGGCTTGCAAATAACCATAAAAACAGCCCCTCTCTGCACATCGCTTCGACCCTTGCATCGACTCCACTCCCGGGGTCTGCCCTGTCCTCTTGGGCGGTTACTACTTCCATATCATCCTCCCTCGACACCACCCCTCCGAAAGCGATTTCTCCGACTGTCATTACTGCCAATTTATCCAACACCTCGCTCTCTATCGAGGACGAGATGTCCCCGTCTCAAAGCCTCCGGGCCCCCAAGAGGAAACGGACCGTCTCCCCGCCCCAATCGCTATCGGCAAGGACTTTCGACGAGGTGCAACAGCAGCTTCGCTCGACGTCTCGCAGCAGCCGCCGTTCTGTGCCCCATAGCCGCCACAGCTCCATTCACTCTCACTATCGCACGGCAACCAATGCCTCCCTCACGCCGTCATCCGCACCAGACTCCCCGAATCGACGGGAGAACCTGCTGGCACTGCATCGAGAATCGTGCCGCCTATTCCAGGACCACGAAATAGGCGTGGTCCCACTCCCTGCAAGGCGGCGGTCCTCCTCTCCGCCGAGTAGTCCGCACACGCCTCCCCGGGCTCTGCGCACATCCTCGAACATCAGCTCGCCACCCGTGTCGCCAATCCTCGAGGCCCAACCGGCCGTTTCCATCGAGTGCCGCCGGGACAGTAGCTCCAAGGAAGCATTCTACACCACGCGCCATGTCGCGACGACCCCGTTGACTTTCCACCCGGCCCCCACCGTGATCGACTGGACGTCTCCGTCCACGCGCAGACGTGAGTACGAAGAGATCGACCGCGCAACCAGCGGAGTAAGGGGCTTCTGGCGCCGAGTCGCACCGCGGTGGTGCCAGTTTGGTCATGCGCGGGTTCCTTTTTTCGAGGAAAAGGACGGCAAGGGGAACTACGAGGGAAGCGTCCGCAGGTTTCGGATGGATCTCCCTGAGGAGCCCGTTGCAGATGGAAGTCCGCGCCGGGGGCTGAACCTGAAACAGAAATTAACGGTCCGTCGAAAAATGTATTGACTTTTTATATATATATATATATTTGTTTGACCTTATTGTTTAGAGGTGGACGGTGGGGGAGATTTGCATTATGATACCCAGTCTAGACATTATTATACAGTCATTTTTATTTCATTGTTATTCAACTTCTTTTTTTTTTTTTTTTTTTGTTTTTATATTTTTTTTTTTTTTTTTTTAGCAGTCGAAATCCAACATGCAGCCAAGTCACTTTTCCTATAAACACAGTTCTAGAATGATACCAAACGCCATTGCCAGGGTATACAGAGTAGTCTAAGTGCACAAGCACATCACATAAGATCAAAATCATCCAAGTTATCCCGATACCGCATAATACTGCGCTTGATCTTGCTGCTATCCACCCAGGTGACGAAATCCTCGAGGTTCCGGGTAACCAAGTAGGCGGGATCCGTAACGACCTCGGAGCCAACGCGGACATGGCCTTGTTCGATAAAGGTGACGGCCTGGCCGGGACGAGACACGATTAGCGTTGCGTTGCGTTGCGTTGCGTTGTCTTTCCACCTCGCGGCGCCGGCCTCTTTCTCTCCATCGAAAGAAAGAAAAAAAAAAAAAAAACGGGGGGAAGGGAAAACACATACAGTCTTAATATTCTCGACCATGCCAGACCTCGCCATCACAACGGCCAACCTCCGCCGACAAAACGCCGACACCGTGACTTCGCGCTCGACACGCGATAACCCGGCCCCCTGCTCGCGGGACTGCTTCAGGATCCCCATGCGCCACAGCTTCTCGAGCACGTCGGCCTCGAGCTTCTGGCGCACCGGGTCGCTGTCCGGGTCTAGTTCGGATAGCTTGTGCGCCAGCTGCCGCAGGGATCCGCACAGCGTGCTGTATTTCTTGTAGTCTGTGGGGTCTTGTAGGTGGTATCGTTGGCGCACGGCATATTCGCGGTGCGAGTTGTCGGATTTGTAGGTTGTTAGGTTTACTTTGCGGAGGAGTCTTGATCATATATATATATATATATATATATATCATATCAATGTTAGTGCTCTCTGGAGGGGTTTTGGGGGTGGATTGTGGTGGATGGACTGACTTTTTCTCGTGGTATTTTAGTTGACGGACCATTGTGTGCTTTTGTTTCAAGATACCTACCGTAGGTAAGGATAAGGATAGGTAGGTAGGTAGGTAGGTAGGTAGGTTTGTTGTTCAAATATGGTTGGTGATGCAGTGGGTAGAAATTTTTTAACAAAGGCGGTGTGTGGTTCCCGTCGTAATGCAAAAACGGGTTCAACCCCCTACACTACGGAGTAAATATACGTAACTACTAGGAGTAGACGGGGAGACTCCCTTCATAGAGAATGAAGAGGAGAATGATCTATAATTCATCTCTAACGGCTGGTGGTCGTCCCCCGTCCGTCCCCAGATCGACCCCGTTCTTCTTCCGCCACTTCTCCCACAGCGCAAAAAAGTCCTTTTCCATCCCGCTCTCCATCTGGTCCGGCAGAATCACGCTGTACTCCACGTACAGATTGCCCGGCTCCTCGTCGTGCTGGTCATGGAGATGCCCCGCCGAGTAGAACGGCATGCCCTCCCCCCGCACCGTTTCCACCGATAGTGGCTGCACGACCGCGCCGCGCTGCCGTCCCAGCTGCACCACGTGTCCATCCAGGTGCGTGATGTTGCGCGTCCAGCCGCCCATCCACGCCTCGCGCAACGAGAGCGCCTCTTTCCAGAACAGATCGCGGCCCTTGCGGCGGAAAAACGTCCCGTCCGTGCGATGCTCCTCGGCCTTGGCCAGTTCGGGCTCCTTTTCCTCGAGAATCAACACCAGATCGCCCGCGATCCAATCGGGGCTCTCGTCCGCCTCGTTCTCAAACACCAATCGCATCCCTTTGTCCATACCCGGCTCCACCGTCGCCGACGTCTCGACTTCCTTCCGCACCACCCGGTGCCCGTGACAAACATGGCAGGGCTTCTTGATTGTCTTCCCCTGCCCGCCGCACCTGTCACAGGGCATCTGCACCTGCTGGAACATCCCAGGAGCCAGCATGTGTTTCTGAATCACCATGCCACGGCCCGAGCACTTGTCACAGGTGATGACCTCGCGATCTGCCGACCCTGTCCCCTCGCACGCATCGCAGATCTGCTGCTTCTCAAGCGTAATCTCGAACTCGCGCCCGTTGTAGAAATCGCGCAACGGCAACCCAATCCGGAACTCCATATCCGGGCCGCGTCGGTGACCCGGCGCATGGCCAAAGTGCCCGCCGCCGCCGAAAAAGCGCGAAAACAGGTCAAACGGATCATTCCCTTGTCGGCCAGCTGCTCCTCCGCCCTGTCGGTGCTGATTCACTCCTTCATGCCCGTGTTGGTCGTAGATTTTCCTTGTGGAAGGCGTAGACAAGACCTCGTATGCTTCGGCGATTTCGACGAATTTTTCCCGGGCGGTTTCGTCTCCTCTTTTTTTTTTTTTTTTAGCTAATATTTAGCACCTGCATGTCATTTTAATACGAAAGGGGAAGGAAGAACTTACGGATTCTTATCAGGATGATACTTCTTACTCAACGTCCGATATGCCTTTTTAATATCTTTCTCCGACGCCGACTTATCCAACCCCAACGTCTTATAGTAATCCTCCACGGCCAGCGCCAACTGCACCAGGACCAGCGCCAACACCAGCGAAATCAAGAATACACGCATGATGTTGAAGGTCAGCACTGCATCTGCATCTGCATCTGCTGCTCGGTGTCTATAGGTAACGAGACCCGCGCCGAGCCAGAAGCTAGATCGTGCTGTTTGTGTATGGACTCGGAGCTCGGTAGTCCACCAACTCAAAAAGTAGATACGTGGATGATCAAGTGAGACGATTGGCGGGAATTGTGACAAAAGTAGTAATTCGAATCTAGGGATGTATCTTGTGAGAGAGATTAAATACTCAAGATCAGTGAAGATCTCAAGAAACGTCAAGGGTTTGTTTGTGTGGTGTCGGAGGTGTTTCGTCGGTCATTGAATCTTGCGTTCCTGGGAGCTTTCGATTTAGGTGGCCGCATCGGCGGGGGTTTGTCCGCTCCGATCACGTGCTTCCGCGGGGGGGTTCACGGTTCCTGTTTCCTGTCTCCTGCACCTGCACAATAGTTCCATTTGGAAATGAATGATTGAATTAATGCTAATAAAACATTCTTGTGTTGAAAGAAAAGGAAGAAAAATGCCATCAGAATCATAAGAAAAGACTATACAGAACATAAGGCATCAACGCGGAACATCAAAGATGGCGTTTCGCCAGGTTTGGTGTAACCCGTGGCTTTCATCTCCCTCTTCTATGGCTTCCTGCGCCTGTATTGCCTCCTCATGCCATGCCTTGACAAGGCTGCCTGGTGCGTAAACGCCTCGGAAGACCCCAGTGCCAGCGGTGTCGATGCCAATATGAGCTTCGAGGTCAGGGTCGCTCCCTGGTTTCAGTCGAGCGAGGACTGCCCGGACAAAGGTGAATAGGTCTGGCGGGCTAGCGATGCGAGCCGCTCGAAGGCGTTCTCGAGCAAACACCAGCTCCCGGTTGAGAGCAGCAGCAGCCTGGACGATTTGCTCGGCGATGCGCTTCTCCAGAACCCGGCGGAACATGTGCTTGAGGAACGGCTTGGTCAACCAGAGGAGGAATCTCCATTTCCCCCGGTGCACTTTGTAGTCGAGCTTGTGGATTCGTACGCGCACGCCACGGAGGCTGAAGATCTGCTCCAGGCGTTCGCGCCCCACCTCCACGTCAAGAGAAATATCGATTCCTCGCCGGTCGAGGTAGAAGCTGGCGACTCCTTCGTCGCTGAAGTGGAAAAAGGGCATCGTATGCACGCGGATCCAGTATCCAAACTCGGACGCGGCGATGTTCAGACCGCAGACGGTCGCAGTAAACGTGGTTTTTATGTCTGTCACTGCCTTCTTGGAATGCTTCTTTACAATGTCGATATCATTCCGCGTCGTGAGATGCATGCGATATGGGAGAAAGGATGAAAAGTTCACGGTGTGTCCGGGCTCTAGGATAAGGTTCTCCACCAAAAGGTCGAACTCTGGGGAGGAGATTTCTAGACGTGGGATAGGGATGTACTGAATACTGCGGAGAATAAGAGGAAGAAACACCTCTACCAGGTCTGCAGGCAATTTTCGCCGTCGGTCGTAGTATCCGTCGGAAGCATCGTTATAGAGTTTCTTCGTTGCGCTGAGTAGGTTGGAAACCGTCTCATCCTGAGAGACGGTTTGCAGGGCCCTTTTTGCCTGTTCAAGAACGCCGACCACCTCTTCTCGCAGGGTGGAATCGGCTCCAACCTGTTTGGATTTCTTCTTGAGCTTGTTCAGTTCTTCCGGAGCGGAGTCGAACGAATCCGGGTTCGTCATGAATTCCCGAATCGCAGAGCCCACCTCCGAGATAAGATCTTCAAATTCAGGGTCCCGGCTGGCATGCTGCAACACGTCATTGAATCGCTCCTCTAACGCCTGCCATTCCTGCGCGTCGCCTAGTGATTGAAGGAGAGCCCAGAATTTCTGCATCGCTTGCCTAAGGTCGTCGTTGATATCAACTTCCTCTTCCGCTGTGGAGGCGACATCCACGGTTGCCCTAGCATACGTTTTGGCATATTGCTGCAAGAGACGCGCCAGTGTCGCCACGGAGTCTGTATAGTCCTTGCTTTCTCTAAGTTGAACGACAGTTTGTTTCAGTCTATACATCAGGGTCTCTTGTTCCCGCCCGCATAAATGTTCCTCTGCAGATTCCAGGGCATCCCGACCAGTTCGAGCCAGCCCATCTCCTGCAACTTGAGCCACCTGAGCTACCCCCTCGCGAAGCTCCTCGTTGGAGGGATCATGGTCTTCGTCAGCGCCAGCGCGGGAAAGAGCATGTTCCTCGTCTTGAGAGAGCTTCAATCGCTCCCCAATGCGTCGAGAGGCGATAGAGAGGGAAAAGGCAGTATCGGAGAATATCTCACGTCCGACGATGGTTAGGTCTTTGATGAACAGACGAAAGTCGGCATTGGTCAGAAGAAGATTTCCTATCGTGCGAAAGCTATCATATGCTATCAAGGTATTAGCTTAGGTTTTTTTTATTATTTTTTTTTTTAAAAAAAAATGAAAATTATGAGAAGGGAAACTGAAAAAGGATGTAGTACCAGCTCTAGTATCAGCTGTAGCTTTGGTATGTAAGGCCCGTTGTGAAATATGGTTCGAATGGACAGAAGCTCTAGCACGGGAGAGATGCCAGAGAAACTCCTGCAATTGATCTTCTCCATTCTTGATCTGCAAGCACTCGATCAAGAGCTGGATCCATCGACGGCTATCTCGGACAAGCTGGCGCCCCACCGCGCCTAGATCCGGGGTACGGGGGTTGAAAATGTCCAAAGTGAGCCAGGCGCGGAGATTGGCGATGGTCTGGTCAGTGGAGGGCATGTAACCCTCGGAAAGAGCACGGAGCATTTGATAGGTATGTAATTTCTGATGCAGCTGGCGTTGCAGGGAAGCTTCGTCCTCGTATCGAGGCAGGAGGGGTTCCGTCTCGCCGGACATGTTGAGCAGCAGTTCACCGGTGTTGTGTTGGGAGGATACTGCAGGTGAAACCAGGAATTGATGGACGGTCAGTGATGGAGGGAGAGAGAAGAGGGAGAGAGAGAGGGAGAGAAGAGGGATTGCAAGTCTCTCGTGGTGGTGGTGGTGGTCGTCGTCGAATTGGTCTCCGAATGCATCGTTTCTTTACAGTTGCGTCATTGCCGCTTTATCGTCAGGTGACTGACTCTACTATCTACAATACTTTGTCTGATTGAAATGGGTTGGGGATGTGTGGCATGTTGAATGTATCAGAAGAGAGAAATGACTATTTTAGTCTCGATGGATATCGATATCATGATATCCCTCCGTTTACGAGTATAATCCAAGTCAAAAGTGACTGGCATATTTCCAACCTGTGCAGGAAAATCACGCATTCTGAAGCATTGAATTTGGTTACTGGACTTGAAACTACTCTGTACCTTTGAGTCTTGTCTCCACTGGTCAACCGTCAATTATTATTCAATGCCGAAGAGTCCCCATCGAGTAATTCCGATGTTGTTGTCGTGTGCTCAACTCAACTCCTTCCTGCATCTCGCATCAGATTTTCTCGGAATTCTTCTGTAGGACAGAGTCTACCTCGTACTTGTCGTCCCCGTCAACAAATACCTCACCTCTTTCTCTCTTTCAATTTATTTTCCTTCAATCTATCGCTCAATTTGGTTCTCCGCATTGTTTTTTTTTTCGGATTTAGAGACGCTTCCCGTTTTCTCCACTGCCATCGCTCCTCTCTCTCTGATTTGACCATGTACCCTCGGTCTCCCCCCAAAATTTCCCAAAAAGCTTCGTATCCCAATCTCACTCTCTCTGTCTCTTGCAACCTTCGTCCCCCGATATCCACCGTTGAGATCCCGACTGCCCTGACTGGTTCTTTACTCCCCGACTCTTCCCGATCGTTGGCCCCAGACTCTGCTACTAGCTGCCCACCGGTCTGGCTTCATAGTCCTCGCGACAGCCTCTCTCGAGATCACAAGGCCTGAATTGCCCTCCGTGGTCCTTTTTTTTTTTTTTTTTTTTCCTTGGAATTTCGGAATGCGGTGGATTCCTGCCCAGGGGGTTTCAATGTTAGCACACAGCAAGAACATACATAAAACAAGACTGCCGTCGGTGGTTTCGTCTCTCTCATCTCTGCATACTACTTCTATTGCTCCCTTTGGTGCTCGTCCTCATACTTTCTCTGCCGTGACTCAGTTGTCCCCAATGGCACGATTTCCCGCGCAACAGAGCCGGCCGGTCCATGCGACCCCCTCTGCGAACTATTCCGGTCCTATGTATGTGACAGGTCTTTCTCTTCTTCTTCTATACCCCTAGAAAAAAAAAAATTTCACACCAATGTGGCCTGGTAAAGAAGTGTCTAACATGCTATCGTCTAGCGAACCCAACTACGATACGGCTAACCCTGCCTACATTCGTAAATATCTTCGCACATACGGCCTAACACCTCCTCGCGCAGAGAGCTACGAAGTCCAGAAAACCCGCTGTAGGTGAAACTGAAAACCCCTGATGAGATTGTGACCCGGTGCCAAGCTAAATTAAAACGTAGGTCTGGCGCAGTTGGCCTTGAAACAAACGGCCATTGATAAGTTTCTCTATCTAAGCACCCTTCGCAAGAACAATGTCCATCTCTTCTACCGTCTGATTACAGACCACCTCAAGGTAAAAGATTTTAGCAACCTGGCCTCTCGTTGATTTTAAAAAACCCACCTAACCATCGAATAGGAATTGACCCCCCTGATCTATACCCCGGTCGTTGGAGAAGCATGCCAGAGATGGTCCGAGATCTACCAACAGCCGGAAGGTGAGTTTCAAATATCCCGGTCTATTACGGCCCATCCAGCGAATCAAGACAGCCTCTAACCCCCGCTCATTAGGTATGTACCTGAGCTGGGAAGACCGGGGTAACCTGGCTGCTGTCATTGCCAACTGGCCCCAGCCTAATGTGGAGATCACATGCATCACCGATGGTTCCCGAATTCTCGGTCTCGGAGACCTTGGCATTAATGGAATGGGTATCCCTATTGGTAAACTGGCGCTGTATACTGGTTGCGCAGGTATTCGACCTGAAGCTACCCTACCCTTGACGCTCGATTTGGGAACAAGCAACAAAGCCCTCCGGGAAGACCCGCTGTACATGGGCAGTCGCCGGGACAAGATTAGCCCTGATGAGGAGCTCGAGTTTATGGACGAGCTGATGTCGGCTCTAACGGAGCGTTGGCCAGGGTATGTATCTTAATCCCGAATTCCTCTTCTTCCCCCCCCTCCAGGATCTCCGAACCCGTACAACACTAACGGGGTTTCATTCTTCAGCATTATCATCCAGTTCGAAGACTTCAAGAATCCTTTCCCCGCGTTGGAGAGGTACCGAGATGTCTACACCTGCTTCAACGATGATATCCAGGGTACTGGTGCCGTCATCCTCGGCGGCGTGATCAATGCCGTCAAGCGCTCCGGACTGCCGTGCAAGGACCACCGTGCTGTCTTCCTCGGAGCCGGAAGTGCAGGTGTGGGGGTTGCGAAGCAGATTGTTGCTTTCTTCATGCGCGAAGGAATGACCGAGGAGGAGGCCCGATCATGCTTCTACCTCGTTGACAGCAAGGGCCTGGTAACTGCTGACCGGGGAGACAAGCTCGCCGATCACAAAGTCTACTTTGCCCGAACAGACAACGAGGCTCAGCAATTCAAGACGTTGGAGGAGGTCATTGACCATGTGAAGCCGACTATGCTGATGGGTCTGTCCACTCTGGGCGGAGTGTTCACCCCAGAGATCCTCCGCAAGATGGCGGACTGGAACACTCACCCCATCGTCTTCCCTCTCTCCAACCCCTCCTCCAAGTCCGAGTGTGACTATGAGGCCGCTGTGACCCATACCGATGGCCGTGTTCTCTTTGCCTCCGGCTCCCCCTTCCAGCCCATGTCCTTCACCAACTCAACCGGTGAGACCAAGACCTACTATCCCGGTCAGGGTAACAACATGTATGTCTTCCCCGGGATTGGTCTCGGTACCATTCTGTCCAAGGCTGTCAAGGTCACCGATAGCATGATCTATGCCTCCGGTGAGGCCCTCTCGAAGGCTCTCACGGCGGAAGAGATTGACTGTGGTCTCCTTTACCCCGATCTCACCCGAATTCGCCAAGTCAGCATTGTCGTGGCTCGAAATGTCATCCGAGCTGCCCAGCAGGACAAGGTCGACCGCGAGATTGCTCTTCGCAACATGAACGATGATACCCTCGATGCCTGGATCAAGGTGCGCATGTATGACCCTCACTCCGAAGTCCACGCTCTGGAGAGGGAAGTCGGTGCTATTCTATCCAGCCTGGGTTCTTCTCTGAACCTAAATGGCCTTAATGAGGACGCGGAGAAAAATTCTAAATTGTAAGGACCGGTATCCCCCCTCTCTCTTCTTCTTCTTTTTTTTTTTTTTTTTTTTTTTTTTTTTTTTCATTCATTCATTCATTCATTTTTTTTTTCGGTGCATCCCCATTAAATCTTCCTTTTGTCGATTTCTCTTTCTAATGCTGGCATAACCAGGTTGGCATAAAATTTTTGGCTTGGAGCGCTTTTTGTTGATCTGGCGTGTTTTGCTTGCAAGACAGCTGCCCATTCCTGTATACCCCATTTATTCACCGATTTCGGCTACCTTAATACCTTTTTCTCTCTTGTCGCATACCGATTGTAGGTTTGGGATTGGTTAGCTTACATACTGCGGGGTTTGGATAAAATTGGATGATTCAATGAACATGGTTTAGAACTTTCTTACGGGCTTTTAAGCTATCCTACTTCCTAGGTCCCATTGTCAAGGTCTACTCTGTATACAGCCCAACTTGCAACTTGCGAATGCGAACTTGTCCACGGTCAAACCAGCATGAAGTGGGGAAGGCACATACACAGTACTACTTACTACCTTACCCTTGTGATTCGATTCGCTGTCCAATCCCTTCACAACATTTAAGCTTCTGCCAGACAGCGCAAATCATCCCATTCTTCTGCCGGGGATCCTTGCCCGCGATCTGGCATGCACTGCACTGCACTGCACACTGCACTGCACTATCCACCCCCCCAACACCATGTGAAATCAGCCCGGCCCGTCCAGAGCTCGAAAGTATAGACCCTTGTCTACTTTCTTTTACTCTTTGAGCGATCCCTTGTCATGTGGTTACATGACTTATACAGCTTATATACTGTAGTTGGTTATAAAAACGCTGATGCTAACGTATAACTATTAGGTATGTATGTATGTATGTATGTATGTATGTATAGGCCATTCTCACAGATCATCATCATCCTTTCCCAAACACATATATATCATGCATTCATGCATTCCTGCATTCCATCATAAGTTCTGATAAAATAAATAAATAAATAATAATATAGGTAGATAGATAAACGGCGCTATTTGTGGAATATTAGTATTAGATTAGCCATTGGTTCATCACTTACTTTACGATAACTGGAACTATATGTATCTATGTATCTATGTATCTATGAGTATGTAGTAGGTTGTGTATGTGTATGAGTATGAGTATGAGTATAAAAGTGTATTTACAAAGAATCAAACGGCCCCGGGTCCCCCACTCCCTCCCCACTCCACAAGTTCCCCGAGAACCCCTCGAGCGTTTCGAAATCCGGCATCCAGAATGGCCCGTCCTCGAGATCGATCCACGGAGCTAGCTGCAGCGCCATCCGCACGCCGTGGTCCTGGCTCGTCGGGTCAATTCCTGTTCCCGTCGCCGTCCCCGCACTGGCCGCTCGTCCGAAGCCCTGGGTTAAGTCGGGGGTACCAGTGACTCCGGTGGTGGTAGTGGTAGTAGCATGAGGATCTGCACTGGGATTGGGATTAGTGTTGGTGTTAGGGTATTCAGGTGCAAGAGGAGGACCACGGGGCCCCGGACCAGTGCCGACAGCAAAGCCCGCGTTAGAATGTTGTTGTGCGGCCATGAGCTCGGCCATTCCAGCGGTCTTTGCCGCCTCGCTACCCTCCAGTTTTTCCATTGCAGCGTTCACAAGATGCTCAAAGGCGTCTCTGTATTTCTTCACCCACGCCGCGCGCTCCCCCATGACGAAAAGCACCGTGGAGCAAGCGCGGATGTCGTTGCTCATCTGCACCGACCACACGCGGTCTGTATGTGTCCAGAGCGCGTAGAGAAGCGTGATACCCGCCATGAAGACCGTTTGCACGGTTAGAAACGAGTGTCCGTATTCCAGGGTTTGGTGGAGGCGTTTATGCGCCTGGCAGACATCGCCAGCGGCGCGCAGGCAGATGTGATAGTAAGGGTCTGTGAGGGGGAGCGAGGGGAGGAAAGGCTGGATGAGGAGGCGGACGGCGCGGTTGTAGTGGAGGATTGGGTAGTCGAGGTCGGAGCCCGAGAAGCGTTCGAGAGCGGCGGCTTTCCACTCTCTTCGAGTTCGAGGAAGAGACGGTCCATTTTGGAGCGGAGGGAGTGTAGCGGACGGTCTGCACGGTATATCTTGTGTTGGATGTGGGAGTCGATGCGGCGAAGTTTGCTTAGCTGAATGGAGAACGTGAGGGTAGTAATGCGCTTATTATTGGGGGAGGAAGAATCGGGTGGGAGGAGACCGGGGTCGCGGACATCGTCGTCGACATCGATGGGGAGAGGAAGGTCAATGTCCCTGTCGGAGATGCTGAATGGTCGTCCGAGGGACATAGACACAACCCGCTCAAGGTAGTATACTGTCCAGAAAAAAGACGACGGCGCATTTGCGCGGTGATTGGATCCAGGTTGTTCTCATTGGCTTTGCGGTGGAGTCCGAGATCGATTGCTGTGCGTATCGCGAGTCCTATCATGTACCAAACACCCTGACTGGATGCAGAACGGAGATGGTATATAACCAGAAGCGTCATGGCTTCAACGTTTTCTACAGATCGTGTTTCACACATCCCTGGCACCTGTTGGAGAGCTGTGATGTAGAATCTCTAAAACGCATGGGAGAAGTGACAAGGATGGGAGAGCGGAGGAAATACCTCGGGGGGGGGGGGGGGGGGGAACGTAGTTGTACTTCTCGCTCAACTGCATTGTTGTCGCGCCAATTGCATACGCCAGATATAACTTGAAAATACCAAACCTCTCAACCGGCGTGAGTTCCTCCCGTTTCGTTTTGGCTAGTCGCCACCGGCCTTCATGCAAACGCCAGAGCTCTTTGCGGTCGAGGAACGGATAGCGGACATGGAGCCGTGTCAAATAAACGTGCAGAATACGCGCCCCCAGTTCGTCGTTCGGGGGTTCCGTGCTCTTCGCTAAAAGCTCATCCATGCGTAATGTGCGCGGACCGTCGTCGGTTCCCAGGAGCTTTATCTGACGGTAGTGGCTGTGGAGGGAGACCAGTTGCCCCGGGTCCCCAGGATGTCGTAAGGTTCCCTCTTCCGCCACCAGAGAGAGTAGACTGGTTGCGTGACGGAGATAGGACCTGATTCCATACCGTTGCTTGAACCATCTCCCCAAGGTTGGCGGCCAGTGAGAGCCCCGAACTCGACCCGACATATGCCGGTGCTTCAGTTGAGTTGATAGCAAGGAACCCTACCAACTCACCGACGGCATTGCACTGCTGTTGCCTGCAGCAGAGCCCTTTTGTCCTATCTCTTGGTTTTGAGGAGACAAGATGGCTGTCACAGGGTGCGAAGCTTGGCCATTACTTTGACCAGGTCTCATCGCTCTCGATTGCAGTTGTGACTCAAGATATGCGATGCGCTCTTCCAGAGCGCGAGTGTATCTGCATTTATTAGCACCTCAATCACCAGCGCGTAAATAATAGTAGAGACGTACTCATTTGGAGATCCATTCTCCTGTCTTACGGATGCCTTGTCGCACTCAGCGCCGGCTTTGAGACAGTTGGAGCAAACGGGGTAATCATTATCACACTTCTCGCATTAGCAAGACATAGTATACGACAATCTCAAGCTGAACAGGGCTCGTATGGGGCGTGCTAACCTTCTGCTTCCGGGTCTTGCATCGGGTACAAGCCGTCCTACCACGCTTTCGGGGATTATAATCTCGAGACGGAGAAGAAGCCCTTGTCTGAGGTGCGGAAGACTCAGAAACATTCATGACGCAGAGTGGATGGGTCTGTCATGGTTGTGACGGTGGTGGTGTGCAGTTGGAGAAAGGGAGTTCCTGGTTTGCACCCAATTTCTCGAGACGAGTCTATCACCAAGACGCGGTCCGGAGATGTCAATAAATTCTGCATCTGCATCTTGAATCATTTCAATATAAATTAAGATAGATAATCCGAGTCGCACTAAATACATAGACAGAGAATTCATTAAATAATTGATTCAAGTTGGTAGGAAACAACAACACTAAGATTATATGAAACAGCCGTATCGAACAATAATCAAAGTGGCAGTAACGGAACAAAATAGATACTGTCTATTGACAATGGATGAAGCTGTAAAGGCGAATATTCTATTGCCAGTCCAGCCGATAGTAGAGCATAGTGTATTCAAGGAAATACCGGCGCGGGCGAGAATCCAGTAGCTTCCAGCACATATGGAAAGAAAACAGATAAAAGAACAGATTGAGACAGAAAAGAGCGGAGAGGGAAAGAGAGAGAGAGAGAGAGCAAAAGTAGTTCCATCGAATCCAAGACCTACATCGAAGGCCTTGATATCTGTCACAAAATACGCTTCAATTTGGTTGAAGCGAAGGGTCCTTGCTTAGGCCGATCTGTATCTCACTAATCATCATTATTTAAAATGAAGACCCAGATCTGGTTGTGGAGCCAATGCTAGCATTCTCAGTCTCGTTAGTTGTCCGAGGTGCGCCTTGAAATCTTCGACTGGTTATAACGACCAGATCTCGCCGGACGAAACATTAATATCAAAGGTAGTACAGTCCAGGTGGTAAGGATACTGCAATGAAATCGGGAAAATCAGCAAGAAAGGGAGCTTTCGCTGACCGTGAGGTAGTCGAATATTCTACGCGGGATTATTCTGCGAATGAGTAGGTGGCAATGGAACCTCCAAGGCTCCTCCTGATGGTACCCAAGGCGACTGTCCCCCCCGGGTACTAGCCCTGCGGGCTCTGTCGTATCGGTGAGCATCCCCGGCATGTTTACTGGATCCATCGTTATCGTTATTCTGAGAAGTGCTAAATGGCACCGATGGGCCAGGACGAGGTGTTGTGGCCTGCTCAGTCACAGAACGAGGAGGCATATAGCTGCCACCAGTAACATTTCCTTGGTTTGGGAAGAAGCTTTGATTTAGAGCTCCACAGGTTGTACAGGTGAATTCAATCTTAAAATTGGTAAGGACTAGCTGGGGAGCGGAAGGATGGCCTGCCTGGTGGGCTGGTGTAGGGGATTTTGGTCGTCCAGGCTGCCTTGGGGGGGGTTGGTCAGGGCTCTGGAGATGATAAGAAGGAGGTTGAGAAGTAGATTGAGGGTGCAGCGAATGGTTAATCGAGGTCTGGTCATGTGGCGAGACTTCTTGGGGGGGAGGAGGTGGTGGCGCTGGTGGTGGTGGCGCTGGTGGAGGAGATGCTTGTTGCGGTACCTGGGCTGTAGGTTGTACTTGCTGGGGGTGTTGTAGCTGTGGATGAGCCGGCTGGACTGGTGGGCCATGGAGCTGCGGGGTGGGAAGGGTCGAGGTCCGCTGGACTTCATTTTGCTGCTGAAGGCCATCCATAAGATTTGGTTGCAGGGGCTCGGGCATCCATCGTTGCCCTGGAATCCCGCTATAAGCCGAACTGTCTGCCTGTCCTTCTAAGGGAGGGGGTGGTTGGCTCTCCTGCCGATCCTCGCCGCTGGATGTATTGGCTCCGTCGCTTTGGTTCTGTGAGCTCCGCTGCTGCAAGCGGATAAGTGCTCTCTGTGCCTGTCTGGTAGAGATATCATATCCGTGATACCTTTTGACTGCTTCCACAATGTCCTGTGCCTTGATTTTATTCCGCATATCAAAGAGCTTGGGGATTTCGCTGAGTAGGAAGCGTACATGGGACGCCTCCGAGCGCGCGGGAGTCTTGGTCGTAGAAGTCGCATTCCTCCGGCAGCTGTGGCTATCCTGAAGGCTACTGATGTACGTTGAATTTTTGTTGGCCCGACAAACAACGCGAAAAAAACAGTTGTTCGACGAGCGACAGCCTATCACCACGCTTTTCTTGTTGCTCCGTGTCACCCGAAGCTCCCAATGCTGCCTCACAGATATACTTCGCACCAATGCCTTGAACTCCTCCAGCGAAGGAAACCTCTGGCCCACATGGAGCCCTGAATACATCTCCGTCATCACGATCAGTGGCAACGGCGCAAAACGAACAGCGGCGAGTTCGTATCAAAAGTAGCTTCCATCAGTGTAATCTCATTCGTCGGATACCGGCACTAGGGATCAGAACGGTCGATTTCGCATCGTTCGCGTGTAAGAATTTCCCTCTAACTTATGACGAGAAGTAAGCTGCAACAGACTGAGATGTGGACGAGAGAGCATAGATCGAGGGAGCAGTAGTCGCGTAATGGGCATCACCAGGTTCAGTTGGGGCTTGTCTTCAGCACTCAGCCAGAGGCTCGCCGACCAGAACGAAGCATCTAATCCCAGCGGAGTTGACCTAAGGGGATTTCACAGCTGTTAGTAATTTTCCAAGGTCAGGATGAAAGTAGCAGCAATAGTGCCATCCGCATGGGGGGTTTGGAGGGAGATACGAGTGAGACAACCTGCTTTCCGCCTAGTGTGGGACTTGCCTTTCTCTAACAGACCGCTCACGATCCTACCGTTTAAACCCAGTCCACGGACAGGCTTCCCTTCTCTCGGTGACCCAAACGAGTGCAAAGCAATATACACAGTTCTTTACGCTCGGTGGCTATTGAAGGGAAATAAAATCATTCATCATGACATCTTATGGCCTCCTTGATCAGGCGAGCGAAGGTAGCGTTGTGCCGAACCAAAATGGTTTCCTTTCGAGCTAACATCTCGCCTACTCCGGCTTCAGATGCCCTACACAAGTCGCGCCTCCTGAACGTCGAAGAAAAACCCTTCAAGCGGATTTCCAAACGACTTCTGAACCCCGAATCAATTGTGATTTCAAACGCTGCCCTTCTTCCCACCCCTCCTCCCGACGGAACCGACGGCGGGGCTGCTGCAGCCCTAGAGGCAGAGAAACAGAAGAAACTTGAGGAATGGCGCCAGTTTCGCGACGACGTGGCTTTAGACTTTGCCGCGTTCGAAGGGAGCATTGCGCGCATTCAATTCTTGCTCACAAGCAATGAAAAAGAACGCGAACGGTACGTGGCAGAGAAGCTGCGGATTCTCGACACCATGCAGGCGGTTCGCGAAAACACAGCGGACCTGCGACTCCAGTTAGAAGAGGCCCAACGACTACTGGCACTACGGAAAAGCTATGATGAGTTGACAGATAAGATCACCAGCAACAGGCTTCTAAAGCCACGCGAAGACCAGCAGGCGAATCTGCAGAAATTACAGGCGGAAATCGCAGAGTTGGAGAGGGAAAGCAAAGACTACGCAATGACATGGACCGAGCGACGAGAACAGTTTGGCCGTATTGTAGAAGAGGGAATGCAACTCCGACGGTTGATCCGAGATGAAAAGGAGGAGGTGGAACGCCGAGAGGGTATGCAGGAAGACGAAGACGGGGACGATGGAGATGTCTCCAAAGGAAAATTGAGTGGATCCAACACCCCACGACCCGACCAGGATAGTTTCACCCCCTCCCAGCAGGGTCAAGATGAAGCTGGTCGGTCCCCTCTGATCCTACACGCGGACAAGGCAACTCCAGGAGCAGCAACACCCTTACGACAGGTAACTACTGCTGAAGAGGAGGGCAAAAACACACCTGACCAAGAAGACTCTACGATGGTAGACGAGGGTGAGGTAACCGGGGACGAGGATGCTCAACATGACGATTTGGAAGAAGGGGAAGAATTTCAGGATGAGCGTGCATTGGACAAGATGGACACAACATAAGAGGAATCCCAGATATAGCATTTACGGAGTCTGGAGCCTAGGTGGGTGGCGTTTATATCGGGACAAACCTTTTTAATTTCCACATTTTCATGCAATTAATATTTATTTTTTCTATCAATCATCACTTCATGTGAGAGAAACTTTTTTCATAAGAGCTGGGCATAACTTCATCATGCTATCAGGCAATTTCTCTCTCAGCAGTTCTAGCTTTCGCAATGGCGTCTTTTGCGGCATTAATTTGTTCAACGTTGCTTTCGGCGCCCTTCTTGCCCTCCTCAACCTATGGCCTGTCTCAGCTGGTGATAAGTTCCTCTTAGTTGGGTCACACTCACCAGTAGGCTATTAAGCTTGGCAATAGCTTCTTCGATCTTCACCTTGAGGGTGGGCAAGACTCTCTTGGTCTCTTCAAGGGCAAGACACTGTTACTCAGGGTCAGTAGGCCAGGCACTTACAAGACAAGGGTGTATGTAGACCACAAACCTCCTGCTTTAGAGTATACTCCCTATTCACATCTTCACTGGGATCTTGAGCCTCCAGCTTTTGGATTCTCTTTTGCTGCTGGTCCAGCTCGCTGCGATACGATGCCTCTTCCTTAACCAGTCGTAGGACTGAAGCAGTATGAATCTCTAGCTGGGAGCGCGGTGCCATGGTGCGATGAATTCTGGAAGGTTCTTCTAGTCAGAGCCAGCTTCTTTTTCTTTGATACCAACACGGAATAGATATCAAATCTATTTAAAAGAGTTACAGCGCGCCGAATTTTATATGGACATCGGCATGGACAAGTGACGCTGCTGTAGTCGTCATGGCTGCTCACACGGGATGCATATATCCTTGGTTCGTGGAATTCAAACGCAGAAAGAAAGAACAAAATATCCAAGAAACTTACCTATGGATTCCCAACCGTGTTCTTTATCTTCAAGACTTTCCTCCACCGAGGTTAATACTGATGGGCTGGAGTATGAAGCTCTTTTTCTCTCGCCTGTGCCCCTCCACCATGAACGACGCCAGACGCTCAAAGGAGTCATTTTGCATTGTTTGTTTGGGCGCGAGATTTGATCACGTGAATATTTCGTCAAGTTGTACTATTCCTAATTAGGAAATAGGCTCTATTACCTGTTGTATAAAGATGGATAGCAGCAGGAATTAATAGATCTCGTTGTGAGATTCAAAATATAGAGATGCATACGGAGTACAATATGCAGAATTTAAGACTGTATTCGAATATTTCTTCCGCTCCAGGGTCGAATCGATGAATTTATCCGTAATATACTCGTCCAGTTCCTAATTAGGACTAGTATAATTCGGTGCCTTTTACCCATTGTTGACAGTTGGGAGCTCCCCTGCACCTGCACACGCGCGTTGGAAAAGCCTCGATTACGGGGCGCTCTGTTCATCCTCTCGTCATGGTGGGAACTGTACCTTGAAGGATGAAGCGCCCGTGTTTGGAGCATCTTTCTTAGGAAATTCGCCAATTGAGTCCTTGGGCCGACCAACGTGATGGGGCAAGGGTCTAACCGAGCCTACCCGGGGAACCTCTCGTGTACGGAGTCCCTTCCCAGGGATCGTGCCCTGAAGCGGGTGCAATGGATCTTGGAGGAATACGGAACTCCCGGAGTGTCCCTTGAGAATGAGGCTCATTCTCTTGGGGTTTAGCCACCAGCTCACTCCCGGGCCTTGTGACCAACCACCGGCAGCACCGCCCCTGCGCCACTAATTGCCCGGTAAGCAGCTCTGCAGCAATACGAATCATGGGTCTGCCTTGTTGGCACCGTTTCCCGAGGGTGCCATGGTGTTTACGGAGTACGCTCAACCCCTATCCACCGGCTTGGTATGGGTCGAGGCTTTGCTACCTGGGCTGGGGGGCGCGCCGAGCGGATTTTGTTGCCCAATGACAAAAGAAGGGTGTCACCAGTTAACTACCATGTAAATAAACACTATGAGAGGCTGAACGAATCTATAAAGCTGGAAGTCTGTCCCTTGCATCTGGTTCTTTACTCTACACCATTCCAAACTACCTAGAATCAAGAGAAAGAAAGGAAGAAGAACTGCCGTCAAAATGAGGTATGTAGATTGTTGTTCGGATTTCTCGCACCTGTTCTCACAAGCTGTTGCGCAGATACGCTATTGCTGAGCCAAGCGAGTACCTCGTACTCACTGGAGTCGGGATCGCGGACATCGAAATTTGCAAGAAGGCATGGGTAATGCCATTTCAACGGGTATGTTACCAGCTGGAAAAGAACGGAACGAACTGGGTAGTGCTATCACGGGTATCTAACTAACTTGTCCAAGTGTGCGAGGATCTCTGTGATGCCCTTCGATTTCTCCCTCAACCTGCAGGCTATGACTATTGAGAAACTGCAATTTTCACTACCTGCGGTCTTCACTATCGGGCCCGATGACGAGCTACAAGCTCTCCGAAAATATGCCCTGCTGCTCTCTGGGACTACAGAACCCAAAGCCACAAAGACTAATGATCTGAACGCACCCGCAACCAGAAACCATGTCCAGGATATTGTCAAAGGCATCATCGAGGGTGAAACCCGTGTGATTGTTTCCAGTATGACTATGGAGGAGATTTTTAAGGAGCGACAAGTATTCAAGTCGAAAGGTTTGTAGATCATTCTCCCCATGTTTTACCACATAAGGCACTAACTCCAGAGTAACAGTCATCAGCAACGTTCAAAATGAACTTGCGCAATTCGGGTTGAAAATGTATAGTCGCCCTCGAACTGTCCTTGTGGTCTCTACTTACAATGATATAGTTATAATGCCAACGTTAAAGAGCTCCAGGACACCAAGGGCAGCGAATACTTTGCTTTCTTGAGCCGGAAAGCCCATGAAGGAGCTCTCAACCAGGCAAAGATCGACGTTGCTGAGGCTCGAATGAGAGGAGAGATCGGAGAAGCAGAGAAGAAAGGCCGCACGAAGCAGGAGATTTCCAAAATCGATGCCGATACCGCCGTCCTCGAGACCAAGCGGAAGGCCGAAAAGGCCAAGGCTGACTCGGAGCTCACGAACCGCCAAACAGAACTCGATTCCAATATCCAGATGGCCAAGATCGTTGCACAGCGCCAGACAGAAATGAAGGATGCGGAGCTTCAGAAGCAAGTTGAGACTAAGCGGGCCGAAACAGAGCTCGAGCGTCTCAGGGCTATGGAAGTTACCAAGAGCAAAGTTCAGCGTGAGTCTGCCCAGGAAGTGGCCGATTCTGGGTATTACGCAGATACGAAGGCAGCAGAGGGAAAGCTGTATCAAGAGAAGATGGATGCGGATGCCAACTGTACGTTCCCCCACCAGAATGAACTATATAACGGCGATACTGATTTTGCTTAGTTTACCGTGCATGCAAGGAAGCCGACGCGGCCTACAACTCCAAGAAGCGTGAAGCTGAAGGAATTCACGAAATGGCCAAGGCTTATGGCGCCCTTATTGATGTCCTTGGTGGTTCTCAGGCATTCCTACAATTTAAGATGATCGAAACTGGCATGTACGAGAAGCTGGCTCTGGCGAACGGCCAAGCTATCCAAGGTCTTCAGCCCAAGATTACTACTTGGAATACTGGTGGTGAGTATCTTCCTGTGTACCCGGTTTTCCGCATTCCTCGGCTTGATTATGCTAATAACAAATCAAAATAGACAACGCTGGTGGTTCTGGAGACGCCATGGGTCCAATTCGTAATATCATGCAGGGACTTCCGCCTCTTCTTAGTACAATCCACGACCAGACTGGTATCAGTCCTCCATCATGGCTCGCTCAGCTGCCGCACAATAGTCAAATTTCCAAGGCAGGCGTTTCAGATGGCAAGAAATAGCACATTCGCTCTCTCTCTCTCTCTCTCTCTGCAATTTCGTTTGATGACCCTATCGTTTCCAAAGTTTCATATGCCATGTACTTGCTTCTTCCATCTTCTTGTGTCTCTGTTCCTTTTCCCTGTCTTACTATACGATATACCTAGCGTGTTTTTTAGCTTTTTTTATACCATTTTCCTTAAGATTTTGCGCTGGTTCAATTTTCCGATATACCTTAGTTGAGTTCTAAATTGGTCTACTATCCTTTCATAATAACTTCATCCCAATAATAGTACTTGGTGAAGCCGATATTTAAGAGTATCGCTTTCACAAAGCAAATGAATTAGCATATATCAGAGCCCAGATCAACCCGGATAAGCTTCCATGCTGTCCCATATTACCCATAACCGACTTCCTGCTCCTACCTACTTTCCCCCCCAATATCCATTTGGCCTAAACTTGTCCCAGTGCTTCACAAGAAGCACGTAACCTCCGTCCAAACAGTGCCTCGCACAGAAATCCTCCCATTCTCGTGAAGTCGTGCCATCGCCTTCGAAACTTCCAGTTTTCTCTGTTATTCATTACGTCCCATATGTGTCTTTCCTCGTTTCCAAGGCGATGGACGAGCCATGGTGTCGTGCTGGCTGGCGGTTTCTACCAAGTCATTCTTGAATGGTGTTCGTTAGAGATATGTGTAAGAGCACAATGGAGCTTCTCGAGCTTCTCGAGTATAGAGAGATTACGAGGAAGCTGATTCAATTGCTGGGTTTTCTCTAGTCCCAGGGTTAGCATAAAAATACAAAACGGCTTTGAAGGATTATCTACGGTGGAAATGGACATCCGTGAAAGGCACAGGCACAGGGTAAGCGCTTACTAAATTTAGCAGCTCATCCAGAAGGAAACGAGACTGTGGTGACCCGAGGTGATCTATCATTTCTTGTAGTCAAGCTTCATTCGGTATCAAGTTCTAACCATTCTATCCATCTACATTGGCAAGTGCTGACACGGACGGTTGATAATTAGCCTGCAAATACCACACAGATAGATACCGTCACGCCAATTCGGATTTGGGCTTGCAGCTATTGATCTTCGTATCCGAGTCAGGCTGACACGCTTCAGTAATCTAATGCGGTTGTTATCTCGAATCTATAGTAGTTTGATGGGTTCAATCAATGTTCTTCCTCATGGCAGTTTCGCGCATCTAGACCAAATTGGAATATATCCCCCCAACAACCCCTGACAATAACCACTGCCACCAATGTCCTGCACATTGCCCTCCATAATCCGAACGGTTGAAAAGGATCTGTCAAGACAAAGACTCGACTTCTTTGAACGATAATCGTCCAGCCAATAGAATCATGTGATGTCGTCATCCGCCTTCGGGCGGAATCGACAACGGCGCATCTGTTCGCCCTATTTAAAGAACGGCCGAGCTAGAGTTCACGTCTTTCGGACAGTCATTGATTTCCGGGTTCTAGGTGATTATCGCATGCTTCTGCTAGTATGATATGTTATAATCTTCCCATGCACTCTTTTTGGTTACTTTTTGGCTCTCATTCGAGTTTGCGACTATGCCGCCTCCATCACTGCTCCAGCTCTGTACGGCAACTGCAATTCGGAACGTGAAGTGTAAGTGAGAGCATACCCCTTCATCTTTCCTTGAATTCATCTTAACATGGTCTTTACGGCAGATCTGAATGATATCGGAAATCTCCCTTACGCGCTTGCCCGCCCTTTCCTTCTGAAAATTGAAAGCCCCGAGAAACTGGTCTGTGGCCGACTCCTATCTATACCCCTTCAGCTCGACTATGTCTAATGTTATGATTCTAGAGAATGATAGAAATCCAATCCCCCCATATTATGAAAGACGATGTCGAACTATGGCTTGAGTTTATAAAGCGAGATATACCTAGGTGGGACGAGTATGCCTTACCGGAACAGCCTGAGTGTTGGTACGACGTCTACTGCGACCTTCAAGAGCAGGTCCAGAGGGCGGTAGACGAGGATGCAGAAAAGCTGAAGATGGCTCTGGATGGGATAAATTCAGAACGGGCTAAGCATAGCGCGAAATTCGTCACCGACCGACGTGACATTTGTCTGCCACGAGAGCGTCCAACGGCAAAACAACGGTATGCTTCCTACGATCGAAAAATGGGCGGCATTACCCCCGTTTTTGGCTCGACAAAGTCTGCGGCTAGTTCTTCGTCTGACCCTCTGGGGACTCCAATTTGGTCCTTTGAACGACCTCCACTTCTACGGTCCGAGACAAAGAAGAGAAACAACATCTTCGCTGCGACGAAAAGAAACACTGTCTTGGCAGTTCCAACTAAGCAACTTAATAACAGAGCTACCCAGGTCAGACAGGCCCCACGTTCTTTGATAGAGGAGCACCGTCGACCTTCTGAGCCTGCTATTGTCCGAAGAAAAGATCCGCCCATGCTAAGAGCACCTGGGCGGTCTCACTCTCATGGTATCTCTAATGTTAGAAGCCAGAGTTCTCCCGCTGTCAACTCTTCGTTGCAAGAGAGGGAAGCTAGATTACGTGCAATAACGATGGGACACGCCCCAAATTCCTCATCTCAATCGCTCACCGCAGCCAGGGTGGCCTCTCCCGCAAGACTAAGCTCGAGAAACGTTTCATCACTAGCAGCGAAGAAGCCCACGGATCCTTTACGAGTAGGGTCCAGACCCCAATCTCAAATAACACCTAGTACAAATATCGAAGATTATAAGTCTTCCGAGTCTGGGACAAATACAGATCCAGACGAGTCGAAAATGTCACCACCTCCAGCACCACGCCCCGGACCGGTTCGCAAGAGGCCTGCTCCCAACGTCTTCATCCAACCCAAGAAGAAGAAGGTTATCTAGCCGCCCGTAGCAATTTCATTCTCCTTCTCTCATTTTAGGACATATCTTTATTACATCGCATTAGCATTCGGCGATTTTTTTTTCTTACATTATATACGGTGGTGCTCGAGATAGCTCGTGTGCTACTTACTATGCTTTCTTTCTTGGGCAATTACCAGGTTGGGGATTGGCGTTTGGTCTTTGTCATTAGCTAGTGGAGTTCAGGGTCAAAGGCCATTTTTAGGAGGTTATACGGAATCGTTGCAAATATTGTCTTTTCGCGAAGCCTACGGCTCTCCCTTGCATTTCAACATTACACTGCTTTGCCTATCTCACAATTCACAACCCCCGACATGTCCTTTTTCTGCCTCGTCGTTCCAGAACAAAATATGGTTTTGGACAGTTTTTTTGATAGCAGGGAAGAAATAGTGTAAGTCATTACTGCATTGATATGGCACATAAATTGGGCACAGCCACGCTGGAGCACATGACGGGTGCAATTTGGTGCATGCTAGGAAGATGCGGGATAGCTGAAACAGCCCAGACAGGATCCATCGTTATCTCATTGGGTATATTGAGAGCGCAAACCACGGCAGCCGCCGAAATCCCGCGCCAAGTCCATTATCCAGCTCAGCTGTTTTCCACCAACATGTCACCTTCATCGCGCATAGGATTCGCTTCGAGGAGGTAGGTCGTTGAACAGATCAGGATAAACGGTGACTAGCAGCCTTAATAACCACCTCGGAGAGCAAGGACGAGATGTAGCGTTGCACCACCTTCGAGGTTGTATTCTTGGGCGGTCTTGTCATCGGCCCTGTCAAATGGAACAGAATCATTTAAGTATTTCTCGATTCGGTAGAGAGGGTGCAGTACTGTGGACGGGGGTACACTGTAAAAAAAATCCACGTACATTTGCTTTCCACCGTAAATTAACCGCTGTTGAACTGGCGGGATACCCTCCTTCTCTTCAACACGCTCCTTTATCCGAGATACCTTTCATGAAATTAGCGTACATCGCGGCATGGGGAGCGACGAGAACCGCGTAACGTGATCCACGGCGGGCACGGCAGATCAAGGCAAGGATGGGGGGGGGGGCGAAATACTTTGTAGTCGGCCTCAATATCCAGCTCGATCTCCTTTCCAGTGAGTGTGCGAACTCTAGAGCGTTGGAAAGGTCAAGTTAGTTCTCGCAGCAACATCGGCAAGGAGGCACAGAGGCGTAACCAGAGGCAAACACTCACTTGATCAACATTTTGAATACCTGTCTATTTCACTACTAGATTCGGAGTTTCTGTGAATATTAGAAGCCGCAAAGTAATGCTCCAAACCGCAAGGGAGATCAGTGAGGGGAAGAAGTTTTGGTTGTTGGTAGTTAATGGCGACGGAGAGGATGACGGAAAGCTCGCCGTAGCGGGGTTTTGGTGGGGCTGAGGAGACAACAGCAGCACTAAGCACTCACCCTCTGATTGTATATATAGGTCTCCTTGTATTTATAGGAGAAAGAGGCTGGGAAGTATAGTAGTTATTGGACATGACTTTTATCTGGTGGATATGCGCGGTACTCATACATAAACATGAGCCTTGTATCACACAGGAACAGAAAAGGTACTGATACATATCTATCTAAACTTCAAGTTGCATTGGTCTGGCCGAATATTATATATATATGAGTATCCATGCACACCTAGTATTTCCACTTATGAACTAATTACCTATTTCCCAATTACCACCACCAGATGCCCTCGCGATTTTCTTATAGAGAAATCAACTTTAACACCACCACTCACTAGAAATGACACGCGATAACCCTGATACCATACAAAAAACAAACCCTTGATCTCCTGCTTTCTGATTGTCAGAACAACCCTGTAATCACCACCTCACCCCCCTTCCAGCTCCATAGTCAATTTCACGGTCCAACCTCCGCTCACCTTCCCATATAGAACAAAATTCAAGTCCAGTATGAGGACCACCGGTCCTCCAGGAATGCCCAATTCAAAGAGAAACTCCTCCACAAGGACTTTCCCGGTTGGCAAGTGGATGAGATCCTGCAAAAGCTACTTGCCCAGACAGCAGATACCAGGGATATAGAGCCCTTTGCGGACCATCGGCATAACCTTACATTCTATGCTCGTCCCCCACAGCATATCAAGGACCTGATTGCCGAAATCCAGCAAGAAATCCGCGATGTTGCTCCAAGTTAGTAGCCCGTATCTGCCTCTATCCATCCACCGGCAAACCAATATGATATACTACCTAACTACCTCGGTAGTATACCATTCTGCACCATGTCCTACCTACCGCAAATCAACTCTCTCTCTCTCCAAGTCACAATTCTAATCCATCTCACATGTGTTGGCTATATGAGAAACTAACCTTCCCAGCCCTCTGGTTCTCATCCCCAGAGTCCCTCCACATCACCATAATAGAAATCACCAGTTCCCGGACCCAAGAAGATATCGATCCTCTCTTGTCTCCCACCTCCAGCAAACCGGAACCGCCTCAAAACTCGCAGACTATACATTCCACAGCCGAACGCGCTTAGTCAAGCCGCTTCTTAGTTACGATGCCTCCGCGATGGCTGTGAGTTTTGTTCCTGCGTCTGGCGCACCTACGAGTCGTTCTGCGCGGGGTCCGTCTCAGCGTGGTTATGATGATGCATATACATACCACCATCTACGAAGGGATCTTGCGCGGCATGTGATGGCATCGGGGGTGCAGATTGCAGCAAGGTATATTGTGCCCTCGGCGCATGTTACAATTGCGCGGTTTGTTACGCGGGATGGGTTTTTGTTAGAGGGTGAGAAAGGCGATGGGGTGAGTGTTGCCAGGGTAGTTGAGAGAATAGAAAGGGTAAATGAGATGTAGAGGGAGAAATATTGGCCTAGAGAAGATGGGATGATGCCTCGTGGCGGGGAATGGGTGGTAGGGCAGGGAGAAGGGTTGGAGTTTTGCAAAGGGACGTCGTGGTATGGGGGTGGAGAGAAAGTGCTTGTGGGGAAGGGGTTTGAGTAAGATTCTAGTATGAATAGGTTGATTTTTTTTTGGTACATGTGTACTGCATACTGACTATTCTTGCATATTAATTAACCCTTAGAATTGTAGATGGCAGCGACAAGTAGATTTTTGGGATTGTGGTTACTATTGATGCCTGAGGCATGACTATTTACATATGTTGAGAGGGTCTTGGCGCCGCTTAATAAGGTTAGTCTCACGCACCCCCGAATAGGGCCGGCCTAAGCGAACGAAATCCCACAACCCACGCCCAACCGACTTGATCTTCCCGACAAGAGACTATACACGACCAGCAACCCGGCCAACACAGTCAAAATGGTAAGGATTCGATCTTGTTACTCTGAAAATTCTTGTTGTCAGTTCCTGGAAGTCGGAGAAATGTGATTTGAGAAATTCGACCTGGTGGTGTTTTGTGGAAGAACCTGTGTGCGGTCTACCCAAAGCGCTGCGACGGCAATGGCGACAATGGCAGCAACGACGATAGCGAACGAATTCGAAGACGGTATATTGAACGGCATCAGTCGCGTATGGAATCAGATTTTTGGATCCTATATGATGAAAGAAGTCAGAGGAGGTGACAGATTCTGAAACCGATCGCAAAGGGAATTTGTCTATCCTCGTTGTCGTTGTTGGTGTGATCAGAAGACGAAGAGGTTCAGCCACTTCAATAATCACGATTTCTACCTTTGCGCCGTATTTCCAAACCTCGAGCCGCTCCACCAATGTTCATTTCTCACGAATCCAACATTTCTCCGATATACAGGAACAGGACAAAAATGGAGCCGCGATGGCACCAAAAAAAACCACTACTGTATCCACAGAAGCTAACGGCTACTTCCCACCATCAGGTCAACGTTCCCAAAACCCGCCGGACGTACTGCAAGTCCAAGACTTGCCACAAGCACACCCAGCACAAGGTCACCCAGTACAAGGCTGGCAAGGTGAATCCACCTCGATTCCATGATAGACAAATGGCGAGACTCGATTACTGATGCGGATGCGATTTTCCAGGCCTCCCTCTTCGCCCAGGGTAAGCGTCGTTACGACCGGAAGCAGAGCGGTTATGGTGGTCAGACCAAGCCCGTCTTCCACAAGAAGGCCAAGACCACCAAGAAGGTTGTCCTCCGTCTGGAGTGCACCGACTGCAAGGCCAAGAAGCAGCTTGCTCTGAAGCGCTGCAAGCACTTCGAGTTGGGGTATGTTCAGATCCTTTCCGTCCTGCCGTTCGATTGGAGGAGTGGAAATCAAATGCTAACCTGGTGATTTCAACAACAGTGGTGACAAGAAGACCAAGGGTGCTGCTCTTGTTTTCTAATTTTGCGATTTCCTTGTTCGGCTCTGGGTTCCTGCATTGCATGCACTGCTTTTCTGGTGAAAAGCATATGATATTGGCAGTGGAAAAAATGAAATAGGATTTCATATTTAGAAAACAAAACGAAAATTTATGAGTCCTAGCTGATCGGGTCTCTTGACGAATTTATTACATTTCAATGAATGTAGATCCAACTGGCAGTAGCGCCTTGACACGACCTAAACCTGGTAGTCGCTCACGTCTTGTCACTCATGGATGAGTTTACACCTTAGGAGATTGACTACGATCAATTTACCCAACGCCAGACAAGATAGAGATTGTTCTGTTCTTGTGTAAAATCATAATACTACGGCAAATCTTGTCCGAATCTCCTGGCATCATACTAGATCGTTTTCTTCTGGTCCGTCAGCACCGTCACGCGATAACTATAAATGATTACATTTGCTACGGAGTACTCCAGTCAGGATTCATGTCTTCAAAAACAAGCCTCTTCTCCAAGCAGCCAGACAAGCCGACCAAATTGATGAAAAGATAAGACATGAAAAAAAAAGGTGATTCGCGTCAATCGGAGGTAGTGTAAGCCCGATGACACTGTGCTACAAGACATGCGCAAGCACAGAGGTCCTGTGGCAAGATCCAAAAATGAGATTAATCAATGTTGTGTTCCTTAGAACACTTTCAGAGATTAAACTGAAAAGAACAGATACTACACTTGATCTAAGCCAAAAGGCAAAGAGAGCTGGAAAAGAAAAGAGAAAAGAAAATCTAAAATGGGTGCTGGGGGGAGACGCTTTTATAGTCTCCTGCGGGGGGGCTGAGGGTTGCTGAGTCACTAGTCTCGTGAACAGAGTGTTACGCGAGAGCGGCTATTCCTATTTGAGGTATTTCGTGCCTTGGTGCCTTACAGAGTATGGTTATTAGACTCAGGCGCAGATGTATCCTGGATGTACTTTTATGTGGAAGAAACGAAACCATCATCATCTTCATCATACGTTAAGAATAAGATGATATCACTATCCTCGGGGCGTGTCCGATTTGCCTCGTATTTCGTAACGGTGGTCTGAGTTCGGAGATCTACACAGTATATAAAGTTGGACTTCGGCAGGCTTTACCCCGCAACTACTCTGTTAGGCAATCCGCAAAACCCCCCAGGCTAGGGCTTGGGTTCTTCTGCAACCTGCCAGTGTTCCAAGGATCTCCAAAATACAGAGTACAATACCGGAATACCCCATTCATCCATCCACTAAGTCTGAACTTGTCACTTATTCTCCAGACGCTCCGCACTTGCTCCAGAATCGTTTTTTCCCCACTGCCCCAGATTCCTATTCCCCGGCTTGTCAAATCCTCCTCCATCTGAATTGCCATCGGCCATAATCCGAAGGGGGGGCGGCTACCATGGTCACATACACACACACCTCGGTCCATCAGTCTGCGAATCCTCTCGCCTTTCATAATGTTCAATGATCCATACATATATCCTCGAGACCTCATGCGAGATCTCTGTCTAGTGTCGACCTGACGACCTTCCCATACCTCCCCCAATTAGTCCAACATGGCTGGTTGGTATGCTTTGGGCGTCGCCCTTTTCGCAGCGATAGGAACATTCCTTTTTGTACGGTTGGCGTTTTGTGTCTAGTATACAGAGTCACACGCTAATTGATCAATAACTAGGGTTTCGACACAGGCATTGCCACTACAAGTAAGTGATGCAAATACAGCCTACATGAGACATCTCACTCATCAATTCCTTCACTAGCGATTGCTCATCAAAGTTGGATTGATTACATGGACCATCCATCAAATGGTCTGACAGGAGCGGTACGTTGGCACTGGTTTTATTCTTGGGCCCTAGTTTTAACCAGATACAGGTCGTCGCCGTCTACATCGCCGGAGAAGCCGTCGGCGCTCTCACTCAGACACTCATTGCCGATAAACTAGGCCGTCTCCGGTTTATGGAATTGATGTGCATTATCGTCACAATAGGGACTGTTGTGCAAACCGCCTCTGTGAATATCGGGATGTTTCTTGCTGGTCGTTTTTTGGCCGGATACGCGGTTGGGTAAGCTGAGATTCCTCAGGCTTGAAGGGGAAATCACCCTCATCCTCACAGGGGTTTGATTAACAAGTTCGCAGAGGAATGGTTGCTACTGTTCCAATCTATCTTAGCGAAATTTCAGACCCACGCTACCGTGGTCTCATCGGAGGAATCTCTGGTTGCGGTATCTCTTTTGGAACGATGACTTCAAACTGGGTGGGATACGCCTGCAGCTTTGCTCCCTACGGTCCGACACAGTGGAGACTTCCTCTTGGAATCCAAATTCCTTGGGGTATCATCATGTTCTGTGGTCTAGTCACCTTCATGCCGGACTCTCCACGCCACTTGATTCGAAATGGTAAGGTTGAGGAGGCGCGAAAACAATTCAGCCGAATTCGCCGGGATCTAGATTCGCACGACATGCGCCAGGAATTTGCACACATGCAAGCACAAATTGAATATGAAAAGGAGAGAGAGATTACCTCCTATAGGGAGATCTTCAGGCTATTCAGGCATCGTGTCCTAGTGTTAGTATCCCAAAAATACGCGTGGTGTTGCCAGGAGAGGAGTATTTTGACTATTTCCAGGTCGATTGCCGTCCAGACCATGACTAGTCTTACCGGTGTGAATGTGATTCAGGTACGTTTGCATACTCAAAGCCCTTGCCAAGCCAGATAGGCTAATTTGAGCGATCCTAGTACTATCAAAGTGAGTTATCTTCGCGAATGCACGACAATATAGTCTTTATTAATTCCACATATAGCGATTCTATACAAGTCGTTGGGCATTGAAACCCATACTATTCTTGCCTTGGCAGCTGTCTATGGTTCAGTGGCTTTCGTTTCCAATGCCCTTACAACAAGATACTTGACTGATCAATGGGGCCGTCGAAAGTGCGTGATGCATGGCAAATCTTAATATACGTTTATTAACTGAATTATTCTTTACAGGATGATTCTTACTGGCTTGGGCGGTATTGTTCTCGTCGAGATATACGCCGCCGTCATGCAACGCGAGTTCCAAAACACAGATAACCAAGTTGGCAAAGGCTTTGCAATTCTGGGTATCTACCTTTTTGTGGTGACCTACTGTAAGTTACCTACAGCATACCCCTAAAAGCGGCGGACAACTACTAACACCCTAGGTAGATGGTATGCTTAACAGTACCACCTGGCTGTATGGTGCAGAAGTTCTCCCAATTGCTCTCCGAAGCAAGATCATGGGACTGGCAGCGGCTTCTCATTTCATCGTCAACGTTGCAGGCGAGTCTTTTCATTCCCCCCCCCCCCCCCCCCAATAGTCTTCATGGTATAGGGAAAGACATAAGTCTAATCGGAGAGCAGTCACCGAAGCCGGTCCAAGTGCATTCGCCAACATCCATGAAAATTATTACTACGTGTTTGTAGTGTGCACATTTTTCTTCCTCGTCGTCGCCTACTTCTATTTCCCGTAAGTTACCGGATATCCCCCCAAACAAACAAACCAATAGTTTAGTTTATTAATGTTGTCTGCCCCCCCCAGTGAAACCAAGCAAAAAACCCTCGAAGAAATTGCTGCCTCTTTTGGCGACAGGGTCATTGCCCCTGAGGATGCAGATCCAGATACCAAGCCTAGCTCGCAGCGGATCGAAGTCGTATCAGAAGACTAACTAATGAAGTCGCGCCTCCCCAAATTCCAATCGTTAGCCCATGTACGTACATACTTACATACTTCGTTGCCGTGCTTGATGAAATATGAATCAATTTAACCCTCCTGTCAACACGACCGGGTCGGATGAGCGCTTGGTCCAATTTGTCGATATGGTCTGTGGTCATGGTGAGCGCTCGGTTCTCCTGAGAATTGACTCCATCGAGAACATTCAGAACGCCGGAAAAGGCCAGGCCTTCTTCGCTCTCGGTATTGGGATTCACAGCACCAAGTTTCCGGGAATGAATTGATCCAGCGGCATCGATGTCTTCCAGTAGAACAACACAATTTTCTAGAAGTTATGCGAAGAGGTCTCTCAGCGCTTAGCCATCCACGCTAAGGATGTTGACGACATAAATGTCCATGTCCAACTCGCCTGCAATCGACAGGCTAAAGCTGGTCTTTCTCGTTCCAGGAGGGCCGTGCAAGAGGTATCCTCTGTATATCTAGTTTGACCCTCTGTTGAGACCTCTCCGCATCATATTAGTCTATGAAAAATAATAACGACCGGTATACATACGCTGAGCGACGATGTAATTACATGTCCAATCCCAACTTCAACCACTGAATCTTATACAATGCTTGCAACTGGCTTTTTACTACTTATATTTTATTTTCTCTTCTCATGACCCCCACCTGTTAAAGATTGCTATAGGATGAGCGGGTCAAAATTGGAATTAAACGCTTTCTATAGTACCTAGATTACAATATTAGTTTACTATCAGTCAACAAGTTTCCTCTACAACATATCATTCACAAACAGTTCGGGCCCTCGCATTGTTTTCACCCACGGAGACATAAGGCTGGACAATATCATGGTTAAATTGGTCGACAACAAGTACGTGATTTCTGGAACACTTGACTGGGAATATAGTAGTTTCTATCCTGACTATTATGAATCTGTCTAGTACACAAACTGCCTCAGCCTGTATAAGAAAGATAACTGGTTTTTATATTTGCCAGAATATGTCTCCCTAAATCTCTACACTCAGTGGTGGCTTCTTGATTAAGTTAGAGAAACTAGAGTTTTATGAGCAAACTTAGCACTATTGCGCAGCTGGAATACTTCTAACCCTTCATAACATGTGTTAGCTGTATTCTCCTGGACCAAATTGATGATAGTACATCCATTGTGGGGATATAACTTACTATAGGTAAAGATAAGCTTATTATAGATAAAAATTTCTAATTAATAACTTACTTTAATAAATTATAAGCCCTCTATTTCTTTAAAATAACTTATATTTAAGTATTTCTTTATTATTATTATATTTAGCATGTTCTCTTTACTCTATACTATTATTTTAATAAGTAAATTCTTTAAAATAGTCAAGATATAAGTCTCTAGTTAATATTTAATCTTTATTTAATTAATTACCTCTAAAATCTCTAAAATTCTCCTCTAAACTAGCTATATAGTATTAATCCTAAATATAAGTAGAAAAGTAGTCTATATAGGCTAATAAGGAAGTATTAACTAAATATTAAAATAAGTTACTTTATGTCAGGGTGCAGGGTCAGACTCAGGTATTCATTGACTAGGAGCTAACTAGACAGAATAGGCAGAATAGCAGGTACTATGTCATGGCGCGAAGCTGTAGTACCTATCTAGTTAGATTCTGCCCTAACTGTCCACCCTTATTCCTGTATTTAAGCTATATTATTCCTAATCCTATTATAGCTCTTTAAGCTATATTTTATTTATTACCTAATACCTGCTATTCTACTATTCTATCTAGTTAATTTTTAGTTAATAAATATCTAAATCTAACTCTATACCTGTCACGGGGGGCAGGCTGGCAGTAGGTGTAGCTAACAGCAGGGTATATATTCAGGCTATCTGCGTACAGGTATAATAGGTAAGAATTAGGTTAAGATAAGAATATAGCTTAAAGAACTATAATAAAATTAAGAATAATATAATTTAAATATAGAAATAAAAATAAATAATTAGAGTAAAATTTAATTAAATAAATATATAATTATATTATAATAATATTCTTTTTTTTAAATTAAACTCTAATAAAGTATTCTTAAAATTTAGACTTTCTAAAATAATAATAATAAAAGATAATAATATATTTAATAATATTCTTTAAATAGCTAATAAGAATTTTAATAATAATAAAGTATTTAATCTATTTAATAATATATTTTAAATATAGATAGCTATCTTAATTATAGTAATTTTAATAAGAATTAATTACTTTCTTAATCTTTTATTCTTTAATACTATTAACTTTAATATATAAAGATTTAATTTCTTTTTATCTAGATAATAAATCTTTAATAATTAAGTATAATAATTTAATATAAAATACTAGATATATTTTTATACTTTTAAGTAGGTCTAATTTATAAATATAAGGACTAATAATTTTCTTAATAAAAAAAAAATTAGATTTTTCTAGTTTAATTTCTTTTAAAAATATAAAATTATAATATTTTTAATATTTAATTAGATTAATTAATTCTTAATATAATATCTAGTAAAATAATATTTCTAGTTAATATAGTATTTATAGTAAGCTTAAGTAATAATTATAATAATATAATAATATTCTTATATTTATTTTATAATTAAAGTAAACTAGTAAGTATTATAAATTTATAAATAATAATTAAATAAAATAGGCTTAATGTCACAGTGTAGCTATGTACCTATCTAGTTAGATTCTGCCCTAATTATCTGCCTCTATTTCTATATTTAAGCTATGTTGCTCCTAATCCTATTATAGCTTTTTAAGCTATATTCTTATCCTAATCTAATCTCTACCTATTATACTTATATATAGATAGCCTGAATATATATTTTATTATTAGCTATATCTATTACCTGCCTACCCTTTATAATATTATATAGCTCCTATCCTAGGTATAGCTATTACTAGTATATTAAAATAACCTAAATTACCCTTAATTATAGATTTAATTAAGAAATTTATAAGTTATATTATTAATAATTTTACTATTTAGATTATTTATTTTAAATCTTATAATAAATATATTAATTCTCTAGAGAAGGAGATTTATACTTTCTAAAATTAAGTTAATAAAACTAGTCTAGAGCTAGCTAAGAAAGAGAGAGTAGTACTATACTAGAAAAAAAAATTAAAAATAATTTAATAAAAATTAATTAAGTTTAAATATATATTTATTATATTATAAATTATTATTATTTTTATTATACTTACTCTTATTATTATTTTTATTCTTATTAAATATACTCTCCTTATTAAAATTATAATAATTAATATAATAAGAATATCTATACTTATTTTTACTAATTCTTTTTTTAATATTTATTTTAATAAGAAACTCTTTAATCTATAAGAATTTAATAATACTTATTTTAATTTTTATTACTTTATATAATAGATCTATAGTAAAATAGATACTAATCTAGACTATTTTCTAGCTATTAAGGCCTAATTAACCTATATAATAGAATATCTAATTAAAAAGGCTTATAAATTAATCCTACCTAAAATAAGACTTAATATTCTCTAGTTCCTAGACTATCTTAACTTACTTAATTATCTAGAAATAATATTTAGAGACTTTAATTAAATTTAAAATATTTAAAACTATCTTTATAATTAAAAATAAAGAAACTTAGATTTTAATATTTATTTTATAAAATTTTATTATTTTATTTTAAAAGAAAAAATACTTAATAATTTTTTAATATTTTTTTTAATTTAAAATATTTTAATTAAATTCTAAAATATATTATTTTATAATCTTACTTTATTTTAAAACTTTTAAGAATATATTAATTATTTCTAGTTATTAGAAAATTATTATTATTAATACTAGCTATAAGTATCTTATTCTTACCTAATATCTAGTTCTTACTATTCTAGCCTAGTAGTATTAAGAAATCTTCTTAATTCTATCCTATCTAGTTACCTAGTTATACCTCCTATACCTAGAAAAGATTTAGATATTATAAATTTATTTTATACTTATTATATATTATACTCCCCTAGGAGAGAATAATATAAATATAAAGAATATTTTTATTATAAAAATAAAGTATATTATATAAAGAATTATTTCTTACTTAACTAATATCTTATATAAATCTAAAAATAGATAAATATACTAGTATATTATTCTAGCCTAACTTTTATTATAATATTATTTATTTCTTATACTATAATTTAGAATAACTATCTTATTATTCTAGAGAAACTTAACTAATTATACTTCTTTAATATCTTATTTAACTTAAAAAATAAAGTTTACCTAATTATAATTATTATTTAGTACTAGAATATATATAGAAATTCTTATTATTAAATATATTACTTTACTTATTTTATATTATTATTAAATTAATTAATTTTCCTAATCCTTATTATATACATGCTAACCTAATAATATAATAGGTATAATTATATTAAGAAAATTTAAAAATACTAACTTATATTATAATTAATTCTAGAATTAAAGAAATTAGCTTTATAAATTACTAATAAATAAAAATATATAAATTAAAGATTATTTTATTCCTTTATTTAATACTTTTATCTAACTTTTATAATAAAAAGATAGAAAAAGATATAATAATTTATTATATAAAAATTAATTTATTATTAAATAATTATTATAATTAAAAATCTATTTTTTATATTACTTATCTCTCCTATTATCTAATTATCCTAGAACTAGCTTAGCTTATTATATATAATCTAAAGATATATTTCTTTAACTAAATAACTATATTTAATAGCTAATATTACTATAAATACTATAATATATTTCTTAAGCCTATAAGGATAAGAGCCCTAATAAATATTCTCTAGAAGAATTAACTTAAGTAACTAAATTAATAAAAAGAATTACTAAAGTTAAAACTTCTTATACTTATAGAAATATATTAAATATTCTTAAAAGTATTAGTTATATATACCTATTATCTAGTATAGAAACTATATTAAATTTTATTAAATAAAATTAATAAAAAATTAAAATATAAAGATACTAGTTCTAAATTATTATTTATATTTTTCCTAAAATTATAAGATTTTTAAGATATATTTAATTCTTAAAAAATAAAAAAGCTACTATTATACTAATTATATAATTATAATATTAAGATTTAAGAAAGAAAATAACCCTTATTTAATAAATTATACTTAATATTATAAGTATAATTAATTACTCTAAAAAAATAGCTAGAAAAGAATTTAAAGAAAGATTTT